TCTCCTCTTCTTCCGTTTGCTGCACAACCTGCCCTCGTCTGAGTGCCTTTGTGGTCTTCTTTGAAGGGTGATGGGCAGACTTTTGATCCCCGCCAATCCACCAGCAGGTCCTTGGGACGTAGAATACGCAGAGACTGTGGCTAGCCAGTGCTCGCAGTGCGCCTCAAAAGGAATGCAGGGCTCTTGGTCAGCGCGCAGCTGATGACACGAGGCGTGATGTACCAAACGTTATCCGCGATGACATCAAATGGTGGGGCCGGCCCACGTCTCTACATGCTCTACTTCTACCTTACCTCGTGCTCAGGATTTAAAATATCGACACTATTTGCATTGCCTCCAGACTCACTCAATTCCAATCCATCAACACACAAGACTCCGAATAGGTCAGTGAGCATTCGTCATCCCCACAAGCCTTAAGACATACCAACCAGCCTCCCAACAGCACGATCCCATCACACCCGATCTACAACATGTCTGCCCCCAACCAAGGTCGCCAATCCCCCGACCCCAAGGACCAGTCCGGCAAACAAGGCGCGAACCCTCCCGCTGCCAACCCCAACCAGCAGGGTGGCGAGCCGCAAGACTCCAACGCGGCGGATGTCAGCAAGGATCAGCTGAAGGGGCTCGACAGCAACCCCACGAACAAGTTGGACGAGGCGAAGAACAAGGGGCAACTGAAGTAGCAGAGCACACATTGAAGTGCCGTAAGGGCCCTAGTGGAGATGGGAGGAAAGCACGGTCTGCCGGGTATGAGAGGCGGCGCTGTGTATCGCAAGGCTAGAAAGGGAAAAGTCCCTGTTTAACTAACTATGCTGCGTTGTACTCTCGCAGCGTGGTGTCAAGGCACTACTCAACGTGTGCTCCTCCTCTCATCTACTACCGCATCAGCACATTTGTTCTTGTCCACGCTCTGCACCCTGTAGCGTACCTTCTCAGCCCACAACTCATGCTTTGTAGCCACCCTCGTACCGTCACGTGCACATCTTCTGAAGTGTGCTGATAGCAGCACAGGTGAATAGAATGCGAGGGGGCTCATCTGATGGGCAGAACTGGGAGATTCCCGGTTGCGATCTCACCCTCACCCTAGCCCTCTTCCACGGCCCCTCGTTGATGTTGTCCTCCCAATCCCATTCGCGCCTCGAGTGGTCGAGGTGGAGGTCGAGTTGACCGTCCCCCTCCCTCGTCCTGCTTGTCCACCAACACCAGTGTAGCCTCTGGTAGAGCTACTCGGACCTCTCGAACCCCTCACTTTGACGCTGCCTCTCCTGCCCGGAGTCACCGCGGCAGCAGCCTTTCGCCTCTCCTCCTCCTCCGCTCGCCTCTCCGCGTCTTCTCTTCGCCTCTGCTCCTCCATCGCACGTCTCTCCGCCTCTTGTTGTCGCCTCAAGTCCTCGTGTTCCATGTCTTCGATGTCTTGACTCGCGCCATGCCAGTTCGGATTGAGAATCAACTTCTGATTGTGCTCGGTTTGGCTCAATATTCGTGTCCAGGTGGCGAGGAGAGTGCTGGCATTGTTGACGGTGCGGTTGACGGTCTCCATGTTGTCCCTTGCTTTGGTCAAGGAAGCCGTGACGCCTTCGATGACCTTGTTGACTTGGCGCACCTTCTCCAGCTCTGCGCGCAGTCGCGCATCTCGGGCGTCTTGCTCGTTCTGGCGGGACCGCGAATCGCTGCGACTGTGGTGCTTCTGCGCGCTCGAGGATTGAGAGCTCGGGGTGTGCTTCTGGGTCGTTGCGCCGCTCTCAGGGCTCGCGAACAGATCTTCGACATCTTCATCGTCCAGATCGGGCTTGCCGGTAGCCGGCACGTTGGAAGGCGCCTGAGGCATTGTTGTGCGGGCAATGTGCAACGCAGACGCTGGCGCCACGCGTCGTTTCTCTTCTGGATGCGCAGGCCGCCTTTTGCTGACCGTGTTTGTTGACTGGCGAGGCGCAGTGACGTGTCAATGTGTGCGCGCTTCCCGCGACGCGAATGGCTCGGAGTGCCAAGCTTTCGCCGGTCGGAACGTTGGTTGGAGTCCGCGCGCGCCGCCAGCCACGACATTCCGTCCCTTTAGCCAGACACCTCCTTTGTAGCTCGCCCCTACGCCTACACCTTTTTGGCTCTCATCATTTGGCTAGTTTCTATTCTACAACCATTCCGAGACCAGTGGCGCTTTGCATCCGCGGAGAGCAAAAGAGCCCACTCTCCTGTCTCCTGGATGCTTCTTTGCTAGACCGCGCGGCGCTCTTCAACGTGCTTCTTCCGTCAGTCACCATAGGGCAGAGCTAGCGAGACTGAGCGGCCCGCACCCTCGCGGTGCAGATAAGGGAGGCTCCGTTTGCATTGAGCGCATCAAACGCGGCCCAAGCCAACGTCATTGCACAAGCAAACGCCCACCACACATCTCTTCACAATGTCAACACCTCCCGCAGTGTCGCTCCGGGCACGCACCCCTCCAACCCCTCTCCACGGCCTTGCTTACGACAATTACGAACCGTACTCTCCTCGACGCTCCAAGAGAAGCACTGCCCAAAGCAACCCGTATTCCTCATTGAACGGCGAGCGCTCCCCAAGGCCTCTGCCCCAATTCAATACCACCCCGCCCGCGACAGTCAAGAAGGCCCGGTTCGCGCGCGCGACCACCCACCTTTCCTCCCCACCATCCTCGCCCGTCTCCCCAATCAAGTGCCACCCCGTGCACAAGACCCCGCGAAAGGGAGGATCCGATTTCACGAGGACGGCAAACGCGATACTCTCTGATTCCGACGGTCCGTCACACCCCCTACACCAACCCTGCATCGATCCCGTGACGATGCTTCCAACGCCTTCCAAGACGCCAAAGAAGCGCCCTGCAGCGGCCCTCACTGGCCGCATCTTAAGCTTCCAGCCAGAGGACCCAAACGATGTCATGCCCTCGCCACGCAAGATTAGAAAGCAGGTTGGCCGACTACACACCGCTGCAACGGGCTTCGAACTCTACGAAGACGATGCATCGCTGAATCACGCCGACACCATCGAGATCTATACCGACGCAAACGCAAGGGTGCCAGAGATGGACGAGAGCGAGGACAACCCCTTCGTCGGTCGCAGAAAGATCTCCAAACGCCCCCAGCGCCGGGCTCGCAAACAGAATGCGGAGGAGGTTGAACATGAGCGACGCATCGATGAAGCGGTGAAGAGAGATGAAGGTGTAACTTATGTCTTGTACGTGCTGCGATGATACATCCCTTTGACGGAGGCATAGCGCTAACATCAGTGACAGCCGAGGGAAAAAGATCTTCCGCAAGTTCGCAGACAAGGCTGGGCAAGACGGCGCTCCTTCAGCTGCATCAGATCTGAGTGGCACGCTGGAACAGCGACGACTCAAACACTCGGCAGGTGCGGCGGCACAGCGGCCTCTTACTCGAAGCGCCATCAAGCCCCGCTTGCTCTTTCCATCGGAAGAGCAGAGTCCGGAGCGCCAACAAGGGCCGGACGATGTCGATGAGGAGGCGGATACTGATATCGAGATGTCACATGTGGAGTTGTCAGGTTCTATGGGCGACAATGCGACGACGCCAGTGCAAGAGCACTTCGAGCAGCATCTGACTCCACCGCCAACACAAGCAGGCAAGAAGTCTAAAGGAAAGAAAGGAGTCGATGCGTCCCCAGCCATCTCCACTCCCGACGAGGATGTGGAGTTGACATCTGGCGGCGCGATGGACACATACCCCAACACGGCGTCGCGCTTTCCTCGCACGCGCAATGGCGGGAGCCCCTTCGACTCATGGCAGCGCACGAAGACCGGTGGAGGGCGCAAGAGAGCTAGTGAGGCGATGGCGGGGGCGGAGTCGGGGCATGTTGGGAAGCGGACGAGGAGTGCTTTGGTGGAGAGTCCAGCTTGAAAGTCGTCGGGGTTCACACCTTGGCTACGACTCTGCGCGCCTTCAACGACCCTCGATGTTTGCGATGCAATGGTTGCATAGAGAACTGCGTTGCACCCGGGCTTTTCTTCAACCGGGCATTCAGGAAGAGGAAGTTCAATTAGCCGGGCTGCTTGTGCACGTACCCAGACAGATTACTGATTGGAAATGGAAAGTGCATCCCAGCGCGCTCAACAACATCCCTCAACCCTTCATTTCCCTCCGTGCCGATGCAACCAGGTGTGTAGCACGGCGTCGCTGCGTCACTACCCGCGCCACCTCTTCCCGCTACCCTGCATGTGTGCAATGCGTGATGATCGAGTGATGGGTTTCCCCGCGCTGCTGGCCAAGCCCGTTCATCCCGCCTCCACCTCTAGAGGCTGCCGATCTGCGTCGGAAGGGGAAAAGGCGGCGACAACGATCGCCAAAACATGTGCTGAGCGGGTCGCCAAGTTGCCTTCAATTGCCATCGTCCCACACACGGCGGGTTTAATAAAGACCCAGTGGCCCTGCCGTTTCGCCATTCGTTTCCCAAGGTAATTCGATCCTCTCTCTTGTTTCCCTTCCCATCTCGTCAGCATGTCCGCCAAGGCTAGTGAAGACGTCGAGAAGCATCCGGCTTCTGAGTACATCGATCATGAGGAGAAGGTCGATGGAAAGACGGAGGTGTCCGCCTTCGTGCCGCCCACGCCGGCGGAGGAGAAGGCGGTCATTCGAAAGCTGGACTACCGTCTGATTCCATTGGTCTTTCTGCTTTACATGCTCTCCGTCTTGGATCGGAGCAATCTGGGGAACGCAAGGCTTGCCGGGCTGGAGGTGTGTCGGGCTGTCGCGAGCAAGGATGATGACCGAGTTTTCGCTGACATATGTACAGAAATCGATCAATCTTGGCGGAAATCACTACCAACTGCTCGGCACCGTCTTCTACATCTCCTACATCGTCTCGCAATGGCTGCTGATGGGATGGAAACACTTCAAGCCGCACATCTGGTGCTCGGCGGTCGTGCTTATCTGGGGCTTCATCGCCTCCATTCAAGCCGCCGTGACTTCTTGGGGAGGCTTGGTAGCTTGCCGATGGTTCCTTGCCATGGCTGAAGCCGCCTATGGCCCTGGTGTGCCATTCTACTTGACCTTCTTTTATCCGCGCGATAAAGTTGGCTTTCGACATGGTGTTTTCATCGCCGGAGCGGCCATGGCCAATGCATATGGAGGAGCGTTGGCATATGGCATCACTCACATCCACGGATCCTTGGCTCCCTGGCAAATCCTCTTCCTCATTGAAGGCCTTCCGACCTGCCTCTTTGCCGTCGTTGCCTTCTTCTTCCTGCCTGACAGCATCGCTCAAGCCAGCTTCTTGAACGAGCGAGAGAAGGAGATTGCGTACCACTTTGTCGCTAGGAACCAGAGACTGGATGTCGAGAAGAACCAAGGCCTGCGCTTGAAGGAGGTGATTGAAGGCTTGAAAGATCCCAAATCCTTCATCCCAGGTCAGTACTCGCCAGAACTACCTCTTAGTATCCAATCGCTGACTCTACTCCACTCTTTTAGGCTTGATGTACTTTGGCTGCAATGTGTCCTTCGCCTCCCTGCCCCTTTTCCTGCCCACCATCATCTCAGAGATGGGCACTTGGAATGACGCGACTTCCAACGGCCTCTCCGCGCCGCCCTACCTGCTGTGTTTCTTCTACATCATCCTGGTGGCCTTCTTGTCCGACCACTTCAGAATGCGTGGTCCATTCTGCGGACTGTCGGCCATGATCGCGGCGATCGGCTTCATCATCAACGCAAGCAGCACCACTTCGGGCGTGCGATACTTTTCCACCTTTTTGTCCGTTCAAATCTTCGCTTCTGTCGCACTACTATTGGCATGGACGGCGAACATTCATGCCACGGAGAGCAAGCGTGCGGGCGGTTACACGGTGCTTGCGACCATTGGGCAATGTGGACCTCTTTTGGGTGAGTTTCTGGACTAGGCTCCTTCCGAAACACCATACTGACTTGCATAGGCACGAATGTATTCCCACCTTCCGAAGGACCGCATTACATCAAAGGACTGTGGATATCGGCTGCGTTCTGCCTGTTGGTGGCTGTGCTGAGTCTCGTACTCTCTCTTTGGCTGATTTACGAGAACAAGAAGATGGACAGGGAGGGCGTGCCGGAGGTGCAGGAGTTTGAGGATACGAGCATTGCAAGGGCAAGCGGGACACACGAGAAACACCGTTATATTTGGTGATTTAGCGGATTGAATGATCTAGTGCTCCACCACTGTTGGACATCTCGCCCGTCCGCTCCGCGCCAGTTGTCGTCGTACACGAGTGCTCATAATGTCAAGTGCTTCGCACTTTATTTCTTCTATCTCACGCTGTCAGCAAACATGCGTCTGAATGTAGACGACAAAAGAAAAGATGTACCTCGCAAGAGCAGCTGCCGGGGGTGCAGGTGCAGTTGGTGCACGTGCAGTTGGGGCTTCCGCAACCAGGCATTGTGTAGAGGTGAGATGGAAGATTGTCGGATAGACGGATTCGAATGTCGTTCGGAGTAGCGTGGAGTAGTCGAGGCGGTTGGTGATTCGTTCGGTTCGTTGCAAGTGTTGGTGTTGTGATGCTCGAAAGAAACGGGATCGAGGCCCGGGGGTAACCCCTCATATATACCCGCGACGGAGACTTTTCGGGTTGCGCCAATTGTGCGTCTGCGTCAATTGTGCGGGTGGCGAGGTGTGGAGAAGCGCACGCGGCATGAGCTTCTTCTGCGCAGCTCCGCCCGTAAAAAGGTAGCGAAGTCTGAGCAAATTTCGCGCGAATCAGATCCCAAGGCTGTGGCTTGACAGCGCATGTGATGCAGGTCGAAATGCGTGCAGAAGGATTGCAAATCTCCATTCTCCTCTATCTTCAACCTACGCCTTGCTCATTACATGCGATGTCCCAATAATCACGCCCGCCGTAGCCTTCACCCCCAGCTCCAGCGTCCACACAGCCACTTTGAAGGAAAAGCCAAGCAGCGCCAGCGCTCCCTGCGTCAGGACAGGTAGTTCGATCTCCTCCTTCCTCTTCTTCTTGTTCCGTCGGAGCAAGCCATTTGATCGTCTTGACTCCTTCGTTGTGTTCGTTTCTACCGAAACAGCCCGTGACTCCCGCTTGGCCACAGGTAGGGGCGATTTCGGAGGTGCATCAAAGGTCATGCGTTTGCCCTTGAGAGCGTCGTTCTCAATCACCGCGACTGCCAGCAGCGCGCACATCACCGTGTCGATGATGTAAGAGCCCTCCAAGGCCAAAAGGCCCGGAACGTCGAGCACACAGGCGTCGCGCGCAAAGTCCAGAAAGGCCAGGACGAGCGTCTCTGCAGCCACGGCGGCCGGCGTGGCGGAAGGATGGTGCAGACTAATGTTTGCTCGGGGGTCGCGCGCGTATCTCCCTTCCTTGGATTTGGTGACGGTAAGAGGGAACGAGCAGAGGGTCGGATGCTCGAGTCTGTACGTGGCAGTGACGGCACCCAAGCCGTCTCGCTCGCGTGTTGTGCGCACGAGGACAGACCGACAGCGCTGGTGTGCCGCCGAGACGGCATCTTGAGCTAGCTTTGCAGCTTCGGGAGATTTTGCAGTCGGGTCGGCTTGTGCAATTGCCGCTGCCTCCGGGGAATTCGCGACCGCATCGATCGCGTTGATGGCAGCCATATGAGGGAAGATGCTCACATAGTCATCTTCTGCCGGCGCACTTTGGTCTGGAGGAGCGCCGTCTGGAAGGGCGAGCTGGGCCACGGTCTGAACATCTGGGTTTCCAGGTGGATGCTTGGAAATCATCAGCAGTTCCGGAGGCTCGACGTCCGGGGCCGCGACTGCAGGCTTGTTCTTCTTCATAGACCAGAGAAGAGCGTCGTCTGCAACGCCGATGGCGAGGGCCGTGCCTTCGTTGCGCGGCTGAATCAAGCGGAACAGTGCTTTCCTGCCGGTGCCGGGATGTTTATCGCAGGAAGCATTCCACACTTCTAGTAGGTCTGAGCTGTTGGCCACGGGGATATGTTCGTAGCCGAGGACCACGGTGGCGGTGGGATTGACGAGCTCCAGATCAAGTGGTGGTAGGGTGTGCCTCTTCGTGCTTGAACTCGCGCCCTTGATCATCTTCTCCGAAATTGGTTGTGTCGGAGTGGACGAGCGAATGTGCGGGTAGTACTGTTGCTGACCCAGCGGCTTGCTGGGGTCCCAGCGCGGAAAGATGGACGGCTGGCGTGCAGGGTCGTGAGGACTGTACGGCGGCACGGAACTGGCTGGACTCCAGCCATAGGCAAGCGTGGGGCTTGTCGATGGCCTCGAGCGGGTGGTGGCCGGGTAATCTGCTCTGGGGGGTGATGTCGCTGGGGTAAAGCGTGCGGTTTCCGGCAGAGCGGTGAGCTTATCCCCACTTGGACTGACCGGCGTTGTTGTGCTCGGCTGCGCCTCCGTCGAGACATTCAGAGGAAAAGCTGGCCGCTCTGTTCCAGGAGAGAGCCGGGTACGGGAGGATGGCGAGCCAAAACTACTATTCTCAGGTAGTGGCGAGAGCCGATCGTCGTTCCCGTCGACGGGAGAGTCACAGCGGATGGAGGTGACGTCTGATGCTGCTACTGAAGAGTGTCTGCTTTCTCGTAGCTGCCTCCTGAAAGAGCCCGAGCCCAAGGCTCCACTGGAGGAGGATGGCTCGCAAAAGAGAGCATGCTTGATGTGACGGTCGGCGGCCTGCACTATAACAGGCGAGGCAGTGGTCGGCTTGACTTGGAAAGCGACACCTTTGGCCTCGCCGACCATTGCATCGCTTGATTTCGGTTTCTTCAGGCTGGATTTACGAGGCTGAGTGACGGTAGGAGGAAAGACACGGAGAGCCATGCTGCCCCGACGTGGTGTCAATGGAGAGGCCTGGCGTGAAGGACCGGCAGCCAGCAATGGAGTGGGTATGAAAGAAGATAATGACGATTGCCGGGAGGTGTAGCGGAATGAAAGGAAGATACCATGGATATCGGGACGTGTAGCGGGATAAAAGGAAAGGCATAACCTACACACAATATTCCAATAGCGCTTGGAGGCCGGCGCCGTCCCATCAGGCCCAAACGGGGCCTCCTGGGACGGCGAATGATAACACTGGGCCATGCAAATGAGCGACGGTCGGGGAGGAGGTTGCCTTCGAATTCGAGCGAGTGGAAGTGCTAAGCGCCGAGCTGGGCGCGTAGAGAATATAGAGACGTGAATGGTGTAACGTGGTGCCATTGGCCGCCACAGACTGACTACGCGAGCACGAGCTGGAGGCTTGAGCTGCATCGACTCCGCAGTGGCGCGCGCGTTGGCTGCATCTCGGCGGTTGGGTTGGATCGATATTATTACTCTCTTCTGCGCGTGGAGTCCTGCGGTTAGTCACGTGTGTACGCGCCCGGAGCAAGACCTGTCCATTCCCAGCATGACTGTCGATGAAGTGGATCGAAGGACATGCCGCGCGCTTCGCACGATATCATGTGAAGTTGACACGAATGTGATGCAAGCAAAGGTACATGTAAGGAACATGAAGCCGGGAGTGTGTACCTTAGTGAAGCGGTGGTGGAAGGCGCGTTGGCGCTGCCAAGGCTGACGTCGGCGCGACGCCATCTCTAGCTCGTGCCTGCAGTCTCGCAGTCCCTCGTCCATCCACCGACCCAACCAGCCAGATCCTCGAGTCTACCGCCACAACCGTGACATGCACCTCTGCCGGTAGCAAGAGGCGCCATGGTGTCCTTCTGGCCGTTCAGAAGCGACGAAACTTCGGCGGCTTCATTTGAGAAGACTCTCAGCCAGCTCTCGCAGAAGATCAACCAGGCTAGTAGTCGGAATGACAACTTGCGACAGAGACAGCGCCGCTACAAAGTCCTCTGGACCCTCTACACCTCCTTTGCCTACATCCTCGTCGCCCTCATCCTGACCCTCGTCACCGGCTGGCAGACATGGGGTTCGGCCGAGTACAGCGCAATGGCCGGAGGGCCGGTGGTCATCTTCGCCGTCCGCACGGCAATGGATGCATACTTCAATTACCGCATTGCCAACGCCCAAAACCAGCTCAACTCGCTGGTCAAACAGCGTGAAGCCACCATCCAAAAATTAAAGACCGCGACCAAGTACGATAGCACGCAGCAGCTGCTGGACAAGTATGGTGGGACGCCGCAGAAGAGGAAGCCGTCTCCGCAGCCATCGAAGCGGAAGTCGGGGGGTGGTGGCCCCTCCAATCAGAGCACACCACAAGGCAGGACGGGCTTCGTCCCTCCGCCCACTGCAAACATACCTGGCCGGACGCCGCCTCGCCCGGCAACTCCGCAAAGTGCTCCACGCCTGGGGCCACCTCAGCCTTTCCCAGGTGGGGCTGCCGGCCCCAGCGAGGAGTTTGCGCCCAATGCCTTCACGGCACCACCACCCCCAGGATTGCAGCCCGCTGCGACTGAATACGCCACCGCCGGTCCGAAATGGTACGATCGCATCCTCGATGTCGTGCTGGGAGAGGATGAGTCTCAGGCGAAGAACCGCGTCGTGCTTATCTGCAAGCACTGCAGACTCGTCAACGGACAGGCGCCGCCAGGAACTCGGTCGCTCGAAGAAGTTGGCAAGTGGAGGTGCAGCGCTTGCCATGCGTGGAATGGAGTCGAGAGTGAAGAGAGGAAGATCCTGAAAGGAATCTCCGGGACTTCGGCCTCCCCTCCATCCCCAGATGCATTCCTTCCCTCGCCAACAGATGCGTCTACGAAAGAGATTGAGCTCAGCGACTACGAGGATGTGGACGAGCACTTTCCGGAGGACGAGGAAAGAGCAGAAGCAGAGGCTGCAGATAAACCCCCCGCCAGCTCATCACGCAGTAAAAGCGCGGGAACGAAATGAAGCATAGTGTAGAGCCGTGAACAACCATCATGAACATATATCTCGTGCATCACAACTTTGATCCCGACTTCCTCTTCACAAACGCCTCCACCGCCTCTATGCCCGCAGTCGCGCACTCGGTATCCTGCGCCGGCGTCCCCGTGCTAACTCCAATCGCTCCCACCGTGTGCCCATCCACCACAATCGGTATCCCACCGCCGATGAGCATGAATCGCCCGCCGTTCGAGTTGTGAATGCCGTACGCCGGCCCGCCCGGTAGGAAGTTCTTGCCTTGGTAGGTGGAGGTGGGCGCGCGATGCCCGGCGGCAGTAAAGGCCTTGTCGATGGCGATCTGCACCGAGGTGAGTTTGGCGTTGGGCATGCGCACAAAGTGGAGGAGGTGGAGCGTCGCGTCGACGAGGGCGATGTTGAAGTCTGCATCGAAATGAAGTGAGTGAGGCTGTCTATCTGGGAGTCCAGAGGAGGGTCGTGTTTTACCCATGCCCATCTGCTTCGCCTTCTGCTCTGCTGCGTCGGCCGCTACTCTGGCCGCCTCCAGTGACAGCATCGGCACGTTTCTGGTGGCCATGTCTGGTGGTGGACTTCTCTCGGAAAGGCAGGTGTGTATAGTGATAGACGACCAAGAATTGCAGCAGAAGTAGGCGCGTAGATGGATGGTAGTCTCGTAGTCTGCCGGTCATAAATCCGGGGTTGGCGATGACCTCACAAACACGCGGGGCGGCCGTGCGGCTCGATGGATTTCCCAAATAGGAAGGTAAGGTATTCTAGTCGCGGCGTGCAGTGCAGGAAAGTGTCAAATGCAATGACAATAACTGCTTGCATACAGACATTTGTAGTCGTTCATGGCGCACGATTCGTATCAACCGAATTACAGGCATTTGTCTTTGATCTTTTCCCAATGCAGTACGCTTGATGCAGTTTACGTATAGAGCATCTTCGCATGTGCGACGGAACTTGGTCCTTTTGGGTCATGATTGGCGTGTGCTATTTGTCTGTACTCGGCTCTCGCTCCCCCCCGTCTATGCAGAGACACCCGGCCTGCCTGCACCTTCCACGGACAGAGCTGTGAAGGCGAGGAACTGCATGACCTCCAGACCTGCCTCCAATGCCGTAACCAACCCGGCATCCGAACCACACTTAATCCTCAGACTGCGTAACGTCCTCTGCACAAACACTCGTCGAGAAGGACCCCAACTGAGGGTCCAGTGACTTGAGCTGGCCGTAGAAGGATTGTGCTGTGAACCGAAAGCTCGAGGAAGATGCAGTGGACGACGTATGAGATACACCAGGCACGTAGCCGCAAGCAAAGCGTTGCTCCAGCGTAGGCTTGCCGATTCTGCGTTGTGCTGTTGGTATGCGAGGTGGCACAGCACAGCCGTAAAGCTTACGTCGTTTGGCCGGTTCGCGCATCGGCGGGCTACGCTACCTTGAGAACGAGCTGCGTCAGCCGGAAACGTACTCTGCTTGTGAGGAGATGCTTGAGGGTATTCACAGCTCCTCATCGGAATCGGCCTTCGCGTGTGGCTTTACTTCCAGCGTAGACACCCCATCAAGCGGTTCGACTTTAGGCCCGTCGGCCAACGATGACAACGAGAACGCATCGCCAGCGCTGGACCCCACCGGGCCCATAATGTCGTTGCCCAGGCCAGCCATACTGGCACGGTGACGCTTGAACGGACTACCAATCGTCTCCGGCGGCTCGTTCCCAAGCATGGGTGAGGTGGCGCCGGGTGGAGTTCCGGCGATGGCTGAGGTCGAATTGATGGACTGCGGGGTGTCGGCGGTTTCGGGCTCGTCGCTGCTCTTGAGATGTGGTGACTTGCGAGTCGAGTTCGGGCCGGTCATGGGCTCCGCGGAATGCTGGCGTTTGAGCTGAAGCCCGAATCAGTGACCACGTCGGCCTCCAATCAACGAAACAACTTACTTTGATCTTCTGCACCCCCTCCGCCAACTCGCCTTGTCGCTGAGCATCCTCGACAGAAAGGAATTTGCTGCCCTCTTGCTTCACGTCGATCTCGTCTGTGCCGTTCATGACCGTTTCGTCATCATCTTCCTCTCCGTCACTGTCCATGGCATCGGCATTCTTGGTCTTTCGCTTCACTGTTCCCGTGTCCCTATATCCTGTAAAACCCACAGTCCCAGTGGTCTTAAGTGGCCCAAGCTTGGAGAAGTCAGGGCCGGTTGACTTGCGCTTTGCAGCCACAGGCGTCTTCTCTGCCTCCGGCGTAGCTAGGATGCCCATCTTACGCAATTGCTTCTCTCCCCGGTAGAAGAAAGTGAAGACGGCATATGGTGACTCGGGGGGATCCAGGCCGGTGACTGTCTGTGTACTGATGGACTTGGGATCGAGACTCTTGGGCTTAGCGAAGCTGGTGGTGTGATCGACATCTCCATCCCCGCCATCGCCATTCGTATTTCCATCCATGCCTTCGTCATCGTCATGTGCGTCAAACTGAGGGGAGTATTCTCCCCTTTTGATTTCACCGCTCGCCAGAACGCGGAAGAGAGCAACTTTGATCTGCCCGGCGGCTTCTGGTTGTGGCGGGTCATCGTCGGAGTCCGAGTCGGAAGATAGGAGTCCATCGTCTTGAGGAATGTCTTCCACTGGAGACCCTCCCTCGCCACCGTATCGCAAGACCCCATTCCTGCCGACACGTTTTGTGCTGCCATCATTGGCGTCTTCGTCGTCACTGTCCATCTGCTCTCTTTGCTGTTTCCGGCGCTTCTTCTCTAGCCGCCGTTGTCTCCGCTCGATTCGCTCTGCCTTATCTTTGCTGCTGCCCTCAAGATCCAGGCCATTGAGCCATCGCTCCAGCCCGACTTCGCGGAAGAGGAACTCTCTTTCGGCCAGACCACCGCCTTCGGACGCAGGCACGCTGACCCACCTCGAATTGACCCACGTTTCCTCGCCTCGCCGTAGCAGTGTGGCCACTTCCTCTTTCGCTCGCCCATCAAAGTATATGTACGCGGCTATGGTTTCGTTGGGGTTGGTGGTGCGGGGGACGTATGGGGGTATCGAAGCACCATACTTCCCCCTCTCGCCAAGGATGCCGGGTAGGCCTCCGACAACGCGTGGTTTGGGGTGTGGTTCATCAGCGGTGGGCTTGGGGGTGGAGTACGGCACATTTAAGCCGGGAGTGAGGAGGGTGATGGAGATGGCGAAGGTGGACTGCTCGAGTTTGCCGGTCTGCGAATCGGAGGGCACCTTGGCCGCGGGCACGGGGATGTAGGAGGAGATGCGTGCGGCTCGTGCTTGCTTCTGGATGGAGTACTCCGAGATGGGGCCGTCAGGGGTGTGGATGCTGACCGCAAGGCCTTTGAAGCAAGGCATCTTGCGGTCTTATCGCTGCCGCTCAGGCTCAATGTTTGGCGGGTGATGTGGTGAGCAGCAATGAGCTTAGTTAGGCTGGGGCTCCGACGGCGTCAACGTGGGCAGCGTTGCCCGTGAACACAAGACAGCAAGGAGTGAATGTGAGGCCTCGTGCAGAAGCAAAGACGTGCTGGAGGAGTAGTTGGTGCGAGGTGGAGGAGAGGACAAGGTTCTTTGAGCAAGTCGACGCGGAGCAATTGTGACTTGCGGTGACGGCTGCGCCACTGGCAGGGCAAGCCACACGCGCCTTAGGCTCCGATGTCAAACCAGCCCAGGCGTTGGGTTCGCGACGAGCTAGGAAACGTTAAATCGCGACCAGTAGATGTGCACGTGCAGTCGAGGCCGTCGGAGAGGATGAAATGAAATGGTCTGCATTAGAAAGATGAGCCATGTGGTCGCTCGAGATGGGCCATCACAGCACATACAGCATTGGTTACTGTTGCAACGATGCGAGTGGCAGTAGTCCTTGATACAAAGCCAATGGAGGATATGTTACCGATGCGTCTACGAATGTCACAGTCGTCATGAGTAATTACACCGCAGCCACGGCCTGGAGCAGTCAAAAGCGCATAGCTGTCCGATTAGACCGCGATCATCTTCTCGCGCCTGTCCCGAAGCCCGCATTCTGTCCGCCGTTGCCGGACCCTGGAACAGCAACCTCCTTCAAGGGGTATTTCAGCTCATCGTCCTTCCGCATGTAGTGCTTCCGCCTCTTCTTCGTTGTCGCGTGCTCCACGACCATCTCTTTGCCCATTTGCGCCATGAACTTCCTGATAAATCGCGGATCCCACAACTCGCTGGCAATACCCAGATCTTTGCAGCATCGCATGAGAGCGTTGGATTTGCAGCCTTCGGTGGCCGTTGGGATGCCGTCGGGGTCGAAGTACTGTTGTTCGCCGCGCGCTATCGACACCAGCCTGATGCATGTTAGTATCCACCGTGGTTGATGAGCTTGCAAGACCACATAACATACCGCCCTCCACACACCAAGCCATACTCTCGTGTGACCAGCTTTCCCGTGACTATCGTCTCTCCCCTCGGCGCCAACCCCCATCCGCCTGGGCCGAATGCGCGATTCAATATTCGTCTATATTTGATCTCCGGGAGGTATATGATTCCATCAGGCTTGATCTCGATGTCGTCGAACTCAATCTTCTGCTGCAGTATCGCGGCTTGCTCCGCTGTGAACGGCGTGGACGAAAGGCCATGGTAGGATCGGGTCCAGTCCACCTGCCTTTCGTCTTCGCTCAGGAAAGGTGGCGGATCGGCAAGTTGATCGGTGAGCGTGCGGGGTTCAAGGTCGGTGACTGTCTCGAGGGTCCGCAGGCGATCGGTTTGTGAAGGAGGTGAAGACACAGGGGTCGGAGCTGCCGGAGCACCGGCGGCGACAGGCTGCTGGTAGCGGGGAGATGCTGAGGTTATGCGACGGCGTTGGAAGACGAGTCGAACTTGCCGGGAAGCTTGTCGCTCGGCGCATGTGGCTGAAGGCGAGGACAGGAATGCAAGCAAGCCGCCGCCCATACGCCGTGTCGTTGTTGCATGCATAGCCAATAGCGAGAGTGTGTGGTTTCACGGTTGTCTGGCGGTGGCTCGAGGATGTCGATGCAGATGAAGTGAAGCTTCCAGGTTGGTCTGTGCGAGCGCAACTGGAAATCCACTCGAAAGCACGGGCTCACGCCGAAGAACGCTCAGATACTAGGCCTTTGTATGCATCAACTCGACTACAACCAGGACATGTCTTTGGAAGTGGACAATCATAGGATAGGGACATGTAGTTCTTTGCGACGAGGTCGGATTCAGTGACATGTATACGCGGTCCAATCATCATGGTCCATCGTGTGATCGTGATATCTGGTGACCAACTAGAGTGCAGCCACTTTTATGTGCTTTCCGGCCACTGCGGCAAGATATCTCTCTTTTGTGTCAAGCATTCTTCGAATCCGTCCTGTCGTCATTCCCCTGCCGCTTCCAGCACTGCTTGAAGGCTTCCATCTAGAAGCGGAATTGTCAGGTCCTCATTGGCATCGTGGCTGACGAGACGAGGCTCGTTGAGCCGCGGGAGATTGAGCGTGCTTAACCGTACCTCGTCTTTGCAAGCTCGCCAGTCCTTCTTCTCACGGAAACAGTCGTTCAGTTTCGCATTCTCCTCTGTACTTCTCCTTCAGTCGTTGGCAATCAGCATGGGCGAGGTGGAGATGATCCTACCGGAGCAGCCTGTGCTGAAGATTCTCTTGTCCCTGTTCCGGTGAGCTTCACTCTCAACATCGCAAGGTTCTCAAAGGTTCATACCACTCATCTGGTGCGTCATCATCGTCGTCTTCCGCACGCTCGGCCTCACGATTGATCTCGTCTTCGTTTGGCATCTTCGAGTCCGATTGGCGATTTCCTGAGGTGGCGAAAGAGAGGAAGCAAGAAATTCAAAGACCAAGAAAGGCCGTCGAACCTCGCACTCCCACGTGACCGCAATGCGTATTTCGCCACTTGACATGGCTTCCAGACGCATGAACGTCCTGATCTATGCCGACAGCGGTGCAACCGTTAACTCCGTCCGCCACGCGACCTACACCTTGCGCCGCCTGCTTGGATCCAACTATGCTGTCCTCACCGTCACCGCCGATCAGATTCTTAAGGAGCCGTGGACGGCTAGCTGCGCACTTCTGGTAATGCCCGGAGGCGCAGACATGGCATACTGTCGTGCACTTAACGGCGAGGGCAATCGACGCATCAGGCAGTTTGTGCAAATGGGTGGCGCCTATCTCGGACTGTGCGCGGGCGGATACTACGGCAGCTCGCGCTGCGAGTTTGAAGTGGGCAAGAAGGGCATGGAGGTTGTTGGAGACCGCGAACTCGCCTTCTTCCCAGGCATCTGTCGAGGCCTGGCATTCCCCGGGTTTGTGTATGCCAGTGAGGCGGGTGCACGAGCTGTCACCCTGCTGCCAGACCGGGGCGCGCTCGGGATGGAGCCATGCAGCACGTTTCGAAGCTACTACAATGGCGGAGGAGTATTTGTGGATGCTTCCACGTTCAAAGACCGAGGCATCGAAGTCCTCGCAACGTACGCAGACGAGTTGGCCGTCGACTCTGGGGAGGGTGGAGCGGCTGTCGTGTCGTGTCAAGTTGGCGAGGGCATGGCTATCTTGACCAGTCCGCACCCTGAGTATGTTACCTTGTGCGATTCACGACGACAACTTTACACTGACAATCGCTCAAGATTTGCACCTGCCAACTTGAATCGAGATCAGCCGGATCAACCGAAGTATGGCGAACTGGTCGATGCTCTCATGGACGATGAAGAGCCGCGCACCGCATTCATGAAAGCGTGTCTCACCAAATTGAGCCTGGAAGTGACACAGGAAGCAAAACCGGTACCTTCGCTCTCTCGTTTGCACTTGTCTTCTTGCCATCCTTCAGCCATCACTCATCTCCTGCAATCATGGCGCGAGAATGGGGTGATCACCAAAGGTACGGAAGACGGTGGCGAGTGCATCAAAGGCGAGAACGATGTCTTTCGCCTCGAGCAGGTCGGGCGGTGGAACATGTCTGCACTCGTAAGATCAGTGGCAGATGTCGTGCCGCAACCCGTGAAAGATGCCTTGCCCTCGATCGTCTCTTCCTCTACATCGAGCGTGACTGCAGACAATCCAAATCCACAGGCTGATACGGCGTCGGACAGGATCCTCGACTATAACGCCATGATGAAGCAGCTCGTGCCACACGAATCAGGACTGCCCGAGGGAAAAGAAACACCATACTTTCATCACGGAGCGTTCTTCGCAAATTTAGAGGACTTCCGTACAAAGCACCAGAAAGAATCGAATGGTACATGGGGCGATGTGCTGCTGTACGGCGAAGTGGTCACCAGCACAAACACCATTCTTGACAAGAACCCAAGCCTCTCCTCTCATCTGCCCACAGGCTTCACCGCAACCGCAACCACCCAAGTGGCCGGCAGAGGGCGCGGCAGCAATGTCTGGGTCTCGCCACACGGATGCCTCATGTTCAGCACCGTCATGCGCCACAGTCTGACCCTCTCAAACACCGCTCCGGTCGTATTCATCCAATACCTCGCCGCTCTTGCCATCGTCGCCGGCATCAAAGGGTATGATCGAGGCTACGACAAGTTGCCCGTGAAGCTGAAATGGCCCAATGACATCTATGCGCGGGATCCAGCGCAGAGCGCAGAGGCCTACTCCAAAATCGGCGGCATTCTCGTCAATTCCTCCTACTCCGGCGGCGACTACACCATGGTTGTCGGCATCGGCTTGAATGTCAACAATCCTCGACCCTCGCTCTCCCTCACCCAGCTCGCGCAGGCCAGCAAGCTCCCTGCATTGAGTCTGGAGAAACTACTGGCATCCATTCTAGTACATTTTGAGGAGCTCTACACCCGATTCTGCCGGAGGGGCTTTGACAGCCAGCTCGAGCAGACATACTACAACAGCTGGCTGCACTCGGGACAAATTGTGACGTTAGAGACGGAGAACGGGGCGAGGGCTAGAATCAAGGGCATCACTCGCGACTGGGGTTTACTGGTGGCGGAGGAGCTGGGCTGGGAAGACCGGCCAACGGGAAGGAAGTGGGAGCTCCAAAGTGACAGCAACAGTTTTGATTTCTTGAAGGGCTTGTTGAGGAGGAAGACGTGATCAGTCGCGTGCACAAACGGATGTCTACGTCGGACCGATGCTTTCATTTGAGCGCCATATTGTTCAGAAACTAGAAAAATGGCATAGTGTACCTCTTCTCCATACATGCCATGCCTGCACTGCGTCGTAGAGATCCGGTCGTATACATCGTGTCATCAGCTCAATTGCTCCACCATGTCTTCGTTGAGAGTGCGATCCCAATCGAACTGCCTCACACGTTCGAGAGGCGTAGCAACGTCGTCTTCATCGGCGCTTCCTCTACTCCGTGCGCTGAGCGTGCTCCGCCCGGAAGCCGCATCCGACCGATCTGCTCGGACATCTGCACTCGGGGCGGACTTTGTCGGTCGATGACGTGCATTGGGCGCATTCCGGGTCGGTGTGGTCGCGCCGGACGCGGTAACGCTGCCCGGGTTTCTGTTGAACCAACCAGGCTTCTTCTTCGACAGCGCTGATGTGTCTTGGGTGATTGTTGCTTCTGCAGGCTCGCTCGCAGAGTAGTTCACTTCCGTCCCATCTGGGTTGACTTCTACCAGTTCGGCATCGCGGAGCCACTTTCGCCGCCGTGTATACCTCGACCATCCATCTTCCCTCCTCCCGTCCTCCCACTTGTTATCGTAGTAGACCCATCCACTATCGTCGCCCCCACCACCGCCGCCCACGCGTTTGGCCGACTTCTCATCGTCGACGCTCGCACCTTCGACATGCCACTCGCCCCCAAGAACCCATCGCCACTTGGTGGTCTCATTTTCCGTGTCGGGCAGCTGGTAGTGATCCGGGTCGGGGACGGTGTTGAGGTGCTCGTCAGTCCATGCCTGTCGTTCGTAGGCAAAGAGCGATGTGGTCCAGCCCAGCCCTATCCAGCGACGTTGATTTTCGTAGACGGTAAATGTGAAGCGAATCGGGTCGGTAGAGTGCTTCCCTTTTGGCCTGGTCTTGGCGACTTTGGCAGCTGCGTCGTGAGCGCGGATGGAGAAGGGCGGCGGAGCGACTGTCAAGGGTGCGGTGGAAAATTGAAGTCCGGTCAGAAGGGATGTTGCTTTGCGGACCGTCTTGCTTCGCCAGAGAATAGTACGAGAGACGCGTGCGGGTTGGCTGTGCCAGCTCATGACAACGGTGCCCATTGCAAGAACAATTCGTTTGGTGGTGATGAGGCGAAGTGGGGGTAGAGTAAGCGCAATCCAGAAAGGGGTGAAGGCGAGGATGCGAATGAAGAGAGTCGTCAACGCCGGACGGGTGGTGGCGGAGGTGGCGCTGGACTGGGTGCTGAGGTATTCGGTCAAGCGCAAGAAGGGGTCGAGGAGGATGTCACAGCTCTCGGTGAAGTTGTAGAGGGTGTGCAGAATCTCATCGAGGGTTTTGCGGTGATCCGCTTCCGTTTTCGGGCGCCTCTTTTTGTCGTCGCTCCACACCGTGCTCGAAAGAGGGCTGTAACGTCGCGAGTACATTCCAAACACCAAAAGGGACACCAAGACGATCGGGCCCGCCCACCGCAACACCGCATCGCCATACAGCACCAGGAACCAGAAGATGCTCATAAAGAGGAAGCTCTCCCACGGGTCGTCGGTGCGCCATGCCAGTAGTCCGGCCAACTTGTTCAGGGGGAGGATGAAGGGATGGCTGTACGCCAGAGCTCGCGTGACTTGGGGCGGAGTGGAGACCAGTAAGGGGGACTTCTGGTGGATCAATATGCTCGTCTGGTCGCGAGAGCGGGAGGCGGTCTGTTGGTTGGGGGAGAAGGAAGCGACGGTGGGGGCGGCAGCGGTGGCCGCATCGCTGGAGAGGGAGGAGGTGGCATCTTTGCCGTTGACGGTGTCGCTCATCAGGAAGGTCCGATCTGAGCCGAACAGGTCTGTGGCAGTGCGACACCGCGCGGTCAGCTTCTTGACTTTGACGGTGATGCGACGCATGTTTGGTACGTAGGGGTACGCTTCGACATGCTGCTGCGGGAGTGGGAGAGTGGGATAGGGATTGTATTCCGACGTACCAAAAGCGGCCATCAACGGGTGGTGGAAGTGGCATCAGTCACGCCGGCATCGTGGCTGCAGTGGCTGCTTGCTGCCTGCCTGCCCGGCGTGCGTACCCGTGCGCAAGAGACAATGACTGGGGGAGGCACGGGGGCCGTGTGACACGCAGGCTGGAGATGAGTGTGTCAGACAGGTAGCGGGAAGAATGAGGCAGCGAGGGTGGATGCACGTCAGGCGGGGAGGCTGGCCGTGCGTGGCGTCACTTCCCGGAGCTTGCCTTGCATGTGATGATGTCTCCGTCTCGGGGCGCGGAAGAGCGCACAGGCCACCCATCTTTTTTGCCCCGACGAAAACGCAAGGCACTCCATCCATCCATCCAGCTGTTGCACCATTCCTTCTCGCCACAGGCAGACTTGCCTTTGCGCATTCATACCCCCTTTTCCCTACGAGCGCAAATGGTATGTCGTCACACACACACGTCCGAGCCAGCGAGGCACATGCACCGACCACCCGGGCTGATCATGAGGAACAGGCGCATCGCATCATCTCCCAAATCGTCTTCACCGGCGCTCGGGTCTTTGGACGAGCATTTGCGGAAGCGTACAAGCAAGCATCCGCCTCTCAAGTACGTCGGTCGAGTATAATCTGTATGTCCCTGCATGCTCACGTGCGTTCCAGAAATATGCCTCACACCTCCAAAACAATCCCACCTCCGCCAACACTCTCTCCTCCTCCGGCCTCACCCTAGACGAAGCATGCCGCATCCTGAACGTCACCCCGCCCCGGCAAGGGCAAGCAGAAATGACCAAAGTGCATGAGCAGTTCAAGAGATTGTTCGACGTCAACGACCCCAAGACCGGCGGCAGTTTCTACCTACAGAGCAAGATCCTACGCGCGCGCGAACGAATAGAACTCGAGGTACGTGAGGCTGTGGCGCGAGCAGAGCGAGAGGAAGAGATCCGGCAAGGCTGGAAGCCGAAGTTGTACAAGAATCGATGACGCGGTCCGATGGCGCGTGTTGATTGTCACATTGATGATGGTATGTGAGCTGACGATGGCACCATCTTGTAGGCTCAACGGACCGCTAAGAAAGCTGCGCAGGCGGAGACGAGCACTGCCTCGTCACAATCGTCACCACCACCGCCGCCGCCTCCTCCGAGCTGACACCCACGGACGGTTGCGGCGGAGCTGCAGCGTTAAGCACTGGGCCTGTACATATCAACGGGGAATTTATGAAGCATAGCGAGGGCGTTCTAGCATCTGCATGGCATCTGGATAGGCATCCAGGCGGCGTCCTGGCTTGTCTTGCTCTCCGCTCTGTCTGCGCTGCATACAACAGTCAACATGCCCGCATCGAGTTGGAGATCGACTACTCGTGCCTTGCGCATGCGGACCAAACGCGCGCGGAGGAGGGACAAGACTTGTACGTTAGAAAGATCTGTATGAAAGTGTGTAGTCGATGGTACTGCCACTGCTTCGATTGATACCTCGGCATTCGCCTGTCAACAACTCCGTATCATTTAAGATCCGACGTAGCCTCCCCGTTGATGATTAAGACAAACACCAAGCAAACACCGCGCTAATCCCATCATAAAGACCAACTAATCCCGCGAGGTGTCCTCAGACGCAATCTCCCGCTCAAGTTGCTCCTGAAGCTGGGAATCCAGCTGCGGCGCTATCGGAATTTGCTGCGCGTGAGGATAAGGCGACTGCATCATGTGTGCCTGGGGGACGTGCATTTGCATTGTCGAAGGCGTGGGCGGCGCCATGGAGTAGTAGGTTTGAGACTGCAGCTCCACGTCTACATTGTCGTGTGCTTGCGGCATGGCGTCCGCATCGTGCAAGATCGGCAGATCGGGGTGCGTCTCGAGCAGAGAGGCGCGCGTGTCGTCGTCGAGTGGGCGGCCGGTCTCTTCATACTCAATGACGCGAAGCCATTTGCGCTTCATCTTGGACATGGTCGTGGTACTGCAGACGATGCCGAAGCGGTCGTGAATCAGCCAGACCAAGTCGTCTAGATAGCGTGTGCGGTTCTCGGGTTTGCGGAGCCAGTTGAGGACTTCCTGTGGGATGGGTTAGAGATGGGGATTACTCGTGGGGACAGGACGGCGCAATCAAACGTACCAGCTCCTGCTCCGCACTCAGCACCTTAGGCCGGCCATTCTTCTTGTTGAGCTCGGGCGGCATGTACGCGGTGCCATGTTGCTGCAGACATCGTTTCATGCGATAGATGCTGCTCCTCCCCACCTTGAGGCGACGGTGAATGGTGGTGGGATCGAAGCCGGCCTCCAGCAGGTCTTTGATCTGCTGCTGCACCGCCGCAGACTGCTTGCCAGCCCCGGGCATGGTGGACGTGGAGACGCGGACGGGAAAGTGATGGAGGTGATGGGGGTCCCAGGGGTTTGTTGGACGGCGGTGGTGATGGGGAAAAGGTGTGGCATTGACGGAAGAGAAGGTGAAGTTGCTCGTGGGACGGCGGGGCGAGGCGAGAAATAGTGGCGGGATTTCCCGGCCGTGCCAAAGGTTAGGGTTGCTGCCTGAGTGCACGTGCGGCTTGCGCTCTTCCCTTCACACCGTTGCAAGTAACAGAAGCACTCTCATTCGTATAGCCATCTCCGTATTGATTAAGTCCGGTAGACTGCTCGTCGATTTACTGTCATCCAAGTGGCGCAGGCTGACCCGACCTTGCCGCACCAGCCGGTGAGGCCTGGCCGTACAGTTATACTCTGTGGGGACCTCTCGCGGGGCTTCGGTACATCGTTGGACATCAATTGCCATCTAACACTCTCTCATTCTTTTAACAACCAATCCAACTTACACCTCTCCATCCTTTGCTTCACATTTCTTGTATCTGCCGTCTTTGCACACTGATCGCCATGGGTTCCCCCGAAGAAGACACTCCGCGACTCAAGGATCTGACCATCGACAACATCACCGACAATGTCAAGGCGATCAACGACCAGGGCTCGGACCCGAGACTGAAATACATTCTCGAGCGAGCGGTGCAGCACATCCACGACTTTGCGCGAGAGACGAGGCTAAGCCATCAAGAATGGATGACGGGCATCCAATTCCTCACGGCCGTGGGACAGAAGTGCACCGATGTCCGACAGGAGTTCATCCTCTTGTCCGACATCCTCGGACTATCCCTCCTTGTCGAGAGTATAGACCATCCCAAGCCAGCCGCCAGCACCGAAGGAACCGTGCTGGGCCCCTTCCATTCCCATGACGTCCACGACGAGCCCAACGGCGCCGTCATCTCCCACGACCCCGACGGCGAGCCCTGCCTCGTCGTCTGCAGCATCAAAGACACCGACGGCAAGCCCGTCGACGACGTCAAAATCGACATCTGGGAAGCGGACAGCCACGGCTTCTACGATGTCCAGTACGCCGGGCGCGACGGCCCGGATCAGCGCGCAGTCATGCGCAGCGGCAAGGACGGCGTCTTCTGGTTCAAAGCCATCGTCCCCGTCCCTTATCCCGTTCCTGCAGATGGGCCGGTCGGCAAGCTGTTGGGCCTGCTGGGCAGACATGCTTACCGTCCAAGCCACATGCACTTCATGTTCGAGAAGCCGGGCTACGACCATCTCATCACCGCACTGTATCTTCGCGGCAGCAAGTACGAGCACACGGACGCCGTCTTTGGCGTGAAGGAGTCGTTGCTCATCGATCTCAAGCCCGTTGATGCCGAGATGGCGAAGAAGTATGATGTCAAGGAGGGTACCAAGCTGATTTCCTATGATTTCGTTCTCGTAAGCGAAGAGGACTCGCGGAAATTGAGGGAGAAGAATGCGATGGCTGCGATGGAGAAGCTGGGCCGCCGCATGAAGCTGTACAAAGGCTTGCCCGTCCCGGATGTCGATTAATTGTTTATAGCTATAAAGTCTCTACGAATGTAGTATTCCACTCCGCGCGAATTTGAGCAGACTATTCGGTGGTATCTCCTATGGCGACCGATTTCTACAATTCACGCCCGGTGTGACCTTCATCACCAAGTCTCATCTTGCATTGCATTCGTGGCATCATGGCTCGCGGCTCTTTCGTCGACTCTTAGTCGGAGATGTCTGATCTTCGACCTTCCTTCCTAGCCCGACGTCTGCAGTGCTTCCCCGCGCTTCGGGGACCCCCCTGGTCCCACTCGCAACACGTTCCACGTCCGCGCTGTTGAAGGTCGGCTTCACAGCCTCAGCCCCCGATCTCGGGCTCCGTAATGTCGTGGGGGAAAGACCGCGATGGCCATCAGTGTACGGTTGGCTCGGCGTGCTTGGCGGTTCATCGTTCGCCTTCCTCTGTTTGGCAGGCTGAGGTGATGGTTGTTGCTTCTTGACCGCCATTGGGTTGATGAGGCGTTGCACCAGATTGCGTTCGTCCACGTCACTATCGTCGTCGTCATCGCCTTCCAACCACTCGTCATCCCATGTGCCGGTGCTGGATCGTGAATGCACGGAAGATGGCTTCAAAGTGTAGCTGCTTGTGGCACCCTCCCTAGGGGTCTCCAAATCTGCGAGCTCATCCCGCGCTTCTCTGACCTCACTCGCTGTGCGTTCCGGGACCTGTCGTGCGGTCTGCTCCGCAACTTCTTCACCGGTTTCTGGGATCGGCTTGTTCATGTCCACTGCCCGTTCGCGAGCCGGCTCATTCTCATCCCTCGTATTCGCCGCATACGTGTCTGCAAAGTGTGTGTCGCACAGGTGCTTGACGACCGGCCAGCCATATGCATTTGCGAACATCCGTCGCACAATCATGTTGTTGTGCGCGTCGGGCTCGAGCCGCACGAGCACCTTTCGCCAGCTCAGATCGCGGTGATATGCCCGGGCAATCTTCTCTTCCACCTTCATGCCTCCGGTACCTGCAGAATCGTGGCTTTCCAATGATTGAGAGGACTTACTTCCTCTAAGGCTCAGCTCCGATTTCAGAGATCGTGTAAAGCGCGAGCCTGGTCGTGAAGGCGGCGGCGCGGGAATGTCCTCAGGGTGGTAGACCCGGTCGTGGAAAATGGTGCGCGTTCGGCTACTGGGGTCGATCAACCACGCTCTACTCGGCAGTGGAGGGTGCAGAATGTCGCCCGCGGATTCGAAGATGGAGGTCCTGGGCGGCGCTTGAAGCTCGCCCGTCTCGCCCGTGAGACTATCACCGCGACTTGCCAATGGTCGTTCCTCTGGTTGAACCTGCCCAGTGTGTGCATGTGTCAGATGGGGACGCATGGTTGGATTGCTGGTGGTTCTCTCCTCTTCTTCCGTTTGCTGCACAACCTGCCCTCGTCTGAGTGCCTTTGTGGTCTTCTTTGAAGGGTGATGGGCAGACTTTTGATCCCCGCCAGACCGAAAGAAATTGAAGAAGCTATCCAGCACGCCTTGATGCTGCTGCTCGGACTGCTGCTGATCCTGAGGAACCGTTGCAGCCGTGTTGGGGCCATCTGACGAACCATTGCGGCCGGTGGAGGACGACCCGTTGCGGCCGGTGGATTCATCGTAACTGTCGCGTGTGGTTACACGTCTTGCATCCATACTCACTTCGTCCTCATCTGGCTGTGGCACAGCCTCCCCTTCGCCCCGGCGAACGTATTCGTTATCATCATCGTCATCATCATCAACGCCGCCGCCACTCCCGGGTGACCCTGCAGCAATTCTCGCAGCCAAAGCATTGGAATTCTGACCTGTCAGTTCTGCCCAGCCCCACTCGGCCACGGTTCCGATCAAGCCGTTCTCACGCCGGGCTTTGTCGACCTTGCCCAGGCCCCTCCAGTCCAGAAATAGGAGGCAACTTGTCCGTAGCGGGACGATACCATCATTGACAACGTTCGAGTACACCGTGCGATTTCGGAACATTCTCAGGACTTGATGCGCCGGGCCGGTGGGTAGTATTCGGAGTAATGGTTTAGCACTGGGGTCTTCGGCCTTCTGATCTTTGTTACCCGCTCCGAGACCGCCGATAACAGCATTCCAGCCGCCTCGCGCGATCGTGGGTGGTCTCCAAGTCAGGCCCAAGTCTTGGCCTGTCCGCCCGACGAGGCCAAAGTCGAGCGCAAACTTGACGTACATGGGGTTTTCATTGCTCAAGCCGAGCATAGGCGAAGCCATACAGATGAAGTTGACGGGCTTGATCTGCGTGAAAAACGTGGGATTGTGTTTGTGGATGTAAGCGATGGCGTAAGTCTGGATCAAGCCTCCTAGGCTGTGCCCGACAAAGGAGATTTTGGTGAAGGTGTATGGAAGGCCATCCTGTTCCTGACTAGAACCTGGCTCATGGATGCTACTGCCGGAGTGCACGGGGATGCCGTCCCGTTTGGCCTTGGAGTCCTCGCTTCGGAACGTGTCGCTGAGAGCGGTGGTCAGGCTTTTCTTGACGGGCAGGTACAGCTGATCTGGATAGGTGAAGCGAAGGATATACTTGGCCAGGCGCTTGCCAAGGTATTGTATTCCGTTCTCAGTGCGAACGGCGTTGCCAGTAAAGCCGCGCACGATGGTCTCTTCCTCCTCGTCGGAGTCATAGGAAGCTTCGTTAAGGTCCTCCTGACCTCCGGAGAGCGGAGCAGTCGCTGTCCCTTCGCCAGCCGCAGTGTGGTCGACTTCTTTGTTGTTATCGGCGTCTTCGGACTTGGAGACCTCCTCGGTGCGTTGGCGCTTGGACGAATAGCTCTCTCTCCGCCTCTTAGCGTCCATCCTCGCTTGCCTCACTGTAGCATCGATGGACTCCTTCAAAAAGAGCAGGTCTGCACCAGTGTTGCTGTGCAGACCGTGAGTCAGGACAACGAGGTGAATTTTCTTCTTCTTCTGCTTCTTTTCGTCCTTCGACGTCGATCTTCCCGTCCGCTCGCTCTCCTCGTCTTCCTTCCATGTGTCTGTGGAACGCTTCTGTCTTTCGTCGTAGCCGTCGGCCGTCGGCAGGGGCGGCTTGTCCCACAATATCTCCGTGTCTTCCACAACCAACCGAACAGCCTTGGTGTACACGCCAGCGGTTTGGACGTGGCCCTTGTCTCGAGCTCGTTTCCTTTCCCTATCCGTGGTGAGTTGTTGGATCTGGCCCGGGCCGCCGTGGCCATGGCTAGCCACGGCTGCGAATCCAAGATCTAGACCGCGTTCGTCGCGACTAGCCAGGAATTCGAAATGTACAGACGCGGAGTTGGAAAAGAGAATCTGCGATGCGACTTCGATGATCCACGTGACGCTGGGCTGGCTTTCGTTTTCCGCCGGGCCCGTCTCTCGTGTGCTAGGCTTCCTCTTGCCCAGATGTGCGCCAGTCTCTCGGATGTTCTCAGGCACGAGCAGTTTCGCCTGCCAGCTGCCTCCGGCTTTGAGCATGGGTTCATACTGCGGCTCGCCCTCCTTGCTCGGATCTTCTGTTTTTTGGTGTGGGTTGAAGGTGCTCGGATAGGCGGAGACATGGATACAGTAGGGCCCATGTACCCAGGCGGCGCGCAAAGGAATGGCCGAGGTGTTCTTGACCTTGACGTGTAGATGCGAGGGAGTGGGGAGGATGCGGTCGTTGGCGGGGGTGTAGGTGAGGGTGTAGCGCACCACCTCTCCCACCTTCACGCTGCCTGCCTGGTGGAGGAGGAGCATGCTTGCGGCCTAGGCGTGGATCGGGATGCCCAAGGACACGACTTGGGCTGCGGTGTGGCTACAACATGCTGATCTAGGCAAAGCAGCAACCGGCAGCACGATAGACAGGTTTGAACAAACTCCGCGATCTCCGGCAAGGTCCAGGATTGTAATTCACGGCGAGATGACAGGTTTGATTGATGACGAGGGAAATGTTGTGCACGCGTTCCACGACACCGGAAGTCGGATGTTTCGGTGACGTGGGGACAGTCAGACGGAATCAGGCAGCAGGTCAGGCATCAACATGCACATGCAAGTCCGGAAGCGGATGTGGCTGAACGCACGGATGCAAATTGCAATGCCGTCGCAGATCTGCCTCCTTCGTTTGCATCCACGACGCGATCCTTTCACTTCTCACACCACCTTGCCCCTTCACCAACACTCACATCACTTGCATCATCGCCAGAGAAATATCTGGCGACCCGAGACAGCATTCACCACCACCACCGCCACCCACCGTCATCTATGGGTTTCTGCGACACTTCCGTATGCGGACTCTGCAGCGCGCATAGCCCTGTTTCTGCCTCCTCCTCCCGACGACATCTGCGCGTTCCACGAAGCACTCTAAGGGCGGAAAGCCCACCTTGACCGGGTGGGCGAAAAGTCTCGATACCGTGCGCGTTCTCGTGGAGGCATTGTCTCGGCGTCCAGCGCACGAAAAAGCATACAACATTCTGCCTGAATAGGGCGGAACTCTTACACATTCCCCGTGTTTGCACTCACCTCATCCTGCACCAAATTCAGGAGAAAGGGTATTGAATCAAAAATGCCGGCAATGGACATCGAAACCCAAACGACGACTTTGGACGTCTCCAGCCCGACTCCTCCAATTCAAATTGCGTCCCCTGCCCGCCTACCAGTGCGCGGCATATCCGACGATGATACCCTCGTCATCCCCAGGCTCGACCACCAGGCCATCCGCGAGTCGGCCAGAAGGCGCAGGAAGAACAAGAAAAAGACCATGCCTCCGGCAGCGCCTGCGGTGAATGTGATCAAAGGCTTTCAGACACCCATCGCTTCTGGCGGAGAGGAGTCGGACTACTCTTCCCCCGGCACCCCTCGCTTTCCGCCATCAAGAATGTCCAGCACCACAGATAGTCCCCGCCTTGCCCCTTCCTCTTCCTTCTCTGCGCTCAGTGCCCTCAAAACACGTCTGGATACGTTGAGCCTCGACAGCGATGAACGTCGACCAAGCCTGGCCCGTGTCATCTCGAACAACTCGATTGCCAGTGAGGCCACTCCTTCATCGCGCGGTAGCGATGGCGATAAGACGGAGCTGGAAACATATGACATTCAGCTTGATCAGGACTTTGTGAGCCCTGATGCCGGATCTCGTACCCCCATCTTCGCATCTAAGGCTATAGAAGGCGGTCTACGCGAGAATTCGGTCCACCGCAAAATGTGCGCCGCCGACTTCTCCACGCTCCGGTGTCTGGGCAAAGGGGCTTTCGGCACGGTGCATCTTGTCAAGCAATATGCTACGGGTCGTCTGTATGCGCAGAAACAATTCAAAAAGGCCAGTCTGACGGTCCACAAGAGGCTCGTGGAGCAGACGCGGACCGAGCGCGCCATTCTCGAATCGGTCAATCGACACGCCTTTGTCGTCAAGCTGTTCTACGCCTTTCAGGATCAGGAGAAGCTGTACCTCATCCTCGAATACGCGCAGGGCGGAGAGCTGTTTCATCACCTGGCCATGGAGCGCATGTTCTCCGAAGACACCTCCGCCTTCTACATGGCCGAGATGATCCTCGCACTCGAGCATCTGCACCACAACGTCCGCGTGATCTACCGCGACTTGAAGCCGGAGAACTGCCTCCTGGATTCCGAAGGCCATCTCCTCCTCACCGACTTCGGCCTCTCCAAAGTCGCCCTGGAATCCGAAGGCGAGCGCGCGAACAGCGTCCTCGGCACCATCGAGTACATGGCGCCGGAAGTGGTCCGTGGCGACGCCTACGACTTTGCAGTGGACTGGTGGAGCTTGGGAGCTATCGGCTTCGACATGCTGACCGGGAAACCACCGTTCGGAGGCGGCAACCACGCGAAGATCCAGCAGAACATTCTCAAGCAGAAGCTGGTGCTTCCCTACTTCCTCGGCCCCGACGCAAAGGACCTGCTCACACGCCTGTTGCGCAAGGACCCTAAGAAGCGCATCGGGGGTGCGAACCCAAAAGATCTCAAGACGCTGAAGGCGCATCGCTTCTTCCGCAAGATCGACTGGAAGAAGCTGGAAAAGAGGGAAGTGGAGCCACCGATCCGGCCCCTTATCACGGATCCCGAGCTGGCGGAGAACTTCGATGCGGAGTTTACAGATTTGCCCCTGAGCCCTGTCCTGGCGCGGAGCAGCAAGGGCTGGGATGATATGGAGATGCGGGACTCGCGGCAGAGTTTCAGTGTGGAAAACAATCCATTCGGCGGCTTCAGCTTTGTGGCGAGTCAGAGTTTGTTGGATAGCGATGAATGGATGCTGGGGGCTTGACTAGATGTCACAGTTCATTAGGACCAGCCAGGCTAAATCAGTCCGATTGATTGAGGGTGACTAGAGTATGCAGGACCCTGAATTCATCACTAATGTTACTCCCAATTCTCCTGCCACGTGGGCATTCTTCGCTGTGGCCATGAAGAAACGCATCCTGGCGGTCTAGTCTGCTGCAAGAGTTGCTGTTTCAGTGCGGCAAGTTAGTAGGATTGTGTGTTCACTATTCAGTCAAAACTCAGGTGAAGAGACATCCGTTTCTGACTAGAGATTGCTCTAGATGGGCTCAGGGGACACTAAGTCCAAGAGACGGTGATTAGAGAGTTGGTTCCACGGGACTGGGACATCTGCCGTCAACGCACGACGGCGATGACTTGGCGATGAGAGAACCGGACGGCGATGCGCGCGACTCCACCCACCAGGCTGGCGGAAACGGTGGCCGGGACGAAACAATGGTCTGGACCACGACCTTGGCAATGGCCTCGCGCTGCTCTGCTCATCAAAGGGAACGAAATGGACCAACCTAACCCTGCGATCTTGGCCGCCAATGCCGCATCTCCGCTCGCTGCACCTGCCTCAACCACCCTGTTCTACCGCCTGAATTCCCGGGGCCATCTACGCTCGAGAAGAGTGACGGCAGAATATGCCCGCCCCGAGTCTCGTTATTTCCGCGGCTGTAAGGTAGTACTAGGCTACATACACAGTAGAGCGAATCGGGTGGTCCTCCCCCCCGAATGCGGATGGCATGGCCTTGACAAATCACAAGGCCGCAAGACTCCGCATCGCCCCTGCAGAGCCCCGCGCCCCGCCCCAAGCTCCAACCCCGCGTAGGCCTCGCTCCACCCACACCCCGAGCCGTCTCGAGCTACCGCGTTCTCGCCTCCCTCCCCCAAGCAACGGACGGATGAATGGAGGCCTGCGCCGCAGCGATCTGTCGTTGACGCGCCGAGTTGAGTGGACCGCGCTCTGGAGTATAACCGGACCGCGCGAGTCCATAAAACCCATCTCGCCACCCTGTCCCCTCGCTCCCAAATGTAAGGTTTCCCTCCCACCTATTCTTTACTCCTCACCCGCTCAATCCCCCACTCCCCATTCGCTGCACCATCCATCACAATGGCCGACGTCAAGCCTGGCGATAAAGACGCTACCGCCGAGCGCGTGCTCAAGACCGATCTCTGGCAGTATGGCCGCAGGACACGCACCGACGGGCCCTACGCCGACAACTTGGACGTTGATGCCATCATTGTCGGCGGTGGCTTCGGCGGGATCATGTGTTTGTATGAGTTGAGGAAGAAGGGCTTGAACGTCGTCTTGTTCGAGGCTGGCACTGGCTACGGAGGTACTTGGCGCTGGGTAAGTCCGCCAAAGATGTCGGTCCAGGCGAGTTGCTAACGGCGCGAGGTAGAACGTGTACCCCGGTGCTAGGGTGGATTCCCCCGTGCCTATCTATGAGCTTGCCATTCCGGAGGTCTACAAGGTATGATGAGTGGCGTGTCAATGCGGAGCTAGGCAGATCAAAGACAGTCCTCTAACGTGGAGAACATAGGACTGGACCTGGACCACCAACTACCCCGACTGGACCGAGCTGCAAGCCTACTTCGACCACTGCGACAAGGTGCTGGACTTGCAAAAGGACACTGCCTTCGAAAGCGTCGTCACTGGAGCGGAATTCGACACCAAAGAGGGCAAATGGAACATCAAGACTGCGGACGGGCGCAATGCCAAGTGCAAGTACTTTGTCGTGGCAGCCGGCTTTGCCGCGAAGCGATGTACGTTGCCTTCGATGTGGAAGTACCGACGAAAGACTCAACTGACTTGTTCGTCACAGATATCCCGGATGTCCCCGGCCTCGACTCGTTCAAGGGTATCATCCACCACTCTTCCTTCTGGCCGGCCGAGGGCGTGAACTTCAAGGGCAAGAAGACTGCAGTCATCGGCACCGGCGCGTCGGGAGTCCAGATCATCCAAGAAATGGGAGACCAGGCAGAAAACTTGACCGTCTACCAGCGCACGCCCAATCTCGCCCTTCCCATGGGCCGCCGCGACATCACCGCCGAGGAGCAGAACAAGCTCAAGCCCTTCTACCCGGAGATCCACGAGATGCGCGAGAGGTGTTTCGCCGGCTTCCACTACGATTTGTGCGAGCGCAACACGTGGGATGACACTCCGGAGGAGCGACACGCGTTCCACGAGGCGCTCTGGAACCAGAAGGGCTTTGCCTTGTGGCTGGGCGGATATAAAGACTACCTCTTTGACTACAAGTCCAACATGGAGGCATACAACCTGTGGCGGAGGAAGCAGTCTCCGCGTGTCAAGGACCCGAAGAAGAAGGAGATTCTGTTCCCCGAGCAGGCACCGCATCCGTTCGGTGTGAAGCGGCCTTGCTTGGAGCAAAACTACTACGAGATCCTGGACAAGGACACCGTCGAGGTTGTCAACATCAACTCTAAGAACGGTACTCCGATTGAACGATTCACCGAGAAGGGCATTGTCGTTGATGGCAAGGAGAGAGAGCATGATATTATCGTGCTAGCCACGGGCTTCGATGTCGTAAGTGCTGCGCGAGATGCGCCTTGGTCAAAGACTACCCGTATGCTAACGCTGTGCTAGGTCACTGGTGGCATGACCAACATGGGCCTCAAGAGCATCCACGGCACCTACCTCCAAGACGAGTGGAAGGCCGCCGCAAACACCTACCTGGGCACCACCATCTCCGGCTACCCCAACATGTTCCACTTGTACGGCCCGCACGGCCCAACGCTGCTGTCCAACGGGCCCAGCAGTGTCGAGATCCAGGCCAGATGGATCAAGGACGCCATCACCAAGATCCACCGCGGCGGCATCAAGTACGTCAACCCGACAAAGGAGGCCAGTGATGCGTGGAAGCAGAGGATCAACGACTTGGCCGCGCCAACTCTATTCCCTACGACCGTGAGCACCTACATGGGCAGTGTAAGTTCCAGGCAGTTCAGCCCCAGATCGCATGATAGTACGAAGCTGACTCGTTCATCACAGGGTCTGCCGGGCAAGGCTTTCGAGATGACTTGCTACGCAGGAGGCGTGAATGCGTATGGCCCTGAGATTAGGAAGGCTTTGGATGGATGGACTGGATTCGAGGTGGTCAAGGCTTGAAGTGTCATTTCGCAGTAGCATCGGTGAACCGGATAGGCAGATTGTATAGGCGCAGAACACTCGGCTCTTGTGAATCGCACGCCGGGAGCCTTGCATCACTGGCCCTTTCCTACGGTCCAACCCGGATGGTAGGTGGAAGTGGTGTGCCTGGCCCTTTCCTACGGCCCAACCCGGATGGTAGGTGGAAGTTTTGCACACCACTGTCTCTTCCTCGACTCGCAGCACTTCATTCAACACGTGCTCCCAATATGCCACGCCCGTAGCTAAACTCGACGCCGTAACACCGTCGCTGATGTAGAAGATCCATGCTCAGTACAATAACCCCTCTTCATCGATTCAGAGTGATGTTTCGCTCGGCCGGATTGTATCTGTATGCCACAATCAGCCATATCCAACACGGTCTTACTTCTGGGCCCACGTACCGCAAGAGTTTCTCAATAAGGTCGACGTGCGTGAGCATCATGCGCCTGCAGCAGTACCTGTTGAGGCCGAGTTCATCCATGGCTTGCCTGCGTTGTACATCGCATCAGTGTCCCGTCACCGCGTTTCACGCCTGTCGCCGGACGGCGCCACGGAATACTGGGGAGGCTCACCCGTCGGATTTTGTGTTGCCCTCGTCGTCAATCACCTCTCCGATAAGTTCGATGTACTTTTCGTAGAGGTCGGCGATTACCTGCATCCAAGGGTTGGTTAGTCCTGAGGACGCGGGGCGCGGGCGTGAGATGTCAACTGACCTTGCCGCAAGAGAAGCAGCGGATGGGGATGATCATTTTGGCGGTGCCTTGGGCCAGAGAACGGTCGATGGAGGGGGAGTGCGAGGTGGAAGGACGAAAGAATTGTATTCAGGCGGGAGGGCCAAGGCGGTGAGAAGAACTTGCGGGGCAGAATTAGAGTTCGGAGGTGCCTTGCTTGCGTGGGAAAATTGCCGGGCATGGAATTTCCAACTCCATTCAATTCTCATGCTTCGAAGCCTTGAAAATTTCCCAGCCGCGGTATTCACTCACAGCGAGCCGACGACATGTCAGTCAAGACCCCCGACACTGGCAACTCGGCGCGTGCAACGAGGAGGAAACGCAAAGCAGAAAGAGAAGAGGAGGAGGGCTCATCCCCAGCCAAAAAGGCCAAAGCATCCCGGATATCACAGACTAGCAATGTCGATGCCACGCTAGGCTTTGTCAAAGATGGTAACGTGATCCACGGGGCACGGAGAAAGCGCAAACGACGGAGCCGTGGAGCAAAAGCTGTTGTGGAGGTCGAGGGAAATAGCAACGACACAAATGTCAAGGACGAGAAAGCGGTTGATGACAATGGGGTCATTGATGGAGATGATGAGGCTGTCGACGAGGAGGACGTCGACGCTGTGGAGAGTGCTGACCACGACGAGACAACGGTCGCACTCAACAGTTCAACCATAAAACAAGCAAAAAAGACAAGAAATCGGGCGAGACGAGAATCAAAGACCGGTGCTTCTTCGCTCAAGCCGACTCTGGAGGCCAGCGAGAGGGGCACATCTGGGCAACACAAGACCTGGACAGCCTCGGCCGCCTCTGCTGGGCGGTTTCTGCAGCACGACCCTGCGTTCGTACAAAATGGCAAAGACGCAGGCTTCCTCATCAGCGCGAACGCACGAGAAGTACAGCTGCTCTCGCTGGAGACCTCCCTCGTTGTGCGATCGCACTCCTCGCCATCTGATAAAACTGTTGCGCATTTCGCCGTGGACGCAATCGACAACACCCTCGTTCACATTGCATATGACGATGGCGCCATCAACACATGGGACTGGGATAACGATACCGCGACAACACCGGTCTCTCATGCGAAGTTGGAAGTCGTTGCAATGGCCTCTGGTAGGCCCTTCAATGGCACGAAGTCATCGCTATTCTACATCGCTGCATTGAAGAGACGTCATGCTGTATTCCTCGGCAATGAGAAGCTCTTCGAAACCAAGGCAGCCCTTACGTCTATTTTAGTGGTCGGGAATAGCGACTACCTTGTCTGCTCTGGTCCGTCCGTACTGATCATTGGTTCGAGACTTGGCAGAGCAGCAGGTGAGATTACTTGGATCGAGATGCCGCTGAGCTTCACTTGCACATGCCTGGACGCCCGGCTCTCCACGCTACCAAATGCAACTACCAAATCAAGCGGCAACATCCCGGTTCTGAGTCTGGCTATGGGACTGGAGGACGGGCAGATCATGGTCTACTCAGATGTTACATCCCTTTTCAAGTCGCAAGCCCTCCCAACGCCCCGCATCCTTCACTGGCATCGTCGTGCGGTGTCAGCCATAAGGTATTCACGAGACGGCAACTACATCATATCTGGCGGCAAGGAAACCGTGCTGGTGATATGGCAGCTGGAGACTGGCAAGAAACAGTACCTCCCACATCTCACGTCAGAGATCAACGGTATCGTCGTCAGCCCAGAGGGCTCACGATATGCGCTCCGAATGGGAGATAATAGCATCGTGGTTCTCAGTACCAGTGAACTTAAGCCGCTGGCTCATTTTGCTGGTCTACAAGTCACTGGCCGCATTGCAACGCATCTGTACCCTTCTCAACAATCGACAATCGCAGCCGTGTTACACCCTACGAAGCCGCACACCCTCCTGGCCGCCGTCCCACCATCGATTCCCAGATCGGAGAACGATGTTACCGGTCGGCCATTCCTCCAAACCTTTGACACACGCAACTCGCGGCACATCAGTCGACAGGCGCTCACAAGGAACAACGTCACCGATTTCACTCTTGGCCCCGATCGAACTCCCATTGTGACACCGGATGTGATTCATCTGGCAATCAGCCACGACGGCCAATTGCTTGCCACGGTAGACGAATGGATGCCGCCCCTTTCCGATCTAGGATATTTGGCGTCAGACGAGCTGGATCTAGACGGAGAGCGACAGAAGCGACGAGAGGTCTTTTTGAAAATCTGGAACTGGAATGAAGACGAAGGATTGTGGACGCTCAGTACGCGCGTGGATGCTCCCCACGGGCGTGCTAACGGAATTGGCTTTGGTGCAGGCCGGGTCCTCGCTTTAGCATCTGCTCCTTCATCAGACACCTTTGCCACTGTAGGCGAAGACGAGTGCGTCCGAGTCTGGAGCCCCAAAGGCCGCACACGTCGCTCTGCGATCAAGACAGAGCCGGTCAGCTGGGTATGCAAAAGCTCCACGCAGCTGCCCCGTGCCGAGTCCGCCGAAGAGACAGAGCCAACGGGCTTGTTCGGCGCCAGTCTCACATATTCCAATGACGGCTCCCTCCTGGCGGTGGCCCCGTCGGACCATGACGCTGCAACAGAGAAAGCTCCAATCACGCACTTTCTCGATGCATCCACTGGCGCCGTTGCGGCCTCGAAGGCGGGCTTGGCGCGTGCTGAATTGAAGGACATTGCATTTCTCGGACGTTACTTTGTCGCCGTATCCACGCCGGCAGCGCACGTGTGGGACTTGGTGGATGACGTTCTCATGTACAAGATCGACTTCCCAGGCCCTGCCGGCGCATGGGGTGCTGGTCATGCCAAACTGGCTGTCAGCCAAGACGAAGGCAGCTTCGCCGTTGTGGTTGGGGACAATGTCGTGGAAGTCTACGCTCCTCAAAGCACCACGGTGTTATATCGACACGAATTCGATGCCAGCATTGAAGGATTGCTCGCTAGCAAAGGCACGAAAGGGTATACCTTGATATTCTCGGACGCTACGATTCGCACGGTGTCACCGGCCGGAGCAGAGAAGGTCCAGCCCAGGCTGAAGACGACCTTTTCTCTGGCTGCGTCGAAATTCAGCTCTGCCGGTGCCGAAGAGATTGGCCAGGCGGGAGTTGCTGCGGACGCTCAGGCTCCCGTGCTTGGGACTGTAGCGCGGGTACAAGATGTCGAAGAGGACGATAGGCTCGTCGTCAGACCCGAGCAATTGGCGCGGGTCTTCGATTTCGGACAGACATCCGCAATGCCGCCAGTGAGAGATATGTTCCAGGCCGTTGTTGGTCTTTTTGCCCGGAAGCCAGCGATGAGGCCGCAAGCGGTGAGGGCCAGCTGAAGTAGTCATTGTATCCATCTGGTGTAGATAGTCGATCATCATTTGCTCTCCTGTTTCACCGGTTGCGTCGGCCCACGACCTTTGTGAAACCGTCGTCATCTACCTCGGGTTGTGGTTTCTCTTTCTTGGGTTGTGACGCAAGATTCGGTACAGCATCCTGCATGTCGACATCTTCATCCTCGAACCCGTTCCACTCGTCCTCGTCGCCCTCGATTTCCCTATCTTCCACCTGCACGTCCGTCTTCATCTGTCCTCTGTTCTTCCACCTCTGCTCAAGCTCCCGAAGAGCCGACACATCGCCATCCTCGAACAACCGCTTCTTCAACACCAGGATACTGCGCGCCACCTCTTCCTCCGTATCGTCCTCGACATTCAGGTCAAACTCGTCCTGCACGACCTGCAAGAGGAAGACGACAAGATCTTCAAAGTCCGTCTCGGGGCGTTGCGCAAAGAGATCTGAGACGGCGCCGGCAAACCAGTCCTTCTTCTCGTTGGAGTCGGGCCCGCCCCAGCCGTTCTGGCAGGCGACATGCAAGGCCGGCCAGAGCGACAAGAGATACCATATGCCATGGTCGAAGGCGGTTTGCAATTGTTCGGCGGTGGGTGGCAGTTGGACTCCCCCGCCTGGAGCTGCTGGGGTAGGTCCAGACGACACTGCTTGCGAGGCCATCTCGTATTCTAACGAATGTGTTTTGACAACCCGAAAGGCTTGGTGAAAAGTGATAACGCTCCACCGAACTGCTCGGCCTTGGCGTTTCATGTGCTAAATGCATTAGGTAAGCAGCAAGTGACCGGCTGGACGTCGTGTTTCATCAGACAATTTCCGTCGTCAGCATCGGCAGATATTCTTCAATCGCCCGTTGTTGGATGTCTCAGCCTCCTTTGCAGCTTTCATCGCCCTTGGCCATCGCATCCCTTCGCTATACATCTCTGCCGACCGAGCCGTCGCTTTACCGCCGGCCTCCTTCCACACCAAACTTCCCCATCTTCCGCCGATGATGTAATTGGAGACTGCTATTGGGTTGACAAGATTGGAAGCCGTTTGAACATCATGACAAGCTGTGGGAAGAGTTGGAGGTAATATCGCAGCGACCCTTATCATCTCCGCCAGCCATGGTTTTCAACACCTTGACTGTCGCATCGGCAGTCACCCCGTCCGTCATCGAGACCTACTTCTCCCACTACCTCAAGCGCGGCCCCCTTCGGCACAAGCCAACTGCTCACATCTCATATCACGAAGGCCTGCGCCTGGTCCGAGAGTTTCTCGAGTACTCTTCCAAGCACACGGTTGAGGACATTCAGTCTTTCACCGGCCAATGGGTGCCTGCGCCGCACTGGGTACGCATCAACGATGCTGAAGTGGCGCCCCAATTTGTTGAGCGCGCCGCTCAGCTGCTTGCCGCCCAGTTGGGCGAAAGAGGCCTTGCAGCAGTAGGGGGGAAGACCTGGTGGCAATGGCGACGCCCAGAGACTCCGCTCCGAGCAGAGTGGATCGAGATGAAGAAGGACTATCACGAACGGCACCGCACAGGACGCAAATGCGAACGAGTCATCCTGTACATCCATGGCGGCGCCTACTATTTTGGCAGCGTGGACGAGCATCGTTACCAGATGCAACGCCATGCGCGTAAACTCCGCGCTCAGGTGCTGAGTCCGCGTTACCGTTTGGCACCCCAGTTCCCCTTTCCCTGCGGCCTGCTCGATTGCCTGGCCACGTACTTCTACTTGCTACAACATTTCCGCCCGAGTCAGATTCTGATTGCTGGCGACTCGGCCGGCGGCGGAATGGTCCTAAGTGTGCTGGTCGCCCTACGAGATCAAGGACAGCCCCTCCCGGCTGGCACCATCTTGCTTTCGCCCTGGGTAGATCTTACCCACTCGTTTCCCTCGGTGGATGGCGACGGCGATGGAGATTATATCCCGCCTTACGGCTTTCACCATCGGCCTTCTATGGCGTGGCCCCCGCCGCCAAGCGATGGAATGAATGCAATCGAATCTGGTCCCCCTGTTCCAGGAAATGTGGTTGAGCTTCCGGCCACGGCTGGTTTAGACATGAAACAAAGTCCCAGGCGCCGAAGTAGCGAGGATAATTCTTCAAGGAAGCCACAATCACAAAGAGTTGCGCCCCCGACACCAGATGCATCTGTGCCGGTATTTGGAGCGAGTCTGCGTATGGAGCTCGACGGCGAGAGCATCGAATTGAAAGAACAAATCCAACTCTACACTACCAATAACCTTCTGGCACATCCGTTGGTATCGCCGGTGATGCAGCCTTCTCTCGGTGGACTGCCGCCGATGTTGATTCAAACGGGTGGCGCGGAACTGTTAATGGACGAGCAGGTCTATCTTGCACACAAGGCCGCGCATCCGAGCGAATACCCGCCTAATGAGACGATCATGCGCGAATTTGATCCACAGCGCAAGGCCTTGGAGAAGTGGCCGCCCACGGATGTGCAGCTGCAAGTGTGGGAGGATCTGTGCCACGTACCACACACATTGTCTTTCACTAGACCTGCGAAATATATGTACCGATCAGTTGCGCAGTTCGGTGCTTGGGCGCTGGCACATGCCCAGCAGCAGGGCATCGACATTCAGAATGACGACACCATCTCCGTCATTAGCTCCGGCGGTGACGAGGACGAGGACGAGGACGATGATGACAGCACGTCTGGCGCAGGAAGCAAGCCTTCCAGGATGAGACAGTCATCCAAATCAACAGAGGCTGTCGGAAAGGCAGGAGATCCGCTCCCCGCCTTCAAGGATCACATGATTCGACAACGTGTCACGAGACACGGCATCATATACCCTCTCGCTCCAGTGTCGGAGATCTCTGCCCTGGCGCTCGATCCAGCATTGATCGGTGTGCCAAAGCCTGGTCCGGTGCGAAAATGGCTTGCCACACATCAATTGAGCGAGCAGAAATTCGCGAGTGAGAGAAAGAAGGTGGACAAAAAGCGCGCCGCGGAGCTAAATTCCGGCTACGATGTCATACCTGGGGAGAATCCGCCTCCAACGGCTCTGGTGAACCGGCGAAGAAAGGGAATCGCGCCGGAAGAGAAGAAGAGAGGAAGAAGCTGGGGCTTGATGATGTGGTCGGGATGGGGCAGCAAGCACGACGAAACGACGTTGGAAAAGGAGCAAAAGTCGGAAGAGGAGGCTGTGCGAAAAGCCAGCGCCGCGAGTGCTCTGGAACTGGGATATGGTAGCGGGAACCTGCCAGTCTCGAGCCCCCTGAGCCAGCGACGACGATCTAGTAGCGTAAATGCGATGCGCTCGACGTGGCAGTCTCGATGGGGATCTTCGCGGGAGCGCGAAAGAGCGAAGACGCCAGACACAGCGTTGCGAGCGCCGCATGAGCAGAAGGTGGTGGATCGTGGACAAGCCGATGATAGCAATGCCACTGCATTGCCCGCCATCGCCTCAACTACACGTCCCACGAGCAACTCTCTTAGCTCGCCCATTCCGCTCGAACCAGACACCACTCGGGGCGATGCGCCTGTGAGCAGCACGAACGGAGCTTTCATCGCCCCAACAACTTCGATCACATCGCCAAGTAGCGAGAAGATCGCAGGCACGGACCACACGTATCTTAGTCCTTCGGGAAGTCGACCGCACAATGGCGTTCAAGCGTATCCTTTCAAGTTGAGAGACGCTGGTGCAAAGGCTGCAAGTACAACAACGCTGGACAGCCAAGTTCCCTCCTTGCAAGATGCCACTGGGGCCAGCAGGCCTCATCAGGAGCTGCCAGGAGAAGCTGTGGCGCCTGTGGAACTTCCCGGGGCTGGAGACGGCCATGCCATGGGGAAGCTTCCAGATGCCAGAGCCGGACAGCCACTACCCCTACAAGAAGAGCAACGTATCCCCTCCACAGAGCCAACGACCTCACGGGGAGGAGATGCAGTGAGTCCCGCCGATTCTGCCATGCCTGAGAAGCCACCATTCAAACTTCGCAACCCCGTGTTTGGTGATCGCACATCGATGCTCGGAAGTATTGGGGCGGACGGGATGCCAAACGCCCACTACCCCTTTCTCGGCGAGGAGATGCCCCAGGGGCCTGGAGGCGGCGTCGACGACACGCAGAAAGCGCCGCCGTTCAAAATACGCTCCACCGTCTACGAGCCCGACGTGACGCTTGGCACCCCCAAAGCTACCGACTACTCTCAGGTGGTGCCCGAGCATGGCGACTGGCTCCAAACCAGAAGCGGAGGTGCGGCAGTGCGGGAGAGCGGTGTATTTGGCGCGCAGCTCAGCAATCAGCGCATCGTAGGCGATCAGCGCGACCAGTCTTCATCGTCCTTCAGCACGCCGGCGGCGAGCGCCAGTGGCACGTCTGGAACTGCGAGAACTGCAGAAGCCGGGGATGGTAGTGATGATACGCCGCCGCCACCGCCACCCAAAGATGAAAACTACTCTCCAGCTCGGAAGGCTGCTGGCGGAACTGCAGCGGTCCCTGCAACGGACGGGGCTCCAGTCATTGGCGATCTGAGCTTCGAGCAGAGCGGCCAGACGAAGGCTTTCTTCACCTCCACGGGCAGTAGTTGAACGTGCCTTTGGGTGCTGGAACTGCTGGGGGGAGCAATGCAGACAAGTGATATGTACATGCGTGTATCTTCGAGCAATCTTATATCATGTCTGTGAAATGAAGCGTGGAAGTACCTTAAGCACTCCTATCCATGATGTCCCTACCTCGCCGTACGAACTGCCAAATCCACGTTGGATCAGAGGCGATGTTGTCTCGCGAAATTGTCATACAGCCTCGGTTCGGCAGGCAGCTCCAGGGCGGTCCCATTTCAGACTCATTTTACTCGGTGCTGGTTTCTGGGATGACGATTCTGTGATGGCGTCCGCGTCCAACCAGTGCAGCGCCGTCCAAGCAGTGAACGTTGGAGCAGAGCCTTAAACAGTCCCGCCATCTGCTCAATGGTTGAAGCCGAGCGCGCCGCATCTGAGCTCGTTCTGATACTGATCGTTACCCATAGCTCTAATCTTTCCCCATAGCTGCAACGACGATCTGAACGACGAGCACACCAACGATCGCCCACCAGTATCTGCCGTCGGTTAGTATGTGAATTGACGTGCAGGCCACACGAGAACAATGATGGACACTCACTTCTGTACGAAACTCTTTTCCACCGGCTTCTCCTCGACTTTCCCTTGCGCATTCAGCTGCACGGGTTTGCTGAGCGGCGGCATCTGCCCCGGCCGCAGTCTGACCACCTCCACGTTCAGCCCATCCTTGCTGTTGCCGCTTTTGCTACTGCTCGCCACGGGAGACACCTTGAATCCCACGTGGTATAGGTCGTGATCGGTGTTGAGGTAGAGCTGCACCGTCTTGTGCGTGTTCGCGGCGAGATTGGATGCGGCGCTCGCTACGCCGGACCACGAGCCTGAAGGGTGGTAGAAGCCGATCCGGACTACCTCTTCATCGGCGGCAAAGTGTGGTGCAATGTAGTTCTGCACGCTGGCGGAGGTGGAGTTGTAGGTGATGTGGGCGAGGGTGGTGGGCTTGCTGGCGGAAAGCGGCCATGCGAAGACGTCCACGGAGCGCTGCGTTTGTGCGGAGAGCGCGAGAGGCGCGAGGAACACGAGCAGGATGGGAAGCAGCATGTCTTGACGATTGCAGAGCTGACGTGGAAGGGAATGGATGCTTTCTGCAGTTCGTTGGATTTCTCGAAGAGCAACTCCGAATCCGTCAAGACTGCTTGAGTGGCCCGAGCGTCTCCCGCGGATCTTCTACGCCTGACGCATCCTCCCTCCCTCCATCTCCGTCGGACGAGATCCGTCGTCGCCGGCGAGCAATACAAGTCAAACCGGTTATTGTTGCTGAAGGAGGCAATTCACGGCCATCGGGCCGACCTCGCGCGCCCTAACATCCCCAAGTCCGGTGATACTGTACTTTCAGCGGAATCCAGGCCAACTCCGACATTCGGCCTTGGTATAATAAGTATAGCGAATCCCTCCCTCTCTCCCTCGCTCTCTCTCTCGTACTACGCATGCCCATTTGATTTCATGCCCTGTCCACAAAATGACTCCCGACACCGCAAAGGCCGCCTGCGAGCGTGCAGAGCAAGACTTCATCGCACGTAACCCCAAAAGCCGCGCCATCTACCAACAGGCAACCGAGTCGCTCCCCGGCGGCAACACGCGAACCGCAGTCTTCTACCCTCCCTTCCCCGTCTCCATAGCCAGAGCGGAAGGCGCCAGACTCTACGACGCCGACGGTCATGAATTTGTCGATCTCCTTGGAGAATTCACAGCCGGATTGTACGGTCACTCCCCGCAGCCCATCATCGACACCATCCACAAAACGCTGCAGCGCGGCATCAGCTATGGCAGCCAGCATGAAGACGAAGGCAAGCTGGCCGCGCTCGTCAAGCTCCGCTTTCCCAGCATGGACCTGCTGCGCTTCACCAACTCCGGCACCGAGGCGAATCTCATGGCTCTTGCTGCCGCTACCGTCCATACCGGCAAGAAGAAAGTCCTCGTCTTCGACGGCGCGTACCACGGCGGTGCCTTTACTTTCAAAAACGGCCAGTCCAGCCCTATTAATGCGCCCTATCCCTACCTCATAGCAAAATACAACGACGAGGCCTCCGTCTCGCGTCTCCTATCCGCGCCAGAGAACGCAGGCAACGTAGCAGCCATCCTCGTAGAGCCCATGATCGGCTCCGGCGGCGCCATCCCAGCACACCGCACCTTCCTGCACTTCCTGCGCAAAGCAGCAACGGACGCCGGCGCCCTGCTCATCTTCGACGAAGTCATGACTTCTCGCATGCATTCCGGCGGCGGCATCCAATCGCAACTCCCTCCCGAGCTTCGTCCCGATCTCACGGCTTTGGGCAAGTACCTGGGCGGCGGCATGTCGTTTGGAGCGTTTGGAGGAAAGCGAGCGATCATGGAAATGTTTGATCCCCGCAAGCCAACGGCGCTCGCTCATGCGGGGACGTTCAACAATAATGTGCTCACAATGGCTGCTGGGCGCTGTGGACTCGAACAAATCTTCACGCCGGAGCGAGCGCAGGAGTTACAAGCGACTGGCGAGCGATTGCTGGCATCTCTGCGTGAGGCGAGCGGGAACACATTAATGAAGATTACGGGCTACGGCTCGATTCTATGCTTCCATTTCACACGCACGGCCTATGAGGACATTCGAGAACCCGGGGATGTGTACGATCACGACAAGGACTTGGGCGCGCTGTTTCATTTGTGGTTGTTGGAGAGGGGCTTCTATATTGCGCGCCGCGGATTCTTTGCCTTGTCTTTGGTGCTGACGCAAGAAGATCTGGAGGCTTTTGTGCAGGCCGTGAGGGAGTTTGTAAGGATACATGCGGCGCATTTGGGGCTTGAGCGGACGAATGGAGTCACGAATGGGCATTGATTCCATAGGTAGCTAAGGTAGTTGAGCGTCTCCAAATCGTCTAAAGTGTCGTTGATTCGTCTCGAATACATCTGCTCGCGCGCCCAGAAGCTCAACGAAGCGTGTCTGCTCGCGCTTTTTTTGGCCGGCGATATATGAGGTACGGTTGTCTTCGCATAACCTCTTTGTTCAGCGGGCGAATACCAGTGCGCAGCGTTCCCGGAAGCTGCGGGCGTTAATTGAGCTCCGTATTCGAAGCGGGCGTTCACTTGAGTGGTCGATCTTCGAGAGTGACGGCAGCTGAATTGCTTGCGCCAGCCGCTCGCGACAGATATTGGGAGATTGCGCATGCAATCCCACATCTCCAGACATCTCGCCTTCCTTCAGTCTTTCATCTCCTTCACCACCACCCCAATCTCCCGCTGCACCCCTTTGACCACCTCCAACAACGCCGCACACGCCGGGCTCTCTCCGAAATTATCCAGAAAGCTTTCCCCAAAATCACAGCTCATGCCAATGCGCGGATCCAACGGCACAGCGCCCAGGAACGGCACCTTGGTCTCCTCCGCCAACCTGCGCCCGCCGCCGGTCGTAGCGCGGAAAATTTCCGACTGATGCGTGCACTTGGGGCACACGAAGCCACTCATGTTCTCCACCAGGCCGAGAATGCGAATCCCCGCTTTGCGACAAAAGTCGATTTCCTTGCGCACGTCGAGCAAGCTGACTTCTTGCGGGGTGGTGATGAGCAGGGCGCCGTCGACGCCGCTTTCTTTCAGGAAGGAGTTGACGGAGAGGTGCTCGTCGGAGGTGCCGGGCGGGGTGTCGACGACGAGGTAGTCCATTTCGCCCCACTCGACGTCTTTGAGGAACTGCTTGATGAGGCCGTTCTTCTTCGGTCCGCGCCAGATTACGGCGTCGTCGCGATTGGGAAGCATGAATTGTACGCTCATGACGCCTAGATTGTCGGAAACCCAGACGGGTTCCCAGCCGGTGTTGGTCACGTGGATGGTCTCGGTCTCGACGCCCATCATCTTGGGGATGCTCGGGCCGCAGATGTCAGTGTCCATCACGCCGACCACATTCTCCGGATCGCTCGCAAAGGCGTGGGCCAGCATTGTTGTGAAAGTTGATTTCCCGACTCCACCTTTGCCACTCAGCACGAGGATCTTGTGCTTGATGCCCGCCAATCGCTGCGTGATGATGGGAATGTCGGGATCTGGACCTTTGGGGGCGGAGGCGCAGATGGCTTGGTTGGGACAGCCGGCGCATGCATCGCCTTGGCCTGCATTTTGCGACTCGGGACCCGGACAGTGTTCGGGTTCGGGGGCGACGAGGGCAGGTTGTTTTTTGAGAGATGAGGTTAGGGCGTCGCTGACGTTTTCAAATGGCTCCTCTAGTGATGGAGCCATGTCGTTTGAGGGGTTTCGCGATCACTCGAATATCCTTTCACTCATGGATGGTCGTGTAGAGAAGATATCGAGAGAGGAAGGGAACATGAAGAGTTGAAGTTCATCTCGTCTTGCTTGATAATCCAAACCTGCCTATTTGGGGGATCAAAAGTGGGGCAGTAGAGTGGCGCCGAACCTCATGCTCTCTCTGATACGAACACATCGACATCGTCCACAAGTCATCTTTCGTCGCACCTCTCAAATGGCGCACAATGCTCTCTCGCAGAGCCCCCAGCCTCTTCGCCAGGCTACCCACCCTCTCCAACCCGACTAGAAAGAAGATTCCAAGCTGGCAACCCCATATCCAGCTTCGGCATAAATCCTCCCAAATCGGCTTCCTCGTCGACGACCCCTACATCCCTCGCTTCCAACTCCTCTCCCCCAGCCAACTCGCGCAGAAGCGCAGCGCAGCCTACGCCCACCTCTCAAACTGCAACCTCTGCCCCCGCCTCTGCGGCGTCAACCGCTTCGAGCGAACCGGCACCTGCCTCATCGGCGCAGACGTCGTAGTCAACACCATTGCGCCGCACTTCGGCGAAGAACCGTGCATCCAAGGCCGACACGGCAGCGGCAGCGTCTTCTTCTCCGGCTGCAATTTGCGCTGCGTCTTTTGCCAGAACCACGATATCGCGCACCAGAAGAATGGGTTCCACCTGACGCCTGAGGAGCTGGGGGAGTGGTTTGTGAAGTTGCAGGATGTGGGCAATGTGCATAATATCAACCTCGTCACGCCGGAGCATGTGGTGCCGCAGGTTGTGCTTTCCATTCTGCATGCGCGGGAGTTGGGGTTGAAGTTGCCGATTGTGTATAATACGTCTTCGTTTGACTCGCTCGAGTCAATTGCGCTGCTGGACGGTCTGGTCGACATCTACCTCGCGGACTTCAAAGTGTGGGCTGCGTCGACGTCGAAACGACTGCTGAAGGCGGACAACTACGCGGAGACGGCGAGGGAGAGCGTCAAGGCGATGCATGCGCAGGTGGGGGATTTGTGCTTCACGTCGGATGGGCTGGCGAAGAAGGGCGTGCTGCTGAGGCATTTGGTTATGCCGGGGTATGAGGCGGAGGGAGGGCAGATTGTGCGCTGGTTGGCGGAGCATGTGAGTCGGGATCTGTATGTGCATGTCATGGAGCAGTATCATCCTCGCGCGCATGTGGGCAAGGAGAAGAGAGGGAGGAGCGGACGGGCACGGGAGGTGGTTGAGGGAGTGGTGGAACCTGGTGGTGATGTGATTGGTGACAAAGAGAAGAAGGCACTTAGGTATGAAGAGATCAATCGAGCTGTCAAGGGAGAAGAGGTGGAGAGTGTCAAGAAGGCGGCTCAACAAGCTGGGTTGTGGCGCTTTGTCGAGCCGGCGGAACACGCACTGTTCAGCATGTGATACCTTTCATCGACTTCATGCAGCATTCACCTCATCTGTCGGAGCATCATTGCTCCCCTCCTCACGATCAACAAGCACCTCCAAACTCTGTGTTCTCCGTCGTCTCAGCCTATTCTCCAACCGCATGCTGTCTCTCACCTCCGCTCTCCGCGCAGCAACATGCTCCACCTTCCTCCCAATTCGGAAAGCCAGCTTCAGACTCTCCGTAATCTCCTCCGGCTGCTCCGGCAACTTCAACTTGCCGTCCAGGAACGAGAAGTAAGCGCCATCATCCTCGCACGCCAGAATGCCGTCGGTGTTTTGACAGATCAGCGCCAGAGCGAAAGCGAAGAGGAACGTCTTTTGATTGGGCAGACAGAGCCACACGTCCCAGAGTCGCATGGCCGCGCTCTCGGGCAGGGTGTTGGAGAAGGCGGTGAAGAACCATCTAATCGGGACTGTGTACTCGGAAGGAATGTTTAAGCGGTCCAGGTGGTCGTTCACTTGAGGGAGCAGCTCTTTGACAAACGCCCGTAAGAGCGTGTTATCTGCCAGGGGAGATTTCATGGCATCCACTCGGGAGAAGTAGTCTGCGGGAAAGTAGTTCTCGACAATATTACACAGTACCCAGAAGGCGTCTTCCTCCGATGGAATGGTGAGAAGTAGATAACCAGCAATGGTGTTCAGGCCTTGAGTATATCCCAGATGGGGATAGCGCGCGACAAAAGCAACAAGGACTTCTTTGAGTCTTTTGAAGCCTTTGCCGGAGTAGAAATCGTACTTGGTGGTGAGGGTACGAGGGACGTCCTTGAGAATGGCATCGAGTTCGGTGCCGTCGTTGTCCGCGCGAGAGTTGAGGTAGTCCCCGTACGCATCGGGTTTCATGATGGCCTGCGTGTTCGACAGCTCCATCCAGAGTGGATGGCGGAGTTTCATCGGAATGCCTCCAATCACAAGTCGGGTCAAGTGCTCCAGTTTCTTTCGACCCTCGCTACCTTCGCGGCCGAAGTGCGAGGCGCCGATCATCTCGCCGCCGCGGACATCCTCGCCGTTTTGCTGACGAGTTTCAATCAGTTTGAGCAGGAACGCATTCCACTCGATCTCTTGGGGATCCTCAAATTGATTTGAGAGGGTCGGGGGTAATTGGTCTTTGTCGTGACGAGTCGTCATCTCTACTGGCATTCGGTTGTTCAATGAGTCGTGCCGTTTGGGCAAGCCTGCTTTGAATATGTTGCTGGTCCAGTGACTGCCTTCGGTACTGTTGTTACTCTGTACACTAGCAACGCTCCTGACGTCGACTGATTTGGGTCGGTCAGTCCGACGGGGCGGTCTGCGGCAAGCGAGCATTAGTGGTGATCAACAATATAGCGTATGATCAACTCACCTTGACGTAGACCTTGACGATGTTGGTGTTCTGTTATGCGAGTGCTTGTCAGCATTGTACTTGACATCACAGAAACAGGAGGACCTACAATGCATTCGACTCGCGTCGCTTCCCAATCCCAGCAAACAGCTTCGTCATCCCGTTCATCATCCCGGATGCCTCTTGCGGCTGCTGAGATAGAAGGGAATCCTGCTTGAAAACGCAGATAATTAGCAGACCACTCCGTTTGTAGAGACTGGAAGCAGACTGACACTGCTGTTCGACTCCACCGCACTCAAAGGCACCACGTCCTCCGCCGCCCTCGCAAGCGATAGCCGCCTGCGCTCCGCCTGCTTCACGCGCGACGTCGTCTCCGCGATGCGCTCCTCGGGCACATTCCACTCCTGCGCGAGTCGCGTGAGAGCAGTAATGTGCGCATCTCGTTCCGCGAGCGCAGCAGACAAACGCTGAATGAGTTCGACGGCGCCGTGATGATCGATGATGTTTTGGAGAACAGGCACCGGGGCTGCGGAGAGGGTTTGTGGTGAGCTGGTGTCGCTTATGTTGGCCGCTTCGTCGAACATTGATGGGCCATTGCCCTCCAGGAGGCTGATGAGGGGGGTGCGGGTTGATGCATTGCTTTGCGAACGGTGGCTGCGTGTTGAGGCGGGCACCGTGGCTGCTGCATCCGACATGGAGAGCGTTGCAGCTGGAGAAAAAATGCCTGCTTTCCCTTCTGATGCTTACAGTTCGTAGACGGGTGTTTGCCGGATTGTCCAAGGAGTGAGGTTGCAAGGAAAAGTGGTGCCTGGGGCATGTCATGTCGCGTGCCAGAAACAAAAGTGGGCGGCGGGCAGGGGCCAATCAGCGAGCACTCAACTTCATCGAAGACATTCGCCATGCAAGAGACACTGCTCGATGGGCAAAAACACATGAATCAATATATACAAGTGTGTCAGGATATCATGCAAGCCGCTCATAATCCCACGTATGCATCGCCGTCGAAGCGCCCAATTCACCGCCCCCACGTCGTGTCAATATGTCCTTCCTTATAGCTGCGCAGCCGGCAGCAGCCTGCCCAACGTCTTCGAACAAAACGTACTGAAGTAGGCATTGAGCGCATCCACCGTGCCGCTGCCCTTGACCAGCTTCACCACACACCCCACATATCCATCCGGTCGCACAACCACCACGCCGCCCTCATCCTCCGACAGGCCCATCTTGGCGTGCGCCGCTGCCCCCGCCTTGGGCACCCGCTTGTCCCACACATCATCGGCATACACGTGGTCCCAGTAGCGCACGAGGATCGAAGGCAGCATCTCTTTGATCTCCACGTCCTGCCGTTTCGCGTTGAAGATGGTGGCGAGCGTGAAGAAGTGCGAGTGCGGATTGTGGCGCTCGTGATAGCTGACGCTGTCGATGTCCGCGCGCTTGTAGGCGCCGAAGAAGGACGAAGGCTTCTCGAGGTTGTAGGCTAGGTCGGCGATCGCGCTCTTCGTGGCGCTGTACTTGCCTGCGAACACGTAGATGCGGTAGGAGCCGTTGAGCGGGATTTCTTGCTCGAGGTGCACGGGGTTGGCGTCGCAGACTCGCGTCACCGTCGCGCAGGTGAAGATTCGGCCTGTGCGGAGTTTGGTTTGTCCACTGCTTTCGGTGAGGAAGAGAGGATGCTGTGCGGGATGGTCGGCGGACCAGTTGAACATGTTGGGGTCATATGCAACACCGTAGCCAGACGTGAACTCGCAGGATTCCTTGAACTTCCGTACAAACTCGTTTTCCCCGCTGTCGGTAATCGCGTTCTTGACTTCGCCCGCCGACGGCTGCCGTTGGGAAAAGAGTTTGGCGTAAGAAGAGTCGAAGTTGAGCAGGTTCTCCGCGATCAATCTCCGCTCACTCTCGTATGACTTAAGGATCGAGCGATCCGCAAACCCGCTTTCGACGTGATGAATCTTCCACGCCAGGTTTTGCGCATCCAAAAAGGCGGTGTTCATGCCTTGGCCTGCCTTGGGCGAGTGCGTGTGGCAGCAGTCGCCGCCCATGAAGACTCGCTCGTCCAGCGTGTAGCGATCTGCAATTCCTTGGCCGATGGGATACACGGAATACCACTCCACCCGATCCCACTCGATGTAGTACGGGCTGAGGATCTTCTTCGCCGCCGCCTGTACATCATCTGTCGTCGCCGTTTTCCGCGGATTCCAGTCAGGGTCCTCGGAAGAGGCGATTTGAATGTACAGCCGCACCATGTTGTCTTCTCGAGGAATCACCATGATTGATCCCGAGTCGGAATGGATGGTGCATTTCATCTGTGTGCACGTTAGTATGAGATGACATGCCAGAGTTTTCAAACATACCTTGATATCCGGAAAGTCCGTACGAACCACCCCGTCCATCACACCCCACACAAACGCGATCGGATCTTTATGGGTGATCTTGACCCCCAGCTTCTCCCGAACAAAACTTCGCGCCCCCTCTCCACTAAACAGATACTTCGCCCGCAGCGTTTCGGTCTCATGTCCCTCGACGTGCGAAATAGTCACCTCGACCGGATACTCCGGATCCGCGCCATCGTTCTGGAAGTCCGTGATCCGCCACGGCCGCTGCACCTGGACCCCATTCTTCTCCATGTCCGCAATGAACACTCGCTCAATCAAACCCTGGTGCAACAACGTTGTGAAAGGGTATCGCGCATCGATGAACTCCGGACAAGAAGCCCACGTGCCCGTGCGATGGATTCCGCTGCCATTCGCCCGCGGGTCCCAGAATGCGACCTCGTACACTTTGGCCGGCCCATTCTCCATAATGGCGCGCTTGAGGCCCATGTTGCGGAGCAGATCGAGGGAGCGCGGTTGGATGCCGTCTGCGCGGCCGGTCGGCGTGGGCTCGGGCCGCATGTCGATGTGTTTGATTTTGTAGCCCCATCTTGCTAGACAGGTGGAGAGTAGAAGGCCGACGGGGCCGGCGCCGATGATGGCGATGTCGTACTTTTCCACCATGGCTGCGAGAGAGCTTGGTGATGAAGTGTCGAGGGGGTTTCAAGAGCTGATCTAGACCATCACAGAATGGAGTATGTACGCTGGTAATATGTCTCGCTCTATTCCAACGGCAATGAGATCATAGAAAAATGAACGATACGAATGCTAAGAGGAAGTTCAAGGAAAAGCAGCAGGAAGCAGGCGCCCCCGCGACCCATCTCCCTATATAGCCCAACCTTGTTAGCAGAATGTGCGGACGACGTGAGGTCCATTTGGTGGCGCTATGCACGCGGCTCTTGCATCGGGAGGTGTGGTCTGGACGGGCGGGCATCTGCCTTGCCACGCTGCCGCTGCCTCGCGCCCCCACCTTCCACTCCCGGAAACACTCTTCGGCAATCCGGGGGATCACGTGGGGTCGGCACTGCGGCCAATCGTTCAGCCCCGTCTTACTTTCAGCCTCAGCACTCACCATGACGACAAGTCACAAATGAGGCTGGATGTATTGCGGCATTCGTGGTCGGGCGTAAGCAATGTCCGAACGGTGTGTTCTTAATTCAACAACGTCTTGATCTGATTGTCTTCCATCGGACGTCCACACCCTACGCATCGCCACCAATCAAGATGGCTTTCCAGGTCGCCGGCGTAACTCTCACAACAGGCACACTGGCCTGGCTCCTCCCTCTCACCGTGCTCCTCCCCAGCATCATCTACATCATCTACCTCCGCACTCAACATCCCCTCGCCAACATCCCCGGCCCCTTCTGGGCCAGCTTGACCCGACTATGGATGACCAAACACGCCTGGGACGGCGACATGAACACCGTCATGATCGCGCAGCACGCCCAACATGGCCAATTGGTACGCACGGGGCCGAACGAAGTCAGCGTATCAGATCCCACCGCCATCAAGAAAATCTACGGGCCCGGCACCAAGTTCCGCAAATCCAATTTTTATTCCATCTGGCAGGGACATCGGAAATTTGATCTGTTCGCGGAGCGAAACGAGAGAATCCACGGCGAGCAGCGCCGGCTGGTCAGCCGCGCGTACTCGATGGAGGCGCTCAAGGATCTGGAGCCGTATGTGGACAACGCAGTGAATCTATTTCTGGAGCAGATGCGCGAGAGGGAGGGCACGGTGATTGATATGGGCAATTGGGTGCAGCTGTTTGCCTTCGGTGAGAGTCGACATAGATCTCGAGGTTGAGGTGCACGTTCACTGACCAATCGCAACCAGATGTCATCGGCGAAGTCTCCTTTAGCAAATCCTTCGGTTTCATGGACGTGGGCCAGGATGACGGTGCTTTCAAGCAGATCGAAACCGCCTTGCGCTCCGCGTCATGGCTCGGGCAGATCCCAGCAGTGTACTGGGTGCACGATCGTCTCATGCCGTACATTGGCAACTATTTAGGAATCAACGCCCGACATGGCTCGCTGCGACAAATCGCTTTGCGTGAAGTGGCGGCACGGAAAGACCGTGGGAGCGAAAGGCAAGATATCCTGTCGAAGCTGTTCGCAACGCAGAAGGAGAAGCCGGTGGAGATGAACGAGAACGCGGTCACCAGCATGGCGACGTCCAACATCTTCGCGGGAAGTGACACAACCGCCATCTCCACGCGAGCCATCATCTACTACCTGCTAAAGAACCCCAATGCGAAGAGAAAGCTGGTCGACGAGATCGACTCGCGCCGCAAGGCTGGGAAGCTGAGCGATCCCGTGACGCTGTTGGAAGCGGACAGCATGCCGTACTTGCAAGCCGTGATGTACGAGGCGCTTCGCCTGCATCCGGCGGTCGGGATGAGTCTGCCACGCGTCGTTCCCGATGGCGGCGTCCAAATCTGCGGCCAGTATCTCCCCGCCGGCTGCGTGGTTGGGGCCAATCCGTGGGTAATTCACCGGAGCAAGGAGGTGTACGGCGAGGATGTCGACGCTTTTCGCCCCGAGAGATGGATGCAAGAGGATGTCGGGGATTTGCATCGCTTCTTCTTCACTTTCGGTTCTGGGGCGAGAATGTGTCTAGGGCGGAACATCAGCTGGATGGAGATGTATGGCCGTCAACTGTATTTATCCCCGATGTGCGGGAGCCCTTGCTGATCCAAAACGTCGTCGACAGGTCGAAATTGATCCCGACGCTCTTTATGCGTTACAACCTGGAGCTCGGCGATCCAGATGCCGAATGGACGACGAAATGCTGGTTCTTCGTCATGCAACGAGGCCTCGGAGTGAGGCTGAGCAAGCGACACTCTGCATGACAGAGCCGCCATCGCCTCTCTGCCCCCCCTCGTCATATCTCCCCAATCACATAGGCATCTGCCGCATCTCATTCATCGTCCAGAATTTCCGCATATTCTCCGCGCCCAACTGCGCCACCTCCTGATCCAAATGCGTCCACAGCACCGTCCCAAAAGTGTCCATGATCCCCTTCACCTCGCCCATCTGCAGCTCCCGCTCCCCACTCTTGCACTCCTCTATGTACTTCTCGAACTTCACCAGCCCCTCGTGGATTTGCGTGTGCTGCGTCAGGAGCTCCAGTTCCTCGCGAAAGGCGGGCATTTTGCGCGCCAGCACGGGGAAAATGTGCCGCTCTTCGATCGTGTGGTGCACGGTGAGGTGGTGTGCGAACTGCTCGCCGGTGTTGAGGTAGGCGCGGATGGACATGCCTGCTGGTCGGGCGCCGCTGCTGGCGGCGGTGTAGAGGAGGTTCCACGTTTGGCGGAAGTGCTCGTGCTGAATTCGATTTGTCAGTAGGTGTTTGAGATCGTCTAGAGTCTGTGCGAAACTTACAAAGTAATTCATGTGCTCGGCCATGCTGTTGTACACCCTGAATTCCTGTGCGCTGAGCTTCGGAAGCTCTTCGGTTTTTGCCACGGGTTCATTGGCCTCCAGAGGTCGCGAAGGACTCTGATGCGCTTGCTCGATGTTGGCGTTCATGTTGCGCAGTCTTGTCGTTGTGGTAGATGTAAATGCTCGTCTTGCGTTCGTATTGCGTGGTGTTGATGTTGATGATGTTGACAGGATGAAAGCAGACCGCGAGAGGCGGCGGACGCCTTTATATAGCATTCCCAAGACGATGAAGGCTTGAGGTCGGGAATTCGGTCTGGATTTAAGGGCCATTGCTTACCAAACGCTGGTGACTTTGCCTGCACGTGATGTCCATCAACCCACCACGCTTGATCTCAATGCCTTTCTTGAAACCACTCGAACGTTCTGGGAGATAGAAGAATGAGATGAGTCCCGGGGAATTATTGACATATATTGTCGGCTAGATACTACTCTGCTTCCCATCTGTGAGAACTGCTTCCTATCCACTGCGCATTACAGACTACAAAGCGAAGCTGTGAATGCGGGCCCTTCGAGACCGATTAACAGGCTAAGTATCAAAGTACGGGTGGCCGTTCGTTGGGGCCGGGTATAAAGGTGTCTGAGAAGAGAAATGGCAAAGGACCACGGAGGAAATCGTCGACGCAGGGCAGGCCGCTGGGAGGAGAGCGGTGTAGATGTTTCGGCCGAGAAGTCGTGAATCGATTGGGAACACCTATCCAAAACGCCATGCTGGAAGCGAGAATGAAGCAAGTGAGTCGTAGCAGCACGTGCTGAGTGTCGAGAAGAGCCGCCAAATAGAGATCACGGAATGTCGGGCGGCCCCGAGCCTTCCGTCGACTCGCCCTCGATCGTCTTCTTCCAATGCTGCGGCAAGCAGACACACACCAATGGGAAGGCCTTAACCTCCCCACCATCAGCGGCGTCTGTGGCTCCAGCGTTGTCGTTACTGAGACCGCTGTCCCGCAGAACCTTGTCGTCCGGCCGCCAGTCCTCCGCTTTCTGGCGCACGCGCACGCCCGTGGCCCAGCCGTCGTCCCAAATGCCGATGACTTTGATCATATCGCCGCGCTCAAGGTGGAATTCATCGGCGGCGCGCGGTTCGTAGGCCCATAGGGTTGCTACGAGATCGCCAGGGTGGATCTCGTCTTGTGAGTAGTAGTCTTTGAAGAAGCCCAATTGTTCGCTTTGGGCGTGAGATTCGGGTGTGCTCTCTTCGTTGTTCGTGCTGGGTGATGTATCTTGCGCTGCGCCTCCTACGACTGCCAATTGATCGTCACCAGGGAACGATCCGCTGCGTTTGAGCGGCGGTGCTGGGTCGAAACCACCCTCGGGTGAGTCTTCTTCAGAGAAGCGGAATCCCCCGGCATATTTGCGACTGCCCGCCCCGGTGGCCTCAAGCGCGGACATGCGAGCTACGCGGGCGGGGGGCAGTGCGGTAATCCCTCCACGCTCTTGATCCCTTGATCCATCATGAGAAGACATGGGCGGCTGTTGTCTGGCTGGAGTGGGCTGGTTGAAGATGCTCGTAGGAGGTGTTTCTCTGCGTCGTTTCAGGAGCAGACAACCACCAATGATGAGTGCCAGCAGCAGCAAGGCTCCCAGCACGGAACCTACTACGATTCCAGCAATCTGGCCTCCAGTAAGGCCTCGAGAACTCGAGCTGCCAGCTGTAGTTGGTGCAGTAGTGCTGGTACCGGTGGAGCTGGTAGAAGAAGCGGTCACTGTTATTGGCCGAAGTGAAGAGCTTGCGACGATGGGGAGCACGACACCCTTGCATCGCGTTTCGGAGTTGGAAAACACGCAGCAAGAGTCCGTTGCATTGGGCGAGCTTGCTGCGCAATAAGAGCAGAGGGATGCGGTGTTGGAAGCGAATCCGCAATTGTTGGGCTGATTCTGCACCGCTTGGATGCATTGCTCGGTGAGGGAGTTGGCGGGGAGTGCGCAGTTGGTGAAGTCGGCGCGGATCTGTGTTAGGGCGTTGGAGCCTGGTGAGCCGCAGACATTACTCTCGGTGATCTGTTGCTCGCTCTCGGCGTATTCGGCGCAAGACTCGGCGCACAGCGGACGAGCTGCGTTTCCGGCAAGGCTGCACGCTTGTACCGAGTTTTGGATAATCGCATTACACAATACACTGGTGGTATATCTGGCGTAAAAGTCGGTTGTATTATCTGCGTTGAAGGTGGAGCAGCCAAGAAGCTGCTGGTATCTGGTTTGCTGTTAGTAAATGACTTCGCGGCAGATGACGCTGGATAGAACACACTGAATCTGCGCGAAGCCATTGCCAATGTATGTTTGAAGGCCCGAATCAAAGGTGGCCAAGTCGGTGACGGAGGAGAGGAAGGGAAACAAGCCAACATTGGCGGAGTCGGTGGAGATCGAAGACGCATTAAACGCCGAACATTGCGTCGAGCCCTTCAATGATATGCAGGCCTGTGCCAGAGAAGTCGGAAGGCTTGTGAGGAGAAGTGTGCTGGCGACGGCGGATGCCGTGCGGGGCGCAGATCTTCGCCGGCGCGGCCGTATGCGCTGTGTCCGGCTCGCGCGGCGTGTTTGTGTTGTGCTTGCAAACAAAGGCTTTGTGTAGTCCCACGCCCATCCCAATGCCGCGTCCCCCTCCTCATGCCCACCGAGGGCGCTCCCGGACATTTTCCCTCGCGGTATGGCTTTGCGATCCGGTACCGCGATACAGGTTGGATTTGGTGTGAAGGTTTTCGGACAATAGAGCGGCGTGGTTTCGGAGAATTAACTGAAGTGGCGCACACGGAACAACGAACGGTAGGGAGCGACGAGCATGCTGCTGCGGACAACACGCAAAGAGGGCAGGGCAATGAACAAGCGCGAGCAACGGAGAGAAATGCAGTAATAAGAATGGAAAGCAGTCGAGCCGACGACACGCTGCAAGCACGACGCAGGCGAAGGAGTGCAGTGCGGTGAGGAAAAGGGACAAAGGGAAGGAAGCGGATGCAGCTGCTCGGGAAGCTGCAGCTCAAGCCTTGGGGGATGTTTGGGAAGCTGCGAACTGCTCTAACCGGAAGCCGCAAGGCACGTCCGCCCGTCGCAAATGAGCCGGCCCTGCCAATTGGCTCTCAGCCATCCGCCGCCGCGCTGCCGAGTCTGTGCGTCCAGCGTGGAAATTACACTTGCAAACGGCTGTCATCCACCCGTTCAGATGATTACCATTTCGTGCATGCTGCATGCAAACAAGATGAGAATCACGGCCAAGTGGGTCGACGGTGTCCGCTCAGGAACCCCACCGTGGGCACAGTCAAGTCGCACAGAAGTGGGAGCAGCCATATTGAAACTACCCAAGTACCACGGTACGCAGGCGTTTAAGCCATCACTATTGACCGTTCTCGACTCTCGTACTCGACAAGAGCATCGCCGACCAGGGGTCGGAAAGGAAGCCGAGCCGCGCCTGGTTGGAACGGTGCGAATGGCCTGCAGCTTACCTGCCTTGGCTTGCCGTCATCCCGATCACCGGCGTACTTGTAATCAGCAGTCCGTGGAGAGGTGAACTCAGTGGCTTGCACTGCACCCGCCTCATCCCACACGTCCTCTGCGTCATCCCGGTCCTGCATTTGTTCATCTACCCCGCTGAGTGTAGACCGCGATTCCTGGAAATCAGACTCCCTCACATCCGCATCGTCATGCTGCTCCTGTATTTGCTCACGCGCCAGACTTGGTGTAGCCTCCACGCGCGGTGATCGTTGCGGCATCGTTGATGGCATCGAGGCCGGTGTTGCTGGGCTTGTCGCATCCGTCTCCTCCACTTCGCCGCTTGCCTGCAATGCTGCCCTCCGCACATTTTGTTCTTCGCCGCCTTTGACCAGTCGCAAAAGCCGGTCCTCAACATCGCCATGTACTCTGACCGCATGCTTCCACACGTTCTCGAAGCCCTGATCCTGTCCACACCTCATACACAGCTTCAACATGGCGGCGAAGGTGGGAAGTTCGATTCGCTCGGTCATCAGCCGGCCGCTTATCCTCCGCCGACTGCTTGCTTTAAGCGTCTGAATCTGACTCCAGACGGCCATGCCGGCTCGCCAGTCCGCACGTTCGGCACAGTCCCGAAGCAAGGGCGTGAAACCCTCCATGCACAAGCCCCATCCATCCGCACCCATGCGCTGGCAAACACTCAGTGCAGCGTCGAATCCAGCGAATTTGACGACGCCTTCAATTACCGCTCTGAACACGTAGGGTGTGCCGTACGGAAGCTGATTGATCTTGTCGGGACGATGTTCTTGCCGCACCAATCGACTGCGTCCGGCCTCGGTGATGGTAATGTCGGGCCGAGCGAGTGCGAGGCCCTCACCCTTACCACGGATATACGCCAGCCATAGTGCGAACTCGTGAGCCTGGTTCGTCCGGGTGTAGTGCCGCAAAACTGCGTTCAACGTGACTTCGTTTGGTCGCATGTGTGCCCGACGCAGACGCTTTATGACCATGTCGGTGAAGGCAGGCTCCTGAATCCTGGTAAAGCCAATCAAGAGAGTGTTGAATGTCTTCAGATTCGGAGGAGCCGAGCAGCTGGAGAGATTGTATGTCAGCCTGCCAAGCAATGCGGCTTTGCTGAGCTTCTGCTCGGCTTGCATGTCGAACAGCTCCCGAATGGTTCGGTTGAGGTCCCGCACCGATTGTTGTGAGAGAGATGCGTTGTCTTGAGTGAAGTTGCACAGTTGCAATCTTTCGAGGCCGGATGGGAAGCCAGACAGTGACGGCTCGGCGAGGAAGAGCCGTTCCCGCTTTGCCCGTTTCCTCGACATATGGCGCGCAAGTTCATCGGACGAGAGCATGATGTTCCTGGCAAAGTCGGCTGGAACTGCATTGGCCGCTTTTTGACTCCAGCCGCGGCGCTGCAACTCTTGGAAGATCTCCAATTGCAGCATATCGAGAGCCATCTGGATTTCGGCGACCTTCTTAGGAGTGAGCGTCTTTTTGTCCACCTGCGCGTGACGTTCATTCGGAGCGAATATGCTTTCTGGAGCGAGGTGGTGCTTCTTCAATGCGGCTCCTGTGTTGGTAGGCCAAAAGGCCTTCGATTCTTGAGGCTCGACATCGCGGAATATGTCGCTTTCTTCGTCGTCCAATTCTTCGACGGAAGAGTATACCAACTCTTTGCTCTCTGTCTCCAACCGATCCTCGACGACTGCTTCTGTGGTGTGGCATGCCGTAGTGGTGACCGGCTGCTTCAGCTCCTGTTTCATCTCGGAAATCACCTGGTCCCATTGCTCCCGCCTTCGCATCTTCGCAGCCGCATCGAAGGTTGCGGCAGCTGCAAATATGCCCGAATACCATAGGGTCGAGGACGTGAGGTACTGCGGTATGCGGCGGGACGCCGCGGCCGATGCTCTTCGGGCGATGCCATTCGCGCGTGGAAGACACTGAGGACAGTGGCACGAGGCCCTTGCCTGCGCCACGCGAGCCCACAGTGTCTGCATCGTTATCTGCGTATCATATCGAGGTGTGGTTGGGCGGCAATGGGTGGATTGCGGGTGGTGTTGGTGGGTGTTGTCAGAGGATGCAGTTCATGATGCAGACGAGATAGAGCTTCTCGGGAGGCTTGGCGACCTGGTTTCTGCCGGGATCAAATGTACGCTTGAGTTCGGCTTTCAGTATCCCAGCTACCCATGCGCTTCCATCTCCCGACTCAGGCCGTACTGGAGCAGGTTCGAAGGGAACTACCAGCCAGCACTGGCCTCGGTTTCCCGTACTCTGGAGTCGACGTTTCGAAGCCATGGAATCACCCCACCGCGCTCTAGCTCCCTGCCTCAACTGTCAGCCGGATGCAAACGCAGGGGAGCGCCGCGAGGATGCTGGACGACGTTGCTGTGATGGTATGCGTAACACCAGATGAAATAGGTCAAAGCATGCCCGAGCTGACGATTGATGAATAGAGCGATGCCTGGAGAATGTAGCGCTTTGGCAATGCTCCCAGCAATGTGGCGCCGACGATGCAGCAAGTTTCACAAGCTCCGTCCAACGTATGCCTGACTCACGACACTTTCAATTAGGCGTTTGCTAATTTGATCAGCGACATCTGCTTCTGGCGAATCTGAACCCAATGCTGTCCTCGTTCAGACCCGTAAACGAAAGCGAGCTGCTTGTAATACCCATATTCGCACCGCGTACGAACAGTTCGCCGCCACTCTTGAGCAAGTGGGTTGCCTCTGCAAGGTCCTCACGGCGCGCAAGCTTCCACCATGTTGCGGGGCTGGCAGGCCGGCGCAGACTGGGAGCACGGAGGCGCTTACTAGGAAATCGAGCTCCTCGTCGAGTGTTGACACCACTGTAGACGGAGGCCACCGGGACAAGACAGACTCTTGCAGAGCGGCTGACTTGAAGGCTTCTCCGCAACGGCGTGGATGCTGTGATGAGAAGGCAAGCTGCAGCTCCGTAAGTACGAAGAAGCCTGGATGTCGTGTCAGCAAGGCAGATCGCTCCTGCTCTGCTACAGATGGAGCCGAACAGCCACGTGACGGACTCGGGACGACTGGCGACAAATGTGGCAACGCCGCGAAGAATGCGGGCTGTTGCACTGCTAAGACTGATACCGTGGCTGTCACTAAGGATGTCGGATGCTGTAGTGACGGGAATACCAAAGACGCGCCATCCCCCTTCAAGTCTTGCGCGGCTGCAGGGAAGAAAGTTGTCACCTGCGCCAAAGCGATCGATATCTCTACATCCGGCCTTGACACTTGCGGGCAGGACACAAGCTGCTGCGCTGGTCCAAAACCATCTGGGTGTAAGAGTGTCGAGCGTACTCCAGTGGTGGGCATAGACCACATCGATGTCGAAAAGGGTTCCCCAATGGTTGAACACGTTCTCCTGGATGTTCAAGGACTGACCTGCGTGGGCTGTGAGACCAGACTGTTCAGGGCCTTGCAGGGCATTCCTGGAGTGTTTAATCTACGCACCAGTCTGGTCTTGTCGCAAGCGGAGTTCGACATTGATGAAAAGGCAGGCTCAGCAGTCGAAGTCATCCAAACCGTCGAGAAGAGTACTGGATTTGGCTGCCAACGACTGAACACGCAAGGGCAAGAAATCGACATATCAGTCCACGATGCAAAGGTTTTTATGGAGCGCAAATACCCTCATGGTATCACTGAAATCGTTCCTGTGGACAAACACATCGTACGCATACGATTCGACGCCAAAGCCATCGGCGCAAGAACTCTAGTCGAAACGAGCTTCAACGAGGCCTTGACACTCGCCACTCTTCGAGGGTCGTCGGAACTTGAAACCGGACGAAAGCACGTTCGAAACACTGCTCTCACCGCCCTGCTCTCCGCTGTTCTTACCATTCCCGTTCTGGTGCTGGCATGGGCTCCCCTTCCTCCCCGCCCACTCGCATACGGCGCCGCTTCACTCGTTCTGGCTACGACAGTGCAAATACTCATAGCCGGCCCTTTCTACCCAAGCGCCCTCCGAGCGTTGATCTACACTCATGTCATTGAGATGGACTTGCTCATCGTCCTCAGCACTTCAACGGCGTACGTCTTCTCCATTGTCGCGTTCGCTTATTTGGTGGCCGGCCATCCCTTGTCGACCGGCGAATTCTTCGAGACCAGCACCTTGCTCGTCACATTGATCGTGCTTGGACGTTTAGCTAGCGCGTTTGCCAGGCAGCGAGCTGTAGAGCTCGTCTCCATCCGGACGCTCCAGTCAACGACAGCCATACTATGCGATACAGATGGACGTGGTGATCGAGAGATCGACGCTCGTCTACTCCAGTATGGTGACCATTTCAAAGTCGTGCCGGACTCTCGTATCACAACCGACGGCGCCATTGTGTCTGGTATTACGGAAGTTGACGAGTCCATGGTCACAGGCGAATCCCTACCTGTCGAAAAACATCCCGGCTCAGCAGTCATCGCGGGCTCCCTCAACGGCTCGGGAGTCATCGTTGTGCGTCTGACACACCTTCCGGGAAGTAACACGATAAGCACAATTGCGTCCATGATAGACGAGGCCAAATTCTCTAAGCCGAAAACACAAGAGCTTGCCGACGTGGTCGCGAGTTACTTTGTACCCGTCATCCTCGCCCTCACAACCATAACATTCGCCATCTGGGTGGGCATCGGCATCGGGATTCGGCATGACACTGGCGGTCGCGCCGTGGTGAATGCCATCACATATGCGATTTCGGTTCTCATTGTATCGTGTCCGTGTGCAATTGGTCTTGCTGTTCCAATGGTGATTGTTATTGCTGGAGGGGTTGCGGCAAAGCACGGCGTCATCTTCAAATCCGCAATGGCGATGGAGACTGCTTGCAAAGCTACTCACGTGGTTTTCGACAAGACCGGTACATTGACGAAAGGTCAACTCTCCGTCTTGGAAACGGTTTACCTCTCCCCCAAGGACGACCTCGCGGGATCCATCGCCTTGGGTCTGACCGGCGACAACAAACATCCCGTCTCTGTGGCAATAGCAAACTACCTCAAAGCCGAAGGTGTCGATTCTGCCACGATTTCAGACTCCAAATCGATCCCAGGAAAGGGTGTGGAAGGGAAATTTGAGAATTCCACGGTCCGCTGCGGCAATACTCGCTGGCTCTGTGCCGACACTCTGCCTGTGGTTCAAAAGCTGCTCACCCAAGGTCTCACAGTCTTCGGTGTGGCAATGGACGACCAAGTCATCGCCGTCTTTGGCCTTTCCGACTCACTACGTCCAGAGTCACGCGCCGTCATTACCACTCTTCAAGAGCGCAACATCGACGTCTCAATCGTCAGCGGCGATGACCCCGGCGCCGTCGAAGCCATTGCAACCGAGCTCGGTATCCCGACCAGTCATGTGAGATCTCGATGCACACCCGGCGACAAGCAAAAGTACATCCAGAATCTCATCAAGGACGAAAAGAACGTCGTCATCTTCTGCGGCGACGGAACCAACGACGCGGTCGCGCTAGCCCAGGCCAGCATTGGAGTGCACATGAGCAGCGGCAGTGACGTAGCGCAGACCGCGGCAGATGTCGTCCTTGTCCGTCCGCACCTTGGCGGCCTTTTGGTGCTGCTCGATCTGTCGAAAGCGGCGTTGCGCCGGGTTTACTTCAACTTTGCCTGGTCGTTTGTCTACAATTTGTTCGCGGTCTTGTTGGCAGCGGGTGCCTTTGTGCATGCGCGTATTCCGCCGCAGTATGCTGGACTGGGCGAGATTGTCAGTGTTCTGCCTGTTATTTTGATTGCGCTGCATCTGAGGTGGTTCAAGCGGGATACTTCAAGGCTCAGGATTTCAAGTTGAGGTTGGGGTTGTTTGCTGCGTCGATCGTTATCGTTGTTGTCTGACGAAGGAGCAATGAAACAGACTAGTTCAACTGCCAAATGAGGCTGCTTATATCTCGTATACGAATGTGCGAATGGTTGCAGACGAAGGAGGTGAGGTTGGGCAAAGCCACCCGGTGCACGGACCTCTGCGGCTGCACCGTTGCCAACGACACCACACTTGGCCTTTTGAATTGTCTGCGAGAAGGCGATAGAACGATGGAGAAGTGTTGCCAAGCGCGGTGACTCGAATAAACATTCCAGTACACAACCGAGCTGATGCCAATGGCTGGCATTGCAGTGTCGACTGGAGCATCTCGCGAGCCTCGCATCGGGCGGAAGGCGCATTCACACTTCGGCCCATTCAATCAGAGATGACCAAGACTGCAGCTTGACCATTTCACCTCCATCTAATACCAGTCCGAAATTCCACGACAACGCAGGCGACACGGGTAAATTATGATGAGAGCCAGCCATGTCGCGCTTCTTTCGCTCGGCAGATTCGAGCTCCAGCTCTTCCGAGTCTGAGCTAGACAGCGATCCTGAGCCGACCGAAGAGCTAGAAGTCAGCGTAGGAAACGAGCCACGCTCCATTTCAGGCTCGGACTCAAGAAACAGATCGGACATCGTCGACAGGCCCGCTTCAAACCGTCAAGCCGATCATAGAGATTTCTTGTTGCATGCTCTGCTTGAGCAAAGATGTACCGACGAAGTGCTTGCGAGTTACAGCGGCGGCAGACCGATCAATCAAGCCTTGCGGGACTCGCCAGAGGTTCAAAGAATGGCAAGGGCGCGATATCAGAGGCTCAGTGCGCAATTGGCTTCTCTGGATTTGATCTCGTCGGGACTTGAAACGGATCAGCATGCAATCGCTAGGCAGCGCTACCGTGACGGCCTGGATATCCTGAGCCAGGAACGATCGACCGCCGCGGTGTCTCCTCATCTGCGAAGACTACTTACAGACAGTGCCCTTGTGCGGCAACCGAGTGTCGACCGTACGAATTCCGTTGAACGCGAACCCGCCCGGCCGCCCGCCCTACCCTTTCCGCTGCGGCGACTGTTGACGGATGTGGAGCCTCCGGACCAATACTGGCCTGGAGCGCGTGATGAAGTGGCTCTCATCAACCATCCAGGCATCCTGGCTGCTCGTCTGCCTGAGCCTCGATATTTTCGCGAGTTTGAAGAGCTCAGCATCCTAGGGCGTGGCGGCTACGGGATTGTCTATCAGGTGAAACATCGGCTCGACAGTCAGTTCTACGCCGTGAAGAAAGTTCCGTTGAGCGCAGACAGGTTGCAGCGGATCCAGGAGCGAGGCCACGCGGAGCTGGATCAAGTGCTACGGGAACTACGCACACTGGCGCGGTTGGATCACCCGAACATTGTACGATACTATGCTGGATGGATCGAGTGGGTAGACGGTGTCAACTCTCAGAGATCAATCCCTGGAGGCGATCTCGAGCACACAGTCTCAGGTGCTTCGGACAGCGCGGCTTTCCCGCGCTTTCAGCCCGTTTCGTCAAACAGCCACGAGGACGACCTAGAAGGTCTGTTCGAAGAGAGCGAGGGTGATGTGCAGGTTTCTCAGAACACCAGATTCTCTGCTAGCACCGAGACGGCTGTGTCGTTCAGTCGTGGCGTCGACGCTTCCGCCAGCATCGTTTCTTCCGCCGAACGTGCCAATTTTGGCGCATCTACGCTTGCCATTCACATGCAAATGTCGTTGCACCCAATGACTCTCGCAGAGTTCCTATCTCCGCCCAATGGTCAGTCATCTGGTCCCGGTGCGGCAGTGCCCCTTGCGCACTGCTTCCACATCGGAACATCCATCTCCATCGTCCAGGCCATTATCGACGGTCTGGAATACCTCCACAGCGAGGACATTGTGCACCGAGACATCAAGCCTGGCAACATCTTCCTTGGCCGCAAAGACAACCCCAGATCGACAGGCGCGTCCGTAGATCTCATGCTGTGCAGCGAGTGTCGCGCCGCGGGCCACGCAGCTCCCATCAAACTCGAAGTCCGAATCGGTGATTTCGGATTGGTCTCGGTGGCTGATCCGGAGGCTCCAACAGCCGTGGGACTTGAAGCCGTCGGCACGGAAATGTATCGACCTGTCGACGGCGATCGGTGCGCCACAGCGCTGGACCTGTACGCTTTGGGCATTGTCATGTTTGAGCTGTGTTGGAAGTTCGACACGCGCATGGAGCGTGTGCATGTCATTCGAAAACTGAAGCTGGGCGAGTTCCCGGCGGGGTTTGCGGAGAGGCTGGGAAGGAAGTGTGGGACGACAATGATGGAGTGTATTGCGGTCATGATGGCCGATAATGAGGATCCAACGTCCATTTCTCAGGTCAGAGAAATGTTGCATGCGATACAGAATGCAGCGACATAGACTATACACGCCTAGCACGTAGGTAGCCGGCTATGCAGCCTTCTTCGACGCTCGAAACTTCTCGTGCCACTTTCGTTTGGCGCCGAGCGTGGATCCTGATCCTGCAGTCGACCCGCCATTTGCTGCGGCCACGGCATCAAGCGAGTCCTCAACAATCAGTATATCTTTACCGCCGTTCTCCAAGCGATAGCAGCCATTGAGAAGGTTGAGCGCTGCGTGAGTGCGCCACTTCTCTGGAAGAAGGTCCGCCCATTTCGTCTTGAAAGGTGCTGTCGAAATCGAGCCGCTTGTTGGACCAGAAAGGTCTTTCAACAATGCTAGTCCGACCCTCTTTGCACATAGTTCCGGATCGAGGGTCGTGGTATTCGAGGTGAGATCCGGAGTAGACATGCTTCGCAATACAGCGGTTGATACTGCTTCGGGCCAGTCGCTCTCCATGTTCAGTAAGCGGGACAGGTCATCGCGATTCAGCTCCCCTGTCAAGTCGATGCCCGTTGCTGTCGCTGCATCAAGCACAGCCTTCCAGACTGTCGTCTTCACGCTTGCGGTTGGGATAACGGCATGTTGACCATCACCCGATTCGAAGCACGCGAGCTCGATCCATCCAGCCTCACACTGCCCATCGTTCAATGGGATGTTGGCAAACAAGTCGTCCTTGCTCACAGCCGTACTCGATGATTGGTGTTGAGTTGATGTATAAGACGGCAATGCAGCGACAATATAAGGTATTGCAGACGTCGCGGAGCAAGGCAGTAGCTCCAACGTTGACTGAGGCTGTGCTATCGCCTTCAACACCGGTTGGGAAGAGACGTCCGGTATCTTTGACTGAGAAGTTGACTCCGTAACGAAGACGGTGTTCGATGTGCTCACTTGGCGGATTTCGTATGTCTTGTCGGGGGTACATAACACCGCGCTGTTCATACCGGAGTCGTTTTGGGAAGATTTGAGTTTTATACTATACCTGGCTGTTAGTGTTGCTCGATTGATAGACGTTATGAAGCGTACACTGGAGCATTCGCGGATGTAATGAGGTTCAGGAGATCAGGAGGGAGTTCGAGCAGGCGGAAATGCTGTTGGTTTTCCTCAGCCACGATCGCGAGGTCAAAGCCAGCATCGTCCGGAGTCGCCATGTCTGTGGTTGTATAGAGAACAGCTTCGTCAAGGGAGTTGTTGCAATATTCAAATCGCGTCGGCGAGTGCTGGTCAGGTGTTTTCGCGCGAGTGCTCCACGTACCGCGGCCTGTAGCGACACTTTGTGCAACAACCTAAATTTAGATTCTGCCTCTCACTACCATTACGCGAAATGAACTCAAGGTAAATCATGTCAGGGGAAGTGTTCGATCTATAAAATGATAGATCTATTTTACTATTCATTGCGGATAACCAGTTATCTTTCCTGGATTGTTATCCCTCCGCTAATGCTTATTATGTGCCTCTTGACGTGCTCTGGAGCAACTTCGGGGTCATGCACATGATACCATGCACCCTATGACATAGATATCGATAGCTCATCCGTTTTCGACGCAACGCTATGGAATGACCTTCCCAAACAACCTCTCCGACAATCTAATCCGAAAGCCAACCCACCAATACTGCAAACCCGCCCACCACTGGGCAAACCTCCCGCCCAAAGTCCACAGTCCAAACACTCGCGAATAATGAAAATTCAATGTCGCACAATTCGTGACCTCCGTACGATACTGCCTCCAGGTAATCTTCCCCTGCACCGCATCCGCAAGATGTAATGCCTGGCGGGCGGCCTCATTCGTCCCTCTACCGGAATGCGGCCTGGCCATGCAGAACGCCTCACCCACCAGTACGACATGCCCGTCATGAAACACGCACTCGGGCGCGATGAAGTCACTGACGGCTGTGATGAACGGGCGATCTGATGAGATCTTCTCTACCATCTCATCGAGCGGCGGCGGGAGTGTCTTTCGCGCGACACCGAGTTGAGCTTCCCAAGCATCCGGGTGCATTTTCCCGGGCGGCAGCGTCCAGCGGTGTAGGTTGCCGTCAACGTCCGTCATAGATCTGACATACACCGGGCTGTTTGCGGAGCAGTAGTCGTACCAGACGAAATTGACAAGTGATTCGTCCGGGCCGAAGCGTCCGTCGTCGGCGGGGATCAGGTAGGTCATGGTATACGACTTCACGGCGGGATTGATGATTATGGGCGCGATACCGGGCCGGTAGAGGTCTTTGCCTAGGGCAGAAAGTTGATTGCGAGGTATTGTGCCGCGCCATGCCATATAACCGGCGTACTTGCGTAACACGGGACGGGAGGGGAGGAGGAGTTTGCGGATTGTCGAATTACCTCCGTCAGCGCCAATGAGGAGGCGTGTTTTCAGAGTGTGCGAAGCGTTTGTAGAGAGGTCGTCGTAGTGCACGAGAACTACTTTCTCGGATCTCAGATACTCGATTGATGTGACCTTGGCTCCTGTTTTGTATACCCCCTCGCCTTCGTCAGGGTAATCTGACGCATTCGGGGCTCGTTGCGGGCACACCGGCGTAATGAAGCGGTCGAAATGCGCTCGAAGTCTGTAGAACAAGATATTCCAACCTGTCATAACGCCCGGGTATGGCTCAACTCGTTGGATCTCGAGCTTGCCATTGACGGAGCTGTAGAAGTGGACTTGCTCCATCGAAGGCCCAACATCGTCGAGAGAGACTCCAGCACTGTTGAACAGTTTACGAACTTGGTCGGTCAGACCAATGCCGGCAGCTTGGGATTTTCGGATATCAGAGTGAAACTGTTCGAGGATCGTAACGTTGTAGCCGCATCGTTTTAAAAGGACACCGCTTAGCAGGCCGGATAGAGAGCCTCCGACAATGACCACGTCATGGATGTCTTTCCTATCGCTCATCGTTGCGTTGGCGAGTGGTCAATTGAGTTGTACAGCAGCGATGGCGAGGCGAGGAAGGGGCAAATATTTGTAGAACTGAAAAGCTGTGCCTGGCACAGATTTTTGTACACATATAGAATCGTTTCACTGCTCCCACAGGATGTAGCGGCAAGTACCCTATCTGCAGACACGTGGTTAGAGTTTCAAGACGCGCAACCAGGACCTGATACCCCGCAAATCAGTAATCATGTCGCAGGACGGCAAGAAGGTCTTAGCCGAGGAGGTGCTCAAGCACTTCCGGGAGAAGGACTGCTAGACGGTACTCAATGGCAAAGTGTATGACTTAACTAACTTTGCGCCGGATCATCCTGGTGGAGAGCAGGGTACGGGCAGTGCCAACGGCGACGTTTGATTCGATTTACTGACGTAATGACACTATAGTCATCTACCAACACGCCGGCAAAGACACGAGCGAGACATACAACACATACCACGCCGCCGACCTGATCGAGAAGGAACCTTCGGCTTCCGAGAAGAAAGGCGCATTTGACGAATCGCCGATATCGCAGGAATGGACCGACGCTAATAGTCACGATCGCAAGTTCAAAGCCAGCATCGTCCTGAGTCGCCATGGTCCTCTGTCGTTATGCAAAGAAGAGCTTCGGAAATGGAGTTGTTGCAATACGGATATTCAAATCGCGTCGGCGAAGCTGGTCAGGTGTTTTCGCGCGAATGCCCCACGCTGGACGAACTTTATATCCACGTCACTTCCAAATTTGGAGCGCGGCGCGTGGCGCGGACAGCTTCTTCCCTGCTGTCCCACCCAAGCTTGCCTGTTTTCAGCCATTGTTATGCGGCCGCCAGGTCACCGCATATGCACCTCGATCGCTCTCTTCGTGCTCTCTTGACTTGCGGCGCGTTGCTTACCACCTCGCTCGTTCCTAGCTCTATTGCAGCGGTTCTTGCACGAGGGGAATGCATTCAGCGCAAACGCTCGCGTTGGTCATGTTGACACGACCATTGGCTGCGACACGGCTCTTCAGACACTGAGCAAAGATGGCCATCGTCAGGCCTGCACCTCCGGCGCTTTCGGGCGAACTCTCCCTTTACCACACCACCGATCCGCTCCTTTCAAACTCCCCCGTGCTGGCTTTCTATGGGCCAGCAGCGACGATTGGCGCGACGAGCTCGCGTATTCAGATCCATGTCTTCACGCCAGCGGGTCTCGGCTCCTACCCAAGACTTGCAGTCTCACCAAACGCAGCCCACTACTCTGCAGTGAGCAGTCTACCGCGCGAAGAGCAAGGAGATGAGGTGATTCGAGGCCTCGCTTTTGGATTGAAGAAATATTTCGTAGAACTGTCGGAGGATGTGAGAGACATCTGGTGCGTGGAGACCAAGGCCTCAGCGCCGGCCGCGCTGTTCACCAATGAGCATGTCGCAATTCTTGCGAGTCGGATGACGCGAGTGGAAAACACAGAAGAGGTCATTGAGCATCTCTCGCGTGCCTTCGGAGAACAGAGACTATCTTGGGTGGATGTCGATGTCGTGCTTCCTTCTGGAGCGATCAAACAACATCAAGATGGCCGGGATACGGACGACCTGAAGGCGCTGTCCGAACGTTACGGGAGGTACGCAGAGCTCATCGAGTCGCTGGGAGAGCTCTCATTTCTGCCGACATCCGCTCTGAAACGCGCACCATCCAAAGCGTCGACAATCGGACGGACGGCTTCCTTCTTGAGGCTGCAGAAAGAGAACCTCCGCAAAGAGATACAGGAGTTGCTTGACACCGAAGAGCGATATGTCGATCGGATTTCCGAACTGGAAACGCTGTTCAAAACCGTTACGAACGATGCACAAGGTCACCCACAGCAAGGATTGGTCGACCTCTTCCCTGCAGCCATCGAGGACATTGCCGACTTGAACGCCGCATTCTTGAGAGGCCTTCGCACAATTGTTCGATCTACAGAAACGACAGCATTGATTGATATTGAGACCACGGACCCGGATGTACCAGCACCGCTACAGCCACATCAGGCTGTCTTGCCAGACAATCAGGGTGCTGTCGCTGTCGCCAACTGCCTGTGTGACTGGTTCCCGCAATTCAGCGAAGGCTATCGCAAGTACATGCGAAGTCACGAGAACTCAGCCCAACTCCTGCGCGATCTCATGAAAGACCTGGACTCCCCGCAGGCCGCTGATCTTCAAGATTTCGGAGAGCAGAAACTATTCTCACTTCTCATTGAGCCCATTCAAAGACTGCCGCGCTACAACCTCTACATCGACAATATTGTGAAGCAGCTGCCATTCCGTCATCCCGCGATCAAGCCGTTCCTGAAAGCGCGAGACCTCATCTCGGATATCTGCGACTATGAAGACCTTTCTGACTTGGCCAAAACGACGATGGAGAGGCTCCGAGCCCGGGTAACAGACTGGCCGTCTGAGACGCAGCCTTCAGGACGGCTAGTGACCGCAGCAGATTTCACCCGATTGAGCCCGCCATACGATCTGGAGAGTGGCAACGTTGACCAAGGAATTCTTCTGGTGTTCACACAAAGTCTGGTCGTTCTCGGGAATGCAGGCCAGCACGCAGTCTCCGCCAAGTCACTATTGAATGAACTTGAAAGTGGACCTGCTGCTACTCAGCATCTTCATAACCGAACGACTACTCACCTGAGATTTCTTCGTCAAGTTCAGCTGAACTCGGTAGACTGTCTGGAAGTCTTGAACGGAGAAGCATTGGAGTTCTTGTCAGACGAACAGCACACTAGTTCAACAGGGTCCCAGGATACGTCGTGCCAGACGCTGCGCCTGCACGGGTCTTACGAACGGCGTGCGGAGCGTCTTTTGGAGGAGCTCTGCAAAGCCCGCATCGAGGGCCGCTTCAGTGAGGCTGAACGAGATGGTACGAAATGGGAAGTGCGTGCCTCGGATCCCATCGCAGACACTGTAAACCTCTTCAGCGCCGTGTTCGAAGACTCCAACCCGGACTTCACCAGTATGAGAACTTCCTGCGCTCCAATACGAGTCATTGTCGACATTGACAGGCACACACACCGGCCCCGAGCTGGTCAAAACGGAGTTCGCACCGTCGCTTCCGTCTCACCTTTGCGAGATGGGCTATGGCGGCTTGCGATTGACTCGTTGGACGGCAAGGTAGCCCCTGAGCACGTGCCAGCGTCAACCCTTGTCCGAGCACTACGGAAAAAATTGACCGTGTTGACTGCCTCGCAATTCGGAATCGAGCAGCCGGCTTTGACAGCCTGCCTGCTCGCCACGCATGCTGACATCCTACTCTCTATCGATCTGCGATTCAAAACAGAAGGGGAAGAAGCATCCCAAACCTCCCGACAGGAACGTACGAACCGGCCCATGTCCCCGAAGAAGTTCCTATCAAGCTTCTTGTCGAGCACTGGTTCTGGTAGCCAACCCCCAATGGCGCTGAAGAAACAGCTCCCACCGTTGCCACCAACCAGTCTGCCTCGCGCTCCAACCATGAATCCGCCATCCCTCAAGCCGCCGAGCCGCGGGAGTCGCCCCTCCTCAAAGGACCAGCCCACACCAACATCAGTGCTGTCGATGCGCTCAACCGATCAGCTAGACAATCCATTGAAGAAGCTGGAAGACACCTTGTCGGCATATTTGCTTGCTCTGCAGGCGCGCAAGGGCAACATTGTCGGGCGGAATCTCAAGATGCGTGCGTCAGCGGATGAACTCGCCGCCAATGAGCTGTACAATACGCTGCTCGAAGACCCCAGCATGATGGTGCTGGCAGCTCAAGCACCGGTCGACGTCTTGTTCGTGGCATTTGAGAAGTTCCTCAACGTTGCGTGGAAGGAGGTGATTGGGCAAGTCATGCCATTCGCCAGCATCCAAGAGATTCAAGCAAAAGCAGAGACCTCTTTCCCTGCGGACTTTGACGAGTTTTTCAAGTCCACTCTCAGCAGCTTCCCTCCGCAAAATCAACGGGCGTTCAGGGGGATCATGAAGCTGCTGGCAGACCTTCTAGATGGGACTGGTAACGACAGCGATCGCGGGATTCTGACTTGTGCCTTTGCCGAGCTGCTTGTCACGGAGGGCAATCCTCACGACTACATCGCACTCATCGACAGATTCGTCGATGACCCTGACACCTATTTCGGCGAGCCGCTTGAGGATGTCCAGAAGGCGGCGGATTCGTCAACAAGCCCTCACAAGAGAGCGCGTTCCACCAACTCTGCGTCAATCACCTCCAACACGTCGTCGCTCAGGAAGAAGTTTGGCTTTGGCCTCTCGAGAGAGAACAGCAAGTCTGAGCCAGAGTCGAAGATGGCTTCGGTATGGCGTTCACTGAGCAAGAGCACGAGAGGCGATGCTAGTCCGGGGGGTCACCTTCCGAAGGTCCCGTTGCACCGGTCCCAATCGACTGATGCTGATGTTCGCGTCGCAGCCTCCCGGCCAGTGTCTTACGATGGTGCTCTGTCCACTTTTGGCGAAGACTTGTCCTTCACCGGCTCGAATCTCAATCTCAACCTGGGCTTGGGACTGGGGCTGTCCACTATCGGCGAACACCCAAGTTTCATACCAACTCAGCCGCCGAGGAAGAAGAGGCGTAGCTCGCTCTCCGATCTCAAGGCTCTGGAGGTGACCCAGCAGGCGTCTCCCGCGTATTCGCCAGCAGCAGCTCGACATCCACCAGTGGCCCAGAGAGTAAATGTGGACAAGTCGCTGCCCAGCTCTCCCTTGCCTTCTTCGCCTTCCTCTAGAGGCGGAAGCGGGAGATTCGGCTCGCCTTCTAGAGATTCCGCACGCTCGAGACTGCCCACGTCTTTCTTGAAGGAGAACTCACCCGGGCCGACTAGAGGGCTTGGGATTGGTGAGTTGAGACCGAAGAGCAGCGACAGTAAAGGGAATGATTCTCTTGTCTCTTCGAGACCGAAGAGCAGCGACAGCAAGGCGAATGAAGTCGTTATCACTTCAAGACCAACATCGGGTATCCCAACGCTCACTCCGAGAGGCCTTTCGCCGCAGAAAGCTACTGCGGCCGTGCAAACCAGTCCAGTACGCGCCGGTCTAGCAGAGCGGCCTGGAGCCGGAAACATCGTCAAGAAGCCATCGCCGTCTACAGAAAAGACGATCAGATCACCCGTCACAGTGACGGAAACTGGCTCGCCAAAGAAGCTTCGCATGCAGTCTCCGCAAAAGCTTCGAGAGCGCCTGCAGAATGAACAGAACGCCATCGCAGCCACTCAAGCGACATTGGCAAATGAGCTCAGCAAGATCGGCGACGAGCTGGCTTCGACTCCGAATCGTACGGGCTCCCAGGCTATTCGTTCACACGCTCATGCCGCCACTCCGACGGATCTGGCCCAGCGTGTGTTGAGAATGGAAATGCAGCTTTCAACACAAATCGCAGACCTCACCAGTCAACTGGCCAGCATCCAGTCCGATTTTGCGACTTCTCTCGCCGTCTCGGAGGCCAAGTGCAAGCGCCTTGACGACTTGTATCGTGAGTCGAATGCGGAGAATGAGGCGCTGTACGCGCGGTTCAACGACGAGTTGGGCCGGGTTGTCAAGGCTGTGAGGGGCGGGGAGGCGCTGGAGGAGTTGAAGCTGAAGTTGAAGGAGAGCCAGGAGGAGGCTACGAAGGTGAAGAGGGAGAATGTGAGGTTGAAGCGGGAAAATTTGGGGCTGAGGGCGCAGTTGAGGGAGTGATCAGATGGGTATGAGGGAGAGGAGGGCTGTGGCAGGTTGTGATGCATCTTCAGCGGGATAACATGGTTGGGGACTGAACATAAGTTTACGGTTGTATACTCTGCGGTGGTTCAAGGTCGTATAACGACGGGGATGTAGCATACAGGCCAGTAGATGATTCCATGACATGAGATGTTCGAAGGAAGTGAAGTGAGTCTGCGCGGCTTGTGGCCTCAGGCTACCAACTTTTGCGGAGCTCGGAGGTGTCACGGCTTGGCAAAAGATTTCAAAGTTGCGGCGCGCGCGTTTCGAAATCTTCACGCGATAATCAAATCGTTTGCTCCGTTTCGACATTAATTCCCATCACTCGTCAACTTCACCCACACCTCGACCAGCACTTCCATGACTCTGGCTGGTCTCTTAGACACCTGATCGATCCGCTGTCTATCGATTCAATCCTCCCCCAAACTTGCACCACATCCACACAGCGAGCGATCCTTGGATGGCGGGCATCTTCGAGCAATCCCGCAACAGCGGCACCCTCTTCCTGGGCGGACAGAAGATCAGCGGCTCCGACATCCGCGATCAAAATGTCCTCGCCACGCAAGCGATCGCCAACGTTGTCCGATCCTCCTTCGGCCCCAGCGGGCTGGACAAGATGATGGTGGACGACATTGGCGACGTCACAGTTACCAATGACGGCGCAACGATCCTGAGCCTCTTGACCGTCGATCATCCCGCTGGCAAGATTCTGGTGGACCTTGCGCAGCAGCAGGACAAGGAGGTGGGCGATGGGACGACGAGTGTGGTGCTGATTGCTGCGGAGATGTTGCGGAGGGCGAACGAGTTGATGAAGATGCGCATACATCCTACCACTATCATCACGGGCTACCGGTTGGCGCTGCGAGAGGCAGTGAGGTACATGAATGAGAACATCAGTACCAAGGTGGAGAACCTGGGGCGGGATAGCTTGATCAGTATTGCGAAGACGAGCATGTCGAGCAAGATCATCGGTGCCGATTCGGACTTTTTCGCCAATATGGTCGTTGATGCTATCACCAGCGTCAAGAGCACGAACGCGAGGGGTGAAGTCAAATATCCCGTCAAGGCGGTGAATGTGCTCAAGGCGCATGGGAAGAGTGCGACGGAGTCGATGCTAGTCAAGGGATATGCGATGAACTGCACAGTTGCCAGCCAGGCGATGAAGACGCGGATCCCGGATGCGAAGATTGCCGTCCTGGACATGAATCTGCAAAAGGCGAGGATGAAGCTCGGGGTGAATGTGGTGATCGATGATCCTGCACAGCTTGAGAAGATTCGAGACCGGGAAGCAGGCATCGTCACCGAGCAGGTGGAGATGATTTTGAAGGCCGGTGCGAATGTCGTCTTTACTACCAAAGGAATCGACGATCTTTGCCTGAAGTACTTCATCGAGAAGGGGGCAATGGCTGTGCGGAGGTGTAAGAAGGAGGATCTCCGACGGATTGCAAAGGCCACTGGAGCCACCATGGTGTCGACGTTGGCAGACTTGAACGGCGATGAGGGCTTCGATCCCAAGAACATCGGGTATGCGAAGGAAGTGGTGCAGGAACGGATAAGCGACGACGAGTGTATCCTCGTCAAGGGTCCGAAAGAGCACACCGCGGCGTCGATCATCCTCCGAGGAGCGAATGAATACAGTCTGGATGAGATGGAGAGGAGTGTGCACGACTCCCTGTCGGCAGTCAAACGAACGCTGGAAAGCGGAAGAATAGTACCCGGCGGCGGAGCGGTGGAGACGGCACTGCACATCTACCTCGAGGAGTGGGCCACGAGCGTGGTAAGTCTCAGCCTTCCCCTCCCACTGATCACCCAAGACTAACATTCATCCCCCAGGGATCTCGCGAACAACTAGCCATCGGCGCCTTCGCCGCCTCTCTCCTCGTCGTGCCCACCACCCTCGCCGTCAACGCAGCAAAAGACAGCACGGAGCTCGTAGCGCAACTCCGCTCCCGCCACGCCCTAAGCCAACGCACCGCCGAACCCGCGCCCCTCCCCTCCTCCCAACAACCCCCCACAACCGCCTCCCCCAACGGCGCCCCGAAATCCCCCACCCAACCAGGCCGCCCCGCCTCCTCGCAAGGCAGCACCGGCGCCGCCATCGACGCCGACGCCAAAGCCCTCGCCAAGGCCAAGGCGTACAAGAATTACGGCCTGGATTTGAGCAAGGGGCGCGTGCACGATTGCTTGAAGGCGGGCGTGTTGGAGCCGAGTATGAGTAAGGTGAAGCAGTTGAAGAGTGCTGTTGAGGCTTGCGTGGCGATTATGAGGATTGATACGCTGATTAAGTTGGATCCTGAGCAGAGGGGTGATGGGGGCGATGATGGGCATGGGCATATGTGAGGGTCTGGTTGACTTGCTCGTTGTCGGTGGCCCCCCATGCGGAGAGAGAGTTGATGATAGTTGTACTATTACGTCTAGCTCAAAAGCCTTACGCATTGGAGGTGGAAAATAAGTATCACTTGATACGGATAGATGATGCCAATAGGATGTCATAAGTCTAATGCTGAGCAACCCCGTCAGGAAGTGCTGTGTTGGCAATGAGACGTGGTCTGAGGTCTCAATGTAAGACGCAATATGGCTCGGCCATGAGCTCTTCCCATACCTGGGTGCCGTCGTATGCTTCCGCACGGCGTGAGTTCAGCTGCAGAGCGCATTCTTCTGCGCTACGTCGGCTCTTGCCTCGTGCTTCATAGTGTTGATGAACAGTCGTCGTAATCCGCAGACATGCGCTCAGAACCAGATCTTGATCAGCTCCTCGCTCACAGCAGACGGCAACAGCACACCACTTTCTGTGATGATGCCGGAAATCAGATGCGGCGGCGTGTAATCCACCGCATCGTCCAGAGCAGTACTGAGCGGTGCCTTCTCCTGCGCCTCCACATCCGCAACGCCCTCATCACTCCCCACCCGCGCATCATCCTCATCCTTCACCGACCCCTTGGCCGTCCGGAAGTCCACGACGTTCTGCTCAATCCCGAGGTCCTGCTGATTGATGGGGTACAAGCGGACGAACTTGTGGCTCTCGCTGACGACGTAGAAGGGCTTGTTGGCCGCTTTGGCCAGCATGCCGATCTGGTACGTGCCCATTCTGCTGACGATGCCGCCGTTCTCCACCACGCCTTCGGCACCGACGAAGCATTGCGTTACTTGGTCCATGCAGTATGCGACGGCCGTGGACGGGATGGTTGCGACGGGGATGTCTCGCTCCCGTAGGGCGGCGATGTTGGCTGCGCTTTCGTCCTCGGCGGCAGAGACGCTGTTGGAAGACAGCACCCAGATTACTTTGAACCGCGTGCTGCCGCGGTGATTGCCATTGCTTGATTCCGCGGCTTCACGCAACATCGAACCCACCACGCGCGAGCCGCCGTTGGTCAAAATGACATTGCCATCCCGTACAAAATGCCTCCCCAAACCCGCAATCGTCTCGCGCGCAGCCTTGGCCCGCTCGACAAACACCTTCCCATTCCCCACAAGGTGCGCGCGCATCTGCTCAAAGTCGACGTTCCCACTGCTGGGCCGCTGCAGGTTGGAGATGAGGTATTGCTGGAAGAGATCCGTGCCGGCCGAGAGGGAGATGGAGTTGGGGATGGCCCGCTTTAACTCGGCCGTCAGCTTGCCCACCAGGTCGAGCGTTTCCGACACGGTGCTGGAGGGCGTGTCGGCGATGGCGAGGATGAGGGCCTCGATGGCTGCAACGGGCATGGTGATGTCCTCATCTTCCGTCAGGAGGCGTTTGTAGACGCCGACTATGTCGAACATGCCGGGCTGTTGTGCGTGTTTGCTGCGGGAATTCGAGGCGACGGCGGTAGAGATGGGCATGAGTGTCAAATTCGATGCCTGACTCAGCAGCACGCGCTCTCGGCCGGGAGCCTTGCCCTCATCCACCATTACATCACCACGACTCGATATCAATTGAACGGTACCTTAAGGTGGAAGTTAGGGCAAGCCTTTAAGTCCGGGCACAACAGTACATAAATATAGAGCGGCTGTCATCTCGCACATTCCCATCCACTACACCTCCACCTTAACCTCTCTCGCTCCAGTGAACCGCAAGCCTCGAACTCTCCAAGCACTCCAACGTAACAATGGCCGCCAAAAGAATCGTCTTCATCACAGGCGCCAACACCGGCTTGGGCTACGAAGCAGTCAAAGCCCTCTACAACTCCCCCAACGCCTACGAAATCCTTCTCGGCAGCCGCAGCGTCGACAAAGGCGAAACAGCCATCTCCACGCTGAAAAAAGAGACCGCCCAAAGTGCCAGCTCCCTCTCAACAGTCCAAGTCGACATCGAATCCGACGACTCCATCACCAAAGCCTTTGACGCCATCGCCGCCAAACACGGCAAACTCGACGTGCTCATCAACAACGCCGGCGCCAACTTCGAGCGCGACATCCAGGACGGCAAATTCAGCCTGCGCGAAGGCTGGATGAAGTCGTGGAATGTGAATGTCGCCGGCACGAATGTGCTGACTTCCACGTTCGTGCCGCTGCTGCTGAAATCGCAGGATCCGTATTTGCTCTTCATTACGAGTGGCACGTCGAGTATGGGCGAGGCGCAGCGCTTCGATGCCGATATTTTCCGCCGCCTCAATCAGTCTCCCGCTGCGGGGTGGCCGAAGGCGAAGGAGCCCAATCCTACCATGTCGTATCGTAGTACCAAGGCCGGTCTGAATATGATGATGACGCAGTGGGAGCGGGTGCTGAAGGAGGATGGCGTGAAGGTGTGGGCGATTTCGCCGGGCTTCCTGGCTACTGGTTTGGCGGGTATTGGGGCGGAGAAATTGAAACAGGTGAGTGGACGTTTCTTGTGTTCTGCTTGGTGTTCTAGGGGTTGGCTGACGGTGTTTTACTACTTAGATTGGTGCTCAAGACCCGGCAATCGGCGGCCAATTCATTCGGGATGTTGTCGAGGGGAAGCGAGAGGCGGACAGAGGCAAGGCCATTAGATCGGATATGATTCAACCGTGGTAGACGGGCACTGCCATGAAGGCGCGGAGGTCAACGGGAATTAGATATGTCCTGTAGTGTGCATAGGCCTATCCGCAATCACCAAACGCCAAACAATGCCACTCGCCCAAAAGCCAGACTCCCTTTCCCCGTTTTTCTCACCGTCCAGGCCGTACAAGAAGATATCCAAGACACTGCAGAAGACGGGGCCATTACGCCTTCCCCTTGCTCACTGGCGCCGGAGGTGGCCCGGTGCCACTCCTTGCTCGTCTTTCCCGCTCTCCCACTCCGGATCCCGGCACCTTGAGCTTCAACCCAGTGCCCTTGCCACTTTCGAATTTGCCCGAGGTGGCACGAGCCCATTCACCTTCGCTCTCATCGCGGCCAAGCCAGTACCGCTTGGTGGGGAAGCGAAGCATGAATCGCCCAAGCTTGCCTTTCCACCCTGCACCCTCTTCGCGGTCGGCGCGGAACGGGTTCTCGGCGATGGTCGGGTCGTCCGACTGGCTGTACGCCGTGGACGTGCGAGCAATGTAGGCGCGGAGCACGCTGCGGGCAAAAGACATGTACACAATGCAGAAGTAGGTGCGCATGAGCCAGAGCAGGCCCAGGATGGTGAGGGAGGCCATGCTGTCGGACTGGAAAATGGCGGCGCCAAGAGCACTAGCGCCGTAAGAGTGGCCGAAAGCAATCGCCGTCTGGCCTGGCACCAGTCCCGGGCGGGGCTGTGCAAGCACTTCGACTCGCGTTACATTCGTCGCCGGATTCGTGAAGCCGGCCGTGTCTTCGATTGTGCCCGCGCCGGGTGTGTCGGAGACATCGCCCGGTCCTATCGGGCTGGTGTTGCTCAGGCTTTGCGCCAGCACCACGAACCAGCCGGCGCTGAAGAGAGCGGTGTAGGCGCAGTTGACCACCGTGTCGATCACGTACACCCATGCCAGCGCGACGTTCTGCAGCGGCTGGTCTTTCCTCTTGATGCTTGGCGCGAGCCATCCGACGAGCGAAAGGATGACGAGGGAGTAGATGTAGTGGGAGAGTTGGAGCGGGTTAAGTTCGTAGCCGGTGAAGATGGCCAGGATGCCGTAGAGTCCCGTGACTTTGTTGACGAGGAAGAGGAGGGTGATGATTTCGGTGGCGGTGCGAAGGGACATGAGGTGAAGGAAGGACTGGAGGATGTGGTGTCAGCGCGGGTCTGGGTGGCTGAAGGTAGCGAAGCATGTCTTACCTGAGGCTTCGGGAAACGCAGGATGAAAGCCATGTTGCGTGACGGGGAAGGAGCAGTAGTTCGAGTTCTATCTGGAAGTCGTCGAAGAGGATGCGCACTCTATCGCGCCATGTGGTGTAGATGGGAGGTGAGGAAGAGGACGGAAGAGTGAGATGTCATCGCCTGCTACTAAGCCCGGCGGACGGCGCGGATGCAGGTTTGATTACGCGCTAGGCCCAACAAGGAACCGGCGCGCAAAAAGTTCCTGTGCTGCATCTCTTGACGCCGACAACTTGCAATAGACAGACCGCACGACAACGATGAGATAATGTCGAAACGATCGCGCGACATAGCGCAGGACGACCGGCCTCCCAAGAGACCCAAACCGGAGCACAGGAATGAAGACCGATCGCAACTCGAGGATATCCATTCGGCGCGGCAACTGCAACAACTTCTAACCTTCCGCCAAGATGGCATTCAGCAGTTACGACATGGCATAGCCTGCTTCAAGGCCTTTCTGGACAAGATTCTATACCAGGACAACGAAGATGAGACCGCAAGACAACTGTCGATACTGCGCGAATTTTTGGAGAGCGCAAAGCCCGCCGATGCCAATGATCTCGAACAGCCCTTTCTCGCGCAGCTCTGGCAAGCATGGTCCTTTGCGAACGAGAACCACATCGACCCTCTTGCATCGTCCGTGAGTGCCATCATAGCGCTGCTCCTTAAGACTTTGTCTGGCAATATCGACCTCCGCGAGTATGGGTACCTGCTTTGCCGGACCGTGTTGCAGTATCAGCATTTGCGGCTCATCAAGCGCAATCTCGAGGCTCCAAAGCATAAGGAGAATGTCATGTCTCCATGCTTGAGGCTGCTGATTGAGGCCGCGAGCTTTGATGGTGGAGTCCTGGCCAAGGAGGTCTACAAGAAACGGGAGCTGACGTTCGATGCTGGCACGATACGGAGGAATCTGGGCCTCATCAGGACTGAGTAGGTTGGATGAAAGCTTGGCTATCAACTGTCGCTAATCAGCGTTCTAGCATTCCCGAGGCGGAACTTCACAGACGGTTCTCCATCCGAACGTGGACGGTTCGTTACATCTTGACACTTCTGAAGCACGTGCACGAAGGGGGAAAGGTCGACATTCTGTCTAGCAGACCAATCTGCACGGGACTGTTCCATCATCTCCGCGTCGATCCGCCTGCTTTGGTGGAGGAGCTGCTGGACACTGTCGCGAAAAGTGTTCTCAACGATGCAGATTTGCCTCGATCAGCGAAAGCCGCCCTGTTGATCCAGCAAAATCTCGAGCGTGTAACTGAAGTTGCAACTCGATCGCGAGCAGGCAACGCATCCGCTGAGAAAGCGTTCAATTGGCTGAAGAGCGTATGCTCTAATCCATCACTTGGCCTGCTCCGGACTAGCGGCTGGTACCCTCCAGGCACCACAAATGAAAGTAATGTGGCTGATGGAGATGGTACCATTGATCTTGGACTGGACAGTATCGAGTTCTATGACCGGGACACCCGGCCAGACATCAGGAACACTAACCTGTTGCCATGGCTATGCACCCTTCGACCGCACACGAACCTGCAAGAACAAGAGCTCATTCTGCTCTGCTTCCGCTCGGCCCCCGAACTCGTGGCTGCATACTTTGCGGAGAGTAATATGCAGTTCGAGCCCAAGTTGTCCAATACATGGATTGGTTACGCCTCGTTTCTCTTCGAGGTTGTGCAACTGCCTTTGCCTGACCTCTTGGGCAACGAGAACGAATGGGCCGAGTTGCCACCGCAGACTACCATCATGATCGAAAACATACTTCCGCGTCCGTTGACGCAGAAAGCGCTCACTCGATGTTTGAATCAAAGCAGCGAGCTTGTGACGTTTTTTGCTGTACGACTGCTTGTCATCGCCTTTGATAAGATGTCGAGGATCCGAGAGCAGCTGGCTATTGGCGCCGAGAAGTCGCCCGGACGTTCCGACCTCTGGCATGCTGCGTTGGAAAGACTACTGGTCGCGTTCGCTGGTCGCTGTCCTAATATGAAGGATGTGGTGTCCACATCCCGCAAGCTCGCGGATGATGATGAGCATGTTCTCCAGCGGGAAGCCATCACCAGGCTCCTTCGACTCTACTACGAAGTCACTCCCCTCGAAGCATTTGACGCCCAATTCGACATATCTGCTTCTCTCACCGCAGCCTTGCTACGAACAGAATCGGCAGACCAAGGCGAATTTGCAGGGATCCGGGCCCTGGAACTTGAGCATTTGCTCAAGATTGCTCGATTCAATATCGGAGTTCGCTGGCTGAGCAAGCAGGGTGGGCTGATGTACTCGCCAATCATCACCCTTCTCAAATTGCACAGGCAGGACTTGCAGAATCAGACAATCAGGGGATTGATCTGCTATGTGTTGATTGAGAACAGCATCATCAGCAGTACCGCTGTGTGTGATGCCCTTATTGCTTCTCTGATCCGACTCGATGATCCGACGTTCGCTCATGTTGGCGCCTTTCTCGACGACTGCTTTACGCGGGCGAGCCGGAAACCGATCAAATATGTCGATGATATCGAAGCGATCGTTCCATCTCATGGCGAAGAAAGGGCATCTCCGCCGAGTGTCTTGATTGCGGTGCTGTTGGAGCAAGCCGCGTTCGTGCTGGCCAGGCCGACGCCTGAGCGAGATGTCTCGGCTTCCTGGATTGCTACATTCTCGGAGCTCGTGGCTGCTGTCGAAAGCAACACTGCTGTGCATACGCTCGTCGACAAGCTGAAAGAACAGCTCGGTATTTCGAGCACGCGTTCCGCTAAAGGTCGTTTGGACTACTCCACGTTGATCAAAACAGTCACTCTCCAAGAGACTCTCGTTGAAGAAACCAATGGATTCGACTCGGATGATTCGGTCATTATTCCTTTCAAGCCACCGCCTGAAGAGCGTGAAGATCACCCGGAACTCCTCAAATGGGCGAAGAAAGAGCTCGACATCGCACTCGAAGATGGCGCCGTCGATGCCTTGATCCTCTGTCTCTGCTCTCAATACCCCGAAGTCCGCACTCAGGCTCTAACGCAGCTCTACAAACTGCAGGAGAGTCTGCACAATTCCAGTCTAGAAGACAAAGATGCGGTGGCTGTGCTGCTAGGCGAGCTCCTCGAGACGTACGAATTCCATTGCGTGCCGAAACGCGAGGCTCTGCCTTACCTCGCGGGGACGTTTGCGACACGTGCGCTTCGCGTGCAGATGCAGCCGATGCATGTCATGTACCCGAAGATGAACAAATATCTGAACAAGGGGCCCGAATGGCGCATACAGAAGATGCCAAACTACTGGCTCGACAACACCGTGCTTTCTACGCCGGAAATGGACGACGAGTATTGGGAGGAGGCACAGTGGGTCCTTGGTTGGTTGATCGACGGGTTGAGAACACCGGCAGATCACGAAATCTTGAGACGTGCGGCGGTGTTTGAGAAAGTCATGAGTTTCGATGGGTCCCCCGGAGCTGCTGGGCGCAAGGACGTAAGGCACGCTATACTGGAACTCCTGTGGCGAGCGACCTTTGTTGAGGGAGGTAGTACGACACTCATCACTCGCACGGGAGTGCTGGGTTGGCTTGACATGATCGAAAGTAGTGGGGATGGGGTGGAGCTGGCGTTGAAGAAGCGGCTTGTCGAGACTTGCGACAAGACCAAGATCGAGGAATGGAGTGGAGTGCAGTTGAGCGATCTATAGACTCGACATGGAGCAAGTAGCAAATGTGTGCAAACAATGCCTCTCATGTTAAACAAAAACCTCAGCTGACACACCACTCACGTGCCCTCGGGCCCAGCCGCCGCAGATGTCTGGAAGTGGAAAGCACGACCCTGCGAACTTTCGCCGACAACCACTTCATTTCCACCCACCAACCACAAACAAACCGCCCCACCACTCCCTCCTCGCTCATCACCGCGCACACACTCTTCATACTTTGCAGTCGCTAATCCTTATGATCTTTCCACGGCGCAGGAACTCGTTATTGCTGCCTGTCGTTCGCTCGCAGTTGTAGAGCCTCACTACCGTCCTCCACGGCCGAGACACCTTCCAGCAACTCGCTTCTTCACTGAAGGCCCTGCGAAGAAACACAGCGGCTCCGTGTCTTGCGCACGGCCGCTCACTTGGCTCTGTTGCCTCCGAGCTGGGCCATGAGAGATTTCTGTCTTGTCTGAAACATTCTTCACCAACGCACATCCTCCTCCGCCAATTCGCATGATCTCGCTCTGCGCACCTATAAACACCCACCGACCACCTCACACCTCACACCGATCATACAATCTTCAATCTATCTACCCGCACCACCGTGTGGACAGCAATTGCCGCGTGCCCCCAAATACACTCCTCCTCGCTTGCGCCCCGCACGTCGCACAAAACCCCGCATCACACCGCTCACGCCCACAACGGCCTGAAAGGCCGCGGAAGCCTCAACAATGGCTACCCGACGGTACACGCGCGAAGAGCTGCTCACCCTGCGCTCTTCGCCGCTCGTGCACAAGCCCGAGGACTTGCCGGCGATCGAGCAGTGGATAGAGTATGTCTACGTCTACACCGGCGATTCGAGGGAGAAGCTAAGGATCCCGCACAGTGAATCGCTGCAACAACAACAACAGACGTCCACGAGTACGAAGAGGCAGCCGTTGGCTAAGACTGCTGCGACTGGAGGGGATGCTTCGCCTATGGGCAGCTTTAGTACGGGTGTCCGACCGGGATTGGTTAGCAGGACTACGGGGAGCAAGAGTGGTGGTGAGCGCAGGCTTGGCTTGTTGAAAGGTGTTTTGACGGAAAGGCTAATGAAGTATTCAGAGGACATATCGCTGGGACCGCCTAAGACTATGTTTCCCTCGAGCAGAAACACACCTCGTCCCTCGGATGCTGGCTTGACTAGCGCGAATCAGACCGCCACTGGTGATGAACAAGATGGAGCTAGGAATCGATTCCTTGGAGAGCGCACTAACCGCAGAAGTGTGGTTGAAAGAGAGGGGAGAGATACTCGCGACGCCTGGACAATCGTTCGAGAGAAAAGAGCTTTTGGTGGTAACGATGACGAACACAGACAAGACAACAGGAATCAGCGACGAGACCGAGATCAAGATGGTGAGCGCAGGAATGGGCATGGTGAGAGGCAGGAGGGCCGCTGGGGTGAGAGGCGGCAGAACGGAGACAGACAGGGCGGGTGGCGAGACCGCCAGGGTGGCGACCGCGACAGAAGAGACAGAGACTGGGAGCGAGCGGCTGGTACAGAGAAAGCGCCGGAGTGGATGGATGACCCCGCTCCACCAGGCGGAGACGACGATCTATCATCAATGGGCATGCCGCGCAACCAAGAGCAGTTCCAGAAATGGAAGGAAGCTATGAGTGGGAAGAAGGCGACGGCGGAAACTCCTGAACCAGCTGCGAGAGCTGTGACTCCACCGCCCAAGGAAGTCGAGCCGACCAATCCCATGACAACACTCAAACTCGAGGGAGTGGCCGACAAGCCATTCGGGAGCTGGGGTGAAGGGAAGTCATCACAGGACAGTTCATCCAAGCCTTCTGCTATGAAGGGAAAACCCAGCCGGTTCGCGTCGATGTTCAAAGTGGCGTCACCGAAGGACGACGAAACGTTTGCAGATCCACCACCACCTGCAACTGCACCGCCAATCAATTCTGCAGAAGACGCGGCGGGGTTCCAACGCATTCTGCAGATGCTTGGTGGGACGGGTATTGCGCAAGCGCCTGCGCCAGAGACGCCGTCCTCGCCTCCTGGCCGAAGTACTTCCGGTGGCTCGAAGCAGAGGAGCCGATTCACTGGCTTCTTCGATCAGACGCCTAAGAGTCCAGAGAGGATGCAATCTCCGCCGGAAGAAGTCTTCCACCGGAATCAAGTTGAAATGCTTCGTGACAGCCGCAACAGCGTCGAGGACAGTCGCAATATGTTTGTTGCTACACTCCCAGACAGTCGAAATGACGAGCGCGTAAGGAGGGATCAAGTGCCTAGCAATGCGATCTCCCCTGAGCCGCCAATGAATGGATCGCGAGAGCATGGCCATTCAGGGCGCATGAACGACATCTTCCTGGACGGACAGCAGAAGCCTCCTTCACGTGGACCAGCCACTCCAGACATCAACATTCAGAACTTGCTTGCGGCACAGCGTGCTCAGAAGTCTCAGGCACAAGACAAGAACAGCCAATTTTTACTCAACCTACTGCAGGAGAAGGGCTCGCACTCCGCATCGCACCAAGCACAGCAGCAGCAAGCGCAACAGGCACGGCAGGATGGCTTTCCCCTCTGGCTCGACCAACCTCCCAACGTACCACAAGAACCGCATGCGCCGAAGCCGCGCGGTGCGCCTCCGCCACCGGGATTTATTGACGAGCAATTGCTTCGCAGTGGGCACGGAGATCGCTCACGACAGGAGCAGCCGGCGATGCCCGAACAGCGCTCGTCTCAGCGCGCACCACCGGGCTTCTACGATGAACAGGCACTGTACTTCCAGCAGCAACAGCAGCAGCAGCAGCAGCGTCGCAACTTTGCCGAGCAACCCCAGCAACATCCCCAACAGCAAGGTCCCGGAGGTCCAGGGCACACACGCAGAATGAGCGGCCACCCCATGCCGCCGCAAATGCACATGCCTCCCATGCACCAATTCCCTCCTCAAGGCCCACCGCCGGACTTCTTGCAGTCGCCTCAAGGCCCGCCTGGGCCAGGTGGCCAACCTCCGCCCCCAGGCTTCAATCCTCAGTTCGCTCGCCACCCACCCGGCTTCCACGGGCCTCCAGGCATGTTTCAGCAGCCTCCTCCACCGCAACCTCCGCCCCAGCAGCGGGGCGACTTTCCAGGTGGAATGGTCTCGCCTCCGCCCAATGTGCCTCCGGGTTTCTACGCTGGGCCGCCGGGCATGCATCACCCGCCGCCTCCGCCTGGCTTCATGGGTATGAGGAATCCGAATGAGGGTGTGCCTAGCAGGGGCTATGAGGGACACGATGGCGGAATGGGGCCAAGACGCTAGTATCGATGGTGGTAGCAGTGCGTGGCTTTTGAGGAGGAAGTGTAGCAGCGTTGTCATGCGTTGTGAGAAGATTTGATTTGGGCGAGTCAAACGAGCATGACGAAGGGACTATGGGTCTTTACCTTTGTGGCTGCGCTGGATTCATTGCCGTGTCGAGACGGTGCTGGCACAGCAATGAGGACTACATGTCCCACTAGATAGTCCTCGATGAAAGACAAAATGCAAGAAACTGAGATGGATGCTTCTAGTGTCAGATGAATTCGGCCGTAGATTGACAACAAGTGCGATCGTCCAGCTGCTGCACATCTCGCTCAACCTGGCTACGCGACGTGCATATGATGCGATGGCCTCGTTGTGAGAGCGTGGCCGAAATGCACGTGAAATGCACCCTCCCCACCCGGGGACCCCACATCCGCGTCAGACCTTCCCACGCAGAGAAGGAATTTCGGCTCACTTGCTCCAATCGCGTCAACGCCAAACCCAAAGTGCACCGCAACAACGTCATTTTCAAGCATCAGTCCCCCGGAATCGGGACCACGGCATGGGGCGATCAGCATCGTGGGCGGGATTGGTGTTGCTTTTCGATGCCGAGACGTATTAGTCCGGGTGGCGTCTGCTTGCTTTCTATTTTGTTTGCTTGCATGTCTTCTTTCTTCTTGTCAGTCTCCATTACAACTTCTGTTGGAAGTAGAGTGAAGACTCGATAGCAGGGCGGACGTCGCGACAATGGCGCTGTTGAAATACGACATCTTCGGCAGGGGGCTCAAGCTCCAGATTGCCATTACTCTGACGTGTCAGATTGCCTTTATGTTCGTCACACATTCCACACATACCAGAAACAACGTCGAAGAGAGAGAAAGATGTAACGGCTAACACGCGACTCCGCACAGCTTCTTCGGCTACGACCAAGGCGTCTTCTCCGGCATCGTCACCAACACCAACTGGAAGCAAACCTTTAGCAACCCGACGTCCAGCATCGAGGGCATCATCGTGTCCATTTACAACCTGGGCGCCTTTGCCGGATGCATCCTCACCTTCGTCTGGGGCGAGAAGTGTGGGCGGAGGCTGTGTATGTGGATTGCCATGGGCTGGATTGTGAGTTTCGGTGCAGGCATTGTTGTTTTGTCGATGTTGTATGGCTGACCGTAATTTTTTCGGCATAGCTGGTCGGAGCGGCACTACAGGCCTCTTCGTACTCTCGTGCGCAGATTCTCGTTGCGCGGTTCGTCACTGGAATCGGTACAGGCATTGAGGTGGGTCTTTCGAATCTTGAACTTCTTCTCGCGTCTGCGTTGAATCCCTCCTAATACGGTTCCAGACTTCCACTGTCCCAATGTACCAATCCGAACTATGCGACGCAGATAAACGCGGCCGCCTAGTCTCGTCGGAGCCCTTGTTCGTCGGCGTCGGTATCGTGCTCTCCTACTTCTTCGACTACGGCATGCGCTCTGTAGGCGGCGAGGTGGCCTGGAGAGTACCGATTGCCTGCCAAACGTTCTTCTGCTTCATCGTCATTTTCTTGGTGTTTGGCATTCCGGAAAGTCCCAGGTGGCTTTATGCTCATGGGAAAGAAGATGAGGCTTTGCAAGTGTTGTGTGATGTTTGGGATGCGCCGCCAGAGGTTCGTAACGCTTGGTTCTTCGGCCTGCCAGTTGGATCGCCGCTGACAAGTTTCGCTGAGCAGAATGAGAAAGTCAACAAGATGCACACCGAGATTCTGGCGGCTCTGGATCTGGAGCGTCGCACTGGAGAGTATCGATGGCGCGATCTGTTCAAGCGTGACGAGGTTCAGACCGGCCGTCGAGTCTTGCTTGCATATGGCATGCAATTCATGAGTACGAGGTACACCAGCCGCTTATAAGGGAGCTTTGCTAACAGTGTCTGCGATTGCGATCAGATCAAATGGGTGGCATTAACCTTGTCGTGTAAGTTTACTCGTAATGTTCAAACAACGACCTCTCCGCTAATCTTCAACAGGTACTACGTTCCTTCAGCTCTTCAGTACAACGTCGGCCTATCGCCCAATCTGTCGCTGGTGCTCGGCGGCTGCGTCCAAACGATGTAAGGACAACCCGCCTCGACTGTCGCCCGGTCGACTCCGCTAACACCTCAACTCTGTCAGGTTCTTCTTCGGCTCACTCATCCCAACCTTCTTCCTCGACCGCATGGGCCGCCGCAAACCAATGATGTGGGGCAGTCTCGGCCTGGCGATCAGCATGATGTTGATCTCAGTCCTGCTGAGCTTCAAGTTCAAGCCCAACGAATACTCGCACGAGACGGGCGTGAAGACTGCTACGGCTTCTGTCGCCTTCTTCTTCGTGTACATGCTGATCTTTGGCTCGACGGCCAATTGCATCCCGTGGGTATACGTGCCGGAGATTTTGCCGCTGCATGTCCGAGCGAAGGGAACCGCGGTGGGCATTTCAGCGAACTGGCTATGGGTACGTCGATGAGCACGTGACTTGATATGTTTGGGAATGGTGACGGCTGACGATGGAACAGAACTTTGTGGTTGTGATGATTACGCCTACCCTCATCAACAACGTGAGTTCTTACTCAACCTCCTATTTGGCTACAGAGACGCTAACAAGACTCTAGCTGCAATGGAAAGCCTACCTCATCTTCATGTGCCTCAATCTATCCTTCATTCCCCTCGTCTACTTCTGGTATGCATCTGCCCAACCCAGCCCTACCAGACCACAAAAGCTGACCTGCCCTTCTAGCTACCCCGAAACATCCAATCTCACCCTTGAGGAGGTCGACTTCCTCTTCACCAAGGAAGGAAACACTGGCCTTAGGAAGTTCACGCGACGATCGCAGCCTGTGCTGGAGAGCCTCAAGCCTGTTGCAGAGATTGAGGCCGATATTGAGAAGCATGGCGATATTGCGTTTGAGAGGGAGCATGTGGAGGTCCGGGATGAAAAGCATTCCGAGGATGAAAAGAGTGGTTAGGTGGGATGCTATGAGTATAGCTGCATTTGGGACGGGGACTTGATGCGTACCACGGCGCTTTTTCCGCCTTCATGTTGGTGTTGGGACTGGCTTCAGGATACGTAGAACGTGATGTACATCCTGCACACGATGACGTCGTGCGAACGTGCAATGTAGAGAGAGTCCATTTGTCGTTCGCCATTGCACTCGACACGCCTCGGTCCTGATAGTGATGGATATCCAATGACCAGTGACAAGAAACAGACCGGTACTTCAATACCGATCCTCCAACCATTGAAATGTCGAGAAGCATCGCCTTGTCCTTGCCCGGATCCGACGTCTCCCAAAGCGGAACTGCAGTGCGAGGCTTGACGCAACGCGGGGTCGCTAACGGCCGAAAGCCAGAGGCGGGCGGAGGAACTCTGCCTTCCCCGCCAAACACAAGGCTGCGTCACCCCGGCCGTAACATGCCAGGCAATGCAATATATAAACACCTGCGATGTTGGTCAATGGTGGATTTAGAATCATTAAAGACATTCAGAACAAGCAAGACATCGGAATACCATCGTCTTCCTTCATCAGATCGAATCGAAGCATCCATCTCTACACCAGACCAACACCCACTCAATACTTCACATCACTCAACATGTGTTGCGGACACAAACGTCGCCAGCGCCAAAGCGCCCTCAAAGTCGCCGCAACAGCCATCGCAGCGGCTATGGAGCGTCGAGCTGCTGCTAAGGCACTCGCCAATGGTGCTGCTCCGGTCGATTATCAGCTTCAACCACCGCAGGAGCAACGATTCATTCCTATTGAGGAGAAGAAGGATATTCTCAATCCTCCGCCTAGCTATGATGAGAGTGTTGGTGGGAGGAAGAGGGTGGCGGAGCGGAAGTGGTAGATGGAGGGATGGAGAGCTGGGATGTGGATGGGCATTGCTGGACTACCTGAGGCAGAGAGGGCAGGGGCAGTGTCGATGGTTTTCATTGCTTCCTCTGAGTGAATGAAGAGTTCACGCTACGACTATCTTACCCAATGTTACTATCCGCTATCAATTTCACGAACCATGTATCACATCTATATGATCCCATCCTTCCAGTCCACAAGGCTGCGCCACGCCAATCCGCAGGCTGTGCAGTAACTCTACCCCGCCTCACCACCTCAACAACACACACCCCTCTTGACCTCGCACGAAGCTACCACTACTCCCCGCATCCACCCACTACTCCTCCAACGACACACCCACGAAACATTCCGCGAACAAGCCCCCATGAACAAAAAGGCCAGCGTGCCCTTCTTTATTTACCCATTGGTCCTCATCGAGTACGCGGTGAGACGTGTATGCTCGGCCGCCGGTGATTTCAAGCATCGTCATCACGAGCGGAAGCGTAGTCGGGAATCCCAAGCACAAGCACGAGCACGAGCACAAACACACCCTCAACTCATGCCCCTCGACGAAAAGAAGCAGAGTGGTTACAAGCATCCCCCACCGCCTCCCTACTCCGACCTTGTGAACATCCACACTGCCATCCTGGAAGAGAGGTCTGCACGTCACTCTTCTGCTACAACGCCATGACCTCCAGAATCCCCCTTCCACTCGCAATCGTGCTCTTCGCCGTGTACATCGTCGCCGCGCCCGTGGACTGGGCGGTGCGCCGGTGTCGCTTCCCGAAGCGTCGACGAGATTCACAGAAACAGACACCCTCGCCATTTCAAGCCGCGAAGGACGACGAAAATACGAAGCGTGGGGAAGTCGGGTTGGCGCCGCCTAGCTACTATGAGACTGTGTATGGCCACGTTGGGAATTTGGAGGAGAAGGGTGGAGGTGGAGTGAGGCGGAGCCGGATGGTGGATGGATTGTGATTTGATTGAGGAGAGAAGGATAGGCGTCAAAGCTGTTTGGAGAAGATGTTCGACGGCGAGGAGTTGGACGAGTGCAGCGGCAGCTGACGATGGATGAACTTGCCCTCGATTGGAGTCTGGCATTGTATTCGAAATGGCCCCAGCTGTGCGCCATCTACCTAGTAACTCCCCCAATCCACCATTTCCGTTATACGCCAATACCAACCCTCAACATGCAGGCCCACGTACTATCGTTTCCAAGTAGCACCATCCTCGCCGGCGATGCAGTACCACGATTTACACTACTACGCAAGTCAGCCCACGCGCCACAGCCAAGGTCCCGTTGTCCTTGTTGCACATTGCCGGACAATCAAGATCAAAAGTATGCAACGGGCGTACTACTAGAGCTCTTCTCCGCCCCCAGCCAATCCGTGATTTTCCAAAAAGCCGTCGGGCCGGCGGGGCCGTGCATGTCGTAGTCTCTGTGATCGGGGCGTGGTCAGCAGAAACATTGTGCAAGGGAAAGTGGGAGGACTGACTTGTCGAACCAATTGCCCAGCACACCTCGGGCTGATCGCAGCCCGCCGACCTGGATGCCTTCAGACCGCCATCGCTCTTCGCCGTGGAAGATAGAGAAGGTGGTCCAGCGGATTTCGCCTTGGGGGGTTTGTCGGACGGTGCCTAATGTAAATGTCTTAAGTTAGCCGATGACCGCAACCTTCGCGATCTGGCCACAAGATGAAGTACCTCTGATTTGCGAATTGGCGTTTGGATCCCAGCTCGCATGCAGACTCCTCGAGCTCCCGCGGAAGTGCACAATGGGCAACCGCTCGCCCTTGAACTGACTCCAGTCCATCCCGTCTTCCTCTTCATCCTCATCGGCCGAGCCGGGCGGATCGATGCGCGTGACTTGCAGCTTGATACTGATCAGTCGGATGGCTATAGGACGAGAGAAGAAAGCAGCACATCAGTCATTCTGTCTGATGTAATGTTACACGTACAATTTCTTCGAGGTGGATATTACCTTCTTGCGTGTCTATGGGCTCCCGCGCTTGCTCGGCCGGCAGCTCCGGGTTGCTGAAGTTGAAGGCGTAGAGGTCGTTGTAGTCGAGGAAGCAGACGACTCGCATCCATGTGCCGGTGACGCCATATGGGTCGCGATCGTCGAGGGATGGGGTGAGTTCCTTGGGGATGCTGGAGTCCGACTCTTCCATCTCCGAGTCGTCGCTTGCGGATATCTGAGGGGAGACGTAGGATTGCGGGGTCACGCCATCGAATGGCCGATCCCATAGCAGCGGAAAGCGACCGTCTGATCGTTCGGTGAAGTCGGCCAGGTTGAATCCCAGGACGAGCATGATGGCTTCGACTTTCTCCCAGTCGACGTTCTGGCTGCCGTCGCTCATGAAGGGACCCCATATAGAGCCATCGGTGTATTCGCGGAGGTCGTACACTTTACTTCGCGCTACGGTGTGGGCAGGGATGCCGCGGTTCTGAGCTCGTGTGTTGGAGGATGGAGATCCGGTGTCGATGCGGCGGAGGGTGAAGAAGGCAGTCATGGAGTAAGAGGCGGAAGAGCGCTTGGAGGGAACGGGATCGACGGGCTTGCCATAGAGGCAGTGTAATTTGGCCGATGCTTGTTGGAGTGCTTGCGTCGGGGCGGCTTGCTGATCTTTCGTGCCGGCCGTTCTGAACAACGAGCTGGAGCATAGGAAGACATCGATGTTGTCTTGGTCTGCGAAATAATCGCTCAAGAGTTGAACATTTGCCGACTCGTCCACGTCTGTGCAGGCGGTCTGCAGCAGGTGGTCGACCTGCTCGGAGACAAAGCCCAGATTCTCACTCTTGACTTCCTTGTCCTCGCTCTGCAAGATCCTCTCCAACCTTGCCGTTTTGTGAATCAGCTCTTCCCAGTCCGGCTCGTCGAGCAGCTTTGGCTCATCATATCGTCGGAGATAGAGATCTTTATGGAGGAGTCGGTTGCCTTTGATGTACGCATGGAGCGAATGGCATGTTCTGCTCAGTGCGGCCAAGTCTGTGGGTTCGACTTCGGTGAAGACGCAGTGGAGGAGCTCGTGACTCAGGCCGAGGAGGGTCGTCATCGCGGAGAGGGGAGGGTGCGGGGTTGTGGTTGAGTGTGAATCACCAGCGATGCTGCAGGTGAAGAGAGGTCATCGAAGGGTCATCTACGAGACGAGGCCGATGATCGAACGACGCCGACTTGTCAACTGGGATGTCGTGCAGTCGGCAGATGAGGCTCAAGTGGAGTGGTCATGTCCCTCCCCGGCTCCATGGATGTGTTATCTGCTATCTCCGAAGCTCCTCCCCCGCATTAGGCTGGAAATGCACTAGCGCGGTATGGCGTGAGGTCTGCCGCCGCAGGGTCGAGGGAAGTATTAGATGGATACGTGCAGCCTTCTTCACTCCAAAAGACTGCTATTGAACACGCTCCCAAGCAAATTGATGTAGCCTAGAAAATGACATCTTTATCCTCGTCATCCCCAAGCACATTACTCCCTCCCTCCTCTCCCCCGCCTTGCGAATCAACCTGCTCATTTTCCTTGTCGCTGTGACTACGCGACTCCTTCTCACTTCTCTGCTTCTCCCTCTCTTTTACATTCTTCACCTTCTTTAACCTGAAGAACTCCTCTCGGTCCAGCTCGTCCAACTCGCTGTTGATGTAACTGATGGTGTTTTCTGTCCGCGGAATGATGACGTGCTCACTGTAGTCAAGTCAGTACGCAGGTATCTCCAACCAGAGAGACGGAAGACATACATAGCATTGACTCTCCGATTCACCACCTTAATCACCTCATCCAAAATGACAAACGCCGTCTGCAAGCTCGCCAGCTCCACCAACGTCTCCACCGCCCGCGTATACGTCTCCCGACTCTTCTGCACCTGCTGCCCGCCCTTGCCCAGCCCCGTCATCCCAAACTCACTCGTCCCCTCCATCTCCCACGTCTCGAACTGCGGCAGAAAAACACCGCTCACGTTCTCTTGCCGCGTGCGTACGCGGAACTTGGCGCTGCGCACGCTCTCGGTGATTTGGTATTTGATGCCGTCGTTGCCCGTTGCGTACGTCACTTCTGCCAGCGAGAAGGCGGCGATTTGCATCACGCGGCCCATTTTGCGCTTCGCTTCGTCGATGCGCCGCGTGATTTCGCGGAAGCGCTTCGTGAGGGCTTCGGATTTGCGCTTTAGGAGGTCGTGCCCGGTTTGCGCGCCCTTGAGTTTGGCTTTCATGGTTTGGAGGGATTGGCGGGTGGGGAAGACGGGTTCGCGGCCCTGGAGGGGGTGTTAGTGGAGAGACGAGATAGGTGGGAGGTAGTGAGTGTAGTACCGCTCCCGAAGACATGGTGGCTGCTGTTCACCTTGCAGCAAGGTGGAGGTAAAGAGGGGCGGCTTCAAGCTTCTGGGTATCACGGCGAAGTACGGATGTGACGGTCGGTGGTGCAATGCGAGATAGAGTCGGATCAGGATGACAGTGTAGCTGGATGTGGGCAAGCAAGACGACATGCCGTCGAAGCATTGACGTCGGCTGGGATTTCGCCCGGCTTAGGTAATCGCATCACTGCCCCAGCCGCGGGGCCACCACCACTCCAACTGTCTTGAACTACAAGGATGCAAGATGCCCATGCATTTGATGCATCTGAATCGGAGTAGATTATTAATCTTCGTCAGTATTTCCAGCATACTCGGTAGTGAATGACTAGCAGCATGGTCGCCGTCATACACGCTACCAGTCATGTACCTCTCCAGCGATGATCGGAACCCACGAGGTTCACTCGAAAGCCTAATTCAACTCGTGCCAGGCAACCGTGCAAAGGCTATTGAACATGAATGGCTATTCCTCCCTTCAGCTCCAGCAGATCACAAAGACGTAAACCAGCCCTGAAGACTGACGAAGAAAGGAGAAGCGCAACCATGGCCCAGACATACACCATCTTCAGCCCAGAAGAGCTCCGAGCATTCACTCAAGAACGCCAAAACGCCTCCAACGAACTCCACGTCCGATTGAAATTGCTCGAACCACTCGGCGACCCGGATGTCCTCCGCGCCAGCCGAATACCGCCGCAAGAAAACGACAGGCCCATTCGATACAAGCACGAAGTGCACGAGGAATATCTACCCCTCTCGCACGTCGGATCATTATGGCGAAATGCTTGGCCCTCCTTCATCGACACCGTCCCGCTTGCATCACTGACCTTCGATGCTACGCGGCCGACATTCAAGGATGAAGAAGGGAAGGTGCAAGAAATCGGGGTGAGAGGAGGTCGGCTCTGGATCAGCAGTGACGATTTCCAAGAGCTGGTGCTGCTACTTGCTACGGAGGCTAAGATGAGGGCCAAAGGCGACAGGCAGTTCTCGGTGGAGGAACAGACTGTCAAAGACTGGGACAATCGAGGTAGAATGCGGCGATATCTGGAAGGTCTATCCTCATTTCGTCGTGACAAAGCAGCAGATAGCAGGTAGCCTATAGCTTAGGGTTGCCTGTGACTGAAACAAAGTTGCGGGCTCTCAAAGTTGCGGCTCTTCCGCCGTCAAGTCTCAAACCCTTAAAAGTCTCGAGCGCTTCACAGCAGAGCCTCCCTCCTCTTCACCCTCAACTCCAGCGTCTGAGCGGCGCTTCATCGAGCGCGCCAGAGTATGCCAGGCCTGCCTCGTGAGCCGATCCGCACCCTCACCCCTCCCTTCGCCCTCACACTGGGCAAATCGAAGCCCAACATGGCGTCCGCCGCGCAAACCTCCTACCTCTACCTCGTCCACCAGAACGACGAAATCTACGAAAACGATGTCCTGCGCAATCCGGGCAGCATCAAGCCCTGGCTCGACTACGCGCAGTTCAAGCGACAATATGGCACCGTGCTGGAGCAAGCCTTTGTGCTGGAACGAGCGTGCGCCGCGTTGCCGCGAAGCTACAAACTTTGGAAGACGTACCTCGAGCTGCGCGTGCATCACCTCAAGGGCAGAAGTCCTGCGCGATGGAAGCAGGATTTCCAGAAAGTGAATGCGCTGTTTGAACGCGCGCTTGTCCTGCTGAACAAAATGCCGCGCATCTGGGAGATGTATCTTACTTTTCTTTGCCAACAACCCCTCGTCACCTTCACCCGACGCACATTCGATCGTGCACTCCGAGCACTGCCTCTCACCCAACACCAGCGCATCTGGAACTTGTATCGTCCTTTTGCGAATTCCGCCGGCGGAGAAACTGGCGTGAAAATCTGGAGGAGATATATTCAACTGCACCCCGAGCAAGTCGAGGATTTCATCGATGTCCTTGTGCAAGAGAAGAAGTACACCGAAGCCGTGCAGCGCTACATCGAGATTCTGAATGATCCTCGCTTCAAGTCAAAAGAAGCCAAAGGCCCATTTCAGCACTGGACGGAGATGCTGGAGATCCTCATCGATCACGCTCGCCTTGTCCCGAATCCCATCCCGCTGCAGAACGGCGCAACGATGGATGTGGAGACCATCATACGCTCAGGGCTGGAGCGCTTCCCAGATCAGAGAGGCATTCTTTGGGTGGGGCTCGCGCGGTATTACATCAACCGCGGCAACTACGAACGCGCGCGAGACATCTTCGAACAAGGCATCACCACCGCCCTGACGCAGAGAGATTTCAGTGTCGTATTCGATACATACGCCGAGGCAGAAGAAGCCATCATCCAGATCAAGCTTGAGGATTCTGCTACGCGGCAAGAAAAGACCAAAGTGGACATCGATGCCGACACCGACCTGGACATCCGAATGATGCGCTTCGAGCAGCTCATGGATCGCCGACCTTTCCTCGTCAACGACGTCTGGCTGAGGCAGAACCCCAACAATGTGGGAGAATGGCAGAAACGTGTGGCACTGTGGGGCGAGAATAAGGAAATGGTGGTGCAGACGTACACCGATGCCATCGCCGCCATCAGTCCGAAGAAAGCGAATGGCCGCTTCCACGAACTTTGGGCCAACTATGCTAAGTTCTACGAAGTAGGTGGGGATCTAAGGAATGCCCGAGTGATCATGGAGAAGGCTGTGAAGGTCCCCTACAAGTCTGTCTCGGAGCTCGCAGAAATGTGGACAGAATGGGCAGAGATGGAGCTGCGGAATGAAAACTTCGACCAGGCCGTCAAAGTCATGGAGACGGCTACCAAAGCCCCGAAAAAAAGCAATGTCGACTATTTCGACGAGACTCTCACTCCACAGCAACGCGTGCACAAAAGCTGGAAACTGTGGAGTTTCTACGTCGACCTTGTCGAGTCCGTCAGCACCCTCGCCGAAACCAAAGCAGTGTACGAACGCATCTTCGAACTCCGCATCGCCACCCCCCAAACCGTCGTCAACTACGCCAACCTGCTGGAAGAACATGGCTACTTCGAAGACTCCTTCAAAATCTACGAGCGCGGCCTTGACCTATTCACCTACCCTGTCGCCTTCGAACTATGGAACCTCTACCTCACCAAAGCCGTCGACCGCCACATCTCCATCGAGCGCCTGCGCGACCTCTTCGAGCAAGCCGTCGAAGACGTGCCCCCCAAATTCGCCAAACCCCTGTACCTCATGTACGGCGCGCTGGAAGAGGAGCGCGGCCTCGCGCGCCACGCAATGCGCATCTACGACCGCGCCACGCGCGCCGTCGCCGATGCCGACCGCGCCGAAATGTTCTCCTTCTACCTCACCAAATCCGCTTCCAACTTCGGCCTCGCTTCCACGCGCCAGATCTACGAGCGCGCCATCGCCGCCCTCCCCGATGCCGAGGCGGCGAGCATGTGCGTCAAGTTTGCGGAGATGGAGCGCCGGCTCGGCGAGATCGATCGGGCGCGCGCGATCTGGGGCCACGCGAGCCAGTTCTGCGATCCGAGGGTTGATGCTGGGTTTTGGAAGAAGTGGGAGGCTTTCGAGGTGCAGCATGGGAATGAGGATACGTTCAAGGAGATGCTGCGGATTAAGCGCAGCGTGCAGGCCAAGTTTAATACGGATGTGAGCTTTATTGCTAGTCAGGCTGTTGCGAGGCAGCGGGCTATGGAAGCTGGAGAGGAGGAGGGAGAAGAGGAGGAGGAGCAAGGGGTGGGTGGGGAGAAGGCGGATGCCATGGCTGCGTTGGAGAGGCAGGCCCGAGCGCCTGTGGGTTTTGTCGCGGCGAGCAGTGGACCAGAGGGCGGGAACCGGCCTAAACAGGCTGCGCGAGAGGAGGATGCAGCGGCGGTCAAGAATGCAGATGAAGTGGATATCGATGATGATCTGTAAAGTTAGACGAATCCTCAAGCTATTCCATACCCTTCAAAACATCCCCCCTACTTTACAGCGTACTCCGGATCAACCTTACTCTGCTTAAACAAACTCTTCCCCCGCACCCACTGCCGATACGCCTTATACCGCTTCTTGTCCCCATCCTCCACCCCCACACTCAACACATCCCCCCTCCTCGCCTCCGCCAAAAAAGCCTCAAACCTCCTCACCTCCTCCTCCTCCCCCGCCCCAGCAGAGAAAGCAAACCCCCGATCCGCCTCCTCCTGATCGAAATCGTCAAACTCCGCCCCGCCCGCTTTGTGGATGTACGAAATGTAGTCCATCGCCGTCTCGGGCGGGATGCGCTCCGACGAGACGACGAGAGGCAGCGTGTGCGGGTGCGCGATGTAGCGCGTGTACTCGTGCGCTTCTTGCGGGGAGACGGTGGGGTTGAGGGATTGCGTGTGGAATTTGTTGAGCGTCCAGAGGTGTTTTTGGGCTTTGGCGTCGGAGGGGGCTTGGGGGCCTATTTGTCCTCCTTCGGGGGGGTGTGTGGGGTTTGACCCGTTGGAGGGGATGCGGGTTGCGGTGTTGGTGTGCGATGCGCTGTGGTCTGTTCCTGCTGCTGCGGAGGTAGGCGTTGCTGTCCGTTGTGTGGACTCCGCTGCTGTCTGCGCCGATGCACTGCGATGACCACCCGCTCTCGGAGGCGTGGGCTCCACAATCTTCACCCGCATCTCCGGCGTTTTCTTCTCCGGCGTATCGCCCGCCTGCCTCTGCGGTTCATGCCGGATTTTGAACGGAGAGAAGTCGAATTTGCTATGGGGGTTCAGGAAGCGCTCGGGAGCGTGGCGACTGAGGCTCGTCATGCGGTAGGCGTACACTTTGCCTAGCGACGAGAGGGCTGCGGGCCGGTAGCACTCGGCCCAGTAGTCGTCGTAGTCTGCTATGCTGCCTGGGATGGCGGCTTTGAGGAGCCTAGGCACGGGATCGGGTGGTAGAGAGCGCGTTTCGAGGAACGCGGGGGTGAACCAGTTGTTGTAGTTGCGGCGCTTCTTTTCCAGCCAGGCGCGCGGGTTGCTGTGGTGGAGGTAGTAGTCTGTCGTCAGGTCCCAGAGCATGGGCTTGTCGTGCTCCCAGACGTAGTTGCCGAGGAAGAGGTTGTAGGCGTCTTGTCGCTGGCTGTCGAGGAAGGAGTTGTGGTAGTAGCGTTTGAAGCTCTCCACCATGTCGCGGGACTGGCTTTGCCAATGGTTTAGTTTGCGATAGGTCGCCATCGTGTTTACCAGGTGCGAGCCTCCGTATTGCCAGGCGATCGTGTCTCCGTGGTCGTGAAACATGTGTGTAAAGGTGTTCATGGCGTCTGTGTCGAAATCGACTTCGTCGCGGTCGATGACTCCAAGGGCTTGCAACTGCAGCGCGAAAGCACGCTTCCCAATTACGAATTGCGCGGCATTGGTTCGGTCCAAGCAGTCGATGCAATTCGTTCTGCAGATGCCGTTCTGAACCATGGGCTCGGTCAAATCATCTCCGTTTCTGAAGAAGCCGGTCTTTTCCACGATATCCCGAGCCATGACCTCCAGACTTCCTATGACATCCCCCCCTCGAGTCTTCGATTCTCGGCTCATGTCGAAAGCCTTGTAGAGAATTTTCTTATCCTCTGGTAGGGATTGATTGAGGTACTCGATGCATTTCTGAAACTCCACGAGCAGCTTCGACTCTCGCGGAATGCGCTCGCGAGCTTTGATGAGATTCAGCACATACACCGGGCAACCATAGCGCTCAAACATGTTGTCAAAGTGCAGTGCTGCAGGTTGGTAGAAGGGGTCCTGCAGATGAAGGTCGATGGCAGGCTTCGGAGTGACGCCGCTGTTGTCCTGCGTCCAGTAGAGAGGTATGCTTCCACGGTGGTGCACGAAAGAGGTGTACATAGGGCTCGCGTAGAGCCGGGAGCCAGGAGCATGGAAAGAAGTCGTGAGTTTCTCCGACACGATTTGTTCCGTCTCGACATCGTTGGCCACGTAGCCTTGATCGTTGACGCCGCGCTTCAAGAAGCGAGCTCCGGCGAAGAAGCGGGAGCGTCGGCCGATGATGGCGATGTACACGGCTCTACCGAAGATGTCTAGTGCAGCTTGATGGATGAAGCCGTGAATGATAGGCAGACACCAGCTAAGAGGCCGCTTTAGGGCGGCAAGAGCGGGTTGCAAAAGGTGGCTGTTCCATACAAACATGCTGTTGCAGTCGTGATCGGCGTGAAATTGGCCTTGATTCACCGCGGTTCGCTGACGGATGAAGTTCGTCTGCAGAGAATTCGTAATGTCGTAGGAGTAGCTGAAGTAGAAGGACTTTGTTAGATCGAGGTTGCCGAGTATGCTCAAGAATCGCGACTCCTCGGGATTGCGATTCTGCACGAAGCGATTGCTCGAACCGGTGGTCAACGGCACCAGCTCTGTACCGTCGATTTGGTAGACATAGTGCCCGCCGATCATGGCCACTTGTTGCCTCTTGGTGATCAGCAGCATGTAGTAGGACTCCGTGAAGCGCACGAATCCAAGCAAGCCCCAGAAATGGCATTTCATTCGCAGGCCGCCAGTCGACTGATTCCCCTCGTCAATACTGGCGAGGACGTCCTTGAGCTGTGCCCGATCATATGTCGTCTCGTCTTCGAACAAAGCAATCTGGCCCGGCGGCGAAGTGCGGTCGATCCTCAACATGCGAAAGTTCCTTTCCGCAAGGTCGGAGCCGGTGATCCAGTACCGCGCATTCGTCTCGTAGAGTGTGAATTTGTACAGGCGGCAGGCATTGTTCTCGACCTCGTCGGGCTCGGTGTGCTTGGACCGGATCTCCGCAGATTCGCCATCGTTCTCGTAGACTTCGGCGGCGGTGGCGCCTACAGGGAAGAAAGCTGGGGCGTCTACGGAGGGTGCCGCGGTGGAATCCCTACTTGCTTGCTTTGCGCGGCCAGCTCGGCGGTCCCGCGCTCCGTCTGTGGAGGTGTGGTCGGTGTTGTTTAGACTGCTGTGGTCGCCACTCCCCAAGTGGGTTCTCCTGCGGCCGCGTAGTTGCTCGGGTTCGGGTGAGGGTTGGCGCGTCGGGTCCTCATCGTACTGCGTATCTCCGCTTGGCGCAGAGTCGACAGGACCGAGATCCATTTGACCCGCGCGTCTATCGCGGTTGGAGTATTCGAGATGTGTACGACATCCCCGTAGAAGTGGTCCGCGATGGCTGCCTTAAACAGAGTAGCCTACTTTATTGCGCCTTGAAGAGTCGTCCCGCAGTACGTTTAAGTATAGCAAAGTGGATTGTCCGTTCGTGGAGGTTGTGAGCCATGTGGGAAGAGAGTTGGACGTGAGGTGCAGTGGTGGGCAGCTTCAGAAGCGGGAGCCACCAAACACCGCCGCCTCCCGACCTACATTGGCAAACCACAAGTACAACTGTATGTACATAGGCAAAATAAGCAAAATAATTGGAATTTTGAGCAGATTGCAACATTTCATCATCACAGTACATTTTAGAGCGTCGTAAATCTAGGTCAAATACAAGAACTGCCCACCTTTGGCGATGCCTCCACCGCCAACCAAAGACTCCCCCACGCCTTCCTTCCACCGTGCCCTCCGTCTCGCATTTTCCCTTATCAAAACGATTCTCAAGGCGAGTGCGAGGACAAACACCATGGCCATAGCAACAGCGCACACGCCATTTCCAGCGACGTAGAACGGCGCATGCGTATCGGGGTATAATCTGGTGCCAATTAGTGGTCCCAGCTGTCCGATATACTGCAGGATGGCGACGCCAGTACCCTTCCCCTCGTCGGAAATTTGGTTGTTGAGAGTCCATGTGATGACAATGGTCACGGCCGAGAAGAAGCCGGCGCAGATGGGGAAGGTGGCGAGGTAGCGCAGTGTAGGGCCGGTCTGTAGCGCGCCGGCAATGGTGGCGAGCAGATAGCCGGACATGGCTAGCAGGCCGTGGAACATCATGGGAATACTGCGGCTTTGCAGGCGGTCGGAGACGAATGAGGTGACGAGGACGACGAGGAAGGCGAAGAAGAAGGGCGGCGCGGAGAGGCCTTGCGATGCCATGGTGGAGTAGCCCATCCCGTTGACAATGGACGGCAGGAAGACGGGCATGCTGCTGAATGCCACATTGCAGCAGAAGAACATGCCGGCGCTAAGGTAGTTCTTGGGATCGCGGAGGGCATGCACCACTTCTGTCCATTGGAACTTGCGCTTGTGGCGCGGAACGGTGGAGTGCACGGTACCGCCGCCGCCGCTCTTTTCCGTGCTTGTATTTGCTGCATTTTCCTTGCGCATGCGTAGCGTTGCGATTTTCTTTTCTCGCGCATCCAGCCAGCGCGCTTGGCCTGGGGAGTCTGGGATCCAATACCAAGCCCAGACCGCGACGACACAAGCTGGAAAGCCCTCGACGAGGAAGAGCAGGCGCCAACTCGCAATGCCCGTCTTGTTGCCTAGGCTGACAATGCCCCAGGCGAGACTGCTGGCGAAGGTGGTTGCAAGAGGTGCAGCCGCAATGAATAAACCCACGCGGAAAGCTAGCTCCTCTCTGCGGAAGAAGAAAGAGAGGTAGAATGGGATGCCGACGAATGCCGCCTCCCCCATACCCAGAAATATTCTCACGACGAGCATGTATTTCCACGTCGTCGCCAAAGCCTGAAGCGAAGCCAGCACCCCCCAAGCACACACACAGCATGCGATGTAGATATGCGGAGGGAAGATCTTGAAGCACAGCGTCATCCACTCGAACAGGATGTAGGTGATGTAGAAGGCGGTCAGCAGCCATTCGAATTGATTGTCGGACATGTTCAAGTCGGTCATGAGGCCGGCGACTTTCGCATTGCCGATATTGCTGCGGTCGAGGAAGGAGAGGAGGTAGAGGAGGGCGACGAAGAGGACGAGGCGGGTGTCGAGCTTGCGCCGCACGCGTCGCTCTTCGTCGGGGGTGTATAGTTCGAAGGAGGCAGTACTGCTTCTGCGTTTTCGTTTGCGACCTGAGGAAGGGGTGTGGTCTTCATCCGAATCCGAATCGCCGGCCGCGCCTTCCCCAGGATCGCTCCTGCCTGCTCCATTGGCACCCAGCTTGTCAAAGTCGCGCAACTCGACGCCCTCTTCATATTCCAAGCCCTCTAAATCGTCTTCTTCATCGTCAAGATCGGAGTCCGGGGTCATGTTGGCGGAGGACTCATTGGAAGCAGCACTTCCCGGCGGCAGCTCGTCCTCGGCCTTGACCGGCTCATATTTGGTGGAGGACATGAGGACGGAAGGGCGCAGGGAATGGAACGAAGCATTGCTGCTTACATTTGTCGTACTAGGTATGGGGGATGCTCAAACGAATGGCATGGCATGCGGCGTAGTGCTATACGATGTTAGGCCACCCGCCAGAAGTGTGGGCTGAAGAGCGAGCTGAGGTTCCCCAGGCCGCGCTGTTTCGGCAAGCAAAGCCGACGCCGCACCGGGTCGGTGGCGCATGATTGGCTGATGTGGCGGCGGTAGTGGATGAAGTAATCGCCTGGGCTCGCCTGAAATCGCCTGAAGTGCCGGTTGGAAGGATTTCTTCTCACGAGTAATAAATCTCAAGAGCAACAACATATGGTCGACACCAAGCCACGCATCGACCACCCCGACGCCTTGCTGCGCCCGCCCATCCCCGCCTTGCTCGCATCATTGCCTAGACTTGGCGTGATCCTTGGCACCTCGACATTCGTCCCACTCGCTCGTTGAACGTTTGCAGAAAGATGAGCCTTGATTAGTCGCGTAATGTTGCAAGGTGTGGTCGAGACCGCGCTTGGTGTAATCGCTTGAGGCAATGGAAAACCTTGAGCCGCGTTGGCCTCGTCGCAGAGTGGTTCTTGGTGTAAGCGACCTCGTGGGTGCGCGTGCAGCTGCGGTCTAGCCACGACCCAGGCCCCCAAAAGCCGAACTCTAAACCTATTAATGCCCGATTCGCCCATTACGGCCACTCCACTTCCCATCGCTGCGCGGCGATACGAATACTACTCCTCCCCCCGGCTCCTTGTCGTCTAGTCTTCTCTCCGATATCCTCACCAACGACCACCATCCTCTGCTGCAGCACACCCCCTGTCCTCTGCGCAATTGTGCCAACTTGAGTCCCACGCCACCAACCTCCGCGCCACACTCGTCGCCCTCGTCAGACCACCCACCCCGAAACAAATCCCGCACGACTTCTCCACAACGTCCGTCGGAGGCGACCGTGCCTGCCGACATTCGTTGAAGCTGGCCACAAACTACTCCCTCCCGTCGGCATATCTGCACCCCGACGTCGACCCCATTCGCGCCACCACTTACCCAAGCCCCACCATCACCCCCACCTCCTCCCGCTTCACTCCGCCCGACGACTACTTCCACGACACCACCCCCACCTCCCGCAAACCCCACGATCGCGCGTCCGACAAGAAGCTTGCAGTCCGAGCAAAGCCGACGGCAGACCAGCGCAAAAACCATGTCATGACAAAACCCAATGCCGACAAGGATGGCGAGGGCACGCAGAAAGCAAAGCGTGTCCGGACCGGATGCCTCACCTGCCGCGAGCGGCATTTGAAGTGCGACGAGGGTCTACCGAACTGCAATAATTGCCTCAAGAGTAATCGGGTGTGCAAAAGAGGGCTGAAGCTCAACTTCATCGACACCTGGGCCGAGGAGCCGCCCGTGGTGAAAACCACGTATGGAACGCAGAGCTGGAAGGTGGAATTCTTGGATGAATCCCGCGAGATCGCCAACGAGTATGAGGGCGGCTTGCAGAAATACCGCCCGCTGGAACAGGAGATGGAAGGCATCATGATCTCCGATCCCGTCCCGCAATTCGATTACACCGCCAATGTTTCTTCGGCGCCAAACATGGCTCACCAAGCACTACAAACCACCATGCCAGAAGTCTACCCAGATCCAACCCAGCAACCAGACATGAACTCCATGTTTGCTGCTCCGTTCAAGCCCGAGACCAACGGCCATCAGCAGCCGCCTCCGCGCTCCCACTCGGTTCCGAATACGAATGCAAATTACAGCGTCACTTCCAGTCATAGTAGCCTGGCCCCAGGCTCGGTGGGGAGCTACGAAGGTCATATGGATCTGGTGGAAAGCCCCAGCGAGCGCAAGGAATACCTCGACAACGCCAACGAGACTCTCTTCATGCAGGTCTTTGTGGAAGAAGTCGGCCTGTGGATGGACAGCATGGATCCGCATAAGCATTTCTCCCGCTTACTGCCCTTCCATGCTTTGTCAGAGCCCATGTTGCTGAACGCTTTCCTCGCCTGCGGCGCCCGACATCTTGCTTTAGTGAACCCCGTCTACAAGGACGAGACGGCGTTACATTACTACGACACCGCGACCAGCTTCCTCCTCAAAAGCCTCCAAAACCCAAACCGAGACACGGTGATTTGCGCCACCACCGCCGTCATCCTCAACGTCTACGAAATCATGTCGGAACGCGCACTCCAGCGGATGAATCACATTGCCGGCGCACGAGCGCTGATCAAGGAATGCGGCTGGAACGCGCGGACACGAGGAGTTGGCGCTGCATGCTTCTGGCTGAACGTCGGTCTCGAAGTCATGAGCTGTCTACACTTCAACTGGCAAGTCGCGTGGAACCCCGATGAGTGGGGTGTCGACATGGACTTCAGCCGGGAACTGGAAAACGGACGAGAGGAGATCTGGACGCACAGAATGCTCTACATCATCGGCAAAGTGGCCAACTTCCGCGCAACCATCCCCAGCAACTCCGACCCTCACACACACGTCGAGGAAGCACGCATGCAGCAACGCCTGGACGAGTGGACGAAGCTCAAAGACATGGCGGACCGCTGGAACTCGGGCATTCCGCGCACCATGCACCCCATGGCCTACCTCTACCCCTACCAAACCACCTCCAAATCCGCCTTCCCGGAAGTCTGGCTCGTCAAGCGCAGCACCATTGTCGCCCGCCTCTTCTACCACACCGCCCAACTCCTCCTCGCCCAGATCCACCCGTACATCGGCCCGGAAAACGAAGACCTGCACAAGATGCGCGTCATGCACTCCCAGCAGATCTGCGGCATCGCGGCACACGTCAAAGACCGCGGCGTGGCGTCCGTCGCCATCCGCTCTCTCGCGCACGCCGCGGAAGTGCTCACGCTGCGCCACGAGCAAGAAGAAGTCCTCCGCATCTTCGCCAAAATTAACAAAGAGACAGGCTGGAAAGTCGGGTACGTCTACGGCGAGCTGAAGGAGAAGTGGGGCTGGAACGAAGGGCCGTCAGCAGACCAGTTCGCGCAAACGCACACGGCCGCCATCCGCCAACGCGAAGCGCAGGAACTGCAGCAGCGCTACCAACAGCAGCAACAGCGCCAGCAAAGCATCTCCTCCATGCAGCGGCACTCCTTCGACTTCGACCGCGCGCGCATGCCCTCCATCTCCGCCTCCGCAACCACTACCTCGCCGCCCCCTCTTCCCCCGCCTGTCGCGCCTTTGTCTGCTTCCGGCAGCGCGAACGGTGCCGCTGCTGGTGCTGGCGCCGCGGCTGCCGCGGCTATGAGAAAGATGCCGCAGGGCATTCCCAACCCGATGTACGCCAAGGCGGATTTCAGCTTGCCGCAGCATCCGTATCAGAATTTCTACGTGGCGCCGAATCACGTTAGTGAGGCGTGGAGTCATGGGGGGCCGCTGTACTACAGTTTTTGAGGCCTGTTCGGGAAGCTTGTTCTTGGGGTTTCGCATGCACATGAGCGGAATGGATGGTTATGAGCCTTGTTTGCTGTTTTGTGAGCGCGGGGTTCGTTACGGGTTTAGTAATGGCTTCTCTCTGTCGAGGCCGATATTCAGGAGGCAGCTTGTGCTCTATTGGCGGATTTCCTTCCACGCGCTCCGGAGGTTTAGCGGTAAATGAACGACACGGGGACATGGTGTTTCTATAATGGAATGGGACAAGATAGCGCTTGATGCAATGCCCTTGAGGGCTGAGTTCGTTGGTTCTTCTTGCCTGTTCATCGCCTGGGTGTCTATGCTCGCTTCGTGCGTTTCTTCTTCTTCCGCTTCTTGACCACGGATTTGGGTGCTTTGGACACCGCCGCGCCGTTCCCCTCCTCCAAATCGTCATCATCTTCCCCCTCCACCTCGTCTCGCAATAGCCGCAAGTCCTCTTCCTCGCTATCCAGCCCGTCACCCTCCTCCTCCTCCCCGTCATCGTCCTCTTTCTTGACCACCCCGCCTTTCCCTCTACCCACAACCCTAGACGCAGAATGCCCATACAACTTCCTCGTCTCCTCCTCAAACCCCGCCTTCTCCAAACAGAACAAGCGCATCGTAGCCCGCGCATCCTCGACAGAACTATGCGCTCCAGTCTGAATTTCCAATCCCAGCTTCACCTTCGCCAAATGCCGCAAAGCCGGCGCTCGACCACGGTTCATTGCGCGGTAGGGCGCGTAGCGACTCGTATCCCGCACATCCCTGCGCGGATGCGAGAGCACCAGAACATTGAAATCGTTCCGCAAAGCATGGCCGACTAGGATCCTGCCGTCCAGGAGCTGCGCCACATCGCGCTGGACTTGTTTAAACGGCCGCGCGTACCCGGGCAGCAAATGCTCCGGCAAAATACCCGAGACGAAGGTGCGGTAGTCGTGGATAGTAATGTTTGGCGGCGGCAGCACGTAGGAATCGTAGATTTGCTCGCCGTGGAAGTTGACGAGCGACACACGTGCTAGCACGTGGTCTTCGTAGTGCGGGGGCGCGCCCGTGCCGACCATTTCGCAGTCGAGGGCGAGGTATTTGCCTGCTTTGTGGGTGGGGTGGAGGCCGCCGTTTACCACGTCCGCGAAGACCTGGGTTGGGGTCGTGGTGGAGGCGGAAGAGCCGTATGCTGCGGACAGGTCGGATTTGGAGATGTCGTGTTGGGAGGTGAGGGCGGAGTGAGATGCTTTGCTTCCGCTGTTGGCTGCTGGTTCTTTGGAGCCGTAGAGCCCCATTTTGCGGGTGCGAGGGGGGTTGTGGCTTCGTGTGTCTGATAGTCTGGCGGTCTTCCTCGGCGCAATCGTAGTCTTGCCGTCTGCTACATCCTGCCTCTTGCGCTTCACGCCATTCTTCTGTTGCGACGCTTCGGGCGCTTTTGTTGTTTGCAGCTTCTCTTGCAGCTTCTTCCAGTTACTCGAGATCTGTGTCAAGTCGAGGCCAGGCATGTTTTCACGTCTGCCTCATGGATCCCATGGTCGAGTGATTGAATCGAAATTATCAGAGTCTTTGAGGAATGACGAGAGTGAGGTTCTTGAACTTTTCTGCAAGCGGCGCATGTGCATGACTAAGCCGTCCCCGGGCGCAATCTCGACATTCTTGCAACGACGACGCTTTCTTCTCACGACGAACAATCACTCTTACATCGGCTGTAATAAAAGACTGCATTCGGGCCAACACACGAAGACGCTTCGCCGGCCATCATGGCGCCGCGAAATGATGTCAAGGATGGCGAGCCGCAGCCGGAGCGCAGTTATGCCACGCTGTCTACGCTGAGGTGAGTGTTCGCTTGTCCGGCGACAGTCTGGCAACATATGAAGACTTTTGAGTGCTTGGCTGACACGTAATGCACAGAGTTGGTGTCAAGGCCATGGTAGACAAAGTGAGTGTTTTCGAGATCGTGGTCACTGTGCTTGCCGTGGCAAGTTGGCCTGCGCAGTGACTATGACTTCAAGTACAATGATGTCCGTATTTTCAGAACACCATACTGACCACTTACAGGACGGCGAGAAGCGCAAGGCAGAGATCTTGTCCATTCAGACTCGAAAAGGCAGCCCGACGTTCTACGTCCACTACCAAGAATTCAACAAGCGTCTCGACGAATGGGTTCCCGCCGACCGCATCGACCTTTCCGAGGAGGTCGAGTGGCCGCTCCCGGAGAAGGTCGACGAGAAGAAGAAGCAGAAGACCAAGGAGCAACTCTCCAACTCCAAGGCAATCAATAAGGCCCTCAAGAATATCAATCGATCCGTCTCCGAAAGCCGCGAGGCCACGCCACTCGACACATCTGCCAAGACGAGCAGAAGACCATCCTTCCAGGGCGGCAAGGAGAATCGTGATCCGAATGTCACCGTGATTGCCACCGAGGAGCTCGGTGGAACGCCGTTGCCCGATGACGAGCACACCGTCGACCTCGCCGATATTCAGGATGCTGCCGCAGCCGCGAAGGCCGTGCCTGGCCATGTCCCCCAGACGCGCGAAGAAGAAGTTGAGAGACTTCGCTTCGGCGGGAGTATGACGCAAAATCAGACGGAGATCTCGCGTGTTCGAAACCTCGAGCGCATCCAGATGGGCTCGCACGAAATTGAGCCGTGGTACTTCTCCCCGTATCCTGCCGAGTTTGCGGACTGCGATATGGTGTACATCTGCGAATTCTGCCTGTGTTACTTTGGGGATAACACACAGTTCACCCGCCACCGGAAGAAGTGCACCCTCCTGCATCCTCCAGGCAACGAGGTGTATCGGGATGATACTGTGTCCTTCTTCGAAATCGACGGGCGCAGACAACGGACGTGGTGTCGGAATCTCTGCCTTCTCTCCAAGCTATTCCTCGACCACAAGACCCTTTACTACGACGTCGACCCTTTCCTCTTCTACTGCATGACCGAGCGAGACGAGCACGGCCATCATCTGGTCGGGTACTTTTCCAAAGAGAAAGAATGCTCAGAAGGGTACAACGTCGCCTGCATCCTCACTCTTCCCCAATACCAACGCAAGGGGTTCGGCAAACTGCTCATCCAATTCTCCTACGAGCTCTCCAAAATCGAAGGCAAACTCGGCTCACCCGAGAAGCCCCTCTCCGACTTGGGCCTCCTCGGCTATCGCGCATACTGGCAGGAAGTCATCGTCGATCTGTTGATCGACCGCGAAATCGAAGGCACACCCATGATCTCGGTGGAGGAGCTGGGCTCGACGCTCGCGATGACGACCAATGATGTCTTGCATACCCTCCAGAACCTCAACATGCTGCGCTACTCCAACAAAAACCATGTTATCGTTCTGACGGATGCGGCCGTGGCGGCACGGGACAAGCTGAAGGAGAAGGAGCGGGTGAAGGGCAAGCGAATGATCGATCCGGAACGCTTGCAGTGGAAGCCACCGGTGTTTAGTGCTGCCGCCAGGACATGGAATTGGTAAGCCATAGCCATCGGGGGGTGATGTGCGTGTGTAATTTAGCGTCGGCGTCGGTCGGAATATCCATCTCATCATGAATCTCAGCCATCCTCATCTTCTTCTTCCTCCTCCTTCACCTCCTCCTTCACCTTCCTCTGACTGCGATCCCACTCCTTCTGCTCCGCCAAAAACTCCTCCTTCAACCCCAAATACCCCTCGTCACTCGTACACTCCCTCCACACCGCCTTAAAAACCTCACTAGCCTCCGCCTTCTCCTCCCGTCCAACATGTCCTTCACTCTTCTCCAACTGCCTCCTACTCCCACCATCCCGTTCCGTCTCCCTCTCACTCCGATCATACTTTCTCCCCCCCTTATAATTCGCATACCTCTTCGCACGCGTCATGCCCATCTGAATGAACTTGCGCGCCATATCTGCTCCCACGAAATCCCGCGCGGAAACGTAGTGGTCGAAGGCGGCTTTGAGGGTGCTGGAGGAGGTGCGCGCTATGGGTACTGTTTTGAAGCGCCAGTGCGGGAGGAGGAGGGATTTGTAGGGCTCGAAGGTTAAGACGCCTTGTTCGCCGCGGGCTATGCGGTAGGACATGCGCAGAGATGTAGAGGTTAAGGAAGGTGTTGGGAGGTTGGTGGGGGGTGTTGGAGGTTCGGATTTGATTCCTTTCGAGGCCTTCTTGGGAGGCATTGTTGTTTTGTGTGCTAGGGTTAAGACGCCATTGTCGGCAAAGGTAGGATTGAGTTAGGTGCGTTGTTTTTCCTGCCCAACTGAAGTCTGTTGTTCGAGTATACGGAATCGCGAGCCTTGTCGCGTGAGGTGTCCAAACACGGTGATGACTTCATTGAATGGAGCTCGGACGCCGTGGGCGTATATTTCGTCACGCTAGTCGTATATTTAAGCCTCAGGGTCTCAAGTCTGGCCTTCCGCCACCATCGAGTCCACTTCTTCTTCCCCATCGGGTCAACCACGGGCTAAAGCTATATAATGAACTAGCGGTTGCGTGACAGCATGTACGCACTGGTTGTGTAGTGTAGTGGTTATCACACTGGATTTTGATTAATCCTCGAAACACTCTACTCACTCTACCGGGTAGAACTGTTCCAGTAACCCCAGTTCGAATCTGGGCACGACCTAACCTGTATCATTTTTCTTTTTTGGCGATTATCTTTTACCGATTTGAGTCATCCATCTTTAGAGTACATGCATGGGTTGCGAGAGATAGGTTACCATGTAAAGAGTTGGAGCATTTCAAGATGTATCGTAAGGTTGCACATACCATCATCCCAATGCTGCTACAAAATCTTCACTCAACGCCAATCGTATGCATGTCCAATTCTCGTCTATACCTCCTCCACCGCACAATTAGGATGTACAACGTACATGACCTTCTCCCTCGCGCTCGAATCAACCCCAGCATCATCCACAAGACCCTCGCCACGAATTTGCAAGAGCACATTATCCTGTTCACCACAAGTTAGCCAATGATCCAACTCGGTCGTCAAATACTTCAACATCGAACTCACCTTCACCATCCTCTTCAACACCTTCCGCGCCAAACTCCTCTGATGCAACAAATCCTCCTGCGTCTCCAGCTCCGCCTCCTTCTGCTCCAGAAACCACACCAACAGCTCCTCCTCCTCCACCCCATCCTCCGCCGTACTCTGATCATCATTCACGCGCCGCAGCAGCAAATTGTGAATCTTGATGTACTCATCATACTTGATTTGCGTCCTGGGTTTCGCTGCGGCGGGAGTAGGGACAGGAGTAGCGGAAGCAGCGCGAGGATCGGAAGGAGCGGGTTCGTCGTCTTCGAGGCCGTTCATGGGCGAGTCCCCGTCGTCGTGAGCTGCTGCAGCACCATTTTCAGCATCGACTTCTTCGTCTTCGAACTCGACGTCGTCTTTTTCGACGGAGATGATGCTTTGCTTTAGGAGCTTGTAGGCTTCGTCGACGAATGCTGGGCTCACTTGGTCCACGCAGTTTGCTTTTGCAATCGCCTCGCTTAAGCGGATGAGCGATTCCAGTTGTCGGACGGTGATGCGATATGAGTTTCGTCCAATGCCTCCTTGCGCGTCGTCCGATCGCAACTCCTTGTATCGTTCTACGAGACGCAGTCTGGCTTCATCGGTGAAGACGGGCTGGAACAGGCGCGCGAAACGAATATAGCGCTGCAACTGTTCCGTGCTGAACTCGGGCTCAACGGCTTCGTCTTTCAGTTGGTGGATTCCGACGATGTGGCGTGCGAGATGCTCGTCAATCTGCTCGTTGCATTCGTCCAACACGACGAAGAAGAGGTCGAAACGCGACATAATGGGCGCACTCATGTTGATGTTGGCTCGCAGTGTTGTCTTGCGGTTGTACCTCCCGCCTACCGGGTTCGCGGCTGCGAGAATGCTCGTGCGGGCGTTGAGGGTGGCTTGGATGCCGGCTTTCGCGATGGAAATGGTCTGCTGTTCCATTGCTTCGTGGATGGCGACTTGGTCTGCAATATCCATCTTGTCGAACTCGTCGATGGCGCAGATCCCGTTGTCCGCGAGCATGAGTGCGCCGGCTTCGATGGTGAACTCGCCCGTTTCTTCGTCCTTGACCACCGCTGCTGTGAGACCGGCGGCGGAGGACGCTTTGCCGGAGGTGTAGACTGCGCGCGGCAAGAAGGAGCAGATGTATTTTAGGAACTGGGATTTGCTGGTTGAGGGGTCGCCGACGATGCAGATGTTGATGTCGCCACGCAATGCCATTCCCTCTGGTGTGACTTTGCTGACACCACTCATGAGTTGGAGCAGGAGGCCTTTCTTCACGATTGTGTGCCCGTAGATCATTGGTGCGAGTGAGTCGACGAGTCGCATGAAGATATTGGGCATTTGCACCATCTTTCGCAAGTCGTCGATTTCAGACGTGGTGAGTGTGTCGAGGTAGTCCTGCTGTGCGCGGTCACTGCTCGATTCGTTGACGTCGATGGTCTGGCCGAGCGAAGAGAGGATGTTGGCAGCTTGGCCTTTGAGGTGTTGGTTGTTGTTTTGGCCTTGAGTTGACGTGTCCATGGTCACCATGTTGGCCAAGAAAGCCATTCGATATGTGAGATCGCGCACACCGAGCGCTTTCAGTCCACTGACACCCGTTCCGCCGGCATCCCCACCTCCTCGCGCGCCTTGAGGATCTCGCATTGCCTGTGGCCGAGTGCCTGGCACTCTGAACTGGCTGACATCCGGAACGACGATCAAAGTACCCGTGAACACGCACTTCTCACCAGCTTTGGCTCGCTCGACCATTTCACCACGAAGAATGACCTCCATCGTTCGTGGCATGCTCCCCGTCGGAATCTCGGAACTATTCTCTTGAATCTTGACCTTCTGCCAGTCGACGAAAGTGCTTTGTCTGATGTCCAGTCGCCACGCATATCGATTGCCACATTGCAGATTGGGGCACTGGGTGGGCTCGGAGTATTTGAAAATCTGCTCCACATCGGGGACGATGGAGTTGCAGTTCTCGCAGATGAACGTGGCCAAGTGTAGCTCGGGACGCACTTCGGATGTCCGTGTGACTGTTCCTGAGATGGACACGAGCTTGCCAATCTGCTCGGTGCGCAGTTGTCTGACGCGGGAGATCAGGGGGAGGTTGTAGAAAGCTAGCGTGAAGACCTTGTCTGTTTGTTGATTCGGCGTGCGATCGTTGATGTTCGTGTCGTCCTCGCTCAGGCTATTTGCCGCGAGAGAGGTATCTGTGCGAGCGGTGGTGGAGCCTGGCTGGCGATGCTCTCGGTAGTATTGCGGCTCGTATTTTGCGATGAGATTGTTCAGGGCGCGCAGCATGTAAGGGTGGAAGCGATAGAAGTCGGTCTGAATGGCATTGGCGAGTACGCCTCGCTCATGGTCCATCAGATGGGTGTAGTCGACGTAGAGGGTGGACAGCTTGAACTGGCATAGACCGTGGATTTGCGCGAGATAGTATTTGTTGGTGGTGATTGCGCTTGATGTAGGCCCAGCGGAAGGAGTAGGTTCCTCGATGAAGCTGCACATCTCGTCGTCAGTATACTTCTTACGTTCCCGGCCAAAGAGAGACGTACTTCTCAAGAAATCTCTCAAACTGGATACCCAGCGTTTCCGCCGTGGTGTCCACCACTCTCGGGACTTCTGTTTGACCAACTGCATTGCTCCGTCTCATGCCTCTCAGACCAACGACCTCGTCGTCTGGGAAGCCATCCATATCACTCTGCATGCCGGGCGTGCTGACGGAAGGGGGTCCCCTGGGTCGCGAGGACGAGCGTGCCTGTCGCGGGCGACCTGCAGCGGCAGCATCGCTTCGTGGTTCATCTGGCGCATTGTCGGAGCGTATGACGGCATCCACGAGAGACGACATGGTGGCGATTGTTGTGTGTCAAGTTGGACGTGTGCTCGATGTGAAAGAAGATGCCCCTCCGGCTAATCGAGAAACCACTTTACGCGCTCGACGCGAAGCGTGTCAGGGACGCGACTAATTGAAGCTCGGGCCGGGAAGTGGTGTGGCGCAAGTCAGGGCCGAAGTGTGGCGGTGGCCAATGTCGAATTTCAAAAAATCATCCGTGACTGCATGCATGTGACCATTGAACATTCAACTGCAGACACTCACTCCGCATAGCTGTCACCGTCAAGCTGAAGAACATTCGCTCATTCCGAGTGCTCTTGCGTGCTGCGCGCTTTGAGTCGTTTTGGAGATTACGCCCGCATCGACAAACTCGCATCAACTCCTCTTTCTTCACCTCTTCAATCCGCGCCAGGGCACTCACAAATATGGCCAGCCTGGACGAGGTCACCAAGAGCTTGGTCTCGAAGTCCTTCCCAGAAGCGAAAGATCTGAACGAGGATGCGGCCAAGCTCTCATCTACCCTCTTTCCTGAAGCAGACGTACGTCTATATCCTCCTAACCGAAACAATCTTTGTTGACTCACCACCACACAGTACACGAGTACGGATAAAGCAGAGATAGAGCAATGGCTCATCACGTCCAACCACATCGCCTCTCCAACCGAAGACAGCGCGAAAACGGCCGAACGCCTTTCCTCCCTCAATACCCACCTATCCACCCGCACGACCCTCCTCGCATCGAAACCCAGCATTGCTGACGTCGCCATGTACTCCCGTCTCGCACCCGTGGTCAAGGGCTGGTCAGATGAGCAGAGGACTGGCGAGCAAGGCTACCACCACATCGTGCGCTTCGTAGACTTCGTGCAAAACGCACCGTTGTTCGGACTCAACGTGGACGCGGCGGAAAAAGTCAACATCGACCCGGAGAAAGTCGTCAGCCCTATCAAGCCGGTCGATGCAAAGGCGGAGAAGGAGAAGCGGAAAAAGGAGAAAGCACTTGCTGCCGCTGCTGGTGCAACGACCGCAGCAGCCGCCGGCGCAACAGTCACCACAGCTGCAAGCGAAGAAGCACAGAACGCCGAGAAGACCAAGTCTACAAAGGAGAAGGCGAAGGATGTGGGTGACAAAGTCGCCGCGGCCGTCGGAGCCGAAGTACCCGGCGTCAGCAAGAAGAAAGAAAAGCAACCCAAACAGCCCAAAGCCGCGCCAGCAGCTGAGAAACCCTTTTCTCCCTCCCTCATCGATCTCCGAGTCGGCCACATCCTGAAAGCCGAGCGCCACCCCAACGCCGACAGCTTGTACGTCAGCACAATCGCATGCGGTGATCCTGCCGGTACAGAGAACACGTCCGAGTACGAAGGACAGGTCGTGCGGACAGTCTGCTCTGGCCTCAACGGGCTCGTACCGCTGGAGGAGATGCAGAATCGCAAGATTATCGCTGTCTGCAACCTGAAGCCGGTGACGATGCGCGGCATTAAATCCGCTGCCATGGTCCTGGCCGCGTCGCCTCGCGGCGATGATTCCCACGCCGGACCGGTGGAGCTCGTCAACCCCCCCGCTGCTGCTGCGGCAGGCGAGCGTGTCTTCTTCGAGGGCTGGGAGGGCGAGCCGGAAGCGCAGTTGAACCCGAAGAAGAAGGTGTGGGATGACTGTCAGGTGGGATTTACTACAACCGATGACAAGGCTGTTGGCTTTGATCCTACGCAAGTGGAGAAGCTGAAGGAGAGTGGGAAGAACACGGTGGCGCTGTTGAAGACGAAGGAGGGCTTGTGTACGGTGAAGAGTCTGACGGGCGCTACTGTGCGATAAGTACGCGCCTGTAGTTGAGTGCTGTCCAGGTTTACAGCCCTTAGATGCATGTCTGTACGCTACATAATCCACGCCCAAATGACAAGCTCATTAGCTATTGTCTACTTCACACGGCCCATTTCACCTTCATGTGTTTCAGATCTGTAAACATGCTGAGAGCAACCTAACAGCTCTACCGTACCGTCACCAAGTCGGCCCTCCCCCGAGGGCGATACTCGAAGCGGCTCGGCGAAGTCTCAGGGACAATCCGATCTGAATCGAGAATTTGAACATTCTGGTCGACAAAGTAGCTCGAGCGGCGACGAGGCCGGCTTCCACGACGCAGTTCTTCCGTAGCAGTAGTGAAATACGGGCTCTCATCGGACGCTTCAGGTCTGCTGTTCCAGCGTGTATTGGCTTTCGTCAAGCCAGAATGGTGTGTATTGCTCGGCGTGGCCAGTGAGCTGTTCTTGAGAATTGAGCGCAGACGCTGCGGGTATTGCATCAAAGGACTGTGTGGCCGCTGGAAAGTTGTGGGTTTATCGGAAGGACGCATATTGACTGCCAGGTAGCTCTCAGGGGTAAGTGCCGACTCGGATACTTGGACGATTGCCTCGTTCACCTCGACCAACTTTCGTTTTCCGAGAGACTTTCGCGGAAGCTGCCCCGGCGTGCGATTGTGTTGGAAGCTAAGTGAATAGCTGTGCCGGTTCTCGTCTGTCCGTTCAGGTCTTTGATAAGGCGGAGGACAGGTGAAGGCGTCGGGCGAGTGCTGGTCAGACGTCTCATCTGTGGATGCGCTGCCGTTGCCGTCGTCTCGCTTTCCGGGGTCGGCATCGTCGTTCTCCACGTCGGACCCTTCATCACTGTCTACCTCACTCTCGCTCGACTCACTTGGTGGCCGTGCAGGGGCTGAAATCGAAGCCAGCTGGGCTCTGATGAGGCGCTCCGTTTCACGCTCCATCTCAAGATCTCTCAACTTTTGTGACTGATTCGAATCTGGCGGTGGTGAAAGGTTTGGTTCGTACTGATCATCACCAAGACCGATGTTCCCCGTATCGTACCCGCCAGCTTCGACATCAAGCTCCATGGTTGATGCTTCAAAGACTACATCTGGCAAAGGACCTGAGCCCAACTGCAGGGCGCTGAAGCCTTGGATGAAAGATGCGGTTCGCTTGGCAGGAGTCTTAGATCTGGTTGCACGTTTTGTAATGACGAGTTCGGAGCGCTCGAAGCCATCACCACCACGTTGATCTCTGCTCTCGATCGCGACGTTCCAGTTTGGGGCGCTTGGCTGGGGTCGGTCGCACACCAGCGTTGTCTTCCTCTTGGTCGACGTCTTGAGACGATTGCGCAATGTACTCAATGGTCTTCTCGTGGTTCTCTCCGGACTCCCGCGCGCAGATGGTGTGCCTGAGTGGTCAGTGATGGGATCTTGTCGGTCATCGTAGCCGCTCTCGAACGACTCTTGCGATGAAGTCTTCGGTGATGATGCCACTAGAATCAGCTCGTCTATTGGCAATCTCCTGACGGAGGGTGCCGCAGTCCTGATTCCGGTTTTAGTTTTCTTCACGCTCGCTGATTTCAATTCTGGTTTGGCTTTTCGGGTCGACCGTTTCTTTCTTCGCGATACAGGCTCGGGAGTCCGAGGAGATGATGAGATTGCCTGCCTCAGAGGCCTTGATGATCCATTTGTGGCCCGTGGTCGACTGGCTCGATGTGCATTCTGACGCCCATTGGTGTGGAACGCATTTGGAGGCTCCTGCTCAGAGTCAGAACCTCCAGAGTCGTCATCTTCCGTAGGCACTGCAGTGGCGGCGAGGTCGGATGTGTGCCATCCTTCACCGTTGTCGATTGTTGTGACGCGTGTGTCTCGTCGAAATTGAGTTGCAGTCAAAGAAAGGGGTCTGTTCGTCTGCCTGCCGTAGGTGATCCTTGGCGGTGGCCTTGAAGATGCTCGCAGAAGTGGTGAGCTCGAGGCGTCGTCCATGGCCATCTGAACTGCTATGCCAGGTTTCCGGGGTGTACGCGGTTGGAATAGACGTTGCGTGTGTTTTGAGTGAGGTGAAGTCAAGCATCTCAAGTGTCGCGTTGCTGCCTGACTGGGACTCTTCAAAGGAAGGCACGACCGGGAGCAGGTGGCATGGGCGACTTGGACCGTCCAAGTACTGTTATGATGGCATCGACCTTGTAAATGCGATTAATTCTTCTGGTCCAATTCATCTAACCTACAGTGGTATCTCAAATCTCGCAGACCTCCAACCCTTCGACCGCTCCACACGGGCGCTCAATGCAGGAAATCCATCAATCACCAATACATCCGCCAATGATCACTCCGTTCACAGCATTCGGTGGATGGTCGTGTCGTCTAGGTACTTCTCTAGCCCGCTGTTCAGATGCTCCCACCACTCAAACAACAGCGTCTGACATATGAGCTTAAACCACGGCGTGAATTTGAGCTCTCCCTTCTTGAACATCTCCTTCAACTCCTCTGCCGAGGTGTATTTCACATCCCTCACTTCATTGGGGTTGACGTCAAGATCGACATCCGCTTTGATGAAGACGATGTAGTCGATTTCGTGCTCGCCCCATTTGCCATCGCTCGGCGCTTTGTAGTGTATCCTGGTTAGGAATTTGAAGTCCTCTAGAGGCACCTGGTGCGGCTTGATCCCCAGCTCGTGCTCCAATTTCCTTTGCGCTGCTCTCTTCACCCCAGCCACGGCTGCTTCGAACGTCGAGCCAGTCTCCGTCGGGACAGCCAATGGGTGCGAGCAGCACGTGTTCGTCCACAAATCGGGGAAAGTAATCTTCTCCGACGCTCGTTGTTGGAGCAGTAGTCGGTTCTGCGAGTCGAAGAGGAAGCAGGAGAATGCGCGGTGGAGAAGGCCCTTGTCGATGTTCGTCATGAGATGGCACAGCTTCTTGCTCGCGCTTCCAATGGGCACGTCTTGCTCGTCTAGCACTATGCATACTTCGTCCATCAGTCGGATCTGCTCCTCATCGTAGCCCGAGAGGTCCGCATCCTCGGCAGACGACTGGGTTTGCGCGGCGAGCTGAGTATCGATTTCGGGGAAGAGGCGGAGAATGTTTTGCGCGTTTGGACTCGCGGTCTGTGTGATTGTCGTTGTCGAGCTCATGTTTGCGGCGCTCTTGTGTGTTGTAGACGGGCGAGAGGGACGCGATGGCAAAAAGGAGCGGTGGGCCGATTTTCTTTTGGCAGACAATGAAACGTGACTAAGCAAGCGCAGGGTCCAGCAAATGCGGATCGGCCGCCGCCGAAAGCTTATTCGTATCAACCTCATGCCATCGACAGCCTTGCCGCGCTGAGCGGAATGGATGTCAAATTGGGGATTGCAATCCATATGCATCTTGGATTGTCTCGTGACAGCATATTCTCCCGCTGCGGACGTTCTTGCGCTCATTTAATGCGCACATGGACCGAAAGAATGGATCCTCGCATATGAAAAGGGCGCGTATTCACCAGAGGTGTCATTACCGGTACTACCACGTCTTGATCTCAGTCACGGAAGGACAGGTTACACGGAGCTGTCAGCTCAGCAAACACGCAGCAACATAACCTGCTGGAAAGTGCATGCCTACAATGGTGACTTGCAAATATGCACTACCGCCATGTTCGACATGATGGTTCCAGAAGCGACTTTCGATGGTTATATAATGCCGGGATCCAATACATCGATACCGAACCACTGAAAGCTGCGAACACCAACAATTGCCAGATTTCAGTGACAAATAGAACCAATCTGACTTGCATCGCACAATGTTTAGGCGTAGCGACGCAACGGACTCGGTGGACGAAATTGAGCACGGCCGGACTGACCATCTCACCGCCCACGGAGCAAGCTCTGAAGACTTGGCAATAGTAGACGGATTCCACACGAGCATCAGCCATGCCTGGTTCGACTGTCTGCTAGCGGCGGAAGCTCCGGTAACAGACGTCTTCCAAAAACGTCGAGTCCTCACGCTGACTGTTGACAGGACATCTTGGGCGGACATGCTGAAATGCTGCACTCACGCTTCGACAACATTTGTCATCAATGCGAGTCGAATCCTGTAGTCCAGTGGTGCGACTCACATTTGTCAGAATCGACCGTGCGCTTTGCGCAGAGAAAGGCGGAGGTGCACTTTCAGGTGGAACGCCGGGAGGGCAGGGCGCTGAATCGGGCTGAAGATCTGTACGAGGAGATCGAAGATCCACCGCCTCCACGCGAATCTGTCAACGTGGAAGGTGCTACTAACTATGATCTCGGAGGTGCTAAGCAGAATAGTACCAACGAACTTAGCAGTCAATAGTAGCACGCATGAAATCTACAATGTGGAGACGAGCAAACATTTACACTAAGCTTTAACGTTTGTGTCTGGGACCGTGTTTTGCGCACTACATCCGCAGTTGCTGCGCAAGTCTTGAATGCTACCAGCCTCTATACACTGATGCGGATTTGGTCCGGCCTAATATATAATTCTTGACCCAACGCGTTTACTTCGAGATCAAGAATCGAAGACATCAAAAACCTCGGACAAAGCCCACCTCCAAACTCGTCAAACTTTCAAAAACAATCGTCAACTCTCGATCAGGTCATATCGGCGCAATGGATTGGCTTGCTACTCCAACCGGCCTGTGCACAACGCATGAGTTGCTCCGCATCCGAGCCGCTCATCTCACGGCTGGAGGCGTCAGCGAAGAAGATTCAACGACGATCATGCAGCTCACCTTTGACGTTGGCACCGCGTACTTTGACATAGTGACAATTGGTGAAGAGAGCTTGAATGCAGGGAGCTTGAGCGATAACGGCATTTAGGGATAGCACGCATGCAATTCCAGTTTGATGAGCAAACAATCACACAAGCTTCGAAGTCTCAATTCGTATTCATGCCTCCCGCCCACCTTCACTGTTGCTGCGCAGATATGCAATGCTGCCAGGCTCTATACAATGGCGATTCAAAGTCAACCTTGTCTGTTATATAACACTTCGATCGATCGCATCTATACTCAAGAGTCAAAGACACCGAGAACAACAACGATCGATCAAACAACCATCAGCGATCGCCACTTCAATCAAACGTATCGATATAATGGACACGACTGCCGACACCCACTTGCTACAGCTGAACCATGAGCGAGCTAGTCACCTGGCAACACTCGGCTTCACCAATGCAAGAATATCGACGATCTCCGATATCACTGTCTACATCGGCAATGCTTGGTCGGATTGTCTGGTAGCAATTCACGCTCCGGTACATGCGTCTTCCTCCTATCAGAGTTGCCCTGCTTACAATGCTACAGATCTTCACCCCACGCCAAACTCTACTCCTGTACCTACGCTTCCAGCATCTGAGCGAGGGATGCCACGCGCTTCCCCTGATGCAGGACTGCGATTCAGCCTTCTTGACGACGACGGTCCATTCTGCCCAGAGGGCTGCGGAAGAGGACTTCCTATCGATGCGGGACCTGGGCAAATTGCAAGAGGTGGCTAATCACCTTCGCGAACGATTTGACAGCGGTTCGCACCCGGCTCTGGAGGAAAGAAGCATGATTGGAGAGAGCGTGAGCGCGGGTGGCTCTAACGGGAACTGATGGTAGCGTGCACGGAAGTAGCCTGCAGATTCGACAAACATTTCCACTAAGCACGGAAGTTTCCGCTCACCCTTTAGCATGTTGTTTCTGAGCCTTCATCGCCATTGTCGTACGCGTACACGGCGTTGCCGAAGGTCCATCTCGAGACGCGACTTATCACTAGTCGATTCAATAGTCACATGTTTGACTTCAGGGGGCAAAGAGGTCACTATCCACGACTACCATAAGAGGCCATACAATGGAGTTCGCTCTTCTGCTGTGTAAGGACTCGATGTAACGCAAGGCTAGGTGTAAGATGTGGAGATGGGCAAATATTCATACTAACGTGTCCCCTTTTTCACAAGGCTTGCCCCTATTTTCTGAGAGTATACAATGCTGCTTGGCCGCTTTCAATGATTACAACATTATTGAAGACAGCTTGACAGATATATAAGCCCCCACCGCCACTCAGCAGATTTCTCAATCTCTACGCACTTGTCAATAGCTAGAGTCATCGAAGCCTCAAAGCCCGAGTCAAACTGGACTCACTAAATCGTTCACTACAAATTATGGACCAACCCAACGGCGCAAGCAACGGCACGAGCAACGACACGAGCAACGAAACCACTCCTATGAGCAGTGGAGCTCCCGATACAAACAACAGAGCCAGAGCCGTCTTCGACTCCAGCTTGCGAGCACAGTGGCGTGCACACGTTCGAGACAACCACATCTCTGCGACGGAACACGTTAGCGATATGGAATTGGACACGATCTTCAATCTCCATGGAGTCGTCTCCTGCTCGTGGCTCTTCTATCGACTAGCATTCTACACATATGTACGTACACTCCACTGAGCTTCCAACCTCTGCTTGATCATTGCTTACCAATCTCTAGGGCGCCTGGGACGAGCGTACTCGAGGCTACTACGATCACGCCCGAGAGATGGCCGATTATTGTCGATCGCACTTTGTCATAAGGCATTGGGACTCGTATTTCCAGCGATCAGCGGTCGAGCAAGCGCAAATGACCGCGGATGAGGTCTTTGACGAGTTGCAAGAGGAGGGTATAGTGGCGGAAATTGCGGACCGTCAACTAAACCCGCGACGGAACGACCAAGATCCAGGTCAGTTGTCTCGATTGCGTGACGGGTTTCGAAGACTTCAGCAGTGGGAACCTCTTGAGAGCACAGGACAGGACTAGTATGTGAGGATACACAGGACACTTGCCCCGATTCTCCACTTAGGTAGCAAACATATATCAAACGTATTCTGTACAACAACATACCACGATTCACTGTTGCTGTGCGAGCGTGGAATACTATCGTGCTCCCTATACAATACTGACAGGCCCCCGTACCATGAGGTCAGACTGGAGTATCGTCTGCTATATAAACAGACATTTCCGTCACTTCAGCAGTCTCTTCGACGCGTAAAGACTCATCAACCACTCTCGAAAAACTGGATATCGACGAAATGGACGGCATCAGGAGAACAGTTCACATTCCCGCCTGGGTACCATGGTTTAAGCAACGATGGTACGAACTCCTTCGATCGAGGCATCCCAGCCACCCCTTCAGCGATGGAGACCTCAGCACAGTCTTCGACCACCGTCATGCCGTATGCATGGCATGGTTCAACTGCCTAGTAGCGAACTACGCTCCGGTATGTGTTCCTCCTCTTCGAATGTCGATTGCGTGACTGACTTCTGCATCTGTAAAGAACCCCTTACCAGGGCAAGTAGGAATCTGTCGAGCACGATTCGAGCTGGCGATCAATCACTGTGGTCTCGACCCGGCCGTGCAACACTTCGACCATTACTTCCGGTGCTGCATCGTGGATCACGCTCGGAGCGGTGCATTAGCGTTGTTTGAACAGCAATTGGCAGCAGGCGAAGTGCCTCACCTGGCTGAGGAGCTGTTGGAGCAACATCTAGCTCAAGGCCTCGGCGAAGTAATCCTTGGTAGAGGGCCTGCACCAGGGCTCCACGTCGCGGTTCCTGCGGAACGTCCTCAGGGGCTGTATGACATGCCAATTGACGAGCGTGGCCAAATGATCAACGGAGCGGCGACTGGAGATCGCGGTCACAACCTTTACGATCTACCCATCCGTCAGGAACGTCCTCCGGGCCTGTATGACATGCCAATTGACGAGCGTGGTCAAGTGATCCGCGAGACGGCAGGTGGCGATCGCGGGCTGCGTGACTTTTACGATCTACCCATTCGTGAACGTGCACCTCCACGGGGTGTTGGCATCATCGTTGGCGAGCGTGAGCAGGATGCTGACCACATGGTTGTTGATGAAAGCCAGCCTGAGCGAGAGGGAGCGTCAGACGCGTGATCTCAGGCTCGGGTGTGAAGTCAGAGCAATGGGAAGGGGGTCACAACAGTTCTCCACTTAGGTAGCAAACAAATAGCGAACGGGTGTGTCGTTCTTCACTACTGCCTTTCATGTATTCCATGTTGTCACGCGCAATGTCCCGCGCTGCCTGGCGCTCTATACACTGCTAGTCCTTCCATATAATGCCACCAGGTCAAAGATCATAAGATACATAAAATGGTCAGTCCATAGCAACCCAATCGACCTCCAACTCTTCGAAGCTTACCAAAGTCTGTCACAAGATCCTACTCCCAACAATGGCCAATTCCAGCAACACTAACATGCCGTCGGAATCCGCAGTACTATGCGAAAAGTTTCGCGACAGCTGTCGAATCGCCGTTCCCGAACACCCTTTCAGCGATGCGGAACTCATCCACGTCTACAAGTTGTGCGAATCCGTCTTCCAAGCTAGGAAAGATGTCTTAATAGCGACCAACTGCCCGGTACACAATGCCTCTCTCTCTCGAACGTGTTGTGCCGATTGCTAACATCGTCTCCAGGCCCCTTGGGACAAGCAAATCCTCAGGTGCGAGAAGGCGTACGACACTGCCGTTGAGAATTGCGAGTCGGAGGGTGTGATGGCGCGGTTTGACAGTTATTTCAAGATGGCACTGGTGGCCCGGTCTCGTGCAGCTGCAGAGCAATCTTTCGAAAAGAACGTGGCGGAAGGCGAAGTACCTGGAATGGCCATCGAACAGTTGGATCGAAATCTGAGTTGCCATCACAAGAACAAGGGTCATTGGGAGGAGCTCGAGGTGGCCCTCGAGGCAGAGATACAGGCGAAGAGAGCCGCGGACGAGCAGGCGTATGCACAGACCTAGAGTGTGAGACACGAAGAGGCACTCACATGAAGCGTTGAGCCCTCCATTCACTCCTGTGTACGTGTTATTCCTTGTCGCCATTCACGCGTTTCATTCCTTGTCTTCATTCAATGGTATCATCCCTTCTCCCCACTCACTACTGATTTGCGAGCATTCAATGCTTCAAGGCTCTGGCGAGCCTATATAGACGTTCCTGCCCACGACTTAGCAGTGCAATCAATCCTCAACTCTTTGGCACTGAAGCACTCACGATCAAGCCTCACGACACATCCAACCGGCACGATGGACTCCCAAGGACATTACATCGACAGAACGAATGAGACCGAAGCCCAAGACATCCGTGAGCTGCAAGCCAAGTGGCGCCAAAACTTGCGAGACCACCACCCCAGACTCGAGTTCAATGAAAACGCCGTAAACGGAATCTTCGCCTTCAGCCAACTCCTCGCCGTGGCTTGGTTCGACTGTTGCGCGCTGCACAGCCTCCAGGTAAGTGACCTCTTTTCACGTAGGTCCTAGTGTTACTCTGATCGCTGACAACTGTAAGGCTCGCAATCACGACATGGAGTATGTCCGTGAGCACCGCTTCACCCAGCTTGCCAATGTTTGCGCCGGCGATCCTGAGGTGGGGCGTTGGAATCAGTGCATGCTGTCTCCGCTGGTAGATAGTGCCAAGCAGGTGGCCCAGAAGGTGTAAATTGAGGCGTGCAATCGTGGGAGACGTGACGCCAGCGGTCTGCCGATCGCGCGTCTCGAGCGATTCGCGTATCACTCGTTGCAGAGCTTTGTCCGCCAAGCCACCCCCCTTAGGTGAGCTGGATTGACATTTCTAACGAGATGGGTGAGAGTGAGCACGAGACATGCGAGACAGGGTTGAAGGCATACACGCGAATGGCTAGTCTCCACAGTTGCTGAATACCAGTATGCATTGAATGCAAACCTGACCGTCCCCCGCCGTCCACAGTCGTGACTCGGTAGCAAACAGTTGCGTCCAGCGGTATGGCGAAGCAACCGTGCTCTGTACTGTGTTAGCAGCAAACTGTGGGACCAAGTGTAGTCTGTATAACATGTGTTCGCAGTCTATTGCGAGTATGCACCGCTGCCAGGCTCTGAAGAGAGCCTATATAGTCGGTCCTGCCGCTTAATATATTTTCGATTCCCAACCTTCCGCACGAAGCTGCCACGACCACTCTCGAAGCACACCGAATCGAGACTATGGACGACCACCGTGAGCATCGTGATGCGCGAGGAGAGTGGCGCGAGTTCCTTCGAACCCACCACCCTGGCCTCGGCTTGAACCACGCTGAAATGGGCGCGCTCTTCACTTTGCACAAGCTCGCCGCCGTGGTTACGTATGATTGTGAGGTGATATTCAGGTTTCCGGTGCCTGCTATCAAGTCAACATGAAAAACTTCTTCAGCACTAACAACCTTTCAAGGGCCACTGGTCTACTGCCGTGGAGGAAAGTAAATTGAGCCATTATGATCGGGTCAAAGAGCAATGTCGAGTGCATCCTCTAGCAAGGCGTTGGAACCGCTATTTTCGGCGGTCGGTGATGGCGGTTGCTGAGGAGGCCGGCCAGAAGACGTTTGATGCAGGCTTATGGAATGAAAGACGCCAGCCATGGGCCCCGCCGCCAATCCGGGTCTTCAGAATCGAGCATCTTTTGTTGCAGCTGGTTGCTGAACAGATGGCGGTCGATGAAGTCGAGTCCGATGAAGCTATCAACGGCGTCAACGAACTCGAGACCGATGAAGCTATCAATCGCGTCAACGAACTCGAGACCGATGAAGCTATCAATCGCGTCAACGAAATCGAGACTGATGAAGCCGTCAATGGCGTGAACGAAAATGGCGCTATCGATCGGGATCAGGGAGCCTGAATGACGGACGTGAAGGAGTCCACACCTACTGAATATCTGTAGCTCCTTAATGCAGTATGTATTGAAATATGCGGCAATGTGCGAGTCTGCATGGAGTTCAATCGCGATGGAGTGAAGGGATGAGATGAAGTGAGGTCAAGCAACTCGAATCTCCGCATCGAAACAGTGGGCCAATCACAGTGCAATGGACTTCATTGCAGCTTCACCACCTCCACCATTTCCACCACACGCACTCCCACGCACTTCCAGCAAACCATGGCCAGCTTCTTCATCTGGCTGCTCGTCCTCCTGAGCATCCTCGTCCTGCTCCTCGCCATCTTTGCCGCCGTCTCCTACTTCAAAGACGACGTCCGCGCTCATTTATCTGGCATCAGATCACGCGGCACCCAACCCACCACTTTCGGCCGACAATACGGCCGCATGATGAGCCACGGCGGGAATCAGGGCGGCTGGGAGCATATCGAAATGGAAGACATGCTGGACAAGCGCGATGCGCATTTCGAATAGCGTTCTTCGCTCGTCTACTCTAGATTTGCTGGCTTACACCAAGGAATGTCACGCTCAACGGGATCCTCGAACAATTTCAAGCGGTAGCTCTACCAGGCGAGATTCTCACGCCGCAGACTGCGCAATTATTGCCGCAGCTTGCTCAGCCAGCCCATAAACTGGTGCCTGCAAATGTGCGGTCATCGCTAGCGGCATAATGCTGGCATCCACCACCCGCAAGCCCTGCGTGCCCTTCACCCGACACTCGCTATCTACAACATGACCCATGGCTGCCGTTCCCGCAGGATGATAATAGCCGAGAGCGAAAGCTGCGATGCGTTCGTCGAGCTCCGCATCTGTCGATGACTTGCTGAGGGAACTCTGCCCAGGCGGAGGTACTTCGCCAGGCTCGAGGAAGGGCGCCAGTGCGGCGGACGACATGGCGTGCATGGTGGTGCGCATCGCTGCTCGCAGGACTGCGCGGTCGTGCTCTGTGCTCAGGGAGTTGGGATCGAAGACAGGATTGTCGAGCGGATTGGTGGAGCGGAGGGTGACGGTGCCGCGGGAAGTGGAAGACAGGCACACGTTCTGGCAGGTGATGTATTCCCCATTGAATGGTATCCATGGCATCAGCCCTCTCCCATTGGCCTATCGGTCTACTGGTCAGCACAGCAACACGGTGAGACAGCGGATGGTGATGAGACGTCACTAGATACGTTGGGACGAGCTCGAAGTCGCTGCGGGATCCCGGCTCAACCTTTGTGCCGTCGACTACTGCAGCCTTCTGCAGATCAGACTCCGGTGCACTGCCCGTTATCATCCAGTCCATCGGCAGACTGTGTGCATATTCGGGCTTGTTGAAAGCCGGCGAGCCCAGCGCAAGCCCGCGCTCGGGGTGTTTCAATTTCCAGACCAAGCTGACCCCGTGATGGTCCCTGAGGTTCTTGCCAACGTCTGGGGACTCCACCACTATCGGGATGTGGTGCTTATCGAGCTCGCTCTTCGGCCCAATGCCCGACAAAAGCAGAAGTTGCGGAGTCCGGATGGCACCGCAGCTGATAATCTGGAAGTGGTACGTGAGCACATTCACCTGCTCGAAAGGGGTTTCCTGTCCACACCACGACGCACCACTTCTTTCCTCGCCCGCAGTTGGCCTCCTTTTCCAGTAATCTCCACACCAGTGGCTCTGTTATCCTTAAGCAGAATCTTCGACACAACAGTGTTACACAGAATGTGGACGCCATCGAGTGGATAACAAGCCGCAGCATGCTGTCGCTTGAGCTCGTGCCAGCTCATGACCATCGAAGAAATACCGTTAGGATCACCAGAGTTCATGTCGTGATTGTACGGAAAGCCAATGGACTCATAAGCCTCTCGCATAGGCTCACGAAGGGGAAAGCCGCAATCGATGGTCCGCGTTCGAATCGGGCCTTCGAACCCATGCAGATGCGCGGTGGCAGCGCCCGCATCGTGCCAATGTTCCGAACGCTTGAAAGCCGGCAGCATGGATTCGTAGCTCCAACGACTATCCCCCACCAAGGCCGCCCAGCGATCGTAGTCCGCAGCATTACCACGAAGCCAGCCCGTGTAGTTGACCGCGCTGCTGCCGGAGAGAAGCCTACCGCCCAAGCTAGTGAGAGTCCTTCCGCCCAGGTGGACTTGCTCGGTCGATGTGTACGTCCAGTGCGCATCTGTGTCGTTCATCGACTGGGCCGCTCTTGGATCTTGAACCTTGGGATCAGAAGTCGCATCTTCCCCTGCTTCGATCAATGCGATGGAGAGGTGCGGATGGGCTTCGTGGAGGCGCGCGGCTACGACGCAGCCAGCCGTGCCGCCTCCTACGATGATGTAGTCGAAGTCGGTCTGTGGAGTACGCATGGTGTGGTACGGAGGCGTGCTGGAAAGTGAGCGTACAAATTCCGCGTTGTTCACAGGAACTCGTCCGCGGCCGTCACAGCAGCAAAGAGGGACATTGCAACGTAGATATCTTTGGGCAGGATGCCTGTTACATCATTAATGTAAGCACTGTCAGAATTAGTCAAGTCGCTTTCGGACCTTATGATGCCCTACAATGTCCAGGGCTGAGATGATCGGCTTCGGCTCTGCAAACTTTACATACCAGATAGTGCTGACAGCTCCCACGCTCACTGCATTACACGTAGATGGCCAGCACGTGCCTGCGCTTAGCCTCACGGACACAATCCGGAAAACTGCCCGCAATCGCACATGCACTACGCCGTTAACTCATCCAGTAACAGCGCATCCACAGCCGCACCTAAGAGCTCAATCGCCTGCACGCTCCCAAGCACCGGAGTGGAAAGATTCTGTCCGCACGGCGGAGTCTGCCACGCGCCCTTCAACGCCTCCTCAATAAATCGTAATGCGCCGGGCAAGCCGAGGATCGCCGCCTCATCATGATTCAGACCGGGATACGACACAAAAGCGATATTAGCGCCGTGCTGACACTGCTGCTCCACGTAGATCTTCTCGGGTTCATACGGGACGGTGCTGTCGTTCAGCCCGTGCCACTCGTAGCGTGGGAACTTGGGCACGGGGATCGGGAGCGAGCTCACGTTCATGAGGAGCGATTCGTCCGCGACGACCTTTGCGACGACCGGGTTCTTCATCGGGTCGCCGCCGTTGAAGTACGCGGGCGACGAGAAGTTGACGTTGGCGAACGCCGCGCCCGTCTCGACGATGCAAGCGTCGACGCCGCGGAACTTGGCGAAGGTTTGCTTGCCGAGCGGCGTGAGGAGCGTGTTCAGAGTGGCGTTCAAGGCAGGGTAGCCGTTGGCAAGCCCTACGATTGCACCTCCGGCGAGAGCGGCTCCCGACGCGCCGTTGAGTAGGGTATATGCCGCGCCGAGATCCACTGGTGTACCGCCGTACGCTGCGCCCACGATGTTAAGCTCTGGCGCGTAGGCCATGGCGAGAGAAGCGGCCCAGACGGTTTCATGGGCGCCGCCACTGTAGCCGAGAAGCGCTACGGCGGGCCGCTCACTGGCGATGTCCAGGCTGTTCTGCGCCGCGCGGATGCCGTCGAGCGTCGCTCGGCCTTCGGTGATCCCTACCAGCCATTCGGAATCTGCGTCTTCGTCATCCGAGTTGACGACGTAGTACCCCTGCGCCAAGGCAAAGGTAGCAATGGGCGTTAGGAAGGCGCCCAGGTAGGCCTCTTGCTCCGATGTTGTGTTGACATTGGCCCAGCTAGGAGCACACATGATGTTAAGCGCGTCCTCGGCGGCTTGGTAGGACAGGATTGCCGGAGGGGACAGGGGGGCCGCAGGGATGAAGACCGTCGTCACCGTGCCAGTGGCGTTGCCCTGCCGGTTGGTCGTTCGATAGAAGATCTCTCGCGCGTTGACGAGAGCGCCAAACTCGGTGCTGAAGACTGTACGGGCTCGGATAACACCTCCTGCAGCATAACTGGAAATGTTGTTGGGGATGACGTAAAACGGGTCTTCAGATGGAGTGGGAAAGGATGTGGCCAGAGGTGGATTGGAGCCAGTGGGCGTCCACAGTGCTCGGGCATCAGCGAGGCCTGCGAAGGCGACGGCAAGCCATGAGACAAGCATGATGGATGAGGACGTCTCGAATAAGTGTCACGTCGAAAACTTGCCGGCAAAGCGGTTCTTCTTGCAAGCTGTTGAAGACAATGGAGGAGTGAAAGCAGACTTACCGGCTACCGAGGACAGGTAAGGACATGATGTATGTATGGAGGGTGAGGCTGAGACAGTAACCCGGAAGGCAGGAAGGACGCCGGCATTTCCTCTCTCCGCACCCACGCGCATAAAATGCCGCTTGCCCCACGTTTGTCATGCCGTCCGTTCCAGACGTCATCTGATCTCATCAGTATCCGAATACGAAGATCCGATCAGAGCGACATGAAGACTCGGGATGGGCGATGCAGCCAGCCGTGCCAGTGTTCGGATTCGCAGCGCGAGACATTTACCCAAGGGTTCGGGACAATAAGCGTGCGAATTCTGCTCGGGCACGCTCGCATGGCGGCGTTGGCAGCTTGAAATATCGACAGACGCCATTTCGTATCGTATGTGTACCAATAATGCCGCTAGCCTGCGATGAATGCTGGCATCTTTGTGTCGAGAGAAGCATCTTGAGATTGTTTTCGAGTGCGACGAGCAAGTTGACGTCAAACTCGAGGTCAGGGTAAACTCTAGGTGCCTAGTGCTGACAAGGGCTGCCGATTCGGACTTGCATGTTCCGGAGCGTTTGTTAAAATTCCACGTCCTTCCCAGTAAGTTTCCCCGCATCCTTCTGCGCATCCTGATCGCCCTCCAGCGGCGGAAGGGAGAAAGGCTTGATGGCAAACTTCCTCCGACTGACCGTAAACGCCAGATCGTCTCCAATGCTGTTCTCGCCGCCTGCGCCGCCTTCGCCTTGCTCCGTGAGGACAGGGAGTTTATGCACGTGCACGAGTCCTTGAGGTTGGTCTTCGTTGCCTCGCGCGCCTCCGCTTTCTGCGAGGCTGTTGGAGGCGTCCATGAGGTGGGGGAAGGGGGTGAGTTCTAGGACGCCGTCGGAGAGGTGCTCTGCCCAGCGGATTAGACCTGAGGTGCGCGGGTAGAGTTCGAGGGGGATGGTGATTAATGCTGTCAGTTTGTCGGAGTATTGGAGCAGAAGTGCTCGCAGGGAGTGCAGGAAACGAGTGAAGTTTTCGGGACGGCTGGCGTGCGGGGGATAGATTGCTGGACTGAGGATGGTTGGTATGACTAGACGGTGGATAGTGTTTGGTGCGGATGTTTTGAGGCTCCGTTCTAGATGGTGAATGACACTTTCGAATGGGGTTGAGTTCGGGGTGGTTTGAAGAGTGTGGATTTGAGCATCGGAAGGGATGGAAAGACGTTTGCTCAAATCGAAAGAATGCTGGAAGGGAGTGTCGATTTCGCGACCTGGAGAAGAGATGGTACGAGATGGTGCGGCTGGACTTACCGTTAGTGTCTGTGGAGGATAGTAGAAAGGGGATAGAGCCCATGGCATGCCTACGCACCTCGTTCACCTACAACTCCAACATTCTCATACCGCCATGCAATCTTCATTCGCTCGCTCTCAGAAGCCGTGACTTCCCTCCTACCCGCATGCTTTTCCTCCAGCAATCCGGGCAACTCCCTCACCCAATGCTCACCCACGCCGACAATATGAACGGTGTGTCCATGGCAAATGCCCTGCGCGGCGTAGTATCTCAGCAATGCGCCAGAGAAGTCGGTAGTCCCGCTTTCCTCGACCAACAGACTCGATCCGAGGATCAGACCGCCGTGGCCACCCAACAGAGCATCGAGCGATGGAGTGCCGGTAGATGTGACTGTATGGGAGCTCAAGGATGACGGCTTGACACCGAGTGCGCTCTCTTTGACGGGGGCTGTGTCAGATGGTGGACGTCCGAGAACGACATTGCGCTTCCGGAAAGCCATTCATCTCTGATTATTGCCGTGGTTGGTCGCATGTGTCGAAGTCTGGAGGTTTCGCTTTTTCAAGGGCAGAATTCGTGGCGCTGGGATGTCTTGGACAAAAGTCGAGGTATCAATGCCAGTGTGCTCCACGACCACAGGAGTCGATACAATGTCGAGACACCCGATGATTGATGTTCCAGCTGCCGTAAAGATCACTCTTGCTCCTCCCTCTCCAGAAAACTTGGATCAAACTCGACCTTCTTCTCAAACTTCTTCCACCACTCCTCAAACGCCTTCAAAGGCACCGTGTCACTCCCAAAACTCGCCAGGAAATTGAATGCATTCTTGATGATCCTCTGCGCAAGCAACTTGGTCGTGACCGGGCCATCAGAACTCGAGTTCCGTAGTACCATTGCACCGCCGGGAGCGGTGCCCTGAGGCGTGCCAGTCTTCAGATTCGCGAGCTGCTGCTCCACCTGCGCCGTCGGCTCAATAGATACCCCGACTACAATATCACCATTCGCAGTAGAAGACGCAGCCGCACCAGAAACCGTGGCCGGATCATCAGTCATAACATCGCCATCAGCATCCGTCCCATTGCCAGCCTTGATCCCGCTGACTTTGAAAATGGCGCTTTCCTTCCCCGGCCCAATGCCGCCTAGAAGTCGAAAGTCCGCAGCCGGGGGAATCTGCACGTAAACCGTGGCGGCGGTGTCAGGGGGGAGCTGCACGCCGGGCAGGATAAAGAGGACGATGTGGTTGAAGGGCGGGTTGGGCGGGATGCGGAAGACGTATTGCGCTTCGGTGATTTGTTGCGGGGCTGCGTCGACGGGGCGGCCGGAGATGATGATGCCGAACATTTTTCATAGCAGCTGGGCGAAGGTCTCGGGAGACTCGGGGGTCTGGTGAGGGTGAGGCCAGAGTGCAGTTTGATTGAAGCTGCTATGGATGTTTTGGTGGAAGAGGCGCTGACGTCGGCGTTGGATTGCAGCTCCAGCTTCCCTCCGCTTTCGGGTTCGACCTCAACAAGCTGCTCGACCCCTTTCTTCCCTTGAATATTTCGAACGCCAACTGTGATAAGGTGTACCGCTTACGAATCAGGTCCAGGACGTTGATCAATGCAGCAATGGACTCCTTCAATCTAGACAAACTCAAACAATACATCCCCAAAGAGCTGCCCAGCGTCCAGCTCCCCTCCTGGCCCCTCACACCCTCTCGCAGCGCCCAAAACGAAGACGACGCCGACATCCCAACACTCCAAGACGAAGAGCTGAACGACAATGGAGCCGCCCTGTCCTTTGCCGAGCCCAAAGCCATTCCTCCAGGCCCAAAAAGCAACCTGGACCTCATCAACGAATGCGACAACTTCCCTTACTACAATGTAAATCGCCAGCTCTACCTCGCCCACGTCAACACCTACTACGCTCTGTCCGTGCACTCCCACCCCGACACAGAACTCGGCTACGTCCTGCCCTCCGTAGCGCAGATATTCCGTGGCTTACCTGATTGGAAGGTCGACGACGATGAACGAAGACTCACGCTATTGACAGGCGAGTCAGAAGAGGAGCGCACAAGAGTTGTCGCGGCGACTACACAAGCAATGAAGGCTACGGGTCACTTCGCCGTGCTGAAGGGCTGGAGGAATGAATTATACCCCGTTTACGGGCCGAACAGGGAGCTGCTGTTCAGTATCGAGCGATCCGCGAGCGCGCTGTTCGGCATCGTGACATATGGGGTTCATTTGACGGCGTACACGAAGAGGAAGCAGGACGGCGAGGGACAGGACGAAACGGAGGGGATGCGGATATGGGTGCCGAGAAGAGCGGCGACGAAGTCAACGTATGGTGGAATGCTGGACAATACGGTTGCAGGAGGCATGGCTACCGGCGAGACGCCCTTCGAGTGTCTTGTACGGGAAGCCGACGAGGAGGCGAGTCTGCCGGAAGCGGTGGTGCGCAAAGGTGTCAAGGCTGTCGGCACCGTCACGTACTTCCACATCCGCGACCATCGAGCAGGAGGCGAGACGAAGCTGTTGCAGCCCGAGTGCCAGTACGTGTACGATTTGGAGCTGGCCGAGGACGTTGTGCCGAAGCCCGGGGATGACGAGGTGGAGGCTTTCGAGCTCAAGACGTTGGAGGAGGTCAAGCAGGCGCTCAGGGATGGCGAGTTCAAGCCGAACTGTGCGCTCGTCTTGCTCGACTTCTTCATACGCCATGGCTTTTTGACCGAAGACGATACTGGGTTTATTGAGATTGTCGCCCGGCTGCACAGACGGCTGGACTTTCCCACGAGGTAGCCTTTGCTCGAATTGATCACGATAGACCACCCGCCTGACCACGCCACGGTCATGCATGCTTCAAAGCTCTTTCCTTTTCCTTCCACCAACGCCGCGCTAAACTTGTTCAAACCCAACAGAGTGTCCCTCGCCGCCCTTCTCATCTCTTCAACAGCATGTAGACGTAATCCTGCCGCAGCGGCGAAAGTTTCTTGTACGGCCCATCAAGCAGCAACAGCAACCCCCCAAACGACACATACACCTTACTACGCAAACGTCAGCCTCGCCCTCTCGCAAACAACCACCCAAACACCGCACTCACATATTCGCCCCATCCCCCGGATCATGATGCCGATAAACCTTCCCATAGCAAACATAATCCCACAAACTCGCCAGCGTCTCCTCATTCCCCTTATCCCGCCACCCGCGCTCGTCCTTGGTGCCGTCGAGATTCAGCGTCGTCGCGATCAGCATCGTCACTTGCTCCCCTGTGGCCACGGGGAAGAGCTCGCTGTTGATGTCGAGCGTCAGGCTGGTGTCGGAGGAGGCGGTCAGGCCCATGATGCGCGCCACACGGTCGTACGTTTGGTCCAGCACGGTGGTGATTTGGAAGGAGTCTTCGTAGAGGGCTGCGTCGGTGGACATTGTTGCGGTGTTTTGGGGGGGTTGGAGGGAAGGTGGGGGGTGGGAAGGGAGGGTGTTGCGGAGGGAAAGATTTGAGGTTGGCGGTCGTGAGATTTTTATGGGGCGCGTAGATTGGAGCACGGGCTGAACTTTTCATCATGGGAGCTCCACAGCCTTGCATGGAGTGCATGTGAACTGGACGTATTACGATCTCTGATCTTCAAGTGAGTGGTTTCTCAAATGCACTCGAGACATACGCTCGTACGGCTATCAACTACCTGCTCTCGTTCCAATTCCGTCTCGCTCGAGGCATCACAGGAGTGCTCCAGCAAGTCCTTCGCATTCGAGAACCGACTTGCCCTACCACGAAGAGGATTGACCTGGGTCATATGTGGCCCAGCATCGTCGGCGTCATTAACAGACGCCCTTTGCACTGTAACAGGTGACAAGACTCCGTGGAGTGCACCCTTTTCGTGTGTAAGGCTCCGTAGCGAGTGAGCGATGCGCGGTCTGCAAGGATTGCGGAAGCCTTGAGATGTTCTCCAAACAAGACGACGCCTTCAGCCGCCAGGCCCCAGGTCTCTCATACGAAACCTGCCCGACGCCCCAATCTCATCAGCAAGATCGCCCATCCTACACAGCGTTCGCGGCTGCGACTTCCGCATCCGCTCCACGCGCAGCGCCGTGGCACACCGAATGGCCAGCACCCATCCCAGCTCGGCGCTGGCGCCGATCTCGCTGTAGAAATTCTCCACCAGCGCCATGCACGTGTCGAGGAAGCCGGCCATGCCCTGCGACGGAACTTGGCTGAGAGAGTAGACGGATTTGCAGAGGTGATCTGCTGAGTCCTGCGCGTGGCGCAATATCTGTGCGCCCGTGGCGGGATGAAGGTGTGCTTCTGCGGAGGGGAGGAAGTGCAGGATGCGGAGGATGGTGCACTCTACGATGAGCCCGAAGAGCCAGTACTCCAATAGCGACAGGGTGAATCCCGTGCAGCTCATCGGGGTCGGGAAGCGATGGAAGCGTTGGAAGGTGTGGTTGGTGACCAGCACCACGTGCTCTTCGACCTCGTCGTTGAATTGGCCGGGCTGGGATGTCTCCACGCTGTCTTTCCAGCTCTTGAACTCTGCAAAGGCCGAGTCGCTCTGGAGCAGTTGTTGCAGAGTCGATAAGTAGCTTAGAAGGTCGTGTAGGAGGCGTTCGGCAGTGTCGGCGCTTTGTTGACCTTTCTTGCTGAGGAGGACATCGGAGTGCTCCAGGAGTTGGGGCAAGCGCTTCACGACGCGGTCAAACATGCTTCGTGAGCGATTGACTTTTGTACGCATGACTTGAATAGACGTGTCAGAGAAGTCCAACCACTCTGGCTCCGTCCAAATGATGGCTCGTCTGTTCGCAATGCCGATGAAGAAGGTGGGCACTTTGATATTTCTGTAAACCGCGACATCCCAAGGCGAGCACACGGAGAGGATCGAAGGACCTTTGGCTTTCAAGAACTCATGCGCGCCCCAGTAGTGGACCTTCCATGCGTTGGATTGAAGATGTGGCATGGGTGTGTAGTCGGCGTACACACAGAGCAGCAAGATGCATGTGACAATGTCAGCGGGGGGGATTTTGGTGTCCTGTCGGGGGACGAGTTGCGCGAGGCCACGCAGGACGTTGCCGTAGTATATTTGCGATTGCTGGACGAGTCGATCGTCGTGATGATGCTCGCCGATATGGCCGAGACATATTGCGCGTAGGGCATCGGAAAGCATTTGATTGGAGGAAGTGTCAATGTCCGGAAGGGCTAGCAAGTGGGACTGACGATCGAGCAGGCTGGCTTTCGCCTTGGGTACGGAAAAGTGCAGGTCGAGGAAGTCACTGAGCATCTGGATTTGCTCCGTGGCGGACGGATCGATCGCGAGAGATAGCCGATGTGCGGCAGCATATGCGCTGCCTGGTGCCAGGATGAGACTGCGCGACAGGCCCTGCGCATCATCATCGTCGTCGTCGTCGTCTTCAGCCGTGAACACCGAACCAGATGTAATATCCTCCCCAGAATCGGCCTCCGACACCGACCCTATGCCAGAGCTTCCCTCGTAAAAAAGCTTTCCAGTAGGATCAAAAGGCAAAGCGCGCCGGCCAGGGAGAATGGTGATCTTCCGATCTTCCTGCCACTCCATCAAGTCTGCACTACGCACACTGATGCTGCTTCGGGCAGACATCGTGCCTGCAGCCCGGAAAACCTAGCCCGCACTCTTGGGGTGGAGCGCGGCTTCCTCGTGGGTTTCGCGACCTCTATCGCCGGCTATGCGCACAGCATAGAGTCGCCGTTTGCAGAAGAGGCATAGCAAGGACTGGGAGGCACGAGTCTCGCGATCAACGACTCGTCAGTGGAAATCGCTCATGCACGTATCTGTGCGGGTGGGGGTGGTGGTGGTGTCGGTGGCAGTGATGTCGGTGGTGGCGGTTGATAGGTCGAGGCCGCTGGGGAGTCAGCTTTGACCTAATGTGAAAAGCGGGTACGGAACGCCGGCTCACCGCGCGGTACGATCTCGAGAAACGGCAGGTTGATCGAAGCTTGCATGCACACCTCACGGACGACGCCGCATTTCAGGTATAGCGTGGCGCGTTCTAAACTATCACCACACGTAATCAGATGCCCTAATTGGCCGCCCTACGAGCTATCTATCTAATTACTGCATGGCTTTACGGACAGTCGTCTTCGGCTCTGATATGGACATTATCGCGATTCTCAGGCATTCGCATGAGCGCACTGGCTTGTGGCACAACCCCTCTAAGTTTCGAGATCGCGTGCCTTTGCCCGCCGTTATCATTCGATGCCAATCTGGCGCGCGCTCCTGGGAGATTTCTCCAGTATTGCGGCTGAGGCGTCATCACTGACTCAGCAGCTCGCTACTTGCATGAGTTGGATGTGCATGTATACTTGAGCCTCTCTGTGCTCGGCCAGAGTTCATTCAATCACGGCCCGGCCAGCCGTCTCAAAGTTTTTCATCCGGCCATCGTGACGTCTTTCCCTTTCCCTTTCGCAGAGGCACGTGTCGATTCGCTCTCCGACTGCCCCGTCGCGGCTTCTCCAATAGCTTCCGCAAGCACCGTCCTGCTCATAGCAGCAGCTTTGACAGCGGCATCCATTAGCGCCTCCGTGTTGGTCGAGGCATCGCCCTTGAGCCAACATTCCGTAATCTCGTCTCGGGACTGCAGGTACGCGACCACGCACATTGCCTTGATTTCGTGCTCCGGCGGCGAAACGTCCAAGGCCACATGCTCCGTCTTCGCGTCATCGTCGATGACCAGTGCCGATATGCCGCCAGAGACGACATCCACGCAGTCGATGCCAGCGTCCACCAATGCGGCACTGGCTACCGTGATGCAACCCGCAAGCACACTCATCAAACCCCAGCCCGCTCCCTTCTCGGCGCCAGACCCATCCGCCCACCAGCCGTCTTCTTCGCCCTCCAAAATCGTAATCACGACTTCGCATCCGCTTTTCGGCCACCGGTCGCCGATAATCACCCCCCTTAATGCCGTCTCCAAATGCACGCCCAGATCTCGCTCGCTCGCGTCTCGAACGTACCCCCGTCGCCGCCTGGTCGCGAACGGCGCGAACTTGACATGCGTTGAAAGTAGCAAATTGGGACTGAAGGCCGCATTCCTGGGCAGTGGTCGCGGCCCATGTACGGTGCAGGTGATTTTCAAGCTTGACGATTTCGGCGTCAACTTCTCATCCTGAGCGGAAGATGGTTGGGGAGGTATCTCGTAGTATGCGCTGCCACTTGCCGACGGCACCACGCCTGTCCGTAGAAAGATCTTGCGGTGCTCATCCGGTCCTCTTGTCCGTCTGGGCCTTTTTGGAGGTTGCTCATTGCTGGTGAAGGTGAACACGGGTGGCGCAGTGCCACCCGCGGGTGCATTGATACGGCGGCGATCCGCCTGCATTGCTATCGAGATGTTCTGATCATGTGCATCTCTGCCTGTCGATTGCGAACAGACTTGCCCAAACGCGAAGTATCAAGTGTCAAAATGTAGAAAGCTTATCGATAGACCGCCACGCGCAGGGTCGGCGCACGGGCCATGCAACGTCACATCCGCCGCCGGCACAGCCACGTCAGGCAACCGCCCACACCGAGCAGAGATTACTCTTCCCTCTTCTCTCCTGCGCAAACCACAACCAACACCAGCAAATTACTTCGACTCCCCCACCAAGACCACCATGTGCGGCAGCGACATCTTCCTCGGCCTCATCGCCATCCTCTTCCCGCCCATCGCCGTCTGGGTGAAGAGAGGCATTTGCGGTGCTGACAGCATAATCAACATTCTTCTCTGCGGTACGCTTGCCCCTGCACTCACGACTTGCATCCACGCTCCTACTAACGCTCCCATTCAGTTCTCGGTTTCCTTCCCGGCCTCATCCATGCCTGGTACATCATCGCCGTCACGCCCGACCCCACCTACGTCCAGTTGCCACAAGATGCCGAGCAGGGCCGCGTGACGTATTACTACGTGCAGACGGGGCCTCACTACGGCACTACGGCTCAGCCGGGGCAGCAAGGCTATGGAACGACGCAGAGCGCGGCGCCGAATGCCTCTGGTTCTACTCAGCCAGCGCAGGCAGCATCACGGGAGGAGGTGCCGCCGACTTATCAACAGGCTGTGGGAGATCACAAGGTTCAGAAGCCGTAAGGAGACTGAGGTTGGGATCGGGGAGTAATGAAAGGACGTAAAGGTAGCCACTTGGGAGAGGAGATGCGACAGGAGTTCTGGGTTGTATGTGGATTTGATGCCCCATGATGATCGGTGGAGGGTTCTGGAGTTGGTAATTGTTTTAAATGAAGTTTGGTCAGGTATCTTGCGAGCCATCCTAGACGTTCGACTCTATTTCTCACCCATCCGCCGTTTTTCCCTGCCTTCTTGTCGCTTTGGACTTCGCTCCTTCAACAGCTGTTGCGTGTGCTTCAGTAGGCGAACCATCCTCTCCCCTCTTCTGCTCGCCCGTGCCAGTCTCCTCCCTTCTCCCAATAATCACCGAACCCGCCACAAGCAAGCCTGCTCCAACCCACCATAGCCCTACAAGATCATGGATCAATACAGCAACATGACACCAGCCTACGCATGCAAACATACCCGACAATTCTTCCCCGAAAATCAAAGCTCCCAACAAAGCCGTAATCATAAAGTTCGCACTCGTGTTGATGACGCTGACCCGTACAGTGCTGTTCGCAAGTGTCAAGGCGCGAGTGAATAGCGCCCACATCACGCCGTTGAAGGCTAGATTCATGAGGAAGAAGAACTAGATGTGCCGCACGTCAAATCTTTTGCATCAATGTGTAGCAGCAAAGGAGGTGCCATACGCCTCGCACAAGGTAGTCGACTGCAGTGCTCTGCTCATTTAAGCCTAGCGAGTAAGAGATCTGGGCGGCCCAGGCTGTTGTGAGATGTGTTGTCGTGAGCTTTGCAAAGGCGCCGTTGAGTGCAGCGCAGCCACCGCTCGTAATGGCGTAGAGGAGCCATTGAGTCTTTGATTCGGACATTACATCTCGTGTCTTGCTTAGGATAGAGAAAGGAGAAGGATGTCGAACGCTGGGAGAGTGTGTAGACGCCTGAGTAGGGAAGCTGGAGTTTCAGAGGCCCGTGCGGACTTTCTACTTCTCTTCGAGCAGATTAACGCCCTTCACCTGACCTGTCCGAGTCTCGGTCAGTCTGGAATTGAAGCCAGCGAATTTTACGGTCCTCTTATGCTGGTGTCTCAATGTCTGACACCATCTGTAGTCGGTAGATTGTCGGCCGAGGTGAACCGGCGCTGACGGTTTCCCTCCGACCCTCTCCTTCTAAGTGAGGGAGGCACAGTAATGGGATGGAGAGCATGTTTTCTGAGTGTACTGTCTATAGAATACACGGTGAATGCAGCGGGATGTCGCTCAGTCAGTCTCGTTTTGATCTTGTAATCTCCAATAATATTCCCAAATACCGTCGCCCAGGGCCGCTTCTCCGAACTCCACGCTAAAGTGATCTCATAATGTTCATTCCAATTGCGCTCGATCGTCGAAAAGAGCTTGCAAGCGTGCATAGAGCCCAATATGACCATATCAAACTCCAATCACTTCTCAATTTTGATGCCTGTGGGGGTCTCAAGCTTCGGCTCTTGCTTTGTCTCACACTTCGGCTCCCTTGTAAACTCGACGGGTTCAGCCTTCACATTCTTCTCCGAGAGCGGATCCTATGCCGCCGTCTTATCCTTGGCCAAGCAGGCCACGATTTTGATCTTCTCGGCGTCGAACTGGTTGTTCCCGTCCATCTTGAAGTGGATGTCTTTGATGATGAACGTCCAGACTTCGTCGCAGAAGCGGTAGGTATCTAGGTGGCCCTGCGGAAGAATAGATTAGTTAAGTCTAAGTCACTGCGATGGAGAGGAAGAGAGAGGCTTACCTTGAAAGTCATCCTGGCCTTCACCTTTTCCCCTAGCACCGTTGCGATGCTCTGGTCGAAGTTCTGCATGATGCGAATGGCGAGCTGGGGTTCGATGCGCCGGCTGCCGATCAGATCATCCAGCGTGTCTGCTAGAGCGAGGCCGATGCTACGAGACGGTTAGTTTATGAACCCTCGCCGTGATTTGGCAAACGGGGTGAGCGTACGATGTGCCTCTGTAGAGCTCGTAAAATGCCGGCGCTGCTTGCGCCATCTTGCCTCCGGCTTCGACTTCTCACTCGAACGATATGTGAAGCGGTAGAATAGTCGGGTGTTGCCGCAGAGGAAGTGCGTAGTCCCTGTGTCGTTGATGTAGACGTGAAGGAGGAGAAGGGCTGGGGTTGGCATACGACAGGGCGAAGTCCGCGATGTTTGCTTAGTCACCCACGCCGACGGCAGTTCCCGCAGCGCTGGAGCATCTTCGAGCTGCGATGTTCAAACTCCAAAGATCCAGCGACATCATCACCTCTGCTTCACTCCCCGTCTCTCTTCGTGTTCTCGCCATGGGCGGCCTTACCTACGGTAGCTATGGAGCTACTGCAGCTTTCATCGTCGTCGGACTGTGTACGTACCGCTCAGATGACTTCCATCTAGCCCAGCAACTAACGGAGGCTTGATGATAGATATGCTCTTCAATGGAGAAGGAGAGGCTTTCAATGTATGCAGTACTATCCCGGCGATGCGCACAAAGACGGCGCGAGTCTGACAAGAGCACGAACAGGTTGGCGCCTTCCTCGAGTCAATATCCCCCTACACCTGGGCAACCTTGGGCATCAGCCTGTGCATCACGCTGTCAGTAGTGGGCGCAGCATGGTCAGTGTCCCGCGAAAGTGTCACATCTACAACGGCGGGGAGAGAAAAAGGCAGAAGGACTAACGAGCACACGCAGGGGCATCTTCATCACCGGCACATCGATCCTCGGCGGAGGCGTGAAGGCGCCGCGGATACGGACGAAGAACCTGATCTCCATCATCTTCTGCGAGGTCGTGGCTATCTACGGCGTCATCATGTCGATTGTCTTCTCGGCCAAACTCGAAGCGGTTGGCGCTGAAGCCATCCGCAGTGCGGGGAACTACTACACCGGCTACGCGCTGTTCTGGTCCGGCGTGTTGGTCGGAGGCTGCAATCTCGTCTGCGGAATCAGCGTGGGCATTAACGGATCGAGTGCCGCTCTGGCTGATGCTGCGGATCCGAGTCTGTGAGTTTGCAGCGCGCATGCTCTATATCCGTTGACAATGCTTTATGCTAACTAGTTGCTCAGATTCGTCAAAATCCTCGTCATCGAGATTTTCTCGTCCGTCTTGGGACTGTTTGGCCTCATTATCGGACTGCTACTCAGCGGGAGTGCGGATCCCCTCCAGGCTATTTGAAAAGTCGACTTACCGTAGAAGACCTTGAAGAAAGCGCGGTGACTGGACAGAGGCTCCGCGTAGCGACAGGGAAGCGAAACCGTTCGGCAGCATGTGAATGGCGTTGTTCGGTTGACGGGGGAGGCATGCATTCGACTTGAGCAGGCAACTGTATTTGTGTACATCATATGAAAAGAGTCACGTTTATTTCACCGCGTTATTCCGCCGCATATGCCCTTGAAATGATGAAACCCGCCTGACACTACTATCATCTGGGTGCTCTCATGCGTTTGCGCCATCGGTATGCACAGTACTCTGCCTCTGCTACGAACTATGATACACAAGACTACTACGATTCTTTCCGTGGTTTATTCATTACGATCGACCACGAGTATGTATTGGGAAAGGTGGGCTCGACACTGGAACTGCCAGAATCGGCCAAGCTTCGCCCTGAACCTCATCTCGACTTTCAACATGATCACCACCGTGCACAGCAGCTGTTCTTGATTCGACAATACACAACCCAAAAATGACCGACAACCCGAAATTCACCGCCTGCATCATCGTCGTCTCCGAAACAGCAAGCAAAGACCCTTCAAGCGACAAATGCATCCCAGCACTCCAAGAAGTCTTCGCCAATGATGGCCAAGGCAGGTTCACCGCGGAAGACACAGTCATCGTGCCCGACGATGTCTTGCAGATTCAGCGCGCGATTACGCAGCGGACGGATGGCGGCGAGGCGGTGAATTTGATTGTGACGAGTGGTGGGACGGGGTTTGCGCAGAAGGATGTTACGCCTGAGGTGGGTTTGGATCTGATGTCGGGCGGATTGGGTTGTACTAATTGGTGTCATAGGCTGTGATGCCCCTTATACACCGACATGCTCAAGGATTGGTGTGAGTTCGACTTGTTTGGTATTCATGCGTGGCTTCACCCGACTCACAGTGGACAGACATGCCATGCTCGCGGCGTCGTTGGAGGTCACGCCTTGTAAGAGCTCTATGAACGAACAAAAGTTCCACCCAGCACTGACATAATCCAGTCGCAATGATGTCTCGACCTGTAGCCGGAGTCCGCAACAACACACTGATCCTGACCTTGCCCGGCTCTCCCAAAGGCGCCAAAGAGAACCTCTCCGCCGTGATCAAGCAACTAGCACACGCCTGCCAACAAGCGGCAGGCGCCGACTCCCGTTCACTACATGTTGGTGGAGTGAAGAAACTAGAGCGAGATGCCGGTGTAGGCGTAAATGGAGCGCAGCAACACTCTCATTCTCACAATCACGGCCACGGCCATCATCATCACCATCACGGTCATGGACATCACGGACCACAAGCACACACCACTCCCGCCGACCGACCGCAAATATCCAACGATCCTAACGCAGGGCCGACAAGACGCTATCGCGAATCCCCGTACCCCATGCTTTCGGTGGACGACGCATTGAAGCAGATTACTGCGAGCACCCCAGGACTAGTAGTCGTCAAAGCAGCTGTCAACGAGGGACTGGTAGGCTCTGTTCTCGCCGAAGACGTGGTCGCTCGCGAATCCGTGCCCGCTTTTCGCGCGAGTATAGTCGATGGGTATGCGGTGATTGCGAGCGATCACGTCCTAGTACCCAGCACGAAAGGCGTCTTTCCCGTCGCGAGCATCTCACACGCGCAAGCGGGGGAAGTGCCAGAGCTAAAACCCGGAGAGATTGCTCGCATCACAACTGGTGCGCCGTTACCACCGGGTGCTACTGCTGTGGTGATGGTGGAAGATACTGTACTGCGCTCTCAAACTGATGACGGCACAGAGGAGAAGGAAGTAGAGATCCTCACGGACGCCATCAAACCCGGCGAGAATGTCAGGGAGATAGGGAGCGATGTGAAGGCTGGCGAGGTGATTATGAAGAAAGGCGAGGGCATCACTGCCGTTGGCGGGGAGTTTGGCCTCTTGGCTTCGGTGGGCACGCGAGAGGTTTCTGTCTACAAGAAGCCGGTGGTGGGTGTATTAAGCACGGGAGATGAGATTGTGCAGCACGATCGGGAGGGCGAGTTGAGGTTGGGGGAAGTGCGGGATACCAATCGCCCGACGCTCTTGACGGCTGTCAAGGGCTCCGGCTTCGAGGCAGTGGATCTTGGGATTGCGTCCGACAAGTGAGTAACTCTTACCCGACTTCCTACATTTTGTATCGCTAACATTGAGTGTCAGGCCCGGTGCACTGGAGCAATCCCTCCGCGACGCCCTGCGCCGCGTAGACGTCATCGTCACCAGCGGCGGCGTCTCAATGGGCGAGCTCGACCTCCTCAAACCCACCATCGAACGCTCCCTCGGCGGCACGATCCACTTCGGCCGCGTGTCCATGAAACCCGGCAAACCGACCACCTTCGCCACCGTGCCCTTCAAATCCGACCACGGCCAGCGAACAAGCAAGACCATCTTCTCGCTGCCCGGTAATCCCGCCTCGGCAGTGGTGACGTACCATCTCTTCGTGCTCCCGTCGCTGCATCAAATGTCCGGCATCAGCCCTGCGGGTTTGCCGCGAGTGAAAGTCGTGCTGGATCAGGATGTCAGGCTGGACCCGAAGAGGAACGAGTATCATCGCGTCGTCGTCTCCGCGCGGAGAGATGGACAGCTGTATGCGACGAGCACGGGGTTTCAGCGGAGTTCGCGGATCGGCAGCTTCAAGAGTGCGAATGCTTTGTTGTGTTTGCCGGCGGAGGAAGGGTCGCTGAAGAAGGGCGAGAAGGTGGATGCGTTGTTGATGGGGAAGATTGTTAGTGAGGTGTAGTTGCACTGGTTAAGGCGCCGCGCCTTGACACAAGCCCATATGCGCGGTTTCAACCCTTTGCAAACAAGCAGATCTTCACCCATCATCGTCATCATCATCGCCATCGTCGTCATCAAGATCCTCAATTCCATTCGAAAACTTGTCATCGCTCGCAGCATTGTCAATTGCTCCCACACCCCCAAGCGTGAGATCCGTCGTGGGAGCAATCGCAGCAGCGCGACGAATGCTGAGCCTCGCCCTTCGGATTGCTTCCTCCTCGGCCTTCTTGACTGTTCCAGAGACACGGACAACCTGGATTACACAAGACAAGTCTACCGGCTTAGGAAGATGCGTTGCAAAGGTCAAAGCTGCCCAGACCATGCGGTAGTGATCGCGAGACACGCGGATGATGGCGGTACTTGTTGCCGGGGAGAAGTACTTGACTGTGGGCATTGTAAGCCGACACGCCAACGCGAGATACGGGAAAAGCGTGCAGAGGGCACTCACTCTGAAGGCTCCCAGCAATCATGCCCGAGCCGTAATCGCCAAAGAGTTCAGACACGCCATCCCTGACGAGTCGTGCCAGCAATTTGGAGTCCATGCGATCGGGTGTTGGCCGTCGGAACTGCACGGTGTACGGTACGTCGTCCGCGGGCCGCTTCCAGGATCCATTGGCGACGTTGTTCGAGTCGGGGTAGAGAATGTTCACGAGCAGATAGCGGTGCTTGATTCGGACCATGATTGTGATGCCGAAGCTGGGTGAGAAGATATGTGCTTAGTACTTTGAAGTACTTCAACCATCGTTGTGCTTGCGAACAGGAGTGTCGTCGGGGAAGATGCCCATCGTTGCAGTTGATTGGGAGTTGGAGATCCAAAGGTGTGAAGTAGTTCAAGACGCGTCCCACCACTTTCTTTGGCACCTTCCCAAAAAATGTATTTTGCGGGGTAAAAAAGTGCATCTCGAATAAAATAATTCGCAGCCCACCTGCCCGCAATTACATTTCACATCTCTCCCTCGACTGCTACTAGAGGCACACAACAATGGAAGACCGTCGCTTTACCGCCCTCTCCACCGATCCTCGATATCGTCTGCCGAACCGCAAAGAAGCGCGAACAGCGGTCGACCCGCGCTTCAAGCGCCTCTTCACCGACCAGGACTTTCGAAGGAAGGCAACTGTTGATCGATATGGCCGGAAGATCAAGACAGACAGCGGGAGGAAAGACCTGGAGAAACGTTACATACTCGAGGAAGAGCCTAGCAAACCGAAGGCCAAGGTAAACGAACGTGAGCTTGCAGGAAGTTCAGAAGAAGAAGATGATGCGGATCAGGAGGAAGAGCTGGTGAATAGGCGAGATCCGGCTCGTGATGGAGGTTTCTCTGCTTCCTCGTCAGAGGAGGAGAGCAGTTCGGAAGAGGAGGATCTAAGTGACGACGAGGCTGCTCTCGCCGAGGAGACGGCCGGCCGGGAGCAGACAGAGGAGACGCCAATGGGCGAGGTGTCGTATCGTTTGGCTGCTGTAAATTTGGACTGGGACCACATACGCGCATCGGATATTATGGCTGTGGCCTCGAGTCTGGCGCCGAAAGAAGGCAAGGTCGAGAGCGTTTCCATCTACCCCAGCGAGTTTGGACGAGAGAGGATGGAGCGCGAAGAACTGGATGGCCCACCCAGGGAGATCTTCACAAGTTCGTCGCGCGTGCAAGAGCTGGACGAAGAGAGCGATGAGGAGGAGGATAGCGAGGACGACGAAAAGATCAGGCGCAAGCTTCAACAAGACCAGGTCAACGAAGGCGGCGAATTCGACACTGCCAAATTGCGGCAGTACCAACTCGAGCGACTGCGCTATTATTATGCCGTCATCGCATGCGACTCCAAAGCGACGGCTAAAGTTCTGTACGATTCCATGGACGGGCGAGAGTATCTGACCACCTCCAACTTCTTCGACCTCCGCTTCATCCCCGATGAGACGACTTTTGACGATGACAAGCCACGAGACGAATGCACGTCTCTCCCCACGGGATATAAACCAAACGACTTCAAGACCGAAGCACTCACGCACTCAAAAGTCCGACTCACCTGGGACGACGACGACGCGACGCGGAAAGAAGTCCAGAAGCGCGCCTTTTCCCGCGCGGAAATGGATGAGAACGATCTTCAGGCGTACATTGGCAGCGACTCCTCTGACGCAGAGAGCGTCGCTTCTCGCAAATCCGCCGCCGAGGACAGAAACGCGAAGAAGGCCGAAGCGGCCAAAGCGAAGATGCGAGCCGCGTTGGGCTTGCCAGATGAATTCAGCAAGGCGGCCAAGAAGGGTGCCAAAGACGAGGCCGTGGGCGACATGCAAATCACCTTCACCTCCGGCCTCGGTGCGGGTGGCAAAGACGGAAAGAGTGTCTTCGAAAACGAGCCACAAGACGAAGAGAGCACGCGAGACCGGTACATTCGCAAAGAGCGAGAGAGGAAGCAGAAACGAAAGGAGAAGATGAAAGCCAGCCGCCCCGGCGCGGCGGTGGAAAACGACACCGAATCAGCGAGCGAGCAGGAAGCAGAAGACGCCGGTTTCGACGACGCCTTCTTCACCGATCCAGCCGCTGCAGCCGCTGCAGAGAAAGCCGCCAAAAAAGCCCAACGTGAGAAGAAGCATGCTGCAAAAGCGGAGCTAGAAGCGCAGAACGCGAGTCGCAAAGCCGAACTCGAGCTGCTCATGGCCGACGACGAAAACGGCGACAATCTGCGCCACTTTGACATGCGCGAGATCGAGAAGGCGCAGAAGCGGAAGGGCAAGAAAGGCAAGAAGGGCAAGAAGAAGAAGCAGCATGGATCTGCGGAAGCGGAAGTCGAGGACACGTTCAAACTTGAAACGCGGGATCCCCGCTTTCAGGCGCTGTTTGAGAGTCATGAGTATGCTATTGATCCTACTAATCCGCGCTTCAAGGGGACTGAGGGGATGAAGGCGTTGTTGGAGGAGGGGAGGAAGAAGCGGCAGAGGTTTGAGGAGGATGGTGAGGCGGAGGTGGAGGCGCGGGGGAAGAAGGCGAAGCAGGTACCACGAGAGCAGGTGACGGGTGAGGACGACCTCAAAGGCCTCGTGGCTAGGCTGCAGAGCGGGGGGAAGAAGGCAAAAAAGGGATAGAGTAAAGTCAAGACCACGTAACAATGAAGCATGTCCAACATGTGAACGGTGTCATACAAAATCTTCTTTGCACATCATACCACATTCCTTCGATCCTCCAACTCCACCTCTCCCTCCCCATCCCCACCGCCCCCATCCGTCCACTCCCGCTGCCTCCTCTCCCTCTCCACCTCCTCCTCATACCGCCGACTCTCAACAAACCCACTCCTTCCCCCAACCATAGCCGCCCGTCCCGCAGCCCCACGATCATCACCCAACTTCACCCGCCCACCACTCCACCTCCTCACCCTCTCCCCCAATCCCTCCGCAAACCAGCGCATAACATCCCACACCCACTCCTGCTGCACCTTCTGCGCCGAGTCGTCGCGCGGATTATCGTGCGCCTCGACTTGGAACTGGTACTTCAGGCAGTCCTTGATTGTCACCAGACCCGTGAGTCGGCCGCGGTGTTCGACGAGGATGACGCGCGGGCCGAGCTTTTTGAAGAGCTCCATGACTGTTTCGAGGGGGAGTCGGGGGTGCACGGCGAGGGGGACGGGGTCGACGAATTTGCTGAAGTCGACTGTTGCGCTGGTGGTGGTGGATGTTACTGGCGGGGCGGTGGAGGTTGTCGCTGTGTCGACTGCGGAGGTTGCGGGGGCGACGATGAAGTTGCACGTTGCGTGCGGACTGGCGAGTTGGTCTTTTAGGGCGCGGTCTAGGGCGTAGCGCAGTTCTGTGCGGCCTATATGGCCTAGAAGGACTTTGGAGTGCCAGTCTTCCACGATGGGGAAGCCTTGGTACTTTGTTTCTTTCAGGACGTCTTCGACTTGGGCGATCGTCATGCCTGTTGCGGTGAGAGTGGTGGGATCGGCGGTCATGGTTTGTGACACGGGCACGCCGAAGTTGTGCTCTTCTTTGTTGTCGAGAAAGGGGAAACCGTTGAAGAAGATCATACGGTCTGCGATGCCGCCTTTGCCAAAACGCTCGGAGACAGCTTTCGTGACGCCGACGACGATCATGGTGGGTAGAATGTAGGTGAGGGCGCCGGTCAGTTCGAACATGATGACCACGACTGATATGGTGAGGTGCATAATTCCTGAGAGGGCCGCGCCGGCGCCGAGGAAGGCGTATGTGCCTGGCGTTATGCAGGGGACGTCGGGTTGACAAGATGAGAAGAAGGCGGCATCCGGGAAGCGTTGTTGGAGCGCTTGAACCATGATTCCCACCATCCGGCCGAAGGAAGCGCCGATAGCCATGCTGGGGACGAAGATGCCGGCGGGTACTTTGCACCCGTAAGAGATGATGACAAGGAAGATGCGCATCACCGTTGCGAGAAAGAGCGTGATGACCATTCGCCAACGGTTAGCGGGGTCGCAGAGCTCGTCGTAATCGTGGCCGCCCTCGCATTCGAGAAAGAGTATCTCCATAGACTCTGTCATGTCGATTCGAAGGAACATGTTGGGGTAGCAGAGGACTGCGGTTCCGAGTGCCAGGAGACTGGCTTCGAGGATGGGGAATTGCGAGAGATATCGCTTTCGAAAGGCTTGCACGCGGAAGTTCCACTTCATGACGAATGCGCCGTACAGACCGCCAAAGATTCCGATCAAGATGTAGAAGATGACTTCAAAGTAGTGCCAGTCGCGGTCGTATTGGACGGTGAACATGACGAGTTGGCCGGTACGGAACGGGTTCATGCCAGCCAGGACTGCAGTAGCCACAAGACAGCAGTAGTAACTTCGCCACATCGTCTTCAGTGGGAAGTAGTTGCTCATCTCTTCCAAACTGAAGAGCACTCCGCCGATTGGACTGCCAAAAGCGACAGCAACGCCGGCTGCTGCCGTTGCAGAAAGAATCTCGCGGGTCTTGGCCGCGTTTCGTCGATATTTGGGGAAGAGTCGGCTGATGACATTACCAGTGCACACGGCGTAATGCACACTTGGCCCTTCTTTGCCGACGGAAAGACCAGAAGCAATGGCCAGAGGCAAGCCAATGGACTTGATAAGTAGAGTCCAGAAGCCCAGGAAGCCCTTCATGACGAAGCCGGCAATGATACACTTGATCTCGCTGATTCCCGAGCCAGCGGCGTAAGGCGCGAATGACTTGACCAGTCTGGCGGATGTGAAGGCAAAGAGCGTAGCAAAAGCGATGTAGACGATATAATTGAAAGGCCAGAAAGACGACCAGCGTCGCCATTCCGGGCAACCTCCCTCGGCACCCCAGCAACAGAAGGACTCGTTCAGATAGAAGCCGGTAGTGCAATAGCCAAGCTTGACGTCCGACAGCCATTCGGTAGCGATGTTGAGAAAGGCAGCATTCAGCCCTATCGCGATGCCAATCAGCGTGACGACAATCCAGCCTTGGCCCGCATCGTACGCCTCCCAGAGCGTGCGTCTCCAGCCGAGCTTTCCCCTGTCGTCGAAGAAGCCCGCGCGCTCCACTCGCCTCGCTTTCCGCCGTGCTTGTTCTCTCGCTGCATCTTGCACCCAGTCTATCGTGGTGAAGTCCTCGTATCTTTTGATCTCTGCGATCTCTTCGGCCACCGCATGGTCGACGTGGATCTGGGGTTCTTCTTCGATGGCGGACTCGAGGTTGGAGAAGCGACGGGTGAGGGAGGAGCTGTCGGGGCCGCCGGCGGAGGCGACGGAGGTGGCGTACGTCTTGATTCGTGGAAGCGCGCGGCTGGAGGGCTGTTGGCTGGAAGGGATGGTGATAGGATCGGGGTCATCCAGACTGCTTGCGCGGTTGCGATTCATTGTATCGGTGGGTTGGGTATTGGAGGCTTGTTGTATTCCATGTCCCCTCCTGTCATCGCCGCACCATCGCCGTCTCTTCACTTTTGTATCCCATCCTCCGTGGTTGTCGCTTCTCGAATGTCGAAGGAGGAGAGACGACTGGCTCGTTTAACACGTGAAGTGGAACCCCTCCGAGCTTTCTCCGGCCCAACTTTCGACCTCCAACGATCTTCCTCTCTTCACTTCCGACTTCTTGCGACGCGTATCCGACCAATGCTTCATCGTTGTCAACCGCGCAGGACGTGTCAAAGGCTGCACATTGTCCATCTGACGCCACGGTTTTGAGCCATGCCTTACAACACCACACCAATCACTCCCGCCAAGGAGACTACCGGCAGTGCATCTCTTCCACGTGCGTTCTTCCAATCTGCCAATATGTTCGCACGGTCGACTGATCCCTAATCTAGTCGCCCGCGTGAAGAAGATCATCGCATCCGATCCCGATGTCTCCAACTGCAGCAACAATGCCGCCTTTATGATCACCGTCGCGGCGGAGATGTTCATTCAACACCTCGTCGAGCAGAGTTACAACGTTGTCAAGAGCGAGCGCAAGCCGAGGAGAAACATTCAGTATCGGGATGTTGGTGCGTAGTCCAGGGTCACGAGAATGCCGGGATCGAGACGGTGACTGATACATGACGACTTCTAGCAAACGCCGTGGCTCGCGCGGAGAATCTCGAATTTCTCACAGACGTCGTTCCCAAGACTATGACGTGGAAGCAGTACAAGCAGAAACAGGCCGCGGCTCCCGCTCCGGCGGCACAAACCAATGGGCAGCTATCTACAAATACCCATCTGGATTTGGAAGACGACGGCGAGACTTCAATGATGAACGACCAACAAGCTACGAACGGGGCGAGCCATGATGGAGACTCCGAGCGAATGGACGTTGATATGGACGGGCCCACGCAGCAAAGCATCGAGTTCAAGCGCGATGAGTCGGTGGCTACGCATGATGAGGATGATGCGCCTAGTCCGAGTGAGCAATTGAGGATGGAGTCGTGAAAGTCTACGCCGAACGTTTTTGGGAGAATGAGCTCGCTACAAATCTCGACGCATGCTTTCGAGAGCCTGGGCGAGGAGCTTCAGGGCCGTATAAACCGAACGCCACCGGAGCTAGCTACGAGATCCGCACTCGGCGCCGCGCTTCAGTGTGTGGCAGCATGCCAGCAATGCGGCCGCTGGTGGGCAAGAGAAATATCTCACGGCGCCCAGCCTGCATGAAAGACGATGCTGCGCACCCTGCGATCCGGTTTCGGCCGGACAATGAGGATCTACGCGCGCCTATCGCGGAAAGACAGGCTAGATATGAGAGAGCAGGCTGAGATAAGGCGGCAAAGCATAGACTTTCCAATGGTGTCGTGGATAGCGTCATACACCGCGCAAGAGTTCAAGCAGAATTATTCGGCCATGCTTACCATCCAACCTGTCCGAAAGGATAGAGTGATAAATACCACGGGAAATGCGCGTCGCGTGAGTTTCGCGCTGACTTAAGCCTTCGTTGGTGCCTTGCCCTTTGCAGCCAATCACATCTCAGCCTCTGCCTACACCTCAACCTTGCCACAATCGCAATGCTATCAGAGATACAGCTTGCAAGAATGCAGAGCCTTGAAGTTTATTGCCGATGAGAACACGAGTCAATCTGGCATCCGGAGCGACCAAAGGAGATGGCAGAATCCCCGGGGACGTCGCCAGCTCGGGGCACCAAGCGCAAAGCAGATGAGATGCAAGGACCGCGCCGCATACGCGCTCTACACCAGGATGTCGTCAACAAAATTGCCGCCGGAGAGATCATTGTCGCACCCATGCATGCACTGAAAGAGCTCATCGAGAACGCTGTTGATGCCGGGTCCACCAGTCTAGAGATTCTCGTCAAAGACGGCGGCTTGAAGCTGTTGCAAATCACCGACAACGGCTGCGGCATCAATAAGGACGATCTCCCCATTCTGTGCGAACGCTTTACCACAAGCAAGTTGAAAGCTTTCGAAGATTTGACGAGCATCGGCACCTATGGATTCCGAGGCGAGGCTCTGGCGAGCATCAGCCATATTGCTCATCTAACCGTCACCACAAAGACCGCGGAGTCCAGTTGTGCGTGGAAAGCACATTACCTTGGTGGCAAACTCGCGCCACTGAAGCCAGGGCAGAGTGAGGAGCCAAAGGCGTGTGCTGGGAGACCAGGCACCCAGATCGCGGTGGAAGATCTGTTCTACAACGTTCCCAGCCGCCGGCAGGCTTTCAGATCTCCCAGTGAGGAATATGCAAAGATCGCCGATGTGGTTGGCAAGTATGCTGTACATTGTCACGGTGTTGCTTTCTCTTGCAAGAAGCACGGTGAGGCTGGCGCGGGCATTGCTGTTCCTGCCAATGCTACTACGCGAGATCGGATACGAATGATTCACAACACCGCCATCGCAAATGAGTTGATCGGACTGGATCTGGCAAATTCTCAATACGGCTTCAAAGTCGATGGACTGGTCAGCAATGCAAACTACCACGGCAAGAGAACGACCTTCCTCCTCTTCATCAACCACCGCTCCGTGGACTCCTCCAACATGAAGAAAGCCATCGATCAAACATACTCCATGTTCTTGCCCAAGGGCGGGAAACCTTTCACCTATCTCAGTCTAGAGATTGACCCGGCCAGAGTGGACGTCAACGTGCACCCGACGAAGCGAGAAGTCAACTTCCTCAACGAAGCCGAGATCATCGAACTCGTTTGTGATGAAATCCGCACAAGACTTGGCCAAGTCGACACCAGTCGGACGTTTATGACGCAAAGTCTTTTGGGCGGCGGCGTGACTCCAAGCATCTCCAAGGCCAACATTCCTCCCACAGAAACCCCTTCGACCCAGCGTCCTACGCAACAAGGGCGATCTACAGCAAAGCCTTCCACTCAGAAGCCATACGAAAACAACCTGGTCCGAACAGATGCCAAAAGCCGCAAAATCACCACGATGCTGCCCCAGCTGCAGTCAAATGCCACGCTATCTCGGGAACCGACAGCGGATGGGGTGGAATACGAGTACACAGAGAGGGAAGCGACGATCTGCCGCCTCACCACGGTCAAAGCACTTCGCGCTACTGTTCGCGAGAACATGCACAACGAGCTGACAGACGCGTTTGCGAACCATAGCTTTGTCGGGATCGTGGACGATCGGAAACGCATTGCAGCCATCCAAGGCGGAGTCAAGCTCTTCCTCGTCGACTATGGAATGGTCGCAGCAGAGTACTTCTATCAGCTTGGCCTGACGGACTTTGGGAACTTCGGCTCGATTCGGTTCAACCCGCCCTTGAGCTTGAAAGAGCTACTCGATATCGCAGTTGAACAAGCCAAGGCTCAAGAACCCGATCGAACGGACTTCAACTGGGACGAAGTGGCGCCTACCGTGTACGATCAGCTGGTTTCCAAAGCAGGCATGCTCACCGAGTATTTCTCGCTCGAAATCTCCCCCGAAGGCGACCTGCTCTCCATCCCGCTGATGATGAAAGGCTACATGCCTTCCCTGGCCAAGCTGCCCCATTTCCTCATCCGATTAGGACCGCATGTGAATTGGAGGGACGAGAAGGGCTGCTTCCACAGCTTCCTGCGCGAGCTCGCGAGTTTCTACGCGCCGGAAAGCCTGCCGGGCGAGTCGTCGGGGAAAGATGGTGCAGAGGAAGAAGATGCAGAGCTTGTGAGCAGGCGGAGGGAGCTGCATCGTGCGGTTGAAAGCGTGCTGTTTTCCGCTTTCAAGGCGAGGCTGGTTGCTACGAAGGGGTTGTTGAAGGGCACGATTGAGGTGGCGAATTTGAAGGGGTTGTATCGGGTGTTTGAGCGATGCTGAGACTGCAGTTTCCAGTTACATGGTGGTATATGTGGACGGCTAGCCTTGCTGTTCTTCGATCTATGAAGGTCGGCGAGAGCCTTACGCCCTCGGCCGGGATTAGGGTTAGGACGACCAACGTACTAACGAACAATCGTGCCCTGTCAAACAGTACATGTAGCTTTATTCATCTTCCATCATCTGCGAACATTCCAGCAGTACACACCAGCGAACACTAACGCGGACTATACGAGAATGGCTTCCGCAAAAATCACCTGCCTCTGCGGTGCCATCAATGTCCCTCTGGACGACCCTCTCCCCGCCAAATCATCCCTTTGCCATTGCAACTCATGTCGACACACCTCTGGAGCGCTCTTCGCAGGCCGCATTGGACCGCTCGAAAATATTCCAGATGACCACACACTATCAGCTTGCACAGCATATCACAGCTCGAGCACCACAACGCGGTACTTCTGCTCCACGTGCGGAGCGAAGTTGTTCATCCACGACGCGGGAAAGAATGAATGGCATACTTTCGCCGGCGTCGTCGATCCTCCGGCAGACCTGGAGAATGTGCTCGATATCCAGGCCCATCAAGGATTGGCAGACACTCATGACGGAGGAATGGCATCTTTCATGACAACGCTAGGCGGGAAGACAATCCCGCTCTACTCAACAGACGCCTCCTCCCCTGCATACCACCTCCCAGAACCCAAGGCCCAACCCCTCCCAGACCCCCACGCAACCCTCAAAGCGAAATGCCACTGCGGCGGCATCTCCCTCCTCATCCAACGCGCCCGCCACGATGACCCTTCAATCCCACAACTCGACCGCTTCATCCCCAAAGCCGAGGACGGCACCACGCCCACGAACAAACACATGGCTTTCTGCTGCACCTGTCGCTCCTGCAGATTACAAACCGGCGTCTCGTCTCTCGTGCCTTGGACGTATATCCCCGCCGCGCAGATTCTGAACGCGCACACTCGCCAAGCAGTTTTGCAACACCACGACGTGGACAATGTTGGTGCTGCGGCAGACGTGAATCGAGATTTGACCATCACGCACTTCTGGAGCTCGGAGAAGTCTTGTAGGAGTTTTTGTCGTGTTTGTGGGGCTAGTGCGTTTTATTCGACGGATAGTCGGCCGGAGGTGGTGAATGTTGCTGCGGGGTTGTTGAGGGGGGAGGAGCACGATGACGGGGTTATGGCGAGGGGGTGGTTGAATTGGGTTTGGGGGCGGACGGCGTGGAGGGATGAAGCGACGCAGAGGGATGTTGCTGATGCTTGGAGGGGGACCGGGGGGTAGATGTCACATTGTATTATGAATGTTGGAGAGGTGAGATGTAAGGGGATCGTGAGCGTTTTGAACTTTTTTTGCATTCGGTTCAGGTCAACTGTAAGTACATAGGGTATATATCAAATTTCCTTCCTTCACATTCGACGCGGTGCTTGAGAAGCAACTTTCGCGTGCACATATCTTCCATCTAGTAGACATACTTCGGCGCGCCCGGAAGCAGGATCGAGTTGGCCGAGCAGGTGAAGGCCGGGGTGACGCCGGGAGCGGAGTAGGCGGCAATGATGGCCTCGCAGGCGGCATACAGGCCCGGGCCGAGAAGGAAGAGACCGACGCCCATGACGATGATGTGGACGACGGAGTTGACGGAGCGGAGGGCGCCGTTGAAGAACTGGCCGCGGTGCAGTTGCCAGTAGGCGATGGCGAAGAAGATGAAGCCGAAGAAGGAGTCAAAGGCGGCGCCGAGGAGGGAGAGGAAGTCGCCCATGGAGGGGATGACTTCGGAGAAGATGAAGGCGATGACCCAGATGACGACCATGACGCCGATCCACACGCCCCAGCCGATGACGGTGTTGGAGTGGGCGTGGCGCGACTTGCCCATGATGCGGAAGTAGATGAACTTTGCGGTGACGTTGGCATAGATGACGCCGATGACGAGCGTGGGCACGATGACGAAGGCGAAGGAGGCCTTGATGAAGGTGTTTGTGCCGAGGGAGCCAAAGGCGGGCGCGGTAGAGTACTGGCCGAGGTAGTGGTAGCCGATGGCGGGCGGGACGATGAAGAGGAAGGCGGACATGGCGGCGAGGACGGCGAGGGACTTGGGGAAGTCCTGGGGGCGCTCCATCTCGGAGATGAAGGTGGGGAAGAGGATCTGGGGGACCCAGAGGAAGGTGATGTTGAGGACGGCGTTCATGCAGGCGACGAAGCCGGTGCCCTTGGCCGGGACGACGAGGGTGGTGACGGTGGCGCCGGCGGTGGGGAAGTAGCCGCTGTACCCGTAGCCGGGGTGCTTCTCGATGCCGACGAAGACGAGGAAGAGCAGGATGGCGAGGCCCATGAAGCAGCTTGAGAACATGGACATGAAGGAGACGTGCTTGAGGGTGCGGGCGGTGGAGAGGATGATGCCGATCAGGGTGACGATGACGGAGAAGACGACGGTGCAGAGGGAGTGGTTGGAGAGGGTGTTGATGATGCGCGCGCCCGTCCAGACGTGGAAGCCGATGAGCATGATGTTGTTGAGGAGCAGCATGATGCCGGCGAACTCGTAGGCGATGCGCGAGTGGCCGCAGGCGTAGTAGGCAAAGTCGCAGATGTCCTTGATTTGCGGGTACTTCATGATGAAGCGGTGCATGGTCATGGACGTGATCCAGAAGAGGATGCCGGCGCCGAGCATGGTGAGGATGCCAGGGACCCAGCCGAGGACGGAGAGGGACCAGGTCTGGGCCATGATGGCGAGGCACACCTGGTCGCCGGCGAGCAGCCAGGCGACCTTGGTCCAGGACATGCTGCGGTACTTGATCTCATGCTGGTGGTCTTCGGCGACGAGCTGGAAGATCTTGCTGATGGAGCCGCGGCGGACGTCTTCGGGGATGTTGTCGAGCACGCCGCTGCCTCTGCGCTGCGTCTCCTCCTCGATCTTGGTGGGGTCGACCTCGACGACCTGGGCAACGCCCTTTTCATTGGTGGCCCAATCGTAGTCGGCCATTGTGTGGATTGGGGTTAACGAAAGGGTGGATGGATGGATGGTTGGAAGGAAGGGCTGTGATGAGTGAAGTGAGGGTCAAGAAAGCACCCTACCGAATGTCTTGCACGACAGTGATGAAATCCAAACCATCCTAGCTGGCATTGCACCGGGTTTATATCGTGTCTGCAACCGCCATGCACGCATCTTTTTTCTCGAGCCTGCTCGCATGCCCTGCTATCACGCCATCCGAGCTATCGCGGCAGAAGGCAGTTCGAGACTTCGGGGCCGCCGCCTTCTCGAAGCTTTAAGCTCCACGCCTTGCCGCTTTCGTGCCGCTTCCACGCAGTCATGCTTTCTCATTGGCCCGTCTGGTCCGTTTGCCTTGCCGCCCTGCTGCATGTCGGGCAGCCTCAAGCGACCGTGGGGGGCCCTTTTGGCTTCTGGAATCGTGGTTGGGAGATCACCACCATCTAGGCCCGCGGTTTGACTTGGCGCGAGCAGCCAATTGCGGCAACTGGACCCTTTGCCCAGTCTGTTTAAGCGAAGAGTGACCTGTTCAACACCTCCTACTCCAGTATGATCTGCTAATCATCTCTATTGCCCCCTCTATTGCGTGCGCCGGCCAAGGTCTATAGCACCGATTGCACATCACCGCCATGATTCATGACCATCGATCGAGAGCTTGAGAATCATCAGATCGAGACTCGCGACTCAGGCAGGACTCGGCATGCGCTCACAACGCGGGTTCTCCCACGAGACAAGTACGAGAGGCAGACCTACGGACGGCAGCATCAGCCCACTAGACACTTGGCTCAATACTCATCACGTCTAGTCGAAACGCTCGCCTGCATCAACCACAAGTCACTCCAAGCCGCGGGCTGCCCGCGGGCTGCCACGCTACAGGATTACATCCTCGCTAGCGCCGAGAAATGCAGACGCCACACCTCGTGTCTTGCGGAGCTTGTGCCGGGTCTTTGACGCCCTGGCCCGGCTCATCACCCGATCGGGGCTCGATCTGGAATACTGCAGGAGCTGTAGGACTGCATGTGCATTATCACTACGCTGTTTGTGTCGAGTCGGTTGTTCACGTCATATGCTACTGATTAGTCGCCAGCTTCAATGTTGATTGCACCGCCAACAGATGCCGTCACTGAGTCGATTGCTTGCCTGCTCTTGTGGATTGCTTGACTAACTCTTCTACTCCATTGCCCAGCCGCGGCATGCCAAATCCAAGATGAACAAGCAACTTCGAAGCTGATGCGATGTCCTACTCGAGTGCCCGAAAAGCGTAGATGAGAGACGACCGGATAGCATTGTCCTACACAGCAGCAGTAATGTCCATCTCCCTTTCCAAGTGAATCCTCACTTGCTATAATAATCCGCCGCCAACTTGCTCTCCTTCCTGCCCCAGCGCTCAATCACAAACGGCGTCCCCTTGATCCCCTCCCAATCCAACACCCCATCCTTAATAGGCAAGCCCGCCACATCCTCCACCACCAATTTCGCAACATCGGTGGAATCAGGATACCGGACTTCATAAGCCTCCGGGCCGCGCGAGGCAAGTTCATGCGAGAAGAAGCCCTCACACTGCGGCGTGCCCTCCAAACACTTAAAGATGGAAGTAATGCACACCCCATGCGTCGCCACCACCACCGTCCGCTCCCCTCCACCCCCTCCCCCTACTTTCGGCGCCTGCGTCCCCACAATTCTCGCCATAGCTCGCAACAGCCGCCGCAGAAAATCATCAAACAGCTCTACGCCCGGCTTGCCGTTCGCGCTGCGCGGATTACTCATGTCGACTAGATCGTAACTCCCGCCTTCCAGCTCGCCCATTCCCTGCCCTCTCAAGTCCGGGTCCTCGGTGGTGGGGGCATCGGGGTGGTCTTTGAGGATGGGGGCAATGGTTTGCTTGATGCGTTTGAGAGGCGAGTGGTACACTGCATCGATGGGCTGGCCCTTCACTTTGCCCGCCACTGTTTGCGCGTCATTGTGGCCGTTTTCGGTGAGGTCGGTGTCGCGCCAGCCTTGGAGGACTTTGTCGATGTTGTCTTGTGTCTCGCCGTGGCGGACGAAGAGGAGGTTGAGCTTGCCGGGCATGTCGTGCTGGTTGTCATCAAATGGCGGCGGTTTCGCTTGATCCAATTTTACTACAGCGATGCAAGAGATGATGACGCTGCTTGACTAAGAGTATCACCACACCGGGGTCCTCTTTGTCAATCTTCGTGGTCCACTCTCCAACACATGCTGACTGTTGCCTTTGCCGACGGGTAATGCCAATGCTACTGTGGGGAAACGCGCTCGGCTGAAGCTGCTGCCACCGCGAACTTCCGGTTTCGGAAGTTGTGAGCCGCGGACATATGTCTGTCTCCCTCGCGCCACTACATTTTCCTGGCGGTCGTCCACTCGTTCAGACATAACGCAGGCTAATCCTGAAAATCTGACACGCAGTCAACATGAAGCTCGACCCGGACTCGGACAATTTGCCCAAGCGGTCGGAAATTACCCCTGGCCCTGGGGAGCCGGAAGGCACCGCTTGGGTTTGGGGCAAGGATGACGAGGTGAGGCTTCCCTAAAACCGGAGTGAAAAAACATTCACTGAAAGCATGCGTGTAGCTTGGCCGCTTGAACCTGCTCACCCCGAGACGCAAACTTGCTGCCGCGAAGCTCATTCAGCACGGCGAGAGTGTCAATTTGGAGTGAGTTTGTATTAATCTACGGAGACATGGAGCACGCTCATATCTGACGATGACAGTTGGTCGGCGTTTCTCCCCAATCCCCCGGCGTTTGGTCGGGAGCCGTTCGAGTTCAAGATCAAGTCTCTTGGGCCCATGGGCAACGATGATTTGTACAATATGAACACCCAGTCCGGCTCGCAGGTATGTCCTTGACCATTGAAACCTATTCCCGTTTCAAGACGCTAATTGTATGTGCAGTGGGATGGCTTTCGACACGTAGCGATGCCGCATGGCGACAAGCATGTCTTTTATAACAATGTTTGCACACCGAATGGTCAATATCCCATATGACCACCAGCTGACCGTGCACTCCCAGCTGTACCAAGAAGAGATCCTCAGCGGCACCAGATGCGGCATCCACGCCTGGGCCGACCACGGCATCGGTCTGTAACCCTTCCACAGCTCACTAAGCACCCATTCTAACATCCCTCCCCCCCCAGTCGGCCGCGGCGTGCTCATAGACTACTGGGCCTACGCCAAAAAGCACTCCAAAACCTATGACCCGACCACCACCCACGCAATCCCCCTCTCGGAACTCCTCGCCTGCGCCGCAGAGCAAAACACCACCTTCCAATACGGCGACATCCTCATCATCCGCTCGGGCTACATCGAGTACTACAACGGCCTCTCGCAAGAAGCGCGCGCCGCCATCACCGGAACAGGCATCTACGACTTCAACTTTGTCGGCGTGAAGGTCGACGACGACATGCTCGACTTTTTGCACGACAATTACTTCGCCGCCGTGGCGGGCGATATGCCTGCTTTCGAAGCCTGGCCGCCCAAAGCGCCGTTTGTCGCGCACACTTTCTTGCTGCCGTGTTGGGGCTTGCCGATTGGGGAGATGTGGGATTTGGAGCGGTTGGCGGAGGTTTGTCGGAAGCGGGGGAAGTGGGAGTTTTTCTTCTCGAGCAAGCCGGCGAATGTGCCTGGTGAGTTTTTGCCTCTTTTGATCGTGCTTGTGTTTGGATATGCTAATTGTTGTAACGCTACAGGAGGCGTGGGAAGTCATCCCAACGCCATGGCCATTTTCTAATCGTAGAACCATCATCAAACATCTTAAATCATCTATTTCAACCCAACTTGCTCGCTGTTCGCCGGATCGTTCTCCCCATACGCCCACCTGCTCCCATCAAACGTAGAGATGCGCCGCATATCCCGCCGATACTTCCCATCATACGCCCCGACCGTCGCCCGATGCAGCACAGCCGTATTGTCCCAAAACACCACATCGCCCACGTGCTCATAATGCACCGCCAGCTTGTACTTCTCCTGCGTCACGTGCGCCATCAACTCGTCCGTAATCCGCCTCCCCTCCTCGACCGGCAAGCCCTCGATGTGGTGGTTGTAGGAGCCGACGTACAAATTGCCGCGACCGGTGGGTTCGTGGATCTGCGCGATGCGGTGCTTGGCTAGTGGGACTTGGGTGCAGTCGATGTTGGCGAAGGCCGGCATGTCCGGGTTGGCCTGCTTCCTGTTCCACAGCAGCGTGTTCATGCCGACGTAGTTTTGGATTTCCGCTTTCTTCGCTTCCGGTAGGTCTTCGTACGCGGTGCGGGAATCGAGGAACTCCGTCTCCCCTCCTAGGCCCTTGGGAGGCAGCTCGACCGCGCGAATAATGGACACGCCGGACCGGCGAGGATTATACGCCCCATCGGCATGCCACAGCGTATTCCCGCGCTTACTCGACGTGCGCAACTCGTCCTCCTCGGTAATAATCCGATCGTCCGCATCGATATTACTGACGTCGAAAATCTCATCTGCCGCCAGCCGGAACGCGCGCCCGGCCTTCTTGTGCGCTTTGATGTTGTCCAGCGGGCCCCATTTGCTGCCTAGCGCGATCATCGTGTCGTCGGTGACGTTGGTTGCGCGCGCGACGAGCACGCCATGCTTGTGCAGGGCGGCGAGCAGTTCGTCGGAGACGGCGTCGGGAATGGGATTGGAGAAGTCGAGACCGCGCACTTCGGCGCCGATGGTGTGGCCTTCGAAGGGGAGGATGGTGAGGTGGTTGATGCGGCCGGGCATGCTGGGTGTGGGCTGTGGGTACTGTGATTTTGTGCACGGGTTTACGGTTGAGTTGGGTTGTGTTTCGTTCTGCGGGTATTCGTGCTTCTTCTTGACGTAAGTTGGCGAGCTGCAGGGTCATATATACCTTACCCTGCAGTCTAGACGTGGGGTCGGAGTGGTGGCGGAAGTCGATAGCCGTGGGTGGCGTTGGCACGAGGCTGCGGGGCTGTCTGGAGCGGGCTTGGCTGATGTTTGACTGCATCGATCGCGATGACAATGAGGCGATTCGCCTCCAGCCATCCGCTGTGATTATTGACATCGATATGCGATTGTCAACCGCCGTCACGTTTCTGCAAGGCTGATGGAATCACTTCACTCGAGAAAAGCGCAGCGCAGTCACCCTTGGTAACCATTACTCATTAACACCGATTCCTTCATGACACTTCATGCACACGAAACTCGGTTCATGAACCCATCACTCATTCCCCCACGCCATCCAAACTAATCATATGGTTCAAAGCCCGCGCGGCCGCCACTCGACTCCTCGCATCGAGGTCGGGCTCAACAGCAAGCGCACCAAACTTCTCTCTCCACCGACCCCATGCCTCCAGCGTCAAGTGCTCGTCCCGCCCAACGCAACAGATCCTGTAAATCCCCGCACCTCCAACGTCGATCCAAGTCGCGGCGGCGAGCGCCTCTGCCGATCGAATCCGATACCGTTCTTCCACGTCCGTCGTCGCGATGAATTGGTCGTCTAAAGCCAATTTTGCGAACCAGGAGAAGCCGGCGCGGTCGCTGGCAGATAAGAAGATGGCGGCGAAGGTGGTTGCGTTGAGGTAGCGTTGGATGATGGGGTACCAGTCGCCTGTGACACGGCCGTCAGGGTAATAGTCTTCTAGACAGTAGACTAAGCCGGGAGGTTAGTGACGGTATCAGCACCCAGCGATGGAGGCGATAGATATGACCTACAGATCTCACTGAAGAGCTCCATGAAGGCAAGCTCGCGGAAGTTCCACCCAAACTCGGGCAAGTCTCGCCAGTAGATCCCCTGCGAGAACCTCGTCCCCGGGATGTCGGGCAGGGCGGAGATGGCGACAATCAGATCGACGAGGAGGCGCGTGTGCTCCAGCGAGCCGCCAAACTGTCGGACGGGATCGCAGAACAAGCCCCAGAATTTGCACCCGTACCCATTTCCCTGAGGATCAGCTCGGACGTCTGCGTCGTACAACTCTGCGATTTCCCGCGCGATGTCTTCGGGAGGCGACTCGCGTTCCAGCAGCTTTTGCACTGCTCGGATGACGGCCTGCGTGGTGGCGTCTTGGTGATATTGCTCTTGCGCACATCTCTCCGCCCATTCGGCGGGCGTCTCGGGTTGCCATTGCGGTTCTTCCATTTGGCGCGGCTGTGCTTTTTTAATCGGGGGGTTTAGATGAAAAGCAGCGAGAGTGGCGCTTCGAGGGGTTTTAGCTGCACAGAGCTCCTCCTCCCACTTTCACGAAAGCGGTGACTCGAATGAGCAGCGCGGACTCGTCAGCGAAGTGGAAGGTCACCAGGTATTCCTCATACCGCTGCTTGCTTGTGCGTCATCAGTATCTTCCTATGATGAGCTTCGGGGTGTTGATGGCGGTTCGACTACGGCAAGAAGAATGGTTGCCTAGAACCGCAGACATTTAGGCTTTGCCATCTGTTGGGAAGGTTATGTTCCTCTCGGCTGGTTCACTGAGCTTCGACATTATTATTAACACATTACGGTCGTCAACGAGATCGAGCAGGCTGTGCCTAAGTACTCACGTAGTCGATTTCATGTCTCGAGCGATGTGACAAGGCCCTTTGGCTTCACTTTGGCGGAAGAAATAGCCGCGGCGACTTCCCCACCATCACGACCTCATGTCTACCTTTACCCTTGGCAATCATCTTGAATCGAATCTTTGCCACGGGTTATAAGCAAACAATCGGATTCAAGTGATCGATAGTACATCAACAACAACGAGACGCCGCTTTGATCCTTACGAAGCTATACGTTACTTCAACCTCAGGACCTCACCATCCCCAATCACCAGCCGAAACGATCAACCTCCACCACCATCAACTAAAGGACAAACACCAACAATGGCAACCCTCCCTCCGGACACCCTCGCAACCCGCTGCGCCGCCTCCCCAACCCCCCTAGTCGGCACAATCCTCACAATCGCCTCCCCCACAATCGCCCAAATAGTAGGCCAATCCGCCGCCGAGCTGATAATGATAGACATGGAGCACGCGCCCCAACCAATCGACACGGTAACCTCCATGGTCCACACCTTCAACGCCTCCTCGCGAGGCCGCGGCCTCCCTCTAATCCGCGTCCCCTCCCACGGCGTCGAGTGGATCAAATGGGCTCTTGACTCAGGTGCTTCGGGCATCATCGTGCCGATGGTGAATGATGTCGCGGAAGCGAGGGCGGTTCTCGATCGCGCTGTCTATCCGCCTGGTGGGAGGCGGAGTTTCGGCCCTATTTACGCTGCGTACGCGCATCCGGCTGGGGTGGAGGAGTCGGGCGGGCAGGCGGGGTATTTTGCTCGGGCGCAGCGCGGGGACGTAGCGATTCTGCCGATGATCGAGTCGAAGGAGGGGCTGGCGAATGCGGAGGCTATTCTCGCTTTGCCGGGCGTGACGGGGGTGTTGGTTGGGCCGGCGGATTTGCGGTTGTCGTTGGGGATGACGGCTGCGATTGATGGGCCGGAGGCTGAGTTTCAGGCGGCTTTGGAGAGCATTGTGGCTGCGGGACGTAAGGCGGGGAAGTTGGTTGGCACGGTTGCGTTGGGGGAGGAGGCGATTGCGAGACGGGCGAAGCAGGGGTTTGATTTTGTGCTGACGGGGTTCGATATGGGGGCTTTGGTGGTGGGGTTGAATACCGAGTTGGCGGCGGCGAAGAAGAGTGTGGAGGCGGGGGTGGCGAGGGGTTGATTCGCTTTTGTGTTCTCATTATAAGTGTTCAGATGGACAGTCTGTCGTAGTCCTCAATGCAACGCTTCAGGGGTATCGTGAAACAAACAACTCCCAGGAACATCATCCCATCGTGACTCAATCCACCCGCTCAATACTCGGCCGCACCCATTCCACGCTCTCACACCGCTCATTCCCCAACCAATCCGCAACTCTATCCTCTACCCAGCCCGCTCGAAAGGTCATCTCGTCCTCCGTCCACTCCATACGACTCTCCTCAGGCAGAATATCATCCCACAACCTCCCCAATTCCGGCGCCCTCTCCTCGCCGTAAATCAAAGCGTGGTTGAACTTGCAGGTGCGCAGGCGGTAGGAGTATTGCATGCAAGCCGGTGTCGCTTCGCACGCGGTGCCGCACGCTTCGAATGATGCGTTGGGGTCGTGGTGGTAGTGCTCGCTTTCGGACGGGGCGTTGTGGCTGCCTCGCCCTGTGTTGTCCCAGTTGACGCGTGGGCTTATATCGTGGAAACCTAGGTATGACATGGCCAGGTCGCGGTACAGGATTGGTCGCTTGGGGCGGATCACGTTAGCAAGGTGGAACCAGAATGGATAGAGGAGGAACACTCACATCGGGCTTCCGGTTCTCCCATTCCCAATGCCAGAGATCAAGCATTTCGTTCCCTATGACTCTGTGCATCGACACCACCGGCTTACACCAGTATTTCCTTGTATAAGGAATCTTGGCCGGCCTTTCGGTGCTGATCATCGGCCATATGCCGCTCACATTCACCCCTTCGTTCCACAAGACCCACCCCAGAATACTGTCGCCGCAGCAGTTGGTCAAGGTCTCCGGCTCCCACCACTTCTCCGTCAGTCTCGTGCCGAGATAATCCCCAGTGCGGGGATGATAGTCGTCGCGCACGAGAATCTGCATCGCCGCGCGACTGAGGATATACCCCGGCCCGCCGTTCGCGAACCAGACCTTGGGGGAATCGGGATCCGGTTTGCGCCCGGGACTCGGGTCGCCGAGATACCACGGCGCGTTGGGGTCGAGTTCGCCCAACATGCGGAACAAGCTGTCCCACATGATGTACGTGTCGTCTTCGAAGAAGACATACCACTCTTTCCCCGGCCGCATCCTCCACGCGCGACTGATGCCCGGCAGGAACTTGAACTTGTCCGTCTTCCAGCCTTGAAGGGTGGAAGCATCGACCTGATCGAGCGTGCCGTTTGCCAGAAGGGCATGCAACTGCTCGTACGGTTCCCATTGATTTTCTCGATGGTCCCAGACGTGCGGGAGGTGGGCGGGGATGTCGGCGATGATGTCAATGACGTGGTGGCCGTGGAAAGTGTCGTCTGCGTCGGAGAATATTAAGAGCTCAGGCAGGCAGGCGGAGACAGTCTGGAGGTGGGCGCGCACGCGATCGCCGAGCAGCGCGTGGCCTGTTTTGAAGACGGGTTGGATGGAATCGAGGATGGCAGGGGGGAAGGCGGCGCAGAGGGAGTCGGTCGACAGCGACTTTGCGTTGGGGAAGTTGACGGGATGGAAGGAGGAGGTGGTGTGCCATTGGTAGAATTCGGTGGTGCCGGCGGAGGGATCGTTGGTGGGGTGGGAGGCATGTGGCCGGAGCGCGTCGAGGAAGAGGTGGTTGGAGGTAAACGTTTCCGATGGCGCCCAGTTGAGGAGCAGCAAGATCAGCACGCAGGCAAGAGTGAGGAAGGAGATGAGCCAGAGAGGCCAACGGGGAGCGGGCTGGCGCGTGCCACACCGCGGCCACGGCATGAGGGCAATGGGCCAGATGAATGGCGTTAAGGCGAGGAGAACATTTGGAGAAGAGAAAGTGGGCGTGTGCATGAGAGGCCAAAGGAGTGATGGCCCTGCATGCCTGCCTGTACACAGCACATGTACCTTGCCTTCTCCGAAGTCCGACAAGCGACTGGACAGGGAAGTGCCATCATCGCCTACCTTGCCACCAATCTGGTGAAAGTGACGCACCAACGACGCGTGGTACAAACAGTGGTACCTACCAGCTGTATGGACAGTACATGGGTACCCTCACATGCAGGAGCAGGGGTGCAGGCCTGCTCGCAGCGAGCAGGGACGACCGAGCGCCCATTACTATCAGCCTCGAATGTTCTTGAGCGAGAGCTGGAGAGGCACGTCGTGAGTGTTGTCAAGGAATGCGGTGCAGACAAAGCCCGCGGATGGCGCCGCATCGGTCCATCACCTTAGTTACCAAGTGCTTACTTGAATACGACAATACCAGACCTTATCCAACCCCGGTGGCGTTATGATTATTAATAACTCAGCGAGGTGGACGCTTCTCGTTGAGCTGAATTGTCTGCCTCAGGCTTCCACTCCACCCCATGTTCCCGTTTCGCGTGCCAGACGCGCTCCAACGCCTCTCAATCGTTACAATTAAATCCACCTCAGTTGATCAAACCACATCACTCCCAAGACTCCAAATACCATGCTCTCCATCAACGCTCCCTCCACCACCCCCAAAAATCTCACCCCCAACCTCCTCCCCTGCGCAATCAAACACAATGGCCCCATTAACGCCTCCAAACGCTACTGGTCTCCCACCACCACCACCACCTCCACAAATACAACCGACAGCAACGACACCAGCACAACAACAAGCACATCCTACTTCCGTGGCCGCAAACTGCAAGGCCGCCCCGTCACTCTTCCCTCAGGCTACATGGGTGTAATCCTGCAGAAAAGCAACAAAGCCCTCCCTGCGAGTCTAAAACCACCTAGCGCCGAGGCGTTAAGACGAATGGAAGAAGACGGGGATGAGTTGGGAATGGGTGCGGGCGGAAGTGTAGACGAACCGCTGGAAGTCAAAACACTAGACACGACTGCTGTGTTTGACGGGATGATGGTGTGGGAGCACGAGGGCGTGGCGCGCGAGGAGGGCGAGGATGTGTATGTGCGGGGGGTGAGGGAGTGGATTGGGTTGGCTGAGGCGGTGAGTCCTGTCCTCCATTGACGATACTATACCCCGGCATGACTGATGAGGAGGTCCAGATGCACTCTTACGACATTCCACAAGACGAACACGACCGATGAAAGACATGTTTCTTTTCCGAGCAGGTTTCATTCCTTCCCATCGTCCCCAATAGCGACAATGGTGTTCTATTGTACACATCTATCGAGGGCATCATGCTGCATGCAATCCCGCTCGACGACCAAGAGGACAGCGCCTTCGCGGCATCTGGCAAAGCTTCTCTGCTCTTCGGCATCGCGACTCTACAAGAAGTAGTCGGGAGTTCGGCGGGAGACCATGGGTTCGCCGGCTCGAGGGCAGGGGTCGAATTGTAAGCTGTGAGCCATTTTGTTAGCTGAAGTGGCGGACAGACGTGATCACGAGGGGCAAGACTATCGTACAAGGTGTACTTGAGGTGTTCGTCGATTTCCATAATGGCCGCTTGGTTGCCGCAGCGGTAGCAGTAGTTGGGTGCTGGGAATACAAGTCAGCCTCATTCTTCCACGTCAGACAACGCCGTAACATACCCGAGAAAATGGTGACCACGTTCCGGTCCTGACTCCAATTATACCCCTCCATGACCAGCTGATGTGCACGAGCGACGAGCGTCAGCCCGTTGTTGTGATTAAACGCCTCGCTAATGTCCTGCCCAAACGTGTACCCCGCGCCTCGCGGACTGATCCCCCAGCCACACCGATCGTCGGGGTCCGACCAGAGCAGGTCACACATCGGACCCTCGTGTGGCACCTCCTGTATCCGATCGAGCTGGCGGATGTTATCAAGCGTGTCGATGCTCGGGCTGAGGCCGCCGTGCAGGCAGAAGATCTGATTGTCGATGAGCGCGGTGAGGGGCAGATAGTCGAAGAGGTCGGTGAAGAACTTCCACACGTTGGCGTTGCCGTACTTGCGAAGGCACTCGTCGTAGAAGCCGTACACCTGCGTAATCTGCCGGGACTCGTGGTTGCCACGCAGGATGGTGATGCGCGAGGGGTAGCGGATCTTGAGCGCCACGAGCAGCGTCACCGTCTCCACGGAGAAGTAGCCGCGGTCGACGTAGTCGCCCATGAAGAGGTAGTTGGTGTCCGGGTTCGGCCCGCCAATTTTGAAGAGCTCCATCAGGTCGTGGAACTGGCCGTGGATGTCGCCGCACACCGTCACGGGGCATTTGACCGGCTGCACGTTCGACTCGTCCTGCAGCACCTCGCGCGCCTTCTCACATAGCCGGCGCACGTCTTCTTCGGATAGCTGCTTGCATTGCATCAGGGTTTCGATCCAGCCGTCGAGGGTGGGGGTGGACGGCGGGTCGGTGGATGCGCCCAGTGTGTGCTCTACTTTGCCCGCATCCTCCATGTTGGTGTCCATCGGCTGGGCCTTGAGTGCCGCAGCCTCCATCTTGGCGGTGTAGACGGATGGGAGGGAGGGAGTGGGAGGTTATGGAGGGCTCGATGGGGATCAGGAAGGGTGGTGAAGTATGTGGTGGAGGTCACGGCAGGAAGAGGATAACGGCGGCGGTCTCTGGATGCGAGGGATAAGGTGTAGCGGTGGAGTGAGGTGAGTTCAGAATGAAAGGGAAGATGTCTCAATGGGATCCGGGTGTCACCCGATGTCTTGTCGAAAGCGTGGGTATTGTTATGAGACGTTCGACATTGTGGAGGTGGAGGAGTGGCTTTACAATAATTTACCATTCCCAATGCGGACTAGCGTGCATTCACCAATCGCAGCTCACGTCTTCACCACTGCACTGCACCGACACGATGTATTGCCACTCTTCATGCAGAGTCTATATAATTGATAGCTTACTATCGTTCATGACAATATTCCAGACGCCTATAAGCACACCAGGCACCCACATCACTCCTTATTCTCCAGAGCAGCCAGTCGCAAGTACACATACTGAGGCCGATGCGTCAATACATCCACGGCCTCGAACCCGGCCAGATTCTGCGGTAAGGGCTGCAGATCAAACGTCAAGATGATAGACGTAATGGTTATCCGCAGCATCAGACGAGCGAGCTTCTTGCCTGTCGATCAAAAGCCAAGGCGTCAGTACTACTCTTATCCATGAGCGCGGAGTCGTGTATCTCACCAAAGCAACCCCTCGTTCCCGCCCCGAACGTCTGTTGCACGCCGGACTGGGGATCAAAGGCTTTACTACCCATTGCGTCGGTTCGGAGCCACCGGTCGGGATCGAATGCCGACAGCGTCGACTCTTTCCAGTCACCAGTCCACCTTTCATTCGGCGGCACCTGCTGACTCGTCTTGCTTCGCTTGCTCTCTTGAACCGGCAGCGAAGGAGCGGTATAGCTGGGTCCCTGGGTCTGGAAGCACGGTGTCATCAGTTAGCTCTTCTTCTTTGTGTATCTCGAGGATCCACCGATTACGGCTCATACCAGCATAAAGATATCAGTACCCTTGGGGATCACATGGCCCAGGAGCTGGGTGTCCTGGACCGCCACGCGCACATTCATCGCGACAGTGCCAGAGGCTCGCAAAATCTCTTCGATGACTGCGTCTAGGTAGGGTGCCTGTGCTTTGCCAATCTCGATTGGCGACGGCAGTCCGCTTCCCTTTTCTGCGCCCCCAAACGCGCTCTTCAGATGTTCGCGGAGCTTCTGCTGTATCTCCTGGTGCTGGGTGAGGAGCTTCAAGCCCCACGTCAGAGTGGAAGCTGTCGTTTCGTGCCCAGCCATAATGAAGCCAAAGAGCTCGTCCCGAACGATGGGGGTTTTGTATTGCGGCGCCCGACTCTCTTTCGCAGCCAGCTTGGCCTCTCGCTCCACGATCAGTTCCGCGGCACACTTGATGTCGGCATCCGAGGCACTCGGGTGGCTGAACTTGTTCCACGCAGCGTCGAGTTTGTCGTACATCAGCTGCTCGACCAGCTTCCTTGCTCGCCTCAGCCGGGGATAAAAAGTCAACGCGAACCAGTGGTGTCGTCGTCCCAATGGTGACTGCATCGGAATGATAGAGCTCTCCGTCAGTCCGGTGATTGCGTCGTAGACAGTTGGGTGTGGAGCCTTCGGGAACTCCACCACGTCGTCAACGCCCATTGTGCTCGGAAGAGGAATATCAGCTTGAGTGATGAAGTCCAGCTGCGCCCGATTCGCAGCACTGGATGCTCCAAACGAGCTCGCGAAAATGGTGTCCACCATTGCTTCCATCACATCGTCGGCCACACTGATAGGCCGCCCGTTTGCGATTTTGCACTTTTCCCGCCACAGCTCCAGGAGATCGGCAAACGCGGCGGCGACTTGAGGGCCGGCGACATTCTGGAGAAACGCGGGCGACATGGTGTCGGCCATGAGCCGCCGATTCCAGCGCCACTGGTCGGTCGTCTTCATGTGGACCTGATTGTGCGGGACTGTTCCGGAGAACAAATCTCCGAAGAACTCGGAGCGATCGAACTCGCGTGTTCGGCGCCCCATGATATCCTGCGCTCTGCAAGTGGCAGTCAGCACGGGAACTGTCCGACTCCGTTGGAAAAGCAGTATGGACGGCCTCTTACTCTCTACTATCGGCTACAACGACCCACGGCTTCGAGAAAGGCCGCATAAACACCTGGCAGATGGGGGATTGCAGCTCGACGCAGCGTTGGGTGAGGAAGGTGCAGATCTGCTTCGTCTGCGCGAGGTGTCGCATCGCATCCGGCACATCTCCGAACGGCCTGCTGGCCGACGCAGCGAAGTAGGGAATCCCGGGGATGGGCGTCGGGATGCTCGCGCGATACAGCACGAAGCCGAGCAACAGCAGCCCAGCAACGACTAAAGCCAGGGAGGGCGAGATGAGCGTAGCCATTGTTGCGCAGCGGAGATTGGAAGACAAGAGGAGAAACGGAATTGCAACAGAGAGAAGGGGGCGTAGCGAAATCACAATGTAGGACGGCGGCTAAAAAGGCTACAATATACCCAATGATAAATCGTCTATAATCATGCCGATGAAACGCCTCGCAGCCACAGCCGCATGGATTGACAGCCGCACACCACACCACCTCTGCAGATCCCTACCCGGGCCGGGGCCCGCTTGGAATACGGGCTCCTGCCTATTTGGGCACGGGCTCCTGCCTCTCCGGGTAGAGGGCTGGAATTCCACACCCACCGGCAGCGTGTAATAAGTAAGCTCGGAGACATCATTCTACCGCGTCGGAGGAGATGACGAAGACTCGAGGCCATCCATCCTCAGGATTACGCCGAGTCGATGCACTCGATGTCGCCACGGCACAAACTGCCCGATTAGCCGTTCGGCCGACGTGCATTTCGTTGCGCATGCACATTGGCTAACAGAGTTTGGCGCCTGCATTCGTATTTCCTGCGGGGCGAGCAGAGGTGGTGCGACGAGCTACATTTGGATGCAGTGCAAAACGAGTTGCACATGAAGGCAGGGAAAAAAAATACAGCCGCGTCCGTAATGAGTCAGGGCGGCGGAATTATCAAAGCCAGCACTATAGTACAGAGCCCTAATCTTTCCCCCAGCCCGCCCAGCCTGCTCACGCAGCCCTCTTCTTCCCCTTGCCATGATGTGCTCCATCCAAAGGCGTAAGCTGCGGAAATTCCTCCCGCCCACCTTCATTCTCAACCCGACTCTGCTCCTCCGCCAAACTCAGCTGAAGCGCGAATTCCAAATCCTCACTCTCGCTCAGCCGCCGACTGGCGCCCGCCAGGAGCGGCGAAGTAGTAGCCGAGAGGCGCGAAGAAGAAGGCGGCGTCGACTTCTTGCCTCGCTGTTTGGCTTGGCGGATGGGGATGTCGGGCGTGCTGCTGGGGAGGGTGGAGGGATTGAGGCTTTGACGGATGGCTTCGGCGATGTCGGCGTCGAGTTCGTCGTCGGTTTTGACGGGGGTGGAGTATGGACTGGCGGTGTTGGTGCGGGGCGTTGCTTTGCTTCGAGCCGGCGTGGCAAGTCCACCTGTTTTGTCCGTGGCACTCGTATCCGCCGACGCTTGTCGCATCTTCTCCTGCTCCAGAGACTCCTGGCTAAGCATCGCAGCATAAGCCAGCATCTCCTCCTCACTCCCATCCAGCAAACCCGTACCAAAGCGGCCCGCGAAGCGCTGCGCGTCTTTCCTGCTCTGCTGCACTTCGCGATCGAGCTCGATTTTTTCGCTTTCAATGTAGGCCTGTAAGTTGCTCCTCGTGGCGCCAGAAAAGTGCGCGCCGCCATTGTTGCTGCCGCGCTCTGATCGGCGGAGACGCCGCTTCTGCGACTTGTATTGGTCGGCGGCGGAAGAGCTGTAGGACCAGTAGCGTAAGTGGGTGCCGAGTGAGACCATGCCGCGCAGGACCGTCGCGTCCGGATCGAGACAGATGGCGCCGGCTGCGAAAAGATTGATGCCTACGCCTTGCGGGGATGCTTGAGCTTGGACGAGGCGGCGACGGGCCCGAGAGGAGAAGCGAGAGTTGAGAGTTCGAATGGGCTGCATGTTGGATGCGAGGGGATCCCAGGCTTGCACCAGGCCATCATTGCCGCCGCTGACGAGGTAGAGGGAGGACAGGGCAAGGCATGAAATCTCCGGAGAGTCGGTGTAGATAACCCGCACGGGCTCGATGACGCTAGACACGTCTGCAGATTTGGGCACCGAGGCGCGCATGTTCCAGATGAAGACGCTGCCGGTTTTGGTGCCAGCAGCGAAAAGCCGAGCACGTTGGCCTGGCATATCTGCGGGATCGGCGATGGGTTCAGTCTGTGACATGGGAGTCAATGATGGGGATGACGCGGTGGATCGGCCGGAGAAGCTGAGGAGCGGATCTTCGGAGATTGTCTGAGTTGCAAAAGTCGAGATGTCCAGAGTCGTCGCTGTGATTTGGAGATGTCGAATCCCGTTGAGCGTAAATTCCGACTGGCGCCACTCTTCGCTCATGGGTTTGGGAGTGATTGACCCATCGAAATCCTCTCGAGACAAGGCCTCCTCCAAACGCTCAAGAGAGAAGGACTCGGGCTCTGCCGTCGGTGCTGTAGCTCCACCAAAGAGCGACGGTGACGACTCCGAAGGCTCTGTACTGCCCTGGGTCAACGGAGGCGTCAAAGCGCCGTCTTTACTCTGGCGATCTTGAAAGCGACACCGAGTGCAGCGTTTGACGCCAGCAACGCCGCCTTCATCGAGTCCGCATTCGAAAACCACGACATGCTCGCCGGCATTGTTGCCATCGTCTCCCGCAAAATCGACCTCCAGCCTCCGTCGCATGTCCCATCCTAGGCACACCTTCTGGAAATCTTTCGGCTTACGGGTCACAAAAGCTTCGATCTCGCGAGTTTCCGCCTGAATCTGATCTTTGCTCAGACACATGCCATTCCAAGACGAGCGAGGCGAATGGCCACCGTCAAGCGTAGCGCCGTCGGCATAAGGATCAGGTCGTGCGGTGCGCCGACTGGGCTCCACCAGGTTCCAGTACACGCTTCGTCCAGCAAGCCAGGCGTTGCGTTCAATGGCTTCGTCGGTGAGCTTCGCGCCGCGCTCGATGTGAGGGCGTTTCGGAAACTTTGTCAGGTAGAAAACTTCGCCGAGAGCGTTGAGGACGACGGCCCAGATGCGATTCTGCGCGTGGCGTTGCATGCTATAGTCATTGTCGATGGCGATAGCGATTAACGGAACGCCAGGGCTGAGCACCCATCGAGCCGTCATCGCGCCGCGTGCGAATCGCTGCTCTCCCTTGGAGCTAGTCGGCGTCGATCCCAGACTGTACGCCGTCAACACGCCCAGAGATGAACCCGAGAGGAGTCCAATCTGGCTTTCCGTCATCGACGGGATGACCGAGGATTTTGCAATCCAGACTGAGCAGATAGCTTCGATCGTAGAGGGAATCCTGGGGATGCCGAGCTCAGGGTCAGACATGGCGGACGAAAAGAGCAAGAAGCGGCCGCGCATCTCATCGGCGGAGCGATAGTAAGTCATGCCACCGGGCGAGCCCTCTCCATGGACCATTCCGTGCGGTTGACTAACATCCATGACATTCGGTACGCCCACCACTTCACCTGGTCCGAGGCCGTATTGTTCATCACCGGGAAAACGTTCCGTGAATTGTAGGAAGAACTGCGGATCCCCGAGCCCCCAATTGTCCACTTTGCCCGAGCTTGGATCACTGCTAGTCGCCGTGCCCTGATCATCGGCGCCATGAATGAAGCGAGGCGGCCGTTTGTTCAAGCCCGTGCCGAATGAAGCGTGCAGATGGTTGATCGTCGTGAACAGCTGCGAGTTGTACATGGTGATTGGTGCAGCGGTATGAGATTGTCCAGACCGCGCCGCACTGGGCGATGCAATGACTTGAACTGGTTTTCCACGCGCGAGCGAACGCAGCAGTCGGGTGCGCATGATGTACTCGCTTCGCCATGATGCCAACGCAGTAAGGCGCGTAAATGCGCGTCTTTCAGTGCGTATCATGTCCTGATTCTCGCTATCATCATCGTTGAAGACCAGGCTGAGCGAATCGGGACCCGGGAAGTAGTGCGCGAATGCGCTGCGCCAAGCATGCGGACCCGTAACGAGGTCGTGAAAGCGCTTCGACACCAGCGCGACCGAAGTCAGATCCGAAGGAGCAAGGTGCGCAAGCGCATGCGTCAAGACCTCTATACGCGCGACAGTCAGTATATCATCATCCACTATCCCGCTCACTATCACCACATACCATTCGGCAAATCCTGAATAGGAGAACTCTTATCGCCCGGACTCCTCGACTTCTTAATAACCTCAAACCCCACCTCTTTATTCTTCCTCATCGGCGGCGTAGAAGCATTCTCATACTCGGCAATCCGATTGAGCCCCGAAGAAGGTGGCGACGACGACGACGTGCCGCGCTCGGAGCTCAGTCGCCTCCTTTCGGATCGCGACAGCCCTTCGCGCAAAGACGCTGCGTGCGCGGCGTTATGCTCCGTCGTCGTGCTTGCGCCAGCATCGTCTGCCGGGAGCAAGGGGACGGATGGATCGGGGTGTGGAAGTCCATATTGGCGGGTGAGCGTGAGGTTGGGGGTGTCTTGCTCGGTGGTCGCGTTTTGGGATGTCGTTGGGTACTGTGATTGCATATAATTCTTTGGGTGTGGTGGTGGATGCTTCTTGGACTGGACCAGAGGTATTCCTGGAACAGTCGGGGCGCGTGTAGGCGGGAGGAGGGCGGTGGCGTGGCGTTGTTGTCGAGTCGAGAGTTGAGAAGTGACGCGGAGGCAAAGTTTCAATGCGATGCGCGCCAAGACTTTGAGATAACGCGGCGGAGCTTAACGGCGTTACGGGGAATAGTAGAACAGCCTCGCTATGCGTTATGACTACGAACTCGCTTCAACCAGATCAAGGCACATACAGCCTCGAATAAGCCGCAATGTCCGTCCGACAGCAAATACACTTGGTATAATTCCTCGCCGCCAGACCGACGCGACACTCATCACACATACTCAAACACCCACAAGGCCATACGAGAATCGTGCGCGGCGTCGACTGGCAAACAACACACTGCGGCCCCGAAGCGCCCATTCCTTCCGCGCCCGTCTCCCACGTGCCGCCGCCGCTCTTGGCGGCACTAGCGTTGGAGCGGCGCTCGAGGATGAAGGTCTCCAGGTCGTGCTCTTCTTCCTCCGCGCTGGCGGTGTCGTTGGGGTTGCGGCCGCGGAGACCGCTGAGGAGGAGGGCGCGGGTGCGCTCTGCGTTGCGTCGGTATTGGCTGCGGGTCATGGGCCGGTGGGTTTGTAAGCTGTAGGATAGGAGACGCGCTTCTTCTCTCTCTGAGGCGGATTGGGGGTTCAGAAGGCGCGAGAGCATGGAAAGATCGAGCTCGGCTTCTGAGACGGGCGTGCTCTGCCCACTGCGCTCTCCCAATGGATCGTGTTGGGTGGGAGTGCGGCGGCCTGCGTCTGCTGTGTCCGAATGCTCGTCGTCCATCATGTCTCCATCGGTCGACATGGATATTACACTCGTCGCATCGTCGTCGTCCACACTAGGAGCGCTGTACTCGCCACTAGCATCCAGATCTCCGAACCAGCCGCCGTTGCGCCAATATGAGTAGAGAATGTCACCCAGCGACTCTTCCGAGACGATGTTCTCCCCACTCGCCAACCGTTGTCTCGTCTCCAGCTCAATATCCACGTTGCTATCGGTAGGCACGGGGAAAGTATCATCCCCTAGTCGATGTGTCTCGGTGCCCTTCTGCTTTTGCATCACACCGGCCGCTTTCAGTAGCCAGGAAGGACGACGTTCGACACCAAGCCTTCTTAAGGTATTTAGCACCAAATTCGCCTGCAAACCAATAATGAGCCAGAACAGCCCAGCAATGAAGTCGAAGGTCAATTGCATACGACTCCGTCGTTGCGCGATCCCAAGTCCACTGTCGAGATCGTTCGCCGCTCCCGGTCTGTCATGGTCGCTCTTCGTTGGCCTCGACTTTCTCTCCCGGGCGTATGGTGATCGTCCAAAGGCAACGTTATGGTGGTCGGAGAAATCGACTCCCCTTGCTATGCCTTCACCAAGTAGCTCGGCCGGTACTGCTGGCGTTTTGCGTTGCTCGATGCCATCGGCCAATTCATCGATACGCTTCTGCTCGAGCCATGTCATTTGTGCGACGTGAATGCGGCTTCCCTCGTTAAGATACACCGCTTCAGATGCAGCTGTGAGTAGGGTGAAGCCGACTTTCAGAAGGGTGGTGTAGAAGTCTTCCGACATCTTGATGCGAATGCTGGAAGAGGAAGAGAACTGCACGTTAGCCTGGAGATTCCCGTAAGCCCAAGCTAATCGTTGGCGGAATGATAAGCCAGCCGAAACTTCTCTCGGCACGGAAAGAGCAGTGATCAATAAGGCCAAGCCATAGATGACTGCGCAGATGAAGATGCCGATCAAGATGAGGACGTGCGGAATGAAGCCGACGATGCAGACGGTGGGGAATCTGAGCATCCCCAGTTCTGTGATGCTTTCTATCGGGTTTAAGAAAATCTTGGTGAAGCTCCACATGAAAGCGGCCATGTAGCAACAGGCCCACAAAGCCGTGTTAAGCAACCGGACGCGTTGTCGAAGGCCGGTGACTGCTAGTGTTGCACTGGCTAGATGGCTAAAGCAGGAGATCAAGCAGATAAGAAGCATCTCGGGCGGGACATTGAGGCGTTGCATGATCTCGGCTCGAGACATCAATGGTCCGGTGTTTTCACCTGAGCCGGAAGAAGTCGAAGAACTTAGCTTGGGCCCTCCGAAGAACCCAAAGCCCAGAGCGCTGCTGATCATGGCTTCGCATTCGGCAAATGCGAGGGAGTGCTCGAAAATGGTCATTCCAGTCTCCGGCATTGGCAGTCTTCCCTGGAGGGCGCATGCGAGCGTTTCGAACAGCTGGCTCGTGCATAGGGTGAGGAAGAAAGTAAAGAGCAGTGACATTGAGCCTCGAAGCTGTGTCCGGTCGCTGTCCACGGCAATCAAGGACATCTGTCGTGCGGCGCAGCAGCTCATATCATCCTCCCAAAAGAGGAGAGTTGAGCTGAGCTTGTATAGGAAACCTCCCTCGCCGCCGAAATCAATCGACAGCTGTTTCAACGGGTCGCCGTAGCGGAGTAATGCAAAGTCCGGCGATGTCTGGCATTTTAGTGCCTGTAAGATGAAGAGAAGTTGAGTGAGGAAGGAAGCGATGGGAAGGGCGTAGAGGGCTAGCCGCATGAACCATCGCAGTTGCAGGTGCTCTCTGGAGGAGGCGTAGAACTGGGTGCGATTGAGGACAATGGCGGCGGTAAATGTTGCTAATGCCCACCTCGACGTCAGATAGGAGAAGACGCCACCAAAGTTCATGCTCTTCAGCCTGGTGAACCACTGCCACACGACAATGAGCACGGAGGAGCGCGTCGTGTTGCCACTGGCAAAGGCGTCTTTGATTGCAGCTTCGAAGCCGGCGGTGTCGGTGCTTTGCCGCAAGAAGGCTTGGCTGGTGTTGGTGATGGTGGAGTTGACCGTTTGACGAGCGGTGGGATCGGCGATGATGCTGCCGCCGTTGAAGATCTTGCCGGCGATGTTGTCTACTGCTTCAGGCATGTGGAAGAGGGCGAACTGTCCCGCTCGCTGAGCAAGCCTGGGCACTGCAAGAAGCAGATCCATGGCTGCAGGAATGAGGGTAGCGTTTCCCCATGCCGGCTGATCCATCGCGCTCTTTCTTCCTCCTCCTTTCCTCAAGACATACGGATGTGTCTCGCAACTGCTCTCCCGGGAGTGTAGCGTTGGTAGCCTACAGGCAACGGTGGAGCTTGGTGTAAATCAGGTTCGGGTTGGGAGGGAAAGAGCGAGTGGCCTGGATGACCACATTGCCATCCGCTATCTCATGTGGGTATGGATTTCGTGGGTTTGGGGAACGCAGGAGGGTTGACACTTGTTGACGGTGTGATGTGGTAGGGCAGCGGGGACGTTCACGAACGCCGATTGCGGGTTCACGTGGCGCAGACAGGTGTGGCGCATGCTTGCTTACCTAAATTCTTACCAAGGCGTCTGCGAAAGCTTAACAAAAATAGATTCGCTATCTCTTTGCTGCACGATGCCTCGTCCACACCGCGCGTTTGATGGGAGACCGATTGTAGGTGGCTGAGAAGGCATCCAAGACGATGACAATGCAGTGGAATCACACGGCGAGCAGAATTTGAACAATGCTGTCGGTATGGCTGACGTGAATGGCTCCATGGTGACCATCTCCAGGCCAGCGCAAGCGGAAACGACGCAAGCATCCTCCACTTCCACCAGAGAACGGTTCAATGATCAGGTTACGAGGTCTAGCTCGTGCCAAAATACGTCGGGTAGGAGGGCAACGTCACCTCGGGCTGGACGCCTCTTGTCATCGATCAAGCAATCCTGTACCGCTCTTTTCAACCAGCATAAGCTCATGCACACATGCAGCCAAGCACGCTGCCTAGTCCTTTTCCGACCATGCTCGTGCTCACCGGGGTCGCCTCCTGCAGGGCCGCGTAAACCACACCTCGAATCCAGGTAGGAGAGTGGATGATCTTGCGACTCTCTTTGCCACCACGCCACCACGATATCAAATGCCGCCGACGATCCCATTGATATCCCGCCGCACGGACCAGCTCGGGGTCGGCCGGCAATGGCGTGGCGGCGAGGGTGCTGATCTGAAACAATCTCCCTTGTCGACGGTCATTGGTGGACTGTGTTGATGCCGTTGGAGAAGAGTGAGCCTAAGTTCTACCTCTCTCTCATCATTCTCCTTGCGCGTCGTCACCTCTTTCGCTTCCCATCATCTTCCTCTTCTCCATCACTACTCCCGCAACCACTGCTGTGCTGTGGCTGCCTGTCACTCATTCATCTTCTTGACTATAATTCGTAGGCGGGAGACTGAAAAGTACATCGCCATCTTTGGAACATCTCATCCCCCATCTTGGACATCTCGACAAGAGAAACCATTCGCAAGATGATCGCCGTGCGCCTTCCCCATCTTCTTGTCCAGTCCTGTCCACTGACTCTCTACAGCCAACACGATTCCTCGCCGCCCTTCTGGCCCTCACCTCCTACGTCTCCGCCTCCCTGAACCCCATCGAAGTGAAAGAGCAAGAATTCGTAGACTCCAAGACTGGGGACCGCTTCGTGCTTCTGGGTGTCGCCTACCAACCCGGTGGGCAGTCTGCTGTCAGCGCCGGCTCCGGCGACCCGCTCTCCGACTCCAAGGCATGTCTCCGTGATGCAGCCTTGATGCAGTCGCTGGGCGTCAACACCATCCGAGTCTACAACGTCGATCCTACGGCCAACCACGACGAGTGCGTGTCCATCTTCGACTCCGTTGGTATCTACATCATCATCGACGTCAACTCGCCCCTCTACGGCCAATATCTGAACCGCGCTGCCCCGGCTTCCTCGTACACCATTGGTTACCTGCAGCACATCTTCAGCGTGGTGGACGCCTTCATGAACTACCCCAACGTCCTCGGCTTCTTCTCTGGCAACGAAATTATCAACGCCGAGAGCAATGGCGAGTCCTGCCCGCCCTACATCCGCGCCGTCCAGCGCGACCTGAAGCAGTACATTGCGAAGAATGCGCCGCGCACGATCCCTGTTGGCTACAGCGCGGCCGACGTCAGCTCCGTCTTCGACCAATGGGCCTACCTGCAATGCAACATCGCCGGCGACAACGACATCTCGCGCTCCGACTTCTTCGGCCTGAACGACTACGAATGGTGCGGCGACGCGTCCAGCTACACCATCTCCGGCTACAACGTGTTGATCGAGAACTTTGGCTCCACCACCATCCCCGTCTTCTTCTCCGAGTACGGGTGCATTGTGCCCCTGCCGCGCTACTTCGACGAAGTCACCACGCTGTACGGCCCGCAGATGCGCGTCATGAGCGGCGGTCTCGTCTACCAATGGTCCGGCGCACCGACCGACTACGATCTCGTCAGCGTCAACAGCAACGGCAGCGCCAATCTGCTGCCCGACTACGACACGCTCTCCAGCAAGTTCAACATGCTCAGCGTCAGCGAGCTCACCAGCCAAAACAGCTCCGCCACCTCGCTCACCCCGCCCACCTGCAACGCCAACCTCATTACCACCTCGGGCTTCAGCACCGACTTCAACGTCCCCGACCAGCCATCGGGAGCGTCGTCGCTCATTTCTAACGGCGTGTCCGGCGCGAACAAGGGCTCCCTTGTGTCTGTCTCGGCGACGAGTGTTCCTTACCCCGTCTACCAGACGAATGGCGCCGCGCTGTCCAGCTTGACGATCCAGACGGGCGCCACTGCGGCCAACTACCCAGGCGCTGTGAAGAACTTCGCTTCTGCGAGTGGAGGCTCGGGCAGCAGTGGCAGCAGCGGCAGCAGCGGTAGCTCAAGCTCGTCCCACGGAGCGGCGGGCGCTGCGGCGACGCCGTTTGTGAAAGGTGCGGGTGCTGTGGCTGCGGCGGCTTTGGGTGTTGTTGCTTTGCTATGAGGGTAGTGTGAAGTGCGTGCTAATTTTTATAAGAATGGATACAAAGGATGATTCGGATTGATATGTAGTTTTGTAGATACCTCATATGCAGCTGTACTCATCGGTGTTCAAAAGGGACGGGCCTTTCAGTACAGTGCTGTGAATTACGCATCCCAGGATGAACGGTACGACTGACCGTGAAACACGCCAACGAATGAGACGCCGGTGTCGAGTACGAACGAGGCCGCGCGAATGGCCGCGCCACCCTCCTCACTCCCTGCATTTGCCCTGCGCAACCACTTTCTTTCTCATCCAAATCTTTCACCACCTCCTCGCTTCCATTTTACTCCTCCTCCGCCGTTTCAGAGCTGGTCTCACGTAACAAGCGCAGGACACTTACAATGCTTCCCTTCCCTCGCCGCTAAAGTGCCTCATCCACCCGCCATCACCACCCAACCAACCATGGCAGACGAAACCGATTCCAAGCACAGCTACGGCGTAGTCATCGACGCCGGCAGCAGCGGCAGCCGCGTCTACGTCTACGAATACAAACGCGCAGCCTACGTGCAAGCAGCCAACGACGTCAAAGAGCTCGGGCGCCTGCCCAAAGTCAAGAGCAAAGACGACTGGCACAAGAAAATCCACCCGGGCATTTCCACCTTCGGACCGCGACCTGATGCCGTGGGCGAAGAGCATTTGAAAGAGCTGGTGCGGTTTGCAGAGGAGATTGTGCCTGCGGGCGAGGTGGAGGCGACGCCCATCTTCCTGCTTGCGACGGCGGGCATGCGCTTGCTGCCGGATGAGCAGAGCGCCGCGGTCCTGAAGAATGTGTGCTCTTGGTTGAAGGGGAATTCACGCTTTGCGCTACCGGATTGCGCGCTGCATATTCAGGTTATCCCGGGGGAGACGGAGGGGTTGTATGGATGGATTGCGGCGAATTATCTACTGGGGGGCTTTGACAAGCCGGAGGATCATGCGCATGGGAAGGGGCACCATACATACGGCTTCTTGGATATGGGCGGCGCGTCGGCGCAGATTGCTTTTGCGCCGAATGCCACCGAGGCGGAGAAGCATGCGAATGATCTGACGCTGTTGCGCCTGCGCAAAGTCAATGGCGAGCCGCAGGAGTATGGAGTGTTTGTTACGACTTGGCTGGGCTTTGGAGCGAACGAGGCTCGCAGAAGATATGTTGAAAAACTCCTGGCTGCATCGACATACAACGAGGTCCACGATCCGTGCCTGCCCCTTGGGCTGCGCATCAACCCTACCGGGGAGATTCTCGAGGAGAGTAATCCCGGCGCAAAGACTCTGCTCGGCACGGGGAATTTCGAAGCGTGTTTAGACGCCACTTATCCGCTGCTGGAGAAGACGGCACCCTGCCTCGATGAGCCGTGTCTCCTCAACGGCGTGCACACTCCCGCCATCGACTTCGACGTCAACCACTTTGTCGGAGTATCGGAATACTGGCACACCACGCACGAAATTTTCGCCATGGCGCACAAAGACAAGGCGTACGACTTGTACAACTATCAACGCTCGGTCGGGCAGCTGTGCATGCGAGAGTGGGACTCGATCGAGGAGGATTTGGCCAAGGAGAAGTGGGGCCACAAGGTGGACGAGAAGACGGTGGAGGAAGTGTGCTTCAAAGCGAGCTGGTTGATCAACATGCTGCACAACGGCATCGGAGTGCCGCGAGCTGGCCTGGAGGTTACTGCCGCCGAGGACAAACCCGTGCCTTCGAAGAATCGTGGTTTCCTGGACCCCTTTCAGGCTGTGGAGGAAATTGACGGAACGGATGTCAGCTGGACTCTGGGGAAGATGGTGCTTTACGCCTCGTCGCAGATGCCGCCACTGGATGGCGCGCTTCCCGTGGGTTTCGGGAGTAATGTGCCTGGCGGCATGCCGTCGGATTTCCAGCGACCGAGTGGCCAAATCCCCGGCACCCAGAACCCCTCCGGCCCCGCCTCTTCCTCATCCCCCTCCACCATCAACGCAACCACAACAGAAGACACCACCGCACTCCAAGACTGGCGCGACCGCATCTCCAACCCGACCTTCGCCCGCCGCCTCCCAGGCATCCTGATAGTCCTCCTCATCATCGCCCTAGCAATCTACCTCCTCTGGTCCCGACGCCGCCGTAACGCCCGTCCGTCCTGGCAAGATGCCGCCTCAAAACCCAACCCCAGCAAACGCCGCAAACCCGGCGGCCTCCTAAGCAGCAAACTCTTCTCCCGCTCAGGAGAGCAATCCTACGAACGCGTGCTCGAAGACGGCGGGCCGGACGACGCGTACGCGCCTGATGTCGAATTATCGCACGTCGTCGACGATGCGCGCCCGTCTAGTAGCTCGAGCAGTCTTTCGCCTGTTACGACTAAGATGGGTGGTGGAGGGGGCTACTTCGATTCCTCGACTAATGGGTTGGGGATCTATTCGCCGCCTTCGAGGGGGGGCTTGATTTCTCGGACGGAGAGCCGGGAGCGCATGGCGGCGTCGCCTGTTTTGTCTGCTGTGCCTGGTGGGGGGATTGCGAGGAGTCGGAGTCCGTTGGTTGGGGTTGTGGGTGCGGGGTTGAAGGCGAGTGTGGATTGATATTGATGGGGTGGATGATTTATAGACTGGTGTTGGATGGGGTGGATTTTGCATAGCGGGATTGGGTGTTTCTGCTTGGGACGAAGAGGTTCGTCTGTGTGTGATGATTATGAGACTTGTGCGGATATCCTCGTGTAGAGATGCTGGCTCTAGGACAAGAGTTGTACAGCGATGCATCAGAGCGTCAATTCATTAATATCTTCTATCTTCTATTAATCTCCCCATCAAACCGTGCCGCCATGCACGGCTACTCCAACATAAACCTCACAAACGCCCCCGCAACCACATCCCCATCATGCTTCCCATGCACCCTCCGCATGGCATCCTCGTAATCCGCCTGCGCAAAAATCCCCTGCGCATACCGCATCTCCGAAATCATTGCCGTAATCTCCCCGTTGAATTCCGGGTGGCCTTGCACGGCTATCAGGCGCTGCGGAACGTACATGCCTTGCACGGCGCAGGCGGACGTGCGGGCTAGGGGTTCGACGCCGGGCGGGTGCTGGAAGACGATGTCGCGGTGCATTTGGTGGAGGCTCTGTTGGAGCTTCTTTTAGTAGGGGTAGGGGTTTGGGTGTGTGGGAGGGTGTTACCAGTTCTTCCACCCCGAATAGTTCCTTTCCCTTTTCTGTTAGTGTGTGCGGTACCACTGCTATCTCCCACCCCGCATCATTCCTCCCGACTTCCATTCCCATTGCGCGCCCGATAATCTGGTGCCCGAAGCACACGCCAATAAGGCGCACGCGGCGCTGCGCGAGGACCTCCTTGGTAAACTCAACGAGTTTGAGGATCCATGGGTCATTGTCGAAGGCGTTGTATTCTGCCCCACAATCAGTTTTTTTCTTACGTCTCTTATCGGGGAGGGAAGATAGGACATACTACTCCCCGTAAGCAACACCCCATCCACATCGTCAAGCGCAGGATAGTGCTCCGCATCCACCACCTCATACACACTGACATCAATCTCGACTGGGGGTTCATGTGCGTTGTCCGCGACTCTTTGCGCGCCGCGCTGCAGCAGTGCTTCGAACATGCGCCCGAAGCCGCCGTATTTCTCTTTTAGAGGGTCGGGGGGCTGGCCGCATTCGAGGACTGCGATGCGCAGGGGCGCGTGCGGGGGCGGGAGGGAGCCCATTTTGGGTGTTGTTTGGTAGGGTGGAGGTGGGGTGTGGGTTGTAGGAATGTAAAGCAGGGAGTAAGGCTCAAGACATGATGTTTGGGGTTGTTGGTGAATAGAAGTGGAGGATATGAGGTCAAGTGGATTGGTAGGGGCGGGATGCGACTTCCTAACGCGATCAACGACATGTGACTCGGCGGATGCGATTCCGCTGGACCCTGAAGTTTGTCCTTCACAACTGTCTATCTACAACTCGCGGCGTATCATCTCACACGGAAATGCTGTGGAGCTTCGTGAGTATCTGCCGAGCGTGATCAGCACATCATCTCGTGGGGCGATAAGTGACACGCAGACCTTGTCAATATATCTAACTCCGACCGCCACGCCATCGGCATCCTGGAACTCGCTATCATCTCCAAAATCCACATTGTCCTCGTCCAAGCACGTTAAGCAGTTGACGACAACTTCTGAATATGACTCTCCCATCACCCCGGGAAGCCTCCGCCTGGCGAGATCCACGAGGAGGTCCTTCACTGCTGCAGCCCTCACAATCTTCAGCTCCGCCCGGGTGTAGCCAAGGAGGGTGGGATTTGGAACCGGCGTTTTTCCATCTTCTTCGTACAGCATGAAGGAATCCCAAAGGCCAATCTCCAGCAGGCACACGCCGAGGCTGTAGATATCGTGTTGCATCGTGAACCTCTCCTGGACGAAAAGCCCCTGCCGCTCTGGGTGACGATAGAGGCTCTTTTGCCATTCCGTGTCGCCTTGGAGATAAGTCCTACCATCCGCACTACGGACTTGCTCGAAGCCAATCAGGAAGAATGGATTGAGTCGTGCATCACCGAACCCTATCAGGTTTTCTGGCCGGATGTTCTTGTGGACAAAATCGAGGGTGTGGACGTAATTTACCGCAGCGGCAAGCTGCTGCGCCAGGTGGACTCGCTCGGTGAGCGTGTGAGAGGCTTGTGAGATGAGACAGCCACGCAGTGTCCGCGGTTGGTCACGAGTGGGCGTCTCGAGGACAAGATCGAAGGACTTCAATTGGCCGCCATCGGCGCCCCTGACCTTTGCTACTCCTCGACACTTGAGGACGCCAAATGTGGATGAATCGATGTAGTGCAACTTTGTTGCGAGAGTGCGAATGTCTTTGTCCGTGTCGTTCACACCGCAACCCGCAAGGCAGGGTATAGAGTCCACGATCAGACTCGTTTTTCCTACTGGCCGCTGGTAATACTTTGCCGCGGAGTGCGGGATGGTATAGACATCCGCGTCACCTGGAGGGCGACTGCTGAGAGTAAGATCCAAGGAGCGAGAGGGACCGCCCTGGACCATTCTTCTGATGCGTCTCGCGGTATGTAACATCGCCGTGCCTTCGGCCGGGCGTGCCGCATCTATACGACCCAACTCGGCATCGATGACGGGATCCGCAATCCTGATAAGCAGATACCACGACGGGTCGTACAGTCTTTGCCAGTTTTCCAGGCTGCTGAGTAGCTCATCGAGATGCGGCTTAAGAAACATATATTTCCACCGCTTCACGGCGATCTTTCCCTCGGCGTCCGGCGGGTTGAGCAGTCCCTTCAGCTTGTCTCTCGCGGCCTTGAGCTTCACGACGAGCACATCCAGCGTCCTCCTTTGAAAAATTTGATGCTGCTCACTAAGGCTCGCCCAGAGACGTTCAATGGTCTCTAGCTGGGCTTTCGTTTTATACCAATGGCTCTGTACCGTGGTGATGCGCTCTGCTATCTCGCTTCGAGCGTGCACCAGACTTCCATACAGAGTGACAAGTTCGTTACCAACTCTGTGTCCGTCAGAAACTGTCTAGATAGTTGAGACGTGAGCTGGACTCGAGTCGCATACTGGAAAGCAGCCGTGACGACTCCCGCTATGCTGGCGATGGCTCCAATCGCTTCCATTGCTCGCTAAGACACTGTGGCACCGTGAGGTCTGAAGCGCGGTTTGTATATCTAATGCAAAATGATTTACGAATAACATGACTGGATGGTGGTGGCATCTACCGCCCAGTTGCGCCCAGCTCGGCATGTGCTACAGCACAAGCAAATGCAGGGTGGACGACCTGGTCGAATGAAGCTCTTCATGCAAGCTTCAGCTCCCCCGCTCTGCCTCCGCTGAGAGTACCACCCCACTGATCATGCACAGCCACGTCGTGCAGCGGACATTGAGTCGTTCGGTGAGCTGGACCTTATCATGGCGGGACGTACTGTACCGCGCTGCTCTGGACCACAGCGGCCTGGCGATATGCTTCTGCTGTCGCTCACTGTCCCCTGGAATAGCGCTCCAAATCCATGCGCTTTCGACATTGGAGTCAACGGTGGCGCGTTCTGACTGGCGCTTGAGATAGCAACGACCCCAGGGAGCTTCTCGCTCGTCATCAACGTGGGCAAAAGCAAACAAAGTCCGCCTTCGCCTCTAAATATGTCGTCCCCGGCCAATGATATTGTGCGCCTGGCGCGGATTGATGCCACTACGTGGGAGGATTCGCGATATGCTTATGTGAAGCACACATACTACGGCTGGCGCGCCAAATCCGGGGAGGAATTCGTGTGGCGACGGACGTTCAAGCCCATCGGACAAGGCGGATTCGGGCAAGTTTATCGCGAGGAGTGCATGAAAGAAGGCAGGACTGGAGACGTCCGAGCCGTCAAGGTCCTGCATAGGCCAACTGCATCGAACGAGGGCAAAATCAAAATTGATATCGGGAGAGAACTCGAGGCCGTCGCTCGCTTCTCTCGGCCGGAATACGCACGATGGTTCGTTCGATCGAGTGGTTGGTTCGAGAGCGACGATGATATTTTCATCGCCATGGAACTCATGCCTTATGGAAATCTACAGCAGTACATTGGCCAGGGACTACCGGAGAATGAAGTGAAGGTGCTCATTGCCCAGGTGTTGAAAGGCTTGCAATGTATGCATGCCGCCGGATATACTCACAGGGACCTCAAGCCTGCAGTGCGTAACTCTCATGAACGACATGTGCATCGAAACTGACACGCTTTGTGTAGAATCTCCTGGTCGCGCAGAAAGGTCCAGCATGGCATGTGAAAATAGCGGACTTTGGGCTAAGCAAATCAGAGGATCTCTCCTCACTCCATACCAACTTCGGCACCTGGGGGTACGTCGCGCCGGAAGTGTTGGGATTGCAGATTGATGATGCAGAAGACGCATCTCGTCCTTCATATACGAACGCCGTGGACATATGGGCCATCGGGGTGATCGCCTTCGTCCTCTTGACCGGCGGACTGCCTTTCCCATCCCAGGACCACCGGCCTTTGGCCAGATATGTTCGGGGCCAGGCACCGTTTCCTGCCGATGTGTTACGTGCGAAGAACATCAGCGCGGCTGGGTGCGCATTCGTTGAAAGCCTCATGGCTCCGAACCCTCTCATGCGACCAAGCGCCGAGTCAAGTGCTGACAATGTTTGGCTCGGGGGCTCAAAAGCTGCCGTCACTCGCGTCATGGAAGCTTATACATCCCCCGGACGTTCGCTTGGAAAGTCGACATCTGGTGGATCTCGGAGCTGGGCCACAAAAGACAGTGGTTACCAAAGCACTACTGTCATTCCTCACCGCAGCAAGCCTATTGCCGTCAATGACGGCGCCCCACAAAGCGATCAGCCAAAGTGCATAAAGCTTTGGGAAGGCACTTACCATGAGGCGCCTCGGTTGCCCCTTTTCCGGTGGCCGATGGCGTTCCAGGGACTGGTCCTGGCCTACACAGCGCAGCTGACCCAGGCGCTTGATGCCCGCCCGCCGGGAGGAGCTATTCTGGTCCGTGATTTGGCTTCAGCACAGATGCTGGCGACAGTGGACACGCAAGGTCCTATATCGACGCTTGCACTATCGGCTGACTTGCAGCTCCTGGCATTTGCGCCTAAGGGAGGGCAACACGTATTGAAGTACGGGAGGCGAGAGGAGGAGGCCCTCGTCGTTATCTGGAACTTCAGCCGAGGAGCAATCATAAAAACACTAGCACTGGATGACAGGCACAGTTCGACGTCCCTTGCGTTCTCCCCGGATGGGCGGCAAGTTGCAGTGTCAGGATTCTTTGTAGTCAAGCTGTTTGACGTCCGAACCGGCGCATTAACATGGCAGCGCTCTAGCATCTATGTTGATCACCCTCGTCTTGTATTCTCTTCTAGCGGCCAGTTTGTCGCCACAGCCTTCAAGGGTCACATAGCGTTCTTGGATTCGCGCACGGGGCGCGAGATTGCGAGGCAGGACTGTAAGCGGGAATTAATAGAAGTATGCGCCATTTCAAGCGACGGGAGGTACATCGGAGCAGAACGGCGCTACCCCAACCTCGCCTGGGAAAAAAAAATCTGGGACCGGGCGCGGGGAACGGTGAATATCATGGGGCGGGCCAATGTGCTTGTATTTTCAACGGACGCGCGATATGTGGCGACCGCTGGAGAACCCAGTCACATTACGATCTGGGAACTGGCTTCGGACCGGAAAGTGCAGAGGCTAGATATGCCCAAGGGCACACGCGCATGGGGCGTATCATTTTCGCCTGATGGCCGACACATAGCCGTGGTGACGACTCAGGAGACGGCGTTGGTCTGGAAACTGGATGGAGTCTAGTGTCTTGCATAGGTTCGTGGTTGGTCAGTGGGATAGTGGAGATTCAGAGAGTCTGGTTTAGGGGAGATTCTGGTTGTGTGAAAGAGAACGAGGCCAAGATATCGCAAGGTCAAACCGCGCTGTCATCCGGAGGAACAGGAGCATCCTTGATGTCGGACTGTTCGACGGAGTGGAATTTCACCGCATCAATCGCGTGCAGATGGCTTCTGCCCAGAGGCGTAGGTCGCGGTCAAGACAGCGAGAGATCCCCAACAGCCCTCGACGTGTCTAGCCTTGCAAATGGGCGGTTTACTGAAATCGAGTGTGTAACAAGGCAATGAGGAAATGTCAAGGCAAGCGGAAGCGGACCAGGGGCGTCGGCGGATGATGGCGTGAGGTGGAGTGGCGTCCTCACCAGCCACTTTCCCCTTCGCGCGTCAGCGCCCCAGCTCCAGAGTCTCCTGCCAACTAACCTCTTCTCCTCCACCACCGCCACCGCACGCTCAGCACCCGTCGCCATCCTTGCCTTGCACAGTGTATACTTGTTCAACGATATCGGTACCCTTCTTGCAATCCATCAAAGCCTTCGCCGGCCTGCTCACCAATCTCAATCCAATTCGCGACCCATCCGCGCGCCCAATTGCATCAACACGCGCGCGTCTCCCCTTTGCGCCTCACGGTCTCCACCACGCACACCTCCATCCGCAAGCTGCGCAACCCGCGACCATGTCGAACCGATCCCTCCCCGAAGCCCGCAACCCGCTGCTAACAGAAGACGCGGCGCCAATGTGTAAGTCGCGTCGCCGCACCACACTCTCCACCTGGCACTAACCACGCCGTCGCATCACAGACGAGAACCTCGTAGAAAGGCGATGTCTAGGCCAAACCGAATTAAAAGTCAAACCGGGCCAAGTGGGCACCACGAATGCCACCAAACCCGACAATCTCGGCGTGCTCGACTACGCCCACCTGCGCGTCCCCCTTCCCCGCGACCTCAGCAGCAGCGGCATCTTCTTGCGCCAGGCCAATCGCAAGTGGCCTGAGGCCTACTTCCTCATGCGCCGCTCCACCGACGGCTACATCAGTGCTACTGGCATGTTCAAAGCCGCGTTTCCGTGGGCGCAGACGGCGGAAGAGGCGGCGGAGAAGGAGTACATCAAGTCTCTTGAGCAGACGTCGGACGAAGAGGTGGCTGGGAATGTCTGGATTCATCCGGATCAAGGTATGTCTATACTGCAATGATCTCCAACCCCACAGCGTACTCACCACTCTCTTCGCAGCCCTCCTCCTAGCAGACGAATACGGCATCCGAAGATGGATCGAAGCCCTCCTCGACCCCGAAGCAATCACGCACGGCACCAGCGACCCCAAGAAACAAATCAAATCCCCACCCCCCTACCGCATCAGCAAATCCCTCTCCAACGGCCCCAGCACCAGCAAAACCCCAAGCAAAGCAAGCCACAAGCGCACCAGCAGCAAAGCCAGCAAAGCAGGCCAAGACACCCTCTCCGTGCCACCGGACTCACCGACAAAAAAGACGCCCGCGCGCAAAATCGCCACTCCGCGGAAACCGCGCAAATCCCGCGGTAAATCTGCCGAGCCGGACGCTGCGCTGCTCAACGGCGCGGAGAAGGCGAAAGTAGAAGTCGAGGCGGAGATCGAACAAGCGCTCCTGACAGGCGAAGAGAAAGTCAAAGCAACCAAAATCAACGTCGAAGTCCCCGCCGAGCGCGCCGCGAGCGGAGGTCTGCAAGACGCGCCTGAAATCGTGGAAAAAGCGAAGGAGATGGTGTCCGAGGCGGCGAAGCTGGCCGTTGCTAGCGGACCTTCGGGCAACAAGGGGAAGAGGAAGGCGAAGGAGCTGGAAGAGGACTTGGAGGAGGAGCTGAGTCCTGCTGGCGGGGATGCGAAGCGCATCAAGACTTCGTCTGCCGCTGCGCTGGAGCTTAGGAAGGAGCGGATCCGGCGGCGGGCGTTGACGGGGATTGCGGCGAGTTTGGCTATTGGGTATGTTGCTCTTCTTTTCCCGTCTGGCTTTATTTGTGCTAATGTTGAGGACAGCGCGCTTGTTCCCAGCATCCTGGCTGCCTTGGGCTCGTAGCCTGGATTGTTCATTTCTCTCCGTGGGTACGAGGATGTTGCCGTATCTGCCTTTTTCTTATTAAAATGATACCAACTGTTCTGTTTCTTCTTCTCATTCTTCTGCCTGGACAAAGGGGATCGGGAGTCCACATGGCATGCGGCAGACGCTCAGGTGGACGCTTATTGATACTTTCGATGCTCGTTGAGGCGATAAAAAGACAGGAATTACATGTAGCTAGCCAGCCCTGACATAGTTTTGAAAGCCAGACAGAATCAAAATGCATTCCAAAGATGATTGGCACATGATGTTTCTTTCATCAAAAACTCGATACCCCTCGAATCCAGCTACATTATCTGCCAGCTAGTTACTGCTATCCCACTCTTATCCCCTCTTTTATCCAATCTAAGCATGCTGCTGAATCGCCTGCTCGAGCGCCTTGGGGTTCGCACCCACCACCTCAGCAACCTTCTCGCCGTCCTTGAACAGCATGAACGTCGGCATGGCGCGGACAGACAAGTCCTGCGCCACCTCGGGCAGCTCGTCGACGTCAATTTTGTAGAAGCGCGCGTCGGTGTATTGGCCGGAGAATCTGTCATCAACTGTTAGTACTTACTAGAAGGTAGGAGAGCGGGGGATGGGGAGATGGCTTACTTGACGACTTGCGGGGCGATGGCTTTGCAGGGACCGCACCAGGTGGCGAAACAGTCGAGGACCATCAGGCCCTTCTCTGACAGGGCCTGATCGAAGGCGGCCTTGGTTTCGAGGTTGTGGACGCCCATTTTTGCGGTTGTGGTGGTGAAGGTGCGGGGGGTGTTGGTGGTGGTGGTGAGAGGTTGCTGGTAAGAGGTTCTTGCGGTGTAGGCGGGGGCTTTGGAGAGGAGAACGACGCGCGGGATTGTTCGGCTTCTCGTTGCGGTGAGTAGGGTTCGTTTGAGTATCGTGCTTGATGCGAGAGACATTCACAAAGTGGAGGGTAGATGCGGTGGGGTGCGGATGTTGCGGTGTTTTATATAGGCGGGACGCAGGAGGGGATGAGGTGATTGGGATGCGTGGTGGCTGCTGGAAGAATCTGCTTACCCAATCAAGCAATGCGCTTGCCGCTGCCGCCCGATTAGTCAACGCGGCGTCACCTCACACAAGCGGCGCGGGGATTTGGCAACGGATACTGCAATGGGATGGGTTGGGCGTGTTGGTTTGTCAGATTGCTGTAATTCTTGGGCTGTGCATCGCTTTGCGTCTAGTCACGGGTGATGGACGGGTTGTCTATCGCGAAGCTTCTAGTGGTGATTATGGCCAGAGGACACTTCCGGATTGGCATGGCGAATGATGTCGTCACCTCTTTGTCTATGATGGCGGGCCGTATCCCTACTATACGGGATATCACTAGAGGCAAAGCAGTCCCAAACACCTATCCCTGTAGGAAGTGCACCGATGTAAGTGAATACCCGGCGCCGTGCCAAAGCCGTGAATGCCTGAGGCTTCAAGCAGCACGCTGGACGTCATGGCTCTAGCGCTGGGATCGCGTCTCACCTGAGTATTTTTCACCAGTAACGCGTTTTCCAATCTTCAACTTCTTCCCAGCCTTGCCCACCCCTCGCACCACCCATCATTAGCACTCCTACCCCTCCGCCTCCATGTCCGAACTCCTCGAATTCATCAAAAGCCACGAAGAGGCCTTTCGTAGGTGACGTCCGCCCGCCCACACCCCACCAACCGCATCCACCTCTAACAATCTCCCAGCCGCGCCCGCCTAGCATCCCTCTACTCCGACTTCCGCTTCCAGCGCTCCTCCAATCCAGACGGCTATCAAGCCAACTCCTCCGCTTGGCTGCGCGCCCTCTCCAAAGCGGCCAGCGCAGGCCTCATACCCCGACAGAATCAGGCATCGGGCCAATATGATCACTTTGCACTCCATACGGGAGAGGAGTTGCTGAGGGCTTTGGAGACGAGGGAGTTTGGGCGGCCGCTTGCTTTGGGGGCTGCGGTGGAGGATGCGGTTAAGGGGAAGGAACTGGTGCCGCTGAGGCGGTTTCTGGATGCGAAGGAGAGTATTTATGCTGGGGGTGGGTGGTTGCCGAGGCCGTGGCAGGTGGTGAGTTGGGGATTGAGGCAGTTGGGGGTTATTGGGCGGGAGGGGAGTGGAGAGGATCGACTTGTTGCGGGGGACTTTGTAGTGATGGCGAATGTCGAGGTGGGTGAGGATGCTTCTTTTGGACTTGTACCTCATGGCTGACTCGATGCGAAACAACAGGCTGCTTCCAAGGCGATACTAGAGAAAGCCTCCGCCCTCACGTCCTCCTCCAACACCTCCCGCATCTTCACCACTTCTCTCCTCGCCTCCACCTTCGCCTCCGCCCTCGACCTCCCTCCGCTCACCCAAACCGACCTCTCCATCCTCCTCACCCACCTCTCCCGCGACAAGTCTGCAATCACCTACTCCCCATCCGCGGGCGTCCTCAAATTCAAATCCCCCAGCGAAGCCACACCTCAACCCCTCACGAACGAAGACATCTCGATCGCCAACCTACGCAGTCTAATTGCCACCCTCTCCCCTCAAATTGAAACTCTCACCACCCGCGTCGCAGAGCTGGACACCGCCGCTCGCACAGCAGTAGCAGCGAAACAAACACAAGCAGCCAAACACGCTCTGCGCTCGAAAAAGCTGGCCGAGACGACACTCGCTCAACGCTCTGCTGCCCTGGCGCAACTGGAAGAGGTGTACGCCAGTATAGAACAAGCGGCGGATCAGGTGGAGCTCATCGCTGTTCTGGAGAGCGCAGGCAAGACGCTGAAGGTGCTAAATGAGCGAACGGGAGGCGTGGATAAGGTGCAGGATGTGGTGGATGGGTTGAGAGAGGAGAGGGCGAACGTGGAGGAGATTGGGGCTGTGTTGAATGAGGGGAATGCAGGGGCGGTGGATGAGGGAGAGGTGGAGGATGAGTTTGAGGCGCTGGAGAGGGAGGAGAGGGAGAAGAGGAGGAAGGCTGAGGAGGAGAGGGAGAGGAGGGTTGCGGAGGAGGAGGTGGAGAGGACGAGGAAGAGGTTGGAGGAGTTGGACGATGTTGCTCCGACCAAGGCTGAAACGCAGAACGATAAGATGGAAGGACAGGATACCGTGAAGGATGCAAGTGGCGAACCTGCTGCTGCTCCAGTGGCGGAAACGGCATGAAAGACAAACATGAAGTCTACGTGGGTTACGTGCAATTGACGATATCAATGGCTACACGATTAGATGAATGACAAGGTCGATTGAGATGCTACCCCACACGCCACACGCTGTCAAGAAATGTAGCGTGTGTGTGGAGGTGGAGATGCTTCGCCCACTTGCTCCACCAACGTCCAAGAGGCTAAGCGAACTTCGTACAGGCGTTGATATGTTTCCGCCAATTCACAACTTCGAGAAGTACAAACTCAGGCTGAAAGGTACATGGAGAGAGAGCGTGAAAAGCAATATGATATCATGTGAAAGTGATAAGAATTGCAACTGAAGCAACCAGGGTTTCTCGTATTGGCGTCTGTTCATCGGCGATGCGTGTTGGTTTCGAGCATGTACCTTTGATGCGTCACTTAATCCCTCGTCAGCAATCTGCGTGAAAGACTCGGCGGTTTGAATATTATTGGCAGGGACGTTGATTGCCGTCCTGGATTACTACGAACCTCCATCTCCAACTCGATGCACAACGTTCTAGAAGTACAGTCGACAAGCCACCAAACCGAGAGGGAAAAACAGAGCCTCGATCCAGCGCCTGGGATGATCATCGAGCAGCATCGGGGCGGCGAGGCGATTGGCAGGGAGCTCTCGATCCGCGCGTGTGTGGTTGCAAAGTGGAGCCCGGCCCCCGGATTCGCCGTGGGGTGCGGGCATGTTAAGCGGGTCCAGATTGCGCGCGCTGCCCCTCTTGCCCTCCTCCAAGCCTTCTCTTTGGTTGAGGCGAGGGCGAGCGAGCGAGGGCGCATGGTTGGCGGAGGCTCTTGTCTTGCTCGTCAATGGGCGGGGCGGGGTTCGTTTCTTCTCCTCTTCACTTCACTTCACTTCACTTCAGTACACTGCACTTCCCTCTATCTTGCACCCCCGAGGCTGTCTGGCGGCGAGCATTCTTGTGTCGCAGCTGCTTGACTCCGGAAACAACACCACCCGACCGACGGCACGCTCGGCACGAATGTATATGTACAGGACCCTGGGCCATTGATATCACTCCACCTCCACACCACCTCCACCTCACCCTCACGCCCTTCTCGTCGCCCAATGTGACTCGGCGACGGCCATGGCGACCACAGTATGCACCACAACGCGCGTGACAGTCCCCGCCCGACCAACCACCCCTCCGCCTCAACTCTCCATCAATACCACAACATCCCACCGCACCACCCCGCCCGCCGCCTCCACCGTCCCAAACAAACACCTCCCTACCTTCCCCGCAATCGCCCAACCCGTCGACAACTCCCCTTCCTCTCCGCTCCGCCCCTCGCAAACCCTCGAGACCACCTCCCTCACCTACCCGCCTAGCGACTACCCCCGCATCACCACCGATCCCCCCGTCTACTCCATCACCGGCGCTCAACTCGCCCAAGCCCTACACCATCTCGAAACCCAACCCCTCCCGCCCGCCAAACAAGTCTTCCCCTGGTTCCACGGCCTGCACCCCGACAACCAGCTGCAACTCGCCTTCTTCACCGGCCGCAAGAAGTCCCTCCGCCGCACCCCCAAATGCATCCGCGGCTTGACGATCGTCAAAGCAGGCGGCGACCTGCTCGAAGCGAAGCTGAAAGGCGCCATCGCGCCGCAGGAGATTCTGAAGCCGTGCGAGGTGCACGAGGAGCATGATGCGTGTGCGGAGGAGCACAGTGAGTTTATCGACGTCGATCCTCGCGATGGCTTTGGGGTGCGCAATTTCCAGATCCAGGCGGGCAAGATGGCGACCGTGAGTGATGTCGTGGTTTATCGGGATCTGCTCGCCCCCAAGGAGATGGTGGAGGCGTTGGCGAAGCGCATCTCGCGGGCCCAAGCGGCGTGGCAGCGCAGGGCGGACGGGGGAGGATGTCAGAATCGCTTGTTCAATACTTTTATACTCTCAGGTGAGCCTTTCCCCTTTAGATAGAACCGTCGATGCACCAGACTGACTCCAGCAGACGACTTTGAAACCATGGAAGCCGAACACCCCGAGCTGGTTGCGGTGGATCGCAACGGCCGCGCCACTGGCAAGGTCATCGACTTCTTCCACTCCGAGCGAGTGGAGATGACGGAAATGTCGGCCCCCACGCAAATCACCCGCAATGTCTGGCTGGGCCCAAGTCCCGACCTCAACCTGGCGCTGATTCCGGAAGGAGATCGACTGATCGACAACCGACATTACGATATTCACATTCACGCGAGCGACATGGCGGATCTTCCGGACGCGCGCGCCTTTGAGCATATGGAGAGGTTTCTGGAGCAGCGAGAAAACGGGACCATACGCGGACACGATGTGCCGATGTTGGAGTTTCCTGGCTCAGGAGCGATTCTGCCACCAACGTGGTCTCATGCAGAGGTGGATGGACTGATGATGACGCTCGAATGGATGCGCAAACAAACCACCATCAAGAAACAGTCACGAAGGCGCCGAGACAGCAAACTCTCCCTCACCCCCGAGCGAGACGCAGAGGGCGACACTCGAATGCAAGACGACGACGACGACGACGAAAACAACACCGAAGAAGGCCGCATCATCCTCATCCATTGCCCAGACGGCTACACCGAATCCTCCCTCCTCGCCCTCGCCTACCTCATGTACACCGAATGCATGCCCGCGCACCAAGCCTGGCTGCACCTGCACCGCGAACGCGGACGCAACTTCTTCGCCTACGCCTCCGACCTCGCCCTCCTCAAAGCCATCCAACCCCGCATCCTGCAAGCCTCGCCTGCCCGCGCCACTCTCCCGACACAGCAGCCTGTCCGTGACCTCGCTCCGCCGGCCCCCGAATGGCTGGACAAAATGGATGGCAGCTTACCCTCGCGCATCCTGCCTTATATGTACCTTGGCAATCTGAATCACGCCAACAACCCGGAGCTACTGCGCGAGCTGAAAATCGGCCGCATCCTGAGCGTAGGCGAACGAGTAAACTGGAGCCCCGCAACGCTGAAGCAATGGGGCAAGGAAAACCTCATGTTCGTCGACCAAGTGCAGGACAACGGCGTGGATCCACTGACAGAGGAATTCGAGCGGTGTTTGCAATTTATCGGTGAGCTATCTCGTCCACACAACCATATACCGTGTTTCCTATTCTAACGCTTTCCAGCCAACGGCCGCGAACAAGGCCAGCACACCCTCGTGCACTGCCGCGTCGGCGTCTCGCGCTCCGCGACCATCTGCATCGCCGAGGTGATGGATCGCTTCGGCCTGTCGTTCCCGCGCGCGTATTGCTATGTGCGGGCACGGCGGTTGAATGTGATTATCCAGCCGCATTTGCGCTTTTCGTAAGTCCACCCCCTCTCCAAAGGGTCTTCGTGTATGGGGACGATCAGGCTGACTAGAAGAGATCTGACAGTTACGAACTCCTCAAATGGGAAGAAAGGCAGTGCGAAAAGCGCGGCAAGCCGGTGCGTCGGGAGCTGGAGTGGGCGACGATTGCGCGCGAGATTGCGGCTATGAATAAGCCTTATTCGAGGCAGAACTAGGCTGCACGACCTGGGGCTCTTTGATGTCTTTTGATGATATGACTGGGATGACTATGGAATGCGGGATGTTCTTGCTCTGGTTTTGATGATATGCGATGACTGCGGACGATCTTTTTGGGCCTCGAGCGATGACTGGGAAGTCTTGTATGGGCAGCGATTGTCTTTGTGGTGTTGGGATAGATGAAGTCATGATTTTCTTCTTGTTAAGGTCCTCTGCATTTCCCGTCGTGCTATGACGATGCTGCTGGTGTCTACGTAGCACGACACGACGCATACGCCATCACATGCAAGTCGAGCTTCCGTCGTTTCACGTCCCAAAGGTGGGGCAAACGTGGTTGCACCCCTCCTCCCCTCATATCGCTCGTGTTCACCGCTTCACAAACACCTCTTCACTGCCAACACCGCGTCCACAGTACATGTACGCCCCCATCTAATCAGTGACTCCATCATGGCTGGTGTCGGAAATGCCCCTCACCCCGACGAACTGCAGCCCGAGCAGACGGAGGGTTTCAAGGTTCGTCCCCTTCCCCATATAGCCAAACCTCCCACCAAGATGAACTGACCCCCACCTTTCTTCCGTACTACACAGGTCAGCGAAAAAAAGACCATAGACGAATACCACCAGCTCGACGCACACGACGAATCGCTCAAAAAATGGAAAGCCTCGCTCGGCCTGGGCGGCACCGGCGCCTCCACGTCCGACCCCAACGACCCGCGCAAGGTAATCATCCACTCCCTCGGACTGGAAGTCGCCAATCGCCCGGACATCATTATCGACCTAAGCAAACCCGGCGCGCTCGAAACGCTGGACAAGCAGCCTTTTACTATCAAGGAGGGCGCGGCGTTTCGGATGAAGGCGAGGTTCAAGGTGCAGCATCAGATTTTGAGTGGGTTGAAGTATGTGCAGGTTGTGAGTCGGTTGGGGGTGAAGAGTAAGATGCAGGAGATGATTGTGGGTCTTTTTTCTTTCTTTGTTTTCTTGACTTGGGGGGTGGTTGCTGATGATTGTAGGGCTCGTACTCGCCCAACTCGACTGACAAGCCGGAGTACGAGAAGAAGTGTACGTCCCTCTTAACCCCCCGTCGTAGAATCCATGCTAAATTGACCCTCCCACAGTCGAAACCGAAACCGCCCCCTCGGGAATGCTGGGCCGCGGACACTACGAGGCGGTCTCGAAGTTCATCGACGACGACAACCAGACGCATTTGCAGTTCAAGTGGTCTTTTGACATCAAGAAGGACTGGCAGTAGTGGGTTGGAGTGTGTCTCTTCTCTTTGCATGGCGTGCGTCTATAGTGCTACTTGACCTCGATACGTGCAGGTATCTTGATAGCCCCTGGATGAATCCTGCGGGGGAAAGGAGAGGATCAATGAGAATGACGTTTGCGAGTAGCATCGCGTTAAGTTAGCAAGATTTCAGATCTCCGCGCAAGAAGTCCAGTCGTAAAGTGAGGTGAAATTAGAAATAGTTGGGAGTAGCAAAAACCTAAGCCATGCAAGTCGCTCGAACGCTCGAGTGGAGAAAAGAGAAAGAGCTCCTTGTAGACCAAACCGCAGAACCGGGGAATTCTCCAACAGCACCTTAGCCTTTCAATCGTCACCGTCCTGACCCTTTCTATGCTTTAAGCCGTGGATATCACTGTACCATCAAAAGTCAGCCCGAATGCAGCAGCGAAGGTATGGAACACTCACTCGAACCGCCGAATCAAACTCCCCTCCCCACCCTTCTCCAAATCCACCGCATAAACATAGAAATCCCCCTCACTCGTCGCAACCATCAGCTGCCCCGCATGCGCCGCATTCCCCGCTCCCATCATAGCCACCACGCTCCGTACAGGCTGCCCCGTCGAGCCGCGCGGCACGCGCGCCCACGCAAAGTCCCGCTGCGGCTCCCACATCTCCGTCACGGAGCTGGGCAGGTAGCCGGCTGCGCGGTTGATCAGGGAGCCCGAGACGCCTTGCGAGGTGCGGCGCAGGAGCGACATGAAGCCTGGTTGGCGCGGTTGGCGGGCGTCGGGCATGGAGGCTGGGTCGCCTTCGAGGGGCGGGGTGGTTTCGCGTTGCGGGGTGAGGGAGGAGGTTGCGGAGGGGCTGGTGCTGCGGTCGCGGTCGCGGATCGGAGGGTTGTGGATGTTTGTTGGGGAGTGGGGTGGGGAGTTTGCGTCTGTTGTTACAGTGGTGGTGGTGCTGCCTGGAGGAGCGAGTTTGAAAATGTGCACGGTTTCGGTGGCGGAGGAGACGCAGAGGAGGGTGGAGGTGGGGTTGAAGCTCATGCAGTAGATGCGTGCGGGCATGCTGCCTCGCCGGAACTGGAAGAGTTTCTTGCCGTCGGGGAGGGAGAAGATGCGTATGATGGTGCCCTTTTCCGACGCCGTGGCCATCATTGTGCCTTCGGTATTGATCGCGATGAAGGAGATTGGGGTTTGGTGGGCTTGGATGACCGTGACTTCCTCCATCTTGTTCAGGTCGTACAGTAAGACATCTCCACTGATTGTTTCCTTCGCTATTGATTTGGGAACGTGTGAGGGCGTGTGCGGGGTGGAGGGGGATTTGGTGTTATGCGGTAGGGCGAGGAAGTTGTTGTCGGAATGGGGCGAGATGGCGCAGATGCCGCCGGGGTTAAGAGGGGTCATGTGCTGGTGGAGGAGCTTCATGTTGCTGATGTCGTAGATGAAGACAATCTCCTCGAGCATCACGACTAGACGCTTGCGGTTCATCTTGACGGCCACGACCATGCCGTGGAAGGTGAGTTCGCAGATGGTGGAATGTTTCTGGCCCAGTCCGTCAGCTCTTCCGTAATGTCCACATCGGAGTCCATAGGCGGGATACCTTTGTATTCACTATCCGTAGTAATCTCGGGGTGAGGATCATGGCGACGAGAGAAGTGGAGAAGAGCGGCTCGACCAGCGAGACGTCTTCATCGTAGGAATGGTTGGTGAGTTCGAAGGGGTCGGTGTTGTAGGTTCGCAGGCCTCGAGTTGTCGCTGTCACGAGGGAGGTTTAACGAGGGCGAGGCCTTGGGGAGGATGGCAAGACAACACTTACCCACCGCCAACACGCTGTGATCCTGGTTGAAGGTGACATAGTTGAGCCCGGCCATGCTGGCCTGTTGTTCTGTGCGCGTCCACCGGCGCTGGAAGGGAGTCCTCGCCCACGCTTGCTGGCTGAATCAGTACAAGTCCACAGTGACGATCGAGGCCATAGCAGCGTGCATGCTACGTGAGAAATGACGCTCGAGCATTTCCGATGACCTGAAGCTTTGGCGATACGAGGTCGCGAATGGCTAGTCCAGGCACGGACCGTAACGCAGCGCAGACACTCGCCAAGCCAGCCGCTCCGCAGTGGACGACTCGCAGGAGGATCGCGAAGGTTTTTAAAATTAAAACCAAAAGGCACGGCACCTCACATATCCACCCCTCTCCCGCTCGCTCGACACGCTCCTTCTTCCGCGTGTGTACATAGAGACGACGCTGTGAGGAGTGCCAGCAGCTGAGGGGCAAACGCCATGATCGCGTCCCGCCAATCCTCCACCACCCTGTAAATATCCCCCACCCCTGGAACCTTGGCGACGGCACGCGCCTGGATGAAGAACACCATCGCGTTGCATTCCAACCCTCGCCTCTCTCGCCATTCGCCCCCGCCGCCAGCATGTCGGCCGAGTCTCTCACTCCCGAAAACGGGGTGAAGCCACGCGTGGACTACGACTCCATCCCCTTCCACCGCGATGCCCCCCGCTCCCACTCGCCCCGCCGCCCGGAATCGGCGCGGCAGAGGCGCAACGACGAATTCGTCATGGACACCAACAACAGCAGCATCGTCTCCAAGCGCTCCGTCGAGAAGCTCTACCACGCCGGCGAGCGCGAGTACTTCCGATATTTCGTCAGCAAGTTCAAGCGACGCTCGCCCCTCATCAATCGCGGCTACTGGTTGCGCATGAAGGCTGTGGAGCACGCCGTCGCCCGTTTCCTCTCGGAGCAGACTACCAAACGGAAAATCGTGGTCAACTTGGGCTGCGGATAGTATGTGTTACTCGCTCCCAATCATTGCACGCACCCACCCACTAACTACTTTCCCCCCAGTGATCCCCTGCCGTTCATCTTCCTCGGCAGACAGCCTGCTCTATGCGCCCAAACCACTTTTGTAGATGTCGACTTCCCCGTGCTCATGCGCAATAAATGCGGCATCATTGAGCACACCGAGCAACTCCACGGCCTGCTGGACAACTTCTACCGCACGCGAAATGAGGATGGCGTTCTTGGCGCCGGCAATCCCTACCTCGCCGTCGGCTGCGACTTGCGTAATCTGGATCTCCTCAAAGTCACTCTCCAAGACGCCGTGGAAATCGATGACGATGGTGTCGCTATTCTCTTCGTTGCGGAGGTATCCCTCGCCTACATGGAGCCCGAGGCGTCTCAAGCCGTCTTAGAATGGACTGCCACGTACCAGGATGTCCGATTTTGTATGTTGGAGCAGCATCTCCCCGATGGTCCGGATCACCCCTTTGCGAGGACAATGTTGGCGCACTTTCAGAAGCTGCGCACTCCCCTTCACACCATTGGTACCATGGATGCCATGAAGCAGCGCTTCGTAGCAGCGGCGTGGCCCGAGACTGCAATCGAGTCTCATTCCCTCTGGGAGCTATGGTCTGAACCGACCATCCTCTCCCCTGAACAACGGCGAATGCTCGAAGCTATTGAGCCTTTCGACGAGTGGGAGGAGTTCGCGCTTTTCGCATCACACTACTTTCTACTCGTGGCAGAGCGAAAGGCGGATCAAGACTACACCTTCAAACCATACCGACATTCCCTAGCAGCACGTGCATCCATGATGCCAAGTCCAGTGAGCAGCACCGGATCCGATCTCGAACCCGAAAACATGCTACACGTGCAGGAATTCCCCGGCTCGCAAGTGCCACGACGATTTGCTGCGCTCGTTCCACCGCCGTCCCGAGGTCAAGATGGCGATGCAGTCGGTCTTCATGGTGGACTTGGGACGCAGGAGAGACTGGAGGACTGTGACACTTACTCCTGGTTCGAGACTGCCCAGCACATCGACGGCCCACCTCTGCGCTCTGGACTCATGTGCCACACCGTGACGCGACTTGGCGGAACGAACAACTGCATTCTTGTCGGTGGCAGAACGTCGCCGGATCGCGCCCTCGCCGACTGCTGGCTCCGGACGGATAGCATTTGGGCGAAGGTGCAAAGCCTTCCAGAAGGACGCTACAGGCACTGCGCTGTCCCTGTGCGACTACCCACCGATCCGCGACCGGCTCACACCGTGCTCGTTTACGGTGGCAGAACAGGTGAAGGTCAAGTACTGGACGAGTGGCTTCTGTGGTCGGGAGAGTCGGGCTGGCAGAACCTCCGCGTTGTGGGAGACCACCCATGCGCTCGATTCGGAGCTGCCATGATTACCGATCAGAAGGAAGGCATCTCAGGTGTCATTGTGGGCGGCATGACGAGTGCCGGCCGCGTCCTCAACGACTTTTGGCACTGGAACCTCCAGCCCGACATGAGCATTACGTGTCAGAACGTGACAGCACGAGCGAGCACTGTCTTGAAACATAACGCGTCGATCCTCGGCCGCTTCGGAGCCCAACTCGTCCGTTCGGAACATGGCATCCTTTTGGTTGGCGGAATCGTGGGCGGCCGGGTGCTTACGCGACATGACGAGATCCTGAACATGCGGACTCTACGACCTTTCTCCGTCAAGAATGCCCGTCCCTTATTCATCGGCGCTGCAGTGCAGGATGTGGACGGCGGCCTGCTGCTTCTTGGCGGTGGTGCGACATGCTTCTCGTTCGGCACGTACTGGAGCAAGAGCTGCTTCCTCACCACCGCTCCTCGACCGCGCGACGACCAAACATGGAAGCTGGTGTTCAGCAAACAACCCGAAGTCAAGCGGATCCAGGAGCGCCCGCCTGCGTTGAAGCTACCCTTGACTGGAGAACCCTTGTCGCATTTTCCCGCTGCTTCGCCCACTTCCATCACCCGAGATGGCCGCATCACGAGCGTCATGGTCACCTCACCGACCTCCCCCAGTGGCATAGGTCGACCCGGGTCAAAGCTGTCCAACATGTCGCGAGAGTCACCAGAACCAAACCGAGTCTCGGCGCTTTCAGGCGGCTCAAACTACTTCCCAACGGCTAATCGAGTGTCTGCTATCTCCGCCGTGTCTGCGCAGTCGGGATCTCAGGCCGGAGATGAGCCGCGCTCGACTGGCGCCGTGGTTACCAACGGCCACAGCCGTAGCATGCCGGCACCCGTCAGCATCCCCAAGGTCCAGCTGACTCCCAGCAACAACTTCTCCAAGTACCTCGACGCCTCCCTCCCCATCATCCTCAAGGGACTAGACCTCGGAACCTGCACGCAATACTGGACGGACGAGTACCTCAAAGAAGCCATTGGGACGGAGCGCAAGGTAGTCGTGCACTCCTCCCCCGAGCAAAAGATGGACTTTCAAACGAAAAACTTCACCTACGAAACCCAGCCCTTCGGCGCCTTCCTGGACGCCGTAAGCCGCGGCGACAAACTCTACCTCCGCTCCCTCTCCAAAGACTCCCCTAGCGACCAACCCGCCAACCTCGCCACCGACTTCCCCGAAATCGCCTCCGACTTCCACCTCCCACCCGAGCTCTCCCAAGTCATGTCCGCAGCGCACAGCTCGCCCCTCCGCATCTCCGGCCCCGTCGCAATGTGGCTCCACTACGACGTAATGGCCAACATCCTCACCCAGATCCGTGGCCGCAAACGCCTCCTCCTCTTCCCCCCCTCGGACGTCTCGAATCTCGACTTCGCCCCCGGCGCCTCCTCCTCCTCCCTCGACGTCTTCAACCCGGACCCCTCCTCCCCCACCGCCTCAAACCTCCTCAACACCCGGCCCCACGAAGCCCTCCTAGAACCAGGCGACGCCCTCTTCATCCCCGCAATGTGGGCTCACGCCGCAGCCCCACCCACCGACGGCGGCCCATCCATCAGCGTCAACGTCTTCTTCCGCAGCCTGGAAGACAAGAAATACGCGGCGGGGCGCGACGTGTACGGCAACCGCGATTTGGCGGCCTACGAAAAGGGTCGCAAGGATTTGGCGACGATTGTGCGCGCTTTTGACGATTTGCCGCCGCATGTGGCGGGGTTTTATTTGCAGCGTTTGGGGACGGAGTTGGTGGAGAGGGCGCAGGGGACGTTGATGGCTGCTGGTGGGGCGGGGAGTGGAGGGGAGGGGGACAGGGGGGAGGAGGCTTATGCGGCGTTGAAGTGAGGGGTTGATGTTTTGATTTTTTGGGCGTGCTGGGCATGGATCGTGGGGGAGGATATTCGTGATTTGCGCGCGCGTTGTGTGTATATGAAGAGTGCCTTGTATCTGTCGGTCAAGTATGGATATGATATTATGTTCACATGGAATATAAGCTTTCTTGTCGATACACATATCTCATAGCTAGAACCACTTCATTGAAGGATCAGCCACTCAATGTCCTCCATGCCCGTCCGCATCCACATCCCTGACAGGCACTTCCGGTAGTCGGAACATGGGGACCTTTCTTGGCGGACTCCCTGCCACGGCGGGGGTAACGTCGATTGGTAGGCTTGGTCTGCGGGTGTGGTTGTTGTGTGGGTCATGGTGTTGTTCGCCCGAGGGTGTCATCGACTCATCGCGTCGCGGCGCAAACAGGTCGGTTGCTTCCACGTTCTCCTCTCCAGCGCGAGCACTCTGTCCACTCGGAGGCGGTATATCGCCAGCCCCCTCGAGGGACTTCACTGTAGTGCCATCTTGTCCAGCCTCATCCACATTCTTCCCTGTCCCCTCCCCTTCTGTACCAGGACTCCCGTGTTTTCTCTTCGCCTGATCAATCAACTTTGCAAAATCCCCTCGATTCTTATTCGCCCACCCCACCCCATCAAAATCCTTCCGCATAACACTACTCGCCAACCCATTCACACCCGGCGCGCGACCCCCCTGCGTCCGCTCCCATGTATCCAGCTCCTGCAATAATTCTCTCTTGCTGCGCGGCCGACTCGAATCGCAATTCGCATTCCACAAATTCACCCATTCTGTATGCCGCTTGATGAGCAGCTGTTTCGGGCCCCAGGCGGGAATACTGGCTTCTTCCAGCTTTTTGCGCAGTTTTGTTTCGTTGAGGAGGGAGTAGTTGAATTCGGAGATGCGGTCTTGGGGTTTGGTGGTGGAGGAGTTGTTGGTATTCGGGAGTCGATGCAGGCCGTTGCTGAGAGGCGTTCGTGATTGGGATCTACTCGCTTGTTTGCGTTCATCTTCGCAGCGGTCGAGATGTGGTTCCACGGCTTCGATTTTCATCCGCTTGCCGCAGCCTAGTGGGCATTCGACGAGGCCGTCGTCGATTGGCTCTTCGTGCTCGGGCTCGAAGGTGCTACCTGCGTCCGAGTCGTCGACTTCATCAATCGCTTCGGGCTGTGAACCATGTGACGCCGCAATCCTCTGACTCTTCCGCCGTGTACTTCGCCCCTCCACCTCCATCTGAGCCACATCATCCGAATCGAGCACCGCTCTCTTCCGCTTCCCCGACTTCGTGCCCCTCTTCGCCTCCTCCAACGCATCGCGCTCCTTCCTCGCAACGCCCAAAGCCGCCGGCCTCGCAGCAAGAAAAGCAAGCACAACCTCCTGCAGCGCCCAATTATTGCGCAACTTGCTCGCCTGGTCCGCCGTCCGACACGCAGGGCACTTGCCGTCGGTGGACAGCGAGGTGCGGATGCATTTCGAGCAGAAGGTGTGGCAGCACGACGTGGTCATCGGCGTGTCGTAGAACTCTTTGCAGATCTGGCAGTGGAGGGCATTTTCGAGCGTGCTGAGGAGGTTTAAGGGCGTGTTGAGCCAATCGGTGGAGTCGGGGATGTCGAAGGCGCCGTCCATGGGGGTTGGTGCGGGTGGACGGGGGAAGGAGGTGAGGTGAGGTGGCGATGGGGATTGGGAGGCGCGGAGTTCGATGTCCTCGCGTGGCGACGCGTGGGGATGACTTATCGTTTGGAACTAGCCCAGTTCGGAAGGTTGTGTGCAGCCTCGCATCGTCTTTGCAATACTTTCCCTACCGCTTTAATGCGCAGGCCATGGTCAGGCGTGACCGGCTCTAGTGTCGAACAGGGGTGCCACTCAAAGTCTTCACGTCTCTTCTCAAGTCAAATGTGAGTTTCTCGGCTACATATACAACGCATAACCTCAACTTTTCCACCACATCTTCCCTTCCGGAGCATCTGCAACGGCAATCAGAACGAATCTAGAGACCATCTTCTCAAATCTTATCCATTGGCATATGCGCAACGGTCCAAATTGCCATTCGCATTGTTGCCCCAATAAATAGCTGTGGCCACCGTGTTAGCAAACAAACTTCTTCATTCCAACAGCGGGGAGGGACAGGATTAGACTTACGGAATGGAACGGCCGGGCCGCCGGCGCCGGCGACGGCAAACGACAAGATGAACACGATGACCGAAGTCCCACCATCGAGCGCCGCGGAGACGAGGTAGTTGTACCGCACAAAGACGTTCGGGCGGTACTTGCGCAGCCAGTACTGCGAGGCGAAGCCGATGATGAAGTACGACATGATCGAAGAGTTGATGCCGACGTTCAGGTAGACAATGTAGTAGAGAATCAGGGGCGTGATGATGTTGTCGAAACCCGCATTCGGCCACCTCTTGTGCGCCAGCCAGGGGACGAAGGGGACCAAGAAGCCAGGCAGCGTCGCCAGGGTGACCCATTCGTACTTGCTGCCCACGCTGAAGAGTTGATGCGGCAGCCCGCCGAAGGCGACGGCTTGCCCGTTGAACTGCTGCGCTTGTTGGCCCGACCAGATGTTGGTGCCTTGGACGGTTCGCAGCGTGGCAAACTGGTTGGTGATGATGGAGTTGGCCATGACGTAGTTGAAGCAGGCGCCGATGAAGGTGCCGAGCATCTGCGCGAAAAAGGTGATGCGCGGCGCCAGATGGCCGTACTGCGACATTTTCAAGTCCTGCGACAACAAGACGCCTTGGAGAAGGGCGTTGTACCCGTAGAGCGAGAAATACATGTTTGCGACGGGGTCTCCGGGCTGCAGGTACCCGCCAATCATTTGCACCATCGATTGGACCACGTAGGCCACACCGGTGATGGCCTGCAGGCTTCCCAGGATGGCGATCAGCACCCACCCGAGGATGGCGGCGACGAGGAATCCCCACCAAGGCAGGGTGGCGTCGGATGTGTAGAGGATGACCAGGGCAACGACGACGGAGGCAATCAGCACCAGGCCGAACCACCAGGTCGGAGCAGGTTTGTAGGCTCTCATCAAGGCGTAGTGCGGATCATAGTAGTCTTTGTTCTCCTCGGGAACGTCGCTCCGTTGGAACATGCGACGTACCTTCTCGGGGAATTGGCGGAAGTTCCGCAGCCCGCGGGGATCGAGATAGGAGACGGTGGCCATCAGCTCACGTCGGTACCAAAGCACCATGTGCACCACGGCTGCAGAAGTGCACATGTTTTGCATCATGAGATTGAGCACGTTGGAGGAGGAAAAGTTTGGCAGTCCAAGCTCGTCGACGGCAGTCATGTTGATCCGATTGTTCGGCCCGATAGCCTTCTCCTGCTGCCACTGCACGGGATTGCCGGCACTGGACGTGTTGGAGAGGATGACTTGTCCAAGGAAAGGATATTTCAATGCATCCCAGGTATTGGTGAAGAAGACGGCGCAGAAGACGATCATGCAAAGGCAGACGCCAATGCCTTGGCTGATCAAGCTGTCCATGGGATAGAAGAGGGGAGAGTAGCCTCCGGAGATGTATTGCCAATCCAAGCAGAGCGAGAACAGACCGAGCCCCTCGTCGCCAGTAGCGCCGCCAAAGATGTAGGTGAAGGTGGTGCTGTGCTGGTTGGCGAGACAAAACACGCTGACGCCGGTGAGGATGGGACAGATCCACTCCGGAATGATCTCCCAGCAGAAGATGCACGCGAAGACGATGAGGAACACCTTTAGAGGCTTTCGAGTCTCGGGTAGTCGACGATGCAGCGTTTCCAACATAGAGATGACGGGGATGGTGGAGGGCCAGAGCATGTTCTTGGGATAGACCAGTGTTTTGCGCATCAGTCCGGCGATACCTACGTGATAGGAGCGTCAGTGGATATCCGGACAGCGACAGATGACAATCACCTACCGTATCCCAAAAATTGACCAGACAGTAGCAGAAAGATGGAGACGCCGTCGCTGAGCCGATGGCCATAGTAGAGCCTCGTTGCGGCAATGACCTCGATACCCAGGGCAGAGATACTCGCTGCATTGGCCATGATGATAATCATCAGGTGCTCCTTCTTATTGAAGGGGAATGGGTTGAGGAACCGCCCGACGGCGCCCTTGCGAGGTATTCCGAGAGACATGGCCTCTCCGAGAAGGAAACTCATGACCGCAAGGAAGACGGGTGTCAGGACGATTGTCTGCGGCTTGAAGTAGTAGATTCCCGACAGCACACCACCGAAGATGGACAGGCCGCATCCTGGAGTCTTGGATTAGCGACTCTCGCGAAGGGTGGGAGGATGGCCGGTAGCCCTACCAAGGAAGATGGAGCGAAAGGTGATGGCGGGCACGGTGGGATCATCCTCGACGTGCATGGTGTGGGTAAGGATGTCCGTCTTGGTGGCTTCATGGTGGAGGATCTCATCCCCGCCCGTCCCTTCGCCCATTTCGAACTCTACAGTGCCATAGTCGTCTCCTTTGCCGTCCAAGTCCTTCACGTCGTGTGAATTGTGCCCTCGATGTCGCACGTCGCCGTGGAGCTCATTTGCGAGTTTATCGTCGACGCCCGAGACGACGACGGTCTCGTGGACCCCGGAGCTCGACTGCGATATCGGCTCGTCGGACGAGAGAGACGAGTGCTCCATGGTTAGAACGAGGTTCTAGACAACGAAACAATGGAAATATGAAGACAAGTCGACCTGGGAGAGAAAAGTTCCCAGCATACAGGCGCTGAGGAAGAGACGGGGGGATGGAAGCGACGCGTGGTTCCTTTATGTGGTGGCGGCGGCACCATGGCCGCCCCCCTCCGCCCACGGCTGGCCCCCATTTTCGGAGGCGATTCCAGTGGAGGAATCAACCCAGTCCAATGGCCGGGCCCATGAGAATTGACTTTCCGCACCCCACGGGAGATAAGGCCTAGTGGCAAAGTAGGGTAGCATCGACCGGGAGATTACGACGTCGAGCTGGCCACCCGCGACCACCCATCTGCTTCCCCCAGAGCAGAAAAAGGCGTCGAAGAGCGACACAGCAAGAAGTGAGGTCTATTCATACTCGTATAGGATAAGCACGGCCATCAAGGGGGTTTTATAGGCAGAAACATACGGAATTCGGTGTCTGAATCTGGCTACGGAGTTCCATTACGGTGAGGGTGGCGGGCCAGATAACGCGAGGGTCCAGCGTGGGGCGAGCCGGTTATCCCGGCCAGGCGCGTGCATGGGATGGAACGTTCTTGGAACATTCCGGGATGCTTGTTGTTGGCCAAGCTTCCTTGGGGGGCTTGGTCAGCGCGAAGCCACTTGAGTTTGGCGTTTGGTTTTGGCGTCATCGTGCGCCGCCTGCAGCGCGAGAGATTGCCCTTTCGAGGCTGATACGCCGTCTCGTACCCGTGCTGTGTGCTCACGTGGAGCGGAATTCGTCGCGTAATGAGATCTCAGATTCTCGCCCCGGCCGCTGTGTCACGTGGAACGCTACCCCGTGGATCACTCCGCAGATCCACCTTCCCCGAGTCATGCATGCATGCAAGCATCGATGGCTCAGGCAACCGTGCAAATTTGGACACCGCGAAGACGGCCTGGCCTGGTAGGTATATCTAGCATTCGAGGGTTTTCAATCCATCTCGGCAAATATCAGACTCGATGATCCAACCGAAAACTACTCCACTCCTCAGTCCGTAATTCATTGCAGCATGGCCGACGACCACAACCGTCTTCCCGCGTGGTAGGAGATCCGCCATATGCAGCCGTGCATACAGATATTGATTGCATGCAGGGTAAAACCACAGCACTACCATTTGTCTCTTTTCGACCTCGTCACCAAGGATCCTTGGACATATCAAGGCCGTGTCCGCATTGAGCTCGCGCTTCAACGTGAGACTAAAACCATCACACTGCACGCGCGCTATCTTCAAATCCACGCCGCCGAGATATTGATTAAATCTGCCAAGGCTGAGGAGACACTCAAAGCCATTGACATCATTCACGATGCTCACAAGCAGCGATGTACCTTCACCTTTGACCGCACCGTGCCAGCCACCACCGACCATAATGCCATCTTGTCCATCAGCTTCCAGGGCACGATGAACGATGACCTGGTGGGCTTTTATCGATCTACGTATGAGATCGATGAGGACGACGATGATGACGATGAAGACGATGAGGATGATGACGATGAAGGTGATGAAGATGAAGATGACGATGAGGACGAGGGAAAGTACTCAATGTTCAGCACCCAATTCCAACCCTGCGAAGCGCGGCGAGCCTTCCCATGCTTCGACGAGCCCAACTTGAAAGCGACGTTCGATTTCGAGATTGAAACTCCCGCCGACATGATTGCCTTGAGCAATATGCCGGTCAAGAAAGTCTCCCCTTCGGCCGCTGCCCACGGCCGCAGTCTCACCGTCTTCGAGCGAACGCCCATCATGAGCGTGTATCTGCTCGCCTGGGCGGTGGGTGATTTCGAGTACAGCGAAGTTCGTACTACCCAGCCAAGCGGCCGCACTTTGCCAATTCGGCTCTACACCACCAAGGGACTCAAAGCACAGGGCCGCTTCTCGATTGAGCTGGCGGAGAAAGTCGTGCCCTACTTCACGGAGGTTTGTTGACAGCATGTGGAAGAGCAAGCCAATACGCTGACAGCCCAGCAGAAATTCGATATCGAGTATCCGCTTCCTAAGCTTGATATGCTAGCAGTCCAGGACATGGTGAGTGGTCCCTTAGATCGACTCTAACCCCCTAGCTAACAGACGACATCGCAGGCGGACAGCATGGAGAATTGGGGTCTGCTGACATTCGAGATGATTGCGCTGCTATTTGACCCTGCCACATCTGACCCGTCGAGCATCAGCGAGGTGGCCTATACTGTGGCGCACGAGATTGCTCATCAATGGTTTGGAAACCTCGTCACTATGGATTGGTGGGATGATCTCTGGCTGAACGAGGGCTTCGCCACCTGGGCCGGATGGCTCGCAATAGACCACTTTTTCCCACAATGGAACGTCTGGGCGGGATTCGTGGCCAATGATATGCAAGACGGGCTTGAATTGGATGCATTGCGATCGAGCCATCCCATCCGGGTTCCGGTGGACGATGATCTGGAAGTCGACTCGATCTTTGACTCGATTTCTTACGACAAGGGCTGCTCATTGATTCGAATGGTAGTCGCTCACATGGGGGTGTCGCCATTCTTGCAGGGAGTCTCGAACTATTTGAAACAGCATTCGTACGGCAATACGAAGGCTGAAGATCTATGGGCGGCTCTGAGCCAAGTTTGTCAGGAGGATCTACTACCATTTGTCTCCGGCTGGGTTGGAGAAGTCGGCTTCCCGGCTCTGACGGTCGAGCAAGACGCCTCTTCCAAAGCCCTGCAATTGCAACAGCGCCGCTTCGGCTATGCCGACCTTTCCGCTATCGACTCCGGCAAGACCTTGTGGTGGATCCCACTCACCCTTGCGAGCAGGAAAGACAAAATGTTCTTCAAAAGCCGGCATATGATTCTACCCGAGGGCGTGGACTTGCCTCGCGTCCCAAACGTCGACTATGCCGGCTTCTTCCGCACCAGCTTTTCCCCTCGTCAACTTCAATTGGTGGCTCAGGATCTTGGTCTGCTCTCCGTGACAGAACGAGCCGGGCTCGTTGCGGACGTCTCGGCGCTCGCGGCAGCAGAGACTTCCGAGGTCAACACGGCTACACTCTTCGAGTTCTTGGAGGCCTTTCGAGACGAAGACAACTACCATGTATGGAGCACAATCCTCTCCAGCGTGGCATTCGTGCAGTCCATGTTCTCCCATCACGCTGCAATCAGCAAAGGACTCGACCGCTTCATCCGAGACCTCACCTCCAAAGCAGCAGCGAAATTCGGCGGCTGGCCCGACTCAACCACCGCTGCAGCCAAAGCACCAATCGACTACCTCCCCGGCGAGCTGCGAAAAGAACTCCTCCTAACCCTAGGCCTAGCAGGAGACGAAGCGGTCGTGTCGCAGTCAATCCAACGCTTCAAGTCCTTCTTCGCGGACAAAAAGCGTTCCGCAATCCCGCCATCCCTCCAGCCCGCCGTCTTCCAAGTGGCCGTCAAACACCTCGGCCGCGAAGCGTACCATTTGCTGCGAAAGGAGTACTCCCAAACGACGTCCATTGATGGCGAAGAGATGATTCTGGAAGCAATGGCTGAAGCACTACAGCCTGAGCTCGCCGCGGAGTTTCTGCACTTCACATTCAGCGACGACGTGGGGATTCAGAATGCGGGGACTGCGACGAGTAGTCTGGCGGCGAATCCTGATGTGAGGGTGCGCGAGGCTCTGTGGGCGTATATCCGGGAGAACTGGGAGATGGTTTATGCGCGGCTGGGAGGGTCGATGGTCGTTTTTGAGCGGTTCATTCGCGGGTCGTTGGAGACGTTGACGTCGGATGAGACGCGGAAGGCGATTGAGGAGTTCTTCCGAAACAAGGATACTACCGGGTATGGAAGGGGGGTTACGATTGCTGTGGAGAAGATTGGGAATAATGCGCGGTATATTGCGCGGGATGAGGGTGTGCTTCAGGAGTATCTTGGGAGGAAGGGATATATTTCTGGTTAGAAATTAGAAAGTATAGATAGAGCATAAGAAAGTTAGATGATAGCCTTACAACCAGTGCGTGAACTTCATGCGTGCATGATTGAGGAACAACCTGCCCGATTGGGAAGGTCCGCGCTACCTGCCTCCATGGAGTGCTATCTGGCGGACTGCCAGACGAAATGCTGTCACTGCTGTTCGACGTTGCACTTGCTACTTTCCTATGAGCTGTTGTCCGCTCTCTGACCGCCATCAAACGGCGAACCCGCGCTCGTTCCAAAGGTCGTAGCATCGCGTGGTGCAAGGCCGGGTGTCACGATCGGTCTCGGCGCAGACCCACATGAGCAGTCGAGCTCTCCCACCCTGGTTGCTGCTTCCGCTGATATCTTCACTTGCGTGATGATGGAGTGGGCAGCATTCCCTGAATGGAGGCGCAGTATGATAGTCAGCCAATCTCCGCCACGGATACGGGCAGTGTGAATTGTTGAGGGACCCGCGGTGTAACGACACAGACGAACGAACGAACAAAGAAAGGGTAGGAAGTAGGTCGCACCTGCCTTACCGAGCGGAGATGACGGGGAGTTCTTTCGTCATTGCAGCCTTGGCCAAGAGTGCATGTGCATGCACTTACTTCCTCTTCCCTTCATTCAAGAACACCCATACTCTCACCCTCCTTCTCTCCTCCACAAACAAAAGACTCATTCCAACTCATCCCCATCAACCACCTCCACCAACGATCAAAATGCATCCCTCCATCCTCCCCCTCCTCCTCACCCTCTTCACCCTCACCACCGCCTTCCCAAACACAACCCGCGAATTCCACCTCTCCACCCGCCTCCTCCCCAACCAACCAGCCAACAAATCGTCCTTCGATCATCTCTACCTCATCCCCTATCACACGGGCGCCGGCTTCAACGACGTGGTGCTCAGCCCCACTCTCGACCCCTCCGTTAGAGCCTTCTTCAACGGTTCCAAAGGCGCTCGTCCTCACCATAACTTGCTGTTCAATCTTGGGAATGACTTTCCTTGGTTCATGGATATGGAGGCGTACACGAATTTCTACGCTGCGTGGGAGCCCGTTGGGATCAATGTTGAGTTTCAGAAGCCGGGGGGGTTCTTTCGTATGTTGTCTCTTCACCATTCAGAGCTTTGATCTTCGACGGCTAGCTGATTATCGTACAGTGAACGGAACGAGGCTGCAGTGGACGTCCAATCCTTCCGACAGCATTGATCAAGGAACCAACATCTTCGCGGGTTGGCTCGGTCAGTTTTCTCCCGATTCCAGGGGTCGAGACGCGTTGGCTAACCGATTCGCAACTACAGTCTGCGACTGGTGGCATGGCGCTCCACAGCTCTTCTTCCGCATCGCGGGCTACTCCATCGCCGACTACCCTGCGCCGAGCAGTTGTGCGGATGTGCATCTGCATGCGGAGTTCATTTGAGCAGACGCGTCAAGTGGTGGTAAGTGAGGCTATCGCGAGGCTGCTAGTAGACAAGGGGAGATGATGGCCCTGGCGGCTTCAGTGTTGTAATACTACTTCCCAGCATGGTCGCTACGAATGCAGTCTGTTAACAACAGAGCAATGCATCCTTTTCGTACTCATGTCCGTATCTTGAAGATCTGCTTGACGTCGGAAATCGCGTGGCGGGCCGAACGACCACCCCGAAGGTTCATCGAAACATCCTAGCTGGTCAACAACCAAGGCGTGAATTCCATTTGAGAGTTTTGTAGTGCGAGCGCCATTACATATCCGCAAGGGTGGTTAGTTCATGACACTCTAAAGTGGCCAAGCTCCAGCTCCCAAGCAAACAGCTGCAACGCCAATGCAAGATTGACTTCCGCCTTCCGCGGCCTCCTTGTTATTGGCCGCCACCTCACCTCCTTCATGCTCAATTACAACGCGGTCGCCCAATGCTCCGCGGCATGTTCTGATCGTCGCAAAGGTGAGGGGTAGAACGTGATCTAGGTATGTGCATTGTATTTCCTTCTGTCCGTGATTTCGATTTCCTGATTCCTCCCATGACTTCCAGGTTGTTTTCAAGATAAGGTACACCTCCTTCTCGAGGCAGCTTCCCACATTTGGGGCCCTGCAGTGCGCAAAAACTACCTTTCAACGTGCAGCATGACCTGCAGCCTCACCTTACGGCCGTAATGTTGATCTGCCCAACGCTCCGCGGCGCAACCAGGTGAGTGTGCAGGTAGGTATATACTTTGTATCCTCTCCGTCCGCCCTCCTGGCCGTTTTCACCCTCCTTGCCAGTTAATTGGAAGACTGTCCTCCATTGCTCGTCGAAGCGTCTCATCAAGTGAATAACGTTTCTACTCACCCAAAATGCGCTCTTCCACTCTCATCCTCGCCCTCCTCGCCCTCTTCGCCGCCCACGTCGCAGCTGCGCCAGGCGACGAAGGGAGAAAGAGCCATCCGCACAAACACCACGGAAAGTCGTCTACAAAGACCGCAACAAAGACCACCTCTCTGTCCACTAGCTCCTCAACAACAAGCTCAATCTCGACAGCCTCTCCCACCCCAACGCCGGTCTGCCCAACTGGCACGGCGGCATACTGCTGTCAAGTAGGCGGCAGCTGTAAGACTCCCTTTATCCCTGCTATCAAAACATATACAGCTAACCCTGACTCCTCCGTGTAGGTTTCGCGGGTAAGACGACCTCCTCCCTTTTCCCTTTTAAACCCCTTGCAAGCATATCGCTAATGGGATCCACGTCAACGTGATAGCCGGCACGCAAACTTCCATTACGGCCTTCGCGGCGTATTGCGATGAAAACGGCACCGGGATCGAGGATCCCAAGTGCTGTGCTGGGCCGGGGGCGACGAATTGTCAAAATGCTTCGTAGACGAGGAACGGCACGCGGCGGACAATATGTATGGAAGGAAAACGCGTCGGGTCTTCGTCCACACGCCTTGGATGATCAGATGGATGATTTCATATTTAATTCTCGTAGTTGTTGTGTACTCAATGATTAACCAACTTCTCTGTCTTCAACAGGGGTATCTCAAAGACTGCACATGTTGGATGCGTGTCACTATGTAAACCCCCTCCACCCCAACTCACCCCTCCTTCGGCGTCCCCGGCCTACCTCCATTCTCCATACTATAAGGCGCCAACACCCTCTTAGCATTCCAAACGCGCCACGCAAGATTCCTCACCGTCCCATCCGCCCCGACGACCTCGGGCGCAAAATCAATCCCAAACATCCTGCTGACGGCATACACGACGCGGCGCGCGTACTTGCCCTCGCGCTCAAGGGTGGGGCCAAAGTGCTCGTCGATGGTGCGCGGCGCGACGTCCGGGTCGCGGTCGAAGCAGTTTTGCACGACGGGGAGGAGGGCGGTGGCGATGGAGGTTTGTTGGGTTTCGGGGAGGGTGAGGGTTTGGTCGACGGAGGTGGTGGTACTGCTGCTGGGGCCTGCTTGCTGTTGCTCGTCTTCGGCGAAGCGGGAGATTTGGATTTCAAAGGGGAGCGAGATGGCCATGACGTTGTAGCGGCCGTCGTGGTGGTAGCGGAACTCGAAGGCGCCGGAGGTCCACCTGTTTTCGGTTAAATTTTGGTCATGTAGGGAGGACTGGTCAGACTTACCAGAGCTTGTCTCCGGCAAATTCAATCTCGCCTGAGAAGTAGTCCTTCTTCTCTCCATCCTTGCGCCCTTGGCCAGACACTCTCATATCTGAGATCAAGATCCCATCATCCGCATGCGCGTAAGTGGAATTCCCCTTATTAGTTGCCGCCCATCTTCCCTGCGATGTCACCTTGGTGAGTTCGCGACTTCCGTTATCCGCCACTTTGTACAAGCCAACCCAGTCGCGAGGGCTGTGATTAAGCGGCGCAGTCCACTTCACCTTGATCGGCGCCCCATACTCCACCACCAGCCGGCGGAAACTATCCTTCCGCTTCTGCGGCAGTTGTCCCACCTCGCCCTCGCGGCCACTGGAAGCGCTGTCCTCGAATGTGATGGCGGGATTCGACGCGTCAACCTCGATGGAATACTCCTTCGGATCGTAGCCTTCGAGGTGCGGCGCTATGCGGCTGATTCTGATGCGCGTGGGGAACTGCGTGAACAGTGTGCGCGAATCCTTGACGAAATCGCTGAACCCGTTGGCGAGCTTGGGGCGCGCGGCTTCGATAAAGTCTTCCACGAAATCGAGGCCGTCGTCGAGCACTTGGTTCGCACTGCCTTGCCATTTCTGGATGGGCGAGGGGAGGATCGAGGCAAAGTTGCGCGAGACGCCAGAGGTGTCGCGGATGGACCGGCGATATAGTTTCTGCATGTGCGGCCTCTCGACGAACTGGATGAAGCAGAGGGTCAGGAGATGGCTGAGCAACGCCAGGAAGAAGATGGCTTTGCTCCAGGTGATCAATGCGGCGCCCCAGAGGCCGGCAAGACCGATAGTGCGCTCGGGGTTGTTGAGAAAGCGGTAGATTCCACCGTACGTAAGCTTGGGGGATTCGTTGTAGAAAAAGTCGCCGAAGAACCAGCCAAACTCGCCGAGCGACTCGTAGATCTGAGTGATGGTCCAGAAATGGAGCGCAATCAATGCCAGGCCGACGACGTGTCGGAGAGTCGTCATTCCATAGTTCCAGTCGGCCGGCAAGCCGTACATCTTCCAAGCGGCGCAGATGAAACTCGTGTAGCACATGGTCATGCTGACGTGGTAGATGCCTTTCCACTGTCGCCAAGCTTCTTCGGTGCTGTCGCCGTATTTGAGGAAGTGTCGGGTCCATCGTTTGTGGTTGGACTGCTGGTTGAGGATGATCCCGATGCCGATGGAATACCATAGCCGCCAGACGGTGGCAGAAATAACGAACAGAGCTTGCCAGGTCGCGGTGGACGGAGTGAACAAGGCCAAAGTGTACATGTAAAACTGTAGCACCAGCACAGCGACGTCGGTGACACGGTGTAGGTCCATGTTCTGAAGACCCAGAAGGTTGTGGACTGCTGATGGTTTCTCCAAGCTGCTGGCTGCCTGAACGGGGACTTGCGAAGGGCTGGTGACTGGGCTGAGAAGGACTGAAGGGGGCTCGGTCTTCTCCGACTCTGAAATCGACGCGCTGCGCTTGGGATGCGGCGGTGGCGCGTTGTAAGTCCTCTCAATGTGCGGGCTCTCCACGAGCGTCAAGAAGATGAGTTGCAAAGCTTGGCCGAAGATGGAGATGAACAACACCTTGTAGCTTGCGGCCAGGAGTGAGATACCGTAGAAGCCTGCATAGCCAACAGAGTACATGGGATGTGGAGCCAGCTCGAACACGCCGTCAAAGGTGAGTTCCTGATCGATGAGGAAAAAAAAGTCACCCCAGTACCAGGCAAAGTCTTTGACGACTCGATGGGCGTCCAGCTTAACCCAGAGGTTGAAGAGGATGAGGATCCATCCACCGACCCAGCGGGCAATGGTCATGCCAATCTTCTCTCCATCCGGCCGACCACCGCATGCCGTAGCGAACAAGCAGTAGGAAATGAAATCGCTCATCAGAATCAAGTCGCAGACCCGGCGAAAGACGAGCCAGGTGTTGTACTCAATCGGCGCGTCCTCGAACTTGTAGTTTTCGGGAATCTTCACCTCCATCTCGTATTTGAGGAATTTCCACAGCCACGGACGGGGTTGATTACCCTTCGCGGGGTTCTCGAAGATCTTGGAAGACTTTGCCCAAGCAACGAGACGTTTGTGGTGGGATTGGTTGTGTAGCAGCCAGCCGATGCCGGCGTTGTAGCATATCCGCCAGAAGATGAAGATGATGGCGAAGATGGGTATCCGCCATTTGGGAGGCAGGAGGTAGAAGAGGAGGAACATGCCGCCTAGGACGGCGGTGATGGCGAAGTCGGAGGCATTTTTGGGTTCTCGAGGGTCGAAGAGCTGGGACACCATGTCTTCGGTATGGGGGACGGTGAAGACTGGTGGAGGTATGTTAGTGTCTGTGTTTCGAAGGCATGTGGTTGCGTATGCTGTCCTTACCTGTGCCGTCTGGTGTCCTGCCATACGTTTTACGATCCTTCTCTTCCTTGTTCTGCTTTTGCTCATCGTCGTTGAGTTTCCGGACGGCATCTTGGGCGGTTTCTGGTGATGAAGCTTTGATTGGAACTTCGGGCTTTTGAGGCAAGCGTTCGCGCAGGCCGCTGGCGTCGGCGCCAGGCTGTTGGTCGAGTCCATCCATCAATAACTTAGTCCATTGGATTAATGGGCGGGAGGAAGATGGCGGAGAGGTGGCTTGGATTAGGCAGTGGTAGAGACAAAGTTGATGAGAAAGAAAAGGCAACGAAAAGAAGTCGGGGAGGAACAAACATGGATGCCCGGGTTAGGACGTCTGGCGGTGGGGAGATGTGGCTAGAGGATGTGCCAAAAGAGCCTCCTACGGGGCCATGCAGGACGTGAGGTTGTTTGGCATTGGGCAGATGCTTGGAGGGCGGCCATTGGTTGGCTGGTGGGAGATGCCGGTGAAGTGGGATGTTGCCTTCCGATCGCCTGCGCCGTTGAGTGGCCGAAAGTCGTGATTTGCTTCGCCAAGCATGACGTCGGTTGCCTTCTCCCTCTCTCCCATCTTTCCTCCTTCCATCACCGCCTTCACCAACAATTGAAGCAGAAGCGTGTCAAGCGGCAAGTGGAGGGTATTGCAGGGGCCTGGCTATATCTATAATCCACAAATCTCCTCTCATGGACACCCACGGCCGAACAATGACATTCACAAACCCCCTCAAGATGCCACGACTAGAAGACATGCTTCCACCAACCTCACGCTAACGGGTGTGCGGAGCAGGCTCCGCTATTCAAGCGGTTTAATGGCTCATGTCATCATTTTCGACCGTGTTCAAAGCGACCATCTGGCTCGTGGAGTTTCTGGACAGCTGAGATTTCAATCGCTACGGCATTGCCCAACATATGGCAGTGTCGTTATCATCTCGTTCGTCAACAAATATTCATTGATCCGCAGAGAAAACGCGATCTGCGTCATACCAAGCCCACCCTCTATGCAGCAACCCCGAACCCGAACGCCTTTTTTTCCGGACCCATGCAGATCGAACTCAGATTGCCTTCGCCTCAAACATTGCTTCTTGCCGCCTCACCCTGCAGCCTCGAGCGCGCCGCCTCACCCTGTAGCCTCGAGCGCGCCGCCTCGTTCTGTACACCCCAACTGCCCAATCGCATCTCTGCCATCGTTGACATCGAAGACGTAGATCCCCTTCTCCCTCCCTCCGCTTTGCTGTCAACGGCAGACCGTGAGATGCGCACAAGCAGCGCACAGATGATGAACCCGACTGCCGCAGACGCAGCAGCGTAGGTAAATGCACCTCGATATCCCCAAGTGGTAGGCGAAACACCGCTGGATCCTTGCATCACGCTCGCTGCCTTCTTACTCACAATCTCCGAAATGGAGAGGGCAAACGACATGGCCAGGTTGACGAGGATTGAGCACACGGCTCCCGCCAGACCTTGGTATTCCAGCGGTTGAACAGATGATATGAAGACAATCGAAATGGTGAAGGTCAGATCGATGCCCAGCGTAGCACAAATCATCGACGGCATCACGAATTTCCAGTACTCCAGAGGCAGCGGTGCCAGTACTAGCAAGAGTGGTGCGGCAATCCACGCCAATGCGGAGAGCAGCAGAAGCACCATGATCGGAACAATGTGCAGCAGTAGTCCGCCGACTACGCACAGGACCACGCCTCCAATGGCCGTCGGCAGAAACCAGATGGCCAGCTCCGTTCCAGAGGTTGATGAACTTCCTCCGCCCGCCACACCAGTGGGATCCTGGAAGAATCGAACCGAGTTGTAAAGCCAGGCACCGTAAGTCGCATAGAAGCAGAGACACGCCATGCAAAACGCCTTTACACTTTTCGGCGCGAAGAAGTCAAAGGGCAGCAATGGGCACTTCGCGCACCAGCCTTCGTACCAAAGCGCCACCGCGAGCAACACCAGTCCCAGCGTCAGAGAGCCGATCACGACCCAAGATGGGAAGCCTGGCTGCTGCGAGTGCCTCACGTACGGCTCAACGGCTAAGCCGTACGACACCAGAATCAAGCCCGTCGTAATCAGCACCGCTCCAATCCAATCCATCTTGCGATCCGGCGTCCTTCGCGCCGTCCGTTCAGACGGCACAGTCAGAAACGCCGTAACGAATGTGATCCCCGACAACCCCGCCGCAATCCAAAAATACCACCCAGACTGGTCCACAGGCAACGCCGCAGCAATCAGCAGTCCACCAAAGAACCCCAACGGCGCACAACCAGAATACAATCCCAGAACGAAATTCTTGCGTGGCCCTTCAGGGTAAATGCTGCCCACCATGGCAAAAGTCGAAGGCATGAACGCCGCAATAGCAAGCCCCTGCATTGCGCGCGAGATATCGAGAATGAGCATCGAGTTGATCCAAAAGCCAGCTATCAGCGTCCAGATCGCGAGCCAGACGACGCCGAACATGAAACACATGTATCCGCCGTACATGTCGGACAGCCGGGCGAAGATGAGCAGCATGGCGCTTAGGATGAGGGAGAGCAGACTCGCGGGCCAGAATTTGCCGGTCGAGGTGGACTGTGTTGCGCCGCTGGAAGGACCTTTGGAGAGCTCGATCGCGAAGCCGGAGATGAGGTACTCGGTGAGGAACTGGGTCATCGCGATGGTGAAGCAGAACCCAATCTCCGCTGCGGTGTGGCGGAAGGTGTTGTGTTCGTGCACGCTGGACGGTGGGGAGGAGGCGTGAGAGTGAGCGCTGGCTGCTGACGGGCTGGCCGGCACACTCTCGAAGCCTCCGTGGTCTGGTACCGCACCTGCAACCGCATCTGCTATCGAGTTCCTAGACGACACCTGCATGGAGCACTTTTGCCTCCTCTCCGCCTTCTCCTCTTGGTACCGCAGCACATTATCCAAACTCGCCCATCTCGTCAACGACCCCTTCTGGCGAAGCTTCTCAGGCCGCGAATGCCCTCGCAGTTGAGGAAGCTGCCACAGGTCATCGATCGGAAGCGGTGGTAGCGCCGTCAAGGACGTATCGACGAGGTCTGGAGCAGAATGTGAAGGATGTGCGTTGACACTCCGTCCGGGGAGATCGTCGTCGCTGGTGTTGAGCCAGAATTGAGGTCGTGGAGGGTACTTTGCGGATCGACGCGGTGTGGGCGCTGATGGTCGCATCACTCCATTCTCGCGAGGGTCGGAGTTCGATCTGGCCAGTCCATCTCTGGTCTTCCACACTTTCGCTGGCGATGTGTTGAACGCGGCGTTCAAGTCATCCTGGCCGTGGTTTCCACGACTCGTGTCGGCGTTGACGATGTCGAGGAAGGTCCCGCCGGCTTGCGGCTTGTCGAAGTGGGATATTGTCGTCGATGGAAAGCTTGATGGATCGTCCTCTGCCAACGTGGATAGGGAAGAGTGTTGGCTGATCTCCTTGGGTGCATCCTTGTCTGATGTGCGTTGCGTGTACAGATCGATGATCTCTTTGAGGCCATCCTCTGCATCGTTGTGGGATGCACGTTGTGGTAGCATGACGAGATGAGACGGAATCGAGCACGGCTGAGACTGGACGGATCAAGATTCGATTCCAGATGAGACTGAGACACTTCTTCAAAGATCAAACAAACGAAGAAAAGACAATTCAGCAAGTGAATAAGCAGCCAAGGGCCATCAGTCACAACCGACGAGCTCCTTCACCTTACCTGCCAATCTTCCTGCAACCCGAACTCTCGGCGATGTGACGATCAATGCTGAGCACAGGGCCGAAATCAAAGGGTTCACAGAAAGAGGAAGCAGAGCTGCAAGCTCCCTTCAAACCACGAACGAGAAGCAACGTGAAACGCAACAGCACTCTTCCCGTCCCCAAACCAAACAAATCTTGGACAAACGTGTATCAGACTCCCGCTCGGCTCGTTGCGTTCACTACAGTTTCTATACATACAAAGCGAGGGCGAATGCATCCCTTTGACGCAGTAAAGATCATCCCTTCGAAAGCAAAAAGTCTCCTCGCCCAACCCCCTTTGTCCACCCACCCATCCAGTCTGTACTCCCGCAGTAGTCCTACATGTGTACACCAGCCAAGAAAAGTTCGACTGAAGATCTGTTCTCCTGCCGGAGTGGCTGGGCGCGGGGAGAGAGAGAGGTACATTCAACGTGTAGCAAAAAGAGCGGGCAACACGGCCCGCTTCCCCAAGGGCGGGAACGGATGTTTGTTTCAGTTGGGTTTGTTTGCGTTGTCTTGATTCTAATGGACGGGAAGAGAGGAAAGGAAGATGGCAGGAGAGAAGAAAGGGATGGGTTCGACATGTGGGAAGTGGAGTCTGATGCAGATGCACAAAGCGCTGGTCTGATCTCGGTGGAAGGAGGTACGACGTGCTGGGCAGCAATGGTGACCAGGTTGGAGGAGTCGATAGCTGCGATCTGGCAAGTAGCTGAGAAAATCACTGCTTCGACTTGGAAATGGAGGAACCATTGTGTTCGGCGCTGCTCGTTCGCCAGAGCGGGCACAATGTGCTTTGTTGTACGCATCGCGGTGCTGTCGTTACACGACTCACGGCAAGGCCGGGAAGTAGTTCACTCCAAAAGCGATGGGGCTGAATCGCCTTGCATCAACCAATTGGCTGCTCCCTGTCTCGACATGCACGTTCGAACGCTGGAAATATCGAGCAGGGCAGGCGTGGAGCCCAGGTCCATCGGGTGCGGAGCAAGGTCCGGAGGGTCGAACGTTGACTAAGCAGCCTCGCGTGGTTGGTGCGGTTGGGCAACTCCAACAAGTTACATCGATGTTCTTCCCCTTTGATTCATCAAATGTGAGCCTGCTTCGGGGATCGAGCAGGGCACAATCGGCCCTGCTTCTACGCACAAAATGTACGGTGTGTAGACCACAATCCGCTCGGCAGCAACAGGAAAAATGCCAGAACACGCTCACCAGGACTCCGAACCTCTGCCGGCCCCTATCGCGCCCCAAACCTGGGATTCAGAGCGTGTGGCTCGAGGCAAATTCATCGCGTCGGGCGTCTCAGGCTTTGTGGAACTGACTAATACCGGAACCATCGTCAAGACTCCGAATACCGGCCCGGAGTATGAAGAATGCAGGCATGAGCTCTTTTTGGAGGCTGAGATCTACCGCATTCTCGGCCCCCATCCACGTCTCATCCGCGTCCTGGATTGGGACGCGCAGAGAGAAGTATTGACCCTGGAGTACATGCGTCGCGGCACGCTGAAAGACTTTCTTGCATCCCTTCCACCACACGAGTCTACGAGGAGCAATTACGATGATCAAATATCACGTGAGCAGCGGCTGCGCTGGGCAGTGCAGTGCGCCGAGGGCTTGGAACTACTGCACAGTCACGGGGTGTGGCACTGCGATTTCAAGCCGAAGAATATCCTCCTTGACCATGAGGGAGGGATTCGCATTGTCGACTTCGGTGGCTCATCTCTCCACAACTCAACTCCGTCAGCCCACCCGGGATCCCGTTTCGCCCCGCCGTCGAAAGCTTTGGAATGGGGCCTCCGTCAGGACTTGTTCTCGCTGGGCTCCATGATCTATACTATCATGACTGGCGCTGAGCCGTATGCTGATCGGGGTTCAGAGGAGGTGGTGGAGTTGTTTGAACGGCAGTATTTTCCGACTACAACGCATTTACTTGGGGGCGAGATCATGAGAGACTGTTGGCTGGCGAGAGTGACTTCAGCAGGGGAGGTACGCATGGCGCTCGAGACACTGATGGCGAGTTCCAGCGCCGGCGCGGACGCCAGTGGAGTGATGTGCACCGGGGGTATAACATATTCGTGCCGAGCACACAATTCCCCTGTACTTGTAGCCGGCGCTCGATAACCTGGCTCTCCGTCCCCATCCAAGAAAGCCATCCTTTCCAATCGCACAATCCAAAACACACCCCACCGTCACCGATCATCGCGACTCAAATCAAGACTGAAATCAGGCCACCACCCCTCCCCCGTCCTGCCCCCACCACTCCTCTCCCCCAGCATCCCAACCCTTTCAACACACAAACTATTCCCCCTCAACCGACTCCTCCGTCGGCCCCCAAACTCACTAGCAGCAAAAACAGAATCAACCCTCTCCCTCCGCACCCTCACCCTCTCCCTAACCTCACCCAAAGCCTTCAACAACCCACACTTCTCATCCACAAGCGTTTCCAGCAGCGCCAAAAGCCACGTAGCCTTGGAGCCGGTTTCCTTCAACTCGGCGAACTCTTCGATCAGCGCTAGGCGCGTGGCGTACTCGGCGCGCACTCGCGACTTCAACACTTCGGCCGTGTTTTCGATATCTCGCGTGAGAGCCTGCATGTCGATTGGGTGCTGGCGCCGCACGGCTGCTAGGGCGGGCATGTCGCGTGCTGTTTCGAGGAGTTGCTCGAGGCCTGTAGTGCGGGCGTCGTGGGTGTGACGCAAGCAGAGTTTGTGGTGGAGTTTGGAGCGCACGCCTTCGAGGGCTATTCTTTCCTGTGCGTGCTGGGAGGTTATCTGCCCCGGGGTGAGGGATGGGGTGCGCTGTTTGGGGTCCTTTTTGTTGAATGGCGAGGTGGAGGTTGAGGGGCGGCGGTGTTTGAGGAGGGGGAGGTCGGATTCGGATTGCGTGCGGCGGATGCGCATTGCGGTTCTTTGTTGGAGATTCTTCATGGTCGTCGGTGTTGTGAGGAAGGAAAGGGAAGAGTGCAGGAGGTTCGAGATCTAGTCAGTCCGTCAAGTCACCCCTGAGCAGTGCAGACTCTGCCTTCAGAACGTGGACGTCACATGCTGACCATTCCCTTCCATCCCCAGTGGCTCCCATACTTCCAAAACGGTAAGTCTAGAATCAGTGACGACGCCAAATCCCACAAACCTACCTTCCAAACCCACCAACATAAGAGAAGAGAATGGGAATGGCCGTAAAGTGAACGACGATTGGGCGAGTAGTACCTACAAATGCACCATCTACCTCCTCTATCCACGTCCGATGCAACCCCCTCTTTCGCGCCGTCCGAGATGTGCCAGCTAGCTGCTGGGCTTAGTCCACTCTAACCTCCATTCGCAAAAACACACTCGACGAAGAGCCGCCCTTTTGTCCGTACCTGTCCCTCTCGTCTACTTGTTCAGCTTGAGCATGACGTAAGGCAGATCAATGTCCTCATCATCAGCGGCGTCTTCGTCGGGATGCTCAACGGCAATGTCGAGAATGACGTTCTTCTGGTGGTCGGGAATGGGCTTCGTGCTAATCGTCTCAACGAGCGTGGACAACCTATGATCAAACCGTTAGCCTCGCCCGCACGCTGCAACGTCATCAAGTTGGAGTGGCCACTCACTTCATAGGCAGACGATCCTTCGTCCTGCTCGCCGGGTAGAAACTCGCGTACAACAGCGTCACCCCGGAGCTAATCATGGTAATCTTGAAGCCATGCTTCTCCTCGAAATCGGCGAGGAATTCCTTGAGCGTGACGTCGTCCGTCTCAAAGCGATCCCACAGCTTGTCGATCGTGAGCTCTTTGCCGTTGCCGCCTTTGTACGTCGCTTTCGGGCTGACGATGGGCTCGCTGAAGCCGAAGAAGGGGAGGGCGAGATTGACGAAGCCGTTCTTGTACTGCTCGATGTCTGTCTTACCGTCGATGATCTTGTACAGCTCCAGCACGACCAGACCCGTCACGAGGGCGGTGGTGGTGGCGATGGCGGGGATGATCTTGCCGGCGATAAACTTGGTCTTGTGTCGATCAGCCGTTTGGATCTTGTAGTTCTCGGCGCGCAGGTTGGAAGCCGCAGTGATGAAGTCGATGTGGAAGTTGGTGTCGTCATCCTTCTCGAACTCCACAGGCTCCAGTCTAAACCCAACCAGGCTGTCTGGACGGGGCAGGGACTTGGTGATGTTCTTCAGATCTTCCTCGTCATCTTGGACGCCGTTGGCGTTGGGATCGGGCTCCTTGTCATCCGCTTGGATCTTGACGCCAGGGTCGGGGCGGAACTCGGGCACGTTCATGCGGTCGAGGACGGAAATGACGTGCTTGCGGTCATTGATTGGCTGAATGCTGTAGTTGAACGCGTGAAGGTTGGCAGCCGCCAGAACGAAACTGTAGTGGGTGGGATTGTTGGGATCAAAGCGGAGTGCATCCGGCGCGCGCTTCGGGCCTGACCAGAAAGGCTGACCGGAAGACGTCTTGGAGTCTTTGGGGAAGTTGTAGAGCAGCTGCTGGATGGCGTTGTTGTAGTGCTTCTCAAACTGCATGCGACCCCATTCGATACAAGTGTCAAAGTCCTTGGGCCACTCGGTGACCAGGTAGTCTCGCAGGGTCTCCAAGGTCTGCTTCTCGTTGCCAGATTGCCGCTGTTGACTTGCGAGGTAGTTCTCCTTCTCCAGATATGAATTGACAATCTCGGCAGGCCCGGCGAAGTAGGTATGGAAGAGATCTTTCGCCCAGGCGATGGTGTGTTCAATGCGATTGGGGAATGATCGAAGGGTGCACATGGGGAAGGACTGCTCGGGTGGGTCGACGGAGCTGGAGTAGGACTCGGTCTGGCGAGGCAGCACCACCTGAGTGTTGCCCTTTGTCCCGAGAGTTCCGCTGTCTAGCAGTGGCTTGTGGAAGAACACGCAGCGCCGATCAACGTATGTCCGAGCATCCACATTGTCGAGAGCATTAGTCACAGCGTCCAAGCCCTCCCAGAAGGTCTCGTTGAAGACGTGCTCCGTCTCTTGAGATACCCGGTCTTTCAGCATGTCGATGTGCCCCTTCAGATCCGGGTTCATGGCCTGTGCGGCGAGCGCCGCGCATTCGCTCTTGAGTTTGCCGACGTCTTTGGGTCGGAACAAGAACTGTCGGTTGAGATTGCTCCTCTCGATCTGATCCATGTCGGTGAGGGTGATTCTACCCTTGGGTCCAGTCGCCAGACCAATCATGGCCCAGTTTTTGATCATCTCGCACCCAATGGCTCCGGCTCCCACAAGGAACTCCTTGTAGTTGGCCAGCTTGTCTTGGTACTCTTTCCCAAAGACGGCAATCTGTCCGTCGTACCTTGTACCCAGAGGCTTGCATTGCTCTTCACTGCGAGTTGAGGAAGTGGGGAGCGATTCGAGGGAGTCGAAGTAGAGCCACTGCTTGATGGGATGGAATTTGCCCGACACGGATTTGAGGACTTCTTGCGCGGCCAGACCACCGAAAAATGCGGCCATGGGGCAGAGATCTCCACGAGCTTGATAGGAGAGTTCTTTGATGAGCTTCTCATCCAGCTCCACGTCCTCCCCGGAAGCCTTGGCCACCTCTTGCGCCAGCTTCAGCACCTCAGCGGCATCGGAGTCGTTGTGCGGTCGGGGGAGATCTCCACGCTTCTCGACAAACGCATGCAACGCTTGGAAGCCAGCGTGGAGCTGCGCGGGGCGATCGAATTTGGCAAAGTCGGAAACAACGTACTCCGGCTTCTTCAGCTGTTGGCTCAAAGGCTCAAAATCGAGGAACTTGGGCATTTTGACTTGGGTGTAGAGCCCACCTCGCTTGTACACGCCCAGGCCTGACACATCGCCGATGGAGAAGGTGTATGGGCCCTTGACGGTGATCTTGCGGGGCACGCCGTCGTTGAGGCCCTCCATGCCCTCCACTTCTGTGAATGTAATGAAGTCCCCATCTTCCAGGCCGTGCCTTGTTTCGTCTAGAGCAGACACCAGTCCATCTTGGTCCACTCCCGCCACGATACCGCTCAGAGGATTCTCGCCAGTCGCATCACCGACGGTGAAGTTCTTGCCAAAGTCGGTGAAGATGGAGCCGAAGAGGCCGAAGGTGTCGGCGATGACGACAAAGATGCCGTTCTGGTGACAGTAGTCGGCGATGGTGAGCTGGTCTTTGAGGGTGGTGTCGGTGAGGACGACGACTTGATAACGGCGGAGTTGGGCGAGATCGGCGGTGAGACTGTCGCTCTCGTGTACACCGACGGGGGTGTAGGGGTTGAGCTCGGAGACGCGCGGAGCGGTGACAGCAGCACGAGGCTTGCCGACGTCTTCAGGATGCAGGAAGAACTGCGCAGAGAGATCTTGGATGGCGGCGGGCTTGGGATCAAACAGCGTAAGACTCTTGACACCCGCGAGGGCAATGTTCTTTGCAATCTCCACGCCCAGGCCTCGCAAACCGACGACAAGGATGTGGGAAGCGCCCATCCTTTTCATGGCCTCGTGCCCGAGCACGTACAGCTGGCGACTGTAGAGGCTCTCGTCGATCTCGCCGTTGGTCGCCTCTTTCAGCTTGGCCAGCTCGCTTTGCGGGTGGGCTTCGTCGACCTCCATGTTGCCGTTGATGTCGGTCATGACTTTCTTGGGGTGTGCAGGGTATCCGTTGCCCACTGGCTCCTCGCCGGAATGACGGCGTTTGGTACCCAGTTTGGCTATCTTGCCAGGGTAATGGGGGAAAGGCGGTAGAGGGTCGAGGGAGGTGAGGGGTGTCGACGGCTGCTTCGCGATGATGCTGCAACCACGCTCCTTCACACCGGCTAGCAGTGATGAGTGAGGTGTGATGGGGGATGTAAAGGAAGAACCTTGAAGGCGTGCGGCGGCGGCTATGTGAAGTCCGGTACGGTCTGCGTCAGGAAACGGGTGGGTCCAGGCCAGGCAGGGTTGATGGTTTTGGCACAGAGCGGGTCTTGCTTAATCATTACAAAGCTCGCAGGGTGAGGTGAAAGTGTGAGAGGGTCAGAGTGTGTGCAGTTGGTGAGTTTGTTTCCCGTGCCCTTGCTCTTGGGTTCTTGCAGTTTCCATCATTACCTAAAGCTGAGGCATCAACGAGTTCCGTGCGCTTCCACCAATCGAGGCTCACCAGTGACTGCAGGCAGATGTTGGTGCCTCAGGCATCTTTGATGGAAGACATCGATCTGAACAAGGGGCAATCAATGAGTTCTCAAGTTTCCACACGTGCTATTCGAATAGTCTATTCCCGTCAAGTTGAAGAGGAACTGATGGCAAGGCAGAAATGCCCCGACCATTCCCTCGCCATCCCAGTGCAGTCTTTGAGGCCAGATGTCAGCGCCTCCATCAGCTGAAAGCAGCATGATCCAGCCCATCCGCCAGTCTCGATGCAACACCTTGCCAGTCTGTTCCCTCAACCCCATCCTTTCCCTTGCGCCGATGCTGATAGTAACAATAGGGTATCTTCCTCGTATCCATGGTAATGTCCCGCTTGAACGCTCCAGTCAAAGTCCCGTCCGCATGCAATCGCTCAGAATACAAACAACTCCTCTTCATCGATAGGCGTCTGCGGGGCCGCCCAATCCCAACCATCTCGAACCATGTCCTCAAGGACCCCGTCAAACCCACTATCCCCCACCCTGATGACGTCGTCGTCCGGGTTAGCAATCTTGTCGAGAGCGTGCTGGCTCAAAAATTTGTCGAACTCGCTCTGCGACTGATCCCACGGCTGCTGAACGACCTGCGAGAGAGGGACGATAGCGGCGGCGTAAGCTTGCAGAGCGGCAGCGGCTTGCTGCTGCTGAATGATGTCCAGCGCCACCGCAGCTTCCCGGGCCTTGCGCGCCTTTTCGTCCCGCTTGGCTTGCTTCTTCGCTTCCTTCGCTGCGAGGTGAGCTTCCACATCTCCGTGCACGCGCTGCGCTTGAGCCAGAACGTCTTTGCGGAGGAACATGGTGGTCGGCACGTTGTGGGCCATGTACGTCCCATAGCGGAGCTTGGAGAGGCTGCCGAACTTCTTGTACAGCTTGGCCATCGCAGGTGACGTGGTGAGCAGCTTGGCCAGTGAGGGTCCGGAGTGGTGAGCGAGAGGAGGATGAAGATGGTCGTCGCGTAGATCGTACTCCTTCTTCGCTTGGGTCTTGGTGATCTTGTCCGGCCAGTGCTCCTTGTCGCAGTCGGTGCAGCAATGGAGGCCGTTCATGAGGATGGCGGAGCGGGCACTCTTCTTGCCGCAGAAGACGCAGTGCTTCTCGCACCAGGTGAGCAGACCGCCACGGCCGCGGATGAAGTTGCGCTCGGCTTGGTTCTTGCTGTTCTTGAGCGGCTTGCAGTTGGTGATGGTGCTGTGGTTCGTGAGGAAGAGGAGACACCATTGGTTCACTTCGCCGCGGAAGGTCTTGCAGGTTGCCGCCAGCGAGTCGAATGGATGGGATGCTGGAGTCTTCTTGGACGTTGCAAGATTCCCGATGCATTCGAATGCTTTGTTGGGCTCATGAGTTGCGAGCAAATTGCCGATAATAAGATGTTGGACTTCAGTCGGAATGGCTGTCAAGTGATCCTTGGGCTCGGCGGTGACGGTGACGGTGGACTTTTTGATGTTCGCCATTGATGCAGACGATGTGTAGAGGTGTTTTGAGTGGATTGATGTTCAAGGAGAGTTGCAGAAGAGAAGGATGATTGAGAGTTGTAGTATGAACGGAATGAATGAGTGAGCTGGGATGAGTTGAAAGTGAGAGACGAGAGGCTGTGCCAGCGTGGACCCACTCCGAAGGCGGGATTGCGGAAGTAATGGGACAGACAGAAGTCGAGTGGCAGGCCTGCCTGAGGTATCAAGTCCGGTTGTACCACACACGGGGGGTTCATGTCCATGGTGCAGGCTCCTACGACACTCCATGAGCTGAAAAGTGTAGGAGTAGGAAGGAGGCCTGACAGAGGATTCATCCAAGAGCTCTAGAGGCGAGGCCGGCGGAGAGGAAGATGTGGCCTCACGCTAACCCAATGAGGAAGCTATCGAGATCGGCTATCTCGACCTCGCTCCTCGACCTCACGCGACTACGTGAACTGTACGATAGCAAGTTGAACAACACTTCCAAAGAAAACGGAGACAGCCCCGACTCCCATCCAGCTCTCAGATCACACAATGCTGCACCTTCCGGCCTCCGTGCTCTCCCTGGAGTCAAACAACTCCCAACCCTTGACCCCCGCACCAAACAACTCATGGAAACCACTCCCCCCAGCAGCCGACCAACCCCAATGTCTCCTCCTCCAACTCCCCTCCGAGCTCCGCAATCGTATCTGGGATCTCGTCCTCCTCACCCCAACCCCCATAATCAAGGTCTCGCCAACCTACACCACCCCCTCCCTGCTCAACACTTCCCGCCAACTCCGCACCGAAGCAGGCGACCTCTACCACGGCAGCGCAACGTTCGTCCTCCGCGCCGAACGCGGCGGAACTAGCGCTTCACAGCAGCAATCCCACTTTGTCCACCGCAATCCCTCCGGCTTATGCGTACTGTGGCTCGCGACGCGCGCTTTTGGCGGTAGTGAGCGGGTTCGCAGCGTGTGTTTGGATTTGTACTCGCCTGTGCGCAGCTCGCAGCAGGGATGGATGGAGGTGTGGAAGCCGATTGCCGTGCAGATTGTGCGGGATCGCATTGTTGCGCTCAAGTTGGGCGATGGGATTGTTGTTGGCTTGTGGTCTGCGGCCGGGGTTTAGTGTGGTGAAGGTTGATTTGGATTCTTGTTTGGGCATGCGAGGCGCGGATTGATCTCGTCTTTCTCTCATTTTAGACTTGAGCAACATGAATGCATCTAGACATATGCCTTTTCATCCCCTCCCGCTGCACCCATCCCCAGATCCTCCGGGGCCCGTAATAGCACATGACGATCTCCCAGCTCAAAGCAATGACATACATCACCCGGCAAAACCTCGTCACAACATGTACTGTCTATGTATTGAATCATCTACGCGTAGCCATTAACCAATGACAGCAGCATCAATCGATCTGTTGGTCAGAGGCCAAAAAATGCAAACCTGTTGGGGTCCTACGAGTCTCGCCTTGCTTTCCTCCCGTGAAAAGGAGTTTGTTTTTTTGCCCTTTTTGGACAGGCCCGAGTTCGAATGAATCGCTGCTTTCCTTTTTGTCTGAACAGGCAGCTTGATATACTAATGCATGCGCATAGGTATGCTCCACGTCTTATCTTTAGTATACCTAGCATATAGCAAAACACCACCTCCCGTCCATCAATCCAGCAGCTCGGCAAAACCTCGTGACCACTCTCAATGTCTATATATTGATTCCTCCACGCTTGCCCCCTAACCAATGACGCAGCATCAATTTGATCTGCAGTCGAAAATTGGGGGTTTCAAAAAGTCACAACCTGTTGGGGTCCTACGAGTCTCGCCTTGCTTTCTCTTCTTCCTGCAAAAGGGCTGAAAAGGAGTTTCGTTTTTTGACCTTTTCTTCGGAGAGAGCCCGGGTTCGAGTGCGGGTGGTGGTTGCTACTTTTTACCTCGTTGGGGATCTTTTTGTATTTGAAGAGAAGGAAAGGAGGGCGTTGAAGAATTCTAGGACAGTGTTGAATGGGTATGGACGGAGTGCGAAGACATTGGCCTAATGTGATAATCCTTTCAAACGGGAACATTGTGTGCATTTTGAGATCTGCCCCAGGCCAGTGCTCATGTCCCTTTCCTTCCCACGCACACTACCACTTTCCAGACTTCCCCGCCCCACCACGTCCCTCGCTGAAATCATGCCCTTCTCTCTCCTGCTCCACCCGCTTGTCGAACTCCTTCTGCGCTTCGGAGCGCGCAAGCTGGCTCTCCTCCTCACTGCGCGAGAAGCTGAAACTGTCGCTCCCGGACGGCTGGCTGTTTTGAGTTGGCGTACGAGAAGGCTGGCTCCGCGCTGACGGGGAGGATGGCGAGTTTGGCGGCGAAGTGTTGCCGGACATCGCGTTTTGTCGTAATCGTTCCCAGACGCTGCCTCCTGTGTTGCTGGCGTTTGAGCCTTGCCTTGGTTGGGCGGAGGCGTTGGCATTCTGCGGTCGGGATTGAGGTGATGATGGGGAGGAAGAAGACGCGCTCATGTCGTACGTCGAAGTGGCGTTCTCGGCCCTTTGCTGTTGCGCATTCGCTCGGCCATCACTCATCAACCCCGTATCATTCCCAGCGTCCATGAAATCGTCCTCGAACCCTCCACTCGTTGGCGACATGTCGTCGCCACCCTGCTTCGGTGACCGTCTCTTCTGCTGCCAGCTCTCATCCTGTTGCGGCTGCTGCTGCTGCGCTCGCTGCTGCTGTTGCGACACAGCCTTCCTCTGCCTCGCCATCTCAAACGTCTCGCCCTCCATTCTGCCTTCGGGCTGGCTCCGCCGCTCCACCGTCTTCCCCGACGCCTTCGCCTTCAAGGCCTCCATGAAGTCCTTGAGCCGCGGATCCATCGCGCGGTTCGCCATCGAACTCGAAATCGCATACGAAGTGGTGAACATGGAGCCGAAGATGATTCCCACAAAGCCATACGCATTATACCGCGCAATCGTCCACGTCGTCCTCGCTAATTGCCCCTTCAACGGTCCAAGACTGTCGGGTGAAAAGCGACCAGTAGCCATCGGCGACCAGCCTGGAAACCTGAAATTCGTCTGCCTGTACGCCCATAACGTGGCCACCGCTGCGCCGAGCGGCGATCCATAACTAGCTATTCGCACACTCCTCGCATGGTGGTATGCAAGCGCGTCCGCCTCTTCTTGTCGCAGCGGCCGCTGCACAGCTCTGCCCACGTACTGGCATACCTCTTTGATATCGCGCTCGATTTCTTGGGCGCGCCGTTGTTTGAAGAAGACGGCGATGGGTTGGGGGAGGTTAGCGGCATTGACGTAGAGGGGAGGGTTGTTGCCTGGTTGGTCGATGCGGATGTAAGATGAGGGGCGGCCGGAGAGTTCTGGTGTGGTGTTTGTTGCGTATGGGTCGAGATCGGAGGTGGGTGCGTTTTCGGAGTAGGTGGCGGGCTCCTGGGGGGAGGTGGCTTCTTCGAGGACCATACTGCTGGTTGGATGTCGTAAGATCAGAATGATGGACGTGTTCAAGCCATTGGTGCACGTGAGGGTATTCCAGTGTCGTGTGGAAAGAGGCGTGGAGTGCTCAAGTCTCAAGTGAAGCTTGAAGCTTTGATGACTTCATCACCAAAACACCAGTCGTGGTCCCGCCCGAGCTTTCTCGACCTCACCCAACATTCTTAACCCTTCGGCATGCTCAATGCGCTGGGGATACCAAACCTTGAGAGAAATGCGCCCTGCGATATGCTCGCGTTCAGGGCAAAATGCCACTCACCGACGAAGACGCAGCCGTGCAGGCGATCGCAGCCCTCGATCCCTTGTCGAATGAGCAGGAGGAAGCCAAGTTGAAGATCGACAGCATCCTGACATCTGAGACTCCTTTCGTCGACATCCACGAGCTCTTCTCGCTCCACGACATTATCTACTTTCGCAGCCTGTTAGGGCCAAGAGTCGAAGTATCCTGGTCCCCTCGCCTGACCTTATGCGCCGGCATCTGCGAGCTCATCCGCGATCCGCAGAACGGCAACAAGTTCACGCGGATCCGTCTGAAGCTCTCTGAACCTTTGCTCAAATATCGGCCGAGGAGTGATGTGATCAATACGCTGCTCCACGAAGCAATTCACGCCTACTTCTTCATCACGACTTCTTGGCGCCACAGCCGTGGAGAGGATGGTACAGGTCACGGCGCTGGGTTCTTACTCTTCGCGGACGCCATCAATAATCACCGTGGATATGATATCAGCGTCTATCATACGTTCCATGATGAGGTCGACTCGTATCGCACGCATGTCTGGCAATGCGATGGGCCTTGTAAGCTACAAGCTCCCTTCTTTGGAGTGGTTAAGCGAGCTATGAATCGCGCGCCGGGGAAGGGTGATGTGTGGTGGAAGAAGCATGAAGAGGAATGCGGAGGGACGTTTGTCAAAGTTGCGGAACCGGAGTTGAGCAAGAAGCAGGTCGAGAAGTTGAGTGGGTTGGAAAGGGCGGGGAGGCAGAAGAGTAAGATTGATGTGTGGGTGAAGAAGTCGGATGTGGGGGTGGAGGGCAACGAAAAGGCTACGGATGGTCTCGACTGCAAGCGAAGTCGGGATGCAGTAGATGATACGGAAGAAATGACGAAGAAAGCAAAGCAGACCCTGCTCTGCCCGATATGCAGCCAAGACATCGCCGGCGACGAGATCAACGAGCATCTGGATGTGAAGCATCCTCCTTAAGACGCACGTGCCGGGTGTTACTAGGCAGGAGCGACGGAGATGTCTGGACTGTGACTTCCCTACCATTCACACGCGCTTCTCAACACTTCACCCAACCACCCCTACATCCACTTAATGAGCCTTGCGAGACAACGCTCTCTTGCAAGTCTGTTTTCTTCCACCAAGATGGCACTCTATCAGATGGAAAGGACTGCAAAGTGAGCCTCCCAACCCGTCATACTTTATGCTCGCGCTAATCGTCGGTGGCAGCCTATTTCGATACGACCTGACCATCAAGCTCTACATCGGAGCAGATACCGAAAGCCCCCCCTACGTGGTCCGCAAAAGCGAGCTGGTCGATGCTTCTTCCTACTTCCGCACTGCCTTGGCCCCAATCCACTATGACTCTGAAGACCCGCCAGTAATCTTCACCTCCCCTGAAGGAGATAAGCTCGGATGGCAGATCTTCTTCGCCTGGCTCAGCAGTCATCGCATCCCTTTCATCGATTCAACCAGCGACGAAGCCAAGAAGTACTATCGTGCACTCTTACATGCCTACCAGGTTAGCAAGGATCTCGAAGCCGACGGCTTCCGCGACGAGATCATCCGCGCCTTCTCCGTGAGCTCGGTGGAATGCGACGTCCCCACTGTGGTTGCAGAGGAGATCTTGAAGGTCACTCCACCTGGCGACACTCTGCGTCAGCTAGTGGTCCATCGCCTCGCTGTCGCCTGTGTGAGGGACGGTGGCTGGAAATGTTACGCATGGATGGGAGCGTATGAAGATGCGTTTGTGCAGTTGTTGGAGGAAACCCGGGCACTTTCAAGCAACTACGATGACGCGCCGCCTCCAAACTGTACTCTGCATGACCTGGACCCGACCAACCGCGACGATACGCCTTTTTCGAGCTGGGCTCTGGAAGACCTGGACCTGACCAAGCGCGATGCCACGCCGGCTTCGGTGTGTTCTCTGGATGACCTAGACCCTGCGTTCTTGCTCGATCTTCAGTGAACCTGCGAATTCGACCAGGAGCGAGCAAGTTAGACAAGAGTCTCACGAAGGCATTTAGAGGGGACAACTCAGATCATCAGCGATACATTTCTATTTGAAGGCAGTGAAGTACCGCCACAACTCGCGTGGAAAAGGGGGTATCTCGCGTTCGTAGCACACCAAAGTCTCAATCATCACAGCCCATCCATTTGCACTCTCATCTCCTCATCAATGAAGCCATGCTCGCTTTCACCCCCCTTCATATGACGTCTCATCCCAGTACACGCGTGAAGCCACCCAAGCTAAGCATCAGGATCATCCACCACCTCATCCTCTCTCGCCCCAGACATGATCCCCAACCCCGTCTCCTCCGCAATCCGCACCTGCACATTGCGCAAATGACACACAACAATCGCCAGCGCCAGTGCATTCCACACATCGTAGTCCTTATCCTTCATCTCAAACATGGCCACAATCTTGATGTCCGGCTCCGCATCCTCCGGGTTATACGCCGTGAGCGCGATGAGCGTGTGGCTTGCAATGAGGGCGTAGATCGTTGGCACGGGGTAAGCGAGCTGCGTCGATGTGCGGGAGCCCGGGGAGCTTTCGATGGATTGCAAGACGCGGAAGGCGTTGCGGTAGCGGCGGGCGAGTTTTTCGCATTTGCGTTTGGCGTTTTGTTTGATTTCGTTGGCGTCGATGTTTACGGACTTCGTTTCGAGTGCGAGGAGGGGGATGGCGGATTTGTGATCCAGGCCGGAGTCTGTGTTTGCCCAGCGGATGTACTCCTTTAGCGTACGGCGCACTTGCTGCTCTGGCGTCACTTGGCCTTGTAGCATTACTCGATCGCGCATTCGGCCGCCTAGTTCGAAGAGCTTCTCAATCGCTATGATGGCGCGACGATGCTTCTGGCGAACACTGCCAATGATAGCATCTGTGTCGTCGCCGTCGGTGGCGATGAACAGGCTGTCGGGCATGTGGAAGCGGTACTCGAATTTCCAGTAGTTGGGCATGAGCGGTTCGTGCCCGCGCATAGCGATCTTTTGCACGAGCGTGATGTGGTCGTCGTCCCAGCCTTGTGCGCGCATCTCCTCGGAGCTGACGCCGCGTTGGAAGTGCTCGGTGGAGGGGGAGGTGGGCATGCGGCGTTTCGGGGCTTGCTCTTCGTAAGCGGATTCGGAGACTACGAGAGAGGTATCGATTTCGGAGGTGTCGTTGTCGTCTACGAAGTCTCTCGGGGAGCAAGAGGCTGATCTGCTTGCTACGCGGATGTTGGAGCTGGTCGCGGAGGCTGCATCGTCGCTGTCTTCTTCTCCCTCTTTTTCCTCTTCTTCGTCTGCGTATTGGTCGCCTTGAGCATCTTCCTCTTCTTCCTGCTCACGGTCGTTCATCTCGATATCGCTGTCGTAGCGGTTCGCTGGAGTGTAGTCCATGTCCTCCATTTTGATAATCCTTCGACGGCGAGCGCCAGCAACCGAGCGCTTGGGCGGCGTACCTCCTCTCTTCCTCTTTCTGCTTGCCGTCACGGAGCTCTTTTCAGTACTCGCAGAACCAAGTCGCCAGCTGTCCACTCGCGCGATCGGGCTCATAGACCGACTGCTCTTGACCACGTCCTGAAGGGAAGAGCTCCGTAGAGGGTGGGGCCGCTCGCGTTTTAACTCGTGGAATGGTCTGAGGAGCGGTGTTCGCAGGGGCAGGCTTGGTTGGTGAGACATAAGACCAGAAGCTGTCGGACAGTCGTTTGAGGAGGGCCATGGCTCTGCGTTGTGGCCGTGTTTCGGAGGTGAAGGTAGGTCGAAGAGGCTTAGACGGCGCTTAAAGTCGGTGATGAGAAGAAGGACAGCATGAGGTGTTCTCGGCGTTGCTGAACATGCGTCGAGACATGCGCCAGCGTCTGCATGAATGCGGACAATCGGCCACCGGATTCATTGTCAAAGTCACCTCACATACCTCACTTGGCCGAAGAACAAAGCGGCGGTGTCTTTGATCGACGGAACGTTTCTGACACTCCCGAGAACCTACACCACCTCCCTCCGCCACGTCTTATCTGATTGGTACATTCACTTCCACCAGTCACGGAAGCTAACGGGGGTCACGCTGCAATCAAAGACCCGAGGGTTTGGAACCAACCACGTCCAAACTCGGTGTGGACTTGCGCGCGCAGCTCTCATACCAGTCTGCGAAGTTATGAAGCCAGCTTTCTTTCAACTCAAAACACGCTAGTGACACGCACTAACCGTATGCGGAAGACAGCCGGCATGCCCCGCGCTGATCTTCAATGTCCCGCGCAACAATTCTGTTGTCTTCCATCATCACCAAAACACATCCCATGCTTTCATCACTCTGCAACATCTCCCACCGCAGCACAAGTGATCAAGCATACCACAACACACACCCTCACCCACTCACGTCCGCGCGCCATGGATGGTGATTCCATGGACGTGGACGGCCCGTCGTACGTCGTCTTGAACGAGGACCACCCCATGCCCCAGGCTGCCCCCATCTCCCTGCTCAAGAAACGCGCCTACGACGAGTTTGCCCAAGGGCATCGTGAACGCGCCCCCGTCTACTTCCCAATGTGAGTGCTCGCGTGCCCATCGGCCTGCTATGCCCATTACTGACAACACCTCGCAGCCGCTCCAACAAAGCCAAATATCGCAGCAACACCGGCACCACCTTTATCCCCGGCCTCAGTCCAGCCCCTCCCCGAAGCAAGCTTAAGTTCCGCACAAGTCAATACGAGAGAGGCTCCATTCCACCCCTCTTCAGAGGCTGCCCTCAGCCCTCGCCCTTCCACAGCCCACCCCGCATCCTCCGTCAGTCGCCCAAGCAACTCCGTGAGCTTGCAGAGAACGTTGCACGCATCAATCATCCCGTTCGCCGCATTGGTGGCATGGTCACAACCATCTGCACCATTGGCATCTCCATCATCGCCTCTGCCTGGAATTACTTCACCGGCGCAGAGCCCACAAACATCATCGCCGTCGAGACAGACTCGACCGGCAGCAAGAGAAGGGCCATTGAAGTCGTGCGCCCCACTGCTCAAGACATCACACCCAAGGTCCCCGGAAGCTACATCCAATCACCCCAAGACTCGTACCCCAAACACGCGGGACAGTCTCCCTCAGCACTCAGCTTCCGTCGCGTCTCGGACCTCTCTCTTGGTGAGAAAGAAGACTCGCCGATGGAGGATCAACCCAGCTTGATACCCAAGACCAAGAACTCGGCAACTCATCAAGCCCCCACGACGCAGAAATACAAGCAGCTGAACGAGCCCATGTTCTCCCCAAGCGCGCAGCCAAAACAAACTGGCGCCGCTTCCCAATCGGCTATGCAGTCCATCCCGCAACCCGCTTCGCAACCCAGCGTGCAGCCAAAACATACTGGCGCCGCTTCTCAACCGGCTATGCAATCCGTTTCGCAACCCGCTTCGCAACCCGCTTCACAGCCCGCTTCGCAACCCAGCGCGCAGCCAAAACATACTGGCGCCGCTTCGCAAGCCGCTACGCAGCCCGCTACGAAATCTGCATCTTACTTCCCTCTTCGCTGGCCTCTTCTGTCATGGCAATCCCGCAAGCCCGCCGCTTCGTCATCCGAGAGCGCGCAGCCACTGCAAAGTGGCGCCGCCCCGGAGACTGAGACGACGTCGCCAAAGGATGTGCAGCCACTGCAGAGTGCCGCCGCTTCGAAGACCGAGTTGACACCGCAAAAGGGCGTGCAGCCACTGCAAAGTGGCGCCGCTCCTAGCTTGCGCAAACAACTCAGCCCTTACCTACGCGATTCGGCCAAAGAGGCAGCCTTCAAGGACTACGACTGGGAGCCCGGCTGCGGCTGGCATCCTAACGTCCTGAGGAAACGTGATTTCCAGCCTTGGTACCTTAACTTCACCGGCGATATCCCCAATGGCAAGACGGTAGCGGAGCAAGAAGCCGAACGCGAAGCTGCGGCCGAAGCTGCGCGCGAGAGTGCATGGCATAAGGAGATGTACGAGGAGTCGGAAAGATGGGAAGCGGAGGAATGGCAATGCAGGCAGGATGAACGCGCAGAGAAGCGCGCCAAAGCAGCTGCAGAACATGCCTGGTTTCATGAGCAACGAGAGGCGCAAGACGCTGCTCGTGCCGCCGCACTGGAGAAGAAGCGAAAGGACAAGGAAGATTACATCAACGCGCGAGCGGCCCTCCCAATGGACCAGCGTCCCAACGCAAACCTTCCGAAGCCAATGCGCATGCTCATCACACCCTGGGAGGAAGACTTCGAATTCCTGTCGACGCCCCCTCCGTTCAAACCAGAGGCATGGGAGGAGGCCAAGAGGCTCGCCATGCGCTGGGGCAACCGGACGCACTGGGAGAATCAGGCGGCGCGCGACGCCGAAACCGATGCTCAGCGAGCTGCGCGAAAGGCAGAGGGCAGGACTAAGTATCATGACCTCCCGCCCGAGGAGCTCGCGGACATTTGGTTGGCGGCGCATCACAACGAGACGTGGATTTACTACATGGAGAAGGATACGAGGGCGCGGGAAAGGGCCAAGTTGATGCAGGCGAAGCTGCAGAAGGAAGCGCTCGCGAATGCGCAGAAGGAACAGGCCGATGTCATTGCCAGATTGAAGGCTGAGAAAACTCAACTGGCGGCCGAGCAGGCCAAGGAGGAGGAGGAGAGACTGCGCATCGAGGCCGAAGAGAATGCCGCGAAGCAGCTCAAGCGCGAGCAGAAGAAGGCTGAGAAGGCGGAGAAGGCCAGACTTGAGCAGGTCAGACTTGAGCAGGTCAGACTCGAGCAGGAGGCGGAACAAGCCAGACTCGAGCAGGAGGCCGAGAAGGCCAGGGTTCAAGCCGAACGCGAAGCCGAGCAAGCAAAGCTCAAGGCCGCGGAAGAGGCAAAGGAGGAAGCTCGTCTTGCCAAGGAGCTCGAGGACAAAGCCAAAGTGGCCGAAGCTAAGCCCATCGACCCCGAATGGCTCAGGAAGCAACAGCTGGTCCGCCCCTTGGACCCTGAATGGGCCGCGAAGATCGACCAGGCCATGGCCGCCAAATCCAAAGATACCGTCGTCGCCACCACCGTGGACGGCACGGAAATCTCTCGCCACGACCTGGAATCCCTCATCCGCAAGCCTGGTGTCAAGAGCCAGCCCTGGCTGAACGACGAGATCGTCAACGGGATCATGGCCGCCATCGTCGGCCGCAAGCTCGAGCAAACGGGCTGGGCCAAAGGCTCGAAGACCGCTCCCGCCTACGCCTACCTGCCAAGCATGTGGTACAGTAACTACCAAAAGCCTGGCGGCGTCAACAACATCGCCAGCTGGACTCGCCGCAGAGGCATCAAGGGCGCCAAGCTCTTGGAAGCCGAGAAGGTCTTCTTCCCTGTCAATACCGGAGTGCACTGGATGCTGCTCATCATCTCCCCCCAAGCCAGGACCATCGAGTTCCTGGACAGCTTCAACTTCGGCCTCCACTCCAAGGCCTGGATGTTCCAGATTGCCCGGGAGTGGTTGGCAATGGAGTTGGAGGGCAAGTACGTCGCGGAGGAGTGGACGGAGCTGGCGAGCGAGTCCTGTCCCCAGAGCAACTCGGACGACTGTGGCGCCTTCACCTGCTTCAACGCCCTCGCCGCGGGCAAGGGCCTGGGCTTTGAAGCAGTGGGAGGCGGCCACATGGCCGACGCGAGGAAGATGCTCGCCGCCGTTCTGGTGAACGGCGGGTTCAAGGGGGACTTTGAATTGTGAGCGTTTGGGCATAGCGGCCGGTGTTTTTTCTGTTTGGGTTTTGCTTTTTGGGGGATTTGTATGGCAGGGCGGCGTCCATTTGTTTTTGTTTTGAGATACCCCCTCGGCGCCGCGCTCGTTGCGCGAGAGTGCGTTGTTTTTGCTTTTGTTTCTTTTTGCTCTTGTGTAGTCTGAAAATGAAACCGAAAATCTTGAAAAAAAACTCCTTGTTCCGGCTACTTTCTGTTTCTGCCCATATGCCTATCTCTCATGACTCCCACTGGCGGAGACCGTTTGCTGTGCGTATGTGAATGGTTTAGCGGCTGGATTCAATACAGTGAGATGAGGATTCTCGACATCTATCTTGATATGGTGTACCTATCACCAATTCCTTCTGTATATGCCCATATGCCTCTTTCTTCCTCTCTGGAGAGCCTTTGAGGAGTGTACAGCAGAGGCCAGGAGATTTTATCCGAGCCACTGAGATAGACCTTGCCAGCACCGCTTCGACAATGTTTCACTGTCCAGCATTCGTGTTGTAGCTGGCCATATGCCCCTCTCTCCCTCTTTCAAGAGCTTTTGATGAGTGTACAACAGAGGCCAACAGCTACTATTGAGAGCAATGAGATGGCCCTTGCAAGCTCTGCTTCGAGATTATCTCACCCGTTAGCAATGTCGTTGTAGCTGGCCATATGCCTCTCTCTCATGCTTCCCAACGTCAGAGAGCCCTCGCTGAGCGTATGGAGTAGATTGAAAGTCTTGATTGAAACTAATGAGATCGTACCCTAGGCTGAGCGTTGAAGATATCTCATTTGTCCAATAATTTTCTTGGTTCTTGCCCTGCGTGCTCGCGTTCCCCACCTGCCTGATCTTCTCTTCATCAGCAGCGTTGGGGCCGAGTCCGTGTGATGAACGTGATTGATCTTGGACCATCAATTGAATGCAGCATATCCCTCAGATTCTGTTGAAGCGACGGAAAATGCAACATTGGACTGCCCTCGCCAAGCGTGAGGTCGAATGAAGACACGTGCTAGGCCATGCACCAAACCAAGATCGGAAATCCGGTTCGCCCAAAGGCGCTAATCGGTTTTCGCCGCAAGGCTACGCTATCAGCCAGAAATTCGGCTTACCTATGGAAGGCTTTTGCTCGTTTGGCTTCCTCGTCGGAGCGAATCTTGCCACGAGCGAAAACGAGCCTGAGAAAGATTCGCTGGTCCGCAATATGAGATGCTGCTGTTGCGGCGTTCGGTTTCTGTTTTCACGTTGTCGAACACAAGCATTCAAATACAATACTATATCACTTCGAGACACTTCACGCAGCACTATCAAACACAAGCCTACTCTTCTGCACCCTTCTCAAATACAAGACTTCACCGCTTCTCCAACGCCATGGCAGCAGCTGCAATCACCACTCTGCAAACACTCACGGGGCCTGTGTCATTCCCCACCTTCGCATCACCGCCCAACGCCGCATTCCCGCAATCATCGTTCCCGAAGCGCTGCAGCTGAAGAGCTCAAAGCGCACCCGTCATACGCTCTGTTCGACATCGACGATACCCATCTGAGCTTCGAGAAGAAACGGAACTTCTGGACGACGAGGGCAAGACTCGTGACCGCAGCTGGCCCAACAGACATGGAGCCCATCATTAAGTTCGCGAAGTTGCCCGAGTTTGCCTGGTTCACGCACGAAGGCTATAAAGAGTATTGCTGGGACTTGCTTTCTGGGAGTCAACAGAGATTGAGGCTCAGGCGTGCGGCTGCTGCACCAATTGCCACTTCTCCCGGGCACATTCAACTATGCGAGTGTGGTCAATCCTTCTTCTGCGCCACCTTGGACGAAGTGCGCTCTGAGACGTGTTGGAAGTTCTTTGTCATGCAGACAAAAAGAGAGCTATATGCTGGCTTCGCCTCAAGAGGCACGAAGCGGCGAGCAGACGCTGCGGAGGACGACAACGATGCGCCTCCTGCGAAGAGGAGGCGGACATCGACCAAATAGGCATCGTCAGCGCCAATTGATGGTACTCCAACATTTTCACCTTTCGTGGTCCAGAACCAGGACTTCTGTCGCTCGCATCCCCTACCTTCCAATTCGGGCCTATGCGGCAGCTTCCGCAAAGTGAATACAATGCACAGCCTTGCCAAAAATGACGGACAACAATGGGAACAAAGGGCCGTTTGTAGCTGCAGTCTTGACATTCAAACCTCGACAGCCTTATCAAAGGTGACAGGAAACAATGGGAACAAAGCGCCGTTTGTACCTGCTGCCTGCCAATTCAAGCCTCGAGCCTCGAGGTGAAGCGAAACATTCACACACAAAGGAATTGTGAAGTGCGACACACTCGAGGACTTGGGCTATTTATCTGCGCTCGAGTTCCATCGAATCCGTCTCTCCTTCAAGTTCGAATCGCTCACTGACAAGTGTGAGCTGCAGCGCCTGACACTCCCAACTCGCAGATTCCCAACTCTGAACAGACGGCTGCAGTCACACCACCTCCCACCCCAACCCCAGCTCGTCATGGAGCAACACTCCTTCGACGACATGTACGGTGGCTACGCGCCCCTCGACGGTACGGACTACGAGGAGCCCCCCATCGATGCCTTTGACGAGTTTGTTAACTTTGGTGCACCAGACAAGAGCGCGTCCCGGGCCAGCAGCGAGGAGGTGTCGGACGAGGAATCCCCTTCGACTCTCTTCGCCGCCCAAGCCACGACCACGGAGAATGACGGTCAAGATGCTCACGCTTTCGTCAACCCCGCTGCCCTCGACTCTTCCTTCGAACCCAGCCTGTACTCTCATGATTTCAACCACAACGCCACTGTCCCGACCATCACGCAGGACATCAACTCTTCGGCCTTCCAGTACAACGGCAACTCCACTGACTTCACGTACGGCAACCACAACGACGCCAACAGCAATTACGTGATGCCCGCTCCATACCCGGCTCTCCCCCAGCTTCCTCTCCCTCAGTTCCAGCCCCCCAGCGCATCTGCCAACTCGACGTACGGTTCCCCGGGCTACAACATGCTTCTTCAACAGCCGTTCGATCCTGCTCAGCACCTCGCGCAGCGTCTTCAGACCTATGTCGGCGGATTCAATCAGATGAACTCGGCTCCTGTGTACAACGGTCACCAAGGCGATCTCGGTCAAGCGTACAACGGCGGTCCTGCGTACAACGGTCAGCAAATCGGCAACATCTCATCGGCAGCTGTGAATGGAATGGGAGGCGCGGCGAACAGTCAGGCTGTCTTCCCTCACCAAGCTACTCAGGCATCCATCAACAGCGCATCCGACAACACGGCAGCTCCAGCTCCTGCTCAGCACTACATCCCCGCCTTCACCGCCGATCCTACCATCAACTCCGAGCAAGCCTGTCGTGAGTACCTCGCGCACGCCGACATCAACGACCTCAAGTCCATCACCATCCCCAATGACGACTATGCAATCGTCCAGCAGTTCCGCGAGCAGGAGTTCACCGCCCGTCTGTACAACGCCCTGGCTCACGCCTACTCCCAAACGGCCCCGAGCTCCGACTCACTGCTTGTGCCCTACCTCAGCCAGCAAGAGACTGCCATGACCGACGTCGCCAAGATTCTGCAGACTCCCACGGGATCCAAGCGCGCCAAGGCTCAGTGCTACCTCCTCGTTCGTGCGGTCATCCATCTCTCCACCCACGGGTTCAACAAGAAAGCGCACGACGGAAATACAGCCGACAACACCAAGGGGCACGCCGTCATGCGTGATCACCACGTCGACACGGATCTCATCTGCTCTGCGCGCTTGGCGAAGCTGGAGGAGATCATTCAATCGAACAAGCTCATCGCCAAAGACGTGATTTCCGGCACCAACTTCTCGAGGATGTGTCAAGACCCAGCTTACTACCTCGAAGAGAAGGGGAAGCTGCTGGCATCCAACGCGGCGCGCGCGGAGAGGACTCAGAAGTTGAACTGCGGTGCCAAGAAGGGCCGCAAGACGCGTGCTTGAAAAGATGCAATTGCAGAAAGCGAGACGGACATGAAGAGGAAATGTCCGCAAGATGGCAAAGGAATTGTGAGATTGAAAGTGTGAGACTCTGACTTTGTGTGGCATTTGCCGCGTGTGGAATGTAGAGAGCGCGACATGAGACATTCATCGCATCAGCAGTCTCAACATGCTCCCCCACCACGCGCGGCAAAAATGATAGACTTCATCTCGGTTTGGATACATTGTAGAATTAGACATTGGAGACACTGTAGCACTAGAAATTCGAAAACATTGTATTATTAGACTTCTGTCTTTCTCAGCTCCTCCTCTCCTTTTCCTTCTTTGGTGAGATGTCTTCGGCCAGGCTGCGCCGACTCCACACGCTGACTGTGCACTCCGTCCAATCAAATACTTGGAATCTGGTGATGTATTCCAGCCTTGCTGATCACCTCCGTAATAATCTCTTTTGCGGCAATACTTCGAGTGAAGCTGGATCACAAGTGGTACGAGAACCGATTCTCCAGATGTATGCCCTTCCAACACGGCAAGACCAGCAGAGACCGCGCTCAGCCTCGATCCCACCCACAGCGCGTTGTTCGTCCTCGTTTGCCTTTAGACTTCTCATCTTCAGGCTAGTCTTAGTCAAAGTCGCACATATCGTTGACTTGCCCTCGTCTTTCCTCCCTCGTTTCCTCGCCCGACACGTCTCCAAGCACACGCGAGACAATACACGTCCAAGCACACGCGAGACAACTCACAATACCTGGTCTTGCAAACGTCCTTTGTATCATCTCTTGCATTCACAGCCTTGTGTCCTTGCCGAAGTGACTATAACTTCTCGTCATCCGCAGCTCAAAGGCCGTGTCATCTCATCAGAACATCGCACTCACCCTCTTCACGGCACGCCAGCATGGCATTCAACTTTGACTTTGGTAACCCCCACGGTGAATCCGACGAACAGTACCAGCAGTACTGGACTAGGCAGACACGAAAGCTGAACATCGAAGCCGCAACCACAGGAAACGACGCGCCGATTGATGCAACCGCTTACATGGCTTATCTATATGGATCAGACTTCATCGATCAAACGAACGGAGCCTTCGACTCTCCAGCCGCCAACCATCAACCATCTCCAGACAACCAGCCGCCGCGGAGCCAACACGCCGACCCTGTTCCATCCATGCTATCCCCCAACTCCATCCCCAGCTCCAGCTCCAGCGTCTTGCTTCCACAACGACGGGTCACTCCTGCAGTATCCCAGAGACAGCACCATGGCGCGTCGCAGATCCCCAACTCGCAACACCTCCATCGATCGACCTCGAACTCCGCCATGCCCACACCGATGCAAACGCCAGCTCTCGGTTTCCGGCACCTGCCCTCCACTCCTTCAGCGCAGACACTGGACGAGTTTCAGTATCAAAACAACTTGGCCTTCGACAACATCAGCAATGGCACGGCCTTCAGCAGCCCGTACTTCATTCAGCGCGACGATGGAGTCCAGTCAGTAGCCGGGGCACAGCAGTACGGCACCATGACTTCGTCGTATCCCGTCTCCGTCGCCTCGAATACCTTCCATCAGCCTGCAGCCCCTTCTCGCCTGACAACGCCTGCATGCCTCGGAAACAATCAAGCTTTCCAAGGTGGATCACAATACCAGGACAACCTCAAGCAACCCCCTTCAGCCGCGTACTCGTCCCATCAGCCCTTCACCGGTGCCAACGCAACAGACTCCCAGGAGGCGGAAGCCAAGAGTCCACTGCAAATCACCGACTCCGAACTCGAGCACGCAAGTGTCGAACACGCACGCGTGTACATCGCACACGCCGGGGACTATCAGCCCCTGGAGATCATCGACGATGACTGGCAAGCAGTGAGGCGCGTGCACTTCAAGTACCTGTGCGCGCAACTCTTCAACAGCCTCTGCCAGCCAGCTGAAACAGACCTGACCGGCTTCAAGGACGAGGAGAGGGCATATGCCGAGCGCGTGGATGCCCTCAAACCCGTGCTCAGAGAAATGGACACCCCGGAGAAGATCAGCATGGCCAAGGCACACGTCATGCTCGCTGTTGATGAAGCCATCCGCTTGCACGAGATTGGCGTGCCGCCTCGCATCCCGGGCCAAAAGGGCCCAAAGGACAGAAAGAATGTCCCGCTTGACAAGAAGGCAAAGTGCTCCGACCGCATTCTCCGCATGATCGAGTGCGTGCGCCAAAACAAGCATGTGGCGATGGATGTGCTGCGTGGCATGGCGACTGCCCTCGCCATGTACCCTGAGAAACATACCAACACGAAGGTGAAGTATCTCAGGACCAATGCGACCAAGAGTGTCCGGATGCAGGGAACGGGGAAGAGGGCCGCGCAGGGAGAGGGCGAGGCGGAGGACTTCGGTCGGACGCCGACTCCATCGGTGAATGGCAGGGGCAAGAGCGAGTCGAGACAGGCTTCCGTAAGTTGTTCATCCCGTCCTCGGAAGACTTTCTGCTTATTTATAACAGACTGTGCCGGATGACATGATGAGCGATCAACAGCTCTTCTCGCCGACGATGCTGGGGTATATGCCAGCACAAAATCCCACCGCGCTGAAGCGGGGTCGAAGTCCGGTCAACGACTTGACTCCGGAGGGGGCCATACACGGGAATGGAAAGCGTGCAAAGCAGAATGGCGGTGCATATATGAGCGGAGGCTTGTCCAGCTACGGCGCATGGTAGCAAGAGCAGCTCGCTCATTCTGTAGAAGGTATAGAGTCGAAGAGATACGAGGTCTCGAGCGCGGTGATGTATCATAGGGATCGCTCTGTAACTTGTATCAACTCTTGAAGCAGATCTGATGCTGTCCATCGTCTCCTCGAGGTAATCAGCGAGTTCCAGCACAGTAGCGATGACGGCGACGTTTCCTCGTGCAGGCGCAAAGGAGCAATTATCGGTTTTTATCAGGAATGCTGGGAAAGACGGCACCCTCTGAGTCCTCGCATTCCTCGTCGGACTTGGCCTCTTCCGCCCCCTTGTTTTCGTCGTCGTCTCCTCTCCAAATCCCTCCAAATGAAGCTGCGGCGATACGCGAGCGGCCGCTTGGCGTGCTCCGGCTCATCTGCCCATTCCTTCGCGGCAGCTTTCGCAACAAGCTGCGACTGGGGAAAAGCGAGGGGGATGTCACGCTCGAATTGCTGGTTTTGTTGCCCGGAGTCGTCGATGGTCCGAACAGGCGCTCGAGATGGTAAGCTGCGGCGGTATTGTATCGTCGAAGTGTGCTGCGCCTCGAGATGCGCCTTGCTTCGGAGGGTTGGAAGCGAGTCATAGGTCGCGGGGACGGTATAAGTGGCGCATTGGCTTCGTCGACCTGGCAAGTGCATGCACGCGCCGGCCTCGTCATGCTGTGGTCGGCCGTGTTGACTGGAGCTGTAGGAGAGAGGTCTGCTTGTGCTCTCTCCACGGACTCGCTCGGACTCGTGCCAGTCCGTGTGATGTCGGCGAGTGGATGAGAGCACGTGCTTGCTTTATAGATTCGAATGGGATCGGCCGGCGACGCAGTGGTAAATGATCTCTGCGAAGCTTCGAGTATATGATGTGCTGATGCAGTGTATATTGATGGCGCGAGGGAGCTGGCGATTGCGAATGAACTGTGGCGTGTGCTCTCCGGAGAGTCAACGAGGCTGCGACTCGGGGCATGGCTTGGCTTGGCTTTCTCTGGCTGCATCCCTGACTTGTCCTCACCACCTCCATGGCGGATCCCAAAACACAACCCCCTTGAACCCAGGCGCTCCGCACGCATAATAGTTCGTGACCTTGCGGATCGCACGTGGAGAAGCGATAGTCGGGTGGTCAGGGCCCTTCGCACAACATTAGAGCTGGTCAGCGCCTGTCGCAATTTGCGCGAGTCGACGGTCGCATTGCGATGCACATTCCCCAGCTCAAGACTGAGTTGACGGCGCTGGAAAGGACCAACACGACACCACCGAATGCTCGAAACATCCTGCTAGGGAAGTCCAGGTAGGCTCACCACGAGCTTACACAGCTGCGTGGCGCATGAGCGGAGGAGGCCACTAGACAACACCCTGAAGCAGAGGCATCGACGACAGCGAGCACACATCTGCGATTCCGCGGTGACGACAGCTCCTCCGCGCTGATTCTCGATCTCGGCCTTCTTGAGACCCATCAAGACAGCGAGGAAGTTCTTCCCAGCAACATTATACACCATGCGCGCGCCTCGGCAATGCGATGGAGGAGAGGCATGGCATCGGCCACCGAGGCCCGGCACACAAGTCCTTGTCTCGAGCAACCCGCGGATTCCGAGCATAATCCCCCTTCCCACCGAGCGCCTCCCCTGAGTCAGGGCAGGCAGAACCCACACACCGTTGTCTTGGGAGTCGGTTTCTCAACAACGCATACTGCCACGCGTGCGCACCGAGTCGCGCCCTCGACATTGTCCTTTTCCTTCTCCGCCTCTTGAACTCGGCAGCCTTGTGCCGACTTGATGACCTCGAAGCAAGTACAGAAGCTGGAGCCGGCGTTCTTGGCACAGCCATGTCGTAGTGGGACCGCCAGGCGTTGGATCGCGTTGGAACGAGGTGGATGAAGCACGTACATGTCGTCGAAGGAGTGCTTGCTGGACCATGGAAGAGCCACTGGACTGCCGGAGCTGGAATGAACTGGCAGTCCTGCACCCCACTCGAGCGCGGAGAACCACCAACAAAGGACTTGGCTCACTCATAGACACTGTTCACAGACGATGAGGGTACGGACACGGGGTTTCAGCGCGAATCGGAGGTTTGGGAAGTCTGCTGCTATGGATCCCCGAGTGTCGACTGAACAACCACGGTGCCCTCTCCTGTGAACGAACTTCCTGTTTGAGCAAGGAGCTCGTCTGGATCTCCTTCAACACGTCCGCGTGCTTCAAGATGCCGGCGACATCTTGGAGTTGTCAGGCATCTTCACAGCACCGGCCGCTGTTTTCGTCAAAGAAAGTCTGCTGGAACCTTCCTCTTCTCTTCGACATCCGGATATCCGGCGAAATCGACGGGAAAGAGTCGTATAAACATGATGAGGTGGAATATGTATACGGTCGAGGTGTTGAAGCAAGGGGGTCCTTCCTTGCGTCGGCCAAATTGTGCCCGCGCCGCCCCGCGTAGAGTGTGGACCTTCAATGATGTTTCAGGCCGCGGGCAGTGAAGAAGTCTGCAGGCTCTTCGAAAGTGCATTCGCTTTGATCGAGGCGTGTTTTCTTCTTCGCCATCACCGGACGAGTCGTGTCTTTGGAAGCTGTCTTCGGCCATGGCTTCGGGGGTCTGGAATGCGGGGGTCGCTGGTCGAAAGGCGACAATGGCTGCAAGACATGCATTGATGGTCTCTGAGATGTGAGAGCAGGATGGTACGGGTGTCTGCTTGGAAACGCTCCTCGTCAGACGATCCGCCTCCCGACATTCCTGGGGATTTGACCTTCGCCAGGCGACTCGTCCTCTCCTTCCCACTGGCTGCGAATGTGGGAGGAGCCGTCGAAGAGGCTGCTTCTGGGATCTTGGCCTCCAACGCCTGATGGAAAGGCAGATCCGCCGCGAAATGGAGTGGATGTGTGCGCGCAAGGCTGGTCTGCTGGAAGTCGGCTCGTAACAAATACCCTCTCTGGCGTCCTTGGAAGCTTGTCTCGTGGTATGCTCCGGACAATGCACAGAGAGCCCGTCCAGACCAGACATGTTGCTCCATGATCGAGGATCCTCATGCTGATTGATCTATATTTGCTCGAGAAGGCATTGTTCTGGATGATGGAGAATTAGCCTGAAGAACACTCTGATGAAGTGAAGCAAGACCGACCTTGCGCTGCTTGCCGGCGCAACGACATCTCAGCACGCCGCATTTGTCGAGAAAATGGCTAGAGATCGCGGTTGACCCCACGGCGATGAAGGATGCTGCTTGGCATGCAGCGGATTAGTCGACCTCCATTCCCGCAACCTTGGAGTGGTTGAAGGAGCTGTAGTCGGCGTCGGTGTCCATCCCGGCGGGCGCAGCGTCGACAACGGAAGGGGAGGGGCCCTTGGATGGCGTCATGCTCGCCAGACAAGACAGTGCGAGAGCGGTGTCTGAAGTCTTTATAGCATGGGAGGGAAAAGACAAAGATAGGAAAGCGGCGCTGAGCTTGATGATGATCGACTATTTGTGGAAGACCAATACCAGAAGATCAGAAGGCCGATCTCGAAGTAGAGGTGCGAGTATACAGAGATGAGTGGAGATGAAGAAGGAGGAGGAGAAGAGGAGACAGACTGGATTCCGCACCGATTTTATACCCAGAGAGGCATCGGCGAAAGCCAGACGATGAAAGCGACAATGAGCGATTGCTGCTTGCTGGTCCGTTCAAAGCATACAACGAAGCCCATCAGCTTGGGCTTACGCTCCCGGCATCGGATTGAAGGGCAATCAGCTTTCCGATTGAATGGCTTCTTTGACGAGGCCGGAAATGATGCGCACTGACAAGCGACAATCGAGCAATTCGTCCGGACAAGCGAAAGAGACGGCTTGCTCGTCTGACAAGCAATTTGGCCAGATCCTTCACTAGTTGCGCTTTGGAGTACCCGCTCGAGAGTCTTAGAGCAAACCTGGAAATGTTTGGAGATGACAACGGTGCTCCCGCCGCCCTGGTTGTGCGATCAGCCGAAACGGGCTTTGACCCCGCCCCACTCTACTCATCGGCCACCCTCTGTGTTTGCTCTGGAAAAATGCTGTGAAAGACATCTCCCCAAGCACAGGGTGTTTGTCACATGGTCCGGTTCATTGGAATGCTGACCTTTGAAGCTCGCATCGCGCCTACCTGGCCTGGGTGGGGAGCTCCACCGCGGGGAAAAATTCCGGATGGGACGAAGTGGAGCTAAAATGCATTCCGGGACTTCACCTCAATGCCATCGAATACTCTGCGGGTTGCAGGCCATTATGTACTTCTCGATACGGTGAGATGTACTCAATTGACGCTCGACTCACCGGCACGGCGTCTACTGCCCACGCTCGCGCTGAGAGGTGCCGGTTCCGGCGCTGAATGAAAGATCATTTTGCGGAAAATCGGGATGTCGAAATCCAGCTGCAAGAAGCTGTGAAACGCGGCGATGCGGGCCATCAGGATGCTCTCGGCTTGAGTAAAGACGACGATACCGTTGGTATACATTTGCTAGCATTGCCTCCGTCGGTGGGCTTCCGGTATGCTGCCCTTCCGCCACCCCCAAGTCACCTAGCCCTCCGGCCTATCTCGCCTACTCCACCCGTCCCTCCGAAGGCGCCATGAACACCCTGTAGTGCTCCATCTTGGGCTTGGGCTCCGAAAAGTGACAGCCCAGGCACGCACGCAGGGCGCGCTGCCACCACACCAGGCGGCCCGGACGGCGCGGAATCCAGCTCTCCATCACCAGCTCTCCGAGCCCCTCGCTCTCCATCCAGGCTTCCGTGATGCTGAAGTCGTCTTCCTCGTCGACGGCAATGGTTGTCCAGGCCGCGCTGGTAGTCGACCGTGCGATACCGCCGGCGTTGGTGCTGCGGAGATGAGCCGGCTCGCTGGCTCGCTGCCGTGGGATGCTAGGCGCTGGGAGATCGTCGGAGATCTCTTGCTGGCTGTTGTGGAGGTAGAGACTGGTGCTTCTACTGCTCTTGCCTTGTCCGCGGCCGGGGATCAACGCTCTCATGCAGGCCATCGTGGGCGTGCGGTCGTTCTGACCTATCGAGTGGTCAGCGAATGCCGTGCGTGGTGTCTGCGGAAGCTCGAAAGGGACCAACTCGTTTGTCTGCGTGTCTTGCGGAGTGCTTTCGGTGTGCAGTTGCTTGAGTGATGCCGTCGATGCTGTTCCTCACTCGCCGGCGCGTGGCAGATGGTGTGCTGCTTGTCTTTGAGCTTCGCGTCGCGGCGCGTCTTTGCTGCAGGCAAACAACTCCAGGGTGGATGTGGTGTGTTTGAGAGGTTTCAGCCGTTTGTGAACTCAACAGATCTGCGAGGCTGTGTGTCCTGCAGAAAGCGACGCAATGCCAAGCCTACCGCCGCCGCCACTCCCCGCCGCCCCTGAGCCACCATCCACCCCGACACGACGACAACACCATAACCACTCATTCAAATCCGCCGAAAAGTAAATACGGAAAGTCGCATGGACCCCCTCTCCAACCTCCAACCATCGCATCTCGGCTACGCGGCCTGCAAGAAAAGATATCCCCCCACGGGGCAAGCCACTCCCGCTTCCCTTTACTGAAGTTATATACTATTCGAGTCGACCCTGGACTTTGTAGATAGCTTAGATAGTCTAGATAGGTAGATTAGTGTCAAGAGGAGGAACCGCCCGCTGCCTGCCCGGCAGCAACACTAACCAAACTTTACGCAACAAGACATGTGCTAACATCTTCTGAAGTCCAGAGTTCGAAAGAACCGAACCCGAATTACTCAGTCGACAAAGACATAACTCGTCCGGGAGTTTGCTTGCCCTCGCACCGGCGGGGGATTCGTTTTGTTCTTTCGACCTCCTTTTTTTAGTTCTCCTTTTTGGACTGCATGGTAGCGGACGAGGTTTGCATACCCCTGAAGGCCAGTGGAGTTTGTTTTGCACTCCAGATGGCCCAGCAATTTTTTTGTTACGACTATTCTGCCGTGCAGCATTTATGCAGCGCGTGGCAGAAGTACAAACACCTCCGCCGCCGTGTAGATGGCGAAATCAACGCGTTCAATCCCTCCAAGCCTCCCCTTTTCATCACGCTTGAGCTTTCCGCACCATTCAACCCATTCCTCCAAGCATCTGAGCGTCTATGAACATCACGCACGCGAAACGAAGGCACAGCTACAAGTTCTCACGCGCTGCAGAGCTCAGGGGCCGGCGCTGCAGCAGACTGCGCCCGCGTTCGAGGGCGTCACCACGGCAAACAGTCCTTTTCGCAGGACTGCGCGAACCAAACACACCTTACACACCTCCTTCTCACCTTTCGCAAACACTCCAACCCCTGAGTCCACCCCTCACAGAAATTGCGCGCGTTGCAGGGGTACAGGACTAGCACACGCGTTTTTTGACGTAGTGAGGGCAGCATTGGCACCACCCGCTTCACCCAAGGAAAGAGCGCAAGGATAGCACCGCGACGGGCATTCTCGCCATCATACACCTCCCTACATCAACACCCGCCAATATCACCACATATATCACCACATCTTTCTTCAAGAGCAGCTGGTGCGAAAAATTGCATTCCGCCAGGCTTCGTGGCACCATCATTTCAACTGCCTCAGCCCCAGGGTAAATCATCACCCGGCATCATCAAGGAGAAGAGCTTGCGGAAGAGTAACACGCCGATGCTCATTACGATCACACACATTTCTCCCCCGAGGACACCCATCCTGGGAGGAGTATCACTCTAGCGGCAGACATCACAACGTACACATTTCCCCTTCCAACGACCACACCTTAGCACGAAGACAGTATCGGCCAATCCGCCTCGTAACTGACAAGAACGCGTAGAGAAGCTGTCCACCTAAGGTCTTGATGAGCGCAGCATGCAACACAACTAGAGTACCCGCGAACACCATCATCAGTTCACGCGGGCGGAGTCGGAGAAGGAGAGCGCAAGACAGTGTCACCTACCCCTGAGCCAACAACTTGCTGCGCAATGAACATTGCTGCTTGTGTTTCCTGCGCGTCGCCTTCACCCACGTACACCTCACGAGATTGACCAGTCGGAGAAGGGGGGAGAGCGCTCAACGCGTTCACACCCTAGCGCCATGACACTCTCGGTGCCGTCACACCCACAGCGCCCGCAGATGATGCGAGCTCCGTTACTTTGCTTTTCACGCTTCAAGATGGTGATGCTTTGGTGGAGGACGTAGGGCGATGCATGAGCAGGAGAAAGGATAAGCAGGACGAAGGGGAAGAAAAGCGGAGGCAGGAAGGAAGATGAAAGAGAAACGCACAAGCGTGCAATGTGCATTGCTCAATCTGTACGGTGAGGAGGACGTGAGACAATGCCAACCACAACGCCGATCTGCACATACTCGTACTTCACATCTTCGTTCCCCGAACCCATCTGCTATTCTCATTGCTGAAGACCGCTCAACGCTGCATCTGCTACGCGTGACATACGTTGAAATAGATAGCGCTGAAGAGTGCGGAGAACGCGAAGCTGATGCACAACTGGCTGGCAGGGGACGAACGGGTGAAGAAGGAGCAGGTTGGAGTGAGCATTCCAAGTTTCTGCTCAGAGGTTGCAAGAGTCGATGAGGTACATATTAGGTGATGACGTATGGACACAACAACTCACATCCACCTCACCATTCCCCTCCTCAGCATAGATAGCCAGATCCCCATCCTCATCTGACCATGGCCGCACGTGACACCCCCGAAGTTCCACCGAACGAACTATATCAACAATTCAACGCGCCTGCACCTTCACCTCACACAAGAAATTGGTCAACGCCAAAAGTAGGTGAGGGACGTTCACGTCCGGGGGCTTTGCAATCTTTCGCTTCTCGAAGTCGAAATAATTAGGTGCTGATCCACCGCTCATGCAGCCATGCCAATGCGCATTGGTTGTAGGGCGGGGGGCTTGTGGAGTGCCCTACTCTCCTGAAGAGACGGGGCCGGGGGATCAGCGGTGGGCGTTGATTGCCGCCTACTTTTTGACTTTCTTTGCCAGGGGTCGCGGGTTCGAGTGGCAGGGGAATGTCATTTTTTGCTTTTTGCTCTTAGAATGCGCTGGAGAGGAGATTGATGCATTGGCGGACCTCAGTTCTACTGATACGAGCACACTTGAAACATTTTCTTTTGTCGCTTTGAAGGGTGAACGTGAGATCATGAACAGGCTTAGGTTCAAACTACTCTCCTCGCGGTACATCTAGCAATCGAACAACTTAGAAGAAGTACATTTAGGCTGAGGCGATGAGACATAGCGTAACACAAACGAATCTGAACACCGTACTATGGGCGTACTGTGGCGGTGAGGCCGACGAGGAAGGCTGCCGCATGTGGAAACAAGCCAAGATTAGTCAAGCATTCACGTGAATTGTGGGGCTGATCGCAGGCAGAAGCCTTCACCTCGCGTTTTCTCATGGCGAAGACACCCGCAAGCTCCTTGGCGACGGCTGCAAAACCTTTTGCGCTCGCAAACTTCCTACTTCCTTCTCTCACTCACTTACACAACCTCGCGTCGCTGAGCTGAGAGCACTCAGATCACGTCCTCCATCAAGCCTCCTTTCGCATTCGAACACAACACCCCGTCTACTCTCCAGAAGGTGTGTTGAGTTGCAAAAACGATCTTGTTACCGGCCAAACGCTGACCCTTACTGTAGCTCACCCAGTCACCTTCCATCATCATGGCGAACGAGCCCGGCACCACTCCCGGCAATGCGGAAGCTGTTCACGCAGAGAACACCAAGCGATCGGAGGAGATGTGGGGATTGCTTCATGCCAAAATGCTTGCCGTAAGTTGCACTGGCGATCATCTCGCGGTCATTGCTGACTTGTGAGGCAAAGTACGCCGGCCCGGAGTTCTGGACCACCGACAAGATCGAGCTGTTCAAGATGCGTGCCACCGCAATTGCGCAGCGCTCCCAGGAGTTCAAGCAAAAGTACATCGAGCATATGCGCAGCGTCAATCCGGGATGGGAGCCGACCGACCAAGACAAGATTTGGAAGATGTTCAAGGAGGAGGAGGCTCTCATCGACGATCCTGAGGCGAAGAATGCCGCCGCGGAGGTCATGTTCTCCAAGGTGATGTTCGGTGACTCCAACTCGCAGTAGCTACTTCAGCTGTGATGGGACATTGGTCAATGGACAATCATCGGCTTTGCACTCGCGGCATAGGTGGAAGGAAGGACGGCAGTATTCAAGCGAAGGAGACACGGTACTCTCTTCGTGAAGTTTACACAGAGTAGTGCAGTGAATGAAAAGGAAGAGACACTGTGGTCGATGTGAATCTCTTCAAACTCTCACTGCTAGAGGCCTTTCATTGAAACCATTGATGCGACGTGCTTTACGAAGCTCCTTCCATCGGGAAATCCATCCACTGCGTCATCGAATCCAGCCAAGGCTCAGCCTGCAACCCGACACTCTCCAACCACGCCGTCCACTCCAGAGTCGGGTCCAGCCCAGCAGCTTCGTACCCATCGGCGCAGCTTGCCCATAGTCAAGCGGCACCGTCTGCGCCTCGTCCGTCTTCGACTGCGCCGCCGCGGGCTGGTTCAGGATGGAGTCCAGACTCCGTGCGAAGATGGACTTGGCTTGCGTGCAGATCTGGTAGTTGTTCTGCCCGGTTTTGGTCAGCGAGTCGCAGCACGCGATCAGGAGGGAGATGTCTTGGATGATGCCGCTGCGGTTGCCGACGAGGTTCTGGTGCGGGTTCTGGGCTTGGCGGAGGAGCTCGAGGATGAGGACGCTGGCGCAGGGCATGGCGAAGAATACTAGCTGTGGAACAACACGTGGGTGTGTGAGCTTCTCTTGCGTCGCGAACGAAGATTGTGGGTATGGTTGTGGCACTTACCGTCCATTCCATGTCTGATCTACGACTCTCGCCCAGCTGTCGCGTCCGCTGAGGCAAGAGGACTAGGCTGAGGACTTCGTGCGCGCATAGTATCAGTTGTCGGTGATCGCTCTCGTCGGCGTCTCTGAGTAATGCACGTAACATGAATTCGATATAGACGTGTAGACGTCGACAAGATTGCTGTATTAATTTGGATTCAGTTGTTCTGGCCGTTGCGGGATGATTCTCGTCCTTTACACGGGCGGGGAGGGACTCCCAAACCGACGAAAGGCTGGCCAATGCTCGTCTGAATTCACAATTAGTGCTATGCATGAGTCGTAGACGGGGAGATGGTACCTGGCTCTGGGTTCGAGGTCTGGCGTTGCAGGTTGGTTCGTAAGTTCGATAGCTTCCTCACGAATCGCCGACACCAGTAATCCGTAGCGTTGACGGGTAGCTGGGTGGACGACGTCATCTATGCTCCATCCTTCCCCGTTCAATTTAGCAACGGCCTCCTCGAAGTCTTGCACTGGGCCGGTAATGACATCCTCGTTCAGATCAAATGGCAGCTCAATCGCGCAGAAGTGATGGCTAAGTCGAGGGGGCCTGATATTGTCCAGGGGATGCGTCAGCGTGTCTTGCACTTTACGATGAGCTGGGTCCATTCCTCACCGGGATGTAAATGTGGCGGCGACCTTGTCGTGGTCATGTGCCAAGGCGAGAGCCTTCCTGCGAATTTCGATAAGGTATGGTGGAACGGATGGAGTTCTTGGAACGCCCTTGTGGTATCCTAAAGCGAGGAATACCGTCGTCATATTCCCCATTAGCCCAAACACCTCCAGAGAATCGTCCCTTGAACCTTCGGTCAGCACCTCATTGTCTCGCCGGTACAGATAACGACAAGTCGTGTGGAAGACTCACTAAAAGATGATTAACTAGAGATAACGAAGGTGCGAGTCAGGAGACTTACCCCAAATACCCAAGTCCCGAAGAATACAAGCAGCAACGAAAGCCAGAGGCTGAAGTCGTTCACTGCACCGAGCTCGTGGGCAAGCGACTCACACTGGCGACAACATTGATACGCCATTTGCATCAATGTCTTGCGGTCCACTTTCCAGCTTTTGTGAGCCGCGTAATTGTCTTCTAGATCTTTGTCGTCTCCGAGGTAGACACCAAGCGCTGCACAGAAAATCCCGAGGTGCTCGATACGAAGGTCTGAAAAAGCCGCCTGAAGCGCTCCATGTCCAGGCGTGGAAGGGAAGACGGGCGGTTGGGAAGTGCGTTGAAGAATGGAACGGCATTCGCGTTCCAGGTTCGCAGGAGAGCGATCCTTCAACAACTTTTGCAGAGTTATTTGCGTAGTTCTCCAGGCAATTTTACCAAAATTAGCGCTTCTCATGATGTCCTGGTCTTCGGTTGAGGGCTCAAGCGTGTACAGACCGACCTCGGAGACGAGATCGAGGACAGAATTCAGCAAGCGTACACCATCATGGATCATTCGCTCGCTGGGAACTGACGGCTCAGGCGCTACCACACCCATTCTGGTTAGTGACGCGTGTAGCCGCGGCGAGTGCAGCGTTTCCGGATCGGCGAAGCGCATCAAGTCTTTGTTGATGTTAATGAGTTCATACGGTTGAGGGGTGCCGAGTGGAGGGCTGACGAGGTTGGCGTTGGCATCGATGGAGGTGTGGTGTGCAGAGGGTGTAGGCGAAGACAACGTATTCGCCAGGTCGGAACGCGCGGAGGTCTGCGAGATGTCATGGTTCGTCGCAGAGCCGCGGGATGTTGATGCGCTCATGGGTGCCGGGTGGTAGTAACATTGTGCCGACCAGCCCCGGCGCGTGCATTTGTTGCAGACAGGTTTGCCGTGGTCGCATCGCACCTTTGACTTGCGGCAAGGTTCGCAAGAGGCTGGTAGCCCGTTTCGTCGACGACCTTCTTTCATTGAGAGGATGGAAGCTTATGGAATAGTACAGGGGTAACGGTGATAGTATCACGGGTAATAATGTAAGACGGAGAGAGAAGCTGCGATTGGATGCAGAGGACGGAAGGATGAAGTGTAGCTGAAGTCGAGCGGCGGAGTTGGGCCCCGTCTAACCGCTTGCATTAACGATCTTCTGGACGTGCTCTTGAGAATGCCGTCTGACTGCGGAAGAGGCATGTAAGAGTCCTGGCCAATGGGGATGTGTTCAATGTGTAAGAGCGCGTCGTAGGATGCAGTAAGGTGGGGAAGCACAGCACAGCACGTGCTGCTCTTATTGCTGACTAACAAAGTTAGCGCCTTACACCCGGAAACGGTATTTAAACGGCGAGCGAGCGTCTGACATCCGAAGAGCACTTCTTACCTCCGCGTAGATGCCAGGATGGCTTTCATGTAGTGATTGAAACGCACATTCAAGCATGCAACTGCAGTCGCTGTACTACGGGCTTCTCGCCCTTTTAATTGCTCTTCTCATCCGGAAACTATTCGCCAGAGTGCAGCAATACACAACAGCTCGACGTCTAGGCTGCCAACCCGTAAGGAAATACCCGCACACTCTGCCCTTCGGATACGATCTGTTCCGCAAACGAATCCAGCAGCGAGACGCAGGCCGCCGAAACCAGCACGTCCTCGAACTCTTCCGCGAACACAGCCCGACATTTGAAGAAAACATCTTCGGCCAGAGAATCGTTCAAACTTCTGATACGCTGAACTTTCAGGCGGTAGGAACCCGACTTGATGATTTCGGCAGGCTGGAGCGCCGCTCTGTCGAGCCCTTCTTCGGCCGGGGCATTCTGTCGCTGCATGGACCGCCATGGAAAGAGGCGCGGAGTATCGTGACGCCGCTCTTCAAGCGAGCGGAGCTGATGGATGTGGGCAAGTTTCAGAAGTTTGTGGACCGCATGTTTGCGCTCATTCCGAGGGATGGAAAGACCTTTGACATGCAGCCGTTGTTGCAGAAGTTGGTATGGAGCATACCTTTCGTTGCAAGCCGGACCATCTGCTAACCCGTCTCAGTTCCTGGATAGCTCGACGGAGTTTATTTTCGGCGAGACCGTGGACTCCCTCCGCGATCCTTCGGGGCAATCGCAGGAGTTCCTCAATGCCTTCAACCAGGCTCTTGCAGGCGCTGGCAAACGTATGGCTGTGCCGGGTGCAGCTTATCTATACGTCTTTGACAAGACGTGGCGGGAGCATTATCGAAAAGTTCACGACTTCATCGATGAGTGCATCGCCCGTCGTCTCAATTCCGATCGGAAGCAGATTCTCTCAGACCGCCGAGAGCGCTACGTCTTGGTCGACGGGATGGCACAAGCCTATCGGGATCCAGTAGAACTGCGCTTCCAGCTGCTCAACATCTTCTTCCCGGCACGAGATACCACTGCGATTCTCGTCTCGAATACTCTCTTCTGCCTCGCCAGGCACCCCGAGCACTGGGCCGAACTCCGCAAACAAGCCTTGGACCTCGAAGACCAACCACTGACATTCGAACTTCTCAAAGGCTTATCTGCATTCCGCTACACTCTATTCGAATCACTCCGACTATACGGACCGTCCGGGCAAATCCGCCGCCGCGCTCTCCGCGATACTACTCTACCCCGCGGCGGCGGACCGGATGGTTCATTTCCTGTCTTCGTGCCGAAAGGGACGCATGTCATAGTCGACAACTATCCCAAGCTCCGCGATCCGCAGATATGGGGCGCGGACGTGGAAGCTTTCCGACCCGCTCGGTTTGAAGGAAAGGTGCTGGGATGGGATTTCACCCCATTCTTCGGCGGGCCGATGATTTGTCCTGCCGTCAATCAGGTCATTTCGCAGAGTGTGTATCTGTTGGTGCGCCTGGTGACGGAGTTTGAGCGAATTGAGAATCGCGATGAGTGTTGGGAGTATGTGGAGCGGGCTCGCATGCTGGTGGAGAGTGCGAATGGGATCAAGATTGCGCTGTATCCTGCCAAGGGGTCGATATATAATCAAGATAAGCTCTAACTAGGTAGGGTAGGAAGGAGGGCAGTATACAAACGAAGGAGAAATGGTACTCTCTGCGCGAAGTTTACAGAGAATAGTGTTATGAATGAAACGGAAGCGACAGTGTGCTGGATAATGAACCCTTTACAATTCTCACTGCTGAAGCTGATCTATCGATGAGCCCACCGATGCAATGTGACATGTACGATGCTCGCTTTGGGGAAGGGGAAAACGGCGCGAGGAATGCGGCGCATTACTGCGGCACTCAGTCGTTGCCTCATCTTCCTGCACATTGTAAACCCTAGCATCTCCATCCAGCTAGTCATCGCCCTCGCTTCCCACCTCCGTTTCCCCATCCTCTTCCTTTCCCAGCTTTAGTTCATCCTCGTTCTGCTTTCCCAGCTCCAATTCGTCCATCAAAGTCTTGAGGGTGCCACTGCGTGTCTACTGGACGTCAGCGACTACTATCACTGCAAACAATTTCCCAGGCAGCTTACCTTAATCGTTGCATGGCCTCGCATGGTGAAGCGAATCGGAGATTGAAGCTCCGACTTTACTTCCTCGTCACCCTCCATGCACTCCGGATCGCTCCAGCCGTAGTCGTACAGCAGTACGCGGTCCAACAGCACCTCAATAACACCACCGCGCGCCTTGTGAGTGTCAGCTAGCACACGTCGTGTCTTCTCTCTGAAGAGACTCACAGCAATCACTGCATCCGCATGGGCTCTGCCACGGATCTCGAGAAGAGGCGTGGGATTGGAGAACGCGTCAAGCGCATAGCACTCACTCCATAGCCATTCGAGGCAGTCTTTGGCGTGGTAGCTATCAAGGTCTCGTTCGAAAATCTTCACCACGCCTTCCCTCTGTGCCGCGTCTTCAACATCGATGAATCCTTTCTTCAGCCATTCCAGAGCATGATCAGCGATGAGCCGTTCGAGACTATCGGGATGAAAGGTAGATATGGTGCGTATGTTCTTGACAGGTGTTGCGCCGGCTTTCACGGTTATGGCACGAGGTCCCTTGTCGGCATTGTCCTTCTTCATCATGGCAAGGTCCTTCAACCAACATTTCGCCGAAAAGAACCCATGTTCGCCCCGGAGCTCAGACCACTTCAACAAGATGTCGCCATCATCTTTGGCCAGAGGCGGCTTCGCTGCAGTGGCAGGCGTATGAGTCTGCTTCACTTTGCTTAGTATCGACTGGCGCTGGTAACAAGCAGAGAAGGGAGAGGCGGGACTTTACAGTCTTCCGAACTTTGGCAGGAGGAGCCATTGCTTCGGCCTCGTGGCTATGATCCATCTCGCTTGGTTCGATGAAGGGGTGCGGTGCTGAAGGGGAAGATGGGATGGGTGAGCGAATGTGAGCGTGGGCGACGGCAGCCTTGAGCTAAGAAAAACGCGCTACGCGCAACGGACAGCCTTCGGGCCGCGTCACGCTAGACTGCATACGGACTGAAATCGACAGCCTCGTTTGCACGAACAAATGGCAGACCCTCGTGGCTGCCTCTCGCGATGGCGGCAATCTTCTGCAGACTCACCGCAAGCTCCTTCTCGCTGCTCTACGGACCTGCTCCTGCGCTCGCTGGCGAGTTGTGCTGCTCCGGAAAACATGGGTTTGAACACGGAGGGCGCGAGTGTCTTACCTGTATTCCAGGTTGCCTTGCATCCCGACAAAAACATGAAGCTCTCCATCTTCCACTTTACCGCAGAACATCGACATTAGTTGTATCGTTAATCACACGTCGCAAGCATGGATGGAACCACCGACTCCCAAGGCGCTCCCGAAGCGGCGAATGAGCAAGTCACCCGCCGCTTGATTGCCGCGCAACCCACTAACGCGCTTTCAGGACTGACACACGACCTCGCCCGCGCGCCGGTCCATCACACTCTGCGCCTGCGAATACCGCGAACACCACGCTCGTCGATGAAAAGGTGGCGCACGAAGGGAGTGCCTTACCCCCGCCGCAAGACGTTGCGCAGCAGTCTGAGCAGCCCAGCGACATGAGCAAGCTCATTGGTTTGGCAATGCGTCTCCCGAACTGCCAAGCACATGAGATGCTGAACAGACCTCACAGCAAGCATGCACGAGCAAGTCCGAATCCTGGCGATGTATCTCGAGACGGAGCGGGAATCTGTACAAACAGCAAGAAGGGCAAACGTTGATCTGGAGGAGCGCTTGCGAGCCGCGACAACACGCCTGGAAGAGTATGAGCGCCAAATACCACACCGAATTGAAATGGCTGGGCTGAGCGCGAGCTTGAAGACGTCAGAGAAGATGTACCGCATACTCGCGAGCGAGAGAGGTCGTGATAGTGGCGAGATTGTGGCTCGGACCGCCGCCTGGCTGGGAAAGCAGCCTGAAGTGCCACAAGCTCCTTATGATGCTCTTAGGGGTTGGCCTCCCAGCGCCACGTCTCTGGGACAGCAGCCGGAGGTACCACAAGCTTCTCATGAAGCCCGCCGAGTCTTACCTCCGAGTGCCACGACTCTGGGAAAGCAGCCGGAAGTGCCACAAACTCCTTACGATGCTCGTGGGGTTTTGCCTCCCGGCGCGACATATTCGGGAAATCAGCCAGAAATACCACAAACACACTATGATACTCGTGGGTTGCTGCCTCCTGACGCGACATATCTGGGAAATCAGCCTGGGGTGCATCAAACTTCCTATGATGCTCGCGGGGGTACGCATCCCAGCGCCAAATCTCTGGGAAAGCAGCCTGTGATGCAGCAAACTCCTCACGCGAGCTCTTCTGCACATTCAACCTTTCGGAACTTCTTCTCCGAGATGGGCCCGCCGAACTCGCAACAGAATACAAACCCAAACCTCATTGCAGCACAGGGCCTGGCTCAACTTCAGCAAGGACCCTCGACCTCACAAGAGCACCCATCGGCCGACAGCCAGCACGCGCGAACTTCTTCCCTTGAAGACCATTCCTCCCAACCAAGTGCCTCCAAGCGTCCTCCCTCGGGCACATTCCTCATCAACAACCCGCACACAGTCGACCCCATCCTGGGCATCCATCTCGGGTTCGACAAAAGAGGCAGAATCATTCTAAGCCGACAAGAGGACATCCCACGACTCACTTTCCAAATGGCGCGCCACGACACCCTGCAGCCCATCATGGACGCAGCACGCGAAAACTCCTTTCACCAAGGCGTCAAAGCCGCCGGCAGGGACTACCACTGCGCATTGACGGGCTTCCACCTTCTGCCCACGTTCTGGACTAAGGTTGCTGAGAGGCAGCTCGCGTGCAAGGATTGCTCGAAGAATCGCCGCACGTGCATTACGTGGGACCCCGAGAGAGCGGCGTGGGCGTTGCTCCCGCTACATCCGTATCTGCGCGCTTCGGGTTTAAAGTCGGATGACCCTTTGTTTTTCGTCGCTGGGAAGACGCTCGATCCGCGTGGGCGGACGGAAGAGCTTTGGTCGGATGAAGCCGCTCGCAGAGCGACTAGGACGGTCTCGTAGGGAACGTGATAGCTTCTGACCGGGCAGTCTGATGGGAAGAGACGAGGAAATCCGCACAGCGCCATGCCTGTCGTTCAGTATTGGACCCTAGCTACGTGACATCGATGAATCGCTATCAATCAAAGTCCATCCTGACACTCTCACTTCTCTCTCCTTCCTTCTCACAACCTGCACTCTCCTCAAACCCCACGTTACTCGCGCCAGCTGCGCTTCAGTTTCTCTTCTTTCCATTCTTGGAACGCTTCGGTATACCTCTCCGGCTCTTTCTTTTTGAAAGCGGCGGCGGTACCGTAGTCGTAGAGCTCGGCGCATACCTCGTCGGGCAGGGCGATGGCGCGCGTCAGGGTTTTGTTGTGCTTTCTTTGTCGAAGCACGGGTTTTGGTCTCTTCAGCTTCATGCTTCTCTTCGACCTTATGATGCACCTTGTCGTCCTTTGTACGTTCAGTGCGAACAGGAGTGTGCTGCGCAGGCATCTTTTCGGCGTGCTGTTCGTTGTGCAAGGGCAGATCGGTCACGCCGTTGTCCCACGCATCGGACGGCGACGAACAATCCGCGGTCTTATCCTCGTGAAGCTCGTCTTCCTCCTCAATCGCGTTGATAACTTTCCAGCTCTGAACAGAATAGAAGAACTCCTCCGCGGTTGCGATTCCATTGAAGCCTTGCTCAGTAATAGCGTTGGCCACCATATTGAAATAGTTGCTATGCACATCGCGGCACATCGAGTAGAGGCATGGCTCCTCCCGGCAAATGATGATGTGACATTCAACATCCGCCCAAATGCATTGCGAGCACGGAATGGCGTGGTTGCAGCGCAGGTCGTGCGCAAAGCATCGCGCGCATTCTGTGAAGATGTCGTTGGTTTCAAACCACTTTTGGATCCGTTTGCTCGCTTTCTTTGATGGCCAGTAATCGCCGGAGCCATAGATGAGGCTCAGTCTCCCAGTGATGGGTCCATCAAGATCCAAAGAATTGACAAAGAAGTTGGTGCCATACTCTTCATAGTCTTCAGGAGCCTTGGAGAGGGGAATGAGATCCACGTCCCACGGGTCACGCTGCACCCGGTTCCCACGGGCTCGTCGACCACGCTTGCGGCGGCGAATCTTTGGTGGTGGTTGTCCGTAAGCCCTCTCTGCATCATAGGTGATCTCTTCGTCGGCTTCTTCTTGTAGAACCTGGGCAGTTGAGGCATGTTGAAGTGGTTGGCTGACTTCTATTACCCCGCCGTACACAGACTAAAGACAATGTCAGTCATTGAACAGTCGAAAACTGCTGAAAGACTTACAATGTTGAGCTCTGAAAAGGGGCCAGGCTGAGCATACAGGTGATTTGCACGAGTTGTGTTGTAGTTTCGGGAGATGTGGAGTGAGGTGAACTGCTGCGCGGGCGGTTGTGCGGCGTACTGTCGTTCAGCTTGTTGCGTACGGGCAGTGTCCTTCGCGGCGCGTATCAAGCGTTGACCAAGGTCTATCGAGCGCTGGCAATCGTCTATTATGCTCTGCCCGGAAGTGATCATGTTCTGTCCGTCGTTCATCATGTTCTGTCCGGCCTTTATCATGTCTTGGCCAGCCTTCATCCTGTGGTGCGCATCATCGATCCAATCTTGGCCACGATTCAGAGCATTCTGTATGTCTCCATCGCGCGTGATCTGGCCAGCAGGCGTCAGACTGCTGGAGTGGGCGTGATTGTGTTCATTGTTGCCGCTGTTGAGCTTGGTGGTGAAGTACATGTTGCGCTGATTGTACGGAGCCTTCGTGGCTAGGATGATGATGACTGCCAGGTGTGCAGTGATGAATGAAAGTGAACGGCGAGAGTCATGTCGCAGCGCGATCACTGCAAACAAGGCTACCGCCAAGCCCCCACGCGCGCGCCGCCGTGTAACCTCACCTCACCTCACCACCGGCTAAACCTCGCCCCCTTTCCGCGAATATATAGAAGATAATTCTTTGCCTGCATCTCAAGAGTCGCTGACTGAGTCTCGCGTTTCAAACCTCTCAGTTGGGTGGTCGATGGGAGTCTAGATAAGGGGCCGACGTACCGTGCGCCCGACATAGATCTGAGCAGTCCCTAATCATTCCGGCGTGAGAGCTCTTGACGTGTGTAATGCTCGGTCGCAGCCCGAAGCCAGGTTGCCATAGTCCGTTCGCGGGCGCTGCAATGCGCGCTGATTACGCCGAGGGTTGCCGGCTCTTTTTTTTTCGCCTGGTCATGGTCGCGTGTTCGAGTTGGGGAGGTGGTTGGTTTGTTTTGATGTTTTGCAGTAAGGTTGCGTAGAGTGAGTGTGCATGAAGAGTGATTGGTCAATCAAGTACAGCTCTGCGGAAAGGGTGATTATCTACAATGATGCATAGGTGGAAGGTTGGGGTTTGTGTGGTGATAGCGGACAAGGCTAGCAGCGAAATCCCGGCTTAAAACGCCCAAACACCCCGTCGGCAGTTCGCAGCTCGACTTTCCGTGTCATGAATCACCGGATCACCGTAAGCATATCTCCGGTGCCGGGTGCTCGAGATGGAATCGGAAAATGTAGATACATTATCTGCCGCTCGCAATGCATCCCGCCGAACCTCGCGACGTCTGACGTCAAGATCGAGCTCGGCTCCCGGAGCCTGGCTGCAGCCGCCGCAATACGAAGTTTCCTAAACGAGTAAAGCGGGAGGAAAGCTAAGCTCCGACTAGACACGAATGCGGAAGCTTAGGTAGGTATAAAGACTTGTGAGGCTGCTGCGTTGTCTGGCCGGAAAAGCTGCATCCAACCTGCTCGAGACTGTCCCTATTCTCAAATCAAGCACGATGCCAGCTCTGAAAGATGTCGGGAATATGATCAGCCGCCAAGTCTTCGGACGGCCGAGCCTGCCGGAGGGCGACTTTGCGGGCAAGACGATCATCATTACGGGAGCGAATACAGGCGTGGGCTTTGAGGCAGCGAAGTACATGTGAGTACAGACAGCTGGCAGTTGCAAGTGGTGAAGTGTATAGCTGATGACTGCAATGTTCGAATCTTAAGTGCTCGATTGAATGTCGCACATTTGATACTCGCTTGCCGCAACGAAGACAAAGGCTTGAAAGCCGTGCAGACCATTCAGCAAGAAATCCAGCCAGCAGGCAAGCTGGAGGCCTGGAAGGTCGATCTCGCCCATTACTCTTCCGTCGTAGCCTTCGGCCAACGAATATCCACTCTCCCACGTCTGGATGGCTTCATTGCCAATGCCGGTGTGGAAGTCCAGGACTTCCAACTATGCGAGGGCATCGAGCTCCAACTTTGCGTGAACGTGGTATCAACGCTCCTCACCGCGCTCGCAGCTCTGCCAAAATTGCAAGCGACCGCGAGAGAATTCAAAACGCAGACGAACCTCACCTTTCAAGGCTCCTACTACCACATCATGGCTCCCGATCAAGAACTCGACAACATCCCCAAGACGACAGATATCTTCGAACACCTCAGCCAACCTGGCTTCGACGTCTTCGGCCGCTATTCGCTCAGCAAAATGATGCTCCATCAATGCGCCCACGAATTGGCAGACCGCGTGACGGACGTGGTAATCAACATCACCCATCCCGGCTGGGCAGCTACGGAGCTTGCGCGATCGAAAGAGTCCATCTCCTGGGGCCAGAAAGCCGCCTTTGCGATGATCGGCTGGAGCGCGGAAAAAGGTGGGATCAATTGCGTGAACGCCGTGGCTGCTGGGCCGGAAAACCACGGCTACTTCCTGTCCGAGGGGCAGATTGCGCCGGAGTCGGAGTTTATGTGTGGTTCGCGGAATGCGGCCATCCAGCCGCGAGTGTGGGAGGACTTGATGGCGAGGATTGGGAAGGTTGCGCCTGAGATCGCGGCGGTGGTCGGTGCTAAGAGTCGGCAGGGGTAGAGACTTACCGAATACACGCTGTGGATGCTTGCCGGGCGATCGCTGTGATTAGAGCGTTCCTGTACTTCAATATAGTTAAACCAGAAAAGGAGGTTTACTCCCCAACGCACCCATATCATAGCGCTTACAAGCGAGGCTGCCGAATGGCTGGTTAGTAAGCAGGCGCGAGCTGCGATTAGTCAAAGACAAGCTGTCTCCGTCAGCCTCGCCAATTGACGCGGCCCTCCCTCTCTCTCTTTTAGATCCTTCTCTTCGGCGTACAATTTGCAGGCGAGAAGATCAGACTGTCAGACTGGGATTTATCCTTATGGTAGTGGATCATGACACGCTGCTGCGGCTTAGTTAGGCCGTTTCGGAACCATATCAGCGTAGCTACAGTGGCCATAGTGGAGTCCGAGGACCGACGATACCCACCCGACCTTTTGCATCGGTCATAGGGCTTAAACCTACGAAGGATGCTCTCACTTAGGTACTCAGCCTGCGGACGCGCGGTTGCAGCGCCCCATTTAAGAGAAAATCGTCGTTGGGTAAGCAGGAGGCAAATACAGTGATATCCACAAGCCTTCTCATCGCCAAGCTATGGGCGATTTACTTGAGCCCAAGGCTGTGCATTCAACATGTTGCGCCGGATTGAGCGTCTTGGACTTGTTGGAGTGATTGTTTTACTGCTCACGTTCGGATTGTCAGTACGACGCCATTACCGTCTGCGGGAGCACTATCTTGCCTCGGACAGCAGCCTCAGCACTGCAGAATCACCCAACTGGCATCTCACCTGCAAGGAGCACGGCTTCTCCCCATTCGCTCCGCCACGCAAAGTCTTCGACCTCGTCCTCTTCTCCACCGAACTCGACTGGCTCGAGATCCGTCTGCATACCCACGCACCCTACGTCGACTACTTCGTCATAGTCGAGTCGCCCACCACCTTCACCAATCGCCCCAAGCCCCTGCACCTGAAAGAGAATTGGGCACGATACAAGCAATTCCACCACCAGATTATCTATCGCGTGGTAGAAGACCCCATCGTGAGCGCGCGGCACTGGGATCACGAGGACTACCTGCGGAATGCCCTTCTCCACGAAGTCTTTCCCAGCCTGGAGGGCAGCCAACAAGAAGCGCAGAAGCATGACGTCCTCATCGTCAGCGATATGGACGAGCTGCTTAGGCCTGACGCGCTGCTGCTCGTGAGACACTGCGCCATCCCCAAACGCCTGACGCTGCGCTCGCACTTCTACTACTACTCCTTCCAATGGCTGCATCGAGGCGAGCAGTGGGCGCACCCGCAAGCCTCCACGTTTGGCGTATCGGTGGAGAACACGCTCCCGCCCAACGACCTGCGCCAAAATCTTTTGGGGCCTGGATTACCTCTTTTCGCCGCCTGGTCGCGGTGGTGGGAGAGTGCGAATCTGTGGAACGCCGGGTGGCATTGCTCGAGCTGCTTTGCTAGCATTCAGGAGGTGCACACGAAGATGGACAGCTTTTCGCATCAGCTGTGGAACACGCCTGCGAATCGCGATGTGAAGACGATGGTGCAGCGCGTTCGCAGCGGAATGGATCTTTTTGCTCGTCCTGACGAGCTTTATGATCGCGTCACGGACAATAAGGATGTTCCGCAGTACGTGTTGAATGCGTCGGAGCATGAGGGGAGGTTTGGGTACCTACTCAATCGCGACGGCGAGGATGCTGGCTTCATCGACTGGGCAGTGAATTCTGCCCCAAAGGCGATGCGATAACGACGGTAGTGAAGGCTTTCCAGCAGCATTCGTTTTCGACGCCCCGGAGAAGAATCGAGGCGGCCAGACGCTTCACCATGGCTCCAATACGACTCGCAGCTGCTCAAACTTGCAGCCTTTCGACACGGTGACTAGCAGCGATAGCAGCAAGTCGAAGTCGCCCTTTCATCGCACAACTCAAGCAGAGGTCATGCTGGCGTCGTTGGCGCACTCCTCGAGATCAAAGAACTTGGACAGCCCCAAACTCCCCGAAGCCGGGGTCTCCAGTCTAGGTCGAGCTACACACATGGCCGCCCTCCGCCGAACCTTATTACGGCGCGTGCTACGGGGACGTGAAGGTCGAAACGATAGAGCCGGCCTTGATCTGTAGCGCCGGCTAAGCCTGCCAGCGTGGGACTTGGGCTGGGCAAAGAGAGTGTAGGAAGCAAAATCGATAGTGCGGTCCGTAGGTTTAGCCACTACCATAGGCAGAATAGTGAGAACCCCAGCGAGTGATGAAGCGTCGTCCGCACAAATGCCTTGCACATACGGTAAGCCGGAATCATCCCGAGCAAATGTTCCGCCATGCCTCCCCTGAACGAAAGACAGACAGGCATCAAGCTCGACGTGCAGGGCGACGTGCAGCGGGCAGCGGGCAGGGCCGGGTACCTGCAGCGGAAAAGCAGGGGCGGGTTTAATCTCCGACGCACGACATGCGCGGGACGTACGTAAACCTAATTTGAACGCGACTACTGTCCGTCTGGTCTGCGCCACCCGCGAAGGATTGACAGGCAGATTGCGCGCCCCACTCTGTCCATTTCGCCTGCTGACAGGTTCATTTGGAGGATTGGGAGGATGGGTTGGTAGGATTGCAGGGCTGATTTCGCTGTGAATCCTGCTTGTCGGGTGAAGATGAATTCGTGAGAGGAAGGAGAGGCTGGTTTTGGAGTATGCGTAATACCATTATGAATTATATCCAAAACTTCACTACAAAGCGCGGACTATGTACGGATAGAAACCAACGTGCATGGATCCCAGCGTCCGCAGAGCGTAGGAAGAAAAGACAGCCGTGGGAAGAAAGAGAGCCAGGCCTGCGGTGGTGTGGACATCACCGACAGGGCCACCGGGGATTTGCCATTTAGAAGAGGGCGACGAGCGCGAGGAGACCGGCGAAGAGGCCGAAAGCAGGCTTGGCAGCCTCGCCAGCGCCGGTGGGGGGAACCCAGCCGCCGGTGGTGGAGGGAGTCGGGGTGCTCCACGAGCCGGTGCCGGAGGGGGTGGTGTAGGAGGCCGGGTTGGTCCACGCACCGGTCGGGCTGGACCAGGCGCCAGTCGGGGTGGTGGTGGCGGAGGCAGGGGTGGTCCACGAGAGGTAGCCGGTGGAGGTGGAGGTGGTCTGGACGGTGGTGACGGTGGTGGTGCAGTAGCTGTCGTACCAGCTCCAGTAGGCCTCATCCTCCTGAGGAGTGCAGTTCTCCTGGATGCACTGGTCGACCTCGGTGTTGCCGCACAGGGCTTGCTCGGAGGAGACGTCGTACTGCGCGAAGCAGGCAGCCCAGCAGGTGTCGACGGTCTGGGTGGGGATGACGGGCGCGGTGCTGGTCGGGGTGGTGGTGGCCACGGCCGGGCAGTAATTGTCGTACCAGCTCCAGTAGGCCTCGTCCTCAGCAGAGGAGCAGGTCTCCTGGATGCAGGCGTCGACCTCGGTGTTGCCGCAGAGGGACTGCTCGGACTGGATGCCGGCCTTGGCGAAGCAGGCGCTCCAGCACGAGGGGTAGGCAGAGCCGGTGGGGGCAGCAGACGAGGTGCTGGTCGGCGCGCCGTAGCCCGGGTTGGAGGGAGCAACGGAGCTGCTGGGGTAGGCCGAGGCGCTGCCGCTGGGGTAGGCCGAGGCGCTGCCGCTGGGGTAGGCAGAGCCGGTGCTGGACGGGTCGGCGGTGCTACCACCGTAGGCCGGGCCCTGAGCGGCGGCGAGGCCCGCGAGGGCGAGGATGCTGATCTTGGAGTACATTTTGATAATGGAAAGTTGCGTGAAGCGAGTGTGGGTGAGTTGGACTGAAAAGACTGTGTAAAGAGAGACGAGGCTGTGGTGTAGTGAGGTGGTGAGGAGAAGAAGGAAAAGCAGAAAGCAGCAGCGACGGGACGGCGACTAAATATTGAGACTCAGCGGGGATGCGCGGCGCGCGCGCGCGAGCGCAATCAATCGAGAATACGGCGGAGCAGCGTCAACAGGCCGGGATTGCTGGAGGAGGTGTTCCTTCGTGTTGGCGGGTGGGTGCTGTCCAATCTCCCGTACCCCGGCACGCGCCCCACTTGGCGCCCAATGCGGCAACTGTGCTAATTACACTTTCGCCGCCCACGTGAAGCCCGCCCGTCCCCCTGCCCGTTCACGCCCGCCAAACGCCCCGGCGTTGTCCACGCTGCTGCTCTTGGCCGGTGGGTCGGAGCGGGCCTTTGTTGACCTGAACGCGCCCATAAGCGAGTGATGGAAGGAAGGGCGAAATTTACTGCAGCCAAGGATGCCTGGGCGGCGAGATTGCCGGGTGGAGATGCGCGCTGCTCTTGCCTGCTCACGGCCAATTTGCTTTGATGAATTGTTGTGGTGTGGGCTCTCTCTCCCACTCTGCTGCTCTCCCGCCTCCCCTTTCCCGCCCAAGAATAGCAGCACGCGTTACATCATTCGTCCCTCGAATGCTACGCCGTTGGATTGCGCGCGACGCCACCCAGCCAATCACGACGCCCACACACCGCGCGGCGTCCAACGCTCGCGACAACAACGTCCGCCCCGGGCTGGGCGAAGCAACGGGCGAACAACAACAATTGGTCGGCGGCCGATTTCCGTCGCCCAAGAGGCGACGAGACGTTACGTACAGGATGCTGCTGCCATCTGCCGGGGTTTTGAGAGGTGTGGAAAGTCGCCTCAACCCCGGCGATGCTCTGATTGCTTGCTTGCCCTGCACTGCTTGCTCATCACGCTTTGTCGCATGGGCCTGTCGATCTGCTGGGCGGGAAATTGCTGTCAGGCCAAGTCAATTGACAGGGCTTCCCTGACTTCTGCCGACATTGCCGTGTCCATCGAGTCCACCCACCATCAAGCAGTCCGTTCGCAAACACATCGCAAGAATAGAGTGCCAAGGGTGGCAAAGCGATCGCTTCGATGGAGAAGTGGTCCTGCAAATATTTGCTCTTGAGCCAGCCGGGTGGATGTGATAATAACCGCGCGTCGATTTCTTCCCACCTCTGGTCTTGGCCCAAGCCCGGCAAGCATTTTCCAAGGCCCGTCTGTTTGACGCGAGGCGCGGCTGGACTTGTCATCTTTGCCCCTTGTGGGTCAGGGCAGTCCAGGAGGTAGGCAATCTCAACATGCGACTCATTGTCTTGCCTTGGACTCAACATGCGACTCATTGTCTTGCCTTGAAACCCAATCCACTCGCCAACATCTCGGAACCGGCATTACACCGCTGCTGACGTCCTCTTCCTTGGTGTTGCTCGTGTGTACCTCGATGCCGCATCGGCAGGTGCTTTTCTCGGCGACAGCTGTCGCAAAACTCTAAGCCGAGCCTTGCATAATCCCGGGTGTTGCAGTCCGCGATGCCCGAACATCGCCGGCCAGAATCAGGAGTTTCGCTCTGTGTCGTGCTCACGCTGCTGATCTTGGGGTGTGATGATGTACCTTTCGTAGGTTCATAGCAGACGAGTCATTGAGTTCTCGAGCAGCAAGCCCTCGATTCTACGAGCAGAATGCCGTTCTTCGAACCAAGTTCGATGCCCTCACACGCCATAGCCTTCCCCCATCGGAATCCACTGATCCACCGCCTGCAGACTCGACTCCTCAAACAAAGCCCACGGATAGCGCAGATGCGCGCTCTCCGCATCCAACACAGCAACAACAGGTTGTACAACCTCCTCCTCCCTCACGTCCCTCATCTCCTCCTCCAACCGCGCGGCCAGCATTTCGCGAATATTCGGCGCGGGCTCGTGCGTTCGGCGCAGGAGGTGGAGATGCAGTCGGATGGCTTGCAAATCGGCGGGTTGGCCGTATCTGCCTTTCACGGCTTGCAGGACGATGAGTGCTGCCCAAGTGATCATGATGAGGTCCCAGTTCGACCAGATGGAGGTGTCTTGTGCGTGAAGCTTGATTGTCGTTCGCGCTGATTCCAGTAGCTCGTGCCGTTCCTCGGGAGTGGCGTCGGAAGAGAAGAGGTTGTAGTGGCGTGAGGGAAGGTAGATGGATAACACGCAAAGACGGTGCGTGACGTACTGCCGGTACACGGCGGTGCGATCTGTCACGTTTTCAAATGGGCCGATGCTGAAATGCGCTAGCCAGGCATCCAGTTGCCTCGCCCAGTCGCGGATGACCGCTGCGTCGACGCCGCTGAAAGGTAACAACTCGGATGCAGTTGTGCGGTGGGTGTTCGAGACGTAAGACCAGATGGTAGGCAGTCCACGGCCGGAGAAGTGCGTCAGACCGACGTGCATCATGCGCGACAAGCCGGAGAGTTGGTCGTCGGCAGCCCGCGTTGCACTCAGCGTCGTCTCGAACGGAATGCCTGGACAAGTCAAGTGGAGGGAGCAATGCTCGAGATCGACAATCTGCAAGCCGCAAAACATCTTCTGCCACTGCGGGGCGGCTCGGGGCGGACACTGCTCCAACAGGATACGATACGCCACGGAGATCCACAGGCCGGTGATTTTGCAATGGCCTTCGCTGAGTAGGGCGGCGTAGGTGATGGCGAGAATCCGCTGGAAGGACGCCTCTTCTCCGTGCGCGTCGTCGTGCGAGGGATTGACGAGGGCGGATATCTCGGCGCAGAGGGAAGAGTAGTAGACTGGGAAGTGCACTGCCACGTCCTCGGAGCCGCGGCTGGATGTGAATGAGAGAATGGCGGCCATGAGGATGGGCAGGGTCGAGGTGAAGACCTGCTTCTCCGGCATGAAGTGCAGCGCCGGCATGGATTGGTAGTATCTACGAGGACGATTAGATCGAGCTGCTGATGAGGGACATCCACTACCTACGACTGCCACAGCTGCTTGATAGTCGATCGCTTCCACGCCGCTACATTGCCGGGGTCGGCCGATCGGGCTTGAAGGGCGCGTGCAGTGGCCCAGAGCGAAGACCAGGCCGAATCGTCGGGCTCGCCTCCCAGGTCGCCGCTCTCTTCTTCCGCCGGCGTGATGGGTTCGGCGAGGCCAATCAGGCTTTCTATGCGATCGAGGCGGCGGAGAATCGCGGCTTCACGAGGCAATGCAGCCTCATCTTGCCGAGAAACCGCCGGTTCTCCCACGCGTACGGTTTGAGGATGAGCAGCCTGACGTAGCATCGATATCAGGGCGGAGAATCCTTGTAGCATACGAGCCTGGTACTCACATTGGCTCGGGGGATGAAAACGCAAGGGACTTGCGCCCGCTCACACCTCCGACACGCCTGCCCGTGCCCCATTATGCATTTCATCTAGAGGAAAATCAACCCCGTCCGTCAACAGTGAACAGACGTTCAACGACGAATCTACCTTCTGCCGCCGACAAGTCACTGCACCGCCGCGTCAACATCGCGGCTCGCGAAGCCTCGCGGGAGAACTCACAGCAGGCCTTGCGCGCCTTCTCCCCGCTCGCCTGCCAGTCTTCTCCATTGCGACTCTCCTTCCTGACCTGGGGAGGCGTGTGGTCCATCATGTTGAATTTCACCGGCTGCCTTGCCCGGGATGGATGGACGGCACTGCTAAGAGTGTCGTTCCGGCGAAGTCAGCGTGAGGTGCAGTCAAGGTACGAACGCCGCCGGTCAAAGCCGGGCCGGATGCGCCCGCTGACAATCACTCCACTGCAGCCTGGCCCATGCCGACTTTATCGCTCGCATTCTGCATGCGATATATAGATGCTTGAATGATGATATGATGTTACGCTGATTCGTGGTTGATTCTATTGGTGCATGAGGACATCACCCTAACAACCTCGCCGCCTCAGCCTCAAGGTCATCCAACGTCTCAATCTCTCTCCCGACCTCCTCCCCACGAGGCGCACGCTCCTCCTCAAACCACTTGACCTTCTTCCTCGGCTCTGACTCTTCCAACGCCTCCGCATCAGCGATGAAATTCGCCATAAGATCATTCTCATCGCCGCCCTCCACCTCCTCATCTCCCTCCACCTCCTCATCTCCCTCCACCTCCTCCCGCTCTCGCTCCCGCCTGCGCTCCTTCTTCGCTTTCCTCTTTTCCTTCACCAAAGCCTTGTCAGTCACGTCAGCACGACGCACACGCTCCTCCTCCGCCTCCAAGAATCGTCGCTTCTGCTCCTCTGCGCTTCCGCGAGCGCGGAAATCGGCCTCGCTATCTAGCAGATTGACTTCGTGCGCGTTGCCATCTTCGTCAAAGACGACCTTTGATCCTTTGTCTTTGAGTTTGAGCAGTTTCTTCTTCGATTTGAGGAGGTTCTCTTTGCGTTTCGAGTTGACGAGGAGGGGGTTTTGCATGCCGGTGATGTGGACTTCTCGTGCGTCTTTTTCCTTTTCTTCTTCTTCTTCGTCTTCTTCGCCGCTTGGAGCGTCGTCGTCTTCGTCGGAGAGATCGACGGCCGTCACTCGCCGTTTGACGCCGAGGAGGCCATCGTCCAAGTCGTCATCGTCAGAATGTCCCTCTCGGTCTTCTTCTTGTACCATTCGAGTGTAGTGATCGGCCAGGATGTCTTGGTTCTTCCTTTCAAACATGCGATCATACTTCGTCCTGACCTTCTCCTTCCCTTCACCGTCATCATCCTCGGCTTCCTCCAATTCTCTGCCCATTCTGGGTGCGTTCTTCCTCCGCTTCACCTCCTCCGCATCGGCCTTGAGGAATTTGATCCTCGGCGCGCCAGGCAGTCCGAGACTCGCAGCGAACTCCTCTAGCGGATACTTGTCCAACTGGAACACATCTTTGTCCTTCTGAACATGCAGACTGCGCACATATGACGTGAAGGCCTTTTGACCGAGATATTTCACGGTGGGATCTTTCAAGCACATCTGCTGCAATTGGCTTCGGATGGACTGCTGCTTTTTGGTGCGGACATTGATGCTCTCGATCGGTACCTTCTTCTGCTCTAGGCGAGTCAACATGCCCTCCTCTTCGATGGGGTCGAGGAACAGAACGGCACGTCCGGCCTTTTCGTATCGAGCGGTGCGTCCGACGCGGTGGATGTAGGTGTCAGCATCCTCTGGACAATCGACTTGAATTACCCAATCGACGGCAGGGAAGTCTAGGCCGCGAGCCACGACGTCGGTGGCGAATAAGCAGCTGTGTTTGGCTTGGGAGAAGCGTTGGGTGATTTCCAGCCGGGCTGTCTGCTTCTGCCTTCCGTGAAGATGTAGCAAAGGGATGCCGGGTTGCATTTGACGGAAAGTCTCGTAGACGAAACGGACCTGTTTCCCGGAGGAGAGGAAGACGAGGATCTTGGACTTTTTGCTGGACTGCAGAAAAGACCACAGAGTGTCCAATTTGTCGGGGAGGGGTGTAAGGACGTAGTTCTGTTGGAGTGATTGTGGGGTAGCGATGGTGGCGGTCTGATGAACGGAGATGTATTCGGGATCCTTGAGGGCGAGTCGGGACAAGTCTGAAACTCGTTTGGTCTGCGTGGCGCTGAACAGCAGAGTCTGTCTATCCTTCGGGAGGTACTCAACAATAGCATCCACATCTTTTTGAAAGCCCATGTCCATGATGCGGTCCGCCTCGTCCAGGACTAGCATCCTCAGATTGTCCACGTTGAATGTTGCTGTCTGACTGAGATGCTGCAAGATCCTACCAGGTGTGCAGACCACGATATTCATCCTCGACAATGCATCCTGCTCTTCCCTTAAACCCTTCCCGCCAATGACCAACCCCGCTGCGAAGACATGGCCTTTTCCTCCGACTTTCCGCAGCACTTCAAAGATTTGAATCGCAAGCTCTCTCGTCGGGGAGATGATCATGGCGCCGAGCCCCGCATCTGCACCGACGCATTGCGCTCGATGTAGATTCTCCAGAACGGGAATCACAAAGGCCAAAGTCTTGCCGCTTCCAGTCTTTGCGGCTCCCAAGATGTCGCGGCCTTGCAGAGCAGCAGGGATTGCTTGTGATTGAATATCGGTGAGGGTGGAGAAGTGGGAGGACTCGAGACCGGCGGCGGTTTGCGAAGAGAGAGGCAGGTCGGAGAAAGAGGCGTACTTGGTGGTGGTGTCCAACTGGGAGACGGCGAGTTGCAGCTTTTCGACGTCCACGTCGTCTCGTTTTCGTTTCTGTGGCTTGAAGGGTTTCTTGACCTTCATCGGTCGTGGGCGGCCTTTAGTTCGGCCGAGCATCGTCGCGGCCATGCTTGGATGAGATGGAGACAAGACGGGAAAGATGAAGTTCGAAAAAGTTCCAGGCCGACATCACTTTCGGTCGGCGAAATCTCGGCCGCCATTCCCAAAGGAGATTTCGCCCGCATTGTCATGAACTTCCCCCACCAAGGCCCTCCGTCACCACACCTCATCTTCTCGTCATCACGCCCCGGCGAGGAAGAGTTTGGGGAGATGGAGTCGGTCGCAAGACTGTCCTCGCTGCTGGAAACAGGTGAGCTTGCCCAGTCTACTCATGAAATACCGACTGACCCCCTCATCTAGCACGCGACCTCACTCTCGAGGCAGCCCGCGATGCCGCTGTCCCACGCAAATTCGCAACACGCGCCCTCCCTCCCCAGCAAATCAAGAAGCTCCTCGACAGTCGAAACGAACGGGATATTCTCGATGGTCTCCGCCGAGTCGTCGCCATGCGCTACGCCTCCCCTCCGCAACCCACCCTTCCATTCTTCCCCGCCGTCTTGAAAACACTCTCCACACCATACCCCTCTACTCGACCCCTCGTCTACAACTACCTCGTACATCATGCCGAGCAAGATCCTGATACCGCCCTTCTCGCCATCAACACCATTCAAAAGTCGCTTTCCGACCCCAATCCCGCGATCCGAGCAATGGCGTTGAAAACAATGTCCGCTATCCGTGTCCCCGTTATCTCTCAAATCGTTAGCCTGGCAATCAAGAAAGGCGTCAGCGATCTTTCGCCTCTGGTTCGAAAAGCTGCTGCTCTGGCATGCGTCAAATGCGTGCGCCTCGATCCGAACACGAGACCGCTGGTGGAAGAAGCGCTGGCGACCTTGCTCGCAGACAAGCAGTACTTTGTGGTTGGCGCCGCTGTGCAGGCCTTTGCGGAAATTTGTCCCACAAGGCTGGACCTTATCCATCCTGTCTATCGAAGACTGTGCAAGATGGTCGTGGACATGGATGAATGGGGCCAACTAGCGGTGCTGCATTTGATGACCACCTACGCCCGGAACTGCTTCCCCCAACGGACCCAAAAAGTCAAGCGAGCTCAGACGAGAGAACAACAATCTCGAGATTTCTACGAAGACCTCGAGGACAAGCAAGAAGAATACGATGACGCGCCATACCTGGACCCCGACCTCGACCTCTTCCTCATCTCTATCCAGCCCCTCTTGCAAAGCCGCAACTCCGCCGTCATCGTCTCCGTCGCAAGAGCATACCTCTACCTCGCACCGCCCACCCACATCCACCACATCATCGGCCCACTCATCGCCCTCCTTCGCTCTCCGCAAGACATCCAGCAAATCGCCCTCTACAACATCGTGCAAGTCTGTCTGCAAAAACCCGAACTCTTCACCCCACATCTCCGCCACTTCCTCATCCACGCCACGGAAGCATCGTCCATCTGGCGGCTGAAGCTCGAAGTCCTCACCCTCCTCTTCCCCCACTCCAGCAAAGACAATCAAGACTTGATCCTCGCCGAACTTGACCACTTCTCCCGCGGACAAGACATGGAGCTCGTGAGGGAGAGTGTGCGAGCAATCGGTCGATGCGCACAGTCTTCGTCCGCACAAACCTCTCGCCGTTGTCTTTCTCTCCTCCTCAAACAAGTCCATTCTCCAGACGAGACTCTCGTCGGCGAAGCCATCGAAGTCGTCCGCCACCTCATCCAACGCGCGCCAGACGAGCACCGCAAAACCGTCGTCCGCCTGGCCAAGAACCTCGACACGCTCACCTCCTCCACCGCACGGGCGAGTATCATCTGGCTCGTGGGCGAGTTCGCCGGCTTCGAACCCGAGGACAATATCGCAGCGGATGTCCTCCGGATCCTAGTGAAGAAATACGCCGACGAGACGAATGAAGTGAAGGCGCAGATTGTATTGTTAGCGGCCAAAGTCTACCTACACCACCTCAACAACACAAGCGAAGCTCGCAAAGCGTTACAGGGAACCGACGAACCTACCACCGAAGACCCAGACGAAAGCCCCGTCACGCTCCTATACCAGCACACCATGCTCCTAGCGCGCTACACCCCCTCCTACGACCTCCGCGACCGCGCCCGCCTCTTCCGCGCCCTCCTAGCCAACCCGTCAAGCACAGAACTCGCCAGCCTCCTCCTTCTCGCCCCGAAACCGGTTCCCCAAGCCCCGTCGCCCAGCGAAGCGCGCAAGATCTTCACGCTCGGGTCCGCGAGTCTGGTTGTTGGCGAGGGGCTGAGGGAAGACGAGGGGATTCCGGACTGGGTGGGTGAGGGTCTGGAGCCGGATGCTAAGTTGAGGGATGAGGAGGGTGCTGGGGGTGCTGGGGGCCTTGCTCGGTCCGCTGGGCAGCAGCTTGATGAGGCTTTGAAGGCGGATTCTTCGCATCGGGCGCCGGAGCGGGGGGTGGCGAAGCAGAAGACGTTGGATGCTTGGTTGGATGAGGAGGAGGATGAGGGGACGGAGGAGGAGGAGAGTGAGAGTGAGGAGGAGAGCGAGTCGGGGGAGGAAGAGGAGTCAGAGTACGAGACCGACAGCGAGGAGGATGAGAAAGCTGGACTGGTGAAGTGAAGTGATGGACGTACGAGATTTTCCATCTCTTGCGGAATTATTGGCTGCCAGTCTACGTGAACAGACAAGGAAATATTTGTAGAAGAGGATTCGAGACTGAGCATGTTCTAGATAAGGACGTCACGCTGGGAGCGCGAAGATGCAAGCAACGAAAGGCCAAGGAAACACCGATCCAGAATAGAAGAAGAAGACAGTAGTAGCCCCAAGTCTACCTTGACAGCCTCAGGTGTGGAAAGAAAAGGTCCAGTGGTTGTCCAGAAGTCTGCCGTGACAATCACCACTTGTGACTGCGATCCACACGCTTCTGCTTCCGACGCGGTTTAGGCGTTTCCTCGTCATCGCCGAACGCACGTTGCTGCTGCTGTTTCTGCGCATCGCTATCATCAGAGTCCTCGTACGCGCGCTTGCGGGTCTCCGACTTGTGGACCTTGGCCCGCGGCGTCACATCCGGGTCACCGAAATCCGAGCCCGCGGCGGTGTGATGGCTCCCATTGGAAGCCCGTCGATACCTGTCCTGAGTTGGAGGTGGCGGTGGCGGCGGCGGCGGGGGTCTCCCGTTGCCACTTGCATTAGAGTTGTGCCTGCTTGTTCGCTGCGGTTGAGGTGCGCCGATGGCCGGACCAGGGGTCTGATAGACTACCTTTGGCGACCCGGTGACACCCAGCGCTGCGAGGATGTCTTCTTGCGCGGCGTCTCGGATGGGCATGAGGGGAGTTGGTTTGGAGGCGCGATGGGAGGAAGTGGATGCTACCGAACTGGCGCGGGAATGTCGACGGCTGTGGGATACGTTCTCCAGGCTGCCGAGCACGTCGGATTGCTCGTCCGTGTAGTCTTGCGATCCGGATACGCTTCTTGAGCGGTGGTACTGCTGCGATCTTGACGTCCTCCTCGAATGCGGATTCTGCTGCTGTCTGGGCGTGATTTCGTCATCCACATCCATGGCGGATGTCTCTGGATCCGGAGTCGGGCTGTAGACGCGCGAGCGCCATGTCGGGTCCGGTCGATCCTTGTACTTGGCAAGCAGTTCCGACATTGTCAAGATGCTTGCACAGATCATGGGGAACTCTCTGAAGATAATGTCGTCCTTGACCTCGTTCCAGTACTCCGTCTGGCGAACACTCAGCGATGCTTCGTGTCGTTTAGAGCGGATGAAGTAGTCTGAGATGGACTCGTCGTCTGTGGGGAGAGGCTTTCGCGGCGCCAGAGCTTCCAATTCAGCCTCTGCAAAGGTTGAGGGTAGGGGACGTTTGGTGGGCAGAGGAGCCTTCCATTCAATCATGCCAAGACTGAGTTTAAGGTCAATTTCTTCCGGGTGCACGGCGAAGTAGCATTCGTCGTAAAAATCTTCCTCCAAGTCTTCGTCGTCATAGCCAGAGACGGAGTTGCCGTGCTCGGATCTGCCAGACAAAGAGGCAGTAGAATGGTGACGTTGCTGTGGGGGTCTCGCGCCACCGTGAGGAGGTGATGTAGACATAGGCCAAGCAGAGGGTACAGGAGCAAAGGGAGCCGGCGGTTGCTGTTGGAAGTAATTGGGGTCGGGGTAGGCGGTTGGAGGATACTGCTGGAATTGTTGCTGTTGCTGCCAGGTCTGAGGAGGGCCATAGCCAGGATACGCTTGTTGATTGAATGGGAATTGCGGAGGTTGCGGTGCCCAGACAGGCTGCTGTTGATACGGAGGAGCGTGCGGTTGAGCTGGTCCTCTGTAGCCGGGCGGTGGAGGATAGCGAGTGATGACTGGATTATTCTTGACCTTTTTCGCTGGAGGTGGGCTGAATGCTGGCATTAGAGTGATGACTGTGTTTGGTGCTGTGTTTCAACTCACCCATTGCGATGAAAGGACTGATTGGCTCCAGGCTGCCATCCCGGCTGCTGGTACGCGCCGTGAGAGTTGTACATGAGGGAAGAAAGGGATGAGGGAAAGAATCGCTTCAAATGCAGCAAATGGACATGCGAGACGGCTCTGTGGAGAGTAATGTGAATGTGAGGTGCCGTTAGAGAACTGTGGATGACGGCGGCGAAGTTGCGAGGAGAGGCGACGTTACGAACACGTCTTGGCTCGCGTAAATGAAGAGTATGAAAGGGTTGGCGGAGGAGAAGATGAGGAAGGAGTCTTTGCCGTCGGATGCCTCACATTCCATGGGGAACAGCTGTCGCGAGTGAGATCCAGGACATGGTGTAACACAGCGGGTGTCATGGAATGTGTGGGTTTGAATAGGCGAAGAAGGATGTCGAGGGGCACAAACAAACGCGAGGTGTGAGGTGGAGTTGTTAGGTAAGACGCTCCAGCGGCCTCGCCCGGCTTGGCAACGGCGTTTCTAATTCGGTTGACGTGCATGGCGGCATGCGATGCGGAGGACCATTGCATACATACCTCATCGCGTGCCCATCCATACCACTCTCTCATCTCCTCGCACTCACTGTCCACCGACCATGGTGAGGTGGCAGTCATTGCCGACATAATGCGAATCACCTCTTGATCGCCAGGTGTATCCGCGATGCCTGGCCTTCCCGGTATGCTATCTCGAGCTACTCCTCCCAGTACAGCATACTGACACTTCCCCCAGCCAGTGTCGATCTCGATGAGTGCATCGCCCGCCTCTACCGCAAAGAGCTCCTCGCCGACTCGGTCATCGAGGCCATTTGCGCCAAGACGAAAGAGCTGTTGATGAAGGAGAGCAATGTCGTGCACATCCAAGCTCCTGTCACCGTTGTCGGCGACATTCATGGCCAATTCTTCGACATGATAGAGATTTTCAAGATTGGCGGATACTGTCCTGATACCAACTACCTCTTTCTGGGTGGGTCGGGCGATCAGAGTCTGTCGAGTCCCTTGTACTGACCGGGAAATCAGGCGACTATGTCGACCGCGGACTGTTCAGCATCGAAACCATCTCCCTCCTCGTCTGCTTGAAACTCCGCTACCCTCAACGCGTCCATCTTATCCGCGGTAATCATGAATCGCGCGGCGTCACACAGTCCTACGGCTTCTACACCGAGTGCAGTCGCAAATACGGCAACCCCGCCGTCTGGCACTACTTCACCGACATGTTCGACTACCTCAGCCTGTCCTGCGTCATCGACGACAAAATCTTCTGCGTGCACGGCGGATTGAGCCCGAGTATACACAGTATTGATCAAATCAAGATCATTGACCGATTTCGCGAGATTCCGCACGAAGGACCGATGGCGGATTTGGTGTGGAGTGATCCCGATGCCGAACGGGACGAGTTCAGCCTGAGTCCTCGTGGGGCCGGGTATACATTCGGCGCGCAGGTGGTGAAGAAGTTTCTCGAGGTGAACAGCATGAATCACATCCTGCGAGCGCACCAGCTCTGCAATGAAGGCTACATGGTCATGTTTGACGACCGACTGTCGACGGTGTGGAGTGCGCCGAACTACTGCTACCGCTGCGGCAATCTGGCGAGTGTGCTGGAAGTCGGGCCCGGCGGAGAGCGCAAGTGGAATGTGTTTGATGCGGCGCCGGAGAATGAGGCACATCGACTGGAGCAGCAGCAGCAACAGCAGCATGCTGGCAACGATCCCGTGCGCGACTACTTTTTGTGATGGGCATGCATTGGCTTTTGAGATACCAGATAGAGCGTGGCATGGGTGGCGAAGCATATGTAGAAGTATTCGTAGAAGTATTCGTAGAAGTATTCGTAGAAGTATTCGTAGAAGTATTCGTAGAAGTATTCGTGGGTTTGTACAGCCTTGCAAGAGGATGGATGGAAGAGCATCCGAGCTTGGGCCACCTCCCTGAACATCGTCCTCTCCAGCTTCGGAACACTCTTCCTCCCCTCACACACATCCAAACACCACCATGCGCGCGCCTTCAACTGCGGCACTTCTGGTGCTGGCCAGTCTGTGCTACGAAACCCAATTCTGCCATGCCAGCCTGCAGCAAGAAGCACTCAAAGCAAAGGAGCGATACCGCCTGGCCTGCCCCGCCTACGACCACTACGCTCGTGTCCCTCAGTATGCATGTCTTTGCCGGTTTCGCATTCTGCATGCTGACCACTCTTTGTAGTGCCCCATACAGTGACGGTCCGCTGAGGCTACCCTTCCAACGCCCCTCCTCCCATTGCCGCACCTTTGAATCCGATCTAGTGGAGAAGACAATCACCGACCTGAGCGAACGGATGATTGACAAGGACCTCGCACGTATCTTTGAGAATGCCTTTCCGAATACCCTCGATACTACAGTCAGATGGCATGTAGACGGGACAGAAAAGTTGGCGAGCAAAGGCATGCAATGGAATTTGGGAACGGAGGGAGCATGGGAAGGGCCCCAGAGCTTCATTGTTACTGGCGACATTGACGCGGAGTGGCTACGCGATAGCACGAACCAGCTGGCGCAATACCAACGACTGGCGAAAAAGGATCAAAGTATCCAGAATCTCATCCTCGGAGCCATCAACACCCAAGCGGAGTTCGTCATCGAGGCGCCATATTGTAACTCTTTCCAACCTCCACCGCCCAGCAAGATCGCCCCAAATGACAACCACCAGGTCGACAATGTCCATCCCGCTTTCGAGCAAAGTCGCGTCTTTGAATGCAAATACGAGCTGGACTCGCTGGCGCACTTCCTCTCCCTGTCTAATCAGTTCTACGAACACTCCGCTTCTACCGCATTCCTCACCAACCGGTGGTACGAAGCTCTGGAGAATCTTTTGGCAGTCCTCGATCAGCAGAGCAAGCCTACCTTTGATCCCAATACTGGTGCATACGAGCGAAACATCTACCGCTTCCAGCGAAACACCAATGTCGGGACGGAAACCCTCAATCTGGGTGGCATTGGCAATCCCCTCAATTACGGCACTGGCCTCGTTCGCTCCGCCTTCCGCCCGAGCGACGATGCAACTACGCTCGGCTTCTTCATCCCCGCCAACGCCATGATGGCGGTAGAACTTCGTCGCACGGCCGACATCCTCTCCAAAGCCGGCTCATCTACCCTCGCCGAAGACCTCCAAACCCGCAGCGAGACCATCACCAAAGGCATCTGGGAGCACGGCGTAGTCGAGCACAAGAAATGGGGACGCGTCTTCGCCTTTGAAGTCGACGGCTACGGCTCCTCCATCATCATGGACGACGCTAACCTGCCCTCCCTCCTCTCCCTTCCCCTCCTCGGCTTCGTCACCCGCACCGACGAAGTCTACCAAAACACCCGCAAAATGATCCTCAGCAAACAAGGCAACCCCTACTTCCTCCAGGGCCGCAACTTCCAGGGCATCGGCGGCCCCCACATCGGCACGCAGTACGCCTGGCCCATGTCGCTTCTGGTGCAGGCCATGACGAGCGACAACGACGAGGAGATTACGCGGCTGCTGGCGGCCGTCAAGACTGCCGCGCCGCTCGGCCTCATTCATGAGAGTGTGAATGTGGATCGCGTGAGGGATTACACGCGCAGCTGGTTTGCATGGGCCAATTCGGTGTTTGCGCAGACGATTTTGGATTTGGCGGAGAGGAAGCCGCATTTGCTGTTTGGGGAGGGGGCGGAGAAGTACGTGATTGGGTGAGGGACGCCTCGACAGCCTTCAAAATTCCGGGGACTTCCGCATTCGATTGAACAGCACATCTTCAAATGCGCAGCGAATCGCCGCGCGCCCCGAGCCGCTTACGCTGCATCTGGGGCCAAGTCCGCGTCGATCACTCGATGCACGGGGGAAAATCCTGGAGCCGAGATTGGGATCCCCCGCAGCCACAATTCTTAGCGCGCCATCACCTCCTTTGCATTTTGCTTGTTCACGACGTCAGTTCGTGCACTCTCCATCGCATTTGACGCTTTGCGGTCGGCGTGTTTCGGACCAGAGCGCGCTATATGGCAGCAGTGAAGGCGAGGTCGCCGCCTCATCCCATCCGCTCAAAAGCATCTCACTCACAACCATCGTCAAGACCCATTTGTAAAACGCATGATCTGCGGTACTCTGTACACTTTCCAATAGTATGGCTCTCCTACTTCATGCCGAGGCTCCCTGCCAGTAGCGCGCATTGCAACACAACGCCACGGATAATTCAACCGTCGCTCGCCCTACTACGTATAGCCCCCCATACCCGCCCTACAACCTGGGTGTGGGGAATTCCTTTCTTCGTCTTGACTTCACTCTTCTACTCGACGACACTGTTATCCTGTGAAGAACTCATCATGCCTTCGCTCGTCTCAGCCGCTTCGTTGGGTCTGTTGGCTTTCGCTTCTCATGTTGCTGCTCACCCTTCGACCGCCTCGGCCGCTGGGAGCGCCCCTGCTGGCCACGAATTCCAAGCTCCAGGTGCAGGAGACGTTCGTTCTCCCTGCCCGGGTCTTAACTCGCTCGCAAATCACGGTCAGTGTCGCGCCAAGAACACTATTGAGAGCCCAACTGACGTTTTCCAGGCTTCCTTCCCCGATCTGGAAAAGGGATGACGCTCCCCATTATCATCGCCGGTCTGCAAGAGGGCATGAACGTCGGTGTCGACTTTGCGACTTCCGTTGGCGGCCTTGCGTTGCTGTCGTCGCCGGGCCTCGCTCCCACCTCATTCAACTTGAACTACCTCGACCAGCACAACTTTCCCATTGAACACGATGCCAGTCTGTCCCGGGAGGATGCGTACTTCGGGAATGACTACAGTTTCAACCAGACTATCTTCAATCAAGTGTTGAGTTTCTACGACGGAATGACGGAGGCGACGATTCCGGTTGCGTCCAAGGCGAGATACGCCAGAGTACAGAACAGCGCGAAGGTTGACCCAAACGACATCTATGGTTTGAGACAGCTTGTCCTTAGTTATGGCGAGACGGCGCTCTATTTGAGCACCATGGGATCTCCGATCACGGGTGTCGCTCCGCTGTCCTACGTCAAGTCTCTTTTCGGTACGTGGCGCGCCTGACTCATTGTACGACTAAGCTGACAACACCGCAGAGAAAGAGGAGCTCCCATATGCATTGGGCTGGACCAAGCCGACCGTTGAGACTACGCTGGTCACTCTCGGTGCCATGGTTGCGCAGCTGCAAGCCGCGAACCCCGACGCCGTTCCTGAGGGACTGTCGCTCGGCGAGGGAACGTTGCGAGACGTCTATGAGTTGAGGAACCCCTTGACCGGTGTCCTTGAGAACGCCACGTGTATCCTGGCGAACAACTGCTGAGAGAAGGTTGCGGACACTGGCATAAGAACCCCTTGTCCCCACTCGTGAGAAATTGAGCTAGGCTTGAGCTAGGATGGCAGGCGCTGTCGACGAAAAACGCAACGAGCGAGTCTATACTTCTGAATGAGCATGGCATTGCAATCTGGTGTGCCAGTCTACTCGGTGGCATCCCCCAAAGAAATCCCTACCTACCCACCAGGCTGGGTGTCCTTGCAAGCCCCATATTCACTCGTCTGATCCATGAGATGGTCACATTCAAGCGCCTGCTTGCAGTTGTTATCCCCGAACGGTGGCAAGATCGAAATAGTAAGTGCGCGCACGTGTTGAACCACGTGACGTTGAGACGGTCGTACCTTCCTCACAACGCCGTTTGCTCACTGCTTTTCTCAATCATCGAAACGTCACTCATTGTCACCCACCTCTTCTTTAATAAAACTTCTTTCTTTCACTTCTCTCAATTCTATCTTCCCCCCTCCACCCCCGCCGCCGCCGCCGCCGCATCTCCCCCTCCGCCCCCTTTTCGCCCTCTAGCCGCCAATCATGCAGCTCCTCGCGACCTGGTTCACCGTCGAGAAGGACCAGAAGAGCAAGTGCGGCCGCGATGTGCGCAAAGGCCAAAACTTCAAGCTCTTAGACGTCTCAAAGGATGAGAAATCCATCAAAGTCTCGATCTCAGGCCACCCAGATGACGCCGTTATCGTTAGCGCAGACTGTGTGGCTACTCTAGCTGTGCTACCAGGCACGATGAAAGACGACAAAGCCGCGAACCACGCAAACGACTTCTCGGTGAAGAAAGAGGAGACAGTGAGAGTCTACCGCGTCTCTTCCGATCGTTCGCAGCTAGTGATAGGCACTTCTACTTCTGATACTTCTAGAAAGCATTGCGAAGCGAGAATACGGCATAGAAGTATTGGCAACTTGACAACTCTCGGAAAGTCTTATGGTGGTTTAGAAGATCACCGCCCTTTATCATCCGGGAAAAGACATACCGAGAGCATCAAGATGAGCAACGGTCCGCGGCCAAGCGGTCAAAGCATAAGGTATAAGCACGGAATGTTGACAGAGCGGTAGTTCTCATCGAGTCGGGCGGTTGTGAAGGAGCCTCGGAAAACAACCATACTTTCTCTGGATGAAGGGAAACACCGAGATGTGTCCAATTGAGCAAAGTTCTCAACGAGAATTGTCTAGGTAGTCAGGCACTAGAGTATTGCCAACTCGGTAGCTCTCGTAGAGTCGTGCAGCTGCTGAAGGGCTCCGAAAGACATTCAATCCCCCTTCCAGATAAAGGAGCACTCGGAAAGCTGTCAAGATGAGCAACGTTTTCTCCCCGCGTGAAGTCCAAGCTTCGCAACTGCCAGCCTCTTTCCGATCGGGCGGTTACTAACTCTTAACACATCCAGCACACGCGTAATCGGCCGAGCGTATCAGAGTTTCATGCGCTGGAGATGCGATCATGCATTCCCTACGCCGCGATGATGTGCGTGTTATCTCAGACCCACCCGAGCGCTTGGCAGATGGCATTGCCGACCCGCCGACTGCACTCCTTCGATGATTCGAGATGGATCGCCATGAATGCTCCAATCCCGACCGCATCCGCTGTCCAGAACGGCTTTTGATCAGTCGTGCAGTCGCATCTCCTGCGAAGAAACAGACAAGGCGGCTTCCTTCCAATCACCTCTCGACAAGGTTACAGGCCACGGAACCACAATAGAGCTCGGCTGTGCTTTTGCGTGGGCGAATGCTTGCTCAACCGAACGGAGAATGTGTACTGGCTCATGATGAACGGCTTGGAATGATGCTCACGACATTCGTGCTGCGCCGGTACAATAACGAGCTGCGGACTTCGGAGGTGTCCAGCACTGCTGGACGTACGGTCAAATCTGGTCTCGTGGCTTCCGCCATTGTGTCGAGTTGGACGGTCCGATACGCTTTCAGGCACACACGTCGAGGTATGCCGACCTTCATGGATAGTGGGCCGCGAAGACCCTGCAATCCTCACCCGTTGCTTTTCGATATGGAGTCGCGGCGCTTTCCGGTATGCTTCCAGGACCACAGCGCAAATCCTTCTCTTCGCGACGCTTGCGATCGAGCTCAAGAGAAAGGCGTACATGCATGGAAGTCGCTCGAGCCCGAGACGGCGCCATCACCCATCTCGTCTACATCGTCCTCGGTCTGATGACCTACATCTTGGTGAACGCGCAGCTTCTCGCCGGCGGTTCCACCGTTGTCCAATCCTCGACTGGAGTCTCAGACTGCCGCTGCTTGCTTTATCTTTACAATTGGCGTCATCCTGTACACCATGTCCGGCGGGGTCAAAGCTACGTTCATTATGGACTATTTCCACACCTGTGTTCTCATCATCATGCTCCACGTCTTCGCTTTCACGGCTTACGCCACGGGGTTCCGAGCTGAGATCCTCAAGTATTGTTTATGACAGACTCATTGCGGCCGGAGAACAGCACCCCGTCGCGGGAAACAAGGACGGCAGCTATCTCTCATTCAAGTCCACCCAAGGCGCTATCTTCTTCGTCATCAACATCGTTGGGCATTTCGGTACAGTGTAAGGCGTCCCTGTCTATCCCACTTTACGTTACGACCTCCTCCTTTCCTACATCCACCAACTGGCATACCACACGCACTGTTTTTTACTATACCATGCCAATACTAACTTTACCATTATCCAGCCTGTCCAATGCCAACGAGAAACGGCAGCTAAACTTCAAGTACGTCCTCAGCTGTGCGGCCCTGTCGTGGCTAGATTATCGCATCTCCGCTCAACATCACAGGCCATGGACACCGCAGCTCATCTGTTGGTGGCGCCGCGTGTGGTGAAAGGCTGGAGAAGCTCTACTTGGCCCCGCCTTCAAGATATCTCCCTCCAAACTTTTATTTCCACTGCTATCGCTCATTCGTCACATCTCCTGCCAACCTCGAAGGCTAAAGACAATGGCAGCGCCTCTTTTGGCAGCACTCCCTTTGGCTGTGGAGATGAAATGGGCCAATTAGTCAAGTGGCTGATGTTCGGAGCTGCTACTTCAATCGAAACTCCTGCATGGGATTTGGACTTGAGAACAACTGATTTGAAGAGAGTATGGTGAGGGGCTGCTATCCTCTACGTATCATGCTATTGCATGGCCTATCCATACTTCACCCAGCTCTCGATAATACTGCCCATAGACGCACCCACATCCAGTGCTATCGCACTCGTGATAGTAAGACCGCTTTCCGCCTGCCAGCTTGCTTCGGTCCATTCTCCGCCGCGTTGAAAGGCAAAATGAGAGCAATGCTATCTGCATCGCACAAATATCCCGATTCTCGAGACCCTTCTCGCTTCCTGCGTACGCTCCGAGTACCATACCAATCTCACTACTTCCAAGCCCTCACATCGAATCCTCTGTTCTCACCAGCCAGGCGAACCTGTGCCAATTGGCGCTGGACATTCTTGTTCACATACTGGCCCATGTAGTAAACCCATTCCCCGACTTCCGCCATCTGCTCTCGCGTCAATCTGTGGTTGTTGAAGTACAGAAGGAGCTCGTGGGTCGTGGGGAGCCTGTCGTAAACGGTACTTCCACCAGAACCGAACGGAGTACTCCAGCCGGTCGCAGTGCTCTGTTCGACATCCGCAAGATCGTCCAGCATCTTGCGGATTTCGCGATGCTTGTTGGGAAAGATTGAGTCTCCGTAGACCTGGAGCGTGGTGCGCATGGTGTCCAATGCGGTCTTCCAATGTGCACCAGCAACGCCATCCTCGTCGATAGAAAGATTGGGATGTGCCCACACCCCAGCCAAAATCATCTGGTGCAAGTACTCCACTTTTTGCCAGTCCACATCCCTCTCCCACCTGCTCCTTAGAGAGTTGACGGTGAAGCTAGGCGGGAGGTCAGGGAGTTGCTCCGGCGTGAAGGGGGATGTCGGTGCTCCGCCCCGGGAGGGTGTCTGAGGTGCTTGATGGCTTGTAGATTGCCCGCCGCGCGAGGGCGTCTGTGCTGCTTGATGACCTGTAGATTGTCCATGGGGGGAGGCCGACGTTGGGGTGTGCTGGCTTGTAGATGGCCCGCGGGGGGAAGGTTTCTGCGGTGTGTATTGGCTTGCAGATGGTCCGGTGCGCGATGCTTTCTCGACCATTGCTCCTGGGGACATCAAGGAGCCGAAAGTCTGATGCTTGGGGTCCGTGATCTTGAGCACCGTGTGGTCAGGGTTCTTTGGCAGGAGAGCAAGGTGCAGCGCCACTGTCTCACGCAGGACATCTGTATTTGTCCAAGTGCAAGGAATGCCAGCTTGATAGCAGCGAGTACAGGAATTCGTTCCTTCCTTCTGTTTGCACTCGTCGTATGCGTCCACCGCACGATAAACGGGATCACGCATGCTGCTTCGCTTTCCACTCAGATAGCATCGATCGCACGTCTTCCTCTGATGCCCTTTCGTCTTGATTGTGGTGTTGAACTTTGCAAACTCCCCTCCAACGTTCTGTGCTCCAGCATTCGTCAGCTCCTGTACGATCTGAGCTGCCGGTCGTAGCTGCCCAGCTTTGATGTGCTGCACCTCAGTCATTGGCTTCTTCTCGAGAATTTGTCGGAGATTGTCGAACGAAACCTCAACAACCTTGGCAAGACCATAGCGGAAATCGATAGAGCGTTTGTCTTGCACAATTTCACTGCGCTGGAGAAAGTTGAGAGTCCCAATGGCGCGCCCGAGAATGGTTATTGAGCCTGGCTGTGCATCGTCGTTGATGTACTTGTGGCCGCCTTTTTCGCCGCCAGCAAAGCAGTACGCTGTCTCAAACTGACCTTCAGTAGTCAGTGAGCTCCACATCGCGCGAACGGCCAATGTTGCCGCTCTCTTGGCATCGTCGTACGCGCAGACTGTTGGTAAACAGGCCCAGCTTTTTGGATGTGGGTAGCTGTCGGTGACCTCGAAGATCACATATACTTTCGTTCCAAGCGGCGGCCCGACGCCGGGAGGAAAGATGAAATCGACGCATTCACCAGTTCCATACGTTCCCGACCCTATCCGACAAATCCTCGAGGAATTTTCTTGTTTGACCAGTATACACGAAGTTCGGCCGTAGATGGTGAGTGCATGCTGTGGCAGGTACGTCTTCGTGTAGATCACCTGCAACCATTGGGAGTCGACTGGACTTGCAACATTGAGCCCTCTGATCTTGCCGAATCGCGAACCAGCGAAAGAAGGACGTTGGATCGCGGGCGTCCAGCCTATCGCAGTCAAAGTTTTCTCTGCAATTGCATTCAGGGCCCGCCCTGCTCGTTTAAAAGCGTGCCATCGCTGCTTCGCTTTCTGAGCCTTCCGTGCTGCCTTATGCTCTTCCTCTGTGCTCGCTTCGTCTTCTTCGTCCTCGGCTTCGGCCTCGTCCTGGTCAGCTTCGATGTCTTCTGGCGGTTCCTCCGTGCCATCTAGCTCATCCAAAACATTGTTCAGAGCATCATTCGACTGTGGCACAGACTTTTGGCTGTCCATAAACAAACGGTCGTTGTAGGTTCCGAACAGCAGAAAGTTGACTTGCTCGGCGATGATGCGGTACTCTTTGATCGCTTCATTCATGGAACAAAGCAGCACCGAACGACGCCATTTGCAGAACTTCATTGCAGTCCCGTGTACTCCTTTCTTGTTGGACAGTGCGTAGTCGTGACCTTGCATGCGGACCTCAATGTCTTGGCTCGAACCAATGTAAAGGTCACTTTGTGGTGGAGCGGTGACGACTTCAGCGTAGAAGCGAAGGTACAGGCCAGCGGCAGACAGTTTGGGTTCGATCTTGGTACCTGCATCAAGGATGGCTTGCATGGTGAAATCGCCGTTCTTCAACACGTGGAACAAACCGGCTTTCTTGTAACCCGTAATCATGCAATCGATCAAGTCGCGTCTCCTTTCCATCGTGTCGATGCGGGGATCTACCCATGAGGACAGTGTAAAACCGAGACTGTGACGGTTGTCGTGTATCGCCAGCAGGAGTCCTTCGATGGCGTGCTCAAGTAGCGTTTCCCCTTTCGGTCGTGAGGAAGGGACATGGATGACGTCCGTCGAGTGGATGACGGTGTGATCGACAGCTTTCCAGTCCCCATAACGTCTTCCGTTGCCAATGACCATCACAGAAAGTGGAATGAGGCCAACTTTTCCATCTGCGATCCCGACTCGGGCCCACTTGCACGTCGGATCAACCTCAAAGACTTTGCCCCATTCGTGGCGCTTGACGGTGAGCTGGTTCTCCCCGTTCGCCTTGTATTCTTGCATGACCACGAAAGGCCAGCCGCCGGCGATGTCGACCTTTGATCGCGGGGATTGTACACGCTTGCCGTTGCTCAATTCAATTTCGAGCTGGGAACGATCGGAAGAGATGCGGTAGACTCGCACAATCTCCCCTTTGTTGACAGAGTAGCTCCCTGCTTGCGCGCTCTTGTCCCCTTTCATTGTGCCCGGAATGACAGCGAGAGTAGCCACACAGTCGGAGGTGACGATGATGGCATCGTCTTTGTGGCCTGAATCCGAGACTTTGATGGATTTCTCATCTTTTGAGACGTCCAAGAGCTTGACGTTCTGCCACTTGCGCACGCCGTAGCCGTCCTTGTTCTTGCGGTCCTTCTCGACAATCAACCAGGTTGCTAACCTCTCCATGGTTGGCCGAGGGGCCAGCAGGCCGGCAGGGGAGGATCAGGGGATGTGACGGCGTAGGCGAGAGATCGAGTGTGCGGCGACGTGGGTGAAGGATGGTAGACGCGGCGGTGTGGCCGCTGCTCGGAGTGGAGGATCGGCGATCGGGGGCCGAGGGTGATGAGGAGAGACGCGTCGTCGTGGTGGGCGAGATAGAAGATGCGGTGGTGCAGGCGAAGGATCGAAGAATGAAGCGGTGTATGCGAGGGCCGGGGGAAGCGACAGCAGCGGCGCTGCTCGGAGCGAAGGATGGGCGATGCGGGTCCGTGGGTGATGATGAGAGACGCGTCGTCCTGGTGGGCGAGATAGGAGATGTGGTGGGGTGGGCGAAGGATTGGAGAATGAGGCGGTGTGTGTGAGGGATGGGGGAAGTGGCGGCAGGGGCGCTGCTCGTGGCGAAGGACGAGGGACGCGATGGCGTGAGTGGCTATGGGATATGCCACGGCGTGGGCGAGGATGGGAGACGCAGCGGCGTGGGCGTAGGATGAGAGAGGGACTTGGTGTTGTGTGAGAAAGAGTATTGAGGAAGGAAGAAAGAGGAAAGAAACGTGAGGCCGAGAAGATTGTTTGGCAGTGAATGAGAATTTTGTGAATGGAGAAAACAGCGAGCGAACAGAAACGCGAGCAAGGCAACAACTTCATCACGCGACTCTCACGTGAATGTGTCGGCGCGTGAAGGCGTCCACTAGTCCATGCCGTCATTCAGCAACCACACATGCACGGCCATGCTTCAATGTACTTGGTCGTAAGAACTACTTTGAGACTTTTGTGTTGTTGAGCATCCGGGGTAGTATGCATGTTGCCGGTATTGCCGCGCGTTTATTGGTTGCAAGGTCGACCCCCATCACAGCATCAAGCCTGCTCCTCCTTTATCTTCGCGTCCTCCGTAGACACTGCGGTGAGGAGCGAGTCGGCAAGGTCTTGATCGGATTCTTCGGGGGTGTGCGTGCTTGCCTGGGGCGCAGTCTCCGTGGTAGACTTCTGGTTCCGTTTCGCAGCACGACGTTGGCGTCTGACGCGCTGCAGTTGCCATGTTACTCACAGTCTTCGCCCGATGGGGTTCGCTACCCGACAAACCCTGCAATCTTCACACGTCTGCAGCAGTCTGCCAGCCTTCATAAAACTTGAAGGGGGTTTGTGTTTCGCACAATCTGTGCAGCATTGGTCATCGGCCATGGTGTGAAGTCGTGATTTGCCAGCGGAAATTGAGCGAGAAGGAATGAGTCTAACGAGCGAGCCTGCGATAAAGGAGCGGGTAATCGCTTCGGGACGGCGGTGGAGAGACGAGACAGGAGGTATGGTGTTTAAGGTGAGGTTGCACTGCAGGTGTTGTTCCGTGGACAAGCAGTATGAGATATACACGGGCGTAGTCTCATAGCTACACTACTTGTACATCAACTGAAGCTCTCACGGTCGCATGTACGCGAGTGGACGAAGGCTGTGCCTGTCGGTGGTGAAGTTGTTTTGACAATGTCACGACTGAAAATTACATGTATAGCGACATACTGCAACAAGGACTGAGAGATGTGTGAAATGGTGAAGGGTGGTATGCAGGCTTCTGCGTAATGACGTATCGATGGGCGGAGCACTGGAGTTCTGCAGCAACAGGGCGGGACCATGTCCGCAATCCTCATTTCCTTCCGCCACATTCCGCTCAGTCCGCGTCCTCACTGCCAAATATCCTGCGGAAGTAGGTACTGAGCGAGGGCAAGCGTTCCTCGACGGGCTCTCCTGCCTCAAGCAGGTCCGCACTTGCTTGAGATGGAGAGACTTTGTTTTCCCGAAGGCCTCGACTCCCATTCCCTGCCGTCTGCCTTTCAACCACCTGTATTATTACCATTCTCTGACTGCTGCCCTGGATCCTGTTGTTTTGACTCTGCGGCCGACAGCACTGTGACCTGACCCTTATGCATTTCGAAGCATCGACTCGTTGGCTCGGAGAGGCAAGCTGCTCGCATCGACGAACCCCAAATGGATGTCGGCAAGAATCTGACTCCCGAAGTCGATAAGGATGACGTTGGCGCACTGTTGTTAGGCGACTAGCGTCCTCACGGCCGTACAGACAGGCCGCGTCTGCAGGAAATCGAGCTGGGCGATGTTCCGCAAGATCTTCCGATAATGGAACCGGCCGAAGACCCGATGGCCTCCCAAGCTCGACTAACTGGATGCTCGGAAGAGGTGGCATATCTCGCCAGACACTTCGTTGAGGCTGGGTTGACACCGGTTCGAGGCTGGATTGACACCGGCTTGATGCTGGCTTGGGTGCTGTCTCGAGGCTGGCTCGATGCTGGCTTGATGCTGGCTCGATGCTGGCTTGATGCTGGCTTGATGCTGGCTTGATGCTGGCTTGATGCTGGCTTGATGCGGGCTTAATGCTGGCTTGATGCTGGCTTGATGCTGGCTTGATGCTGGCTTGATGCTGGCTTGATGCGGGCTTGATGCTGGCTTGATGCTGGCTTGATGCTGGCTTGATGCGGGCTTGATGCTGGCTTGATGCGGGCTTGATGCTGGCTTGATGATGCTGGCTTGATGATGCTGGCTTGATGCTGGCTGATGATGCTGGCTTGTCGGTGGAGCATGCACTGATTCGTCTTGAACCCCGAGTGATGCGACGTTTACTGATTGGCGCAGGCCTAGGTAACCAATCGAAAGTCCTCAAATGTGAGGTGGGTGAGCGAGAGGTACCCCCTGCCAGGAAGAGTTGATGCTCTCTCCAAACTGGATGGTGATGCGAGAGACGGGCGGCTTGCTGACGGGAGCAGGATCTCTCGAAATCGGATGGTGATGCAAGATGATGGCGGTCTGTTGCATTGCTGAAAGTGTCCTACGGACAGACACCCGATGCGGCGAGTCCATGCCTGGAAGCAGACGATGAATTGCTGCCGACCGATTGGCCGACGATGTTGTGCTGCAGGTGGGAAAGGCGGAGAATGATAGTGGGCGGAGGCAACTGCCTTGGCGGCGTTGAAATCGTGTGCCATGCCGGCGGAAGACACATCCGGAGTGTGGCTGCCTGAGATTCTTCGGAGGTGAGTACAGATCTTCCATGTTGTTGTGGTGCTGAAAGCGTATTGTAGGGAGCGGAGGGAATATGAGGTGGATAGACGATCGAGCTTGTGTCGATGCAGAGCACGATATCTCCGATTGTATCGGGAAAAGAGCTGGTCATTTGAAGTCAAGGCCTTTGGAGGTCGAGGCCATTTGGAGGTCGAGGCCATTTGGAGGTCGAGGCAATGCTGAAGGCATGCTCTTGTGGAGGTCGAGGCAATGCCGAGGGCATGCTCATGTGGAGCTGACGAAGAGTGAGGTAGGCAGACGACGAGCTTCCTTTAATGGAATGTCGATGGATCTGGCGTGAATTGGCGATGGCATGAAGATGTTGAAGATGTGTCTTCTCACTGTGGCGAACCATCTGACCCCTCCACGCCGGGGCGCTTGGCCCCGACGTGATGAGGCCAGACGGCCGCTGGGTTTCCCCGAGTGATTGGCCGGCCATCTGACCCAAAGATGGGAACTCAGGAATACTGAGCTTCGAGCTCAGCATCCGCCTGCATGGCGGTCATGTCGGCGTACGAAACGACCGCACGACTCCGCCGGGAGCGACGGCTGCCCGCAGGCGCCTCGTTCTCCTTCTCCTCCTCCACCACCACCCTCTCCTTCCTCGCTCTCTTCGCCCTTTTCGGCGGGCTCTCCTCTTCTTCATCCTCCTCCTCCTCCTCATCATCATCATCATCGTCATCCTCCTCGTCGTCCGAGACGAGGAACTTCTCCTTCTTCTCCTTCCTCTTCCTCTTCTTCTGCTGCTGCTGCTTCTTCTCCTTCTTCTTCTCTTTCTTCTTCCTCGGCCCTTTGGCCCTCGCCTGCCGGGCAGCTTTCATCTCCGACAAAGTCATTGGCATGAAGCCGGGATCTGCCAGACCCGGCAACAAAGGGGCGGGAGAGCTGACCCGCACGGCGGGCAACACCACGGGGGCGACAGAAGGCCACGACATCTTGATGTCGACAATTTCGGGCGGCAGCAAAGAGCACTCGACAAACTTGTTCTCTGCGGTCGTAAGACCGAGCGTGGTGTTGATTTCGGCCCTGCAATACACATCAGCATACAACGCACGTCATCATCCAATGCACCGCTTGCATATCGCTCCACTCGACTCGACTTACATCTTGCCCTCCGTGCATGAAAAAGAAAATGTTGAGAGGCCCGAAAAAGCTCGGTCACGTTCGGCCCCGCTCCACTCGCCTGAGGAAGGCGCGCGACGTCGTGGAGGAAGGCGCGATGCCAATACCATGCAACTTTTGGCAAGAACCCCCCACGTTTTAACCTCACCGAATACATCTTCAGCAAAGGCTTCTTCACTGGTTGGATTGCGATTGGTATCTTTTGGCTGTTTTGCTCCGGCTTCTGCGTCGGAGTTTATCCAATCTGGGAAGGTCGACATACAAGCTCGCGGATGGTCAAGTACATTCTCATGGATGTCTTTGGGAAAGGAGCACCTGTCCTCCACGGTCGGGCGACCAATATTGAGGAGAGCTCGGACGGAGATGAGAAAGGGGATGTGAAAGGGGTTCATGTCCAACCAGAGAAGACGATGGAGGGGTGATGATTTCAGGAGTGAAATGAACGGCCTGCGCGTTATGTTTCCCAGACCTTGCAATCTGCTTACTTATTTTATCTCACTCACGGCTCCTAAGCTAACTCCACGGATTAAGAACCAATTTTTGCCCGCTTACCTTCCCATCCCCCATCAAATCCAACGCCTCCTGAACACCCCCCAACCCGCCTTCCAGCCACCGAGTCGGCGTCGGTTTGATGACCCCCGATGCAAGACCTCGTGGTAGCAACTCCTCATAGAACCACTTCTTAAAATCCGCATTTTTCTCCAACGTCCAGCCAAACGAGTCGAATTCTCGGGTAATGTTGGCAGGGATGGGGATGGTGCCTGGAAGAGGCGGGATGAATGCGAGGTAGTGACACCCGCCAATCCCCTTCAGGTACTCAACCATGATGCTCGTCACTGGAGGCAGTCCTATGGCGTCGAAAATGCACTTATAGGGCCCGTTGGATGCGATCTCCGACACGATCTCCGCGTGAGGCTGGGTGTGGTCGATAATGTGGTCTGGCTTCAAGGAGCCAACGTGAGACCGGTTGCGAGGAGATGATGTAGTGATGACTTTGTAGCCTGCGGCCTTTGCATAGCAAATCGCAAGCCCGCCGGAGGAACTCGAGCCGCCGTAGATGAGCACTTTCTCATCAATCGGCGGCGCCGGCTCAGCCAAGCTGGGGCGTCTCAGGTCGGCATGCAGTGAGAGGGCTGATGAAATGGAAGCCAGATTCATAATTGTTGCTGCGCCGTCCTCGAGAGACACCCCTATTGGCAGCTTGGCTGTGGACTCAGGTGCAGCGATTGCGAATTGCTGGAAACCACCCCAACGAGCGTCTTCCAAAGTTGATTCGGGGCGAAGAGTGGTGACGCGATCTCCCGGTGCGAATTTATCGACTCCAGTCCCCATACTTTCAACGATGCCTGCGAATGATAGTCCAGAGACGTATGGATACTTGACAGGATGTGTTTCGAATCTGGAAGTGCTGTCAGCACTGTTTCTTCGGCGCGGGTACTGGACTTTGTACCGCTGCATCTTCGACTCAATTGGACTGAATGCAATGACTTCAACTTTGATCAACAACTCCCCAGGTCCAGGAGTGGGAGTTGTGACCGTCCGAACTTCCACATTCCGGCCCTTGCCATCGCTCCACGCTGCTTGGTGTGTCATGATCTCGAATGCTGCTGCCTTGAAGGCGTCGCTATTGCACGGTGGAAGCACAGTATTTATCGTTTGCTCGTCCGGAGATTGGGCGTGATCATCTCCGACTTTATAAGCAAGAGATCTTGCTATGTCCGCGGTGGAGGTTGATCGCCCTTCTTGAACGGTGCCAGCCTTGCGCTAAGCCGAGAGTGGAAGGTAGTCGGCTTGGCACAGAGCTGAGCGATCTGCTGCGGGATCAGCGATGCTGAATAAGCCTCCCAACAGCAGGGTTCATGTTCGCCACAAGATACCCACTACAGCGCATCACAGATTCGATCATGTATGGTTTAATACCATCAGCCAGTGTGCATGCATGCCATTGACATGTCTCGGATGGCCAAGCGAGGTGGCGAACAGTCCAATGCGGCGGATTGCTCCCCGGACCGGTAATGATACGATGCAGAGACCTCAAAGATATGATTTCGTCAACATCATCACGCCAACCGATCTTCCCAGCCCGGAACACCGCAGGAACGTGCACATGCTGTCCATGCGCGCATTCCGGCGCCGGCAGCGCATCCGGCGGGTACGTGAATACAACCAATCCCGGCCACTGGCCCCTGCCAACAGCGATCGAATGAACGAGTCGGGAGGCCAATCGATCCGCTTTGACTCGATTGGCAGCTCTACGCAGCTGTCTTCGATCCAACAGAGCCTCCTGTTTCACTTCTCCACGGTCATCGGGCCCTCTTTGCTTCCCTGCGGATCCACAACGGGCCAAAGTAACTGGGTGGCTCCTTGGCTTCGCCTTGCCTTGGCAGAGCCTCTCATCCTTTACGCCTTGTGCAGTCATGCTGCCACCGACCGAGCGAGCAGAGGCGCGACCGACACCGTTAGCTCTCTCCGCTTTCGCAGCTTGACTCTCGCCGGAGTACGCGAGAGGCTCGCCGCCAACGACGGTCTACCACACGACAGCACCATTGCCGCAGTCCTTCTCCTTACAGCTGGAACGCTCATAACCGGCAACATCGAGGAGCTCTTTCATCACATGCAAGCCCTTGAGCGGCTGGTAAAACTGCGAGGTGGGCCAGAGAAGCTTGGGTGCGGCGGGATAGTACCGTTGGCGATGGAGTGGCATCATCCCAGCGTAGCACTTCTCCTCCAACACTCCCGCAAGCCGTTACCGACCGCCAGCAGAAACTTCGGCCCTTCTCGAGATGTGTACATGCTTTTACGACAATGCCGAGGCTTGGTCGCACAGATGGAGAAGTTCGAGCTAGGCGACCCTACCGCCATCCAAGATGCCGCAAAATTCGGCGTCAGACGATCCGCCTTGGAACATGGGCTCGTGACGTCCTTTCAAGAAGGGCATCATACTATGATCGACACGGTGACTCTGCTGGCCGCTATGACGCTGGCTTTCACCTATCTGAGGCGCTTTACCCTGCGGACCCCAACAGTTGTGGTGTTGCGACAACACTTGCGGCGAGTACTGGAGAGCAGTCGCAGTCTACAGAACGACGACGATTTACCGGACGACCAGGCTGCGACTGTATTATGGGCAAGTGCGGCGGCCATCAAGGCAGGAGTAGGGACAACACATCGCTCCACTTTGCATCATCTTATCCTGATCTCGATTCGAAGGCTGAAGATTCATGACATCGGACGAATTGATGGAGTTCTACGCGGCTGTGCTTGGGCCGGTGCACTGTGGACTCCGGAGCTGACTGATATGATGGCCACGGGGCTTGCAGAGGCTAATACCGTTGACTATAAAACTGAGCATTAATATGCTGGCGGGGGGGATGGAGGCCTGCAATGACATCGTCAGCAAAAGCACGATCATGCTCAAGATGTACTCACCCAAGATCACGAGGTGCGGCCTGATTTTTGATAGACCCGAACATGTCACCGATGTAGTTGTCCGGCTTAATGCCCCCCTCGAAAATACCATTCCAATTGTCAACAACATCCCTCACAACTTCAATCCCAGCAAGGTAAATATTCTTCAAAGCAGGCTCATGCCCGCCCTGATTCCGGTAAAGCAATTGAGACAGCGCCCCAACGCCAGGCGGCGGACGATCAAAATTACTCGCCGTCCGCATATTGATAACCCGACTGTAGTCCAGCTTCCCAGCTACATGGCCTCGAACAAGGGCTTCGTGAATGCCGCTGTCCTCGGTGTTGGTAGCGCAGTACGTCCCCGAGCCGTTTGTCATGAGGCGAGTGTAGTTTTGGAAGGCTTCGCCGTATGCGTGGCCTGCCCAGTAGGCGTTGCTTGCTCCGCTTACGCAGGAGACGATGCCCGGTGGTTCGTTCGCTGGGGCGTAGTCGTATAGCGCTCGATACACTTTGGTGGCCGGGGTGTCTTCTAATTTGGCTTTACGAGCGGCGGCCATGGCGCGGCGCATGAGCTTTGCATTCAGCTCGAATGCCTCCCAGCCGAAGATCAGCGTTGGATAGGCAGCGGGATCTGTTGTGTCTGGCAGTTCCGATCTCAGAGGTAGCCAGCCGGAGGAGTAGTTGTTGGGAATTTCCAAGGCTGAAGCGGCGTACTGCGTGTCGAGAGTGACAACGTACGGCGCAAACGTGACGGACGTAATGGTTGCCTCATGGGGATTGATCCCGGCAATGGCGGCGATGAGGAAGTAGGTCTTTCGCAGGTCGAAGCGCGGAGACGACCACAAGACTGTCAGAGATGCGGCCGCGTTGACGACTACATGTAGGTTGGGGATCAGTACTTTACATCTTCCTAGAAGGGTGCCGCCACCTACCTCCTAAACCCGTGGTCAGTTGGCAAACCTCGCCTCCCGAATCACAATGGACGTCGGGCCAAATGGGCGAAAGTCCAGGGATGGTGATGTTGTTTGCGAACAAGTCGAGAGAAGACCCTTGGTACCACGCATTGGCTTCTGGCGCGAACTGAGTGTCCCTGAATCAATATAACCTCCTCGTTGGCAAGAGTATTTACCAAACGTACAGTGCTCAAGATGAATACCTTCGGCCGAATGACATCGCGGCCAGCCTTTTGGAGGACGTATTGCCCATTCTCGCCGACATCTGAACTAACGGCGGTGATGAGGAGATGAAAACAAAGCAGCCAAGAGAGATTCATGCTGAGAGATGCCTGTGCTGACGAGTGTGAAAGAGTGAAGTTAGGAATATCGGGGGCTAGGCTGCGACCAGGTCAACCCATCGGAGCCCGCCGAAAGTCGAATAGAGTTGGGAAGGAGCGAACACGCGGGGTACGACAGTGAATACGAGGCTGACTGATTTTACGAAAGACTGGACGACAGACGTCGAGAAGGAGTCGACATTTTGCTCTAAAGAGTGGCATAGCGCCATTACTACGTAGGCACTACATATCTACACAGCACACTTTTAATTAAGGTAGATTCTCACGGCCCTTGCCTGGCTTTTCCTAGCTAGTAGCTAGTCGAGTTCCAGCCTCCCGACGGCAGGCTCATGAAGTACGCCAGCATCTTGGGGTAGTCCGGAGTGCCTAAAGACATTAGGATTAGCAAGTGCTTTGTCTCACTTCAAGAGTGATAGGTAGAACAAGCTCAGTGCTCTGATCAAATGTGCGACGTTGCCACTGGGGGTTTTCCAGGCATCGATCGCTGCTATTAATCTCGAGGCAGCTGCACAACTTTGTCCTCAGAAAGTCGACTTACCCAGACCTGATACGGGATCCCAACCGGTGGCGGTTTCGAAGCCGTTAGTGCCGCCTTTTGATCAGAGATTAGCGGTGCAAAGCAGGAGTACCATGAGAGTTGCACTTACATCCCGCATTATGGCCTTTGACCACGTCATTAAATATGCTCGCGTTCTTATAGAAGGCGGGGTTCAAGAAGCCGAGAGACGACTTGCCCGCAGCCAGACGTTCCTCGACAATGCGGTTGATGATGCTCGCGAAGATGGGCGTAGCTTGCGAAGTGCCGGACTCCAACAGAGCCTCGCCGTGGATGACGATCGTAGCGTTGGCGCCGTTGCAAGACACATCGGGGTATCCGCGGCCGGCGGAGTTGTAGCGGCCGCCCGTCTTGCCCTGCAGTTCGTTGACGTTGACTTTGGCCGGGTTGGGGACGATTTTGGCGAGGTCGCTGTAGGATTTGTAGGGCGGCGTGTGCTTGGTGAGGTACTCCTCCACCGCAGATTGCTGGTAGGAGGGTCTGGGAATATGTCAGTGTGGGTTGATAGATTAGAGAGTCCTTCCGCCACCAGCATACCTGGGGTAGATGTTGCTAAAGCCGCCGCCGGACGAGTAGATGTTTTCGGGGTTCGCGGCTGGGAAGAAGACGGCGACTTCTGGCTGCGCATCGCTGCCGCCGACAGTGGCGCCAGGGGCGACCTCGGTGGCTCCGACGTTGGTCAAGTAGGGGCAGGAATTGGGCCAAGCGGGGTTGAAGACGGTGTAGTTGCTGTTGCTGCCGGTACATCCAGTCGGCGAGTCACCTCCCTCGGACGCAGGAAGATCGGCCACACCAGAGTCTCCGCTGGCAAAGAAGATGGAGGTGCCCTGAGAACAAGTGAGCAATAAATCGAAGACGAGAACGAGCATTCTATACGCACCTGGAGACCGAGCTTCATGAATTCGTTACATTGTCTCGCTTGGCTAAAAAGTCAGGGTTAGCAAGTGCTTTCTCTCTTGAGGTGTTGGGCTAAACTGACTATGCGATTGGAACATCTACTTCTTGACCGCCGTAGCTGGAGGAAAAGACGTATGGGGGCTTGAACACACCACATTCGAGAGTTCCTTGAGAGAGGGAAGTTAGTGGGAGCGCGTGCGAGCAGGTGGGAATGAGTTGCTAACCATTGAAGCCACCATGCTTCTCCGGGTCGGGGTATTTCGGGTCAAGATTGGGATCATTGCCCGTCTCACCGTAAGCGCTGTAGGTGCAATAGGAGCCGTCCAGAGCGTCCAAAAGGTCATTGAAACCTGCAGACCGACGATGTTAGCATACTTTCCATGTCACGTGATTAACATTCGGACACCCACCAAAAGTCGTCGTCAGATTGGCAATGTCCACGCGTTGGTAGTGAAGGTCGTCCTCGTCGTAGATGTAGATCTTCTGCGGGTACACAATGGGGTACGCAACGTCCAGATCCAGTTCGATTTCGCCACCGTTGGTGATGGACACGAAATGGTGGGGAGTCTCGCTTTCGCCGCCGTCAACGGCCTTGTTCACCGGCTCAGTACCGTTGGGGATATTGCCGTGGGTGTAATTGGTGAAGAAGAGGTCCAAATCGGTCGGATCCCAACGCTGGAAGATGGACTCGTAGAGGCCGAGTTGATTGGCGGGGTTGGGCGTCAACGTTTGTTTGGGAATCTTGTACAAGGCCGCAAGACAGTCTGGGTTGACCGCTTCGTCACAAGTGGAGAGGCCGTAGTTGCTGTACTGGGGAGGAGACGGCGCGCGGCGCGCGGCGCCAAAAGTATTGGCCTTGACTTTGGTAGGAGGCAAGAGCTTCAAGCCGGGGGTGATGAAGTCAATGTGCGGCTGCACCTCTTTAGGCACAGAGTAGGCGTGGGTGGAAGGGGCCTTGCCCTTGGTGACCGAGTCCTCAAACTCGTAGAATTCCGCGTGCAGCAGAGACTCCACCTTGCTGGCGGGGGCGTTGAACGCAATCCAAGCCTTGTTATCCGACAGCGACAAATCGGAGAAGCCACTGCTCTCAAGCCAGGACTTGACGGCCGCGGTGGACTCGTCGCTGGGCTTGAAGAAGTCCGTCACCTGCTCGGAGGTCCAATGTTTGCCGTAGTTGGGAGAGTCGGGGTCAGAGACATCGAGCAGCATCTCCTCGCCTCTGTCGAGGTTGCTCTGCGTCAAACCCACGCGGACGGGGAGGAGGGCGTCGGGGGCCACGCGACCCTTCTGCACCCATCGAGACGACACCGAGGCGGGGTCGCGGGCCTCGTGGATGACGTGGGAGGTTGGGGCCGCTGCGATGCAGTCGGCGAGCAAGGCGGCGACGAGCAGCAATGAATGGACCATCGTTGCGACTGTCCGGATTGATAGAGGCCGAGAAGATGGGGAAGAAGAGGGAAAGGCGGGCTATAAAGAACCGCAGCTCTCGCGTGGTTGCAGCGAGTCAGCTGGCCAATGCATTATTATCGTCATTCGACTAGCTTTCCAATGGATGCAACCTTCCAGAAGCAGGGACTGGACGATAGCGGGAAGCCGGACAAGAACTGTGCCTGGCTAGGAAGGTGGGGGGACTCGTGATTGGTGGGGACGGGATTGATGCATCCCACGCCGGTGCAAGCTTTTCCTCTTCAGCCGACGAACTGCTTGATCGTCTCGGCTCGCGCATGAATGTTGCCTAATTTTACGTTGCGGCGAGGCAGAAGAGTGGGACGCCGCGCTGTCCAGTGCCGCGCTTCTCCGATCCAAGCTTTCCTGTGTTTTCTTGGCCCCGACTTCTTGTTCTTGATCGCGTGTCTCTGGTGCACACAACTTTCTTGCCCGCTACAACGGGGCGGAACCGATGCGGCGGATACTGTAGAATCGAAGAGACATTACCGGTCGACCTTCCCGACTGCTCGAGCGCACTCTCTGGACGAAGTTGAACAGCGCCATCCTGCAACGGCTCTACAAAGCTCTCACAGACGGCAGACCCGTGGCTCAGATCTTGACCCGGAGCAGGGAACGGGACAGCTCCGCGATTGCGAGCGGGGACACTCTGCTGCGAAAAGGCAGGCATCATGATACTTTTCTATTAGTCGACGCTGCTCTCTCGGGAGATGTCGTCGACATAGACTTCACTTGTGATCCACTCCAGTCGTGATTCCTGCTGCTTTAGGCATCTACAGGCAAAGCGGTGCCTCTTCCTTCGAGTCTTTCAAGATCCTCCCGACCCTGGCCGGGTACTGTACAGTCAGCAAAGGATGTTCATGTTGTTTCCCGCGATTTCCCCATGTGGGGCACTCGGGCGGGGTGCCGGGGCCCGTGCGCCACGTGAACCCTTCTGCACCACCTCGACTACTGTCGTGCGGCCGACTTCACCTCCGAGATTAAAATTGCATGTCCACTTTCCCGCGTGCGAGCGAGGCCCTCTTATCGCGCTATAGCGTGCGATAGCCAGCATGCAAGTACCAAGTAGAGGCAAATGTGCGGGATGCATCTACGCGATGTGCACGCCAGACGTGCGTGATCGCCCCTTTAATCACAACGGCAATCATTTCACGCCGTCTAGGTATGTATATCAGAGATGATGTGCCGGCCATGGCTCATCACTCACCCTTGGTCTTTCATTCTCACTCTCACGCTCCTTTTCTTGTCCTGCATTGTCCATTTTTCCTACAGTCATTACAGTAAATCCCCGTTCGGCACCACTTTCTCACCATGTTCTTCACTAAATCTACGCTCTTCACCGCCCTGGCCTCCCTATCATGTCTGGCCAGCAGTCAAGCAACCCAGCCCTGGCCCCTGCAAGGCCACGTTCTCCACACTCAGACCTTCACCGAACTCAAGAAGCAGGCCCCGTCCACTTCCAACGTGACCGACGCCCTTACAGTCTATCCCCCGGTTCTCACCGTAAATCAAGCTGGACAACTCGTCGCCACGAATGCGGACCCGGGTGCGACGACGGAGGTGGTGGCTCCCTCCATCAAATCCTGTCAGCAGACCCTGGTCGTCCATTCTTTCGCCAATTCTTACGGCGCTCCATACGTAGGAACGTACAACCCACCGCCTTGCGATTTCAACTCTGTTACCTGGAACTTGACGACGCAGACGAGCGGTATCCAGTATGACCGCATGGGTGTTGTCTCATTCGGCAACATTGAGCTCTACCGTACTACCACCATTGAGCCAGATATCAACGTCACCCAGTACACGTATCTGAAGGTATAATTAGCGTTTGCACCGCGCTCTCGACTCAGACTAACCGCAAATGCAGGACATGAGTCCGTTCTTGCCTCTTTTCCACTCAGAGCAAACGATCATCTTCGACCTACCCAACATTATCGACCCATCAATCAACATCACAGGCGATTACAACGTCACCCTGACCGCGACATACTTCACTGTAGAGACCTCCTACGTCCCCGCCGACAAGATCTTCTCCATCTCTCAGGATCTAGGCGCAGAAGGCCAATCTAGCTACTTCACGTTCCCCCAACAGAATGCTTCCAGCTCCCTCACTCTGCCACGCAACATCAAAAAGGCCATCTACACCATCACCGCCACCGGCCAAGCCGAGGAGGAGTTCTGGTGGTCCAACTTCTTGAACAACGAAGTCAACACCTTCCCCGACGACCCCTCCTACGGCTTCTCCCCATTCCGTGAAGTCGAGCTCTACATTGACGGAAGACTCGCCGGCGTCTCCTGGCCGTTCTCCATCATCTTCTCCGGTGGCGTCGATCCCGCGCTGTGGTCACCCATCGGCGGCATCGACATTCTCGACTTGAAGGAGTATGAGATCGACATTACTCCGTGGCTCCCATTGCTCTGCGACGGCAAGCCCCACACTTTCGACATGGTGGTGTCAGGTCTCAACAACACCGGCACCAGCGGCAAAGCCACGCTCTCCGAAACCGTGATGGACGACTGGTTCCTCGGGGGCAAGATCTTCGTGTGGAGCGACAAAGCAGGGCACATCACGACCGGCTCCGGCCCTCATATCACCGAGCCCGCACCCACCCTTGACTTCTCCTCGAGCTTCAAAACCAACCGCACGGGCGCCAACACCTCTCTCACCTTCGACGTCGAAGCCCAGCGCCACCTCAACTACCACTCCATCATCAAACTTTCCACCGGCACGGAGAAAGTGTCGTGGTCGCAGAAACTCAACTACTCCGCCAACGCCCTCATCACGCAAGCAGGCAACATTGAAAAACTCAACATCGTCACCACCGGCTACGAGTCTTCATCGAGCGGCTACGCGCGTAACTTCGGCTACCCCTTCTACTTCAAAGCCACCGAGACCATCATCCAATTCCTACGAGGCAAGGACGTCACAATCCTAGGCCAACCCGTCTTCCCCACTGGTTTGGAGACTTTCTTCTCCAACACAACTGGCAAAGGCTCGTCGGCGGAAATCGAGCAGAGCGCCATCAATAACAACGGGAGCGTGTCGACTTCCACCTCGTTGACCTTCTCTGCGCTCGAGTTTGGCAACAGCCCGGGCGGATATGGTTGGCCGTCGTACGCGAGTATGCCGGCAATTGCATCGAACCAGACGCTCTTCACGCAGCATGCTACTGCTTCTCAAGGCGTGCTTGTTTCTGACCAGACGGAATTTTTGGTGAAGCCTCAGATTGAGTTGTAGGGACTAGTATATGAACCACTTGTGAATGCTATGAACTGTTAAGAAACGATACTCTCTCGCGCTGTCTGTTCAATCTCGCTTTCGACGAGATCGTTGCTGTGTTCCAGGCTTCTTGGGCCTGCCCGCAGCGGACGTGGATGCCCGATTACCTAAGCAGTCTGTTCCTGCGCTAGTGAAACTTTGAAGCACTCCAGCATTGCTCATCAATTGAACATCTCCACTCGCTTCAACAGTCAAAGGATGCCATAGTCCTGAGCGCCACGATCTCCCGCTCTTACTCCTTTGAACTGTAACTGTTGCAGATCCGCAGAATGGCGACTGCACCAGCGGCAGAAGACGGCGCAGCAGCGCCCAGCGCAACGTTCGTACATTGCACTCCGTACGAACAACGCGTAGGCCCCCGAGCAGGAAGCTAACCCTTCAACCAACAGAGTCTACGTACGAAACGGCAACACCTCCCCTCCCGCAATCCACTAATCACTCCTCCCACCCGCAGGCCCGCAACCTCGACGAGCGCGTCAAAATCCCCACCCTCACCGAAACCCTCCGCGAGCTCTTCGAAGAGTACGGCACGATCCTCGAAATCGTAGCAAAGAAGAACGTCAAAGCGCGCGGGCAGGCGTTTATCGTTTTCGATTCCGTGGAAGCGGCGACTGAGGCTATTGACGAGGTGAACGGGTTCGAGGTGTTTGGACGGCCTTTGCAGTTGGCTTTTGCGCGGTCGAGGTCCGATGCTACTGTGGTAAGGGAGGATGGGGAGGAGGGGTTGGAGGCGCATAAGAGGCGGCGGTTGGCGGAGAAGGGTGGGTTGATTGTGTGTGGGTATATGTTGGGATACGGACTGATGATTTGCAGAGCGCAAGCAAGCTCTCGAAGCAGCGCAGAAACCCGCCAAACGCCCCGCAGCAGAGAATCTCGCCGAGCGACCTGCCAAATCTGCCAAAGCGGCTCCCACTGCTACCGGTGGTGTCGTGCCAGACGAGTACCTTCCGCCCAACAAGACTCTCTTCCTGCGCGACTTGCCCGAAGACTACGGCAAGGATGGGCTCAGTCTCATCTTCAGCCGCTTCCCTGGCTTCAAAGAGGTGCGGATGGTGCCTGGACGCAAGGGGATTGCGTTTGTGGAGTACGAGGGTGAGGATGGGGCGATTGCGGCGAAGGAGAGGACGGCGGGGATGACTTTGGGGGAAACGGTGATCAAGGTGACATACCAGAGGCAGTAGAGATGATATTGGAGATGGTAATGCAGCGGAATCAAATCATAAACTTCACAGTCTCAGCCGTTGATCGCTCTCGATTTTCCGTCTCGCCACCAGACCACGTTGCTCGCTATTTGCACACTGCACACCATCACATTGTGTCACCCACGATCCGATGCTTCTTCGGCCCTTCGCCCACCATGTATGACTTCCACAGATACGTGAACTTGCCCCCCTCCCCCTTCTGGCGTTTGAACCGGTTGCATCGCTCGTTCCCCTTGGTCTTGGAGCCTTTCGGGGCTTTGATGAACTCGTACGTGAAATCAACTCCATCGAGTTTCTTGAAGTCCTCATCTTTCCACAGCCCCCTATGCATGTTTTCCCCGGCCTCTTCGGCCATGATCCTTCGCAGCTGGGAGTTTGGCGCCGTGATATCGAAGGCCAGTTTGACCGGTGGCCAATTGACGGTGAAATTCTTGAGCATGTCCATTAGAGCAAGCATGATCTCGTCCTGGAACGCGGGGACGGCGTATCTGTCCCCGAGCGCCCAGCACCGAACAAACAACTTAGATCCCCCGCGGTCATGGGCTGTTTCGACATCGATGGGGAAATTTGGCAGCTCCCGATTGAAGAGCCAGAATAGAAAGACTCGCCAGCTCTCGACATCGTCTTCGGGGAAGTCGATTCTCCTTGCCTTGCCCTCGCTGAAGGTGTTTGGATCCAAGGCTTTGGCGAAGTACTCCGGGGCTTGACTGATGAGGAGGTTGTGTGGGACTAGGAAAGGCTTTTTGGCGTTTCCCACCCAGATCTCAATGAGGCGGGATGATTGCAGATTCCTTGACCATAACATTAGCGAGAGTGTCTGGCGCAGGGCAAAGATTACTCACTCCGAGAAGGTCTCATAGTCACGTTTGTTCCCAGCCGCAACGGCCACTCCTTTGTTGCTCGAGCCCTGCTTCGCGGAGCCGTGGTCGCGTGCTTTCTCCATTGCGACTGTTGCCATGCAGTTGCCTTGTGGGGGCGGATGGAGTTGTTGTGGAGAGGAGATGGATGGATTGAGAATCCACAAGCCTCAAATACTTACATGAGTGGGCATGTGAACTCAGAAGTCCAATGACTTCGCTAGTTCCACTTCGGGTGTGTTGACTTCGCCGTCACCAATGATGATTCGAATGCAGCCATCACGGATACCAAGCAACACCGCGCACCCCATTCTGCCGATACGCGGTCCACTTGCCCTGCCTTCGCTTCCAATGCACAATCGTCACACTCTCCCGCTCCACGTTCGCCGGATGACCCTTGACCCGCAAGTGACACCACACGGCGCCCATTCCGTTCTTCTCATTCACATTTGCCGAAATGGTCAGGATTTCCAGGGAATACTCGGGATATCTTTGCACAAAGGCTTTGTAATTGGACAGGAACTCGTCGCGACTTTTGGCTAGGGGCGTGTCGCTGTATTCCAGGTACGCGCAGTAGTCGTCCGTCTGCCAGCGTTGCCATTCGGGGTGGTCGAAGTTGTGCTCGGTGACGAGGTTGATCATGCGAGCCGTGCGGTCCTCGAGGGTTCGCGCGATTGCAGAGGTCGAAGCGGCGGTTTCTGTTGCAGGGGCAGACGAGGTGGGAATCAGGAGGTTCAAGGAGTCCAGCTGGTTGACGGCGTTGAATTCGGCTAATAAGGCCTGGGAGGCGGGCTGTGCTTGCTGCGATGCGGGAGGAAACACGAACTCCCAGGCCTCTCCATTGAGTGCACCACTGCTAGGGGCCATGTTGCCGCCGGGGCCAGTCGAGGCCAAGGGAGCGGGCATTAGCCACTCCTGCTTTCCCACGTCGTGCAGAGAGCTGAACTCCGGTGGCGCATCCTCGCTCATGTTGGAGATGCAGCAGTCAGGCGGGAGAGGGAGCCATGGGCCATAAATGTCATCCGCCTGGTCATTCCGGGTATCTCAGGCTCATAGTAATACTTGGGCGGCGGGTCATTTCCTGGTAGCCATGGCACCTTGGCATCGCCGTTTTCTTCCCAAGGCAGCCACCTAAACCTCCGACTGCTCCAGAACATCCGCGTTGATCAGTCAGCACATAAGCTTTCGGATGGCGAACCCTAAATCGTTCCTCCTGCCGCATTGAGTCACCGTGAGTCGTGCATTGGAAATTTGTCAAAGACAAAGTGATCGTGACAACACCTTCACAGCCCGCTGTGCCGGATCCTCCCCGCCATCAATGGCATAGCAAACCGCGCCCTCTGCCGTCCCGTCTCTCCAACATGGCCGTCTCAGCGTGGAGGCGACTCCTCAACACCACGCAAATCCGCAATGACTACTCGCACAAACCCGCCGGACTCCGATGGCGAAGCAACACCATCTTCATCCTCGCCACCGTCGGCGTCGGCATCTTCACCGACCTTTTCCTCTACTCCCTCGTCGTCCCCGTGCTGCCTTTTCTCCTCGAAGATCGCGTGGGCATCCCTCCGGATCAAGTACAGCGATACACGTCCGCCCTCCTCGCCACCCTGGCCGCGTCGAGTGTGGCTTTCTCTCCTATTGCTGGTGTTGTAGCGGACTCGGTTTCCACTCGTCAGGCTCCATTTCTTATTGGCCTATCTGCTTTGATTGGCGCCACGGTTTTACTATTCACAAGCACCACTCTGCCCCTTCTCATTCTTGCGAGAATTTTGCAAGGAGCTAGCAGTGCGCTCGTCTGGACCGTTGGCATGGCCTTGTGTATCGAGACTGTCGGTCCGGACAATCTCGGCAAGACTATCGGAACAGTAAGTTGATCTCCCTTTCCTGATTACCTAAGACGCCAATCATAACGCTGCGCAGCTCTTCTCTTTCATCTCTGTCGGCTCGCTATGGGCACCCGCTGTCGGCGGCATTCTCTACGAAAAGACCGGCGTCAATGGCGTGCTCGGCATCGCACTCGCGGTCCTCGGCGTCGACTTCTTCATGCGATTACTCGTGATCGAGAAGAAGGTAGCAAAGCGATACGAAGCAGAAGCCGAAAGCGACAACGAACCCAGCACACCCCCAACCGAAACCACCCCCGACAACCAAACCCCAGAAGACCCCTCAACCAACGAACGCCAACCCCTCCTCAAACCCCAAGAAGAAGACCTCACCACCTACATCCTCCCCAAGCAAACCCACTGGCTCCTCCGCACCGTCAAAATCCTCCCCTGCATGCGCAACCCCAGCCTCCTCGTCGCCCTGCTGCTCGCCCTCATCCAAGCAATCACCATCGGCTCCATCGACGCCACAGTCGCCACGCGCTCCCACGAGCTCTTCGGCTTCTCCTCGCTGCGCGCAGGCGTCATGTTCCTCCCCATCGGAATCATGGACCTCATCATCGGCCCCATAGCCGGCTGGGCGACCGATCGCTACGGGACGAAAATCGTCGCTACGTTGAGTTTTGCGCTGCTCGCGCCTATTTTTGCGATGCTGCGCTTTCCGCATGCGGGTGGGGTGGAGCAGATTGTTTTCTACGCTGGGCTGCTGGGGTGTGTGGGCGCCGCGCTGGCGGGCGTGGGGTCGAGCAGTGTTGTTGAGCCGGGCATTGTGATTGACAAGTACTACAAGGCGAATCGCGAGTTTTTCGGGGAGAATGGGCCGTATGCGCAGCTGTATGGGATGAACAGCGCCATGTTCAATATTGGCTTGACCGTTGGGCCGGAGCTGGCGGGCGAGTTGAAGGAGGCGATTGGGTATGGGAATATGAATCTTGTGATGGCGGGGCTTTGTGCTGGCACTGCGGTGCTGAGTTTTGTGTATATTGGCGGGCCACCGAAAGTGTCAAGTAGAAGAAAGACATAGAATTTAGATGGATGCATGCATTCTGTGCGCTATCGAGTCTGGTTTCGAACGTCTGCAGCCATACTCTCAGAGTTCTTGCTTGTCACTCAGATAAAGTCTCCATCTCCAAAGCCTCCAAAAGGATTCGGCGGCCGTCCACCCATGCCCGCCCCTCTCGGATGCCCCATACCCGGCCCCACAGGATCATATCTCGACCCAGGCGGAGCTTGCGGATCATACTCATCTCCCCTCTGCCCCTGGCGAGCAAACAACGGATCATCAAAAGTAGGATGCATGCCTCCCCCGCCCACCCCACCGAAACCAGGCCCCACCCCTCCATACAAAGGATCTCGCGGCCCCAAGCCTTGAGGGTACAGGTCGCGATCGCCGAGACGAGGCATGCCTTGGCCTGGCATCATGCCGCGTCGCGGAGGACGCAGGGTTTCGTACTCGTCCTCGAAGCCGGGCATGGGTTCTGGCATTGGTCGTCTCGGGGGGATGGCGAGGGGATCGTGGAGCGGGTGTGGGCGTGCCGGGGGGTCTCGGTCTTCTCGTAGTGGGTTGTGTCGAGGAGCGTCGAATTCTGGAGGCGGGTCTCGTTGTTGTCGTCGTTGCTGTTGAGAAGATGACTGGCCTTCTCGTGTCTCCTCGTAGCCCGCTTTGTGCAGCCCGGGAATCAATTTCTGGATGACGTTGAGTCTCATCGAACTGCCAAAGTCGCTCAGCCGGCCGGCGGAGATGAACACATCCGTGATTGCTTTCTTCGCTTCATCCTCACTCCTTCCATCCGCAAGTGGTGTGGCCGGCAAATTACCATCCGAAATATAATCTCGAGTCGTAACGTCAAAGCTGCAAGTCCGATCGTCACCAATCCCCATCCCCATGATAATAGCCTTGTTCGCCATCCGGTTGATCTTGAGAAGAAACTCCATACTGCTTTGGCTGTGGGCGTATCGGAAGCTGTAGCTGCCATTACCGGCATTCCATTCGGTGGGAAGCGGCTGGGGTTGCGTGGCGTCCGAGGTGGCTTCGATGCGATGGTCTTCGCCAAGGCCGATGAGTCTGAAGCCGACGGATAGTAGACTGGCATGTGCGCCTAGAGCGAGGGCGTCCCATGCATTTTTCAGTTGGGGGGATGCGGTGGGTGAGAGAGAGGCGAGCATGTAGTGTGATAGACTTGCTGCCGACAGCGGGTTGGCTGAGGGAGAGTTGTCCGCCATTTTGGAAGGGTGTCCGGGTGGTTTCTTGATGGCAAAGGTTCCTCAATGCCTAGCGGTGTGTTTTCTGATGGTGTGACAGCTGATGTTTGAGTGTTCCAGGGATGTGTTGAGCAATGAACGGTAACAAGAGGCAGTGAAGATGAAGTATGCGGATGACGCCACACGCGGTTGCCTTTCGGCTCGCCTGCCGAGAACTCTAACCCTAACCCCGCTCAGCCTTGTCCGTGTCCGACGGCAGCATTCGTCGTGTCGTAAGGGATACTACATTCAAGTGAGCATGGACAAGGGGAAAGAGACTATCAGAAGTATCTAGAAAGTCGTATGAGTCAATCTACCAGATGATTTCAGCCCTGCTGCAGCGTCCAGTGTCCATGTTTCTGAGCAGCTGCCTGCCCTACCCCATGGTCATAACCAACTCGATAAAATGCGTGCGCCGCTCGCATAGACATCCAAGACCTCACACACGACAGTCTCCAGCGTCCCTGAACATCAAGACCGTACACGCTTTCCCCTTTGGCACTTAATCCAGGGCAAAGATCAGCAACCTTGCAAACCGCCGCGCTAGCAGAGCCACAGCGCTTATTTTCCCTCCCCCACAACACCACCCCTACCCCATCAAAAATCACAACCAGAACCCCCTTTCGTTCCCACACACGGCACAAAAATAGCCACAAAATGAAACAAACCATTGGCCCGCCCCGCGAACAGTAGGTACGTGCTTGCATGCCTCTCTTGCGCCGAACGCCTGCATCGCCGTTTCACCTAAGCGCCCAGCATTGAAGCCACGTCGGCACATGATCCCGGCGGCATGCGGCTTGTCGCGCGCTATTGTTGGGTTTCTCCTTCCAATTACAGGGGGACGGGAGGAGCGGATGGGAGGGCGATGGCGTTTGGTGATGATCTCGGAATGGTGGATCGTTGATGATGGCGGATGGGGGCCCAATGGTGCCATGCGCTTTGTACTTTTCCTGCTTGAGAAGAGGCGTGAGTGATTCGGGGGATTGCGTTTGTAGAAAAGAGGTAGGCGGCACATGGCAGTTGCGAGGCGCCATGTAGATTGCGATCTTCGCGCGGAACTGGAATTAGCGGCGTAATTGAAGGCTTGTGTTGGTGATGGAATGCAAGGTACGAGATGCAGGAACGATTCGCGGACTATATGCCCCAACGCCGTCAACTGCAAAATCGAAATGCTCCGGACACCTAACAACGCCATGCCCCAATTGTCCACCCAGTGATAATGTACAAGGCACCTCAAAGGTGGGAGTCAACCAATCGCCGAAGTAAGCCGCCACGGTCTGTTAGTCTCACTGCTTGCCGGATGTTCGTGCGACTCTGCTCGGTACAGTCTGCCGACCTATGCAGGACCGAGTGTAGTGTCTGAGTAGAGCATGTCAGTATCATCGATTTCATCTGGATCCAGAGCCGCACGACGTACACAAGCATGCCATCTTTGCGCTTGAAGAACTTCTCGCACAGCGGACAAGGGTGCTCCTCCAATTTCTCGTGTTTCTGCGTAATATGTCAACGAAGTCACCTCTCATGCGCACCATGCTTGCCACGTACGGAGTTGACGTGTCGAGTCAGATCGCTCCGCCGCTCGAACCTTTCCTTGCACGGATCGTAGGCGCAAATGTGAGGCTTGTCCTTTGGCTTGCCATGCTGCCTTTGTTTGTGCCTGCAGCAGATAATGAGGTTAGACAACGCACGTGAGGTCTGGGGTGGAAGCATGCAACATACTGGGAGAGATTGTAGTTTGTTGTGAAGTGGCTCCCGCATTCCTTACAAGTCGCCTTTGCGGTATCAGCCGTCGCGCGCTGTCTCTTCTTCCGCTTGATGAAGCGATCCAGTCTAGCTTCGCGCGAAGGAGCAAATTTGCCGCCCTTCACGCGAGGCGTGTGCTCTGGCTCGTCGTAAGTGGTGGGCGAGTCGTTGGCGGACCCTGGGTACGACGAGAAGATCGTTTGAGGGGAGACGAACGACACCGGACTCAGCGACAGAGCGTCCATGGCTGGCAGGTCTGCTTGGCGGAATTCGGTCTCGCTGAACGGCGACCGAGCCCAGCAGTCGTCGAAATTGAACCGCGTAGTCGAAGTTGGAGAGGCAGAGAGCTGGGATGGGAAGACGTAGAGCGGTCCATTGATTGGTGGCGTGAGGAAGTGCTGCGAGTGTGGAGTAGGTATGGCATTCCATCCTTCCATTTGGGGTGGTGCGGAGACAGCATGCGTTTGTGGAGACCATGGCTGCTCGACCCATAGCTCTGGCGCCAGCAAGGTGGTGTCGAGCTGGGGCAGCCCCGAGCGCAGGAACGCAGCGCGTGATGCAAAGAACCCGTGGTCATGTTGCTTAGGTTGCGACTCGACGTAGGCCTGCTCATTGTGGTGGTGCGCCAGGTACTTTTCGTACCCCCCAGTCTCTTCCGGGGACAAGACGCCGTTCTGGAAGTGACTGAAGTCGGTGCTGTCGACTGCACCGTCGATGTGCCAGTCGAAGTGCCCGGGCTGTGGATATTGAGGGGTAGTGGGAGATGAAAAGAATTCATGGTCTGGCGTCAGCCCCGGAGGAGAGGTAGGAGAGAAGGGTGTGTAGGCAAACGCCATGATGAGGAAGGAAGATGAGGAAAATAGTGATTGCGAGAGGGTCAGAGTGGCAATACCGGAAGACCATGAGCAAGCCCTCGTGTGAGGAAAGCGAGAGAAGGGAGTGAAGGCCTTGGTGCGAAAAGAGAAAACAAGAAGGGAGGAGGTCAAAGTATAAGTAGGAAAGCCGGCGAGGCAGTCAGGTTGCAGACATGCCGAGCTTGCGAGATACTCTCCGCGGCTGTCAAGTCGACAGATCGGGCTTGACAGGCGTTACGAGTGATGCCTGAGCAGCACCGCTTCTATTCCGGGCTCGACACGCGCTTGCGATATTTCCGTCATGCATTGATGCATTCTTCCAGGATCTTTGGATGTTCCTGGAATAGAAACATGTCTGGGCTCGCATGGCGGTTGAAGTGGTGAACAGTAGGGCAAGCGCCAAGGAATTCCCCAAAGCCCGGATTTGCCCACAGGTAAGCGCCCAAAGTGCTGCAGCGGGCTGTAGTGGGTGACGGCCAAACTTTCACCCTCCAAGCGCTGCCATTCACCAATCAAATAATGCTGGACATTTCATTTTTGGTGTGCATTGATTGCCGACGGTCGGGAGCCATTGAGGGCTGCGCTTTTGCAAAAGTGGCCCTGGACAAGGCGCATTTTTTGCAATTCGCATGCAACCGCCGACTTGATTTGCTGCAGCCTCTCAGCATTTAGTCGCATGAGCCAATACTTGCTGCTCTTGACTGCAACCAGAAGCCAAACCACTGCAGAAAGATGTGCAGTCCCGGCACTCTGCAGGGAATATGCGATCGGAATTGCGAGGTACAATACGAGGAATGACGGCATTCGGATCTTCGCCAAGGGTCGAGGGAGAAATGGCCGATCCAAATCAACCACGGGCGGCACCGTCATCCGTATTCTCTCCAGAACAGGGAGGTGCCCTGTCGGCTTCGAGGTGCAGTACGGCCGCGGCAAAATGATCGGCGTGGCCGACATGAGCGCAAGAGAACCGAAATCGATTCGTCCGTAGGATCTATTTTTCCATGGTCTGAAGGCGAATCGCCTTGACGGCCGCATTCGCGCTCGTAGCATTCGGGTCATCCATGTGCAATACCTCCTTCCGGGCTTGCCGGCCATGTAGCTCGGCACTTTGCTCCAAAAGGAAGCTCGCAGATGCAGACGAACGGGGCGTGGCTGTATCCAGATGCGGTTGGGCGGAGGCCGGACTGATCAGTGTGGGCAGAAGCGATGAGCCTCGACTCGTGTGCCTCAATGCACTGCTCGGGCACCGCATCGAGAGAGGCATTGCACACCAACAGCACCCTCCATGGCGAGCTGAGAGCCAATCAATGTCTCCTCCGGCGGCAAGCGAAACTGAAAATCACGTGACTCGAATATTGGCCACTTGACGAACATCTTCCACAGTGTGCCAACAGGTTCATCAGGTGCTGCCTGGAGGCGCAGGCTGTGCCTCTCCATCCGAAGAGGCAGTGGTGCTCAGCATTCGTTGCCAGTGCCGTTGTTGGCTGTCGATAAGGTACGTTGCCGAAGTACTTGGCCAGCAGCAGCCATCGAGAACTCGGAGGCGTTGGCTGTTCCCACTCGCACAAGCCATCCCATTGGTGGGCGACCGCTCTCTGAGTTCCGGGGGCGGACGGAGTGCGGCAGTAGGCTGTGCGAGGGGAGACGCACATGATCAGAAGCGGGTCTCGTCCGTCTCTGCCGATGAGCAGGTCGATGGACAGTGCCCGGAAGCATCCTGATTATTGACGATCATCGTTGGTGGCACTCGTTCCCGTTGCAATGATATCATTGATTCATTGGGGCAGATCGTCTGCAGCGCTGTGGTGACCAGCGCAGAGTCAGGTCGGCGGGGCTGCCCCATGATTGCTCGGTCAATCTCCGCCACCCATGCTACCTGCATCGGCGAGAAGGTGGTGTGGATCCCGAAGTGACACCGTAACCATTCATCGCCGGTCGATCCTGATCGACTTGTCGGTTGTTGTCTCCATTCTCCATCCAGGTGAGGGTGATAGCTTTTGGCCCCAGGTTATCCAAGAGATGAGCAGCTCGCCACTGGCTCGGAATGCTCTGATCTGATGCTTGTGACGTCGATGGAGATGTCGAATGGCTTATTCCCGAGGGGAAAACTGCATATGCGGATGCTCGGCTCGTGAGGATCGACTTTGCAGCGTCACCGGCAATCCGTAGGCACCGGGCCGCCTGTGGGACATCTCATGGCATGAACAGCCCTGTACGGAAGTCCTTCACCCGAGTCTGACGTTTAGCTGTGGGCTGAAAAGCTTTCGTGCGTTGGAGCTTGCTCTTGTGATGGTGCATGACTCCGTCGACGGCCGTCCTCTCGCAGCCTTGGCAGGCAACTATGCCACCCACAGCATATGTCTTTGTCGTTTTCGCTCTGTGTGAGGTCAGCATACCCTGCAGATAGCAATGAAGATAAGAAACAACCAGAGAAGAAGTGAAATGCACGCAGCGCGCCCAGCCAGAAGATATAAGAAACGCCAGGCGCTTCCACGCCCGCCAATGCCATCATCGTCACGAAGAGCAATGAGCGCATTTCCAAGCCACCAGCCTCCCATCCAATCCTACCACAATCACCTCATCATCATCACCCCGTGACACACGTCGTCCAGAAGCCAAGTGACGATTGGACATCCTCCCATCAGCACCCGCACACTCCCAGCCCACCACGTCAGCGGCACCAATGGATTCCGCCCAAGGGCGCAAAGAGGAGGCAGGAGACGCTTAAAGGGCGTCGTCTAGGCGCTACGTCGTCCTGTGAAACGAGTGTGACGTCGCTGAAAGGGCTGGAGGGGAGGGGAGGGTGAACATGAGAGGCCGTCACAACAAGCGCGGGCGCTTGGGCGAGCCGCGGCTAGCCTGATGGGGAAGATTTAGACGCGCTAGGCGCTTTCGTCTTCGGGCTCATGTCGCCGTGGAGAGAAGACACGAGCACTTTGTAAGAGACGAAGAAGACGAGATGAAGGCGAGAGGCATGCGATGTATTTTACAACAGCCTAGCAGCCACTTCAGTGGTGCTCGGCCAAAGATGTCTATGGTAGACGATGCTATTCCCACTTGTGGCCGCCACGCGGCAATGAACACCGACGAGCATGCTCTTCAGCCATCAGACTCCCTTTCTACCTCCTCTACGTCCTTCGATCTAAGGCTTCTCCCACTCCGGATTCTGTAGACACTGTCAGTAAAATGCCATTCGGCCGCAAGGATTGCCTAAACTCACCTTCTTCAATATGCACACCCCCTCCAACACATTCGCCAAGCAAATCCATTCCTCATCCTCCAGCTCCGCCCGCTCGCCATAACTCAACAACACCGGCGTACTCTGCGTCTGCCAGCCGGTAATCGTCTTCGGCCGCCCCGCCTGCCCCACAACATCCACCGCCTGGCCGACGCGCACATTCACCTGCACGGGCTGCAGCTGCTCGTCGAGCGTGATAAGGAAGCGCGGATGCATGGCGGTCACGAGGTAGTAGAGGAGGTAGTGGTTGTCGCCGAGGATGAATTGCTTGGGGTTGTCGACGAGGGCGACGGCGACGGTGAGGAGACCCGCGGCCGCGACGCGCGAGATAACGACGCGGTCGGTGTGGAAGGGGTTGAGGGTTAGTGTGCCTTTGCCCATGTGCAGCAGGCCTTGGGCGATGCGCACCATGAACAAGGCGTTGGCGTCGCGGTGGTAGTAGCTGGCGAGTTGGCGCAGGAGTTGTGCAAGACGTGCGTTGTTTGTGCCTGCGCCGAGCATGCCCATGGCGAAGATGGCGTTGATGGCGACGTCGATGTCGTTGTCGTGGGAGTAGCGCGAGAGGGTGTCGTACACTTTCATCTGCGGGTTGGAAGGGGTGATGAGGCCCATGGCGAGTGGGACTGCTTTGCGGATGTTGGCCTCACCGTAGTGCATGAGATGGCCGAACTGCCGCAGCACCATCTCCTGTCCCACGTCCTCTCCCATTGCGACCAGGGACAGACCGATGACAGCGTAGGCCTGCACAAGCTGCTGGGATTCCATCTGCTGCTTCTTCTCCTCCGCCTCTTCCTTGCTCTCCTCGCCATCTTCGTCCTTGTCCTCCTTCTCCTCCACATGGTCATTGCAGATGTGCAAAAGCTGCTGCAGCTTCAAGACAGTGCCTGTACCCGCCCATGCGCAAATCTCGGCGAGGACTGAGGTAGGCTGAGCGAGGGGGTGATCAATAGCCTTCATCGTCTCCACCACCACATCCACTTCCTCTTGCTTGTGGAAGTAGAGCAGCGCCAGACCCAGCGCCATGAATCGCGCCCACTTGTCGTTCAACCTCGCTCTGTAGGATTCATCCAGGAGAGTGCCGATGATGGCTTCGGAGATGTCCGGATTCGCGGTGCCAATGTAGATGAAACCCAAGGACAATGCAGCCATGGACGAGATTTGCATGTCGAGGCTGGAATCACCAACGAGAGGGTACAAGGTCGCAAAGACCTCCTCGTTTTGGCTGCCCGCATACGCGAGACCCAGACCCATGATGCTCGCAACCTTGACGCTGACCGGCTTATCCTCGAAATCTCCAAGCAGCGCCATGGTCGGATCGGTGTCGAGCTTGACGCCAGAGTTCATGATTCCCATGGCGAGAGCAGCACCAGCCTTGACTTCGTTCTCCGAAACGTAGGTGTAGGCATCGATCTTGTCCAGACCCATTTCCACATCCCATAGCATGAGCATACCCGCAGACGCAGCGGTCGACAGCATGCCGTCTTCCTTGACTTTCCACGTCCAAGACTTGTTGGGCCCGCCCTCCACCAGCATGAGCTTGTCGTCTCCGAAGCCAGCATTTACGAAGGCGTTGACAAAAGCGGAGGCGAGATTGTGTCGAGCGGAGTCGTTGTTGGTGAGTCCAGCGGTCCGCGAAGATTCGAGATGGGACTTGTAGATGTCTTCTGGCACCTTGGGATCCAACACGTTCAACTCCTTGCCGAGTGTCTTGAAGTACTCGGGGAGTTTGGTGTTGTTCAGGGCCTCTTGCAGCTCCGAATCTTCCAAATCTTCTTCACTGAGATCGAGACATATCCGTTGCCGGCCAAGGATGAATGCCAATTGCAACCGCATCGCTCGGTCTTCCGGCGCATAGAAATCATCCCTGACGAGTTTCATATCGTTCAGGCGGATGGCGAGAGCGATGGCTTGTGGATATCTCTTGTATTTCAGGTAAATGTCATGCGCGGTGAGGAGGAAGCGGTTGTTGTCGGGGTAGGTGAGCAGTGGGACCATGGAGACCATATAAAGACACACGCGGGCGTAGGTATTTTCGTCAACGTGATCCTTGATATTCTCGATGATCTCGAGCTCCGAGAGAATGTCGACGGCATCGGCTTCGGCGTTGTGGGAGAGGAAGAAGGGGACGAGGGTGTGGGCGAGGTTGGTGAGATCGGAGGTGCTCTGCTCTTCATCTAGCCGCTTCTCCCTCTCCTCGCCAATCTCCAGAGAGAGATGGCGCATGTACTCGTGGCCCCAAGAGCCGAGGTCGGTGCTGGGGGCGAGCAAACGGTATTTGAGAGTGTCTCTACGATCCCCTTCATCCGAGTATGTCATTCCGAGGACGGAGAGGATGTCGGCGAGAGCGTCCTTGTCTGCGCCTGCGGGCCACTTTTCGTATGTTTCGCACAACTGCTCGTAGTGCGGGCGGAGGAATTTGAGGGGTTTTGGGACGGCGGTCATGGAGCTGGTGCTGGTCTTGATGCTGTCCTTGATGGCGTCTAATGCGGCATGGTAAAGGGATGTGTCGTCTTCGGTCACCCGCTCCACCAGCATGTCCAGCTCATCCTTGATCTTCTGGTCTTCCGCGCTGAGCTCCTCCGTCCCGAGCCCGCTGATGGCATCTTTCTTGCCATCCTTGGTCGCTTCTTGCGTTCCATTGACGCCGTTTGTCTGTTTGGCATCTTCCACCTTGCCCTTGCCCTTGTCCGTGGACTTGCTCTTGTCCTCCTCCTGCGCCATCCTCACTCTACGCTGGACACCTTGCTTGATTGGGTGGATGCAATCGTCCGCGGGTCAAGCTGGGGTGATGTACGAGGGGTCGAGAGTGAAGGGTGATGATCGGAGAAGCAGGATGATGGTGCTGTTGAGGAGGCCCGGGAAATGGAGGATGGAGGATGGATGATGAACGGATGGTGAAGTGTCGCGCGTCGTCTGTCGCCTCACATGCATCAACGACAGAAAGCTTGGGAAACTTTGGGTGGTCCGTGCGCGGCGAACTGCACTGCACTTGCACTTTTTCTACGAACGACGATGTCTGCGCACAACTCGCCCACTTTATGCCAATATGAAGCTCAACACTCATGCGCTCCGGTACTTGACCAGCGAGGACTGGCGAGTCTTGGCTGGGGTAAGTCGAATTGTTGCCATCCGCTGCACCACAGTACTTGGCGACTAACCCATGCTAAGTCTTCCCGACACAGGTTGAGCAGGGCAGCAAGAACCATGAAGTCGTTCCCACACCCTTGATCCAACAACTCGCTGGACTGCGTGGTGGCAGTGGCGTGCACAAATGCATCTCCAACCTCGCCAAGGTTGGCCTGATTGCGAAAGTGAAGAATGCGAGATGTAGGTCCGGTCCTCCTCCATCTCAGCACTTCCTCAAGGCTCACACATCCACAGATGACGGCTATCGCTTGGCCTACGGCGGTCTCGACTACCTCGCTCTCAACGCCCACCGACGAAGCAACACCGTCTTCAGCCTTGGCAACCAGATCGGCGTGGGCAAGGAAAGCGATATCTACATCACCGCCGCTCCCGACAGCACCTTGCAAGTCCTCAAGATCCACCGTTTGGGTCGCATATCCTTCCGATCGGTCAAGAGCAATCGCGATTATTTGCGGAATCGATCAACGGGATCGTGGTTGTATCTCTCACGACTTGCGGCACATAAAGAGTTCGAGGTGATGAAGGTGCTTAAGCGAGAAGGCTTCGCCGTACCACAGCCCATATCGTGGAATCGGCATACAATTGTGATGGAGTTCATCGACGCCTTTCCCTTGCGAATGATCGAGAGCATACCGGAGCCGGGCAAGCTCTACGCGGAGCTGATGGACACGATTGTTCAGTTAGCCGCGCGCGGCCTGATTCATGGAGATTTCAACGAGTTCAACATTCTCATCAAAGAGTTGCCGCAGCCTGACGGAAGCATTGAGCTTTCCGCCGTCCTCATCGACTTTCCTCAAGCCGTCAGCACGAATCACGCCAACGCGGAGATGTACTTTGATCGAGACGTAGCCTGTGTCAAACGCTATTTCGAGCGGAGATTCAAGTATGTCTCGGACGAACCAGGCCCATTCTTTGCGGACGCTGTGAAAGACATTGGTGCAGGAAGAAGGCTGGATGTGGAAGTGGAGGCCAGTGGGTTTTCGAAGAAGATGGCGCGGGACTTGGAGCGTTATGTGGAGGTTGCAGACAATCGTGATGGAGCTGAAGGGGATGAAAAGGGAGAGGATGGGGCAGAAGAGGATAACAACGAGCAAGTTGATGAAGAAGACGATGAGGGTGAAGAAGCTGACGATGCGGAAACGGACGCGCTGGCCGGAGAAGGTCAAGGTGACGAGGGAGTGGGCTCCGATCGACTCAATGCACTGTCAATACATGACAGTGCTGAGACAAAGGGACGCACGGCGGCAAGCTACGGCCTGTTACCCTTGGAAATGCCCACCGGACACGATGAAGTGGCGGAGAAGGTGCACAAGCAAAAGGCCGCTGCCGGATGGGCGATATGACACCCAATCCTACCCACCCCTCTCCCTCCTTCCTGTAACGAATGAAATGTTAATGAATTAGACCAATGATTGAGTCGATGCACGGGGAATTGCTTCCTCGCCTTGTGTGACGCACCTTCCTCAATGCCACAAACAGGACCGTGGCTTGGCAACCTCCTTTCCCAACTTCTCTTCCCACGCGTCAACTTCTTCTAGACAAACACTCCGTCTCTTCGTTTCAGCATTCATCCACCTCAGAAGCACCGACTACGCGAACATCTATACCACGCGGCGCAGCAATGCCGTCCATTCGAGTCGACGACACTGCTTCCGCCCCGGCCATCGCTGACAGCTCCCACTTCAACGGAATCTACTTTTCCACGGACGGCACCAACGACGCACAACGTGACCGCACAAACGACCGTCCAGCCACTTCTCTCAACATCTCGCACACTCGCTCTCGCGCCGCCACCCCACCCACTCCTCTCAACCCACGCGCTCCAGAGTTTATCCCTTCGTACAAGCACCCAAACTCCCCTCGTGCAGACGCGTCCGTCGATGGCCTCGAACCTTTCCATCAGCACGTCATTGACGGGGTGGTAATTCGCATGACCCCCGACAAGGGCTGGGGCGTCTTTACATGCAACGCACTCAAGCGAGGCACCCTCATCATCAAAGAACCGCCTCTCATCGCCATCGCCACCGACTCGCCTTCCGATGCCTGGCTCCCTTACTGCCGCCTCGGCAAGAACAAGACAAAGGTATACGACAGTCTCCATTCCTACGCCAACCCCGGTCTTGCCCTTGAACAGCTAAGCCGACAATATCTCCTCGAACTTGACGACTTTGTCGAGGGCGAGGAGTACGTCAACGCCCTGGTCGCCGAGCACGTACGCGTCATGAGCATCTTCGCCGTCAATCAGATGTCCATCACGCCCACCGGCCGCGGTGTCTTCGCCAACACCTCCCGCCTCAATCACTCCTGTGTGCCCAACGCGTATGCCTGCTGGAACCCCACGCAGCAGCAAATGACCGTCTACGCCATCCGCGACATCCTCCCCGGCGAAGAACTGTGCGTGAGCTACAGCGACGGCGACGCCCAATTCGCAATCAGCATAATCCGGCAGGAACAGCTCGGCTGGCTCTACAACTTCCGCTGCACCTGTCCCGCCTGCGAAGACCAAACCGGCGCGTCCGACGCGAGACGCGAACTCATGACGCGCCTCGTCTGGGGCCTGGACAATTACGACAACGGCAACATCTTCACCAGCCACCCCTACATCCCCGCCGAACCCATCTACGCCCTCCGCCAAGCGCAAGACCTCGTCTCCCTCTTACTGCAAGAAGGCCTCTTCGACACCGAGCTGTCGAAAGCGTACCGCCGTGCATCAGGCTACGCGCTCGATCTTCGTGATTTCCAGACGGCGCTGAAGCACGCGTACCACGAGAAGGACAACGAGAGGTGCTGTCTGGGTGCGATGATTGATGATCTCCGTCGGACTGGCAGCGCGTCGGAGTGCTGGCTTGAGGTGATCTACGATGTTATCATGCGGGAGCAGGGGCTGGAGGCGGTTACGAGGTACCGCACTAAGGCACGAGGGATCAAGAAGCGGATCTATAAGAAGGCGACCAAGGCCGTGCGTAAGATGGCGGCAAGCGCTAAGAACGGGAACGCTTCTCACTAGGAGCATGAGAATGGCGATGGGGGGGATGGGAATGCTGATGGAGAGACGGAGAATGGCGATGCGAAGAATGGCGTCGAAGAGAATGGGGAAGCGAAGAATGGCGATGCAGAGGACGGGCATGCAGCGAGCAAGCGACCAAACGGAACTGCGGTGGAGTGAGTTTCAAGCACATTGCAACGAGAGAAAGACATTCGCTTCGATTGCTCTCGTCGTTGAGGACGGAGCAGGGGTACGTATTCAGCAAGATCAGTAAAGAAAGAATCAAACAAAATAAACAATCATCTCCTCCGCAGCTTACCATCCAATTCAACCCCTCTTCACCTCCCCCTTCACCGGCTCCCTCACCATAATCTCCATCGTCACCGGCACCTCCCCGCGAGTCAATTGAATACTTTCCCTCATCACAAACCCCAACCGCCCATAAAACTCCCGATTAACCACATTACTACTCTCCAAATACGCCGCGCGGCCCTCCTCATCCGCGCGGCTCAGCACAAACTCCAAGCCCTTGCGCGCATACCCTTTGCCGCGACCCGAGGGCCGCGTGCCAAGGTACACGAGGTACCAGGAGTCGTCGTCGCGCGCGCCCATGACGGCGTGCTTGGTGGTGTGCAGGAGGGGCAGGAACTCGGTGAAGAAGCGCTGCTTGCCTTCGGCGGAGAGGAGGTAGTTGAGGCGCCACATGCCCGAGCGGAAGAGGGTGAGGTAGTCGTCCATGTTTTTGCCTGGGGGCATCCTTTTTCTTTTCGTTAGTTTGCTTCGTCCTGGGAAGTAGGGAGTAGAAGGAGGAGAGGGGAGAACAAACCAAAGCTGCACACAGTCGTAATTCGGCCCGACGGCGACTACCAATCCCTTGAGCAGATGCGCATAAGTGACAAACTCCATTATTCGCAAATGCAGCGCCCACTTCTGCTCCGGCGTCCAGTGCGCCCGATCAGGCGTGTTGACGAGGTACATCGCCACCTCATCATGCTGAAAGGCCTCAGCAAGGCTGAGAGCGGCCTGCTTCCACTCATGAAGCGCGAGGACACGCACACCATCAGGTTTGCTACCTTTTCCCGCTGAGTACGTAGAGACATTTTTACCCGTGTGGTGGACGGAGAGGAGATTGGTTTTGCTTGCTGCGTTGGCGAGGCTTAGGGCTGGCTTCTCCGGGTGTTGTCCTTGCTGCTGCTGGACGGCGATGGTTGTAGTAGCCATGATTGATGATTATTACTACTACTTTTACTTTTATTTCTCCTTGTACTCAGCGGGATGAAGGTGCGGCCTGATTTGGTGGGGGAGAGTTGCACGGAAACCGACATCGACGGGTGGTGGACGGGCGGGCTTCCCAAAGCGGAAGGAGGTGTGGATAAGGTGATGGTTGGGGGAGAGTAGATGTTTCTGGATGGGTTGTGAGAGTGTTTTGTTGAAGAGATAATCGTCTGAGAGTGATGGTAGATAGAAGTTAGAGAGCAGGAAAGCGAGAGGAGAGATGTGAGACGCCGGGCCAGACTTGATGATATACCCCGAGATACGGCCTGAGACCAAACCCCACGCTTCGCTCCACGCCGGTCCGGAAGGTCGTAGCGACCCACCCGAAGGCTGAAGGAAGACGGGCGATCGTCGTGCTGCACGCATGCTTTCTGATGTCAATGGCATCCGGTGGTGCTCATGTGGCGACGTGTTCAATGTGGTTCATGCCGCGATAAGACCACGCTCGTCATTTGTGACGTTCCGTTCGTGTATCGACTTGATCAATACGAATCTCCGCGCGAACCGCGTGGTCACGATGCTTGCTGGGTACCGCATGCGCTTTCCAAATCGGGATGGTGCAGGCATGTCCCTGCCAGCGTTGGATCCAGACTCTGCCGCTCGTTGCCGTCGCCTTGCCTGATAACGTAATGCACCTGCTCCCAGCACGAGCAATACAACACGGGGATATGTTGTAAACGTCCAAAGGACAATGAGAGTAAGGTGAGATGGAGACACAGAACGTGGGCGGCAACAATCAGATAGCTTCATTCATCATCCATCTACCTGCGTATTGATTGCTCCACCGCCACCGTGCCTTGACAACAACAACAACCGAAAGACTTGCGAAAAGGAAATTGAATGAACGCAGCGGTTACATTAGAAAGTCCACGCCTCGTCGACCCTGCCACAGAAAGTCCCGCACAGCAATGATGAGGTGGGGATGATGATGGTTCATACTCCGACACAACAAAGCAATGCCGCATGGCGTCGGCAGGAAGGTGGGAAATGTCGCTGCTGCTGTCCGTCCGCTGGCCCAATTCAAAAGAAATGTTGATAAAAGTCTGCCGATGAGAAGAGATGATTCGAACCCTAGGCCAACCTCGACGGCTGCGCCCAAACACATGGTCGGTGATGATGGCGATGATGGATGATGGCAGTTGTCGATAAGTGCATCCATCTATGCTGTAGTGTATCGTGGGTGTTTGAACGAGTGAGCCTCCGAGAGGGTGGTGCGGTGGGAATGAAAGACACTGCATGTACGCGTGATGCTTTGTATTGTCGTGTCGAGTCGTTCATGCGTTCGTGGTATTGTACAGTGGGATGCCGGGGAAACATGATCGAGTTCGGCATCTTCGGGGAAAGGGCGAGTAGAATGTTTGGACGTGTAGACTTTGTCGACAAGTCTACTCTGCCGACGGGGTGGCAGCGGCAGAGTCATCTTTGCAGATGGCTTGCACGGTGACCGGCGAGCTGACGACAGCCTTCGAGTCTGCTCCAAGATCGGCAGCAGCCTTGGATTGCTCACCCTCGGCGCCGGCGGCGACGTTGATCTGGACGAGCGGGGGCTGAGAGCCGTTGGTGTACGGCAGACCACCGAGCGGGCTGCGACCGGGGACCTGACGCAAGGCGGACTGAGCCCAACGCTGGCCTTGGATGGGAACGGCGGCGGCAGTGCCGAGATATTGCTCAAACTCGTTGACGCCCGGAGTGTCGTTGACGGTCGTGCCGGCAAAGGGAAGACGCCCCTGACGCCAGGCCTGCGTGGCGAATTCGTACTCGGCAGAGCGGAACTGGCGAGCGGCTTGCGTCTGCTGCTTGAGCGACTTCTGCTCGTGCGTGTCGGCGTAGCGGATCTGGACTTGCAACTCCTCGCCACCAGTCTTGATGCTGTGGTTGTTGAACGTCTTGATGACTTCTTCGCAAGAGTCACGCGTCTCGAAGCTGCATTCAATGTCAGTTGCTGATGAGTGTGGCCGGCGATGAAGATGTCTCACCGAGCAAACCCCACGCCACGACCATGCCCGTTCTTATCCCTCAAGATACGCGAGGAGCACACCTTGTGCGGAGCAAACAATTGGGCCAGCTCGTGCTCATTCATCGTCTTGGGCAGATTGGAGACGTAAAGGTTGGTGTTGTTATCATCGGCAAACGTCTTGAGCTTGGAGTAGAATGATTCCTGTCGATGGCATGTCAGTACATGGCAGCAAGGGAAGGGGAGGACGACGGTGACACTGACCCGAGCGAAGCTGACCTCGTAGCCGAGGAAGTGGAAGCCACGGATGCAATTCTCAGCGTCTTCGTAGTTGTGGTACTTGACGAATCCGAATCTACGTTGATGTCAGCAGGGGCCAGTGTATGAAGAGGACGATGACCCAAACTCACCCTTTGCACAGGCCAGTGTTGAGGTCGATGATGGACTTGGAGCTCTTGATGTCTCCGAACCGGGCACCCCACGCCTCGAGCATCTCGTCCGTCGTCTCAGGGAGAAGGCCGCGAATGTAGACGTTGGTCTCGCCCCGCTGGTTCTCCAGTGCACGATCCAGTGGCTTGAGTGGCGACGAGGGAGCGGGGATAGCACGGGGAATGGCGGGCTCTTGTGCAACCAACATCTTGATACGCGGAGTGACCTCGCTCATCTCCTTGGCGATCTGGATGCCGTACGCGGCCATCATGGAGGCAGGAGAGGGAGTGGTGTTGGTGTACATGCCGCTGGGCGACCGATTGATGGCAACGCCCCCCTGAGCGAAGTTGGCGTAGTTGGCGTAGGAGGGAGTGGCCGGCTGATCATTCTCCACAGAGGAGACCGAGCCACGACGGGGAGTGATGAGGGTGGGCACGTCACCGGTCGTGGCAGTGGTGGGAGTCCAGTTGTGAGACAGCGGGCTGTTGTCGTGCTGCTGGTACGCGTGGTAGTTCATCTGCGGCATGTACTGCGGGGCGTGCGGGGTGTACATGTTGGCGTTTTGGGCGTGGTTGTTGGCTGCGTAGTTGCCGGGGAAGACAAACTGTCCCGGGGCGGCGTAGATGGAAGCAGGCATGTTGTTCGTCGGCATGCCACCGTAGTTGGGGCCGTTCGCCGCCATCATGGCGTTCTTGGCTTGGTGGGCGAAGGATTGGTTGGGCAAGCCCATGCCTTGGAAGGAATGAGTGAGAGCGGCAATGTCGGCGGAGTTGTGCATGCCATAGGCTTGTCCTTGACCGTTCTGCGTGCGAGCGGGGTAGGGGTTGGGGTACATGTTGGTGTTGCCGTTACCGCCGTAGGCAGCGTGCCCGTGGTGGTAGGTGTTGTTGTTCTTCGCGTCGGACACGGTGCCCATGGTCTTGGAGCGGTAGTCAGCAGCTGACCACAAGGTAGACGGAGCCATGGTGGAGATGTTGTGGTGTTGGCGGTGTTGATGTTTCTGCTGGAAGGTGAGATGTCTGTGGAAGCCGCCGCCCATGTATGCCGCCGCTTCGAGGGTGGGAAGGTGTTGGTGTGAGGATGAGAGAATGAGCGATGTCTTACCAAGTCAAAGGACTGCTGAGCAGAGGAGGATTGTAGTGAGGAGTGGCTGTGAGAGATGTGTCAGCTTTTGAGGGAATGGCAAGGTGAGGTGAAGTGAAGTTCGGAGGTGGCGAAGCACCAGCTTCACAATGTCATCATGAACTCACCTGGTGTACTTGTCGACACGGTCGAAGTGTATTGGGTCTGAGAGGGAGGGTCAACAACGAAGTGGAAGGAGATGCAGAGGACGGCAAAAGGAGTGACAAAGGCTGGATTCTATGCCCGAGCTGGTATGGTGAGCGGGATGGGGGAGCTGAATGCACGAGAATGAAGAAAGGGGATGATCTGGAGTGGTGAGTGGAAGAAGAGGAAGAGGAGGTTGAAGAAGAAGAACTCCAAGTGCCGTGTTGAACCGATCCGCCAATCCGCCCCAGCCAAGCCCTGCCGCCTTCCTCGCTCGTGATGCAGTTGTAAGGGAAGGAGCAGTTGAGCACGTACCTATTGTGGATGTAGGGAAGGCTCGATACGCTGCTCGGCGTTCGGCACTTGGTGTCGGCGTTGAAGATGCTGAGGAAGTCGATGTCGGTGGATGAAGTGGTGGAGGAAGTCAATATCGAGGGTGGAGGAGGAGTTGTGAGATTGCCGTTCTCAGGGAGGGAAGGCGCGACGAGGCAAACTTTTCCGGCAGGTGAGGTTTGCCGGGTGTGAGGTTTTGAGTTGCGGCAATGATGCAGGCAAATCTCCCCAAAGTGGAAGGAGCGTCGAGTCGAGGGGGCAAAATGGTACGGCAGGTAGGAAGCGCGGTAGTCGATGGGGTCTGTAATTGAGGATGATGGATTGTGATGACTCGATCGAAGCAATAACGATGTCGTCGTGTGAGGATAAGGAAGCAAGAACAAGGCACCGCGCTATTAAGACAAAAGGAGGGCAGCGCGGCAGCGACGCTGGTGACTGACGGCCTTCTGCCATCCTCGAGAGAATGGCGGGCCTTTTGTGTCGCAGACGGACGGGCGCGGGCAGTAAATGCGGGCGACGACATCTTGCCTCTGCAACCTTCTCACCTGTCACACGCGGCAGCCTCTTTTCCTTCCACGCTGACGCGGTATCTGCAACTTCGGGCAGTCTTTGTTGGAGCAGGCCGGCCCAACCCTCCCCCTTTCAATATACCTGGAACACATGGCAGCGCACAGAGCCCCGCGTTGCGGCCGCCACCGAGTTTGCGTTGGTGACACGGCGATGGAGAAGGTCTGTGCCCGACGAGCAATCTGGGACTGCCGGCATGTCTGGGGATCACGACCTTCGGGGATCGTTTCGAAGCAGCGTTTGGTGCTGCGGTGACGCAAGCGTCTAGACGCGTCCGCCAAAGTCACGCGCCTCAACTGCTTCCATGTGCCGTTGAAGCAAACGGCGATCGCTGCTTTCTCCAGATCCAACGGTGATGCATAGATCCAGGCGAATCTCAGATGCTGGGCCTTCGTCACCCGCTGACGAGTGGACGCAGGGCATGCAAAGCCGGACAATCAGATGCGTCAACATCCATGTCTCGCTCGATACAATAGCGGCAATCGCACATGATCGATGTCGCACCCTGCATCGGGAGCCCGATCCACCCGCCCCCTGTCATGCTTCATTGCCAGACTCGATCTAGGATCCCGCTCAGCAGATTCGAACGCATTGCATTGCACCTCCCAGGAACCACCGTTGGTAAGGACGAGCGCAAGTCGTTTAGCATCCAGAATAATCCAGAGCCCACCATAGTGCCAGCAGCATCCTGGCCAGGCCCCCCGCGGCCGAGGTGTGGCAGCAAACCAGATTTGCGACCCGTAACAAAACCGCACGCAAGTCTGCCGCTTCGTCGTCACCGGTACCTGATCCCCTCTCCACAACTCCGTCCAGACCCACCTGCACCCTCTTCTATTCTTGTGACACGTGGGGAAGTGCCTGACGAGGATCTCGGAACCCCACTCCCATTCGGCCGTGGAAGCCATGCGTTTCCACCCCTTGCCAAAGAGGATTGTTCTAACGCATGGCGAGTCGCTCATCTGATTGCATTAAGCAGCGACATACCTTCTTGCTTACCTGTTAACACACGAGGCAAATCCTTACATCCCTCCCTCTTCATCTTCCCGCAGCGGCTGTTGAAGTTGCCAGCAGGGTCACGGATGGTGGCAGCAGGTCCAAGCGTATTTGTACGGGTGAAGTGGGACACGTCCGCTGTTCTTCGAAGAATAACTGGACTCGAGGGAAACGTGCAGGTAGCTGGGTGGTGCCAGCGAAGAGCAGTAGGTTGGGCAGCGTCCAGCCATTTCCATTGCGAAGCCGTGGAGGTCTTGCTTGCGGGACGATGACAAAGCTTTGATCGCCGACTGTGGCGTGCCCTGAGCGGAGGAGGAGTATTGGAGATTCGATTCACAGTCCGAGCCTATCAACAATCTCTACACAAGGTAGGGGATGTAGTTATAAAACAAGCAAAAACCAAGAGCCCAACACAAGACTCTCCAGTCGGAGGACAAAAGACGCCAGCCCACATCCATTCCCGCCGCTCATCATGACCACACGTCCTCCTGATACTGGTTCGCGCCTCTCATGCCCTTCACCACCTCTTCGCCCTTCGACTTGTCCACGCCGCGCTCGTCCGCAATCAGCTGTCCGAGAACCTGGTTGACCTCTCGCGCCATGTTGGCCGCGTCGCCGCAGACGTAAAAGTACGCCTTCTCCTCTAGCAGCTTGTTGACCATTTTGCCATGCTCCTTGAGGCGATGCTGCACGTACACCTTCTCCTTTTGATCGCGCGAGAAGGCGGTGATGATCTCCAGCTGGCCGTTCATGTCTTTCTGCCATTGCTGTTGGATATCACGTCAGCTTGCGGCTCTGTGTCAGTGAGGATTGAAATGGTTACGTACCTCGAACTCCTCGCGATAGATGTAGTCCTCCTTCTCCTTCCGACAGCCGTAAAAGAGGACCATCTTGCCGACCGTGTCGCCGTTCCTCGCAAGTTGGGCTCGCTCCTGGATGAAGCCGCGGAAAGGAGCAACGCCAGTACCGGGGCCAACCATGATAATGGGCTTGGTGGGGTCAGAGGGCAGTTTGAAGTTAGAGTGTCGCACATGCACGGGCACGTGAACGCCGTCGTATTTGTTTCGGGGGCCGGTAATTGCGTAGTCGAGTCCATGCGCATCGCCTGCCTCGCCATGTTGCTTGTTCTTGAGCGCGAGGAGGTAGTTGGTGGTCACGCCCTTGACAACGTGCTGGGCGCCATCCACCTGGTCCGACACCACCACCGCCGTGATGGCGATCTTTTGCTTCTGGGCCAACGAGGAGGAGGAGATGGAGTAGTAGCGCGGCTGGATTTTGTTCAAAGCTTCGATGAAGATGGCAAAGGGGATTTTGTCCCACGTGATCTTGAATGTCTCGAGGAATTGGGCAATGTTGTAGTTGTGGCTCGACACTTTCTCAGAGAAGACCTCCTTTTCATTGCCGATTTTGGTCATTTCATTCTTGACCTCGTCGTTGGGGGAGAATTGAGCGAGTGATGCAACGAACTGTCGCGAGACCGGAGCGCAAATTTCCATGTGGTACCGCACGACGGCATCGTAGGTGGTAGGGGATGGGAACGGAACCTTTGAAGTAGCATCGAGGCCTTTGACGGCAATGACCGTGTGCCGTTTGTCCTTGAGACCGAGAACACCCAGGAATCTGTCGACCTCTTGCCCGGAGTTGTTGGGCCAGATGGCAATGTGGTCACCGGTGTTGTACGAGAGCTTCGAGCCTTCGATGTCGATTTCCATGTGCAAGCAATTGCGCTGCTTGTCGGAGAATATTTCACGAGATTCGGCAATGGGAGCAATGAATGGGTTGTTGGCGTTGAAGGGCCCCTTCATGGTGCCCTCGAGGTGGTTCTTGTTCGGCTCGCCGAGGTAGACGTGGTCTTCCTCTGCGCTCATGTCCTCCTTTTCCGTGACTTCGTATGAGGGCTCGTAAACGGCTTCGCGCTCCTCGAGATTCATGGCGTCGGCGACTGCAGCCCACATTGGCTCCTTCCAGGCTAAATAGTCTTCTTCCATTGTGCCGGCACCATCGTCTCCTTCTCCTGCATCGCCAATTCGCTTTGCGCCCAGGCGGTCGAGAGATTTGGTGGTGTTTCGGACCATCAAGTTGTAGTGCTCGTACGTGTTGTTGCCCAGGCCGAATGCCACGTATTGCAGATCAGCAAGGGGAGAGCTGTCGGCGCCTCCTTTGTCGTTGAAGGAGACATCGTCGCCGTTGATGAACTCGTAGAACTCCACGGCGTTGTCCGTGGGCTCACCCTCGCCGTACGTTGCGAGCACGAAGATGGCCAAGCGGTCATTGGAGAACTTGTCGAGGTTGTCATAGTCGTAGTCCTCCAAATCCGCCGTCATGGTCTTGAGTCCGAAGCGCGAAGAGCCCTCCTTGGCCAAGCGGGAGGCGTAGTCCTCCGCGGTACCAGTCTGGGAGCCGTAGAAGACGACGCAGTTCTTGCCCGACTCCTCCATCTTCTCGATGATGTTCCTGCTCTTGCCCGTCTTCGCGGATCCATTGGCAAAGGATGAGGCGTAAGGATCTTTTTGCACGGCCCAGTAGGTGCCTTTGGTGAAGTAGGCGACGGTGCCGAGCAGCAGCACGACGAGCACGATGATGTCTAATGTATCCAACTGCGCCATCTTGTCGGTATTGAGGGGGTGTGATTAAGGAGGGGAGTGTGGATCGCGGGCAGGCAGGCAAGAGGTCGTTATATTATATTGTTGAGGGCTGAGACTGATGCGGCTGAGTCAGGCGGATGGACGTGAAGCCGCGCGCAAGCTGAGAGGATGTCGTCGCTCCCGAGAAATTGTGGAAACAGCCGCGGGAGCTGCGAGCGAGTCGTGGTTCGAGGGTGGCGAGACGGCGGAGAAGGAGGTGAAGGGTGGAGTGGGAGATGTAGTGTGCGGGTAATGCACCGGCCGACGGTGCGGAAGCTAGAAGCGAGCACGGTGGGATGGGAAAGCGGAGGCGGCGGCGGCGGTGCTGCACGTCGGGAGAGTCAATGACAGCTGCCAGTGATGTTCTCTCCGCGCTCGAGACAATGCGAAGCGAGGGAATTCAAGAGAGACGGGAGAGGATGCTGAAGAATATTGATATGGTTCGGTTGCACGACAGACAAACACGTTGTTCTTGCACGCCGCCCCGGTACATCTCCCCGGCTTCTTCTCGCCCGCGGAATCGTTCCACGCTCCTACATTGATCTCCAATGCGGTTCACGGCCCTGCGTCTACGTACTTAGCCAGGGCTCCGAGGCCTTGGGTGTATGCGGATCAACTGCGGGTCGCAAAAAGAACTGTCCAGGTTGCATCGTCTGCTCACGATCGATGGCTTGCCGATATGGCGCCGCCGGTTATATGCACATCGAGCTTCTGGAGATCTGTCTGGAGAGAGTATCTCCTGACTATGATCTGACCAATGACACCTACCTTGGATGGTGGGAATCTCCTCGTGCTGAAGCCTAAGACAATCAAATACCGCTCGCATGGTCGATATGTACACAGACTCGTCCCTCCCCTACTTCGTCCGTATCTCCTTCAACGGCTTCGCAATATGCACAAACTGATCCGCGTACGCCTTCGGAACAAATTTCCGCTCATTCGGCTCTTGCACAAAGTATTCGTAGCCCTGCTTGTTGGCAAAGCGAATGGCATCATCCTTCGACTTGAAGCTCAGATGCGTGCCTTGCATGAAATCCGCGCTCGACTGCCACCCCATCAGCGGGTTCTCCCATCGATGCCCTTTGCCTAGCGGATCCCAGTCCATGCGCCAATGATGGCTGTGCCAGTCGCCCGACTGCGTCGCCGGTTTGGCTTGGCGGAAGATTCTGTGATGGCTGTGTGAGGATGCGTGCGGAGATTAGGGGTATTGGTGCGACATCTTCTTACCGGACCGTACGTGCTTGTAGCTCGATAGGCGCGCCTGAAAGTACCGCTGCTGGCAAGGTCTCGCCAGCCTCGCTGCCGTCCATGACTCGGATGGGAATCGGGGAGAAGTTGCTGCGACGATGTTAGGCTGGACGCTCCTGTGACCTCGGACCTTTGCCATGCAACTCACGACACCCTGTAATCTGTCACCACGTGGTAATCTGGGTTGTCTCGCTCCATTGCACTGGTGACTGGCGCTGCCGATGGTCCATCGTAGGAGATGATGCCGGCGAGAGGGATTGGGGGTTGGGCGGCTGCGGGTGTGGTGCTCTTCAGGCGTGAGCCAGCCAGAGATCTCCGCGAGAGTGGTATGCGAGATAGTGTACGCAGGGAGCCAACCGCCGTTCGCTGTAATGAGGCCATCCTGCGCGTGAGAGGGTGTGAGCAGGGTGGTGTATCGTATGTTGCTCGTCTCGTGCGGGCGGAACTGGAGGTGATGCCCAAGCTTGCGGGAGAAGCCGCAGCGGAAAAGCACTGACCCGCTCCTCCTCAAGCTCACTCAATGCTACAGTATTTCTCCATCAACATCTGCCATCCTCGCCCTCACACAATCTCATCCGCAATCATGGTGTCTTCGCTGGTGCCCCCTAAAGTGAGTCGTGTCGATGATATTGTCATGAACCGCGAGCTGACCAGATCTGTGATAGGTGGCCTCGCCAAAGGTACGTCCACAAACCCGACCTCCTGCACGTCCCTCTCTATCCCAGCGAAGAGCCCCTCCAACGACGCAAGGACAGCTTCAAAAATACCCATGGCGGGGAGAGTCAAGAATGCGTGGGACCATGTAACTGACTTGGACAATTGCAGGCTATTGGCGGCGCGGCGGATGCAGCGCGCATGGAACGAGTCATTTCCTTCTACGAGAAACTCCCCCGTGGATCCGCACCGGAAGCCAAGCCAAGGGGCCTTTTGCAGTGGTATCAGCACAAGTACATGGGCAAGAACCCGCGAGCGATGCGTATGTGATCAGAAACCCCTGGAGCCGACTCGACTTATGCAGCGCCGGCTTCGCCAAAGGCAGTCTCCGGCTAACGTGTGAACAGCGCTGGTACATCTCATCGGAGGCCTGGCACTTCTCGGATATGCGCAGAATTACTACTTCCATCTCCGTACGTGCAGCGTCATACACAGAGCAGCGAACGACTACTGACATGGAGCAGGCCACCACAAGAACAATGCGCACTAGACGGGGAGGTAGACGGGGAGGAAGTGGGTTGGAGATGATGCAGCACGACCTGGTGAAGGGTCTGATTTGTACATAAGGCGGATACAGGCTGTGCCAATCTATGTGCGCTTCGCATTACCATGTGTTCTGCCGCGACGGCTCTTCGTCACGTGACTTTGAGATGTTCCCCGTCCTTGCTGAATGCACAACGCACGCCGTTCTTGGCACGAGCCCACGTCAAAGACAGCATGCTTGCTGCCTCCTCTCCACGGCACCACCAGATTCCTTCAGTCTTGGTGGCGCAGTGAAACAAACCAGCGTGCCACCGTCACTGTCCGAGGACCAGCCCTGCGATTGCGGCAAGCGAGGTTTCTTGGCAAACTCTAAATCTACCTCCCGATATGGGCGGCCTGTCACCAGTCGCATGACTCTCCTCTTCGTGCATCCGACAGCCACGTCGTCCACTCCTCCATCACCTCCTCCCCTTCTCTTCCCCTCCCTTCCCTGAGCTGTAGACAGCCAGCGGACTTCTCTTCTGACTCGCTTCCTCGCAGGGACATCTACGCCCTCCCTTCTTCTTTCACACGCCCCCCAAGGCACCCCTCCGGGGCATTCACCACCGCTGCCACTCTGACTCCAACCCTGGCGTTCGAAGACTTCTGACATTAGGTACCGCCCGCTCTTCCTTTGATCCCACCCACTCCACCACCCAGACCACGCCCGCGTGCGATCGAGCTCTTTGTTCACCGAACGCGTGGCCGGTTTCTGCCAATGTTTCATCCACACCATGCAGTCATCATCCTTGCATACCCTTTCTGACCAAGCTTTCACTGCGCAAACAGCACCACAGACTGTTATGGCAGAGCAGGTTGCCCACAATGTGGTAGATCAGTCAGAGTCGACGGGCGCTCATGCGCCTGTCGACGTTGCCGCGAACCAACCCACCACCGTTGCCGCCGATCACGGCAATCTCGATCAACCCCACTCCCCCAATACCATCGCCAGCTTTTCGGAGGAATCGCAGGCTGCCAACGAACATGCTGCCCACGCAAACGCCTCTATTCCGAGCATGCAAACCGATCCACCGAGCGACCCTGCCCCTGTCCAGCAATACCATGAGGGACATGTGGAAGGCAAGACCGAAGCACCAGCACATACCTTTGGTGTTGAGCAGCATGCTTCCACACAAGCACCAGGCGTGAATGGCACATACGATGTGGCGGTACCGGCAGAAGCTGTGTTTGAGGATGCGAGTTTTGCTGAAGGCTCTGCCGACGTCAGCGTGGCCTCAGACACCGAGGGCAGCCGGGGCGATGCTTCAGAGTTGAAGAAAGACGACAAGAACCATACTCGGACGAACTCGGTCAAGAAACCGCTCACATTCAGCAAAGTATCGGTCACGAAAAACTTTCTCGCCAAGTCGGCCACGGCCACTCCACCCCTGGTCAAGCCCGGCGAGAGGCCCAGTCCCGCAAGCACCCCTCTCTCGCTCTCAGCAGTGAAGCCGAGGTTGATTGCAAAGACGGGAATGTCACTACGTGATGTGCAAAAGACGCGCTCTGCTGCAGACACTACAAGTGGGCCAGATGCCAGCAAAGTCTGGAACAAAAACCAACGTGAGTGATACCAGCTTCGTCTCATAGGTTCAGAGACTAATACTCGTACAGCCGTCGCACCACCTCCGCCCAAGCAGTTCACGGACGAAGAGCTCAAGCAGCAGTATGGCATTCATCTGGCCACGCGACTGCAGTCAGACGAAGATGGGAAACAATCCAAGTGGGCTGATATTGACGACGATGAGGAGGACTGGGCACCGGAGCCTGTGGTCTGGATGGATGGCACCAAGTCAACTCTCATGGCCAATGAGGCAGCAGCAGCGGCAGCAGCGGCACCCCCTCCACCAGAACAACAGTCAACACCAGCTCCACCGACAAAGCCTGCCGAACCTGTCAGACCTACCTTGGTGATGAGACGTCCTGCTGAGCCAGGCTCGACCAAGACGGTTCTCAAACCTGGAGCGAATCTTGCTGCTACGCAAAGCCAGCAGGGCGAAGCTGGAGCAACTGCATCAGCCAACAAAGTGCTCGTGGGAGCTTCCAAGAACTTGGGGGCACTGCCTGCCAAGTCACCATGGGCCCCATTGCCTCCAGTCGAGAAAGTTTCCCCAATCAACCCTCCAGTGCAGCAGAGACAAGCACCGCTCCCGTTTGCTTCTCAAGACGCTCGCTCCTACGAACCCGCTCAGCATGCACCGCCAGCTCGAGAAATTGCTGCAGACACATTTGACAGGTTTGCGCGCGACGGGGAAACTGGCCCACGGGAGCTCTTCAACTCCGCGAATGGGAAATACGAGCCCGTTCAAGAAGGCCGTCGGGGTTCAATGAAGCCCGACAGGAAGCACTCCTTGCTACAACGCCACTCCGGCAGCGGTCCCGCTGAGCCATCAGCAGCGTTTCAGACCCGCTCAAATGTGCAGAGCGAGAGCCGCAGGCGAGGCTCCAGCTTCAGTCAAGGCAGTCTACCCCCTGCCATCCGACGTATGTCCAAGGCCTCCGAGACCTCTCCTGCTCTTTCCAGCGCAATCATCGAGCACGAAACGCGTGCATCTCCCAAGGTCGCGAAAGGAGAGCCCGCACAGCCCGTGTTCGCTCAGCAGAGTGCTTGGCAACAGCAAATGCCTACTAAGCCTACGGTTGAGATGGAAGATCCTGTCGCCGTGCAGGAGAGAGTGATGCGTGAGAAGCGAGAGGAGGCGAAGCGACGGCGTGAAGACGAAGCGCGCGAGGAAGCGGAGAGGAAGGAGCGGCTGAAGGCCAAACTTGCCAGCCTTGAAGGCGCAGGCAAGTCGCGAAAAGAGCGCGATGCGGAAGCTGCCGCGGCTGCTGCTGCAAGTGCGGCAACGACCGCCACGCCACCGCCTCCAGCTTCCAAGGAGACGGCTCAACTCGCCGCCCAAACGGTTGCAGCGGAGCCGCCACCTCCTGCCAAGCCGTCCGACACTACCACAACCGCGCTGGATCCGTCGGTGAATGAAGCGGCGCCTCCGAAGGAGCCTAGCCCGCAAGAGTCGCTGCCTGCTCCTATACCTCCACCGCCATCCGCCGCAGGCTTACCACCACGCCCTATATCAAACACAGCCCCGACCGCGCGACACCCGACCAACCCCGCGCAGTCACCGAAAGCTAGCTCGCGTGTGCCGTTCCAACAGACCAGTGCGGCCTTTGGTCAGACCTCGCCTTCATACACGTCTCCCAGAGATCGCAAGCCACAGTCATTCGAGCGTTCGCCCTTGTCAAACAACAACGCTTTCTCACCGTGGCCTACTACAGCACTGAGCAGCGGCAGCGGCAGCGTATGGGGAACTGCTGGAATCGGGAACGGGACGTTTGAGAGCTCCAATGTGTTTGCTCCAATGTCGAACTCTCAACACAGCTCAACCCTGCCCCTTCCGCCTGGCATGAACCGCGCCCCTGGGTCGAACAGGATTCCACCACAATCTCTTGGGACGGAGTCTCGCTCTCCCAGCGGACCTCAACAATCGTTGCTGGAGTCCAACATGACATTCGCACCGCCGGGCTTGGAGGCTCGCCCAGATGCATTCGCCAATCAGGCACGCGTGAACGGGACCTCTCCTGCCCCTGGTCTTGGTCGCCAAACGCATCTTCCCGGCCCCATTGCGCCGCCCTCGCGTGCAGCACAGCAGCAAACGCAGCAACAGTCTACACAGCGGCAAGGTGCGCTTGCGGCGTGGAATAACGCCGCTCAGATGCTGCCTTATCAGTACAAGGCGGATGCGGACTCGGCGGAGAGGAAAGCGCTGGAGTCGAGTACTGTCGCACCTCGGAATGACACATTCAAGGAGACGTTTAAGCAGACAATCGTCGATCCGAACAGACTTGGCGGGCCACGGCGTTACGAGAAGATCGAATACACCGTGCATGATGCCCAAGGGTCAAGGTCGGTGCCATCGCTCAGCCCCGCGCCGCCGAATGCCCAGACTCAACCAATGATATCTCCCTCGGCGTCGAGTGCACATCAACTGGCTGGAGAGAACACCGTCCGCCTGCCGGACGCTTCGTCCCAACTTCCTCAGGCACCATTGTCCGCGAGAGCTCCACATCTCCGCAAGCAATATGCTGCCCAAGCTGCCGCTGAAGAAGCTACCAGCCCGCTGCCGCCAAGTGCACAGAGCAAGGAGGAATCACCACCACCGCCAGAAACTGCATCACATCCAGTACACGGTGGTGATATCGGGCATCCGCTTGTGAAAATGCCGCCACCGCAGCCGACAGTCAGATTGCCACCAGCGGCGTCGCCTTCGACCTTGCCTCAGCAAATGCAAGCCATGCCACCTCCACGCCCAGTGAACAGCTTTGGAGTGCCAGGCACCGCGCGGCCGCTTGTGATGCAAGAGGCATGGCAAGCGCGTTTCAACGGCCTATTCAATCGAACGCACGTCCACACCGAGATCCCGCCTTCGCCGCCAAAAACTCCCCCCAAGATGCAGGGGCCGGCGCTCGCCGTGGCATCATCTAGTCGTACCGCCATGGACGAAGCTCCGCGCTCCTCCAGCGCCACCGTCTCGCTTCCGCAAGCAAAGATTGCGATGCATCAGCAGGGCTACCCGGCCAGCATCCTCGCAGATGCTACATCGAAGCCGATGATTGAGCAGATGTTCGGAGAAGAGTTGAGTTTCGGGTCGTCGCCAAAGGTTCGAGTTCCGAAGCAGACCGCCTATGCCATTGCATCCGAGGGTCTGCCTGCGCATACTATGTTGGCAAAGCTGCCCAACGCCAAGCTCCCAACGAGCATCGAAGCGCGTTCCGTGGCCGAAGTCAATCTGCGCGACATTCACCCGAAGCGCCACGATGGTTACTTCATCCATCTCCCGCTTCTGAAGCTGGTGCGCAAGTTTGCACAGCAGCAACAGCAGCAGCGCCAGCTCTCGGGTAGCCGGAAGACGAGCGCCAACCACTCCTCTTATCAAGAGAGGCGCGCATCGGGAAAGTTCAAGGGCAAAGGCGATGAGGGCACTGCAGCAACGGGCGAATCGAGGAAGTCGAGTTTCCAGAAGACTACCACATCGACTCCCAACTCTGGCTCGCCTGCACCGGGTACCCCGTCGACGCCGACTCATGGAAGGCGAACTTCGTGGGCCAAGCCTTCGAAGGGAGGGCGTGGTGGGAGTGGAAGAGGCAGCACGCCGATCAAGGCGAATTGATTGCATTGCATTGCGAGGGATGAAGTCGGCAGAGTGGCATTGAGTGTATTGTAGTGTGTAGTAGTGCTGGGCGACGTCTTGGTGATGTTGCCAAATACCAAAGTTCAAGCGAAACTCGCGTCCCGTGCTCATGTTGCGTGATGTACTTGATTCCGTTGTACGCAAGCGTAAAGGAGATTGTGTCCCAATTGGACTTATCGTGTGAGATAGCTCTGTCGGTGTACATCCACTAATAACTGGTCTTCGATCGTCCAGTCGAGTACTGCATGCCACGGGGTGAGGTCTGCTCCAAACCTTAACCCTGACCCTAAGCGTTTCGCCTTCCGGTTTGGGAAAATGCTCGGAGCATGCTCACAGCATACCACCTCCCATCCCAGCGACATCCTCCTTGCACAGTCGCCAAACGCATCTATCACTTCTTTACCGCCGAGGACTGCTCTCCCACTCCAATTTGAACCAATTGAGCAGCTTCGCTAGCTGCCTCCAGCTTTGGGCAGACATCTACGCCCTCCCGACATTCGATTGGCGAGGAACCTGCGACGCTACTGCAAGGCACCAGAGTCTATACCACACCTGAAATGATACCGCTTGCCACCACTTCCCCTTCAGCTCGCCGCCTGCAATGATGACTTGAGCCGCATCTGGTGTGAGGTTGGCTGAGAAGGGCGCAAGCCGGCAGATCGAATGGACAGAGGATGAGTGAGTACAACGTCCCGCTCCCGAGATTGCCAGCGATCCTGCGCACATGAGGGGCACAGCACCCGCGGGAGACAGCACTGCATACCGGCCCAACCAGGTTGACGAGACTGCGCTGACATTCTCTCCTTCTCTCCACAGCCCTCCCTTCCCCCTCTGACGGCCGGAACAGAAGCGTCACCACCACCGCCCACCCCTCCGATACCTCCTACTTCACCTCCCAAGTCCCCGCGCGCTTCGGCGCATCCCGCGACTCCTCGCAGACAAGAGGCAGAGCATCGAGTGCGAGCAGCCCGCAGAATGCCTCCTTTCGAGCAGGCTATTCCTCTGCTGCTGCGCCGCCTCAGGCTGGCCACGGCACGCCTCCCGAACTAGAAAGAAGGCCATCACAGTCATACGGCCACCATCGGCAGACCTCGATCGTGCATGGAGTACAGCATTCGCGCAATACCTCCGCCCTGAATACCGTCCAAAGTACTAGTCCTCTCGGTCCGCCTAAGATCATGGCTACTGGGGATGGAGTCCACGATTTGAACAAGAGTCCGTCGCTATCAACGTTGCATGCCAATACCTCTCATTCTTCGGTGCTGCCCATCAATAGAAGCTTTGATAATACCGCTGCACCCCGTGGGATCGAACGAATGCGTAGTGGGAGGCTGAGGAGGAATCATGATCACCAACGCTCTCTGTCCCGCCCCCAGGGAGAGCAGTCTCATATCCCTACCACCGTCGGAGAATACGCGCTGCACCATCTCTTCACCAGATTCATCGCCGCAGCCGACGAGCGCATTGAGCTTTGCATTGCGGGACAAGGGAATCGCGATCCTCGAGTGGAGAATGTGTGCGGCCCAGGCGCGGACCCGGCCTTTGACCAGCTGATTTCATCGCTTGGGCATATCAATCGACACAAGCCCAAGTCTCTCATTGATGCTATGATTCTTTGGAGACAAGGGAAAGCCGACACTGCCAATGCAATTGTTGGCGAGATCCAGTCCATTCGCGACTCCGTACGCACGACTCCTCAGCACACCCCGAGTGATTCCTTTTCCACCTCGACGTCTGTCTCGGGTGGATCGGACCTTCTCTCTCTGGAGAACAGCCTCGCGGTTGCTGATCGAAGGTCGACCGTCTCGGTATACATCCTATGCAGGGTGTTGGCGGAGGTGATTGGACAGACCACCTTGACGGCGCTGAACGCGTCTGACACCACCGTCAACACTGCTGCCCGCCTTGAAGAGGTCATCTACAGCCAGCTGCAGAGCGCTGAGCCGGAGTCATTGGCTTCTTCACCCCTCCGAAAAGCCAATTGGGTTATTCGCGGGCAACTCCTCGGCGTGATGAGCGGGCTCAGATTCCAGCAGGTCGTCGACAAGTTCATCCGAGACATTGAGAGAGCCCACAAACGACTCTCCGTCAAGGGAATGGGCGATCCTAGGCTGGCGTCGAAAACTGCAATGCTGGTGCACAGCATGCGTTGGATCAAAGTTCGCTCCCAACCTGAGGATGCCTGGGAGCAGTCCTGTGATATGCTACAGGTCCTCGCCAACTTCTTCGCCGAGGTTCATGGCAGAGTCATGAAGCACGCCTATGCCGAGTTGTTCGAACAGCTATTACTCTCCATCGCGGCCACGGCCACTTCGGAACTCAATATGCCCAAGTGGAAGGACGTGCTGGCCACTATCCAGCCCAAGATTGTCCAAATGCTGTCCAAAGCAGATCACTGGCCGTATGTGTTTCCGCTTTCAGCAGTCCTGCTGTGCGTGTCGCCTGCGGACCAGTTCGCATCGCAATGGCTCGCCCTCGTTTCCACATCCCAGGCGCGAGTCAAGGATCGCTCTGGAAGGTCGCACGTTCTCAAGGCTACCTGCCGACTGGTCTGGCGATATCTCTATCGACATGACGAGGCTCAGCCTGTTGTAACGAGAAGGCTGGACGAGCTGATCAGATTGGTTTTCCAGGGCGGCAAGCGCGTCTTGATCTCAACTGACCCGGTGATTGCGGACCCACTCATCCAATTGATCCGCATCATCGGCTACAAGTATCAAGACATCTGCTTCCGCACCATCATCTTCCCCTTGATGAGCGCCGAGTCGTTCTTCAACGCGGATGGACAGCAGAAGATTGAGAATCTGGATCCCGAAAAGACCGTCATTGCCATTCGAGCCTTCCTCGCCATCATGGGAGACCTCGAGAAGAGACGCCCTCCCCCATATCCCACCACCTTTGAATGCGATGCGTTGATGGACCCCACCTCTCGCTCGCCAGTCACGCACCGACGTACGAAGTCACAGGGTTTTGCTTTGTCCGCAGGCCGGACAGAACGGTTGTCGCAGCCAGTCCTGACGAACAACCTCAACGACATCGCCAAGGAATATTATGTGAGGTTCTGCCAAATTCTCGGCCAGCTGACCATTATCTGCGACAACACCTTCGGCGGACAAGCGGTGCTGGACGAGAGAATTGCATCTCAGACACCCAAGACGCCCATGGCGGAAGCGTTCGCTTTCAACCGCAAAGACGATTTTACGAATCCCACCGACTTACGCCAGCATTATTACGACTTGTTCCACGTGGCTGTGGAAGCGCTTCCTCGATGCGTATCACCACATCTTCCCATCAACGCTCTGGTGAATCTGCTCTGCACCGGCACCGCTCACATGCAGTCGCACATTGCCGCGACATCCATGCAATCGCTGAAGTCGATCGCAAGGCAATCCTACGCTCAACAAGTCACGATTGGATTCGCGAGATACATTTTCAACTTCGACGATCGATATGCAAACAGTCGGCTGCTGGGCCCAGGTCACGTTGAAGGCACGCTCAAGCTCTACCTCGAACTTCTGCAGATCTGGCTCGAGGACGTGCAAAAGCGAGCGCAGAAGGTATTGGCGAATCCCGACGAAGACATGGCCAGTCGGAAAGTGGCCTTGGACTACGGCAGTATTGTGGCGCACCTGGACGAAGTCGAGTCCTATGGGCTCTTCTTTCTTTGCTCAGCATCTAGCAGTGTCCGTGCTGTTGCTCTGGACGTGCTACGCCTGCTGACACAGTTCGACGAAGTGTTGCTGAAGTTCGAGAAGGGGAGTCCGGCAAACTTTGCACGCCTGATTGCAATCCTGGACGATCCTGACAAATATAATATGAGATTCGATGACGACTTCCTGACGCTCGCGGAGAAAAGTCGACTGCACAAGGGCCAGAAGATGGGCATACTGCGCGAGCTGTGCTGTAGTGAAGTCAGCTATGATGCAGCATTGTGGTGGAAGATTTTCGCAAAGATCATCCGCACTGCCGCGGAATGGCTGCAGGCGGTGGTGTTGACTCGCGAACTGGTGTGTCAGCGTCTCTTCCACAGCTACCGCACTATCGGTGCCCTGGTGGACGGCAGCAAGCAGGCCATCAATACCGCATTGGACCTCAATATGCCTCCGGGCCGACAACAAGGCGCTGGGCGATCCAACGGTGCTTCTCCCGAAGTTGTCATTGAGCAGTGGAAGATCCACTTGATCTTCGCCTGCACGACCGTCACCAATGTCAGCCAGGGCCAATCTCACAAATCTAGCTCCAGCGTGCAGCACTCTCGGAACGGGTCAAAATCATCATCCACCAGCTCCGAAAAGGTCACTTCGGCCTTCGAACTCTTTTCCAAGGCCGTGCCGTTCCTCACTGCTCCAAATCACAGTGTGCGAACTGCTACTGTAATGGGTCTTTGCGCGACAAACGCCGCTTTGTTTCCAATACTCTTGCAGGTCTTGCAGCCGTTTGTTATGGAGTGCGGGAATGAGACAAAGGCGCTGCACCAGCGAAACCTGAGCAGTCCAAGAAGGAATCGCCGGACGGACACGTTGCGGAGCGACATCACCCAGATCTTCGCCGCCACTTGCCACCATATCCCCATTCCAGCCGACAAGTCCATCTTGGAAGATGACTTTGCGACGACGTATCTCATCGACTACTCGAAACACCTCCGTATCTACCTCAGTGATGCGGAAGTACAGGCCGACTTCGACTTGCAACGGCTACGAACCCACTTTTGCTCGCTGGTGGAGAGTCTGTACGATCGCACTCACATGCTGAAGGACGCCATTCGCTACATGTCGTTTCAGTCTCGGCTGGCGCTCTTTTCCCTCATGGAGAACTGGTGTGGTTTCTCGCCCAACGAGCGACAGTTGCGGCAGCACGAGGAGAACGTGCGACGCTCCATTCTCGAGCAAGAACATGATGCACGACGTCAAGGCGTGATTAATTCCGCGTTTGAAAAGCAGCGCATCGAGCTCCAAAACGCCGCTCTCTCTGCCATGGCGGCACTGTGTGCGGGCCCACTCAACTTTATCGCTGACGGTCGCATCTTGCACCAATTCGATGTCCGCCGCATGCTCGCCTGGATCCACTCCATGTTCGACAATCCGAGCGATCGAGCGCACACCATTGGCCAACGAGCGCTGTCAAAGCTCATCAAGCATAACCCTGACCACACAACGCTGATGAAGCAAGCGATGCGCATGTGCTATACTGCGAAAAAGCCCAAAGCTCTAGCCAGCTATTTCGAGGTGGTGAGTGGGCTACTACTTGACGGAGAACACCCCGTTGTAGTCCCCTTGTGGAGAGTGTTTTGTCTGGGATTGTACAACCTGGGCAGTGACAACACACAGGTGCGGATGCGGTCTGTGCGGTTGATGCGGCGGTTGGAGGAGAATATGTTGCCAAAAGTGAGTCCGGGGGCCGTGCCGCCCAAAGAAGCCCCGGGGAGCACGTCTAATCTTCAAGACTTGGAGATTAGCGTGTCGGACCGCACTACCGCCGTCTACAAGCTGGCGCAGTTCGAGGTGTCGCGACGACTCTCACAGCAGCATTCTACCCTCGCCTTTCATGTGTTGTCCGAGTTTTGCACCGTCTTCAAGGACCTGCCTCAAGATCAGCAGCGAACGATGGTATCGGCGATGCTCCCATGGATCCAGTCCATCGAACTACGTGTGGACGTCGCCGGAAACCCGGTGGTGGAATCATACATGCTCCTCGTGAACCTGATCGAGCTCACGGTCAGAAGCAGCGTCACTCTCCACAACGAGACACAGGCGCTCTGGCAAGCGTTGGCGAGCGGACCCCACGTCAACAACGTCACCATCATCCTCAACTTCATCATCAAGACGTGTCTGGAGAAGCGCGAGCAGAACTTTGTCATCTTTGCCAAGCAGGTCATTGTCTTCTTGTCCAAGACGCCTGGGGGAACGAGGATCGTCGACCATCTCATGCTCTCCATCAGCCCCAAAAGCATGGTCGTGGAGCATCGGGAGCCCTCTTTGCCGCCTTCGGACACTGCGGATCTGCCATATGTTGCGGATCTCGATCTCGTCTTACCGAGCGGTGCCAAACACAACGGCATGTCGCTTGCGCAGATTTGCATGATTTTGCTGGTGGATCTGATGGTGTCGCCTTTTGTCCTGTCCGCCGAGAAGATCCCTGCTCTCCTTCACGTGGCTGTTGTGCAATGGGATCAAAATGTCACGATTGTGCAAGACCAGGCGAGAGAGTTGGCCGTGCATCTCATCCACGAACTGGTCATTTCGAAGGTTGAGCCCGGCGAGCTGAAGACGGAGACTGAGGAATTCGTGGAAGCGATTCGAAACCAGGCCGTCGACATTACGTGGGCGTATACTGACACGGATTTCGGAGCAGCAAAGGAGAAGGGTGCGGCTGTACTCCACCCAATGACTCAGGTCATGGACGCGCTGATCAAGGCTTTCACGATCGTCAGTCCTAGTTTCCGTGAGGACTGGGCAGCAATCGCCATTGACTGGGCGACAACGTGCGCGGTACAGCATACGGCCTGTCGGTCTCTCCAGGTGTTCCGCTGCTTGTCGACGACTATGGATTCGAGGATGCTTTATCCTACTCTCTCCCGCCTATCCTGCACCATTGCCGACACTGAGACTGCCGGCTTTCCTTCTTATTCCATGGAGATCTTGACCACTTTGCGCATGACGATCCGCAAGCTCCCTATTGATCAGCTGATTCTCTCGCCGCAGCTCTTCTGGACGACGTGTGCTGCTTTGGACACGACGTTGGAGGTGGAGTACCAAGAGGCACTGGAGATGATGAGAGAGCTGATGGAGAAATTCGACCTCACGGACCCCGCTACTCTCCAGTCTTTGATGGATGGTCGGCCGCGGACTTGGGACACGGTGTTCCATGGCGTCCATCCTCTACTCCACAGCGGTCTACGCTCGAAGCAGTCTATGGAGCAAGCTCTTCTCCTTATGGAGCGATTGGTCAAAGTCCCCTCCAATGACATCGTCGGCCCTGATGATCGGCTCTTGTTCACCTTGTTCGCCAACCTCCCCCGCTATCTCCGCTCTTTCGAAGACTTTGGCGCAGACATTGACTGTCTGGACTCGACTCACTCGCTCGCCTCGATCGCGGAACATCAGAAACGGGAAAGTCTCGCGCGAGTGCTGCAAGGCTTTGGCCGGGGCAAATACCGCAACGAGGACGACTTCCTCGCCCAATGCATCGCTGCCATTCGCACAAGCTACTTCCCGACCTACGAACTCCCGAGTCTGGTTTTCTTGCTGGGCATGGTCAATAATCAATCCGCGTGGTTCAAAGTGCGGACGATGCAGGTGCTGCGCGTGGTGATTGCGGAGATTGACATGCACAAGCTGGAAATCGCCTCACATGGCCCGGATTTGATTTCTCCATTGCTGCGGCTGTTGCAGACCGAGCATTGTCAGCAGGCACTGGATGTATTGGATGGCGTGCTTGACATGATTGGCACGCCCTTCGACAACAAGCACCTTCGCATGAGCATGGCAGGGTCGCATTCCAGTCGTGCTACGAGGAGGGAGTATCAAAGCACCAAGAGCTTGTATGGGATACCCGAAGAGTCGGGCTGGTCGGTGCCAATGCCGGCCATCCGCTCGGAGCAAACGAGGAAGAATGTCGCGGCTGTAGCGGAGTCGCTCAACACCTTCAGCCTCAACGGCATGCACGAGCCCAGCCGGACGCCAGAGGTGGAGTTTGAGCACGAAGAGTCACCAGACTCGTACTTCGGAAACGACGCAAGCTTCGCGATGTCCACAGGCGCGAAGATGGATGAAGGGAATATGCATGAGCTGGCGCTGAAGCTCGACAGTCTAGACGACTTCTTCGACGAGCCGGGAGACGACATGATGTCTGTGGATTTAGACGGGAGCTCCTACCTCGACGGTAGCCGGATCACGGAACGCGAGAATCTGTACGACCAGCAAGTTGCGCCCATCCTACGCCGCTCGATGCGTCGCAACGCGAGCATCACCTCCTTCCAAACGGGCTTCACGGACTCTGTGTACCCGCCGCCTCGCGAGACAACACACGCCATGAACCCCTCGGCTTTCGCGCAGAACCACAAAGCGAGCTCGAGCTTCCACCACCGCCCGCGCTTACACAACCGCTCCGCCACCTCGCCAATCATGCGCACGATGAACACTTTCTCCCCGCAATCCGCGCAAAGCGACTTGCACTACGCCGCAGACGACAGCCTAGACGACACCGACGCCGCCTTCTCCGACGACGAATTTACGCTCGAGCGTGCGCGCACGAGCGAGGAGGCGCGCAGGCACTACCAACAGCAAGACGCTACCGTCAAGCCTGCGGGCTTCAAAGCTGGTTTCCGCCAGGGTTTGAGACGCTTGACGAGTACGGGGGGCAAAGGGGAGGCGCGCGAGGCGCTGAGACTTGCGGCTGCGGCGGGGGCGCCGATGAAGAGTCCGAAGGTGCCTAAGGTGCCGGCGAATTTGGCGCAGTATCCTATGAGTGGGGAGCTTTGATGTGGGCTTTTTTTGTAAGATGTAGTGTGGCAATGATTAGATACGACTACGAATGTGTTGAAAGTTATGAAATGTGCCACAGCAGTTCGGGATTTTCGTGGAGTGAGGTGAGGTGGTGCAGCGGGCCCGCGAGAAATATGTATGACGTTGACAGCTCCGCGACTTTGAGATTCCTCCACCCAATGCCCCATCTATGTCGCAATGAATGATCAGACAACTTGAAATCCATCGATAACGGCAACACTCTCCGACACTGCAGCTCCACGTAGAATCACCGGCTCTCAACTCACACTACAGCAAGAATAACCACAGCAACCATAGCTTCCCTCGCCCGCCGCCGTCTCCTGGACATCGTGCACACCACGTCCGTGGCACGAGGAAGAAGCACAACCCCAGCAGCAATAACGACAACAACATCAGCAAAAGTCAACATGTCGTCGACCTCCGCCCAGCAGCAGCAGGCCCCGGCACCGTGGCGCGACACCTTCCTATCGCACATCAACACCATGCCCAGCCCGGAATTCGTGCTCGCCACTCTCCACCCTGCACCGAAGGGAAGTCCAACCCCGTACCTCCCGCGCGCCCGCACGTGCATCTTCCGCGGCTTCTGGGGCGAGTTACCCGAGAACAAGCACAATGATGCTCCCCAGAATGCGCGCGTGTTCGAAAGCGATTTGCCGACTTTCACGACGGATGTGCGCATGCAGAAGGCCGGGGAGGTGTTTGCTTCTTCGGCTGGGAAAGCGGATGATGACAGTCTGGTGCAGGGAAGTGGAGGGGGAGGGTGGTGTGAGGCTGTGTGGTGGGCCAAGGAGCCGAGTGTGCAGTGGCGAGTGCGCGGGCGGGCGTTTGTTGTTGCGAGGGATATCGAGGGCGAGCAGGGGAGTGAGGAGGGAAGCGGGGTGCGGACGGTGAAGAGTGAGGTTGGAGGCCGGATGAGGGTTGTGTCAGGAAAGGAGGAGGAGAAGGGCGAGTGGTCGTGGGGGAAGGAATTGACGGCGCATTTTGGGAATATGTCGCCTACTTCAAAGGGTGCGTGGTCTCATGTTGATGTTCTTTGATCTAGTACTGACGCATGCATGCTAGGGATGTTTGCTGCTCCGCCTCCAGGTCGACCTGTGGACGAGCCGATCGAAGGCGAACACTTGGATGTCGGGGCCAAGGTGGAGGATTTGCAGCACCCCATTGCGCGTAGGAATTTCCGTGTGGTCATCATTGCGCCAGAGGAGGTGGAGTCGGTGGATTTGAGCGATCCCAATACTGCGAGACGCCAGTTCTACACGTTTGATGCCGGGAGTGGGACGTGGAAGCATCAGGAGTTGTGGCCTTAGTCTAGCATGATTAGATGGACTAGATCCAGTAGGCTGAGGCAAGGCTGGATGATGAGCTGTGTCATGTATAGCATTGACATCCTTACCAACCTGCAGCCGTTGATTCATGCTGTCTAAATCTGCTCGGGATCAACGCCGTAGGACGTCGGTGCAACTGGAGCCTGATACTTACAAGCACATCGGAACGTGATGAGATGCAGTATCAGCACCTGTTGATGCTGATCTTGACCTTCGGAGCCGCCAATACCCGAGGCAGTCAGCTCGGGGAAATAGCTGGTTACAGCAGTCTGTCAAGCGGCCCATGACTCGTTTGAAACCGGAGACATTGATGGAGGGCATGTCTTCACTCGCCATTATTTCAAATACCAGCAAGAGTATCCATTTCGATGCGGAGCACTCGATGAATAACCTTGTGATGAACAGCTGTGATGCATCGGGGAATCCTGAATCTGAGTTGCAACTCCCGAGGCTACCAAAGCAGTGGGTGAGTTTACTTGGTAGGGTGTCGTTGCATTGGGGTTGCATGCAGATCAGCAAAACATGACGAAAGATGGTGTGGACCTGCAAGCGAGACACGTCGCCAGACGGCCAGACTCTTTCCAGTTCCAGGGCACAAGTAGCGATAGCATTGACGAGGTGTTAACGATGATATTTCGCCTGATAGCCTGGCCAAGTGATGCAGATTCTCCGAAACCTGCTCATAGACTGACGAACGCTGAACCCTGCGTGCCGGCCATCCACCCTGCAGATGGGCGGGATGCAGTAACGAGGCGGACGTGCAGCAGCCTTTGCGCAAAGCGGTAATTGATGGGTTGTTTCTGGGGATTTAGGCTTGCGGGTGCCGGTGGGCGCGGTGATCGATGCCCAATCGATCCGGGGGCAAATGCAAATCAAGCACTTCGCCGTCCATCGGCCCGCCGCGCCATCCCGTCCTTGCCCGTCTTCCCTGCGTTGGTGTGGTGCATGTAGGGCTGGTCAATCACCAATTCATCAATCGTAACTCGGCGTATCTCCGCGTTGCACTTACTCGAGAGCGGAAGGAAGGAACGATGGGGGGTCCTGGTGTGGGCGATGAGCACTTCATGCACTCGTCTCCCACTCTGAATATTTTCCGAATCGACGGGCCTGGTCCAGGTGCTTGATCGCTTCGTGGCAGACGAGGGCAAGCGGAGCCGGCGTGGCATCATGGCATCGTATCGCCGACGTCGATCACCAACCCACATACCCTGCCCTCTGCCAACCAGGCCCGACGTCCCCAAGTATATTCCTACACCCACCCCACTCCATCCCGATCCCCTCCAACTCCGCCTCACTTTTCCTTCCCTCCTTCCCATCTCCTCCTTCATCGCTCTCCCTCCCCTCCCTCCCCGCGAATTACCATCACCTCCCCCTCCACACCTCCCCGCCCAACCACCTGCATGCCCGTCCAAGCGTCGCGGCAGCAGACCCGCTGTGCCGCATCATGGCCGAGACACTAGACGCCTTTACCTTTCTCCTCGATACCCTCCCCAGCTTGCTAGAGCAGTTGGACGCAATCGTCAAGAGTTCGGAAGAAAGACAGAGTGCGGAATTGTGCCGGCAACACCACATCCCCCGACCTCCATCTGCTTCCTCTTCGCAGCGATCAAGGGGCTCAGAGGATGAACCGCGATTACGACAACGGCCCAGAAGCCCGAACAATGCGGCGACCGCCTCGTCTCCCTCGTCCTCCACATCCCCTCACAACCTGACGTCGCCTGCCCGCGCACAACGTCACACCCGTCCTCCCGCACTCCACCACCAGCAACTGCCTCCTCTCACCTCATCCCACCCCGATGACCCCCCGCGCACACCCCAGTGCAAACGCAAGACCCGATCAGCATGCTCCGCCCGGCCCAGCGCTGGTCCGCTAAAATACCGCTCAAGAACGATGGTCACGGTCTTCTACGATGGAGACATTCAACAACGCTTCGAGGCGGCGGTACGCACCATCGCTCACTGCCGCAACGCCATGAGAAAGGGCAAGATGAGCGCAAAGGTCGACTTCCTCGCCCGCTGCAGTTCCAGCAGTGGTGACGAGGAGAGTGCAGATGACGAAGCAATGCCTGGCCTCATCATTAAACCGAAGCGTACTTCCTCTCCACCACATCCACTTCGATCACCTCGCGTGCTGCCGAGAAATGAAGACACCATGGCGTTTGATCAAGCAGATGCTTTTCTCGATCAAGCCCAGGCGTTGTGCGAGAGGGCTGCGCATCAGGTCCTCCGCAACGGCGACTGCACCCTCGAACTCACTCGCGTGAAAGAGAAGATAGCGCAGGCGCGGGAAGTGGGCCAAGCAGCGTTGCCGATGCTACAAAGGCGTGCCGTCAAGGCAGCGCAACGACAAGGAAGAGAGGCGGCCCGAACCACGCCGCCGGCAACGGAGGCAGTGATACCCACGCCCCATCGCCGCGTTGGCTCGCCGGAGAGTGTCTTGCTTGAAGTCGACTCGTTGGAAGTCGACGATCCGGAGGCGGATGATGGCGATTCTGCCATTCCGGAGATGATGATCCCGAGCAGCAAATATCCTCCGCGACAACATCCCGCTCTGCTCAGGCAACGAATGTCGGTGTCATGACACTGCCCTGGTGAAGCTCAACTGCTGAAGGATCTTCTTTTGTTTTGTGCTCTTTCTAGAGACTGGAGAGATTGTTTTTGCGTTCTAGCGACTGGCGAACAATGTGAAAGCGAGGCGTTACGGATGGGTACAGTCAACCACGGGAGCATGTGCATGCCCGTGTCGTCTTTCGCTTTGTGCATTATTATACTACCTCATTCGCTGCAGCTGTCTTATATCGTACAGGAGACAAAACAAGGCCGGAGAAGGCGTTGCTGACGGGCTCTCGGACTCACATTTCTCATCTCATGTTGTCACGTGCATGCGTCCCGCGTTCGCGTCGACCAGGCAGGCGTCTCTCGTGCCTTCCCTCTTCGACACGCGTCGCACCTACCTCTTCTCTTTTTCCTTCACCTCCATTTCTGCACCGCCATTCACCCATCTTTTGCTCGTCGCCACTTTCTCTGCCCGTCAATCGTTGTCGTTTGTCTGCCAATCCTTCATGCTGAGCCAATATGGCTTCTACCCCTGAACAAACCCCAGCAAGCCCAACATCAGAATCACGTGTCTCCGTGGAGCAGGATGTCCAACAAGAAGCCAGCGATGGCGAACCCGACGTGCCAGTCTCCAAGAAGCCACGCAAACGCACAAGCCGCCTTCTCTCCGGTCTCAACCCCAGCAACATTCTCGCCTCGCCGCAGAGTCAGGCGGTGGTTGACGATGAGGACGATGATGCCTCCACCTCAAGGACGCAGAGTGAACGGAGAGGCAAAGAGCGGCCGCAGAGGGAGGCGAGACTCTCGAATACGCGTGATCAGTATGATATGAAGTGCGTTTCAGCTCGCGCAGCGCCCTCCTACTTCCCATGCAACATCGCTAATGTGCGAGCAGATACCACCCACTCGACGAGCAAATCCGTCCAGCCTACGCTGCCAAACGCCGCAGCCTCACCGCGCAGTCTCCTTCGGTCGCCTCCTCCAGCACCGCAGATGACGACGCAGCCGCCAGCGACACCGAAAGCCTTCCATCGTCCGCCCGCGTCTCGGATACTGAAGCTTCCTTCCACGCCCGCCTTCCCTCCAGCGAACTAGACCTCGAAATCATAGCACCAACTCAAAGACACCCTGATCCCAAAGCGACGCGGCGCTCATCTCGCGAGGAAGCGCGCAAACATCACGATTACAGCGCTAAACATCATCCGCAAGACTACGGCATCCCGGGACATCAGCACAAGGCCCGAAAAGCGGATCGCGTTGCTTTTGCATCGACACAGGCTGCTACGCAGACTGGACGGAAGCGGAAGCGAGACAGCTATGAGATGTCAGGGGCGTTGCAAACTGAGGAGGAGGAGTCTCAGCCCCCGCTGAAGAGGGGGAGCAAGAAACCGGGACGTGGCAAGGGTAAGGCTGCGGTGCTGTCATCGGGCGAGGTTGATGATCTTGTTGAGAGCACGCTTCGCAATATTGGAGAGCTGGGAGGGGCGGCTGGGACGCCGATTGTCATCAGTGATGGTGTTCAAGCAAGCGACGAGGAAGATGAAGGACAGAATGTGAATGATGACCAGTTTGATGATCAAGAACAAGCTGCTGCAGCAGAAGAAGAGGAGGAAGACGAAGAAGAAGAACTAGACGAGGAAGCGGCGGCCTTCAACACCGACTTCGATCTCACACAGGTTGAAGACGCGCTGTCGACTGCTGCAGCTGCAATTGCACAGCTTGGCCATGGTCCCGATGTCTCAGTTGAAGATGATCCGCATGATTTGTCCCCGAATGACAATGACGACGTTGAAGACCACACTGCTGGAATGCCAGAAACACAGAACACGACTGCATCCTCGCGGACCATGGTGCCCGATTCGGAAGAAGAGTCTGTCGATCTGGATGAAGAAGAAGCGCCGCCGTCGGAATTCGCTGATCAGCTTGCTGTCACAGAAACGCGAGACACAGGGTCTGATGACGCCCACGCATCCGATACCGCAACAGAGGAGGCGCCGTCTGACGCGCACTGGGATCCAACGCCACCCGGTTCCCATCCTTCGCAGCAAGCTCCGCACGTTGATCAGGTCGATTCGCCTCTGGAGCAGAACAATCCTCAGTACCCGTCGCCTGCCACGAGTCTCGATGTCCCGGCTGGTTCTCATGGTTTCATCGATACAGTGATGGGGTTATTTGGGGCTAGCACCGGCTTCCAGGCGGTGAATGCTCCGCACTGAGAAGGTTCTCATGGTTCCGACCGGCCGCCACGAAGCACCAAAGAGTCATGTGAGGGCATGTGGAAGTACGCGGAGAAGGGAGAGAGACGCCAACATGATGGTAATCTTGGAGCACGTCATACTGCTGAAAGAGTAAAGTACAGGTAGCTGTAGCTTTTCAGTGCGAGCGCGTGTGGCTGAACATGTACAACGAAGCGCTCGCAACCCGGACAAAGCGCGCGATTGCTCACTTCTTCGAGAAGAAAGACATGATGTTCCCCCCTCCCGCTTTTGCTCCACCCTTCTTCGCCCCGGTAGACGCTTTCTGACTCGGCGCGGCGGTCTTGATCTTCTTCGGCTGCGGCTCTTCTTCGGAGAAGGACTCCCAGGCTGCTTCCTCTCGCGTTACTGTCGTCGAACTGTTAGCAGATGTGGATGAGAGGATGCAGCGGGCAAAGACGACGCCATACCTAGATATCCATCTTCATCTTTGACGGTCTTCTTCTTCATGATTCTCCGCTTGCCGCGACGTCGGCCGTTCTCAATCGTAACCGTCTCTTTAGGCTCTTCCGCTTCCTCCGCTTTGGCGGGAGCATCAACATCAGCAGCTGGCGCAGCATCAGGAGTAGCTGCAGTAACATCCTCCATCGCCTCATCCTCCTCATCCTCCTGCTCCATCATCGCCTGCAACTCCGCCTCGCGCTCCTTCTTCGACTTCCCAGCCGGCTGCAACGTCTTTGCCGCCTCTCCGACCTCCTTCTCTAGCTCGTCGTCATCTAGCCCCTCATCATCAGAGAAGCCGGTCATGAGATCGTCTTCCCCTTTCGGATCTGGATCTGCGGGAACGGGGGAAGCGGCGGCGGGGGGTTTGGCTTTGGAGAAGGATTTGAAAATGTCGGAATTTTGGCGCTTTGCTTGGACGGGTTTGGGGAAGGAGGTGGTGGTGCTGCCTTTCTTTTCGGTCGGTACTGCTGCTGCTGGCTTCACTTCTGCTTTCATCTCTGCTTCTTTTGCTTTGGCTGTCGTAGCGGAGGGCGCTATCTTCGCCTGCGGATTCTTCTCGATAGGAGCAGCGGGAGGGGGCGGTGCGGTGCCTTTGCCGACCCGCCTCTTGACGTTGGGATTCTGGATGGTGCCGTATTGCTTCCATGCTTGCAGCGGGTCTTCGGACGCATAGTTGACGTCGATTTGCCGATTGCACTCCGTCAATGTATGGATGTCGCTCAGGCCGTTGCATTCGAGGCTGTAGATGTGGATGCTGGAGATGGAGTCGAAGGTGCTCTTTGCTTGCGCGAGGTGTTCTTCTCTTACTAGGAGGATGGAGCGAATGATGCTCGATTCGGGGATGGAGTCGTGCGGTTCGGCGGCGGAGCTGCTTGGTAGGGGCCCGCTGCTTTGCATGGGGATGTCTTCGTCATCTTGACTGTGGATTCCGTTCGTTTGGGAGGAGGTGGTGACTCGTCTGATGCCGGTGAGGAGGTATGTGGCGTGGACTGTGCCTGGCTTTTTGGTATTCTGCTTGTGGTGGAAGTCGTAGAGCATTCTGGAGCATTGTTAGGCCCAGGGATCGTATGTGATGGTGGTATGTTCGGTCTTACTGCTTTGCAAGATTGCAATGGACTTTCAATGCTCGACTGAGAGTGCGGTAGCTGACCTGCGCGGCTGTCAGTGTGAATCGAATGGAGGCACGTGGCGGAAGAGCATGCCAGTTGCTGCTCGTTGAGCACATGGACCGCGAGGTACTCGGTATATTCCTGCGCCATGTCGAACAGGTATTTGGGAGGGTGTTGTATTCCGCTCTGAAGGTCAAGACTCTCGAGTCAACATCGCGAGACGTTCAACGCGTAAAGTGGGACGCGGTCTGCGGCGCGCTGCAGCTGCGAAGTCAGCGGAAACGAGCCGCGGACAGAAGTCGTGGTATCAAACTCCATGAACTGGTCGATTTCCACAAATCAACTCGGGTCCTGCGATGGCAGATAGCCATGGAGAATGCAGACGATGATGACGACTTGCGACTGGCACAAGCATCCGCCGGTCTGATTGCTGATCTGGAACTCGCTCTACCTAAAATCCTCTGGAAACGGCGCAGGACAGGCGATCCTCGTGGAAGAGTGCATATCCAAGTCAGACAACGTGATCTCGACTATGCCATCCGATTACTGGAGCCCTTCCAAGGCGAACCGCAGCTTCTCGATGCCCGGTTGAACCAACTCTTGCCACCGATTGTCGAGGCTTTTGCAGAGTCCTTGCAGCGTGAGCGAAAACCTGCACCAGTGTCGCATGTCGACTTTGAGAGTGCGATCTGCATCCTTCTTTACACCTTTTGCAAAGTGCGAGGACACAAAGTGATTTCCCGCTTCCTAAACAATGAGCCTCGCTACTTGGAACCCGTCCTCTCCCGACTTGAGCATGTTCTGGCGGAACGAGAGCAACGGCCAGAGGAGTGGCAGACTCCGTATGTGCTCTTGCTCTGGCTGTCTCATCTTCTGTTGACCCCATTCGACCTATCAACTATCTCCAACCGACCCGTGGACTCCGAACAGCTCAACCGTATCATTCAACTTCCGCCTGGCTTGCCACCAATCGTTCAAAGAGTGTTATTTGTTGGCCACAACTTCCTGCCCGTCTCAACAAAGGCTCAAGATGCTGCAGCAATGCTCCTGCTACGGCTCGTTATCCGCGTGGACATGCAGAAACTTCAACTGGCAGACGCCGTGGTCTCGCAAGCTCTGGGGGTGGTCCGAGACAACTCGCTCACAACTGTCTATGAAAAGATTGGCCCGTTAAGGTTTCTCGCTGGCGTAGGCTCTGCTGCAGAGCTGGACCACCTCATCCCGAGCATCTATCTCGCCTCTCAACGTCTCGCTGAAGAAAAGCCCACAATCATGTCGAGCGCAGTGGCGAAGAAGCTAGTCTTGAAGATCTTTCGCAACATCGCCGTGCTGGCTTTGCGATCCACGCCGTCTCAGGGCGCGCTGCTTGATTTTGTTGAGACAAGTGGCGCGATAGAGACTGCCATCGATCATCTCCTGGGCTCACTCGGCGACGGCGACACTCCGGTTCGATATGCAGCAGCCAAAGCTCTCAGCTTCATCATCATCCAGCTTCCGGGGGAGATGGGACACGAAGTGATTCAGGCGATCCTCGACTCATTCAAGGACAGCATGCCGCATGATCGAGACAAGCTGGATTTTCGAGCTGTTGACGCGTTGAAATGGCACGGTCTCACTCTAGCCCTCGCACATACGCTGTTCAAGCGATGCGCCATACCAGCACAAATCCCCGAAATTGTCGATGTGCTTGTATTGGCATCACAGTTCGAACAACGCACGGCGACAGGGAGTAGTATTGGCACCAATGTCCGAGACGCGGCCAATTTCGGCATTTGGTCCTTGTCCCGGAGATACACCACCGAAGAACTGCTCGCTGTCAAAAACATCAGGATGAAGAAAGGTTATGCTTCTGCCCCGGATACGTCGGTCATCCAATGGCTCGCGATCCAGCTCATCCTCTCCGCCTGTCTTGATCCCGCCGGCAACATTCGACGAGGCTCGTCTGCGGCATTACAAGAGCTGGTCGGACGACATCCGAATCACGTTCACGAAGGCATCGCCCTCGTTCAAATCGTCGACTACCAGGCTGTGGGACTGCGAAGACGAGCAATGCTGGATGTCGCCAGCCGTGCTGCGCCATTAAACCCCTCATATTGGACCGCACTCTCGGCAGCATTGTTCGAATGGCGGGGGTTGGGTTCGTCGGATGTTGAATCCCGAGATGCTGCTGCTGCTTCTTTGGCGCGACTTAGCGGGTTGCAGGAGAGCTCTTACGAGGCCGTGCTGATGCAAGTACTGCTATCCGTCCAGGAGAGCTCCCAAAGCGACCCAGACTACTTACATGGGCTCGTGCAGTCCCTTGCATATCTACTCCAGCGAGCGAACGCGAAGGATGAGCACGTTGGAGAGTTCGACAAAGCCCGCTCCAACGACTTCGGACGCGTTCTAGATGTTCTGCTTAAAGTCACCCGAGAGTTCTCTCTGCGTATGCTGCGCTCAGAGCTACCAGCAGCTATAGTGCAGCTGCTCGCGGCTCTCTGCCAGCAATTAGCTCATCTCGAGCACGACAAAGGCCTATTGGCATCGATTGACACCTTAGTCGAACGCATGCTCACACGATCCGAGGAAACTATACTGCAAGCCGCGCCATCGCTCATCAGGCCTCTTCTCACGCTGAAGGTCAAGCTGGGAATGCCACTCGGATGCTTGGATGTTGAGAGTCTCTGTATGAAAGTTGCGACTGATAGCTCCAAAAGCACGATGCATGGCGCTGGGAGAGCGATCGCTTTAGGAGCGCTAATCGGGGCATCTGGTAATGCGCTCCTGAGCGAGGACATTACGAAGGCAGTTAGTACGCTCGGTGACCTGACTCTGGCAACGAACGTGGACTGGCGAATCGTGGGCATCAAGGCCTTACAGCTGGTCGTGGAGTCGACTTCTGGCTTCCGCGACATGGACACCCGTATACCGGGGCTGGTTATCAATGCGCTGCACCACGCTCTGAACGATTACACCATTGACGAGAGAGGGGATGTCGGATCGCTCGTTCGGCTGCAGGCGTTACAGTGCACAACCTGCGTCCTCGCAAAAGGCGACGCCGTTTCCGATAGCTCGTACCTCCAGATCTTGCACGCGGACATCTTGCGGTTATCCTTGGAGAAGCTAGATCGTGTTCGCTTGGCAGGAGCTCGATGCAAACAACAGCATCTCAGCTCATCAATGCCCGCGACTGATGTCTCCAGTGTCTCAACGGAAGCATACTTCCTCGACACCCTCCACCCTCTCGCAGACGCCACCTCTCCGACCTGGCAAACACACGCTCTATTACAAGGCATCATATCCAGCTCCGGCATCAGCGCAGAGCCCCTCCTACAAGCTTCTCGCACCGCTCTCGCCAGTATCCTCTCTTCCATCCCAATTGCCCACCTCGAAACAATCCTAACCCTCTTCACCACAATTCTCCAATCCCTCCTCGCCAACTCCAACAGCACCAACCTCCAACACCCCGCTCTCGAACTCCTCTCTTTCCTCCTCGAGGTTCGAATCCCTCAACGCCTCCTCTCCCATCCGAACGGCGGAACCTTCAAATGGCGCACCCTCCTCTCCACCGTCCAGAAATCCCACCACAAGTCCAACGATATCCCGAAAATCCTCGCTTGCCTGCGCATCTACCGCTCCCTGGCGGAGATTCCGACGATTCGACGTGAGGTCCTGAAGAAGTTGCTGGGCATGTTGAGGACGAATCCGTACCCGCGCGTCCGGGTGGGTGTGGCGGAGGCTTTGTTTGTGGTCATGGAGGGCAGAGAGGAGGTTTTGCGTGAGAGGGATTGGGCTGCGCCGGTCAAGATGCATGCGGGGGTGATTGGAGAGATGGAAGGTCGGTGTTTGGCTTAGGATGCATAGGAAGCTTATGATATGTTAAGGACATGATGTAGAAGATGAGGTGATGGACAATAGACCGTCCTCCCAACTAAGGCCATTCAAAGACAGCTGAGATGCTTCGCGCATATCCAGTTCGGAGAAGCACAGTATACTCAGCAGACGCCTACGCTTGATCCAAGCCGGCACAAATCTTGGAATTCCTCAGCCAGATGCAGGCTCGGGAGCAGGAGCAGGCATAGCACCATCATCATCCGCCTCTGCAGCCTCAGCCGCAGCATCATCCTCCCGTCCGTCAACCCTAGCTCCAACCTCAGCCAGAATAGCATCCACCATCTCCATCGTGTCCGCCTCGCCAGCAGGCTCGTCCTCATCATCACCAAACTCGACCTCCATCTCCGGCAAGCAAAAGAGCTCATCAGCCGTCATGAAAGGCACGATGCGCGGCCGATCCACATCCGCTGCTTTGCAGCCGCCGACGTTGGCGCGGAAGTGCGATGCGTAGCCCATGCGCGTCAGCTTGGGCGTAGATACTGTGGCTTTCTCGCCTGTGTGGTCGATGTAGGGGAGGTATTGGAGCTCGGGGAGGTCGGCGTCGAAGGGGAGGAGCGCGTGCAGCGGGGTGGTGCTTGTTGCGAAGTTGTGGGATTCGGTGCGGAGGGGGATGGAGGGGAGGTTGGGTGCTGTGAGGAAGGATTCTTCGTTTTCGTCGTCCTGTTTGGATGGGGTGGGTGATGAGGTGTCGGGGGTGGGCGGCGGGGTTGGTGGCCGCATGTATTCCTCGGGTATGCGCGCCAGGTCGTTGTGGATCGTCGCGAAGGGTGAGGCGGGATGCAGCATGTACCAGCCTTTGGCTCGCATCAGTTCCATCAGATACTCCATCCATGCCGGCTCGGCCTGCGTGACGAGTTTGACGGATTTCTGCACCACGCCTGCGTGGTGGGCTGCGAGCCGCCGCTTCAAGAAGCCGTGGAATACCGTCCACTTGTCTCCGAAGATCAAGCTCGCAGTCGAGGTGGGAGCGCCGTAGAGGAAAGGAACGAGCGCCGATTTGTCCAGCGTGGCATCCTCGGTGTATCGTTTGGACGCCATGTGCTCGACTTGGGGCCGGTCAAGCTTGACGTTGCCATCTGTGAGGAACTCAGGCACATCCAGTGACACGCCCAGCAGGTCTCGAACTTCGGCAGAGTCGTAGGCGGAATAGCGGTATTCTAAGATGGTGTAGTAGAGGTAGTGGAAGAAGGTGGGAGATAGCTCTGCTTGGGAGGAGAGCAAGAGCACATGGCTGTTCTCCGTGCTGCTGGGGTAGAAGGACTCCAGGAAGCGAAGCGAAGCTTCCTCTGCTCGTATTCGTGACGATGGAATGCGACGGCGAAGCGTGAGCCCGTTGGTTTTCAATGAACGGTACTGCTCATCTGGAGGCCAAGCCAGCGACTGCAAATACTGCTCCGCCCATGAATCAACGTCAGAAGGGAGCTCGACGGTCAGCTTTGGACGCTTCATGCCCGCATAACTGGCGTCCACGAGACTCTTCACCGTCCGTATGAGACCACCCGAGCTGTGTGGAGGCGCGTGGATCAAGATGTCGATGTTCGGCTCGTACCAATTCGCAAGGCTACCCGTGTCCAATTTCGTCATCCACTCAAAATCGTCGTAGGCGCCGGCGGGAATCTCAATCATTGGTTTCCCGAGCTCGTCCGCCTTGATGCGCATCGCCTCGGTGAAGAAATCGTTCTCCAACCTGGCATCGTCGGTAATGATGACCTGCGGGTGCATGAAGTCGTTGATGTGCTTCATGGCTCCCATGACCGACAATGCAGCTCGTCGATCGGTACTGAATTGCGCATAATCGCTCCGTGCATCGTGGAAGGCTATCCTGCACTCCGCCGCGTCCGCACCGTTGATATCGAGTATGCGCTCCATCGACAAAGTATCCCGACCCATGACGGCGAAGTGCACGTAGTTCCGCTTCCACTTGCCCATCTTGCAAGCCAGCGGCATGAGATTGGCCACGCTCTTCAACGACGATGCAGCGAACAGGACGTTGCGATTCACCGACAGCATGCCCTTTGTGCGTGCGATGTCGTGTAAGCTGGAAGCGAGGCGGTAGAAGCGAATCTTGCCGTCAAAGTAGCGCATGCTCGGTGTAGTGTCAGCGTCGCGACCAGGTTTCGGCGGGGCGCTGGTGGGCTCTTTGATCTCGCCATGGGTGTAGGGGACACCACTTGGCTGAACATCGGTATCGTCGGCGCTCAATGGTGCGAAGGAGGTAGGGGCGGAGAGGGTTCGGACGAGGTAGTAGAGGCAAGCGAGGGCGAGGAGGGCGAGGGGAAGTCGCCATCGTTTTCGTCGTCGCCAGGAGTGAGGCACGTTGGGGGAGGAGGCGGCGGCGGTTGATCGAGGGCGCCAGTAGTCGTCGTCACGTTTGCCCAGCTCCTCATCGCCGCCGCTCTGGAATCTCCTGTGTGCTGACATGGTGCGCCAGAGAGGAGAGGAGGTTAGACGGGCAACATGTCGTCATTGGCATAGCATCGTGCGCCGAACCAAGCCCACACGTATCCCGCGTCGATTTCGCTTCTTCCTTGCCGTCAAAATGTTGAGATGCTGTAGTTGTGCATTGGCGGGAAGACGTGAGCATCGACGTTAGGTATACGGGGATGCGGACGTCACTCGTGCTACGACCGAAAAGGGATATGATGACTGCTTATGTACGCAACCTTACATGTAGTATTAGCGAGCCTAGCCTTAATACAGTCAAGTTGCCAAACCACACCGCCGCCGTACATGAAATGGACCTCACCTCCTACGTGACTCGCGCGAATAAATCAAAGGTGCGGCCGGTAACAGGCGCGCAGCGATGTACTGTCCCCTGTTGTACATCAGCGTGTCCCACAATGGCTGTAGTAATGGGGTAAGCAAGACAGGAGATCGTGAAGGCAGCAAAACATGAGGCTACTAGGGGCCTGTTTCTAGCGCCATAAAGAGCAAGGCTGCGTCGTGCAAAAGGCATATTTCGACTCACTGCAAGATATACTTGTCTCTTATCTCCGCGACTAGTCATCACTAACCCAGCTGCATCTTGACTGGATCGCATTCGAAATCGTACTTGGAAGATGTAGCAAGTTGCATCTTGATCCGATCACGCTCGACCTCGTACTTGAACCTGCTGCCCACGTGGTCGTCTCTCAATCTCGCCTGGCCCTTGCCGCACACTTTCTCCCGAGCAGTCAGAGCAGGTTGTGAAGCGGCCCGCTTTTCTGCATATATCCCCCTGCGCCTCAATTCGGGGACGAGAAGCTCGACCACGTCTTCAAAGGTGCCAGGAGTTGTGACGTACGCGAGGTTGAAACCATCCAGATCAGCTTCCTCCACCCATCGCTGCATCTCTGCCGCCACGACATCCGGGGTACCAACGCAAACGGGTCCAAGGCCTCCAAGCGAGACTCTTTCGGCCACGACTCGCGGTGTCCATTTGGGAATGTCTTCACTAGCCGTGGTGAACGCAGACATCATTGCGCCAATCCGCCCAGCCTCTGTGGAATCTGATTCCTTGAGCTCCTGGTCAAGGGGGATCTTGGAGATGTCAATGCCTGTCCAGCCGGAGAAAAGCACCAGGCTTCCAATGACAGACGCGTACTCCTTGGCTTTTGCGAATTTCGCCATCGCTTCTTCTTTTGTCTTGCCAATGACGGGAGTCATTGTCGCGAAGACTTTGATAGATGTTCCATCCCTCCCTTCTTTTGCGGCTAGTTTTCTGATATTTGCAATCTTGGGCGCGAGCACCGATGGGCTGTGTCCAGCAACGAAGATGCCTTCTGCATGCCTCGCTGCAAAAGCCGATCCCGCGGACGAAGCTCCCGCTTGGAATAAGAATGGAGTTCGTTGACGGGAGGGTGGCACGAGGAACTTGGTTTCGAGATTGTAATACCTGCCCTTGTGGCTGACATGCCGGATCGCTTCGGGGTCGAAGTAGGTATCACTTTTTGCATCGGCGATTACAGCGTTGTCGCTCCAAGAGCCTTCCCAGAGTTTGTACAGCACTTGCATGTATTCCTCGGCCTGGGCATAGCGCTCGTCGTGATCGACCGAGGTGTCAAAGCCAATAGCCTTGAAAGCCGCCTTTTTGTATCCCGTCACGATGTTCCATCCGAACCGTCCATTCGTGAGATGGTCAAGAGTCGCAAAGCGCTTTGCAAGGACGAATGGTTGTTCAAAAGAAGTCGTCGCCGTCACTGCGAAGGACAGGTTCTTCGTCACGGCAGCCATGGCAGATATCGGGGTCGTGGGGTCTGTCAATGGCCATTGGGCGGCGCGCCGGATGCAGTTGTCCAGTTTGCCCTCGTAGGTGTCATATCCGCCGAAACTATCGGCCAAGAACAGTGCGTTGATGTCGCCGGCCTCGAGCACTTTTGCAAGATGAATCCAGTATTCCAGGCTGAGCTTCGTTGTGCTTCGGTCTGAAGGGTCTTTCCATTGTCCTGGGCACATGTGGCCGATGGCTATGATTGTCAGCGTCGGTTGGCTCGGCCTGAAATATTGACTGACTTGACATGTCGAACGCATTGAGGAGAATCTGCTTTTTCTTCTTCTTGAGGATGCCATTCACCCCGTTGGACGTCGGAGACGCCATATTGGGGAGCTGGTGAGGAAGAACACCTTGACAGTCGCAATGAGAGGCGATGACTGGTGGAGGAGCCGTCAGAAGCGTCGTCAGCGAAGTCACATCTTGAGCGCATTGCCTCCGCTGCTTCCACAATATATTGGCAGGTTGACTGCTGACTGGCATTCGCGCGGGACATTGATTAATTGCCCGAACCCTAACCCCAATCCCCACGAATTGCAGCCGGCGCGGGGTGTACTGCTAGAACCCGAGAGACAAGCATTGCTAGAGCTAGACAAGTCAACATAATCATTCAGCATTTGACAAGTGAAGGACGAACAAATGCCTCAATCTCTGGAAAACACGAAGCCAGAGGATGCACAGCAGATCTGGAACAAATCAAAGTAGACCTCGCTATCTTACGCCATGCCCGCTAAAACTCGCAGCTCGGCCTCGCAACAAGAAGGCCGAATAGGGGTATCAAAGAATCCTGAAGCACCATCATCACTCCGTCCAGGTCTCGGAGAGCATTAGCTTTCCCAGCGTGCACCGCCACAGACACCCCTTAGAACCCGCGCCTTAGAGACGACCCCTTCGCCTCTCCGAACCCGTACAGCGTATGTCCCATTCGATTCAGGCAGAATACGACATCCGACGTTGCGACGGTCTTCCTCCCGGTGCCTTCAGTCACTGCAACGACTTGTTTGAGGACCTAGCCCACAGTATTAGCCGGGATCCCCTTAGGAAGCAAACGATGCAGATGGTAGAAGCAATCTCACCTGCTCCAGGTGAGCACGTAGCGCCGTTCGCAACTCGTCGTAGATTGTGGAGGAGATGCGTTTGACTCCGCCGCGACGAGCCAGGCGCCGGATGTCACCTTTGGTCACGCCCTGGATGTTGTCGCGTAGGATCTTGCTGTTGGGCCGGCGTCAGCATTGTGGTAAGAGATGAGTGGAGATGCAAGTGATGCTTACCGGTGGCGTTTGGTCTTGCTCTTTCCGAGCCCTTTGCCTCCGACGCCGCCGGCGAAGTTGAAAGACGTCCTCGAAGACTGGGTGTTTGTGCGTGCCATGTTGTGGGCGGGATAAGGACGGGCGATGAAAGAAGAGTGGATGCGCAAAGGAAACGCACGGTAGCAGCTGAACGCGGTGTTGATGAATGCCTATACAGCCGGCTGTCACATAGTGGGATGTGTGAAGAGTAATGTTGCGGGTTTGTGAAGGTTGTGAGGTGCGACGTGAGCTGCGTGCAAGCAAGACAAGCCCGAGCGTCTCTTTCCATATTGGGACAAGATCGGCAACCTAAAGGCTTGGGCACAGCTTCATATGATATTCATTTCTGCGCGTAACACGACGAGAGCCTCGTTTGCTGGCCGTCAATTAATGTTCATTACGAGTAGATTACTTCCCACCTATGCTCATAACCAATGCACGTGCCGTAACAGTGCCAACCGCGCCACGAGCTCAAGAGATGAAGGTGGCCTCCATGAACAACTGGCCCTCCTCCTCCACCACCTCGCCGCCAATGTCGAGCTTCAACGTCATCTTCGGCACGTACTGGTAGATGTACGGCTTCGTGCCCGCCGCTCCAGCCACAATCGCCTTGACAAACTTCGGCAGCTCGCCCATTACATCCACCCGATCCGTTCGTGTGCCCAAACTGCCCTCCAGTACAGCCTTGCCTTGCTTGTCGTCGGCGGTCTTCCCTTGCCACGTGAACCTCACCGCACCCGGTTCCGGCCAGTCGTTCTCGGGGTCTCCTTTGACATCCGTGTGCTCCGCTTTCGTGTTGGGTGACGCGCCTGTGAAGAGGACTTTGTCCTTTTTCACCACACTTCCCACCGTCACCACAGTTTCACCGTACGACGGCGGGGTCGTGAACTCCATCATCACGGCGGAGTAGTTGGGGGAGTGGAAGTTGGCAAAGTTCCACTTGGCAGCTGAGTCCCATTCGTCAACATCTCTTCCGACATGTCTTAAAGAACTGAGCAGAACTCACCTGCAAAATGCGGCTTCATCCCCTGCAGCGCATGCACAAAGATCCCAGTTCCCTTAAAGTCCACCGGCCCCTCCTTGGTCAAAATCTGCCCCTCAACCCTACACCGCGGCCAGAACTTATGAATCATCCGGCCCCAAGGCTTCTTCGGGTCGGTGCCAAAAGAGCTCGTCCCGTCCTTGCCCACCACCAAGCCGGGAGCCTCTTGGGTGAACTTCAAATCGACAATGCTCGACTTGCTGATGGAGGATTTGATCGTGTAGCTCTTGCCGTCTTCGCTGAGTTCCATGGCGCAGTTGTCGGCGTGGAAGGACTGCTTGTCGGGGGAGAAGGTGAAGTGGTGGAGGTTGTCGGAGGACCAGAGATGTTGGGTGGAGTTGGGAGAGAAGATTTTGGAGCTAAATTGTGCCGTCGTGCGCACGCCCCTGCATCCATCGATCGTCAGTTCCTTGCCCGTGGGCGGGAGGACGGTGATGGCTCACATGACATTGCTGTATATCACCTGCGCCAACCCAATACGACCCTCGTCGCTCAGCATGTAGAAAGTCTTGGTCTCGACATTCGTCGTGTCCATACACTCCCACGCCAGATCATCTTTCTGCAGTTCGGTGTAGGGGGCGGTCGATGTCTGGCTGGCAACGGATTGGATCGCCGAAGGGCCGTACACGGGTTCTGTGACGCCGAGTCTGTTGAAGCACACCTGGTTAGCTGGCAGGATTGCGGTCGGGGTGTTTGGTGCGCACATGCGTGTGTTTGGCCCAGTTCAGCATGTTTGCGGTGGGGTCGGTGAAGGGGAAGGTTAAGGTGGTTTAGTCGGTCATGCAAGAGACGGGCTTGTGAGTAGAGAGAGATGTTTGCGAAAGTTGTTGGAGAGTTTCGAATCTCACTGGAAGTCGGCGGAGGTGCATGGAGATCGTCATCGCACACTTACATAAGCAATCACATGAAACTTTGCCTCGAGGAGACAGTGATATGACGAGAAGAAGGACGATGTAACTCTCTAGCAATGACAAAAAGCGACTGCTTGTTCTCTATCCCAAAAAGACACCGCATCCCATAATACGCACACTACGCGTGCAGCATTCACACGCGCATTCCCATCGTGGCATCTTTCGATCCTTCAGTCGTGTTCCCGTTTCCTCGCATACATCGTTTGCTATTGATTGGAGCCGTCTGTGCGTTTCTTGCATCTCTCTTGCATCCCCTCGATTACCGTCGCCACACCCGGCAGCGAACGACTAGTAGTGGCGCGTTCAAGCAAAGTCCGCAGAGTAAGAGAAGCCGCGGAACTCCTCTTGCATAGCCTGCGACAAAACTGCATCACAAAAGTTAGCACGACCATTCGCACAAACCAAGGAGAGACAAGACTTACCCGACTGCACCGGCGTCAAAACCGGCGTTTCACTCGTGAATTCGTCCCCGAAATTACTCGTATCCGCGCGCCCCTTGATCGTCGGCAAGAAAGGCGGTTGCACGCGCTTGTGGTAGATGTCATCCCAATTGACGTTGCGGAAGAAGGCGTGCGACATGATCTCCTGCGCATCCGTCACGCCCGACCCCAGCCGCAGTTCGGGCTCGCGCGTCAGCAGCTTCTGCAGGATGGAGACGCTGTCACGCGGCATGTGGATGGGGTACAGCGGCTCATCGGCGAGGATGGCGTCGTAGATTTCGTCTTCGTCCTCGCCGCGGAAGGGCGATTGCTGCAGTAGCATTTGGTAGATGAGAACGCCAAAGGCCCACCAGTCCACCGCGCGGCCGTAGCGCTTGTCGAGTAGAATCTCCGGCGCCATGAATTCCGGCGTGCCGCAGAAGGTGCTCGTTGTCGAACCGTACCACATGTCTTCCTTGCACAGACCGTAGTCGGCCACTTTGATGTGGCCGTCCAGCGTGAGCATGATGTTGTCGAGTTTGAGATCGCGGTAGATGACGCCATTCTCGTGGAAGTACTTCAGCGCGAGGCACACCTCGGCAGCGTAGAATTGGGAGCGTTTCGTGCCGAATTGGGAGCGCTGGATGTGCAGCATTAAGTCACCGCCGCTGATGTACTCCATGACGAAGTAGACACGCGTTTCCGTCTGGAAGCAGGCGTGGAGGTTGATGAGGAAGGGATGCCGTTCCTTATTGGCGATCAGCAAGACCCGCTTCTCCGACCGAACACTTTCCACCTCGTCGTTTTCAATGATAAACTCTTTCTTCAGCACTTTGATGGCGTAGAGTTGCTTCGTTGTCTTCGTCTCGGCCAACATGACCTTGCCAAAGTTTCCTTTGCCCAGCACGGCGAGGAAGTTGAAGTGGTCGAGACCGATGCGTCGGCCGCTGCCTTGAGTGTTGGCCGGCGGCGCGGATCGTCGCTCTCGCTCTTCTGCGACGGGCTGAGTGATGGTGGTGACCGGTCCAGCAGCAGGTGGAGCTTGGTGTGACTGAGGCGGTGGAGACTGGGGTACGTTGATCTGCGGGATCGACGGGGCGGATGTTTGATGTCCATACTGAGGTTGCTGCTGTTGTTGCTGCTGTTGGTTGAACTGGGCATATGCCCGCGGATCATACGCAGGCGTTTGGGATTGAGCATCCAGAGGCGGTGGACGTTGATTGCTCCGGCTCTCCCTGTACCCATCCGCAAAAGCAGAGCCTTGCGACTGCGGCTGGCCATACGGACTTGGTTGACCGTAGCTTGTCCGCGAGTCTGCAGGAGGTCGCCTGCCCGTCAGTGCGGCCGATGCTGCTGCCGCTGCCGCCGCCGCCGCGGATTGTGAGGACTGCGATCTTTGCGCAGGTGGACGCTGCTCTGGGGATGACGGCCCGCCGTACTGAGCCGAAGCGGCAGCTTGAGCTGCATTGACAGACGACTGGTTTGGCGGACCATAGGATGACGTTCTCGGCGGCTGTTCGTACCCATCAGAGTATCGGGAGTCCCTGCCATACGAGAACCTCTCCTGCGATGTCGACGGGCCTTCTGTTGCCACCTGGTCTTGATGAGCATTCGTCGCCACGTAACTGGTCATGCCAGAAGGAGCTCCCGGCCCTGGTCGAGGAGTAGTATTCGAGGAAGGTCGCAGAGTCTCTTGAAGTCTGCGCTGTCCGCTCTTGGCCAACCGAATCTCCAGAAGAATCTTGTTGGCCGCTTCCATGCTCATCCCACAGAAGTCGGGAACAAAGTGCACGCAATTGTAGTGGCACGTCAGCTTGCACTCACTGCACTTCCGCGATTGCTTGCGGCCGATGGGCAGCATGTAACCACAATGACAGCACCAGTTGGCGCCCATGTTGGAAAAGGCATCGAAGCGATGGGGGATGCGGTGATTGATCTTTTCCTCGTCCGGATCGGTCTCGGCATTGGATTTGCTGATGCACTTCGTGACGACCTTTTTGTGGCATTTTTCGTGGCAGGTGTATTTGCAGTCCACACATTGCATGCCGGCCGTGTATTTGAGAAAGTCGCCGCACAGAGCACAGCGCATGATGTTGTAGAAGGTCTGGGTGGTGAATTTGTGGCCGTACTGCTCGATGACGGTTTCCTTCTTCTGCCGCACGGCGCCTTTTCGACCCAAGCCAACGGCATCGAATCCCTTTCGCTCCTTGACCTGTTTCACGAAGCCAAGGGTGAGCTGAATCTTGCCCACAGGCTCGAGTGAGAACCACGCGTCGATGTAGATCGGCCCGGTCTGCGAATGCAGGCCGGAGCCCGGAGGACCGCCAGCGGCAGCCGCGGTACTGTTTTGATTCTGGTACCCATGGGCGGTCGGTGGGGGTTGAAATTGCAGGTCTGGCCGTCCCGCATGAGCGTCCATCTTGTCCGCAGTCATCCAACCAGCCTGGTTGAATTCCGTCTCCACCCTCTTGCGTCGGATATCGTCTACTAAATCTGCGATTCGAATCCACAGCAGCCCAATGGGAACCGCCTGATCGCCCGACTTGTCGTAAACGGTAAATTCGACTTCGTTCGCCTTGTCGACGTCAAACTCGTGCGTCTCATCGCTCCATCGATCCGTGCGCGTAGATTTTGTCCTCCCCTTGAAGGAGTCCTCCACCTTGATGACGACAAAAGTCTCTGGTCCTCGGGAAAATCGTGTGGTGGCGGCGTGGTCGACATCGGAGATGGCGCGGATCCGCACCGACATGTGGCCGGTCAATGGCTTCCGCTGGCTCGGCGTGTCCAGGCTGTCGTTGTCGTTGGCGTCACTGATGTCGACGTTGACGTGTAGGTCCTCGTGCCGCCGCAGCGCTCGAGTCAGGAGCTGGATCTTCTGTGTACTCTCGATCCGCTTGCCTTCTGCCTCTGCCCTGCTCTTGCGATCGTTGGACATGGAGTATAGTTGGAGCATCTTTTCGACACCGGCTTTGTATTGCTTCTCGACACTCAGTTTGAACTCGAGCTGGGACAGCATGTGCTGGATGCGGGGGCCGAGGTGCTGCGTATCGGCTTTGATGAGATCTACAGAAGTTAGCATGTTACAAGTATTACGGAGGCAGATGGTACACACCGAGTTTGCTGAAATTCGGGCGTGCTCGTGGCGTCCGGTCTGCAGGTCCTGGGGGAGCGTAGGGCCCTCTGGCGGGCATCTGTCCCGGGGCGCCGCCACCACTGTACCCTCCCGGCCCAGGGTTCCCATAGTCGGAACCCTCGTTATAGCCTTGCTGATTGATCCTCCCTTGCCCGGTGCGGTCGGGGGAGCCGTTGGGAGGAGCACCGTTGCCAGACACGGACATGTGGCCCATATCCCGGCCCATCTGCCGCGTGCGCAGATCGTGGAGGGTCTGCTCAAAATATTGGATGTGGCGCTGGGCATCGCGGATTTGGCTCTCAGCGCGCGAGATGAGTTGGGGATTCTGCGTGGCCTGTCTCATCTTGTTGGCCGCGGTGATCATGCTCTTTTCCTTCTCTATCTTGCGATAGAGATCCTGAATCGTCGCATCGTCATTCATCTTGTCGGTGTTGCGCCGAGGTTATGGCGCGGGGGTAGATTGGTCGCGCGAGTGGGAGCCGCGTGAAGTCGTGGGAGAGGCGTGTTCCGATGTGTTTCGTGGCTGCCGAGCACGTGCTGCTCGTCAGCGAGAAAGTGAAGTTTCGGCCAGGGTAGGGTTTGGCCAAAAGATGTGGACCGGGGAGGGGAGAGTTAGGCCCGCTCCCTGCGAGTTCTCGATCGAAGGATCCAGAAATGGATAGAGTAAAAGACGCTGTTCACCAGCCAGCTGCAGGCTGCAAGATTCCAAAGAAGGCGATGGAAGGCGACCCACGCCCCAGCGCAACCAGTCAAGGGCGGTAGGGGAGGTCGGATGAGGGAGAGGTGGAGGAGCGGTGATCGATGGAGGCGGAAAGGAGACGGGTCGAAGAGGGTAGATGTATGGTGGTGTGGGCAATGGAGTGATCGGAGCTGGTCGTTGCGCTGCTCCGCCACAACCCACACGGTCTCGCGCCGCAACTTTCTTTTTGCCCGTTGCGAGCGACGCCGGATGATTGGATGGAATCGGAGGCGAAGGCACAAAGACCACCTCTTTGCGCAAGATGGCTCAGGAGGGGCGGGATGGGAGGAGGAAGGCAATTGGAGGTGGGCAGGAGGAGGAGGGGTGGGTGGGATGTGAGAATTATCGCGCTGAATGGAGAAATGGTCGGACGGAACGCCCGACGGCCGGCGGAGGCGGCAATCAATGCCTGTCTTGACATCACTCCGGCCTCTCCCATCTTTTCCATTGAGCACGAGAGCATTACGGTATTCGGAGGCTGCAAAACAGTCGGTTGTCATGTTTGGAAGAACTACGCATTTCCTGCTTCTCCGGCAAAAAAGACTACCTCCGTCTTGCGCCGGAAAATCGTGATGATGCGCCCAGGCCTCTATCTATATCTGTATGTAACAGCCTTGCGGCTCGCCATCTACTCTAATCAGCTCTTCAACTCCAGCCATATTTCTCATTACAAATCCAATCGACATCTTCCCAAGACCCTTCCCCATACCATCGTAAGCTTGCAATGCTCTCCTTCTGTCGGTGTTCCACTGCAGCCTTGCCATCGAGCAACTGCGCGGCAGCGAGAGCCGTGGAGGTGGGATTCCACAGCAGCACTTCTCGCATTCCCCATGACGCCGCCTCGGACTGAGCAGCGGCGAAAAGAGCCGCGATCGCTTGGGAAAGAGGCGTGCCCTTCTTCTCCGCTGCTGCCTCGGGCGTGGCAGGTGCAAAATCGGAGAAGGCTTCATCTTCGATAACGAGCCGGAGGATGTGAAGAGTGTTGGGAGCGTCTTCTTGCGCATTGGTCCACACATGGGTCCAGTAGCACCACACTCGTGACCCCGCCTCGCCAACCACGGCGCCCTTGATTCGCGGAATTCGGTCAAACACTTCCCTCCCGATGTATTCCTCACGGGCGTGATGCCACTGTACAATGGGGTAGTTGGGGCGGATAGCCACCGCCGGAGTGTGCTTCGCGCGGCTTAACCGGGCGCGAGTCATCTGCTCGTCAATGTCGCAGAGTTCCGGGAGGTCTTCAGACTGCAAAAGGCGGACGGGAGGAAGGCCATCGGCAACGCTGGAAAGGGCGGGGAGGGTGACATGGGCGGACGGGAATGGATGCCAGGCGTGCGCGGCGTAGAAGTCGCGGCCAATGTCGGAGTAGAGGGTGCTGAACATGGGCGACTTGCCATTCTGCGGTTGCCAGTGTCGGAGTTTCTCGCCCAACTCTTTGATCATGCGTCCGGCATAGCCCTTGCCTCTCTTGGCAGGAGGACAGAAGACGCTGCCGACAGCATGCGACACTTCCTCCTCAACCTTTCCGTTTCTCCCCACCAGCGCCATTTTGCGAATGGTCTCACATCCGCAGAGGACTTGTCGGGAGGGAGAGCCGGGGGGTTGGTAGACGAGGACCCAGGATGTCTGTGCGCCGTCTTTGGTGAGGTCTTGGTTGGCGAGCATGTGCTCTCGACGGAGGTAGGAGTCGAGGGTGGTGAGGATGCCCTTCCATTCGGAGCTGTTGGCGACTTGTTGTGCGAGATTCTCTTCTTCTGTCGCCTCGACCAGGTAGACGTGAGGATCGTTCTTGTGGGGGAGAGAGGAGTGGCTGTGGCTGTGGCCGTTGCCGTTGGAGATGCCCGGGTCACCCATGGTCGGAGATGTGGAATGTCGTGGTTAGCTGTCGCTGTCTGGCAAGGTCTGGGGGAAAAGACATGAGCGGGAGGAGGAGGTCATATGAATGCCTTGCCTGTCCAGGTGACGGGAGAAGGTGGTTTCCATTACGTGAGGTGAAACGCGTCTCCCAGGGCATCCCACGCTGGCACGTCGGCGAACAGAAAAAAAGTAGCCGCTGGTAAGCGCGCGGTGGAAGTCTTTGCTGCCTGAGGCCGGAATGGGCAGGGTCCAGATCCTGCCTGGTCGCGGTCGCAGCTTCCCCACATCTGATGACTTGCGTAGAGTTCACCGTCAAACCAACGCGGATCACTTGATGAGTTCATAGTCCTAGTAGACGAGTCTATGAATCCACCGACCTTGCTCCTGTCGGCAGTTCCGCTGTACAACACCAAGCCCCCCTCCCACCGGAACGACAAGAAAGAGCCGCCGGATCCCCGCGAGCCCAGCCTCCTGGGCCGCGGCGGCCACTCCGAGCTCCGCAGGCTGCATGGGCAACCTGGTTCATCAGCAAGGGAGGACCACCTACATGCACCCTCCGCCGCATGAGCGCATCCAGTCCCTCGATTGATGACTTCCCCGCTCCCTCCTCGCTTCCCGCGTCTCGATCTGGCGAGCAGGCAAGGCAGGCAACGCGAGCGCTTACAGCAAGTGCCGCCTGCCCTCCACCTACAATGACGAGGCGTGAATACGAATGCCACAACTACATTTATCTCTTCGCTGACTGACCGGTCATCTTATCCGTCACCCACCACGCTCACGGTGAACCCACCTTCACCCGTCTTATTACATTCACCCCGCCCCACACTCTGATTCGCCCAACCTTTGCCTTCACGCCGACTGGGTTGTCGACGTATCATATACCCCTCACTCATGCTTACCATTCCTCTGGCTCTCACTCCATCTCTCCATCGGCCAAGCGTTCCTCCCCGTTGCCCACCATGGCTTCTCCTTCTCACCGGCAAGGTCCTCCTGAAGTCATCAACCTCTTGAGTGACGACGAAGAAGACGACGACTACCTCAACGGCACCGCCAGTGACTCTGGAGATCATCGCCCTGCACGCCGACGTAGACTGGACATGCGCTTCGACCGGTTCAGCCCTTTCTTCGCCCCCCTTCCACCGCGCATTCCGGACCAAGCCAACCCCCTTCTCGACAATCCTCCACCGCAGCGTGTGCCCAACCCGATCGCATCCGTCTTGGACACACCTCCACCGCAGAATGGCTTCGACACGACTCCAACGCTGGGTGGCCTGCGCACTCCTTCGCCACTGCCCGCCGCACCACACGACCCACGTCACACACCATCCCAGCGTGGTACTCTCGTGTTTGTCGATGGCGAGGAAGTTTTCATCCCGGACGAAGATGTCAACCATCCTCCCAGTCAGCGGACTACTTCGTCCGGTGTCCATCGTGACGAGCCTGCACTGACCTCCGGCAACGTCGTGGTCAGCTCTGCAGAAGACTGCCTGCTACATATCCTCGAAATCTTCCCCGACATCAGCCATGATCACGTCTACACCCTCTATCACTCCTTTGATCGTGACGATGGCTACGAGATACTGTCCCCGGCCGTACGACTGGACCACATCGTCGACCAACTCGCCTCCGCCTCCACCTATCCCAAGCAGGACAAGGGCAAGAAGCGCAAGCGTGACGTGCCTGTACCCGCACACGATGACCACCGATGGGAGACCAAAGACCGCGCTTCTGTACCAGGAAATCTCAAAGGCCCGATGCAAGCCATGCTCAAGGCCGAATTTCCGGAGATCCCCGTACTTTTCATCAATTCCACCTTGCACAATGAGCAACATCTCTATCACGCCTATCTGCTTCTTGCGAGAACCAAAGACTCTGACGATCAAACCACCCGTCCCTACGGCAAAGGTCGCCCCTCGGTCAAAACACTGGCCAACGCTGTCACCATTGCCACCAACTGCGGCTGGCCTCCACTTGTTGAAGAACTGCAGGCTGCGCGGCGAGCGGTGGAGGCCGTGAAGGCTGAACGTGCGGCAGAGGACGAGAAGAAGCGAGCCGAGCAAGAGAACTTGCAGAGGGCAATCGCTGCCGGGGAGACGACAGAATGCTCCGCCTGCTATGATGATCTACCAATGAACCGACAGATTCATTGCAACGGCAGGGTCGCTCACTTCACCTGCTTCGATTGTGTCGAAATGTACATCAAGTCAGAAGTCGGCGAGTCGCGCTGTCGCGTGATCTGCCCTGCTGGCTGCGGATCCGGCTTTACTCAGCAGCAGCTCGATCAGCTGTCCAACAAGCAGCTCCTGGAGAAGTTTGCTCAGATTCAACAAGAAAAAGACATCCGCGATGCCGGACTGGAGGACCTGGAAGAGTGCCCCTTTTGCGACTACAAGGCCATTCTTCCCCCGGTCGAACAAGACTTTGAATTCCGCTGCGCCAATCCCGAATGTGAGAGGGTTAGTTGTCGTCGGTGCAAAGCCGTGTCCCACGTTCCGATCTCGTGCGAGCAGCATGCTCAAGACAACAAGCTCAACAGTCGGCACACGATTGAGGAAGCCATGACCGCTGCGCTCGTGAGATCATGCAACAAGTGCAAGAAGCAATTTGTCAAGGAGTTTGGCTGCAACAAGATGACGTGTCCCAGCTGTGGTAACAAACAGTGCTATGTCTGCTCCGCCAGCGTCAAGGACTACGAACATTTCGACCAGACATCGCGGGACCCGTCGGGTGCGCCGGCGCCTGGAACGAAAGGAAAGAAATGCCCCCTTCATGACAACGTTGAAGAGCGGCACGAGCGAGAAGTGAAGGAGGCTGAAGAGCGCGCACGAGCGCAGATTGTCGCGGAAAACCCGGACGTCACTGCGGAGGATCTCGAAATCAAGCTCTCCGACGCGGTGAAACAAGGGACGGCCAACCGTCTTCGTCAGGGTCGTGCTGGCGATGCAGGACTTGGAAATGCCCTTGATGCCCTGCGAGACTTGATGGGAGGTTACGGAGGTTACGATGGAGCTGATGACCTTGATTTGGATTTGCTTCGGGGTCGCAGGCGTCAGGTGCGCAGGCGACCACGGCGCAATCCGCAGCCAGCCCCGGCTCCAGGCGCAAATCGACCTTGGGAATTACAGGCTGCCCTGGAACCTATGCAAGGCTACATACCGGTTCTCGGCTATCGCGATGCATTGCCCTTCGGCCATCCCTATATTCCCCCGGCCGGTCCACGAGCCTGGAATGGAGTGGCGGCCGTCGCACCTGCGAACCATTTCCCGGCCCACGCCCCGCAACCGGCTCGTGTCGAAAATCCACCTGCTTACCAGCAGCAGCGGGATCAGGCGGAGAATCCACTTCGACGTGGTCTCGCCGGCAACGTGGGGCATGACCTTTTCGGCCGTGAGCCCCTCAACGACTATCCATATCTCGATTTCAGGCTTCCAATGCGACAGCCACATACTGACGGCAACATGTTTAATGACGACAACTACCACGATCATGCCTGGGATCTACTACCTCGCCTCAACGGCGCGCTCGACAATGCTGATCCCTATCCATTTGACCCGTACGCCAACCCTCCTGCGTTGCAGCACGAACTAGCACGCCTCCAGTTACCACCATTGGGGGAACAACAAGCTCAACCTGCTCAGCAACCCGCGCGACTAGAAACACCACTCTACCAACGACCTCCGCCGCCTCCGCAGGATCCCCAACCATTCGCAGCCAACATCCGCAACCACCGCATCGGCTTTGAGCACCTAGAAATGCTCCGCCAGCAGCATGCTGACGATCAGTACCAACGCGCGCGCCAGGAAATGTATCCGACGGGATTGGGTGGAGCGGGTGCACCACCAGGCTTTGGCGGTCAGCTTCCTGCTGCTCCTGGCGCGCATCATCCGGTGGTGGCGGGTGATACGCAGCCAGCACTGGCGTGGGATGATACGCAGCCAGCACTGGCGTGGGGCGAATATGGACGGCAGCTGGACTTTGGAGGATTCTGAGCAGGGATTGGTGAGACTGGGCTCTGGCGTGGTTGCTCCTTTTCGCTCAAGAGATCGTACTCCAGTATGAGCTCCTCTTGTCGGGTTGCGGTTCAACTGGGACGGAGTCAAAGGAGAATTTCGACGAGGAAAGCAGGCGCATGAAGTATCATGATTACGAACGTCCATGAATGTTTTCGGCCTTCGTTCTAGCTAGTCAGCGTGTAGTGCTTTACTTGCTTTCACTGATGGTTATGATGAGCTTAACGATATTCGATGAATCTACGATTTTCGGAACATCTTTCAAATACACAGCCCAGCCGCTCAACGCCAACGCTAAATCCACAGAATCTCATCTACCCAACAGCAGGCGTACTCCCTCTGCTCTCCTCCCCTACCCTCCCCTCTTTCCTCTTTTTCTTCTTCTTCCGCGCCACAACCACCGGCCGCAGCCCATAGTTGCCCACACTCAAATGACTCCCGCAAGTCAGACATGTGCCGTCCGGCAGAGGCTCGCAGAAGATACTCAAGCAGACACTACACACATACCCAACGTCCACAATCCGGCGATGGCAGAAGCACGCAGCGCGGAAATCCACCCCTGCCCCTTCGCCGGGTGTGATTAGGTGTGCGCGCGCCGAGGCATCAGGCAGGTAAGCGAACATGAGGTATTGCAAGAATCCCGCATGAGCAGTAGGTGTGTCGAGGGCCATGTAAATCCCGTTTGTGGCATCGGCGGCTTGCTGCAGGAAGACGGTGTCGCCGGCGAGTTTGAGGATGTCGATGGGGATGCTGAGGCGTTGGCTTGCAAAGATGGTGTTCATTATCGGGATGTATTGCGTTGCGAGGTCGCCTGAGACGGAGAGGATGAGGATGCGCGAGGTCAGGGGTTGCGAGGTGGAGGAGGACTTGTTTGCGGAGGGGTTGGAGAGGTCGTTGCCGCCTGCTACGGAGGTGGGGTCGGAGTAGTTGAATTGGGTGCTTTGAGTGGCGGCTGGAAGGGCGGCGGATTGCTTGGAGATGTAGGAGAGGGCTTTGGTTAGAGCGCTGGCGATCATGGTTGCTGGGCTGGAGGAGATGGCGTTGGGAGTGGTGGTGGAGAGGAGATTGGTGAGGTTGCGCAGGAGGGTGTGTTCGACGTGCGCAAAGGGTCGGTATTTGTTTGCGTCGTCGATTGGTAGGAGTACGGGCCCGCCTGAGCCGGCGGAGTCTCGATCTTGCATTTGGAGGTCTCCATTTTGGGCGCCATTCGGGTTATCATCGGCCTCTCGATCTGGAGTGGTTGTGGCGGTGGGATAAAGCCATTCTGCTCGCTCGGAGTGGCTGGCGAGCACGGCGACTTTGTTGGCGTGATTGATGGCGAGGTGCGCGTTGATGAAGACTAGAAGATTGGCGATGGTCTTGGAAAGAGGGAGTGAGTCTGCGATCATGGCCCAGGCGCGTGGATTGGTGTCGAGGATGATGGTGAGAAGGGAAGCTGGCTCGGCCTCGTCGGGCTGTTCCGGCCGGTTGGTGGCGTCTACGGCGTTCATGTTGGCTACGCCCGACCAGGATGAGCATGTGAGCCTGGTTCCGTGTTGGCTGAGGTGGTTGTGTTGTATCGGGAATGTTTAGAGGGCGGTTGGTGATGAGTCGACGATTGGTGAATGAATGCCTCAGGATTCCAGGTCTTGCCAAGCCCGCCTTCTCACTTCACGCCATCCGCCTGTCTTCACCACAACATCAAACCTGGCCGTGACTTGTACATGCGCTAACGAGCGTGATTAATGACACCCAATGAGACGATTGTCGTGTACTGAGGACGTGTGCTGCGCCAAGAACCTCCCCGCCGCTTGACTCTTGCCACGTCGTGCTCCACAATGGATTGGCAGTCGGAGATGTCGTTTTGGGACTTTCCGTTCTCGGCTGCTCCGACTCATCTACACCTCTCTTCTTCTCTCTACTTTCTTGTCTGTTTTCATCGAAATACACCTCTCGCGAATGTTGCTGGGCATATGGACTTGTAGCAATCTCTTTTGGATCCGATTTGACGAATGCCACTGTACTTGCCAAATCACTTTCCCAACGTTGAGTTGCCGCAAACCACGACCCTTCTTCCCCTCCTCTTTGGACGGTACTCCTAGCCATGACGGGAGAACGAAACAAAGCTGGCTCGTCGACAATAGTACTGGACCCTGTCGAACTCCAGCCCATCAAGAACAAACAGGCTGTGCCCAGCGTATCAAGCAAAAGAGCACCGTCCATCAGCGGACGCAGCCTCGCATCTCAGACCTCTCAATCGGCCAGAAGTACTGAAGATGTCGACCCCAGTACAACGCTTCCTGCACCCACTACTGCCACGGACTTTGTCGAAACATGGAATCACCCCAAGATCAACATGTACCGCGTGTTCGCCACCTTCTGGTCTTTCGTCGTCATGGGCTTAAACGACGCCTCGTATGGTCCGCTCATCCCGTACTTGGAAGAGTACTACAATCTCAGCTACACCATTGTGTCCCTCGTCTTTCTCTCTCCTTTTGTGGGCTACAATCTCGCCGCACTGCTGAATACGACAATCCACCTAAAGCTCGGCCAGCGCGGGATTGCATTTCTTGGCCCGGCGCTCCATTTGGTGGCATACATTATCAATTGTACGCATCCGCCGTATCCAGTCTTGGTCATTTCCTTCATGCTGGCTGGTCTGGGGAATGGTTTCGAGGACTCCGCATGGAATGCATGGATCGGTGCAATGCCGAATGCGAATGAATTGCTTGGGTTCTTGCATGGCTTCTACGGCTTGGGTGGCGTATTCGCCCCGTTGATTGCCACGACCATGATCACAAAGGCGAACTTGCCGTGGTACACGTGGTATTATGTTATGGTGAGTCTTTACTCCAACCGCATCAGTTCTCGTCTGACAACCGTCTAGATCGGCTTTGCCGTCATCGAACTCGTCACCTCCACGCTCGCATTCTGGGGCGCCACTGCCGCCGTATTTCGTGAGAATAATGCCGGGGGCTTGGGCGGCTTCTCCCGATTGAAAGAAGCAACGCTGAAAAAGCCTGCGGCAAGGATAACTTGGCTTGCCGCTTTGTTCCTCATCGGCTACGTGGGCATCGAAGTGGGCCTGGGCGGATGGATTGTGACGTTCATGATTCGGGTCCGACAAGGCGGTCGATTTGCCAGTGGTATGACTGCCACAGGCTTCTGGCTTGGACTCACGCTGGGTCGGGTAATCCTTGGATTTGTGACCGGAAGGATTGGGGAGAAGCTCGCCATTGCAGTAAGTCTACATTCATTCCATCTGACTATCTGTCTAACACTTCCCCAGATCTACCTGCCCATCTGCATGGGCCTCGAAATTCTCTTCTGGCTCGTGCCCCAATTCTACGTCGGCGCTGTCTCGGTCGGCTTGCTCGGCTTCTTCCTTGGACCCATGTTTCCCGCCGCCATGGTCGCCTGCACCAAATTACTCCCACGACATCTACACGTTTCTGCCATTGGCTTTGCCGCGGCGTTTGGAGGCAGCGGCGGCGCCATCTTCCCTTATGCTATTGGAGCAATTGCGCAGGCAAAGGGCGTGGCAGTGTTGCAGCCGATCATCCTGGCGCTGCTTGTCTTTATTCTCATCATGTGGCTGTTGTTGCCAAGGATGAATAAGAAGAAAGAGTGAATGAAACTGTTTGCGAAGGTGCATAAACGAATGATACGTACAGGAGCTACTGATGTATTCACGATTCCAGGCACTTCTTGACGCTTGTCGATGCTTGCTCTTCACGCAAATGAGAGCATTCACGATTTCTTCATTCTCCTGTTTCCCTATTAATCGGCCTTCTCCCCCCCTCTTCCTCGTCCCTTTCCTTCCCACTCCTCTCCTCTGGTACTCCAAGCCAGAGCATCATGGAGCCACCGGCCCCCTTTCCCCTCGCTCGCATGCAAAGTATCGCCAGGTAAGTCACATGATCCATCACATATCTGAGCGACGGCCTGACCAACAGCAGCAGCCTCTTCAACTCCGAGAAACACTCCGACATGACCATCATTTGCAAAGAGCGCCGCTGGCATGCTCACAAGGCCATCGTCTGTCCGCAATCCGACTTCTTCGACAAAGCATGTGGCCCTGACTTCAAGGTACGCCGTCTGTGAGACGAGACACTCATAGGATGCAGTTAGGCTGACTTGATCTCGGTACCGCAGGAAGGCAAGACCGGGGAAACCGTGCTGGAGGACGACTCGGATGTCATCGACGCGATGCTGAAGTTCATGTACGAGGGGCGCTACATTCACACTCCGGTTGTCAAGTTCGCACCAGCGGTGTTCCACGTCAAAGTCGCTGCTATCGGGGAGAAGTACTTCGTCAATGGACTCATTCAGCAAGCGGCCGAATTCCTCAAAGACACTCTCGCCAAGCAGTGGCATGCTGACGCCTTCATGGACGCGGTGGACGAGTGGTGGACCTCTTGCACAGATCCGGACAAGCTTCTGAGTGACCAGATCGTGTACACGGTGGCCATTCGTCATGTTGAGCTCTTCGCCCCAGGCCAAGAGAGAGGACGTTTCCGCAAGTTCCTCGATGAGAAGCCGTGGATTGCCGCCGAGATCGCTGCGAGGCTCGCTCGGCAGGACGCGCCGTTCATCAAGGCTAACCTCAAAACCTACTCCTGCACCCATGGGTGCGGTGCGAAGATGAGGGCCATACTGGAGGCGCCATACTCCTTTGCCTACGAATGTTCGAAGTGTCGGCAGCTTGCTGCTGTCCCCCGAGTGGGGAGGCGACCCTAGTGAATCATCATTCCGCTATGCCTTCCGCTGCCTTCCGCTGCTGATGCTCGCTGGATCATCAGTGTGAGATTGTGAACCGGGGAAGGAATGTGAAGCGAGTCAAATGTACGATAGCTCGAATGCAAACAACGAGTGGGTTGATCGATGAGGCTTGCTCGATGGGAGTGAGTTGAAGCGACTTCTCTGTTGCGAGTAGATAGTCAACGCCCTTGGAAGTTCCTTGATTCACCCATCTTTCAATCATTCATGGCCATGCAAATCGAGTCTTAAATTATTACCTTACCTTAGTCAGGTCCCCGCAATCTTGTACTTGCCGGATGCGCAGCATGGATGCAACCTTCCTGTTTGGGCCACATTATTGGCATCAGCGCGAGGTCAGTTGGTAACCCGAACCCTCAGACGCAAGGTCACCAAACACCTCTGTGAACAATTGCTGGAGTTGTTTGGCTTCCTGGTACTTTGACGGCAGACGTATTCAATCATGCGCAACCTGACAGCGAATCCGTTGCAGCCGGTGACGGGAATGCATGCGTCGCCGATGCACGTCCAGGCGCAGCCGTCGGATCAGAGCACCAGCAAGGCCAACAAGTTCTGTATCGAAGCCGATCTCTTAATCCCCGGCAAAGGAGATCCCATCCGCAATGGCTGTCTCATTATCGAGGACGACAAAATCCTCTACGCCGGCAAAGCCTCATCCAGCGAAGCTCTAGCCCAAGCCGCAGACCTCCCCAAAACGCACGTCAAGGTGGTGATGCCAGGCATGTGGGACTGCCATGTTCACCTCGTTGGCGCGCAGAGTTACGATCCGGCGGCCTTCATTGAAATCGGCACCAAACAGGCCCTCGCTGGTGCCAGAGCTGCTCGTGATTGCATGATTCTCTTGGACGCTGGCTTCACGTCCGTACGAGAAATGGCCGGCTTCGGCGTCCAGCTGGCTCGAGCCGTCAAAGAGGGAACTCTTGCGGGACCGAATATCTACTCTGCCAACTGTATCATTGTATGATGACCCAATCCCGACACTGGCAGCGCTCACGTCTAATGCAAAATCTAGAGTCCGAGCGGTGGCCACGCCGATATTCACAGCATACCGAAGGGTTGGTACGACGATGCTTGCTCGCACGGTATGCCCATGGCTACGGCAGATGGTGTTCCCGATTGTCTCAAAGCTGTGAGGATGCAGCTACGAACGGGAGCAAAAGTCATCAAAATCTGCACTTCCGGGGGAGTCTTGAGCGAGCTTGTATGTTACGCCCTCGCCATTGTTACCGCCGTCTTCTCCTGATAACAGCGTAGGACAACCCGATCGACCAGCAATTCAGCGATGAAGAGATTCGGGCCATGGTCGAAGAAGCCGGGCGAGCCCGCCGTGTTATTGGCGCTCACTGTCACGGCAAGGCGGGTATACTGGCGGCGTTGCGGAATGGTGTAAAGACAATCGAACAGTGAGTCGCCATTCCCATTTCTACAACTTCAAAGCTAATTTCTGCCCAGTGGCTCATTCATAGACGAGGAGTGTGCCGATCTAATGATCGAAAAGGGCGCGATTCTTGTCGCCACTCGCTTGATAGTAGAGAATGGGTTAGCGATGAAGGAGTTCTTCCCGCCGTTCGCCTACGCAAAAATGCTCCAAGTCGCAAACGCACATTGGAGCGCGATGCAACTCGCGGTGAAGAAGGGCGTCAAAATGGCCACGGGCACCGACACCGCCGGCTCCGTTCCTGGCAGCGACACCTTAACCTTCAGCAAGGTTGGAAGAGAATTGGCGTACCACGTCAAAGCAGGCATGACGCCGCTGCAAGCTATCGAATCGGCGACGTACATTGCCGCGCAGACATTGGGGCCGCAGGCACCCCAAGCGGGCCTTTTGGCCAAGGGCTACGATGCGGATTTCATTGCGTTGGATGAGAGTCCGTTGGACGATGTGGCGATTTTGGGCGAAGCGAAGCACGTTACGCACGTTTGGAAGGCCGGGAAGCTGTACAAAGGTCCCGGACATCCTGTTTCCAGTATCTAGGCAGCTATGTATACCCTGCACTGTTTGAGATGGATCAGGCAACGAGGGTACGGTACATCCAAGGAAGCGGCGCCAAGCGGTTACCTGCAATCCAAGAAGTGGGGAAGTATTTGGAGCAGGTAGGGCTGCAGCCTGGCCGTGAAACAGGTATAACTTGAGCCTGTTAGCGACTGCATCAAACGGCTTTGGCATCGACAACTATGCAGCACCATGACAGCCACTCGGATGACAATGCTGGAGGACGACAAAGCCAGAACTTCATCACGAGTGAAGGCAGCACGGTTGGTTATGCTGAGTATGGACATCAAACCGGCTATCTAGTCATCTACTTCCACGGCCTTCCCGGCTCACGATTCGAGGCCGAGTTGTACGCTGCCGAAGCACAGAAACTTGGCCTACGCATCATCGCGCCCGACCGGCCAGGAATAGGCCTCTCCTCGCCAGTGGCAGGTCTGACCTTGCTCGATTACCCTACTCACATATCACAGCTGGTTCACCACGTCGGTGCAGGAGATACGGAGGAGTTTGGCATCCTTGCAACGTCAGGAGGTGGTCCATATGCGCTGGCGTGTGCGGCACGTCTTCCGCTGCTCCCGGGCCTGCGATCCGTAGGCGTCGTCGCAGGTCTCGGGCCACGGGACCTCACGAATACGGGAATGTCGCTGGTGCAAAGGCTGAGCTTCGCTGCAATGGATTGGGTGCCTGCCGGAGTGGTGAGGTGGTTGTGGGATACCGCAATCGCCAATGCCGCCCGCAACCCCGACGAAGCGGTGTTGAAGAAGAAGATTCAAGGCCCGCTTGCTGCGATGAAGCGCGATGCCGGAGTGTCAGACGATGACCCCGCAGATGAGATTATGGTGGCGTCGATGAGAGCGGCATTTGCTCAGGGAAGTATGGGCTACGTTCAGGATGCAACCATCATCTCCAACCCGTGGGGATTTCGCTTGTCTGATATCACGGGCGTGAGGGTGGAGTTCTGGTATGGATCCAATGACAACATAGCGCCAGTGGCTACTGGAAGGGCCATGGCGGCACAACTTCCGGATTCTGCATTACACTGCTTCGAAGGGGAGGGCCACGCAGCAGCGACCCTTCTGCACCGGGGAGATGTCCTTGCGCGGATTATTCAAGTAGCGCAGTCGCATTCCGCAGGGACCAAATCGAGTGCACCAGCGCAATGATGGACCGGGAGACAAGAGGCCAGCTTCAAATTCCCGACCTTGCTGGGTTCATGCTCCGGAGGGCTCGATACAAGTGGCGTCGGTGGATTCGATGGCCACGGTTCTTCATGTACGTAAGCCGGCATGCAGCGGAGCGCGTTGTAATAAACAATGGCCCAAAGCCCGCTTTCCCCTTGCTCTAGATCGAAAAGACTGACAGACTCCCGCCGGATGCCGGTGGTGAAGCCGGTGCTCTGATGCAACGCCCACACCCGTGCTGTCAGAACCCCCGGCTGAACAACATCCTGATCCCCATCCTCACACAAGCTGGCGGCGATCGATAGAGGTTCGAGGATGTAGCCCTCTCGCCGGATCACTTGGTCCATGAATTCGACAAAGGCGGTCAGGCTGTACATTGCCTTGCCTATCATCTGGATGTGGCTGCGGAGGGACGGCGAGACGTGGCGCATGATGACGGGATTGGCCCAGTCACGAGCAGAGGCGGCGGCGAGGAAGTGGAGCACGATGCATTCCAGCTCCGCCTCGAGGGAGCCGGGCACGCCGAGGCATACGTGATATGGCAGGCTTGCAGCGTCCATGGGTGGGTTGTGGCGTCGGAGTAGACGTTTGGAGTCGGAGTAGACGTTTGATGTCGGAGAATGCAGATCGGAGGCGTTTGTTCAGGTCATGGCAAAGAGGAGCACCACACTGTCAGCGGAATTGAGTCAACCTTTCGCATGGGAGGCATGATGATGAATTGGGTCGAGGACACGTCGGGTTTGAGGAAGTCGTAGGCTAATTCGCCGATATCGTAGCATCACGTGACGATCGATTGCTCGAATTACATTTCCTTGCCGCATACTCTGCATAGGCACTGTATTTCTCCTGACCATGCTTTATCAAATGCAGAAGAGGCAATGCTATCGAATCACGGTGAAAGATGAGACGGAAAGCAGAGGGGAATGAATATTGATGCTGGACGATTACGCTATTTGCAGACGGGAGTTCGCTTTTGCCCTCAGCAACACTTCTACGTAGTCTGGGTGTGTACATGAGTAAAAGTGTACAGCCCAGCCATCCAAACCGCAGTGAAGAATCAGCCGCACCCAGGTAGGCTCACCACCACCTTTGTAGGTCCGATAGCAGATCCTCAGGTTGGGAGACTGTCACGCCCTATCCGACCCCACGCTAACCTTTCCTCTTCTTGTATCGAATGGCTCGTCCACCTTGCGCAATGATGCCGCCACCTTTACTCCGGCTCATTGTACACACGGGCTTGGCCTCGTCCGAATGCATGGATGCCAGCGCAAAAGAGTCGGTATTGTGTCCGAAGTACAGATACACTCCATCCTTGGACTTCTTCACGGAGAGCACGCCGATGGCGCCGGTGGAATGGGACTGACGCACGCTTGGATGATCCATAAAGTCCTTTTGGATGAAATGGTGGATGGCTTCGTCTTCGGCGCACTCCTCGTATCCGCCATTTGCCGCTTTACGGACGTTGTGGTAGATGCGGTCGGAGCAGGTGACGGCGGCCATTGTCGTTCCCATGTGCTCACCCGTGCCGCTGGTAACTGTAGCAACGGTGGTGCGCTCGGAGTCTGCCTCGTCGACGGGTATGACGGCTGCACCGATGCCGACCAGTGCTGCGGGACCGATGCGTCCGCGATGTTTCATGCCGATGCCGCCGGAGGATGCTCCGCAGGCGATGTTGCCGTATGTGTCGACTGCGACGGCCCCAACGGTGTCTGTGATGACATCCTCCTTGTCGTCCGCCATCTCTGAAGGGTTGGGAGCAGGGAGAGGAGCATTCGCCGAGGATTGGAGCATGCTTGATGCTTGGTTACTCAGACGATCAGGCATCGGGAACAGTGTAGCGCCATGAAGCTCACGGGGTTCGGTGTTGCTCTCGGCAATGGTGATTCCCAGAGTCGTCGAGTCGGAGTCAGAATCGGATGAGCCATCCTGCCATACATTGCGGCGTGCGGTCGGGCCCACCGATACTGCTTGCTTGTATGAGCGTGCGACATCGGGGAGGTCCATGTCAAAGTCGGAATCGGGAGAAGAGAACAAGCTTCTACCATCGCCCCCTCTTCCCAATGCCATTGGAGCGAGCATCTTCTGTGTACTGTTGTTGAAGGGGTTCTTGGAAGCATTCTCAAGCATGCCAGGCGGGCCGTACGGGTCCATGTATTCTTCGGGTCGATCTGAGCTGGTAAAGTCTGTTTCATCCGACAATTCCATCGATCGGGACGAAGTGGTCTTTGATGGAGACGAAGATGAAGCCTCGTCTAGCTCTTTTGTATCCGGGGGCGGAGGGGAGATGGGTTGCGCCTCGTTCCAGACACTCGCTCGCATGGCATATGTGTGTGCTCTTCGCATTCGTTCAGTCTCGTCCGAGTAGCCGGGGTGGTTTGCGAGGGGCGTTTGAGATGGGTAGGGGGAGAGGGGATAGCGGTCAGGCTCATCGTGCTTTTTGTGTCGTTCCGCCCGCTCGAGATCTTCACGCCATCGTCGCCAGCGGTCACTTGCAGCCGGAGAGATGAGACAGTCGAGGGGAAGGACGGGCATGCCATGCTCGTATGCAAAGTCGGTGGCACCCTGCCCTACCAGGAGATTTGGCGGAACGCGACGGAGGGAGAGGGTTTGGGTGGTGCGATCGAGGAGTAGGCGAGCGAGGGAGATTGGATTCTTGATTTCTGTGTCAGGCACTGTCAGTCGTGGCGTGTTTGTCTCATGGTTAGCGGAAGTCGTAGACATACGGGCCACGGCTCCAGCGGCTCCGCTGCGGCCAAAGTGATCGACGACCACGGCATCACACTCAACAACACCATCCATAGTGAGATTGCTGCCGTACCCGGCATTTGTGATTTCGCGGTCTTCCAGAACCTTGATCGCCATCTCCACCGCATCCACCGCGGAACCGCCGTTCCTCATCAGATACATCGCAGCTTTGGCGGCACTGCGGAGTATGTCAGTATCATGTGCTTGCCGGCTTTTGTCATCACTCACTCGTTGCAGGCCTGGAGATGCACGTTTTCGTTCTGCTGACTGTGGTAGCCGGCGCCTGCGTGGACGAAGATGCAGGCGATCTCGTTGCTCTTATGACCTCGTCTCCGGCTGAACATCTTGAGCTGGGTGTTGTTATCCGGAGGGTGTGTCACGCGTGAACAAAGGTCGTAGCGCAGGTGAGGATTGAGGAGGCTTGGCAGCGTGCTCAGGGATAGTAGGTAGGTGAATGTGTTTTTCGAAGCGAACCAGCCGTCCAGTGACGCCGAATGCGTGCTCAATGCTGGCTGAGAGTGCTTCGAGAGGCGTCTGGAGTATTTCTCCCACGGAATCCGCCGAGATGGACGGCGAAGTGGAGGAGGCACGTGAAACGGAAGTGCAGAGACTTCAACGCATCATCTCCGGAAGGGCGGAGCACATCCAGCAGCGATGAATGAGTGAAGGTTGCTGAATGGATGGCGGTGGGAGATGAGATGAAGGGAGGAGTGGGCGCAGATTGAGGGGAGGGAAAGGAAAAGATGAATGATGAATGAAGGACGCCCGCCGTCAAAGTCGAGTCGAGCGTTGCTGCGGCCTAGTTCGTGTTGTCGCGTGGGCGCGCTCCTTCCATGATGGGGAAGGAAAGAGCGACTGGGGCCGTGGCCATTCGATCATGTTTGCCAATTCCCACGTGCGCTCGCAATTGAGGGAATTTCAACTGTCTAATCATCCGTTTCGTCTCATCGTGAACTCACACTCGAAAACCACACCGCTATGTACATCAATGCTCATGGGTAGGCCAATGGACGATGTTGCGTTTGAGAAGCGCAACTGCCTGTCGTCGGAAGTCTTGGCATGCACCTCAGGCATTCGCGGCAATGGTGGGGCGGCGTAAAATGGGACCGCCTCCCGCCTTACGCAACACCCTCCGCCGTCTGAGAGCTGCCTCACTGTCTCCCATTAGGCGCTCACTTCCACCCCATCAATGCCTGCGTCCTCTGCTCACGCACACGGCTGATCTTCTTCCTTAGCCTACACACCTCACCGCGAACCTCATTCCCCTGCCAATCCCCCGCCATGGCCAACCAAACCCCCGCCGTTGTCATGGACAAGTGAGCATTGCGCGCTCCCAATCTCCCACTCCTCCTGTTACTGACCCAACACAGTGGCACGGGCTACTCCAAACTCGGCTTCGCCGGCAACGACTCTCCCTCTTTCGTCTTCCCCACCGCAATCGCAACCAAAGGGCCCGCGGGAAGCGGAGGAGCTGGGGGAGGCTCGGGCTCGGGACGACCGGCCGTGGCCAACAAACCGACTTTCCTGACCGGAGGCGCAGGACCGACGGGGCATTTGTCGGGGAAGAGAGGGACGGAAGACTTGGACTTCTTCATTGGCGATGAAGCCTTGTCTGCCGCCGCCGGGCCGGGTATGTTTGGGAACACTGCTTCTGCGCACGAGAGACTGACCACAGCCAGGCTACGGCATTCATTACCCCATACGACACGGGCAGATAGAGAACTGGGTAGGCAAAAGCTATGCTCAGCAATGAAGTAAGGGCCTCATCTAATGCGTCACAGGACCACATGGAGCGCTTCTGGTCCAACAGCATCTTCAAATACCTCCGCGTCGAACCCGAGGACCACTACTTCCTCCTCACCGAACCCCCTCTCAACCCTCCCGAGAATCGCGAAAACACTGCCGAGATCATGTTCGAATCCTTCAACTGCGCCGGCCTGTACATCGCCGTGCAGGCTGTCCTCGCTCTCGCCGCGTCCTGGACCAGCAGCAAAGTGCAAGACCGGAGTTTGACCGGCACAGTCATTGACTCGGGTGAGGGCGTGACCCATGTCATCCCCGTCGCGGAAGGATACGTGATTGGCAGCAGCATCAAGAGCATACCCATTGCCGGCCGAGACATTACATACTTTGTGCAGTCGCTGCTTCGAGATCGAGGAGAGCCGGACAGCAGTCTCAAGACGGCGGAGCGGATAAAGGAGGAGTTTTGCTACGTCTGCCCGGATATTGTGAAGGAGTTTGCCCGTTTCGACAAGGAGTCCGATGATCGATTCCGGAAGTACGACGTCAAGTTTCCCAATGGGAAGACAACTACGGTCGACGTCGGCTACGAGCGCTTCCTGGCTCCCGAAATCTTCTTCAACCCGGAAATCTACAGCTCCGATTTCTTGACGCCCCTCCCCACCATCGTCGACACCGTCATCCAGACCTCGCCCATTGACGTTCGACGCGGGCTGTACAAGAATATTGTCCTTTCCGGCGGCTCCACGCTGTACAAAGATTTCGGCCGTCGACTGCAACGCGATATCCGACACCTCGTCGACGCCCGCATTAAGGCATCGGAGGCGCGCGCCGGCAATGCGGCCAAGTCGGGTGGACTGGACGTGCAGGTCATTACTCATAAACGACAGAGGCATGGACCGTGGTTTGGAGGGTCACTGCTGGGGCAGACGCCGGAGTTCCGAAGCTATTGTCACACCAAGGCGGAGTATGATGAGATTGGGCCGAGTATTGTTCGGAGGTTTGCGCTGCTTGGAGGGCCGGGAAGTACTTAAGTGGTGAAGTTGAAGCACGTGTTCCTTGAGTATGCAGCGAGTCACTACGTGTGCGGAAGCGAGGACGATGTCCAGCGAAAGTAGCTGAGCTGAGAAAAAACAGAACAATCTAGTTGTCCCAATGTCTGGTCATTTGCCTTGTCGCTATCACGCGATCCCTGTACTCCGATCAGATGTTGCTCCCTCGCACCGCAAGTCAAGGCCAAGGCTCTGCCGCCAAACCTAAACCCTAACCCTACACCAACCGTGACATCGGAGCAACGACTTCATCTCCTCGCTCGTTATTCCACACCCTCCCAAAACAGCGCAGGGGCATGTCAGGGAGACTGTCTTTGTCCGCCCAGCAGCAAATCCAGGCAGTACTCAAGCAGCACAATCTCCATCTCCACCACGTCTTTGCGCAACAACTTCACGCAACATGGCGGCGAGGTGGAGGCAAAGCGCGATTAGGTACGTTCACGACTAGTCTCCAGAACCGAAACAGCAAATCCACAGAAGACTAATCGTGACGGCCAGGCCTCGCAATAAGCGGCGGCGTGGACTCCATGGCCCTCGCCCGCCTCTGCCATGATGCCGTTCGGATGGAAACATCTCCGATGAAACCCTTACTTTCTGCAATCCCGGACTATCCACGTAGCTCAACCTGGTTCACCGCATTCATTGTAGACCACAAGCTGCGAGCAAACAGCAGCGACGAAAGCAAACGAGTCGCAGCCGAGCTGGCCAAGCTGCATATCGATGCGCAGATTCTTGAACTCGATTGGGCTGCGCTGGACATTGACAATCCGCGCTCCCTCACAAATTTGGAGTCCATTGCGCGAAGGCTACGGTATCGGGCGATTGGGAAAGCGTGCGCGAGTCACGGCATTGGATCGTTGCTTGTTGCGCATCATGCGAGAGATCAGGCCGAAACGGTTTTGCTGCGCATTCTGACGGAGTATTTGGGGAGTGGATTGGGAGGCATGCGGAGCTGTGCTGGGATACCGGAGTGCAGAGGAATTTATGGCGTGGATCAGTCAGGGTCCGGGAGGCTGATCACTACTGGAGGCGAGGCAATGGTGGTGGAACAAGGAGGCGTGACGATCGCACGACCAATGTTGTCTTTGCGGAAAGAAGAGCTGGTCGCCTTTTGCGAGGAGAGCAGTGTCAAATGGTTCGAGGATCCGACGAATGCCGATCCAACGCTGACGATGCGGAATACCGTTCGGTCGCTACAGGAGAAGAATACTCTGCCTGTTGCTCTGCGAGCGGATCGAATTCTGGCATTGGCTGACAACATTAATCGCCGGCGTGTCGATGTGGAGCGGACGGTGGACGAAATCTATTCACGGACGAAAATCACGCTGGATATCCGAATGGGTGAGGCTACAGTGAGACTGCCGGAAGAGATGCAGTCGCACTCGAGCAGTGTGCAGGCCACTGTTTTGCGCCGACTGCTTGAGCTAGTCAGCCCCAAAGACAATGTCGCCGTGTCGCAAATCGCACAAACGGCAGAAGCCCTCTTCAACGAACGAGATGCGGAGAGAAGCGCTTCGACAAGGAGCTTCCAGGTAGCAGGCGTGCACATCGAACGGAGCAACGGCCAATTACCTCGAGTGACACTCCGCCGAGCTACGCCTTCAGCTGCGGAACGCGAGACGCAGCAAATCACCCTGTCCTTCGACAGTGCAGGCTGGTCGGAATGGCACCTCTGGGACGGGCGATGGTGGATCCGCATCCAACCACCCGCACGACTAGATTCTACTGCTTCAATTCGATTTCTGACCAAGGAAGATCTACACGCTGTCCGACGGCGTCTCGACAAGGAAGATCGACGGCTGCTGGACAAGAAATTGGAGCGTGCCAAGGGTTTGCAGAGATTCACTTTGCCGGCGATTATCTGCAACGAAGGTTCACCCCAATCTGCCGACGGCAAGCAGGTTGAAGTCGTTGCACTGCCTTCGCTCGGCTGGTGTGTACCCGGCTGGATACGAGCAGGCGCTGAAGATGCAACCCCGTCCCCAGCCACCTGGCAATGGGATATCGCATACAAGCACGTGAAGGGATTTCGGGATGGATCGCATGTCCTGCAAGCGTGATGTACGGCGAAAATGCTAGTTCTTCTTCTTACTCCGCGCCGGACTCGTCTGCAGCAAATCCTGCAAAATCTCCCGCCCGCGCTTGTCGCCCTTGTCGAATTTTCGGTTGTATATGCCTGGGAGCATGCGCAGAGCATCTGGCACGGAAAATCATTAGCAAATCATCATCAACCGCGTCCACATCACACTTACTGGCATGCGCGTCAGCAAACTCCACCACTTCCGCTCCCCTCTTCCTCGCCTCCGCAACGGCCGCTTCCAGCAGCCCCGTCCCTACGCCCTTTCCTCGATACTTTAAGCGCACTGTCCACCCCTTGATCTCGCCTTTCCAAGCCTTCTTGCGCCCCTTTTGCCTGGAGGTGGCATTCGTCGCCGACTCTGGCGCGACCCAATCCACGACGACGGTGCCGATAATCTCCTCCCCGAATTTACTCACAATCACATCTGCGTTCTCACCCAGCCATTCCATATTGATCGCTTCCGCTGCCTCGAGGTAAGGCTGTGTAAGCCAGCGGCAGAGCACGAGGTAGACCATGACGAGGCCTGTGCAGGAGGTGGCGGCCATGCCCAGGCCGCGGCCTTCCTCGTGACACATTCGCGCGATAAGGGCGAGGGTAGCCACGACCACGGCGAGGTTGATGGGGTGCCAGATGAGGGCAGAATTGGCGGCTTGTCGCTGCTGGGCCACGCTGTCGGCCACGAGCTTCAGCGCTGCGATCCTCTCTTCTTCTGATGTAGTGGTGTAGGTGGATAATTCGGGGACCCCGGCGAGCGGGTCTTCGTCTGGGTGGTTGGAACCCGGAGTCGGGGCGGTGTCGGGGGGTTGGGTGTCCATTGTTGCGGTTGTGTCTGTGGTGAAATGGAGGGGTGATGGAGGGGGGAGCGAGCCGGTGGATGCTCGCATAGAAGGGGGAGTGGACCACGGACTGGGTGGGGGAGAAGCGTTGAGGCGGAGGTTGGTGCGGAGGGAAGCGAAGAAGGCTGCGAAAGCGTGGTCAGATGGGTGATGTGCAGCATTGGGAGATAGGGAAACGTACCTGCACTCGTTTTGAAGCCGGGAATTCTCTGCGTGACGACCAGCGCGGCGTGAGGGTCTTCTTTTAGGCGGCGCAGATGTAACTCCTCGCGCAGACGCTCTTCCTGTAATTGTACGCGGGTGGAGTCTTCTTTGGAGGTGGTCGTGACGCGCAAAGGATGACGAGAAAAAGCGGAAGAGAGAGAAGTGGGAGGAGCAGCAGCAGAGGATGAAGTAGTAGTCGCAGCAGGGCGCACGTGGCCCGGCTTGGCTAGAGGGAGGTTGAGAAAGAAGCTTCGGGGATTATTATTACTGGGCCCATTGGATATCTTGCTGTCCGTTGCATCTCTGCCGCCAGTATTAAATGAATGATGATGGCTGGACTGCAGCGGTAGCGAGGGCGGAAGCCGAGGGCGCATTACTGCCGGCGAATAATGCTGTTGCGCATGGCCTGAGCCTCTGGCCTGGGCCCCGGTTTCTCAATCTCTTCTCGAGTGGGGATAACTGGAATAAGAATGGATGATGGAAATGGAGCGGAGGGGAGAGAGAAGAGGGGTGGGGCAGCAACGTGCGTATTTGACTGGCAAGCAGAGCAGGGTGCCAAGCGGGACAGGAAAAGTGACGACGCCACGGGCGTGCGCGATAGGAAAAAGAATTCAATCCAATGCACTGCGACCGTTGGGGGATGAGAAGCGGGCAAGGTGAGGCGAGAAAGGGCAGACTAATGTACCTGCGTCGAGCTTATCAGGAGTTTGAGGTGGAGGGGTTCGGCGGCGGTGAGCACGTGAAGACCACTTACGTGTGTCCTCCACTTCAGCGATATTCCATCCACACTGCAGTCGAAGGAGTGCGGAAGGTGTCAGCTAGGCCATGTTGCGGGGCGCAATGGCGTGCGTGGGGCCGGCAGCGTTAACCTGAGACGCTCGACGAGGGCAACACGAGGCGGAGGTGACGACGCGGCTTCCTCATTCGCGGGGTTGGAACTCAATTGCTGCCATCGGGTTTCATGTTTGTCGTGTGATCGTCAGGCCAGCATCATCAAGCAGCACGTGAAGAGGGAAGAGGTGGTGGTGCGTACGCGTCACTCCATTTGTGCTTTCCTTTGCTACATCGGAGGAGTAGATACAAATCACTCATCCGCCAACCTCGAGGTATCATCATCAACCATCCCTGCAGTCTCGAAAGAAACCCGCTTCCGAGCCCAAGATGACAAGCAAAAAGAGGAGAACCGTGCAGACAAAAGCAGAATCGCATTCTTCCCCTTCCACCCCTCCCTCCACCGCTTCACTTCACTCACTTTCCTCCATTATTACTGGGCAACAAATGATGCTCATGATTCGGCGCATTAATCACCACCCCGTTCTCCTCTTGCCGGCACACCAGCGCATTCCTCACCCATCCATCCTCCAACATCTCCTCGATCGTCGCACGCCGGTTGGGATCCAAATCCAACATGCGGCCGATGATATGCCTCGTCTCCCGTGGCAGTAACCGTAGCAATCTCAGTGGTCCTTTGATTGTAGGCTGGTAGTCCGCTTGTGTCGTCTGCTTCGTGATCGGGGGTGCCTGCTCGCCGTCCGCTCCCTCCGATTCCTGTGGTCCCTTGGCGCTCGACCGCCGCCGTTCTTGCAGGAACTTGTCCTGTTCCGGATCCGGGGGTGAGACGAAGAGGCGGAAGGAGTTGTCGGAGGTGCGTGGCGCTTTCCACGGAAACCGGCGGAGCGTCATGCAGCAGAAAATAATGGCAATCGACCATACATCCGCCGCGCGCGGATCGTATTTGGGTTGGTCGTAGACCTCGGGTGCGAGGTACGGGTCGGAGCCAACGACACCTAGAAAAAGATTAGCATGAGCGCTCGCAGATGCAGGTCACATCACATACCCGTTGCAAGTACCACGTCATTCTCAAACGGATACCGAAAGACCACCGCACTCCCAAAGTCAATCAGCTTCATGATGCCGCGGTCGTTAATCACCACGTTGTCCAGCTTGAGATCACGATGTGCCAGGCCCATGCTGTGCAGATACATGACACCGCTGAGGATCTGCAGCGTCGCGCACGCCACCTCTTCCCGCCCCATCTTGCCGCCCATGACGGTGGCGAAGAGATCGTATGGCGCGTACTCCATCACCTCGTACCACCGCCCCTTTTCGTGCACAATGTCGATGGTCTCGATGATGTTGCCGTGGTGCAGCGTCGAGCCGATGCAGAACTCCGCCGTCACCTTCTTGTTGTACTCCTTTTCGCTCTCGTAGGAGTGCCGGTCGCGGAACTGCTTCACGGCGAAGACTGTGCCGTCGCCCTGTCGCTTCATCAAGCGCACCGACCCTCCCGCTCCCGCTCCCAACAGCTTGCCGAACTTGCCGTACTTTGACTCCAGGCCGTGATCGTCGGCAAATGGCACATGCGTTGCGCCGGCAGTAGAATCCTGGCGTTGGTGGTGCTCCGCGCCATTAGAATGCCCCGACTTCTCCCGGTGATGATGGTGTCCGCCAATCTTGAAGAAGCGCTTCAAATTCGACTTGGAGGAGTGGTGGGAGTCTTTTTCGTGCAGGCTGTCGTCGTGCTCCTTCTTGGCGCCGCCAAATAGACTCGACCGCTTGTCCATCTGATCCAGACTGGTTCCGCTAGCAGATGAGGCGGGGAGAGTGGGCGCGTTGCCAAGGATGCCCGGCATGGAAGTGTTGATTTGGCCCGAGGTGGAATATCCAACCGCCGGATCCCTGTTGCCAAAGCGGAACTGAGAGTCATCGGATTGTGTAGTGGTAACACTAACCGGCGCACTCGTCGACGGTCTCTTGCCCTTTGCGCTTACATCGCTCGTGCCGGTGGTTGACGGGGTCTTGGGCCGGGGAGAGCCGGGTGCGGTGCCTGAGGGAGTCGCAGCAGGACTCTGACCACTTGATGGGGGTTGTGAATCGCCACTCGGCCCGATGGTAGATTGGGGCTGTTGCTTGGGCTGACTCGGAACCGCCATCCTGTCTTTGCCGTCTCGTAGCGGGGATGCGGATCGCTGCGGAGTCATGATATCGGGAGCCGGGCGGCGGCCGGACATGCTGCCACTTCGCTGGCTTTTGTTGTCGCGGGACTTGGAAGCGGCGGGGGTGAGAGGGGGGGAATGCATGGTGGAGGGGGCCGGCGAGGTGGCATGAGACGACTCGCCGGAGTAGACGGACATGTGTCGCTTGTTCGGGGTGGCATGGCCGGAAGCCACCTGTGAATTCATGAGGTGTTAGCGTGCGCAGGAGAATGGCATTTCATTCTCTTTCATGCACTCACCCTTGAAACTGGCTGCGAGCCCGGTAGAGATACAGGCTCAAAAGCATGATGCTGCATGCGCGATGACTGGATGTTGTTTTGGAGCTGTGATCGCAGTTGATTCAGCTCCTGCTGTGCTTCTGGATTCAGATCGTTGCGATCTGTGTCTTCCAGGCTGTGCTGGGGCGAGATGTGATCATCCTGAGATGCAAAGTGGACGTTGGCGGTAGGCGCGGCTCCTTCCTGTGGGCTCGTCATGGCGGTGAGGAGGTTGGGGCTGAGTGGGATGATGCGGGAGGCCGAGCAAGTCCTTCTGATCACTCCCTGCGAAGACACGAGCTGATCTGGATGCAAGCCGATGTAAGCCGTGAGATCCGCGTGAGAGGAAGAATCACTGCCAAGGGTGGGCTGAGGGCGGCACGCGGGGTGTGTCAGGGTGATGTCCGGCGTCGTCCGTCTCTTTGCAATTTCAGCCCGGCCCTATACAGGATGGGTTTGATTGTTTCCTTCCAAGGATGTATGGCGAACGGGGAGGAGGGAGGGAGGGACGCGAGGCACGTTGCTCGTGGAGGTTTGCGGCAGGGAAGCAGGCCGAGGAGATGCGCGGCGACGCCTGCAGCTAGGATGTACTTGGGTACGGGAGGTGGCAGCTCTGCCCGGGCGGTCTCGCGTCCAATGTCTCAATCAGACTTTGGTCTCAACGCATTCCCATCCGGAGTGCACGGAGTCGAGGGGTGAAGGAGAAAGACGAGCAAATGGCAGATATGTGTGCAGAAGGGAATGGAGCAAGAGGGCCGCCCTCGGTACTCGAGGCGTGCAGGGTGTGCAGGACAGGACGAAAGCGTGCGTGCCTAGGTTGATGATGATTAGCCTGAGATGCGAAAGCGGATGGGATGGGCGTGCCAAGGTCGGGTGGGGCACGGCAAAAGCCTAATCCAGTGCTCGTTTGGGAGGGATTAGTCAGGATCTTGTTGCCATCAGTCGCCGAATGTCGGAGATGTCTCGTCAAGGCTGCGAGGCGGATGGGCTGCGGATGTGAACGCCCGTTCTGCTTCCGCTCATCTCACGTCTTGTGATGTGAAGAGATGAGTCGATACGTCCTCTTATACTCCTACGCCTCGGTCTTGTCCGATCCCATTTTAGATGTGAAGTGCAGCATGATCAAGGGCACGTGAGTGGAACAAAGACACATCATAATCAACACGAAACTAGCAAATACCCGCCCGCCTGATCAACACGCAAAGGGGTATCCATCAACTCCGCCGCAATGCAATGCAATCGCCGTTTCTTTCTTCTCAGATCACTCCCCCGCCTCCGCCATCACATGCTCTCCCTCATCCAATCCCCCCATCACCGTCTTCAGATTCTTCAGCATCTCCTCTGCCTGCGCCACCAGCAACAACTTCTCCGCATTGGACGGCAGGCCCAGGTAAGTCGGTGGTTCGCGCTCGGGCAACTCCTGCACCCATTGTAGAAAGTCCTTCTTGGTCGTCCCACTCGGCAATGCCATGCCCACACTTGCATCTCCCGCCACTTCTCCAATCACATTGAACCCTTCCTCAAAGGCATCCACCGTAATGGTCTTGCCCACTAGAGTTCGTAGAGCCTCAAAATCCTCCGCATCGTCGATTTTCCCTCCGTACATCTCCGTGATGAGCACGCGGATCAGATCCCACGCGATGCTCCGCGGCGCTACATTCGATCGTCCACGCGCGACCTGCTGCGTCCACCATTGGATGATGAAAGCGCAACACTCGTAGTCGGCATCGTTGAATTCCCAGAACCCCTTCCAACCCAAGCGAGGTGCATAGCGCAAACGCTCTTGCACGACGGCGTGCAGGTAGGAGAGTAGGAGGTGCATTCTCGCCTTCTCCACCGGCTGCTGCAGGAGTTGATCCGGCACCGATGATAATGAATCCCGCATGTTTGCGCGAATTCCCGCCGGCTGCTCGTACATCAAGACTCGGGAAGCGCGAAGGAGACTGGAAGGAATTCTGAGACTCGTCTCCATTGAGAGGAACAGGCGGAAGTCCTTGTTGGGTTTGAGAGAGTCGATGCGCTTGACCAGGTTTTGAAGCCAGTCGGGAGCGAGATGGACGTTCTTGACGAGTACCCACGTTCCGTTCATCGCGGCGTTGGCAAGGGCTGCATCGGCACTGGCCATGCTTTCGTTGGAGCCCATGGCGACGCTGCTGCAGATGGCAGAGGTTCGATCCACGAGCTGGTCCACTTTGAAGCTTGCGTCGAAGCCGGGCGTGGAGCATAGAGCGATGGGGGAGCTTGCCATGGTCTGGTTGGAAATCGCGCCAAGATCCGGGGAGACGTCGAGGAAGGCTTGTCCGAAGATGCATCGGATAAAACGGCTTGTGGCGGGGATCAGACGGTCGACGCGGAAGAGCTTGACCAGTAACAACTCCTTGAGGGCGGTGTCGTTGTCGTTGACAGGCGATGCCGTGCTGGGCACTTTGGTCTCTGCTTCTGCGCTTTCAATGAAGGATGTCCAAGCGTTTTCGGATGTGCTTTGGACCACCTCCTTCAACGGAGTAATTCGAGAAGCGAGAGACATTGCTTGTGACCTCAATTCGGGTGAGGAGCTTGTGTCGGCGCCAGTAACACTCTCATCCAGCAAGACATCGATCAAACTCTTGTCCATTGGGAATGGTGCAGCTTGTGCGAGGAGGACGGCGAGAGTAAGATGGTCCTTTTGCAACAGGGACGCCGATGTCTCCTTGAATGCCTTGCGGAATAGGTCCTGAACGATGGCATCCACACGACGCTTGCCATCCCGCTCCGGAGACGCTTTGGCAGTTCGCAACACCGCCTCGAAGATGTCCACAAAGTATTGCAGAGAGAATTGGTAGAAGTGGTTGACGTGGTACAATTGCTCGAGGACGGCGAAGATGGCAGAGCATGACTGCGCAATCTTGTCGTAGGTGGCCATGATGTTGGTCACGTCGGTCATGACTCCTTCGGTTTCGGCGGCTTTGGATGTGATTTCTGCTGCCTCTTCTTTCAGCGTCTCGAGCGTCTGGATGACCTTTTCGTCGTCCAGAATGTTGCCGTGAGACTCGTTGAGGGCTTGCAGGAGTCGACGTTCCAAGCGGCGGAGGCGTTGCGTGAATTCGCCTTGCAGCTTGAGGAGATTGGACCGGCGCTCATCAACATCTGGCCGCTCGGACTTGAGCACTTCATTCAGCGTCTGAGTCTTCAAACTGCTCTGCGTGACGGTAAAGTTGACAAAGGTGGCGCGACTGCAGATGTCTGGGGCGAATCTGGCAGACGGATCTCTCGTCGAAAGATAGAGCTTGAACGCCGGGGAAAAATCAATCTCTTGACGACCCAGCTGGATGAGCACACGACCTCCGGTCCTCTGGTACTCTTTGTTGAGGACATGGTTCAAGATGGGATCCATGTGCTCGGCGTCTTGAATCAGGATCGGATTTCCGAAGCGTAGGGCACTCTCGAGCTGCTTCACAAAGGAATTGTCGAGGAAGCTTGTCACGGTGAGGCGGCGGTCCTTGCTCTCGTTCTGGAGGAAGTCTGTAACTCGTCCGGATGGATCAATGATGAGAGGGTAACGGTTGTATCTCTTCAGCATGATGGCATTTTCCGTGCAGAGCTCATCGACTGGCAAGGTATTCTCATGCCACTGCTGGCGTTCATCTGCGGTCGATAGGTATTCCGTCAGGGAGTTTTGAGACTTGAAGACGATTCCAGAAGCCGAGAGATGCAGCGACCAGTCTTCCAACATTGCGCGACGATATTGCTGATCGTAGAGACCACCGTAGGCCAAGAAGGCAGAGGCGAGAAAGACGTCGCCGACAATGGTCTCCATTTGGATCTGGAACGTGCGACTACCCTCTTCCCATCTACCGCGCTCGGAAGACAGACTGTGGAGGAGACGCATGCTGCGATCGACCTTGGACTGAACCCGAGACATCTCGGTCTTGATTGCTTCCGTTTGACTGATCAACGAGGCGTATTCGGATTTGTACGTCGCAATTCGTTGATCGAGCTCCTTGAGTGTATTCTCAATCATCTTTGCATTGGCTCGAGTGTCCAAAGCTTCATTCTCCAGATGGGTGACTTCTTCCTGCAGAGGGCCAACTCTGTCGAGGATCTCGGAGAAGTTGACTTGTGCCTCTACCCACTGCACCAGAGGTCCACACGCTTTGCTGGCACGATTAACCCTTTCAAAGGTAAAGTCTTCATTAGAAAGGTATTCGTGCTGCATCTTCTTGCGATGCTGCGGAGTCATCTGGCGCTCGTTGTCGTAGTTGAGGATACTGGCGATGAAGTCTTCGCGACGGACGATGCTGACGATGCTCTTCCAGTCGACGGTCTTGTGGCCGAGGAGAGTGCATACCGCCTCCATGGCGAGCTTGACGCCGGCTGGGGGGTTCTGCATGGATCGCACTTCGGTGAGATGTTGTCGCTTGATGTTTTGGACGCTGAGTTTGGCTTGTTCGACTGCGGGCTCTGCTTTTGCCAGGTCCTCGAGCACGATTTCTTTGCGCGTGGAAATGTCATCTTCTTGCTTCTTCAGCTTGGACTGGATTTCAAGGGATGTGGCTTGCTGCTGCTTCGCCTCTTGCTCGTCGGCCACCATCTTCTGAAGCTTGTCGTTGGCTTCGGTGTTCTTCTTCTGCAGGTCCAGCTTCTTTTCGTCGAGACTCTTTCGCAGCTCCGAGACTTTGTCAAAAGTTTCACGCAGCTTGTCCAAGCCGACGTTGAGATGACGTTGCTGCTCCTCGAGATCATCTCGCTTCTCGTTGAAGAGCTTGACGAATTGCGCGACAAAGTCGAGGAATTGTCTTGGGGTGAGGTAGGTGGTCTTGCTCTGCTGGCGTTGGAGACGTCGGTTGAAATGTCGAAGGGAGTGATGGACATGCACCATGGCATTCACCACCGCGTCTCTGTGGCTCAGAGGCATCTCCAGCTGGTCAAACTCTACGGGCAGGCTGTCGGGGGCGCTGTAGTTGCTGTGGTCGATGTCCACGGATTGCGTGAGTTCGTATGCAACCTGATACAATGCCTGATCTGACCAATCGCCGAACCAATTAAGAACGCAACGATTGAATAGGGCCGGGCTGCTGGCTGCTCTCGAGGACAGGCCGTTGGATGGAGGATTCATTGTGAAGACGACGTGAAGATTGCGAACAATCTGTTGGGTGAACCATTTGTAGAGCTCTTCTTGGGAGTCGAGCAGGAGGCCTTGTCGTTGAGCACCTTCCTTGCAAGCGGTCATGAGGGTGGCATAGTCGTCGCCTTCGAAGAGGCCAGGCACTTCACCATTGGCGAGGAGCGTGTTCATGCGTTCGAGGAATCCAGAGTCCAGGACATTTGACTCGTCCATGATGAAGCAAATCTTCTCGCCTCGACATCCACACCGGCGAAGGACGTTGCGAAGGTCTTCGTCAAAGTCTTCTGCAGAGTATCTCCCATGGACCTTGATCTGGAAGATTGACAGCCCGTTCATCCACGCCACGAAGCGAGAGAGGGTAGTCTTGCCACTTCCGCTGACTCCGATGAGGATGAGATGGCCCTGTGGTTGTCGGAAGACTCGATCGATGCGCAGGACGTGCTCCAGGACGTCGTTGAAGAGGACCAGCGGAACGTCAAGCTCTTCCTCGCAGAAGGTGCGCAGGCGGGCCTTGACAAAGTCTCTCAGCTCGTTCCGACCGACTGGCACGTAGTCTTTGGACAGCCAATTTGAGAAGAGGATTGGTCGTTGGAGTGCTGCCGTCTCGTGGATGTTGGGAAAGTATTCCAGTGCCACGCGATTGACAATTTCTTCGGTCCATTGTCGCTCGTCGTCTGCAATGAGTCGATCTGAGAAGAGTCTCAAAGCTTCGTGGGCCCAGATTCGGACCAGGCCCTCCAGTGAAAGCGATTCAAAGGGGCGGATCGCCTCGTAGATTGCTCGCACCCAGCGTGAGAGTTCGCGCGGCGAGTAGACATAGTGAGGCTGGATGTCTGGGGTGAATCTCTTCTGTGATTGGAGATAGACCTGAATCATTGCTTGCGTCAAGGCTTCGGCGTAGCCACGGAGGGTGGGGATGATCTTGAGCACGGCGGTATTGAAGGTGCCGTAGATTTGCGTGAGCGAGACTTCACCAGGGTAATCCACCATCACCAGCGGAGCGTGACGCAGGAAGCGAGCACCGAGCGGCGTCCGGCCGACATCTGTGGGAGGATTGCAAGCGCCCACGAATTGGACTCGTTCCAAAGAGACCCAGGTCTTGGTGGATGTGCGCCAGAAGCCTCCGTGCTCGATGAGCTGGCGAAGGAAGGAAATGACGCGCTGCGTGCCGTATTTGTCTGGTGCTGGCAAATTGATCTCGTCGCAAAATACGACCAGCCAACGGCCGATTTGTTTGGGAGCCATGGTGACGCCGCTGAGAGACTTCTTGTAATCGCAGTACTGCTCAAGAGTCTTCACGAGGAGGTCTGGCGTGGTGGCACTGGAAAAGTTGAGGCCGACGGTTTCCATGTTGGGCAGTTTTCGGAGTGCGCTGAATAAGGTCATTGTCTTGCCAGACCCCGGGGGGCCGCACAGCAGTAGAGGCTTGTGCTCGGCCAGGAAGGAGTAGAGCAAGTCCTCATGCCGTACGATGTCGAGGGTGGGGATGACGAGGTCCGTCTGCAGGACCGAATGGGTGTTGACCTCGATGGATGGGACATGTTGCTGCCATGACGTCCAAGCTGCGTCTGGGAGGGAAACGTCGTAGTCGATGAGGGAGGAGGTTGCGGTTGTGAGCGGCATGTCGAAGGTGGAGAAGCCGGCGAGGAAATCGCCATACGACTTGCGATCGCCCAATGGGCAGTCACCGGTGAAAGACCAGACCACGGCCACCAGAATCTTCTTTGACAGGTACATTTCAATCTGCTCATCGTTGAGTGGAAAGTCCGGGTGCTGGGCGTTGTATTCCAGGACAGATCGGCAGGCTTTTCGCAGGAGGGTGAAGAGCGTGCCGAATGCGCGAATGGGGGTGAATTCCATGATGTGATTCAACGGGAGAGCTTGGTCCAGCGCCTTGCGTGCAAAGTCGTTGGTTGTGAGTCGGTGTTTCAAGACGTCCGCCATGAAGGACTGCTTCTGCTCGGTAGAGGCAGGAGCGTCATCATCGATATCGTCGAACGTGGCGGTGCTGAGTTGGGCCAGATTGCGAGAGAGCATGACGTCCAGTTCCACAGTATCATCGCTGAACCACACCATACCGCATCGACTGACAGTGGCAAGGGTGGCGTACTTGAGAGTCTCGACCTCGAACATGACTCGTACGTTGGGAGGTAGGCTCAGGCGCTCACCATTGGGGAGGGTCAACAGCTTGTTGTCGTCCAGAACGCTGTTGAGATTCTCCACCCATTCGGGGTCGACGTCGCCATCAAAGATGATCCAGTGTCGCTTGCTGTCTTCCCCGCGGAGATTGTCGACCACTTTTCGAAGGATGCTTGTGAATAAGCCGTCCGTCCACTCTCGGGTCGTGCTGTCCAGGGTGCCGTATAATGACTCCTTGGACATGACTTTGGGGTCAATGACATGGCACACACCTTCGATGCCGTCGACCTTTTGCAGAGCGGCGAGGAGAGCTTGCCATGCGGTGGATTTGCCGGTTCCTGAGCTTCCCACCATCATGACACCGTGGTGAAGGCTCTGAATCTGGTACAGTTGGAGGACTTTGGTGAGCCATGAGTCGGTCGCAACGAGCTTCCTCTCCGCCACAACCTCTTGCAGAGCCTTGCGCAAAGCTTCGAGAGATGCCGGGATGTATTCGACGCCGGAAAATGCGTCCTTCTCAATCTGCTCCATCCGCAAAGCATCGTCCCTCACCAACTTGGGCGCAATGGTCTCTCGAATGCTTTGGACAATAATTTGCGGCTCGACGATGGCGTCTGCGGCCTGCTCGGTGGTGGAGGAAAGTCTCAATCGCTTCAAGCCACCAGAGCTGACGAGGACGCTCTTTAGCGCGCGAAGGCCGAAGTCGTAGTGAGGCTGGCTGGAGAGGAGGGAATGGCACTGGTCGAAGAAGGGGACAGTCTGTCTCGATAGTGTCTTGGCCTCTGCGAAGCCTTGCGAAAAGAGCATGACTTCGGCGATGATTTCCTTGTCTGGCTTGGACATGGCCACACTGCGGAAGAGCTTCTTCAGATTGTCGGGGAGGTTCGAGCGGCCGGCGTAGCCTGGATTCATGGTGATGAACATGCCGGTTAACGGATGGACCTTGAGTTGCCGGCCAACGAGATCAATCTGGGCATTGGAGTCTTGCGCTCGTTTCCGCAGGCCCACCTGGATGTTCTGGATTTGCTGTGATACGGCGGAGAGGATGCGTTCTTCCAATCTGTTGAACTCGTCGAAGCAGCCCCAGGCGCCGACCTGTGAGATGCCCAGGAAGATTCGGCCCATGGCTTGAAAGTCAAAAGTGTCATCGCAATTGAAGACGAGGGTGAATCGACCGAGTTGGACGCCCAACGCTTTGACAGACTCTGTCTTACCGGTACCCGCTGGTCCATATGGAGATCCACCAAGGCGTTGGGAAAGAGCTTGGCTGAGCGTCAAGAAACAGCGGTCGGTCAAGGGTGTTCGGACGAGTCTTTCTGGCACTCCAAGATATTCGAAGCCGTACGCCAGGGTAGCGTTGGCCACCTTGACCTGCATGCGGTCGAGCGGGGCGGCATTCTCATCAAACTCGTATCTCATTTGAAGAAGCCAAAGGTAGTGGTCTGGGGAGTCGGCGCCGCTCTGGAGTAGCTTTTCGGTGGCGTCCCGTTGGTGTACGAATTCTGTGATGAGATGCTCACACTTCTTCCGATAGATCGGCTCTAGTTGCTTCAAGACAGATGCAGCTAGGAGTCGCAGTCGGAAAACAAGGCCGTCGTATAAATCTTGCAGCCCGCCCTTTCCAAGTGCACCGCTGACCTGCTTGGTCCAACAAGCCTGCGATGCGAGGACGACAATTTGAGCGGGGTACTTCGAGATGTACTCCTCGAATGCAGCATCGTCATCATCTGCAATGCCATCCAGATCGTGCACAGCTTCTACCAGCAGATCTGACAACGTCTCCCGCATGCCAACCTCCAGCGCCTTGAGCCAGTCGTTGATCTTGGGAGTGTCCGTCAGTGAGATGGGCCGTCGCAGCATACATTGCTCTCCTTCCTTGGATCGCAGGCCCAGGATGTTGGATTCTTCCATCACCAATCCAGAGATTCCGGCAAACATCTTTCCGAGGTGCTTGGCGATTCGCAGAGTATCGTTGCTGTTGCCGATGATCTCGAGCAGGTCCTCATCGCCGACAAAGTAGAACCGGGGGAATGCTACTCGTTCTTTTTCGAGATACTCTCCCAGAGCCTTTTGGATCTTGTTTAGCAGATCCGCAAGTCGCTCAAGCTGTCGCTGCACGTCCGGGATGTTGAGCACTTCGAGTACTTGCGGGGAGCGATAGACTTTTTTGAGCACCGACATGAACTCGCTGTTGATGTTTGCGAAGCGGGAAGTCTCGAGGGGGAGGAGGTGCTTGATGTCGGCATTGCCAGTAAAGACTCCTTGCAGGTATACCCATTGTCGCTGAACGTCGATCCAGACATCGAACAAGACGTGGATGCGATTGAGCTTGTCCTCCCATGATGAGGCTTCCTCTTCAAACTCGCGGTAGTACGGGGAATGTCGCATGGCTTGCAAGGAGTTCAAGTGATCGCTGCATTTGGCGAAGAGGTCATCCCATCCGCGGATCAGTCGGCACTTGGACTGATATTGGACGAGGTCGAGGGTGTAGTTTTGCCAATGCTCTCGCACAGTGCGTACAAACTCTTCCAAAGCCATCTCTCCTTGCGCCTGGCTGATGACATCTCGGATGACTGCTTCGCTGGGGCCAAGTTGCAAGTCCCATACATCCCCGAGCGTCATGGAGATGGCGGAGTAGCGTCTTTGAGGGTGTAATGCCTTGAAGATCTTGATCCAATGTCTTTCGCGGACGGCATCCGAGCGGAGTTCTGTCAGTAGAGGGTTGACTTTGAGCAAGGTGCGCAGAACTTGTTGGAGATGCTCAAAGGCGGCGTATTGGCGCATGCGGCTGGGCATCTCCTTCAGAGTCTTGGTCAAGTTCTCAATCGACTGCCGTAGCTTTCGGGGCTGAATGCTGTTCCAGAGTTGGTCTCGGAGGTCGTTCAGTTGATCCCACACGAGGCTCAGATTCGCCCACACCGACTTGAAGTCTTGGACTTCTTCCAGCAGCGTGACGAGCATGTTGTCGGGACTGGCGGGGAGTTCGAGAGCTTCCCTTGCGCGGATTACCATCTCGGACTGTTCTCGAAGTTGACTCAGCTCGGTGTCGAAGGTGTGGAGAGTTGCCACGGCCTCGGCAGGAGGGATGGAGCCTGACACGGGTCTCTGCTCATTCCATCGCTCAATCACTTCAGCGATTCGACGTGAGACTACTCCGTCTTCGGCGACAATCTTGGCTTTCAGGGCGTCAGTCTGGTCGGCAATGAGCTTGCTCTTTCGCTCGAGAACCTCAATCAGGGCAGTCCATTCGTGATCCACTTGCTCCACGTACAGCCAGTTTTTGGGATACTGAAATCTGAATCGCGAAAGCGTTTGCTGGCCCTGGCGAAATGTCTCCATCTCGGGCTCCCAGGTCTTTGTCTGTCGCTTGCAGTTCTGCACGACTGTGATGAATGAGACTGCTTGGGAAGTGGATGACGCTTGCATCGATTGGCTTTCGAGGTCTTTTCTTGCGCGTTGCAGCTCGGCGTACATGTCCACCAAGCGGGTGGCATAGAGGCCGGAGAAGTGAGCCAGGAGATCGTGCTGCCATTGGTCGTATTTTGCATTGACCTTTGTTTGCACTTGCTCATAGTTGATCACCACATGCCCGAAAGAGCGCTGCATGCCGGAGGTGTCGAATGTGTCTCTTTTTTGGCGGATTTCGAGGATGAGCTGCAGCCAGGCGTCTAGCTGATCGCCGAGATCTTCCTGCACTTGCTCCATCTGCAGATCCCACAGCGACTGAAACTGCAGCCACTCGTCGACATATGTCTGAGCAGCGGCCAGCTTCGCCTCGATTCGTTGGTAGAGATCTTCCAGTGTGCTCATGCATCGCAAGGGGAGGTCGGAGTAGGTGCTGGAACCGGTGGATTTGTCCAGCGCGAGGGCATTCTGAAATCGTGAGGCTTGGAGTCTGGGAAGATCTGCCACTGTCGCAAGCCAGGCGTGGAGGTTTGCGAGCCAGCCGGATTTGGCATGCTCGAGAGGCGGTTCCAGCTGGATCAACTGATTCTGCATGAGAATGTCGTGGGCGAACGTGTCAATCGTCGGCCGGGCCTCTCCTTGCTCGAAATCGGCGGTCCAGTCTTTCAAAGCTTGTCGCAGCCGGGCAAGCAGAATGTCGACCACCTTTTCATTCGTCGTGGCTACCCAAAAGGCGATATTTGAGTAGCCCTCCAGGTTCAGCTGATCGATTGAGCGTTGGAGCGACTCGAGATGGGAGTGGAGGGCGTCAAAGGTGAAGGCGCAGCTTTGCATCTCGCGGAGAGCAGTCTCGACAGATGTCTGGATGGCGGAGAGAGTAGTGGTCTTGCTCTGGAGGGTAGTGATGGACGCCCCGAGATTGCGAATGTACTGCACGTGCAAGCGATCGTTGGCGGTGACGTTTTGATCCTCCACCTGCTGGCGGACGTACGCATCGTACGCCAGGACAAACGTCTCCCACCGTAAAGCCGCACCCTTCGCAATGTACGTCTGCGCCTCGCTCCGATATCCAGAAAGCAGTATCGCCACTTCGGCCATGCCTGCAATGACCAGGCTCGTCTGTGCCAAAGTGTTGAGACTCTCCATCAAGCTGACGGCGAATGGATAGACACGTCGGGCTTCCTTGGAGACGTTGGTGATGGCATGCGGGACGTTGAAGTTGAGCCATAACAGGTTCCGAACTTCCTTGAACAGCGTAATGACATGCGAATCGAAATTGACGTGAATCTCGAGGGTGTTGTTCTTGGCGCGGTTGGCTGATATCTTGAATAACCGTCCGGTGATGGAAAGATGCCGGCGATTGATATCCCGGAGCCAGTCGTCGAATATGGGCTTCGTGTCGAGCTTCTTGCGAAAGCCTTCACCAAGATTGAACAGCTTCTGGCCGTCTGTATGCTCCGCCCAGTCCACGCCGAGGACGTCTTCTACCTTGCTCAGGTAGGCATCCAGCTGGCGCTCGACTTGTCTTGCACGGATGATGGCACCGGAGATGGGGGGAAGGTCGTGCAACTGCGCCATGCCGTGCGAATCGGACTGCCCGTATTGATGCGTGAAGCGTTGTTGAAGGGTTTCAATATCCCCTCGAACACTGTTGATCAGTTGAATCTGGTATTCCGCAATGGCGCCGCGGATTTTCGGCCGTACAAAGAGTGCATTGAATTTGGAGAAGACGCGGAACATTTCGTTGGCCGACGTTGCCACGGCTAGACGATCGCGGAGACATGCAATGATGGCGTTTTCCACCCGTGCTGTCCGTTCATTGTACGCTTGCTCCGCCTGAGTCCAGAGTCGTGTGCCTTCGAAGGAAGTGTCGAGAACGTCGACGTCTTTGAAGACGAGATACGCCAGGGCAATCTCCTCCACTGCATCTACGTCGCCGACCACAGCAGCGCCTTCGGTGTCGCTGGGCCCCAGAACGTTGACAATGGTGTTTTGCAGCTGCTCGTGATTGGTTCGAAAGTTGCGAATGTAGCTGAGTCGGTCCTCAATCATGCTGTGATGCTTGCTGAATTTGATGGGGATGAAGCGGTCAGTCTGCTTGCGCGTGACTTCGCGGGCAACATTGGTGAATTCCTTTGCGCCGTCTTCCCAAAACATCCAAATCTCCTGCACTTCATTGTAGACTTTTTGAAAGTCGACAAAGCTGAGTTGCATCAGGGTGCGGCCATTGAGCAAGTCGTGGAGTCGATGATCGAGATCGGCGGAGATGGCTTCCACCAGCGGGAGGGCTCTTCGCACGGGATATGCGACGATACGAAGCTTCTTGTTGAAGTGTTGAAAGAGGTCGTCGAGGGAATCTCGGAGCTTGGAAATTGACGTGGCGGAGAGCAACTCTTCGATGGGGAATCCGTGGAAGAGTTTGTTGTATCGCTGCACCTTCTCCTTGGTCTCCCTCAAGCCCGTGTCTGATTTAAAGCTCGCCGTGATGCCGTGCCGCTTCGCCTTTTCCAGAATCTTCATGGTCAGTTGCACGCCTCCACTGACCAGTTGCGCTTCAATGCTTTCAATCGCATTCTCCATTGCCAGCCAAAAGTTCTTTTCCTGTGAAGTGGTAAAGACTGCTCGTTCATCGGAGGATCGTGTAAAGTCACGGATTTGCTTGATCCAGTCGTTGGCCATGTTTTGCAAGCGATTCAAGAATTGGCCGTCAGTGATGAGGTTCTCGGGGATGCTGGCGGCAGCCTTTGGCCAGTCTCCTCCCGCGAGGTCGAGCTGCTTTTGGACAGCGTCGTGTACCTGCAATCTCGGCGCTTCCACCTCGATGTTCTGTTGGAGGTTCTGCAAGCTAATCTCCAGGTCTGCCAATCTCCGCCTCGCCCCTGAAACACCCGTCCGCGATTCTCCATCTGAGCTGAGCTTCTCCGTAGCCGACTTTGACTCTCTCGCTGCTGCCTCAAAGAATGGCGTCAAGGCGCCGCGAACGAGTGAGTGCAGCGTCTCGTATGGCGAGATGGTGGATGAATCTGCACTGCGGCCGAGTGGAAGATTGACCACAGATATCTGTCTTGCAATCGGAGCAGCTGATGATATGGGTGAAGGACGTTTGAGAAAGGCGACGCATCCAGTGGTGCGAGAGGAGTATGATAGGTCGGAGGCGAGGATGTAGACGTCTTCCGGGGGTGCGCCGTCGAGATGGCCATTCTGCGTTGACGCCCGCCGTAGCACGTATAATGCGACTTGTGACTCCAGCGCGAACCTTGTACATCTTGAAATGGTGTCCTCGATGTTCGCCTCGTGCATCAGACTTCCCACGCTCTTCAGGTCATCTTCAGTCGCTCCCAACGTCACCTCCAGGACATTGGAGAGATAACGAATCACCGCCTGTGACTCCACCGCTTCATCACCCGGCGGGACGGCAGTGCCGTTGGCCACTCCGTTGACTCCGTGGAGTACGGGGTCCTCCATGGCGTGCTATCGCGATCTTGTGGATTGGTGTGAGGACATTGCTCGGTGCAAGTCGGAGGGGGGGATGTGAAGGGTGAGAGGTGGCCAGAAGAGTGGCTTCAAGTCGAAAAGAGGATGTGAGGAGTGAGCGGTGCTCCGAGGTGCGTATTCGTTGTGCTTGCAGGATGCGACGGCCGTAAGGATGTTTGATGCGTTCAAGGCATGTCGTCGCCGCGAGTCGTTCGGGGGTAACGCGTTTGTAAACGGTGGAAAGCGGGATTGGATTTACGCGTGAGGGCGTAGACTGTGGACGCGCCGCGGGGGTTTTGCCTGAGGCCCCAATTTAACCGCACGACAAAAATCATGAAGGACAACGAGTCGGTGATTGCAAATACATGTAGCTCCGGGGTTTAGGTCGGCCTTTGGGGCGCTCGCAATGTCTTCAGCACCTCTGCAATCGCTCTCACCCTCCGTCCGCATAACGGTTAATACCGCAAGACACATCAACTGCCACGTTCAATTTCAGCCCCGAAACACCTTTTCGGAGACGTCTGTGGCTCCGCGGAGACTTTCTCACAGTCACCAGCATGGGAGATGACGTGAAAAGAGGTGAAAACATTAGTGTAATAGCCGTGTGTATCACATTGCCCTTCACTCCAACCATGTTCTCCTCAAATCCACTTGCTGGCCTCGCGCTCGTTCTGGGCATTCTCATCTACTTGGCGGCGGCAACGAAAAGCGATGAGCAGGGCTTTTTCGCTAGCAGACGGCTCGAAAATCGAATTCTTCACCGAGATTGAGTCCAAATACACCGGTGGAGAATCCACAGGCCATTGATGACCACTTTGGGGAATCGCTCGAGCACCGGGCGTTACACAAGAAGCGTAGAAGACCCACAGTCCGTTCGGGCTCCGAATGAGAATGATTTTGTGGTCAATTCATTCCGACTGGATGAATACCTGTCCAACATCGCACCCTTCCTGCTCAAACTGCCAAGCTGGCTGGGAAAAGATCGTGCCGTTGTGCAGCAATTCACCAATACCTTCTGGGGAACATTACTGAAGGAACATAGCGAGATGCGCGAGCGTGTGAGAGTTGGGACTGCACTGGAATGCTTTCAGACCAACTTCCTCGCCAACCAAGAGGAATACGGTCTGTATGATCTCGAGGCGCTCGGGGTATTCTTTGCATTCATGGACGCTGGCACGAGTTCACCGCACAACGTTATGCTGTCTTTCACGATCTGCATGCTGCAAGACCCCGAATGGCTGAAGATGCTGGAATAGCACGTCGATGACATTGTTAGGTCGGACAGGCTGCCTTAGTTCTCGACATCCCGTCCCTGTCAATGGTCGGGATGACTGTTTTGGAGACTCTTCGGCATCGCACAGTTTATGCGGACATTAGCGTCTCACACAAGCTGTCGCAGGATGATGTTTATGAGGGGTATTTCGTTGACAAGGGCTCGCTGGTTCACACGAATATCAGGTAAGCGCTCGGTGGCGAAGATATGCCTTCCCATCCTCTGACCATGCTTGATGCAGTATCATCCTCCAGAATCCGAAGCAGCACCCCGGCAAAGACTCTTTCAACCCCGGTCGATACCTCGATCTCTCCTATCCTACTCACCGAGAGCCGCCGTCTGACTACCCAAAAGTCCAAGAGTCGATAGCGTTTGGCGCTGCGCGTGTCCAGGCGCTCCCTTCACCGAGCGCAGCCTAACCATCATGGGGGCGAGGCTGGTTTGGGCATGTGACATTCAGCGCGCGCTAGATCCGGCGACCGGAGTATTGCTGCCGTTGGAAATCAAGTACGAGGCCACTGTCAATTCCCAGTCTTGTCATTTTCGGGCCACATTTGAGTCGCGGAGAGCAGAAAAGAGGGGAATGGTTTCGAGGGAAGCTGGACTGGCGCGATCGACGGATCAGCTTCGTGAGAAGGATTAGATGGGATTTCTCCACTCGGCATGGAGTGCGGCATCACAGTCTACTCTGAATCTGCTCCGACGCTCTCGCTCTTGCATTCACCTTCCTCCAGAAGTCCTTCCTGAGCTCGTGTCCTGACATAAAGACTATTTTCCATTCCGGTTGGAACTTGGGCAATCGCCTTCCGACACCTCCTTCACCCTCCCCAGGACCCGCCAGCTCGCGGAGCTTCTCAAAGTATGCCTCAAAGTCGGGGAAGATAAGGGCAAATTTCGGGCCATTGCCACGTGCCTTGATACGAGCCTCCTCCCATTCCTGCATCTCCTGCAGTGAGGGTAGCGGCTTCGCACGTCCGGCGAGCAATCTCGCGGCAAATACTGCCTGCCATTCAAAGACCTTGAACGTCAGACCGGCTTGCACGGCGCCGACAAACAGCAAGGTGGGGTCTCGCTGCCATACGACATGTTGATAGAGACCCGGCACACGATTGCCCGCGGTGGGAACGGTGGACGCTAAGAAAGGGAGCGTCCAGGTGTAGCCCGTGCCGAAGATGATCTGATCGACGTTGGAAATGGTGGTGCCATTCAGCAGATGGACTGTTCGATCTGGACTGATTCGTTCAATCGATGGATGGTTACGGATTCCAGGGTGGTTGAACGCTTCGTCGCCGAAATAACCGTTTGCTGCGTGTCCGATCGTTATGGCGTGTACGGGAGCGATGGCCGTATTGACAAGGTCGAATGCAATATCGCCGGCCGAGACGGAGCGGCCCACGACAACAACCCGCTTGCCTGTGAAGCTCTCTCTCCCGCGAAAGTGCTTGGAGTGTATGACGCTTCCGGGGCGAGATTGTGCAAACTTTTGCAAGCCGGGAATCGCAGGGATGTATGGGACCGAATAGTGTCCATTCGCCACAACAACAGCATCAAACCTCTCCTCCCACCAGTAGTCTTGCTTCACTCCTTCTCTTCGCAGGATGACCCGCCATTGGTCAGCAACCTTCTCGACCAGCTCGACGCAGATATTGTAGGATATAAGGTCTTCGTAGCCGTTGCGTTCAGTCAGATCCCTCAAATAGCGCTGGATTACCGACCAATGCCGGAAGGGCGTGCTGGGTCCGTACATGGAGACGGAGCGCGAACTGGCTTCCTCAGGCATGGGGTTGTCCTCAAACATCATCGCACGATGGTCAATGTTGGTCTCGAGATATGGGTATACGGTCGCTTCGTCGAATCGCGGCTGTGTCGACTTTGGTGTATATGCTGGAAGGCCGTCGGGGATGGGCAGCGTGCTGTCGGCCGTTCGTGTCGCCAGTGGCGCAAAGTCTTTGATATGAGTCGGCGGCACTGCATCCTCGCTCCTGGGCAAGCATCGTCAGTGATTGCAGGGAATGTCAATTGTCAAGTCCTACCAGCAACCTCCTGGCCCCGAGCGTCGCTCAAAGGCCCGAATGACAGTAAACGTCTGCTCTCGCGCCAATGCATCAATCGCAATGATGCCCGCTGGCCCAAGACCAATCACTGCGACCTTTTTGACTGTTTTTCTCGACATCTTGGCGTGTTGGAATGCTTGAGAGCAGCACCATGTGCGCTTGAGCGAGGTTCGTCGCAATCACGCCATTTTCGCGAGACGCCATTCGATATGAAGGTTTGCAGCGACGACATAAGGTTAGCCGGAGCACACATGGGGATATTTTGAAATGCGGAGGCATGGTTGGGTATCAGGATGTCTGCACTGCCAAGTAAGCGAGGACTTCCCTACATCGTCGACGAGGGATGGACAAGCGCAGTGGCCGGGAATCATTGGCGTTGCAAGCACTGCGCATTCATATCTCCCTCGGACTGCATGGCAGCGATGGTCCAGTAGTTGTGGGGCCGGAACTCTTCGCCGCAGTAGACGGTCTATGCGAAGCTGCAGATACGGGGCGGCTCGTTACGCTTGGTGGACATCCATAGATCCAAGGGCGCCTGGAACATCGACTGCAACGGTTTTCCGGAGGTGACGCGGTTGCGCGAGAGCTCGGGACATGAACTCTGCCATTGGTTTGTCAAAAGATCTCGAATTCACACGGCGTGGAACACACCAAGACGTAGTGACGTAGCGGAGCTTCGTGAGACGACTGCTGCACGGACAGGATATACATCATCGACGTTGCTGTACACTCCACTCTTCCAAAAGAAAACTTTGAAGATGTTTGACAAATACCATGACGATTGGAACACCCACATCGCAATGCACCTGCCAAGGCTCTTGTAGATCACCGGAGATCCGATGTGCAAAAATCTACTTGCTTCGCCAGGTGAGAATCTCGTGAGAGTATCGTGTGTTTCTTACTTGTTTGAGCATCATGATGTTTTCTTTCCTACCTGCATTCGTGTTCGCGCAATGTCTAGCGCTGGTCGAGTCGCAGTCTTTTGGGAATCTTCCAAGCAACAACTACGGCCTTCAGGAAAACGCAACATATGACTACGTCGTAAGTATCTTCCACATGACAGCCACAGCAGGACTGACGATAATCGCCGTAGATTGTTGGTGGAGGTACGGCAGGGCTTGCTGTCGCGTACCGCCTCGCCGAAGATGGGACGAAGAGCGTAGCAGTGGTGGAAGCTGGAGGTTTCTACGAAAACGATGCTGGAAATACTTCGGTCGTGCCGGCATATTGCACTCATTACGGAGACACCGAGGCGAGCGCGGCCAATCAGTTCCCTCTCGTGGACTGGGGCTATGTGACGCAACCCGAACAAGGTCTCGGTGGGCGGAGGTTGCATTATGGGCGTGGAAAGACCTTGGGCGGAAGGTAAGCAGGTTGTCATCCTGCGCCTCCCGTGCACTTCTAACAACACGCCAGCTCGGCCCAGAATGCGATGATCTACAACCGCGGAACCATCGGCTCATATCAAGAATGGGCAGAATTGGTGGGCGATGATTCTTGGACTTTTGACAATTTACTACCCTACTTCGCAAAGGGCATTCACTACTCGCCTCCCAATACGACTCTTCGTGCAGCGAACGCTTCGGTTCCCCCTCCGGCCAATCCCAATGCCTACAGCCCCTCAGGTGGTCCATTGCAGGTGTCGCATCCCAACTTTGCCCAAGTCTTCGCCAGCTTCGTCAATGGGGCCATGCGCGAGTCCGGGATCCCCGAGCAGCAGGATTTCAGCAGCGGCAGTTTGCTGGGAAGTCAGTATGCGCCACTGACCATCGCATACCCGGAGGAAGAACGCAGCTCATCCGAGTCGTCGTATCTGCGTACTGCGTTGAGCAGCAGCCGGACGAATCTGAAAGTGTACCCCGGAACATTGGCGAAGAGGGTTTTGTTCTCCACCAACAAGACTGCAACTGGGGTGGAATTCGAGACTACATCTTACGGCAATCGCAATAACTTTGTACTGGAAGCTCGCAAAGAGGTCATCGTGTCAGCTGGAGCATTCGCAAGTCCGCAACTCCTCATGGTCTCCGGCATTGGACCCAAAGCGCAACTCGAGCAATACAACGTCACTGTCATCGCAGACCGTCCCGGCGTTGGCACCAATATGCAAGACCACCTCGATTTTGGCCCTGTATGGCAGATCAACCTCGAGTATGGTGTGGGAGCTGACGCAGACCCATCTCTGGAGGGTGCAATCGCGCGTGAGTATCTTGTCAACCGCACCGGCCAACTGACCAACGCCGGTGTCGACTACATTGGATGGGAGAAGCTCCCACAGCCCTACCGCAGCGCTCTGAGTGCGTCTGCCCTCCAGGAGCTTGCCAAATTTCCAGCAGACTGGCCCGAAATTGAGTACGAGGTTACAGCCGCAGCCCTCTCCGGGGGCGATCCGACCAAGCGGTTTGGAACTCTGCTCACCATTCCCGTGTCGCCGCTCTCGCGAGGCTGGGTGAACATTACGTCCAGCGACACTGCCGTCCTTCCAAGCATCAATCCAAATCAGTTGTCCGCCCCAACAGATCGGGAGCTCGCGGTCCAGGTCAGTTTCGTGCGTGTGAGTCGACGGCGAGCGTGTCGCTGACCTCGGTAGGCTTTCAAACGTGCGCGCTCCTTCTTCTCGACAAAGGCTATGCAGCCCATCCTCATTCGCGAGTATATGCCGGGACCGAATGTGACGAGCGACGAGCAGATTTTGGAGTATATTGAGGCGACCAGCTACCAAAACTGGCATGCTTCGTGCACTTGTGAGTTGCGGAGGTCGAGGTAATGTCTGAAGCTGACAATATTACAGGCAGAATGGGACGGTCGAATGATACAATGGCGGTGGTGGACTCCAAGGCTCGTGTGCTCGGTGTCAATGGCTTAAGGGTTGTTGATGCGTCTTCTTTCGCCTTGCTTCCACCAGGCCACCCACAAAGCACCGTCTGTGAGTTTTACGAGCTCTTTCCGCCATGCTTCATGCGCTGACCGTCCATGGACAGACGTTCTGGCAGAGAAGATTTCCGCCGACATTCTGGCGGATGCGCAGTCGTGATGGAGCTTATTGGTGGTAGTCGGCAAGTAGTTACTAACACGGCGCTTTCTCTACTCGACGGTGGAGGGCAGCTTTGGTCGTGATTGATCGGGATGGAAGGCGGATGAATGCCACGGCTCGAGGAGATGTAAGTTGGATGACTACGGAGACTCCTCTCGCCATCGGTGGGATATTTGTGCTAGTGCGAATTGCCTGGTTACTAGAATCAATATCGAGGTCCTTCATTCAACGTAGGAATGCAATCTCGTCAGCATCGTCCGTCTCGCCATACAAATCCAATGAACTCAGCCAGGTGCAAATGTTCTGCCTGAGGCACACATGCCGAACACGGCCTTATCTGTGCAGCACCGCCATCTCGCTGCCTTTTTATCCAGCGACTGCCTTTTTGGCAGCACATCCATCTCGACGAATTCCGTATTGCCACCCACTCCGCCTGCAGCTCCACCGGTGAAGAACGATGCCTGCCGACCAGTGCTGCAGCGCGTCTTCCCAGCGGCTTCCACCTCGAAACGACACTGGATGAGGCCAACACGGTCACGGCCGAGGCTGCAAGAAGAGCTGGTGAAGGACGTCTACATCAACACAGCGCTGGCAGTGAATCGCCACCTCCGCCAACCTCATCTCGCAGGACGAGCTCTCAACAGTGCGGTTGCAGAGGCAGGGGCGTGAGAGCTGCGGCAACAGGGGTTGGAGACAGCGGTGAAGGAGGCGCTCACCTCGAGACAGCGCCGCCGGCCCCCGCAGCAATCGGGGACGGCAACGAGCTCGTGATTACAAGGGCAGGTGCAGGATGGACTGAGGCAGAGACGAATGCGTCGGGGACATTCAGATCAGAACAGCGACGTCCCGCGTCCACAGCGCCATCGCATCAGCACACCTGCTCAACAGTCTCCGCAGCACCAAGAAGCACACCAGCATCGCCGGCCCCGCTCTTCTACTACCCCCAGCCTTGCCGGCACCGAGAAGCGCCATCTTCCTTCGATGCCCGCAGCTTCCGCATACAAGAAGCGCAATCACGCCTTCCTCGATTTCCGCCGCCCACAATGTCTCCTCTTTACAAGACGAGCCCCGCCACATCAACGCCGCAACGTCTCTACCTTTTTGCGCTGATGGTGAAGGAGCAGGATGAGGAGAGCAGAAGTACTTGGGCAACACGTAGCGACTCGCCAGCCTCGCGGTGAATTGACAACACGGCGTCTCCTAACTGTATCTACATTGGAGTTTTTAAAAAACTCCATAGAAAATCTACTAAAACCTC